ATCAGAATTTGTGGGAGAGTTATGGTTTAAGGCTAAGTAAAGGAGAGAATCAGTAAGAAAATTCTCTCAAGGAGGAAGAAGAAGAAGAAGGTGATCATGTGGTTAACTAATTCTTTTTGAGTTAGATAAATATGATATAAACCTTGACTTAACTATATTATATGTCAGACGGTGCTTAGAATGAAGGAATATATTTGTTGGGGCTTAGCGAATTATATATCAGCGTATAATATGAACGTCAAACTAAAGTAGGCTTTGACCAATGATGATTATATATTATGTTTTCATGTCTGTACTTTGTAGGACTCTCTTTTATATATGTCAATCCTTTTCTAATATTGAATCTTGGTTCCAGTAACATACATGCTTATGTCCCCGACATATGCTAATTCTAAGATCGTATCTCGTAAACTCAATTTATTAAAGAGATTTTTTTTTGTTCAGATCCAAAGGCATAGATAGACACGCAAACCAGACAAGACATTTCATAGGAATAGGATAAGTAAGAAAATCAAATCATGCAGTTTCAATGCCACTCCATAATTAAGCGTAATTCTTATTGACCTTTAAATACTGTATTAGAAATATATAGCTTTAGTATGAACAATACATTTTCCCCCAAATGAAACCAAAATTTAATTGATAAAATTGACTGAGCCAATACTTCAGTGCTTCTCTTAGGAAGATAGTGAATACATTCGACAAACGATATATATATGATATGAACCAAACGGTTCTTTGATTGTATTTTAGAATTACTATATTAAAAAAAACTATATATCTTTGAGGACTTTTATTTGAGTTTCGGTTGGTTATATATATAAATCAAACTTTTTTTATGTTCGGTTTTAGACGAACTTTTCTGCTATGGAATTTAAACGGATCAAACACCTCTCGCCACTAAATGGTTTATTTAATTGTTGTAAATTGTCTGAAACTTGTTTGAATTTTGGTCTAGAAGACTCGACCTAATTAATGGATGTACATAAATGGAGATACAAAGAAAACATACATAGAAGGCTAGAGAAGTAGATTTGGGGTAATCCTAGAGAGAGAGGGAGAGAGAGAGAGTTATGAAGATGGAGACAGAGATGAAGAGTAGTGAAGTAAGCTCTGGTCGATTCAGTGTGTTGATGGTCAGAGAGAAAGTAACCATTTGCCTTTACCTCTCTCCATGATCTCACTATTCTCCTTTTGTCCCTATTCCCTATAGAGACAGTGAGACACGAGCACGAGTCAATATAATCCTTCGTACGTACACATTATTGATAATGTTGATTAATTCTGAATTGTCTCTATTCTCATTTAAGTGCTTGTTCGTTTTATGGGTTCCACACAAGACCAGTCCTGCATCCTGAGTTTGATGATTCTTCTTGTCAAACTTTATTAACTGTCGCTTTTTCGATAAAAAAAAAACTTTATTAATTGTTTAATTTGGATATAGATGTTGATTTGAATAAAGAATTTATTTTGGGTTTTTTGTGTGATTAATGTTGTGTCATATATTTGTGGAAATTTAGAGAACACGTCACATGACAATGACTTTTAAAATATTAATTTTCTCGATTTTTTTAATTATATATGAATATGAAATTTGGTCCCTATAATATATAACTCATCTAATACATGTATGTTTGGAAAAAAATGCATAGAGATTTCATTTAGTTTAACACTATCTTGTTAAAACCCCAGACATTTTCTGTATACAAATGCAGGACACGGTAATGAAAAACTGAAGTTGTAGTCTAAAATATCCGATTACGAAAAAAAGTACGTAAAAGAGAATAGAGGATTGTAGTATACTTGTAGTGAATAAGACGACTGAAGTTAGAGTAAGACTTGTTGTAACATTATCCATCACTAAACAATTAAAACTGTTTTCATGACCCTATTTTACCTTCAGTCACTGCCATTGTCTCTCTATTCTGTCCACCCTACGACTAGACACATCATCACCTCATTATGTGAATTTCTTATTTTAATATTCTGCTCTTTAAGACCTTCAGAGTTTTCTGTATTCTGCTCATTAAGACCTTCAGAGTTTTCTTTCTATCAAACTTTTTTTAGTATGTACGTATACAGTTGTTCTGGATATCAAACTTTGTCTAAGTAAATTTTAGACATTTACGTCTCTATGGAACAACGGTCACAACTTGAAAGATTTACAAAAAAACGCAAAATGAAACAACGGACAGTGTAAAATCACAAACATGATAAAACAACCAGAATTATGAACTATGAAGCAAACGGAGGGAAAATACGCAAATATGGAGCAGTCAAAGCTAAGATTCATAATTATGAAACCAGTCAGAGAGTAAAACCATAATCACGAAATAAAGTAAACTAAAGTATGTAAAACCGTAAAATTGGAAACACATACGCAAATCTGAACAATCTGGGAGTAAAACCATAAATATGGAATACACCGAGGGCAAAGAACCAAATATTGAACAATCACCGGTAAAACAATAAATATAGAAAATCTGAGGACAAGGTTGAAAATATTAAACAGTCAGAGAGTAAAACCATAAATATGTAACAACCGGAGGGCAAATCGATAATTACGAAAACAATCCGAGGGCAAATACGAAAATATGGAGTAGTTAGAGGTAAAACAATAATTACGAAACTATATGGGGCAAAGACGCATATATTGAACAGTCAGGAGGAAACTCGTAAATATAAAATAGTTTGAGGATAAATACCCAAATATTGAACAGTCAGAGGGTAAAACCATACAATAGTGATACGAATTTCACTACAAATATAAATACAAGAACTTTACGGACCGAGATAATAACTAACAACGATGAACTTTACTGTTAGTTTTAGTATATTGAGATTCCAAAAATGTAGTTTTAGTATTTGTAATCTTTGACATGAAGACTCTCAGAAGCACCTTCACCAAGCTGAGCATCACCCTTGTAGCCACCAGTGCTTGCCTCCGAGTTAGCCTTGGCTCGAGCCAAGAATGCACTTTGAGCCTTCCCAACATTCTCCTCTTTACCTCCCCAAGCCTTGAGTGTACTCTGCTGAAGCGCACGTCCATACGAAAACGTCAAGCTCCATGGTTTCTTCCCTTTGAGCACATTAATGGCATTTAAATTCACAGTTGCTTCTTCTTCACTCTGTCCTCCAGACAAGAACACAACGGCTGGAACCGCGGCAGGGACAGTTCGTTGTAAAGCACGGACCGTATGCTCAGCGATCACCTCGGGTTTAGCCTTGGAGCCACTGTCAGAACCTGGAGTAACCATGTTTGGTTTCAAGAGTGTTCCTTCTAAGATCACATGGTGATCACTAAGAGCCTTGTAACAAGCCGCAAGGACTCGTTCCGTGACGTAAGCACATTTCTCAATGTCATGAGTTCCGTCTACAAGGATCTCTGGTTCGACAATGGGGACGAGACCGTTCTCTTGGCAAATGACTGCGTATCTCGCTAAACCGTAAGCGTTCTCGTGGATAGCTAACTCGGAAGGCTCGTTGGCTCCGATTTTGAGAACGGCACGCCATTTAGCAAAACGTGCACCGGCTTCGTAGTATTTCTTGCAACGGTCTCCGAGTCCGTCGAGGCCGATGGTCGTGGTTTCGCCGTTTGTGCCAGCGAGCTCGACGGTTCCTTTATCGACTTTGATACCTGGAAGGACTTTAGCTTCCTTCATTACATCAACAAATAGTTTCCCTGTAGCACAAGTCAAGAACATCAATGATAGAACGATCGGATTACGATTTTATTAGGTTTTGAGTTTTACCTGAAGCTGTTTTCTGGTAGAGAGTTTCCTCGAAGAGGATGATACCACTGATGTATTGCAGAGCTCCGGGAGTGGTGAACAAGAGTTCACGGAGAGCACGTCTGTTTGGTTCTACGTTCTCGACATTAATGCTTTCAAAACGTTTTCCGATTGTCCCTGTGGATTCATCAGCAGCGAGGATACCTTTCCCTGGAGTGCCGATGTAAGCAGCATTGGCAATGAGCTCATCTGTGGAGACCAAATAAAAATTTTAGGGACATAGTGAGACCAAATTCGAACTACAAACAGCAAATGAAATTGGATATATCAAATGAGGGTAAGATTTACCGGCGAATTTGGATTTGAAGCACGACATAGTGTACAAAAGAGGTGATGGTTGTAACGACAGAGAAGATTTTTGAAATGTGTGATCGATTTGAAAACCAAAGAGATTGAGCTTTTGAGTATTATATAGTAAAAGACCGCACTGGAAATGGATACAACGAGGAATATGGAGTTTTATACGAGAGGCTCGTAGAAATTGTCGCTTGCAACTCCCAACGTTGAATAGATATTGTCGCTTTGCCTATGATATTGTAGGAAACTTTGCCAATTTTAGAAACATCATTCTTAATTGCAACTCTATTTTTAGTGATCTTCTTGCAAATTCATATCAAAGATTGTAATGGAATAAGAGTTAAGTAGTTAACAAACGATTCCGGATTTGGACCTAAAAGAATAGAGAATGATATAAAACTCGGATAATTTCTGGTGGTTGCGGACTTGCGGCCGAGAAGCACGTGAACCTTTTAGCACTGTACGCTTATCAGAGTATAAAAACTACTAATTAGATGTATTAAGAAACATTTAAACAAGGTAGATTTATAAAAATAGGATTAGTGGGTAGTCTCAATTCTCAAACATGTGGGGGCCTCAAGAAGAGAGAGTCCACCGTCCACACTTGTTAACGTCATCCATGACGCCATTTCAAATATTTTATTTGTTTCCCGCCTACGCTATCACAGAATTATCCCAAACACCTTTCTCCATATTTGGCAATTAATTATTTCTAGCCGTTTTCACTTAAAAAAAATAAAAAATTATATATTGCACTTGCAAAAAAGTACACTCGTTAAACCAGAATTATCTTTCGTAATGATTTGTTAGGTCAAAAGTTCATCAGCAAGATAATGGTCAAATTGCAAAAAGGAAATGAAAAGAGTTAAGTTTATATATGTGTAAATATGATAAGAAACTATAAACTAAAAATCATCTACGACTCATTTCAACGGATCTAAAACTATCCGACCCAAGATTTTTATACGGGCCGGGTGATAACCCACCATCTTCCTCTACTATCCGTTTCTCTCTACTCCAAATCCTAAACCCAACATACACCATCGTTACCGTTAAAACCAACGCAATCAAAGCAAGCACAGACATCCCAACCGTTAATCCTACTCTGCTTTTTTTCTTCCCTACACTCTCCCGCACCTTAAAATAACCCACTTTACTCGAATCCTCAACGCCCAGCATCGTCCGGATCGGGTAATTAACCAAATAACAAAACCCAGACCCGTTGTTATAAACCGACCCGAAACACTTGCAATCCTCCACACACATCTCCTCACATTCTCCCAAAGACGACGTCGTCTTGTGATCCATCCATTCCTTAAACGGCACTTCAACGCCTCCACGTCTCACAACTTTAAACTTTGCCGCCTTATCGCCGCCGCAAAAATCCGCCGGTCCCGAAGGTGGTTCTGGACTACACTCTCCGATAACGGTGCTGTTGTCGATGCAAGAGCAACCCGATCCAGGTGTGCAGAGACTGTACGGACCGCACGGATTTGGGAGATCGCAAGGTAAACGGATTGCTTCGTAATTCAATGCCCACTGAGATCCGTCCCAGAGATACCCCCGGAGATTCCCGTCTGATTCCAATCGGAGAATTAGAAGACCGTTAACTGGCCGTTGGAAGCTGTTGAATGCTTCGACGTCGATTGGTATGTTTCCGATTTGGTACATACCGAGATATCCGTTCGGGTTGATCCGGGCGAGAATCGGACCCGATCCGTCTTTGATTTTGGCTTTGGCTTGGAGAGCACTGTGTTTCCAGTAAAACTGCTCAGAGTCTTCGCTGACTTTAGCGTATAATCCGATGAAATCGCTGCCTAGTCGCATCGAATACAAGCCGTTGGATGAAACCAAAGCCATGGTCGATGTGAAATTCTGGTTTTCGACGAGGGTGTTTCTGGGAAAATCGAAACTCTCCCACTCGACCGACGACGACGGCGACGGCGATTTCAGCACCTGGAGATTCGAGTCGTTACGGAGGACGAGACTGTCTCCGTTAGTGTGAGTTGACCAGTCTACCCTCGAAGAAGGATCGGTAATAACGAGACTGCCATTGAAGAAGAGTTTCGTCTTATGCGACCAGCTCGCTAAACGGGTGGGGTCGAAAATCCAGAGAGGTTCCGTTAAGTTCGGGTGGGTTACGGCGAGGGAGAGGCGTGACCCGTTTACCCGTAAGAACCCGAATGAAAAGTTTCCGCTCGGGTCAGTGAGGAGAGGCTGGAACGAGTCGACCGACGAGTCCGGTTTAGCTTCGAAGCCTTTAGTTATCTCAAGAACCGGTTCGCTCGCGTTGACTAGATTGCATTTATGAGAACAAACAAAGAAAACGAATAACAAGAGGAAACGAGTCACGGAGCTTAAACCTAAAACTTCCATTTTTGGAAATTTTAATCAAAAGGAGAGAGAAAAGGAGGTTTCAGTAAGAGATTGTGATGTTTTTGATTCGTTCATGCAGAGAGAGTCCATTGCATAATATCACTTGAAATGTATATATAGAAGCAGATGGGTATAATATAAATTATGTTTGCCGATAATCGAATATATGTTAGTTTAATAATAAGAAAAAAGCAATATTAAATGGCGTCGATGTCGTGGGAAAATTAAATATTTGAAGTCGCGATTTGATTAAAGATATGGTTTTCTGGTGGGATAAATTGTTATCATAGCAAACCATTAACCATTTCATCTACTCGCTAAGGCGCAAATGGACCAGTTGTATAATGCGCTAAAACCAAATGGATTTACATAAAATATTCACTAAAGACAAATTATTGCACGCACTAAGCATGTGTCAATGTCAGTCGTGTATACGTACATACATAGATAGATCGTCTGTAATCTTTACAGAGGTAAATCTAGAAGATTAAAGACATAATAAGGGTACTAATGCAATCGAGCCGGACACAACATTCCGTTAATCTTTACAGAGATAAATCTAGAAGATTACATGTTAGAAAATGAAATAGAGTTACGACAAAAGTCGCACCAAATCTAAAAGGGTCAAAAGACTCAAGCTCTCCATTTGTTTCTGTCAGTTTACCTGTCAGATCAATTGTATCCTTTCTTTCTAGTTGTAAGTTGCAATCGTATTTACATCTCCAAAAACTTAAGGGACCATGTATTTATCTATGATACAGCCATAAAGGCTTGGCTTGGTGTATATCAACATGCATGAGACTGGTGTATGATATGAAATTGCATGTTACTTTTGGCGTATATGCTACTCGTTTCATTTGAGCACAACATACTAAACCAGATTAACTATCTAAATCTAAACAAGATCCAAAATACCGAATCCAACTTCTATAAATGGACAGTTTCTTTTTGGATCTTAGCATAATTTTTGCATTAGAGCATCTCCAATAGACCCTTATTCCTTTATAATTTAAGGGTTTTGCATTCCAATGGACCCTTATCCCTTTATATTTTAAAGGGATGAATAGTGCACCCTTAAATATAAGGGGTCACTGTTCACCCCTTAAAAATATTTTGAATTTGCATTTTAGTCCTTGTAATTATACAATCTTACAAATAACATTTATAATACTTTTTGTGATCAGTTTAGTCTAAAATTATAATTTTTTTAACATTTACTCTCTCTAATAAGAAATTTAATTAACACCACATAAAATCAAATAAAAACATTCATTGATTGGAAAATTATGGAAACAATAATGTAATTTTAGTTTAATATTTTTATATATAATTTTATGTTTTAATGTAATTTTATATTATTATGTAATGTTTTAATTAATAATATTGTGTAATATTTTATTAAAGTGTTTTTATTGCATTTTGTGAAAGTTTTAGTATTATAATTGATTCTAGTTACTTTTAAGGACTATAATGCAAAAATATTTTTTTTAAGGGGTAAGGATAAGGGTCTCCATTGGAACAAAACTTACAAACCCCTTATTTTGAAGGTGTGTTCCATTTATTTTAAGGTGATCATTGGAGATGGTCTTGTTCACAAATCCAAAAAGGTTCAAAACGATTTATATCGCAATGATGGGCGGGTTATTATCAAGTCACATGGATTGACTTTGTAAAAGGTTCATTAAATGTGAGGAGTTGACTAATTGGCAGGAGGATATGTATGAATGGATCGTAACAAACACATCGAAAGTCTCACCAGTTCGGATTTTGACTTACTTTCTCTATTTTTTCAAAGTTTTTATTTATTTATTTATTTGTTGGTGTTGACATCATTTAAGTTCAACCACACAACAACTCTCTTGTTCCCTTCCCTCCGTAGTCCCTCTAATAATCCAAACCCTTTCTTAGTTTAATTTCTTACCAAACCTAATCGTTTCAAAAATGTAGAATGTTTTAATATATATCTCTCACTTTTAAGGAATTAGATTTCTGAAATGTATTTTGCAAAGTCAAATATAGACTATTACCGATGTAAATCATATTTTATGTCTGTCTCCATTACTGTACCACATTAATAAATTCACCTTTTATACGAGATAATCCAAGCCCCTCAAATGAAATATCAAAATCAACGAGTTTATGTTTAAAATTTTCTCTGTATGAACAAAATTACTCTTGGGTTACAGATTCTTGTGATCAACATCGGTCGATGGTCGCATCAAATCGCCAATAAGTAATCAAAGGGAATTTATTGTGTTAATAATAAAGTTTAATAGAAAGTGTAGAACCACGTAATGAATTGGATCTTTAAAAACAAAAAATGACACTGCAAATATATCCGTTAAACACAATTGCAGCCGTTAGGATGTTGTCAGCTCTCTCACACCTCTCGCATCTTATTTTTTCTTTAAGATATTAGGTTGAGGCCCGCTAGATTCACTTGCAACAATATGTAACTACTGATGGGCCGAAACTAAAAGCCCTGGCGAAGAAAAATAGAAAAAATTGAGTGTTGACAGTGGGATTTGAACCCACGCCCTTTCGGACCAGAACCTTAATCTGGCGCCTTAGACCAACTCGGCCATATCAACATTTCTTGTTATCTTTTTGAAACGTAAGTACATATACAAAATCACTATGCCGAACGACAAAGATAAATACATTTCATTTTTTGTATTTGGATTTTAAACTTTTAATGTTAAGAATACATTCAAATTATTCAAGCATTATATATGACAAGGACTGCCACCAAAATCCAAGGAAAGTCGTGAGGGCCTTTCTTGTCTCTTTCTCATCTCAAATTCTCAATTGATGTAATGAATGGACACAGTACAATTGTGATCTAACACAAAAACGATACGTAAACCTCAAACCTTTTTTTATCAATATCTCGGTTTGTCGGCTTACTGCAAAAGTAGTCTATGATAATGACTCCCATCAACTAATCAAACTAATTACGCTCGTGATCATCCATTTTCTTTTGATATGATGATGTGACTTTATGTTAAGCTTTGATTGAGCCTCATATCATTAACCATCGCTGTTGCACTCTTTTTTTTATGCATTACAGCTTTTACATAATTGAATCACTATAGGACACAACACCACTTAAAATCCGACGTATATACTGAGAAAATAATCGTAAACGTTATACTCGAAACGCCTTTGAAAAAGTTTATATCTTTCTAATAAATAATGGTAAACAAATAAAAGGAAGAAGAGACATGAATAAAAGAGTAGCAATTTTGTGTAACGCCAAAAGAGAGTGCGTACGTTTTGCTTTTGTCACTACATTACACAATCAACGAGGAAGAATCTTTTTTTCTCGTGGGTGGGGGATATCGCCATTGAGTTGTGTCAACTAGAAAACAATTGTCTTAAAGTAAAACTCATTATTAGATTTGAATTTTATAATATATAGGGCATTCTCGCTAAATGAAAGGTTTGTATCAATATTTACATGTCAACTCTGGTTGATGAAGTTACTGACTCATTCTCGCTAAATGAGAGGTTTTTATACTGTGGGATGATGGGATCTACTCCACAGCGCACTAGAGATGGGCATAAACGTAAATGTAATTAACGAGCATGTGAGAAATCCACACGTGTATTTAAACTTTTGACTTGTTCTTCTTTCTTCTTCATGTTGTGTTCCTCATAATCTCTTCAGAAACAAACAACCAAAAAAAGATGGAGAAGAAACTTGTGATTACGTTCTTTATGTTTGTTGTTCTTCTTCAGTTATCTGAGCTTCGTGCAGCTCAACTTCCACAGCAAGTGGATAAAGGTACTCTTATGCCATATATATACGAATTTACAAGTTTAATCTGAGCTTGAGTGTATGTATATATACATATGTGCGGTCGTACGAAGAAGCTTTCTAAGATTTTTTTTTACGGTTTTGGCAAAAACAACGAGAACTATGTATTCTGTTAAAGTTAAGAATCCCAAATTTCTTTAAATATTTTTCTGGCTCGTTTAGAATTTTAGATCTTGACATGTTCAAAGATCTTAATGTGATTCGTGGAACTTGCTCAAAGTCGATAGAAATCTAGCCACACCACATATTAAATTTGGATACATTTGTATCTAAGTATTCGTCCATAGCCACAAATTTCATGTAAATCCTTTCAGTGGCACATAGATTCAAATCTTAGTATGAAAATGTTAGTTCCCAGTCACATATATAACATAGTAAGCAGAACCATTTTCTTTTGTTATATAAATCTCAATGATTGAAAAAAGAAAAGAGACATAAGCAGATAGTGCATCCGATACTGTTGAATATCAGTTCTTTGAGTCTTTGACTATATGCTCTTGTTAAATCCTCTCTCTCAATCTCACCAATTTTTCACATTTTTGTAAAAGAAAAAGGAAACAAGAATAATAATTGGGCCTGGGCTACACGAGCAGATATGGCATCCGATATTGCCCAAGAGGTATCGCCTGTACGCACTTTTACGGTTTTACCCTTATGTCCTTCTTTTATCCAATTTCGCAATTAGTCTCATATTTCGCAAGAATAATAAGTTTTGTTTTTATTTTCCCGGAATTGTGGGTGGCTACTTAAAGTTGATGGGAGAAGAGAAGTGTGAGGAGAGCGATGAAGAGTGTATGAAGAGAAGGATGATCAACGAAGCTCACTTGGACTACATCTACACTCAAAGCCACAACAAGCCTTAATTATCCTCACATTCCCATTTTTTTTCATTATTATCATGTGGAACTAAAAATGAATAACAATTGTGGGAAAAATATAAAGTTACAAAAATTTCATTGTGGCAACAAAACATAACTGTAAAACCAAGAGTTATAAGATATTGGAAGTTATAATTAAATATCTGAAGCTAAATTCACGCCTGTTACTTAAAAAAATAAATGGTAAGCAAGACACAAAACTTACCTGGTACAAGAAGCTCTTGTCTTACTAAAGATAAACCAGAGAGCTTGACAGAGAGAGGAATCCTAAAGAAACATCGTTCCACTTCAGACCTGAAACATTTTATTACTCCAGCAGATAAAAAAACTCTGTATAGTTGTTCGCATCCACTAAAATCAAAACGAAGAGACCTCAATGATTCTGAATAAAAGGGCACTACTCAAACTCATTATTATTATATACCTATAGACATGCATTCAAAATGAATAATAAAAATAGTTCAACCCGATAATAGTCGGGTTTTTTTAAGTCTAAAACTATATTTAAAGATCATCCATTGGCGTATTGTCATCACCAGTTGGCCAAGTGAAACCAGTCTCTGTATTTCCTGCAGCAAATTGTTCCCAACAGACATCAGGCAAACCACCACTTGTTGTCTCTGCAACATAAGCAAACTCTGAGGCATTATAGTCCATTGTGTTTTCCCATACATCGTCGTTGTTGCTGAAACTCGGATCGAAACCCATACTCCATGTCGTCTCTTCTTGTTTGATAAGTCCTTCAGGAGATGGGAAAGACATTAAGTAATCTGGATTCATCATCTTTTCTACCAATGGATTCATCAAGTTCTTGCCTTTTGGATCTTCGCTTCCTCCTATGCCTGAGAGTGGAATGTTCTCCATCTCTTCCTCAGACATTAACAATCTCTCCCAATCATCAGCTTCATACTTCACTATCTCCCCTCCAACTTGAGGCTGCTGCTGGTGTTTGATGAACTTCTTTCTCGCCTTTTCCAATCCAAGAGCTCCTCCTCTTTCTCCTCCTCCTTTGAGGTTCTTCAGGCGTTCCAAGAAACCGGGGTTGCGAAAAAGCTTAGCCAAGAAAGAGAGCATTTGCTTCTGACGTTGCTCTGCAGCTTTGAGCCTCTGGTTGACAGTGTCCATGTGGCGAGCTGTGCCTCTGTGTTGCTGCTGAAGCTCTACCATTTCCTCCATCAGCGCACGCCGCTCTTTCCTCAGCTTCTCGATCTCTCCTCCAACTTCAGTTGGTGACGACCCTCCTCCTTGGCTTTGGCTGCTACTGCTGCAGTTTTGGTTGGACTGTGGTGATCGACGACGATGAATGTTCTTCAGAAGATGCTTCTTGCCTCTCAGGAAAGCCTCGTTAGCGAATTCCCACTTGTCAGTATCAATCTTTCGGAATCCCTGAACACATTTCAAACCCCATAAACAACTCAAGAAAGAACAAGAAGAGTTAAAAGACAACAACCACATCAAGATCACAGTAGCAGATTGTAAAACCATATTTTTTTCGGTCTGTGTAATCGTAATTAGGAGATTCTATAGCCTTTACGAGTGAGGAAGATACGAGTAATGTCTTAAACTAGAGATAACGTTATGAGGAAATAACAAAATTTCAGAAACAAAATTCTCCATTTACAAGAAACCATAAATATACAACAGTCAATAGTGTTTGATTATCTTCTCTCAACAAGATTACATGAGCAGTTAATATATAACATACAACACAAGCCAAAATTCATTAATACAGAAGCAGAATTTTTTTACATGATATAGATTCCACAGGTATTTACAGTTATCAAAAACCAGTTGAAAAGTCTATACAACATGTTGGCGATTACAGAAACATACAAGAAGAAGAAAACAAAAACAGAGGGAAAGAGAAACAAAGAAGAATGATCAATCATCTATCTAATCACTATCAGTAACTGCAAAACAAAAGCAGAGAAACAGAACATTAGACTACATTACAGCGATACCCACATAAGTGTTAAGCTGTCTGACGAAGCTGGAGAAGTTGTTGTGTTTGAAATTCCGAGGGAGGATGATTCTGGCGAACTCGAGAGGGTCCCAAACCACGAAGCTCGCACCGGTCAATCCCCAAGAAATGACCAGGTCGAGATTCGGGTCATCCACCAAATCGAATGTTTTCGATAGAAACGGTGGGATAGGATTCCCCTGTAAGAGGTCTAGCGGCAAGGGGAGGGGAGACCCAGAGTAACCCATGTCTGTGTCCACGTAGAGAGACCCGGATTCGGGTCGGGTCGAAATGGGTATTGAGAGTGGAGTGGGTTTGGAAACACCATTTTTTTCTGAGCTCATTTGAAAATTACAAGTTTTACGGTTTTGTGGTGGGAAAATAATTTTGTGAAATTGGATGTGGTAATCAGGGTTTAAGAGAATGGGTTTACGGGGAGAGTGGGATTAGAGTTTATAAAGGTTAGGGAAGGGTGTAACCGACACACTGTAGTGAGATATGAAAGAAAATATCTGGGGAAATAAAGGCGGTGGGTCAATTCCCGCCACTGTGATTTCATCTTCTTCGTCCTTTTCCATCTATTTTTCGTGGTTCCGGTGACGGCCAAATGAAAATCGAAGAAAATTGGACCGTTTCTGAATTTTTTTTTTCCAAAAGATAACGCCGACATTGAAGCTTGCTTCCTTGAAGCTTCTTCTCTTTCTCTCTCTCTCTAATTGTCTGAAGGAGAGAGTGCTGAGGTTGTGGGTCCCACGTAATCTTAGATATAAAGGATGGAGTGATTTTGCGTGTTTGCCAGGTCAGCTTTTCAATTAGACCCTCGCAGGCTCACAGTCACATATTCGTTTTCTCGTGTTTCTATTTTTTTGTCTTCAAAATTATTAGTCCTATAATTTGATTTACGCAATGTTATTGGTCACCAAACTAATCAATCAGATTTTTTTTCTAAGAAAACGAGTGAAAAGGTGGAAGTCGTTTTCAAGAGTGGAGGTCAAAGTTCCTTCGATTCGAAGGTAACAGAAATGACTTGGTAGATATTTTCAGGCCCATGTTTGTTGTTTAAATTTTGAGACCATATTTTTGTTCTGACTTCCGACTATTTCCCTAAACAAGCTCTTAACATTCGAGTTGTAATCAATTCAATTTCAATTCCTTTTTTTTTTGCTTCTGGTTCAAGTCCAATGAGTTTGCAAAACCCTTGATAGTTGTTTTTGCCTCTCGTTGTTACTTAATTTAGCAGTTCAAATGTACAACTAAGCAATTTTTGTATATTAAATTTAAAAAAAAAAAACATTACGTAGGATCAGACAAAATAGCTTCAAGTGCATTACTACAAAAGGCGACAACAATATATTGCTTACCCCTGGGAAGTAGATAAATATCCCTCACTGTTCCCATTACTACTTTTCAATTACTTTTTTTTCCCTCTCCCTGTGACAATAGTCATGTACATTTTAACAATCTGCAACAACTAAACCAAGAAAAATAACAACAAAAGAGAAGGGGCAAAAATCGAAATAAAAAAGACTGGTATTAGAACCGCGATTGGATATGATAAAGATCGATAGCTCTCGAGGAATGTACCTTAAAGCTATCTTAACTAGTGTCTCCCTCCTGGGCAGCAAAAGAATGCTGAGAGTATATGTGCATATCATGATTGTATCGACTTTCGAGTGGACCAGGATTTTACAAATCCGAGCGGTTTGGCTGAGGAACAGCTGATTTGATCAGTGGTCTCAGCAAGTCCATTATAGTAGCAAACGATGGACGCTTCCACGGCTCACTGCCAATGATACATATGCATAAACTTCAAGGAGATTCATGGATAAATAAAAACAAAAGAGAGAAAGGAAAATCTTAACGTACTTAGTCCAACAACCCTCGATTATGGCTGCAACCTGAGGATTCAGATTCCGCGGTATCTCAAGCCGTTTACCCTTGAAACCGACCGCAGCAACAACCTATGGAGCATTTTTGTATTTGGAATGATCATACAATCTGTTGGTCTTCGTAATGCAAATATGTATAATACAATCATACAATCGAGATGTTTTGTAGTGGAAAGTACCTGAGCTGGATTTAAATTGCCCCATGGTTGTTGCAATGTAGCAAGCTCCCACAAGATGACCCCGAAGCTGTAAACATCTGACTTTTCATTGGATGGCTCATCTCGCAGGACTTCTGGTGCCATCCACTCAGGCTGATACATCAAAGTTAATACACTCGAAAATTAGTTAAATAGGAGCAATAAAAAGTTTAACTAGTTTCAGCTTGTTTTAGCTTCAAACAAACTGACTTACGGTTCCAGCTGCTGACTTTGATGAAAGAAACGTGCTGGCTTTTAACCGCGAGAGACCAAAATCACAAACCTGACATTTCAAGACAAAGTGAGGACTTAGAATAAGAGGATTGATATATACTTAAAATCAAAGTCAAGACACTGGAAAGGACAATTTTGTAACTTAGATTAACCTTGACTGTATATTTCTTGTCGACCAGCAAGTTTGGAGACTTTAGATCTCTATGTACAATCGGAGGATTGCGATTATGAAGATAATTCATTCCTTTAGCCTGCAACAGAGAATAGTCAACAAATTTTTATGAGAAGAAACGCAAGATCAAAAAGTAATCAAGTCAATTTGCACCCATAGAGGAAACAGGTAAAGAAAAGAGAACAAACATACCACATCATATGCCATACTCAAACGGCGTCTCTCATCCAACTGCTCCCTTGCTCCACTTTTATGCAAAAGTCTGTATAAACTACCTCTGTTTGAAAGAAAGTATTGTATTAGCAGATATTATATAGGGTTAGACTCTACACTCAGCAGATAAACCGTACCTTGATAAATATTCTGTCACTATTGACAAATTTGGAGGTTGAGTGACCGCCCCCATGAAGAGAACAATGTTAGGGTGGCGAAGGCGTTTCATTATTGCAACCTAACAGTGAATCAAGATCATGCAGCGAATTAATCAACTATGTTCGTCATCAAAACCAAAATAAAGCTTTTAGATGTGCACCTCTCTCAAGAACTCATTGACGCGCTCAGCATGGAAGTCTTGCTCCATGAGAATTTTCACAGCAACATCCTGAAATTGGTAGAGAATAGGAAGATCAATTTTATGATGTGAAGACAAAATTCCAATGTGAGAACACCTTTTGCGACAGAAGGAACAAAATAAATAATTCCCCTCTTTTAACATCACAAGCCACAACCACACTTTTAGCGCATAAATAAAATAAATCAGCCATGTGAAGTTCAGAAAAATAAATTCTTACCGAGCCATGCCACTCAGCACGGTGGACTGTGCCAAAGGAACCTGAAAGAGCAGTGGCTCAAATATAAGTGGACAGACTGAGACAATCCAGAACTCACAGAGAAGAAAGTAATCTCTAAATGGGCAGCACTATTACTTTCTTTAGTTTGCCAACAGAGTCCAAAGCAAAACCACTTACTCAAAAAATTCATAAACTAGATCGCTTTTTTTAATCTTATTCGTAAAATTAGTACCTGCTCCAATCCTCTCTTTTATATTAAGATCACACCATGGGATGTCCATATCATCACCATCAAGTCCAAGATCCCTATTTGCCCTGTTTGGAGCCGGCTGACTGATTGGTGGGGCATTCATAGGTACTGCTTCTTGGACTTGATTTGACGCACGCATCATATTTTGTGGAGGCATATTAGCACTGGGTGGCAAAGACCCACCACCATTTTCTGGCAAAACGTCATTCTCTCCACCCGGATTATCATATTGCCTATGAAACATTGAGAATCCTAAATCATCTACAACAATTCAAACAAGTAGATTTAAGAAATCAGAGTCCAGAAGACAAGTCTTTCACATATATGCACCAGAGATGAAATGTCTAAACAACAGTCTAGTAAGTTAAAACGTAAAGTCTGGCTAGGTAAACCAATTCCAGTTCCAGGGGAAATACAAAATGAGATGTAAGAAGCATGCAAATAAGTTAACATATTATGCTGGTTTTCTTTGTGAATACCTGATGCAGGGTCGAAAACAAGATTAAGAGATTGACTGTCGGTGAAATACTGTTTGGCTAATAATCTATAATCAACTGCCGGTTCAACTGGCCTAGGTCGCGGAAACCGTAAAGGTGAAGAAATTGAGATAGATGAAGGACCATTTATTAAGGAATCGGGCTCCCATAAGTGACCTGGCTTCCCTACTAAATCAATCAGATACTCCCTGAAACCAAAACAAAGTTTCCACGTTTCAACCTAATGTTTTGAGGAACATTTGGGGCTACAATTGTTCTTTCGGAAAAAACTAACAAACAAAAAAGTATTAGCAAAAGGAACAAAATAAGACTACATCGCAATCGCTCGTACCTATCAAGGCCAAACCTTACAAGGCACGATGCAGCATCGTCTCTATCACAATATTTGCATCCCTTTGCAATTCGACAGGGTAAATCAATTATGTCAGCCAGTACCTGCATGAACCAAATGCAGGTGTAAAGACTTTTTTTCTTTTAAATAGAAAATCTTCAAGTATTACTAAGAAGTATACAAACAAATGGATGAAGCTATTTCATATGATCATTCAAAAAGAAAGTCATAAAGTCATGGCAGATAGCAATGAAGTTGGGTTCTCACTTTGAAGAGTAGAGCTCGATGTCTGCAGAGTCCAACAGAGAGGCTACCTATGGGAACCACTACTTTAAGGCACTCTTTTAGGCCATCAATGCACTCCTTCCACATGGGAACCAATTCATCTTCCCCCATGATAACTGGACCCCTGAAGGAGGTGATAATTAACGATTACCAACTAATGCGAGAAGTCACAGGAAGGTATGTAATTACTACTTCGAAAAGATTATGAGGATTGTGTGAGAACAAACCCCATTCGATTGCAGACAAGCTTTGCCAGCTGGTCAACAACCTCTTTTGTGGTTATGCAGCTACAAGATATGTCGTGGACTCTATTGTGAAGTTCCTTGAAGGATGGATCACTACGCCGATCGACTAAGATCGCTTCAAGGGAAGAGTCAGCACCGGAATCAACAGCTCTTAATGATTCAATTGAAGGGATGCGGCCACTTTCATGCAGATCGATGCATAACGTCCAAATATATGGATCCAGACCATTAATCATATAAAACCCATCGGGAACTTTATCATAGTATGATAAGCAGCCATTGACCTGATGCAGTACACACAAAAATCATACTCTGCAATGCATCTAAACAATTGATCTCATCTGCTACTAGTATATTTTTTCTCTTTCTCAATCAGCCTCAACTTAGCTAATACACCACAGCATCTATATAGAGTCCCAAAGTTAGATACAATTATCATCACAAATGTCAACATGTATTCCACCACACGGTCCATATTGATAATCTCAACCCCTAGACCTTGAAAAATTCCTGAAGCGTCCGATAGCCGTAACACCCAATATGCAATAGCATCTAAGAATTCTAATACCTTTGGATCTTTCAACGGTTGGTTAAGAGATCTAACCAAACCTTCGGAAAGGAGGGTACCATATCTCTATAACAAGTTCAATCCAAAGCACTCGGCAATTAAAACCCACGCGCATAAACCAGGATTTAACAACTTGGTTAAATAAAGCTAAACAAGAACGAACAAAAGGCAATTAAATTAAACCAGTACCCAGAAGCGATGTGAAACGGTTTCGGCTGAACTTGGCGAAGTCCGCAAAGCAGACTCGTCCGGCACGGGATCCAGAAAGTTAGGATCGTCAGCGCAAGTAGCCTCAGACGAAAGCCGCAACGCCAATGCAAGCTGGAGCTGATAACTCTCCTCCGTCTGCTGCGCCCAGCTTTTCCCAGATGACGACCCCCCGGCAGAGTCCGCCGCCATCTGTATCCTCAAATCTCCTCCACCACCGCCAAACCCGAGCCTAAACCCGTCATCTTGGGGAAATCCAATCGATTCGATCTCGTTAGCCGCCGCAGAAAGCGTAGGCATGTAGTAATCCCCAGATAAGGAGCTCTCACCGAAACTGCTCCCGCTCGATTGCCTCTGCAACCCAAGCGACGAAGAATACATATTCCCAGCCCGATTTGGCTGACCACTCAACCTGTGATCACCACCGCTAGGATCCCAGTCGAATCCGCCTCTATCCGCCTTGGTTTTCCCGGTGTTCCCGCTGTTGTTGTTGCTCGCGCTCCGGTTTTCGCTGGACAAGGAGTCATAGTGTGGCGGAGGAGCTCCGGTGACGGAGACCGAGACCTGATCGTCCGAAAATTGACTAAGCAAAGTGTAATTGGATCTTCTACCGGGCATTTCCATGGAGGTTTGGCGATCTAGATGAGACGCTTTTCGATCAATATAACCTCGAACCCTAGGAAACCGCCATTGTTGAAGAAGTTCGGCGAGCTAGCCACTTGTTTCTCTCTCTAGTTTTCCATTTTTCCCTTTTTTAATTCTCTCTCTGTCTCTCTCCAATGGATTGGAATTTTTTCGGTTTCTCAGAGGAAACTGTGAGCTCGGTGCGTTTCTGTTGATAATTTCGTGATATTCCTCTTATGTCCCTCTTTTTTGGGGAACTTTGACATTTATATTAAATGGACTGTGATTTATCAATTTGATTTTTAAAATTTTCATTGAGCAATAGCATTGTGAGTTTGCGACGTTCTGTGAATGATACTATGAATCATGATCATGACCTACATGTTACTATGTCACCATTCGAGTTCAGACAAAGAAAATGGTATTAATCTTCTGTGTTTAACTTTGTTTTACTTCAAGTAATCTACTTTGTTGCAAATAACTAGTTTCTGGGTGGAATGCAACTGCAATTGTAAGATAAAGAAATAAAGTAACCCTAAGTAGTAGTAGTAGTAACCGTATTGAGAGAGGAGACAAGCTGAAATAGGAAACTATTTTGTGACAGGCTTAAATGAATTGAATCACATATCTGCAAAAGTTTTGTAACTTTTTACAAAAATCTCACCTGAAACATTAGTCATTAGGTATGAGTTTAGTTTACATTTGACCAACAAAAATTCGGAATTTTTTTGGGTAGTAAAGGAATGGGGCTATTCGAGGGGGATGTATATTGCAAAAAGGATGGGCTCTGATGTCTTTATATACCTTTGTCTGTCTATTCAAAAACATTCGTAATTTTGCGGCTGACTTCTACCATGCATGCATCTTCTCTCATTCAAACTTTTTCTTTGTCTCTAATGAACAAAAATTAAAGTATCTGATATGGATCACAATATACAATGAATTTTTGTGTATGCAACCAAGAGTTTTTTTAAAGTTATTAAATCAATCCTAACATTACAAAGTCAGCAGTCAAGATTAAAAATTCTTCTATCCCCAAAAGATTTTCTGATTTTCAGACTCTTCCGGAGGGTCAATGAGCTGTCATTAATCTATGTATCAAGTTATCAACGCAAGTTGGACAATATATATAAAAAAATTATTTGGATATTGCGGTATTTATATCATTAATCAATAGACTAAGGTTCATCGAATACTGCCAGGTTCATGCACCCGACGCATTTTTTGTCATTAAGTAATTACTTAGCCATCACCTCGTAGATTTTTTTCAGCTAGTTACTTTTCTTTCTTTGTATTTTAAAAAGTTTTGGCATCTTTTAAAATTTAAATATTACGGCTGCTAACAAATGTTCTAATACCGGAGCTCTCTCTCTCTTTTTTTTCAAGCTTACCGTAGTTAATTATGATTATAGGAGTTTGGCACATGTTCATTTCACTCTTGCAAAGAAAGAAGTAGCTCTAAACTCAGACACAAGAGGCCTCGAATGAATCTAGGCATCTAGCTATGCAGTGGATTTTGTTCAACAAAAATGTTATATAATCATTAGATATGTGGTATAATTAAGATCTGACAGTCCATCGTTTCCTTAATTCTCACTCGTGCACTATCTATTTAATTATTCAGAGCCGGATCGTACTTGGTGTTATCAAATACTCTTCCAAGATTGATTTCGTTAACTGGTTTCAACCAAGAAAATAAATAAAAATCAACAGTAATCTTCGAGGGCCTTAAGGTAAATGATGCTCCATCTGTCCGTGGGACTTATTTTGAAGAATGAAGATTGTCACCAATGGTCCCTACATGTTGACGAAAACGCCTGACCAAACGGAAAAACCAGAAATCTTCATCACGTCAATTAAAGCGCCACAAGCCCGTTACGATCCGTCATGCCACCGTTGTTAAAACTCCGTCTAATGGGCTTAAAATGGTTATTTTGTTGGACTCTCTTTACAGAAACCAGACCCAATAAAGGAGCAGTATAGAAATAATCAAGTGGTCCGCGTAACAGAGGATCACTAAAAATCCCTTTCGTCCGTCCGGTTAAATAAACCCATCGACATTCTCTTTACGCCCTAAAGCTCTCGACAGACGAATCGCTCTACTCTTCTTCTAGAAAGTTCTTCTTCTACACATCGTCGCCTTCACAACCTCTTGTGTCAATGGAGTTCTGGGGTAAACGATTTCCTGACCTACTTCGTCTTCTTCTTCGTTTCATGCTTTCTGTGCTTAGGTTTCTATTCTCTGGTTTCGCCAGTTTTTTCGCCTTCGATTTTGTTCCGCTGTCTTTGCTCTGGAATCGTCTGGCTAAACGAGCTAGGTTTTCGTCGCGAATAGTCAGTTTCTATCACACATTTCGTGTATTATAGACTTTCGTTTCCAATAATTTTGGGGAAAAACTGAAAAGTTTCTCTCGACTAGGGTTTTAGCTCTGATACTTCTAGTTTCGTGACTGATAATGGGAAAATAGGCCTGTAGATGTTTTGCTGAACCATTTCTGGAGATTTGAGCAGTTTCTCATGCGAATTGATGCGTTTGCAGGTGTTGAAGTCAAAAGTGGCGTATCACTTCCGGTGGATCCTGGGACGGATATGATTTTGCACATCTCACAGGTACAGTCTGCTTTTGAATTGTGATATTGATTTTGATTTACATTGCGCATTTACATAGAAGTTTTTTTTTTTTTTTTATGTTATGTAAGGTTGCTCTGGGCGAGAAGAAGAACAATGGAAGCGAGCCAGTGAAGATTTACCTGAAAGTTGGAGATCATAAGCTTGTCATTGGGACGCTATCTCATGACAAGATCCCTCAGCTGAGCACTGAAATTGTGTCGGAAAAGCCTTGCGAGCTGTCTCATAGCTGGAAGAATGGGAGCGTTTACTTCACCGGCTACCTAGTTGATGCAGCTGAATCATATCCTTCTACTTTACATATGTTATATTGTTGTTGAATCTGAATTTGAGGAACTGTCGTTTTACTCTGTGTTGAAACTCCTTGACTCTCTTTTCCGATCTCACTGACGTTGAGGAAGATGAGTCAGAAGATGAGCCAGTTGTTGCTCAACCAGTTGCGAAGGAGGTGAACCTGCAGGTGCCAAATGAAGATGTTAATGCTGGTAGTGATGAAGAGTCGTCAGATGATGATACTTCCGAGGACTCTGGAGATGACGAGGTACTTTTTTCGGCTTAATCTGTTGTAGAATTAAGCTTTATGCTCAGTGACGCGTTAAGCTTATATAAACATGGTATTGGTCATTAGAAGTTATCATAAGTTTCTGCAGTAACAGCTTTAATATCCTTTTTGTTTAGTAGATTATTGAAAGAATTGATGCTACTTTTGTTGTTTGGGAAATAAGATATGACGCCTCCAGTTTCTTCACTTGTACACCTGCATTTTTCACATGAACCCTGAATGCCTGTTGTGTTTACTTTGTATCAGGAAAAGAAAGTTGCTGCTAAGGTTGACAGCGACGAGGATGATGAAGATGACTCATCAGACGAAGATGAAGATGACTCATCAGATGAAGACACTCCAGTGAAGGTAACATGGTTTCGCTTTGTATGTTGATCGTTGATGGAAAACTTACTATTTGTTCTCTACCTTACTTACCTTCCTTTAGGAGCAATTTCTCTTCTTCTTCCGTTGTCAAACTCAGACCTGATTCTCATATTCTTGTTTATTTTTCTTATAAAGGTTGAAGAATCCAAGAAGAGATCCGCAGAAGGCAACACCTCAAAGAATCCTGCTGCTTCCAACAAGAAGGCCAAATTCGTAACTCCAGAGAAATCAACAGGTGACTTTTTCCCCCCTTATAATCAGTCTCCACTTTGAATTTTATTTCTTATTTTGTACATAAGGAACATAAAAATGACATGAGTTATGAATCTAAACATTTGTGAAAACAGAGTCGAAGAAAGCTCACGTCCACGTTGCAACTCCACATCCATCGAAACAAGGAGGAAAGAATTCTGCAAGCAATGGAGAGTCATCGAAGCAGCAGCAGACACCAAAGTCTGCAGGTGCGTTTGCGTGCAAGTCGTGCAACAGATCGTTTACGTCGGAAGTGGGATTGCAGTCTCACACTAAGGCCAAACACAGTGCAGCTGCTTGAAATCAGATGAAATGAGAAGAAGAATATGAGATGAGACTTGATAATTCCTTCCTCTTTAGACTTTTGGTGTTCAAAACTGGAATTTGTGAGTGAACCAGTTTAGTTTGTCTTTTTCAGGCGTTTTATCCTTTTTGCTTAATCGTACTTTTGGTAGCTTAAACATTTGCTAAACCTTGGTTTGTGCTTAGTGCTAATATGGATATAATATGATATTAAGCCTTTTGGAGGCTTTTCTAGTGAAACCCTGCACCCCTCATTTGAAATTCGTAGAGCAAGAAGAAATGCATTGGAGATTATGTTAATCCATCTTCGTTATCAAATGGGCTTAAAAAAAAGGTTGAACAATATCTACGTACTTCTCAAATGGGCTCGGAAAATGGATTAAATATTTATTTGGTATACGTCATATGTACAAAGAATATATACATTGGTAAATAACCATGCATCATTAGCAGGTTTGCCCGAGTGGTTAAGGGGGAAGACTTAAGTTCTTCTGCACATAAGTGCGCGTGGGTTCGAACCCCACAGCCTGCACAAGGTTTCAATATTTTTTAATCCACAATTTTTTTTCAATTTATTGATATATTCCCAAGGTTTGGTCTCTCGCTTGCTCTTAAGCCTTGAAGAGCTTAACTACAAACATATCAAACGATCTTTGGTTTTAAGTTTAGACAATGGATACAATTTTCTCATTTTGTGAAATAACAGTCGATGAAATTTAGTTATGCTTCAGCCTATATAAAGAAAGGGTTGAGAAGTAATTTAGAGAGCACAGCTTATAGAGACTTTTAATCAGCCTGTAGCATTCAGAACTTGAGCCTCAATGCTACACGCCGATTACCTCTATTTTCAGAATAGAAGCTCTGAATTATGCAACGTTGCCTCAGTGAATGAATGTGATGGTTGTCAAGACATGACCAAGCGAAAAGGGAAGGTGTAAAACATGTTTTTTACTTGTTCCAAGACAAATTTTTTGAGCTAAAATGTAGTATCCTTGTGCAGTATTATTGAAGAGGTTGCCTTTAGTTTCAATGAGGGAAAAGATTCGAGTGTAACTTAAAACTCTTTCCTTCCAAAAAGTCCCCTACTTTGATCTTTTCTGTTTTATCAGGTTTCCTGAGTAAATAATAGTGACTCTCATCATGATTTTAGGTGTTTTAATTATGAAGGATCCTTTGCATTCAGATGTTATTCTAGCTGGTGTTGCCAAGACATTTGGGTTCGCCTGGTACATATCTCTTTCGAAGTTGCAGAACCTTTGTCCAAACCTTGTCTCGAGTTCCCAGGAACCTTTGTCCAGACTTTAGATGCTCTGGAAGTTTATATATATCTTGGTATAAACTTCTTGGCCTGTCTAATATTACAGTATATAACTTCCAGAGCATCTAAAGTCTGTGTTAACCACAATCTTCTCATTTGATTTTACAAGGAACATTTGCCTGAAACTGTAATTTTGGACAGAGTCTACTACTCCTAAGCCCTAAGAAGAGATCTTATAGATGAGATCATCGGAGAGTTGTTGAAAACATAAACATATGCTCTGCTCCTTTCTCTGTTTAAGCTGGTGTTTGAGGCTCTTGATTGAATTTTTACTCTAAAACAGTAAAAGCAAGATGATCTCGATTATCTGTCCACTTTGAGAATGTTGTTTGTGACTTTGTGATGTGTCTGAATCTCTTTGAGGATCTGTTATCCATTGACCGTCCACGATGAACTTTATCTCGTATGTACCGGGATATAACCGCAGTAAAGTTGACCAGCATTTATGTTTCATGTAACAACACCATACCATCTAACACGTTTATAAGGTAATAAAAATTAGAACAAGTCAGGAACCAACAACAATACTGACCAGGTTGCTTGGATGCTTCGAGTTCCAGTCCCACTCGGTGTTCCCAGCCATTAAAGCTGCCGGTCACCTCCACAACATTACCATCTCCACAATATTCAAGCAAAAATATTCACTTTACTTGTCTTTTTCTTTTCTGCCTCGTTGTTGCTTAAGGCTCTTTTGGATTTAAAAAATATCATATTGAATCATAGTTCAAAAAAAAAATTAAATCCTCAATTTTAATAAAAGTTTGGGATACGAAGGAGGCATTTAAAGGGAAGGGGGTTTTAGGGTATTCAATTTTCATCCTTTGGACAATGTCTCAGCGAATCGCTAAGCTCCTCTCATCATAATCCTACTCAGTCGGGAAGAAGCAGGGACTCTGTTTCAGTGAATTGCGGTCCTTGTCCACTGCGGCGACGCCGTATCTGCTTTCCAGGGAGTCGAACCGCAGGAGGAAGACACCATCTAGTAATGAAGTGGAGGTGGATTTGAACTTGTACGATCCGAGGAAAGACGAAAGAGTGAAAATCCCCGACCAGACTCTGCCGGAGGAGCTTTGCTGGTCGGTGAGGACAGGATCTTCGAGGGGATGGGTGGGTGCGCAGAACATACGCGACTCCGCAATGCGGCTCACCAACATGTTCAACCCTTGCGCCTCTGTTTCATCACGCAAGGTTATCTCTCTGCCTCCGTGGGATGATAGCAGAGGTCGAAATGTTTGCAGGATCTCTCTGTCAGCCTCTCCAGACCAGCAAGACTGCGTAGTTGCCGCGAAGACGTCTGGTTCATCTTTCAGTATGTGTCGGCCTGGTGACTCGGAGTGGACACATATCCGTGTCCCGTTTTTTGCATCGAGTATGACGTATTCGGCGGCGGACCAGAAATTCTATCTCCACACGCGCGCGAGAAAGGAAGAGTATGAGGGTCCGATCGATCTCATCAACACGACTAGCTCCGACTTCCCTCAGGTGAGTTTGTACCAGAGTTTCCCTTTGTCTGACATACCCGAGAGCAGACAAGAGGAGCTTATCTCAACTTTCAAGACTACACACCAGGTCGAGTCTCCTTCTGGCGACTCCTTCCTCGTTTACTGGTAAGTAGGCACATAATGTTTGTTAAGTAGAGTGTGAGACGAGAGTCTGTGCGTGCTTGTTCTCTTCTTGAATTATATTACACATTGCGTTTTACATTTTCTCTTGCCTTGAAGGTGTGACGAGTTGTTGAACAAACAAGGCATGGAGTCTACACTCAGCAAGGAACCTCCTCATAAACGTTCCTACAGGAGGAAGCCGAGGGGCTTTTTGGTGTTTAGGCAAGACCCTGAGAAGAGGATCGCTTCTTACACTGAAGACATTGGCGATCTCTGCATCTTCCTAGGCAGGAGCGAGGCCTTTTGCGTCTCTGCAACCGAGTATCCGGGACTCAACCCTAACTCTGTCTACTATGCAGGGGTCGATACGGGTTTCGGTTTCTACGACCTCTCCTCCAACACTCTCCACGCCGTCCCTGAATCGCCCCCTTTCCCCTGCTCCTACATGTGGCTTGCCCCTCTCCAGTGAAAAAAAAACCTTATTGGTCCTTGAACTGTGCCTTGTTGAACTATGTTCTTATTTCGGAGTTGAACTATGTTTTTTTTTTTTTATCATGTTTAGCTTATGAGACTTGATGCTTGCTTGCTTTGCATTTCCTTTATGACAATCTCCTTTCATCTTCTTGTTTGAACTTAGTTTTGTTTACGCAATGCGTAATCCATTTGATGATAACTCTCCAATACCATCTAATCACATATTTAGAACCTAGTAGATGAATTGATGTATGCATATAAGCAGATATACTTGGTGGAGCAGGAGAAGCCATTTCAGATATAAAACAACTCTTTACACTTGCTGAAAAGTTTGGTTATTCAGACTAGATACATCTGTTGTGCGCGGTCTTGCTTATTTTGTGACAGGGATTTGATCGAAAAAGGAAGCTGCGTGCTATATGTGGTGGTGGAAGATATGACGGATTACTCCCCACTTATGGAGGTGATGACATTCCCGCTTGTGGTTTTGGTTTCGGAGATGCTGTAATTGTTGAAGTAAGTTAAGACTCATCTTTTTGAATTTCTCAATCGAGAGGGAAACCTTGAAATATTATAAAAGATCGTGGAAGTGCACGGTAAAAATCAAATATTTGTACAGTGATAATTTCTGTTAAAAAAAAAAAGTAATAGAATCAAAAGTTCTTCTTTCTTGCAAGAAGTCAATAATCTATTGCTTTTGAGGAATCTGAAAAATCCCTTCAAAGTAAATTTCTTCTTTACTATAAGTTTCCATATATTCCACACTACACACAACATCTTCTGTAAGAAATCGTATCATCATCAATTCTCTCTATTCACACCAACAAGAATTTAAATAGCGAAACCAAAAAGAAAAAGAAAAAGAAATCATCCCTTTATTCTCGAGCACTTCCACCTCGCTCGAAAACACCTTTTTTATCTTCACGAATTAGGCACAATTGTCCCAATTTGCCCTACTCCTGCGATGAAGAACGCGATTGCTTGCGCAAAAAGGTACAGATAATAATGATTCTTCCCAAAAAACGCATCATAACATCCCACAAAGAACAGATACATTCCAACTCCGAGTTCCAACACATGAATTCTGCAAAAACACAACACCAAAAGAAGAAGCACTATCAGAATTGGTTTGGTACAGTTTAACACTAACCAAAACCACATCGAAAGATTCGGTTAGGTTTAAAGGGAAGCAGTAATTTTACCTATCCCCGAATCTAAAACGAATGATCTTCTTTGGAGTCTTGGACGCGGATTTAGCCTTAAGATCTCCGAGCTTCTCAGTAACAATCCACTCGTTGACTCTTCCACCTTCGAGTAAACCGATGAAGGTCGCTTTTGTTCTATGAAGAGACATCACATTCTCGAACAGAATCCAAAACACCATGAGATGGAGTGACCTATAAGACAAAAAACAACAATGAGAAACTGTGCTGTGTCCGAACGAGACTTGACCCGCAAGAAATTTCATTTACCTTGGTGTTCCAACCGCGTTGAGCAGAGTAATGACGGAAGGAATGTAAACCGCTCCCCATTTCGGTACGGTAACTTCCGGTACAAGAACCGTAGCCGGTAAGATCACACAATAGAATATGAAGGTGACAATGTGTGCCACAAGCTTTCTTACCACGAAGAAGCTATATATCACATGAACTTTCTTCCATAAAGTCACGTTCTGCCAGAATAAAAAGAGAAAAATTCCCGGTTTAGTATTAACGAGGAATTTGAAAATATCGAATTGACCGGTTCAATATGGTTTGAAAGGAACAAACCTTGTTGGTCATGATTTCGAATGCCATTTTCCTGAAGAGATTTGCTGGACCACATGACCACCTGTGCTGTTGATACCTATAGGCTTTGAATGTACTTGGTAACTCGTTTTTAACCTATATAGTAATTAAAACCATATAATTATTTTTCACATCAACCGTTAATTGACATTATAATGATTTTTGTGAAGAAGAAAACGTTACCTTTAAAGAACCGAGGTACAAAAATTTCCAACCCTTGAGACTAGCTCGCACGGCCAAATCCATATCTTCCACGGTCGTTCTATCTTTCCAACCACCAGCTTCGTTTAGTGCCGATATTCTCCATATTCCCGCAGTTCCTAAAATTATCATAAGCAAACAAATTCACGAATTATTAAAAAAAAAAATGGTGAAAAGTTATAATAACCAAAAAAAAATTGTAAAGAAGTATTACCGTTGAATCCGAAGAAGGCGTAAGTAGAGGAACCAACTTCTTGTTCGACGGTAAAATGATAATCCAAAGACATTTCTTGCATCCTTGTCATCAAACATTCATCCGAATTTACTGCAATTTTTTTTTAGAATAGTTAAACAATGGAATTTGATCATTTGCTGATTTGCATAGCAAACAATTATTGTGGCATTGATGAAGACATTAAAAGCCAGTTGGTGTAATAGAAATCAATGTTTTCAATTATGAAAATATAGACAGCTCAGGACCCCCAATTAGATTTCAACAGCTCGTTAGATTTTGTCAATTCAGTTCACATGATCTCTTTCTAGAATAGTTTTTCTTGACTAAAAACATAATTAATAAAATGAAATCAATTATTGGTCGTATCAAGCTCGGAATTAAAAAATACAAAAAAACAAACAAAATTTTACTTAAAAGGAAAAGTGAGTGGTGAGTGAGAGTGACAGTGACTACTAGTAGTAGAGAAGAGAGCAGCTGGGTCCCACGTTGTTGCACATGGGAGATGGAGGGTGCTGGCAAGTACACGTGGCGTATCTACTTACGAAAACGACTGATTAATTAACCCGATACTAATTTTTATTAAATGACAAAACATACCCTTATGTGCCTACACTTCCCAATATGTTCTCTGCACTAATTATGGAACACGACGACGATGCCAGTGAAGCAACACCACTAAACTCCACTCTAATTTGATCATAACACATAATTAATATTTTTGGATTTTCTGAAATTTTCTATATCAATGAATCATGAATGTTTGCATTATAAATTTTAATGTGTTTTGATTTGGGGCCGTGGAGGATATACATGGTTAAAATAGTAAAATCGTGGCAGCTCTTTTAGTGCCAGAAGTTTATAGATACATTGGTAGACAATCTATCGACTAATCTGGAAAAAAATTGTTCTGTTGAAATAAGTGGAAAAATACATTTTTCAACAAAAAGCCAAAACACCGAAACCAAATTTTCACTAACTCCTGCTGACATACCAAATGCAAAGGACAAAAACATTTAAGTTTGGAATTTTACACTATTTGTTTATATTTTCTTGGATTTTTCCAAATGTTTTGTTCCAATTATATATGGTTAGTTAGAAGGATACTGCTTAGATTATATGCCCCCTAGATCCTTAAAAATTTAATTTTGTAAAAATTGTTTTAATTTATAGTTGAAGAAAGTGGTTCCACATTTTAAAGCTAGAGCAAAAAGTAATCACGAACAAAATCGATACGTCAACATCAAGATCCGCTCGGTAGGTTACAATGGGACCTCACCATATAACACGCACCGACACTTCTCGTTACTGTAACTTGAATTTTCTCTTTGTAAACACAATTCTATTAAAAAAAAAACTATGAAAATCCCATTTTTAAATTTTTAAAATAATATAATTAAATGGTGATAGGCTGCTGATAGCATAAGAGTCTTTTTATGTTTTTATAATAAGTTCCTAGGTTCTAATTTTTCACTTACATGTAAGTCTAATTATAGTATTAACTTAATTAATTCAACCCATCTACCCTCCCCCATTTAAAAGTCATAATTTCATACGAAACAAAAAGATCATATCAAATTAACACATGCATCATAATGTGCATCGATCAAATGATTTTGTAATTATTATAACTATCCGAATTTGTGTATATTTGCAATAATGTGAACATTTTAAAGTACTTAGCCTAAAAAAGGATGTAGTAATTGAGTTAAACGAATCTCAAACCCGTGCCTCACTTCCTAACTAAGCAGTGTGATTACTGATTAGCACTTATCAACATGTGACTCCACAAAAAAAAGTGGACCAAAATAATCAAATAAAAAAATATGTACCTCAAATCAAAGAAATGCTAAAATACGAGGGTAAAATTATGATAAAAGTCGAAACATTTACCGAATTTCCAGCGAGCTTGAACGAGAGCAAGCTTAGGGTTATGGAGGAGGAACGGTACGGTCCTCCAAAGATAATCAGGCTCAGGCTGGAAATCGGCGTCGAAGATTGCGACGTAATCGCAGCTTTTGACATAACTCTTCTTCATTCCTTCTTTCAAAGCTCCAGCTTTGTAGCCGTTTCTGTTGTCTCTGATCTCATACTTTATGTTAACTCCTTTACTCGCCCATCTGCTACACTCCATCTCCACTAGATCCTGTCACAACAACAACAACAATCTAATGATGAAAATCGAGAACCCATGTCGAAAAATTGAATCTTTGCTTTAGACCCTTCTGTTGTGATCGTGTATTTCAAGAAAAGAGCTTACTTTGATAATTGGATCAGTGGAATCATCAAGAACTTGAATAACGATTCGATCAGACGGCCATGAGAGCCCACAAGCAGCTCCAATAGAGAGCTGATAAACCTACATTAACATCAAAAACAATAGTTAAAGAACCGATCAAAACAGAACAATTGAAGTAAAAGGAGATGAGAACAGAGTTTTGGTTAATTGGGACCTCTCGTTCGTTGTACATTGGGATTTGAACAAGAACCATAGGATAAGCAGAGTTTCCGAGCTCGATGTCGTCTTTCATTGGTTCCCACTTGAAACGTTTCTCTGGTTTTCTACCAAACAGCTTAACAAGAGAGATCACTATTCCCATGTAAACCCTTTCCACAAATAGCATCACCGACATTGTTAAACAGATGTATACTCCGAGCCTAAGGACTGGGACAATCAATGGAGCTCGAATCTGATCCAAGATCATCGACATTTGCATTGTTATGTCGTCTCTGTATCCCATGAACGAGTCAGGAATCACCGCCGCCGACGAATCCCCCAGCTCCATTTCTTCTTACTCCGGCGAGAGAATGAAAAAACAGAGGATGAAATTCAGAAAAACAGGGGATGATCCGTATGAGGTTTTTGGGTGGTTTTCTTGTGAGACACGCGATTGAGAAAGAATGTGATTCCTTAAAGAAGTCTCATTTGGAGTAAGAAATCAACGGGGATGAAGAAACAGAGAGACAGAGTTTCTCCTTTTTCCCTTAAGGTGAAAAATCTCTGTCTTCTCTGCCTGGAAAACTCAGATTGTCGGGGCAAAAGGAGAATTCAATTTTGTTTTTGTTTTTATGAATTGGTAAGAGAGGAAAGAGAATGATGGAAGGTGGAGAAGGAGAAGATGATTTTTGGAAAGGAAGAACAGAGGAGAGAGACCTAAAAACAGAAACAGAGAGAGAGAACAGACAGTGCGTGTGTGTGTGTGAGAAACGAAACAGAGATGAATGTCTTTATATAAAGCCTCTTGTCCTTCCATCGTGTTTACACTAATTCATTATTATTTTTTGGTATTTTTCTATCTTATTTTCTAGTATGTATCATTGTATAGAAATGAATTTTTGGTCCATCAACCATAAAATTGTTCTTTCTATTACTACCGAAAAATTATTGAGCTTCAAAAACATTTATGACGTGCAGGCGGAGATTTAAACAAAATGTTCTGGTTTTGTTTTCCTACTTTAATCTCTCTTTTTTTCTTACTCGAGTTGGCCAAAATTGAAATTGTCTAAGACATGTTTAAGGTTATTAAACTCACACAGCTTAGCCGTCTTGGGTCTCAGTCTAAAAAAGCTTTGCTAAATAAGTGATTAATTAAATCTATATACACACATGATTGACTAACAACAATTTAAATATTTCATAAAAACATTAAAAAATAATTGATGATTAATCCGTCTAGAGATGTTCGATTATCGTGTGTTGCGATTATTTGATGTATTGTGTCATCTATGTATGTCTTTTACAGATGTCTTCAACTGACAATAAACAGTTAACGACCAAAAAACATTTGTTGTGTAAGATGAAGAAATGATGCATTATGTATGTGAAGATTATAGGAACTACATTACTTGTATAGTTATCTAGTTCAGTTCTAATATCAAAGTGATTCTATCGGTTCATTTCTCGAGGAAAGAATATGTATATATCTCATCCGGACATCCCTATTGTTGTTCTCATCTCTTGACAAGATAATGAAAATCTCTAAGGATTATAGAATGATCGATTCTGTAGTACAAGAGACTCAAATCATGCAGTGGTCCATATATAGAGTCCCAATTTTGTCTATGAAATCCAATAAATTGATATATCATATATGTTTACAGCATTGAGCTATATGTGACAGTACTAGTTTTGTAGTCGAAAACATTCGTATAAGCTTTTACCAAAAAACAAAAAATGACGCCATTTAGTGATACTACTACCATTTCTTAAAACCAAACAACAATTCAAAACCATATTAAAATAAAATGGAAAACCTATTGGAAATAGTATGTTATTAACCAATCAAAATTGACTACAAGCTCCGAAGAAGAAAATGAATATTTCAAGACTTTTAAGAAAGCACATTTGTTTTATGGTTAGTTTGCGAACGGCACCGACGGTCGATGGTCCAATTTGTTTTTATATAATACATCACGAGAAAATGGTTTAAAGTCAATTCGTCCGAGCAACAAACAAAAAAGAGTCAATTGTTACATGAACTAATATATTGAAACTTGGAAATTAATGAAAAAATGTTATTTAAAAGTAGATGGATCTCGATTATTTTAAAAACCAGTAAGAAGATGAAAAATACACAGCTGGAGAAAAAGGACCGCCCAACGGCTGAGGTTGATAGTTAGAAGTATATGTATGTATACTCAAAACTCAAATTCTTTATAGGCAAACAGTAAGTTATTGGGGCGTACAATTGCCGAAAACAGGGTCGTCTTTGTTGATTTTCAATTTCAGATTTGCCATTCTTTAACAAAAATTAACATTTGCCATTGGTTTTGGTTTCTTTGAATGTGAAACAAGTATGTATGTTATCATGGTAACTTAAAAAATAATAAAAATTATATGCAGAGTATAATAATGAGATATAAAATAAGAGAATTAGATAATTGGAGAAGATAAAACAGCACTACATATGTTGCATGCAGCCAGGAAGTAACATGCAGTGCCATGCAAGTAAACATAATGTAAAAGGACCAAATAACACATGGGTTCTTACAGTTGGACTTTGCTTCTCTCACTCACATTTGTCACTATTCCTTTCATCATTTTCAATAATTCTGAATCTGCGATTTCATTTTTATTTTGTTCGAATAGTTTCCTATCATTTGTATTAAACAATTACATGTTGATTCGACTAAATTTAATATACATCTGAGTAAGATTTCCTAAGTGTCAGTAAATAGCTAGAGACAAATGCATAAATAAACCACAATAGGGGAAAAAATGAGTACGAAAAAATCTCAATTAAAAAAATAAAGTGAAGTTATAAGTCACGGCAGGTTATTGGTAAAACTGATTTTTTTTCAATAACAAAAGATTCAGAATCAAAAGAAAAACGAAACTAAAATTAAACGGGGCTCGAATGATATACTATTGTAAATAAATTTTGGTTAGCAATAATGCTTAATCTTGCTTTTCTTCATTATTTCGTTCTTTTGATTTTTCTTGTATTTTGTATCTCTACCCGAGGAACAAAGTGTATTTGCAAATATAATATCCATCTTCAAAAGAAAAAGAATGTACAAATATTTTAGTCTTTCAAAAAGGGGAAGAAATTGGGTATCTCTCTTACTTTGGTTATAATAAAATATGCGAAGACTCAATCAAGTTTTGTAGAAAACATAATTCAGGAACAAGAAAACAACAACCGGTGGGATCCAATGTCCATATTTCATATAGAATTGATATTCGATCAACTTTGGCACTGAAACTCGCCTTCTGTCTCTATTTATTTAGTGTGTTATTTCAACCTTTATTTGTCGGCATATATATTCTCTGCGTATTACGTATCGGTCGAATTTTTTGGAATTATTTTTTTAGTCTCCCTACCCTTTTAAAAGCTACGAAAGGGTTGTTGAGACCTCTTTTATTATAGTAGATGTTTAAATGGAATAAATTTAGCATGAAGTTCGATCATTATATAATAATTTTTCGTATATAATAGTTATGAACTTATGATCATACATCTGTACAGTGTGCTTGCATGACATAATACTTCGAGAAGCCATGATTGGATACGGTTAGTTTCTATGAACCACTTAGTTGATGTGTACAATTTGGCTTTAACATGGCGAAGGAGACACAACACCTTAGTCGTCAAGACCAAGTCTTCATCACTCTATTTCTCACCTACTTTCATGTTTCATTACTATTTTTGATTTTATATTTATATATGTAACGGGAAAGTTCCTAGGTCAAGAGTTTTTTTGTATATTTAACTTTTAGGTCATATATTAACTGGTTTTGCCGTTTTTGACAAAATTTAAGCCATCTTTGACATGCTATTAATGATTTCTTATTTACAAATCTACATAAGAAGCTGATGACCAGACCAATTAAGGTGGCTTGAAACAAGACTTGATGCTGCTTAAAATGTAGTCGACGAAAATAATTTCGAAACTAATCTGAAACGATAGACAAAGCTCAACAGCAAGCAACATGGCACGTGGGAAGCTAAACTTGCGATCAAAGTTATTCCGCTAACAGTTTGCACTGAACAATTTTGATGTTAAAGTTTAATTAAATGAGTATCTCACCCAGAGAGAAAAGGCAAAAAAGGATATTCTCATTTACTTTTTACTGTTATAAACTTACAACGTTATCTCCTTTTCTCTTGTTACTATTGTGAAGCATCTTTAAGATCACGTCAGCAAGTAATGAATAATTTGGACTTTTTATCGCGGGTGACTTCTGCAGTTTAAACTTTAAAATTCAGTTTTTTCCCGGTACTGTCTCTTAATTACTAACCGTTCGAAGCGGTTATGCTTGTTGGGCCACAGTTTGGTATTATTGGACTCCTCTCAATAACTTACTAACATAATGGGCTTAAGGGCCTCTTAACAATACGGCGACGCCATAGGATGAGTTTTACGGCGAAGGAAGAGGAAGCCGACGTCGGCGACGTCTCTGAGTGGTAGCGGAGACGCGATGGAGCTTGGAGTGCTTGTATACAGATTGTACAGGGCGTTAACCTACGGTGTTTCACCGTTGATTAATCTTCATATACGGTGGCGCAGGCTCCGAGGCTTAGAGCATCTCCGCCGATGGCCTGAGCGGTTTGGTCGTCCCTCCGAATTACGACCGCCGGGATCTCTCGTCTGGTTTCACGCCGTCTCATTAGGTTATAACCTCCGTGATCTTTCCAGCTCCAATTCAACGGAACAAAACTGTGATTCTCACTGATAGTTGCGACTAGTCTCCAATTAGAGAAATTAAAGTTTTTCTGTTTTTGGGTTTATCTCAGGTGAAGGAATGGCTGCGATTCCCGTGATCAGACGGTGCAATGAAATGAAGCCAGATATGACTATTCTGATGACGACGACGACTGTCTCTGCATTGTATGTGTTTCTTTCAAACTCAATCTGTTACGAAGCTGATTTTGAAAACTTTCAAATTTTCGTTTCAGCGAAGTGATAAAGAATCAACTCCCCATTGGTGTTTTGCATCAGGTATGTTTTAATTTAAATGTTCTTCTTTTATTCTTCCAGCTCTGTATATCTCTCTGAAGTATTGTTATATGCTAAAGTTTCAAAATTTGCATTGTATGGCACAGTTTGCACCACTCGATACACCGATGGCTATTGACAGATTCCTTGGCCACTGGAAACCAAACGCGATTATCATTATGGAGAACGAACTATGGCCTAACCTCATCATGTGTGCTGCAGAACTTCTAGTAATTTCTTGATCACTCTCAATGTTTATATGGATGTATCACATTGGCTCGGCATAAAACGGCTTGTAAATTTTCAGATTCCGTTGGCATTGTTGAACGCTCGGATGTCTACAAAGTCATATAAACGGTGGTCTAGTCCCCTATTTCTACCGCTGGTGTCATTGTTGCTATCCAAATTCTCATTGATAGCTCCACTGGTGCGTATGCTTTAACTTCAGTGAATCAAACTTTATCTGATCTGATTGTATTGACTCTGTGCCTCAAATGTGACAGAGCTCCCTACAGGGTATACATTTCCAGCTGCTTCAAGCACCTCCCTTTGTTATTAATTATTCAGGAGACTTGAAATACGGTATTGCATCCCACCTATGCCTTCAAGATATTCGCATTTTATTTGAGATTCAGGATTCTTGATGTGATGTTATGTTCTGCTACTTAGCTTCATTTGTTTTCTTTCATTACTGAATTGCTCGTACTCTCTCTCTGTTAAGGTGGTATTAAGATTTGTGCGTTGTCTGCTTTTTCTTCTAGTGGTGAACAAGTCCCATGTATCCAATGAAACAACCGAAAGTATAAGAGATATAAAAGCAGAACTCTCAGAGATGAAGGTCTGGATTGCATCTTCATTACATAGAGGCGAAGAAGAAGGTACAAATTGTCTTAACTAAGTATGCATCTTCTGTCATTGTTATTTTTTCATGACTTTCTTGAAATTGATGATGATAGTGTTGTATGCAGTCATTTTAGGAGTTCACAACATGCTTCTCCAGTCACATCCTGACTCTGTTGTCATACTTGTGCCTCGACATCCACATCATGGCCAACAAATTGCTCAAGTATGTTTAAAAACCAACTTCTGCTTGTTTTGTATTTTGCCTACCTTTTGGTTAACTTTTGGCGAAATACATTTCAATATGTCTCCAGCTACTTTTGTAGGAACTGCGGAAAGATGGCCAAAGTGTAGCTCTAAGGTCTCAAAATGAAAAGTTTACACCAAAGAAGACAAATATATATGTGGTGGATACACTAGGTTGGTGTTTTCTTCACATTTAGTCTAACTTCTGAGTGCTAGTTCCTCTCATTTCTTCAACAACATGATCTCCTTCTGCTTGTTTTCTTCAGGTGAACTAAGAGAATTCTACAGAGTAGCTTCAATAGCCGTCATTGGTGGATCTTTTTCCCCGGAGTTAACTGGTCATAACATGTCTGAAGCAGCTGCCGCTGGCTGCGCCGTTATCACAGGTTCTCAATGGTTAAAAGAAAAAACTCCTGACTGTTTCTGTCTCTCTTTGATCTAAACATTTGTGTAATCTTTGATTAGGTTGTCATGTCGGGCATTTCTCTCACATGGTGAAGGCAATGCAGCAGTCGAATCCTCTATCCGTTACACAGGTGTCGACTAAAGCAGAGCTCAGAGAAGCGGTCGACTTGCTCCTGAGTCAGCCTGAGATTTTGAAAGCACATCAGAGAGCTTCTAAAGAGGTTTATGAATCTCTTTCAAGCTGCATTATCTCGAACATGTGGAATCTCCTCAATCGCCACATCTTTAGAGAGAAATGAGATGTATCAACATTTTTTGAGGCATTGTAAAAAAAAACAAATGATTTTTTAAATATATGAAAGAATTGTATTGTAACCAAATGACAGTGGTTTATTGACGCAGAGTCGCCTTATCAATCTGACTTTTGAACTCGATTCATTGGAACTGGACGCTTTGTATGTAATTTTGAGCAATCTGTATCAATCTGACTTTTGTTTAAATAAAGAGAGAACAACGATTTGAACAAAAAAAAAAAAAAAAAAAAAAAAAAAAAAAAAGAGAACAACGAATAATTTCAGAAAACACTTTATTACTTTAATATGTAAATATTAATTCTTAGTTCCTCTTACTATCAATCTAGGCACCCGTGGCCTAATGGATAAGGCGTTTGACTTCTAATCAAACGATTGTGGGTTCGAATCCCACCGGGTGTGACTCGCATAATTTTTTTCATTCTTTATTTTACTGGATTTATGTTTGTTTCTTCCTACAGTATTTGCCAATTATATTAGTCTTCGTGTCCTCTGGTTTTTGTAATTTCCATTTTGCAGTGAAGTTATTAAAAGAAAAGGTTTTCCGTAGTTAAGTTAATAAATTTGCAATGTAAAAGTGGGTTAGTCTTATGGAACTTGTTTTCCCTTTTCGTTACTATATATGTCTGGTAAAATTTCTACACACAATAAATTTGCACAGGGAAAATTAAATTAGTGTCTGACTTTAACGGCGGGATTTTTAATTGTTACAATATTATGAATTGAACTCATAGTAAAGGGAGGTACTGCACCAACTTTAACCTTCACTGTTATATTCATCTGTAGCCTTCTTCACAATATTTTACCTTTTCAGTTTTATCCTTTCCCTATTTATTAATGGTGTAAAGAGTATTACTGTACATCTATGTGAGGGTGGTAAGTAGTTCAATTCAATCCAACCAAAAAAGAAACAAAAAGCCATATATTTATGCGACAAGCAAAGATGATCGTCTAAATTCTGAATTTCCATATATAAATTTATGCTCTATTGAAAACATCCATATATATAGTACTTGTAAAAAAAGATAAATAATATGACAAGTAAAGTTAAGCTCCTCCAAGAAGGATGGGGACCTTTTTCTTGATGACCGAACTTACTAACTAATGGATCAAAGATATATACGTCATAAAAATAATAACTTAGAATTATTTCTGAAAAGTCCCAAAGAACAATAACAACGGAATTAGTCGTTTGCTGTACGGGTTGTATTCTCCAAAGAACAATATTCGAGGTCTTGGTTTCTGTCTCTTTTTTTCTTCTAATGCATGCAAGAGACTCTGTTAAAAGTTTTTATGCGGATGTTATATAATTTCCCTGACCGTATTAACCATACATTAAAGTTCTCTCTTTTTCCTTTTTGTTGTTTAAAGACTAATTATTTCTGTAAAATCATCTATCATGAAACCAATTGATTACCTTCTGGTTCTTAACATCATTTATGTGGAAAAACCTAAGAACCATTAGTCCATTCGAATTGAAATATATGGAATCAAGATTTTAATTACATGTTTTCGTAGGTTAATATAACACTAATTAAAGTTGGAAGGATGGGCGATCGTTTCTTAAAACTTTGGAATTTCATGCTGAATGACGAAAATAAATGTTTCTCAATGCGATCTTTAGTGAAATTGATTTGTTTTCACAAATATGTGACGTATAAACAGGAGAACATATTATTTTGGTTTATAAAAACACGCACATGATGTTACTTTTGGTCCATATCAAAGACTTTTTTATGAATAGTCTTTGGCTGAAATAGTTGAATTTCAACAAACAAAAAATGTAAGAAGAGTGAGTATGATAAGTTGTTATCAAACGGATCCTTTACAATGAATGCAATCAACGAAATCCACTAAAAAATTCGCAGACAAATAAACTAAAATTAAACACTAGGAAAATTGTGATGTCGCATCTCTTTCAAGATTTTAGGCTTAAAATTAAAAGCTTCCTTTTCTCTTATACACTGTCGTTAGTTTTAAATCTCATTACTTATCATCAATCTGTTCAAACCCTATCTACTTTTAACATAGAAAAGATTCCGTTCCCCTCTCTCTCCCTCTCAAATACACACACCGTTACACAAGCAATTGAATATGAGAGAGAGAGAAAGAGAGATGGTGTGAAGAACTGCAAGTTAATAAAAGAATGTGGGGGTAAAGAGAGAAAGAAGAGTACACAGTAGATGAGGACAATGAGACTTAGTTTTCAAACTTGTTCTTTGTTTTGGCTTTTATTGGTCATATCAGACTCTTTATATATAGATGGTCTACTTAGCTCTCTGTGTTGATTCTTAGCTTTCAAAGGTAGCTTTTGGCCTCACCCTATACTCATAGTCTCTTACAGGTTACTGCACATATACATTGTTATGGACTTTGCCACTAGTGACGATCCTTTTGGATATTAATTTACACAGCACATATACAAGTAAGTTTAGATGGTATGTATGTAAGACAAAACAATAACTGAAAATCTTAGGACCAAGAATGGAGGCATAACCAAAGGAGAGGGGAACCACATTGTCAGTTTCTGTGGAGTTTTTGGGGACCATTAATTTCTATTACCTCTTTCTCTTTCACTTATTTTAAGCTTAGCTTTGACAAAAATAAGTACCCCCACCTACATTAATACATGAAATTACATATATTTATATGAAATCTCATCATCAATGTCTCTTCGTTTTTCTTTTCAACTATATTCATGAATCATGTTTCCACGTCTACGAACATCAGTCAATTAAGGCGGTGGTTTAAATGCTAATGCCCACAAGTAGATTTATGTAAATGTTAAAAAGTTCCAAGTTTAGAAGATCCGTCAAATATAATTAACCCCGACAACACACGGCTCATGGTTCTAAAATAGACAATTATATTTCTAAGCAACCTTTTTTCCCAAAAAGATTATAGAAATATAAAAAAAACTTCATTTCTTAAAAACGAATAAATTTTATTTTAAATCTAAAATATGCACATGGCCAACAATATTTTCCAATTATATCGGTTTGGCTAATTAACAGTATCTTCCAAAATTTTACCAAAAAGCATTATCTTCCAAAACTTGTTAAAACTTAAACGATAAGATTTTGTATATTTTTTATAAAGATAAAATAGTTAGGGCAAATAGTTATTAAACAATAACTTTAAAATTCCAAGTTTGACCCTTAGATACAACAAAATATGTCAATCTATATTAATGTTAGAGAGATGACGGATGATGATGATGATTGATGATGAGCAAGTAAGACAAAATTGTATCACACTTTCCTTTTCAATCTTTAAATTCCAAAACAAAAGGCACTGTTGGGTTGCTCCCTTATTAGGTGAAAAACCCTCACACAACACATACTTTCACTCTTTTCTCTCTCTCTATCACTATCTCTGTATCTCCCTCTAAATGCATACGCCAATATATATCTTGTTTCGAACACTGCATGCTCTCACACTTTGTTTCACCTCCAAAAGACAGAGTGTATAGGAGAGAACCTTCTTTGTCACGCGTCTCTTACTCCTCTCTTGTGGTCCAGTAAAAAAAACCCTAATTTTCTTTTCTTTATTTTCCCCGTTATATTAGATCCTATAACTCTCATGCTTTTAAGTCATCTCTCATATCTTCTCATATATATTAAGATCCGCAAGAACTGAAAGGAAAATAAGTAAAATGGAATGGTCGACGACAAGCAACGTAGAAAACGTGAGAGTTTCTTTTGTGCCACCGCCATGGCCGGAGTCTAGCTCCTTTAACTCGCTCCACAGCTTCAACTACGATCCTTACGCAGGTACGTATATGCACATAAATATAAACATATCAACCAATATTTACACAAATGCTTTCGTATCTTCTTTTTAATTATATAATATAAATTCATGGTCCTATCGCTATTTTTTGCTTCGTTGTAATGGGGTAAGCTTTTCAATCCACTTTCACCATAGAGATGCGCACAATACAATGCTTCGTATCTTCTTTTGTTTAATTCCACGTTTGACAAATCCATGAATTTTTGTCACAACATATATCCATGAACTTTTAAGTGTTTTCTTTTATTCGGTAGTATACGTTTTATTGGAGAAAATGTTATAGGTGTCATTCCAAAAACCTTGGGATATGTTATCTAAAAAACGTTACTTTTTTACCAGAAGTTAAGATGTTCTTATCTTCAGTCTACAAGAGATTTAATATTACTCGTATTACGTTCTTCTTTTATCGGGATCCAAAGTTTTTTTTTCTTGGGATCCAAATTCTAAAAAGTTAAAACGTCACTTTTGAAAAGCTGAGCTACGTTTATGGATGCAGAAACTACTACTATTACCTTTTTCACTCACGGTAGTTTGTTAGTAGTTTTTTTGTTCATTTCGTTCCTCTACGTTTTCAAATTCAACATTTTTTGATAAAAAGTTTTTGTTGTGTTACAGCAGGAATTCCATACACGCACACCGAAACGCAAACCGGACCGGTTATTTCTGTACCGGAATCAGAAAAGATCATGAACGCGTACCGATATCCGAGCAACAACAACGAGATGATAAAGAAGAAGAGACTAACGAGCGGACAATTAGCTTCACTCGAACGGAGCTTTCAAGAAGAGATCAAACTAGATTCAGACAGGAAGGTGAAGCTGTCGAGAGAGCTTGGTTTGCAGCCACGTCAGATAGCGGTTTGGTTCCAGAACCGCCGCGCACGTTGGAAGGCCAAGCAGCTCGAGCAGTTGTACGACTCGCTTAGACAAGAGTACGACGTCGTTTCTAGAGAGAAACAGATGCTACATGAGGAGGTCTGTTATGTACCATACCTGACCCTTTTAAAATCATGGGGTCAAAAATTAAATACTTTTTATTTCTTGTTTTATCTCTTAGTTCTTGATTTTAAAAAGAGACCCCCTTTTTCAATGCAGGTGAAGAAGCTGAGAGCTATTCTGAGAGACCAGGGTTTGATCAAGAAGCAATTATCCGGCAAAGATGACGCGGTGGAGACTCCTCCTCCATCATTGATGGTAGCTCCTCCAAGAACTGAAAATCTGAATAGCAGTCAAATCACCGGAGGAAGTCAAATTTACGGTACTGTGGGTCAATACAACAATCCGATGCTCGTTGCTTCTTCTTGCTGGCCACCTTACCAGTGAAAGCTGTTGCTGATTCTAGAGAGAGAGAAAGAGTCTCATATAGAGCTTTGGAGTAGGACTTTATGTAGTGTTTAAACTACTAAGACAAGCTTTTGCTCTTTGTACGATCTTAAATCATAAATTCAACGTTCTTTTGTCCCAACCCCAATTTGGATGCGAGATTGGATCTTAATAACTCTTGAGTCGGTTTGTTGAACAAGTACTATGATAATTGATAACACACGAAGCTAGCGAGTATTAAAACAAAACTAGCTATTAACCAAAAAGAATGACGAGTGTAAGAGAGTACTATAGCAGAGCATAGGCAGAGAAAAGGAGATAGATATCTTGTTAACCATCGCCATAGTTGTTACTGCTGCTTCCTCCGTCGTCGTCAAGATTCCGACGTCCGAGGCGCAAAAACGTCGAAGCGTTGACGAATACGTTAATGACGAAAAAGCCCTCAGGTGATCACAAGAATTACGAAGCTGCCATTTTTTAGTTTATTTTCATGGACCCATCCTAGTTTTGGCCCAGTAAAGGTTCAATTTACCTGAGCCCAAACTCACGCACATGTAATTTTTATAGCAACTAAACTTAATTAACAGAGTGTATTAAACACCAGAGTTCTACCTAATTATCAGATCAATTGATTTTTTAGTCACAGCACTTCAATGAATCAGCTATTTTTTTCTTCGATTTTTTCAATTGACGCTTGAATTTTTTGGAATAAGAAACAAACAAATATGTATTTATGAACATTATTTGTTTATTACAAAAGCAATAAAGAAACAAATACTCAACAAATTTTGACACATGAACATGCCTAATCGTATAATTTAACGGACAATCTCCCAAAACAAAGAAAAGACCCACAAAACTCAGACCTCACGGATCCTCACATTCAATCTCCTAACCCAAATCGAATGAAGAATCATGTGAAACACATCAAACCTCTTAGCCGGAGAATTCACCTCAAAATGTCGCCTCACCTTCAACACTCTCCGGTACATTCTTAGATACTGTCTCGGTGATATCGACGTCAAAATCGTCTTCAAGTTCGGTATGTCTTCCACGGAAACGATCACCGAGAACGATCTCCAGTTCAACACATCGCTGAACGGTGGAACATAGCCGGAGTTTATCAAAACCGGGACGCAACCAGAGTAAAGTGCCTCCACGATCCTAGGGCTCGCAACCTCGTAACCACTCGGACAAATGCAAAACTTGCTGCTCCGCATCATGTCCGAATAAGACGTTCCTTTAGGGAGATACTTGTGGACTCTAATGTCATTATCTTTATTCTCCCAATGTTCGAGAAGAACCGGCCTCACCGGTCCGTGTACACCTCCTGCGAAGAAGGCAAGGATCGGACGGACGGAAGGTGACCGACCACCGACTAACCCTTTTAAAGATCCCGTCCGTAGGTTGATCTCCGGTATTGACACATCTTTTCTCGGTTGGAATCTCTCTGACGTGTTGGCATTGCATAGAGCATGAATTGAGTTTTGTCCTAGATGTGGATGAGATAAACTTGCCGTGGGACCCTGTACCAAAATATTTCAATTATTATAACGGTAACTAATAAATCAAAGATTATAACGGTAACTAATTAATGAATCAAAGATTATAACGGTAATTAATGAATCATATGTTATATGCTGAAAATAACATTAGCGTACCCAATCATGGCATGAAAGTATGAAATGGTCGGCTCCAATGCTTCGGTTCCAATACGGGTATCTATTGCTCACAAGATCGACGTAATCTCTGACGGTTTTTCTGATGGGGCCGAAATCGTGAGAGTTGCGTTCGTAAACATATCTTACCATCTTGACGACACTTAGGGGTAAGTAAAAAGCGTGGGCCTTGTCGGGAGTATCGGTGCGGAAACGAGAATCTTTTTCCATCTCGTAGATGAAGTTTCCTTCCATAGAGTATATGCTTTTGCATGGACCGTCATGGAACAACGGTGGCTCGCCTTCTTTGTATACATATATCTTGAATTGTCTTTCCATCTCCAAGTAGCTCCTAAAAAAATAATTACGAAACACGAAAATAAGTATGTGACCATTTTTAGACTCTTAACAGTAGAATACAAGATGGGCCAATATCAATACGAATCTCTTGCATTTACTAATCTAGTTCCAAAAAACATGAAGGTATGTGATACTTTTCTTGTCTTAGACTCTTACGCATATAAGATGGGACAGCAAAATATCTCGTGCATTTTTTATTTATTATTTTGTAACAAGAAACCCTGAAATTATAGCTGTCAAAAGCAAGCTCCGAATAGATCATTCCAAATCTCATAGTTATAAGCTCGAGGTAGGATTTCAAATCTCTAAACTATATAAGGTGTGTAATGTTTCTATCATCAAGTAACGTCTACATTAGTACATACTACTTCTAGCTAAGTCGTCACAATGTACATTTTTAGTAATTTTTCAAATCTAAGCTTTCTGATGAAATCTGTGGTAGAATAAAGTTCTCAACTATTGATAGTTGTTATAATATCATGGACGTCGATACAATCATGATACGATATGGAGCAAAAATCTATTATTGTACCACACTTTCTTAAATGTTCTCAATCTAGTCATCAAATTTATAAACCTGCTTAACCTAATCGTATAAAATCCACAGTTATTCAAATCTAATTGAAACTTCCTTCTACGGATTCATCATCAATTTAGTAAAAACCCAATTCCAAGCCATATTTATGATTCATAGAACCAACACCTTTGACTTGAACTAAATTCAAGTAAATTCTTATAGCGGATCAAGAAATTCATAGTTCCAAACCGTTTGACTAAACTTAATTAAAAATAAACTCTCAGTGAACATAAATGTTGCAACTTTAAACAGTTTTATTAAATGTTTAAGAAGTTAATTAAAAGAAAGTAACCATAATAAATCACTCTTTTAACTTACCGATGAAAGACCTTAGCGTTCCAATACATAGGACCAAGAGGTACATAGTCCGGGTCGTCCACGGGATCGTCCATCGAAGCGGCTTTAATGGCAACTCGAGCCTTTTGTAGCTCCAATTCGACCTTCTCTAAATTGCTTAGAACTCTTTTCTTGGTAACTTCTGGCGATGCTGTAAGTGTGACGTTATTACTCGTTGAAGTAATGTTGACCGGGTTCAATCGAATTGTCCGATTATAATCACCCTGTTTCAATACGACAGGGTAATGTTGACGTCATTTATGCATATATGAAAAAAAGTAAAATTAAGTTGACATGTGTTGCTGATTAATTAGTTGAAATTTAAACCACCAGACTGCACAGATAACATAAAACATTTCTCTATTAAATTTCTTTCATCATTTTGCGGTTTAGCCGACCGGTTTCCTCATCCTCTATAAAAACCAATTAAAATTTACAGTTGACCTGTTGCCATTTAAGGATAGTATTTTTTTTACAGATGACTGTTGTTTGACCACGGAATTTGAAACATAATTTTCAAAAGAAATAATATTTGTTGGTAAAAATAAAAGTAGAAGATACGTATCTACATAGATAATCCAGAAAAAGAAAAGACATGCAAAAATTAAGAAAGAAGAAAGGAATAATTTAGTATTCCTAAGTTTTCTTCCTAACCTGAACAAATTCCACTTTAGCCGTTAATGATGATTCTGCCAGCGACACTTCCGTCGCCACCTGCGGAGGAGATGGTGCCGTCGCCGGCACCGGAGGCAGAGATGGAGAAGAAGGAAGACGCGAGAGATGAGAAGTGGACATAGAGGTTAAGAAAGAAGTTGAATATCTAGGCCCAATATTAACACAGACTAAACCAGACACGAGAACCAGAGGAACCATAAAGAGGAAGAGTTTAGATGAATACGACGTCGCTGAGAAACATGCAGACATGGTTCTACACTTCCCATCAACATCATCATCTCCCATCTCTCTCTCGCTCTCTCTCTCTCTCTCTCTCTCTTAATTTCTCTTATTTGAGAAGAATATTGTGAAGAAATATTAAGAAGAAGAAGACGAAGAAACAAATTGAAAAAGAGATTTTTGCCTTAAAAAACGAAACTTTAAATTTCTTTTTTGCTTTCGGTTTTAGAAGAGAATTTAAAGAAGGTGAATGGAAGAATAACATTTGGTAATAAGTGGTTGCTCCCTCGTGCCAAGCGTCATCTCTCGACTCTCTCTTTACTTCTCACATGCAAACTATTCTTTATTTCTCTTTCTACCCCAAACCTTTCAATTCTATCAATTCCCCCCACTGCTCAACAAATTCGTATATTAACAGCTTACAGTTGTATATAAACGAAACATTACAAACTACTAATTTGCAATAACAAGTTCTTGCTGTGACTCACCAGAGATTTTTACAAGAACATCTTCCATTAGCAAACCTATGAAACCCCGAAGAGTCTCTCAAAACTATCTCTCTCTCTTTACCACAACATAAACATATTTTAAGAACTCGTGACAGTCACTACAAAGCATCACGTTCTTCATAACCCGAATTGGCTTTCCCGGCTACTGCTTAAGGAGACTCACATCTCTGCTGTACATGAAAGATTTTTTGATAGAAGAAAGGCACAAAACGTGAGTGCCATTCACAATTTGATTAGTCGAATCAGACATACAAACATAGCACATTTCTTCCATTTCACACTGAGTCACTTCAGTCCAACATATTCATATCCAACATATTCGTAGATTTCGTCAAGAGTATATTGGAGAAGCTGGAAAGACACACAACGAGGCAGTTGATAGCGGTCATACAGGAGGTCAAGCTGTTCAAGACAATGGAGCATCAAGAGTTCAGCTCGGACATAACACAAAATTATCCTCGCAAACGTATAGAGAAAAGGAAAAAAAAAAATTGCAACACATTAAGCTATAGAGATAATCTAGAATATTTTCATAATGTACAAATTTAGAGCGCTAAATCTAGAATACTTCATGAATTTAGAGCGCTAAATCTTCATGGATAAAACCTTCTTTTATCTAAATCTTCATGGATCAAACCTTCTTTTATTTAAGGTCATATACTATTGGAAAGTACACAAATACTACCATTTACTATTTATTTGACCAATGTGCAATGATTATTATGGTCTATGGAGTATAAAAATTAGTGAATTGAAAGTAACACGAGATCACTGCATTATGTATTTTTCTTTGCTTAGGCACTGATCAGTAACCAGAGAAGTAAAGAAAACTCGTATATTAACAGCTTACAAATTGTATATCAACCAAACATTACAAACTACTAATTTGCAATAACAACTTGAAAACTTCTTGTTGTGATTCACCATAGATCTTTACAAGAACATATTCCATTAACAAACCTATGAAACCCTGAAGAGTCTCTCAAAACTATCTCTCTCTTCACCACAACCGAAACGTATTTCAAGAACTTGTGACAGTCACCACAAAGCATCACGTTCTTCATAACCCGAACTGGCTTTCCCCGGCTACTGCTTATTAGAATGCCGTAAGTCACGGCGAGTTTCGCACTGTGGTGAAACAAGAACGTCTTCTTCATAAACTCATCCACTTCCTGAAGAACAAACTCCGTGTCTGGCTCGTATCCAGCTTTCATACATTCCATTATCAGTATCTCCAGTCCGCTGTATATGTCTTTCTCTTGCGGGTGGGATGTGTCACGCGCGTGAAAGGAATGCACTTTGCTCTCGTGGATAATCCAGCTTCTAGATGGATGTTTCCGGTAGCCTCTTTCCCTCATTTCCTCTCTTATCATCTCAGAGCGATGCCAGAGTCCGGAAGCTGAGTAGATGTTGGACTTGAGGATGTATTCAGGCGGGGTTTCGGGTTTTGTGGATAGTATAAGCTTTGCAACGCGTTTTGCAATGCTTGCGTTTGAATGGACTCTACAGCTATCGAGCAGTGCTCTCAGAACAGAGACCTCAGGTTGAAACGGCATTGAGTTCACTGTCTCTTCTGCTTCTTCAAGAAGACCCCAATGACCCAAAACGCCGGCGAATGCAGTGTAATGTTCAGTCGTTGGTTCAATGCCATAGATAGTCTTCATGGAGAGAAACATATCGCGGCAGCTACAAAGCCTATCTGACTCTGTGTACCGAAACGCGGAAACAACAAGAGAGAGGGTGATTGCATCAGGCTTGACCCCTTCTTTATTCATCATCGACCACAGAGCCACTGCCTCGTCACCATTTCTTTGAAGAATGTAACAAGAAATCAAGCTGTTCCAAGACACAACATCGTGTTCTCGCATAGTGTTGAAAACCTTTACGGCATCGTCTGAGTGACAGCATTTCGAGTACATGCCAATCAAAGAATTCCCCAAGCCCACATCAGAAAAGTATCCACCTTTAAGAGCATAGCAATGCATCTGACAACCCATTTCCTGAAACCCCAATGTCCCTAAGACCGCAAGAACCAAACTCAACGAAACTTCATCCAAAACCAACTTCTCTTCACAGAGAGTGCGATGGAATAGCGATAGAGCCTTATCAGGCAAGCCATTCCGAGCGTAGCCACCGAGTATTGACGTGGTTGCCTTGGAGCTATCCATGTCAGAAGGCCACTGGTCAAAAATCTCCTCAGCATCTGCCATCCTTTCACACCTTGTGCACATATCAAGCAATGCAGTCTGGATACAAGGGTTTGAAGCACATCCAAACTTTAAGCAAAACCCATGAATCTGTTCGCTTACTTTCTTCTCTGAAACCAAGCCACAAGCGTCCACAGCGCTTGTTAAACTGAAATCCGTCAAAGCAACACCTCTCTGCAGCATCTCAGTGAATAATTTTAGTGCCTTCAAGCCATGGCCGTTTCTACAGAACCCAGCCATAAGAGCGTTATACGTGATAGTGTTGTTCTCAGGTATCTTCTCAAACATCTCAACAGCAGAATCCACCATTCCGAATGTCATGTAAGCTGTGATCATCTCCGTCAACGTAAAGCCGTCTCTCACATCCATCATCTCGTGCAAATTCTCTACCTTTTTAACATCCCCAAATTTAGCATAAAACCCAATCAGAGCATTATTCACACTCAGTTCCTGCTTCAGCCCGATTCTAATTGCACGACCATGAATCTCTCTGCCTCTCATAGCGTCACCGGAATCAGTACAGGAGCTCAAAAGCGTTGAAAGCGTAAAGCAATCAACCCCAAGTCCTTGGACTCTGTTCATCTCAGAAAACAAATCGAAAGCTTTATCAGACAGACCTTCCTTCACCAAACTCGAAATCACAGTGTTCCACGAAGCAACATCTCTGTGAGGAATTTCATCAAACAACTGAAGCACATCATCACTCGAAGACCTGGGAAGCTTTGCGTACAAACTCATCACCGAATTACCAACGAAAACAGAATTCAAAAACCCTGATTTCACTATCAAACCATGAATCTGAATTCCGAGTGAGAATCGGCAAATTCTCACGCAGGCAGTCAAAATCGCAACGAAAGTATACTCATTGGGCTGGATAATACCTTCGCTTCTCATTCTGAAGAAAACCTTAAGGGCCTTGATTTCGAGGTTTAATCTGGCGAAACCGGAGATGAGAGCTGTGTAAGACACTACCGTTGGTGATGACAGCGAGACGAAGACGAGGAAAGCATCGCGAGGGAGACCTAGTTTAAGATATGTGGAGATGAGGGCGTTTCCAAGATTGGTTTTTTCTTCTCGGAGCTTTAGAAACGAAGCGTGCACGGCTTTCGTTACCTCGACGTCGTGGTACTGAGCGGACAGGCGAAGCAGATAGAAAAACCCATCAACAGCAGATTCCATCTCCTCCTCTTCATGCTTTCGGAACGAAGAAGAAGATGACGAAGAACATTCATGGATTGTTACTGGTGAGAGAGACAGAGACGCAGAGAGGGAAAAGAGGCGCTCGGGTTTCCCACAGAGCGGGATAGAGGAAATCGACAACGGCGGAAGAAGTTTTGGCCGGTTAATCGGCGGCGGGAAATGAGGAAAATTGAGGAGGCAGTGGTGATTAACTGTGGACATGAATGAATTTAGAGCGCTAAATCTCCATGGATAAACCTTCGCTTGTCTTCTTTTAGAAGACCAAAAAACTAGTCTGATTTTGTAAATGACAAATTTATTTAAGGTCCCTATACTATTGGAAGCTATACACATATTTCCCTTTACTATTTATTTGACCAAAGATGCTTTGATTTTTTATGGAGTAGAAAAATTACGAATTGAAAGTAGCACGAGATCACTACATTATGTGTTTTTCTTACATGAGATGATAATTGTTCTTCTTTTTGTAGAGATAAATAAATTGTTTTCGATGTAATTAATAAAGATATTATTACATAGATTAAAGAAGTAAAGAATAAGCAAAACACACTTATCTAGAATATATTTTCATGACACCATCTTGATTATTTAAATCAAACTTTGGAAGAAAAGATAGGTTTAGGAAATGAGAGGGATCCCTTGGACAAGAAGATTGGCTGCGAGAACACGATTGGCTGCTTCGGATGGATGAAAACCGTCCCAAAACACGTAACTGGTAGCATTCGAACATGTACCAACCGATCTTGAATTGCATAGGAAGGAAGTTTCCATTGTTCCGGTTCCACAGCAAGCTCTTCTTGCTTCAAAAAAACCTACATTTTAATCAACCAAATTGAATTTCTAACACCCTAATTAACCATGATTCAGAATATTCGATTTTAATGAATGTAAGAAAAACCGCGGTACCGTTCTCGGCAGGGTTCATAACCATGTTCAAGAGAGGATTGTATATGTCGAGGACGATCAGTTTCAGACCGGGAAGGTTGTTGGTCAAGTTCATAGACGTGTTGTTGAGTTTGGTATTGAAGGAAACAGCGTCCCGGTTTAGTCTTTCGACGCAGTTATTGTCCCCTGCTCCAGCAAACAACGTTATCGCCGCCGGTAAACAACCCAACGGCGGTAGAGTCGTTACTCCAATCCTTCGAGCCCCTACTCCATACAAATTCTGAACAAAAGAAGCAGAAAGTTTTCGACCATCGGTTAAGGAAATCTAGAGTAAAACGGTAGATATAAAATTCGGTTACGGACTTGGATAAAGGTGGAATAGAATTTCATGAGACGATCAGAGTATCGGTCAGGCGTGAAAATCCGGTTTAGGATCGGGTTAATGTAATAGCTTTGAAGAAAATCGCTTGTTCCGGTGCTTAGAAGATGAATGGCGCCAGCGAATATCTCGTTTGCTCTGTCTCTTCCCACAATGTTGGTCACTTTGTTTTGGTACTCTTTGTAGTTTTTCAGCTGCTGGTTCAATGTGATTGCGTTCTACAACAAAAACATATGATAAACCATAAAATGCTGGACAACATTCTGGTTAACTAACTTAAGTGACTTATCTTCACATTTTACCCCCAAAAAAAAAAAACTTAAGTGACTCAAAAACTTATCAATTGGTTTGAGGATATTACGTATAATAGGGAAGTTCCGTCGTGAAAACCGGAAGCACCGGAGGCGAAATTGGCTCCGGTTAACAAATTTGTCCCGTTTGCTTCTTGGCTGAGGTACGGCACGGGGTAAGAAGTGAACCCTAGATTCTCAGCTAAACAAAAAGGAGAAGCAACATGAGATAAGAAAATATGGTTCCAAATCTTTGAACCATTGTGCGGATTACTGATCATAGCCTAATCAAAAAGATAATGGAAGATCGTAAACGTGAGTTAGGCTGGTTCGAACCGGTAAAGTCGGTGGCGAGTTTCCCGTTAGAGAAACGGCCGGTGGCATTGTGGGCGAAGAAGTCGCGTCCGTAGGGTGGAAAATTGGCCTTGACGAGGGTAGTGCGGCGATTGTTGTTACCGGCGTCGACCACTGAATCTCCCATAATGATTAGAGCCGGTACAAGAGGCTGACCGGTCCCAACGCAGGCGTTTAAACGGGCAAGAACCAAACAGCTAATCAACATTATAAACATCTTCATTTTCTCTTTCAGTGTAGTAATTAAGTGACAGAGAGATAAAGAGATGAATGAGTGAAGAAGTGGTAAATGGTTAGGGTTTTAAAGGAAGAGATCGTAGTGCATGAAGTTGCTTGAATTAGAAGAGACACTAACTTCCTCAATCCGAATCTTCTGTTGCAATTTCAATTGATTTCACTCAAATCAATTAAAAACGTCTATTTGTAATATTTTCTAATTTGCATGTAGCTTCCAAGGAGTAGTTAATCACTCAAATTGTTTTGTCTCTAAATTCCTGTTGATTAAAAAGCCTTGAATAGAGTAGAAAAAGGTATATGCATACATGTCTTAGCACGTGAATGAAACAAACTTTTACTTCCTGACTTTCTTCTTAACAAACCTTTTTGTTTCCTTCCTTGAGAATCCTACGTCATTTCGGTTATTTTTTCTAACAAGTGTCTTACTAAACCGAATGAAAACAAAACTTCTAATTTGCTAAGTTGGCTTCTCGTTTTGTCACAACTCACAAGACTATCAAATAAATATGCTTTGGATTTTGGGTTTTTGTTTTTTGTTTTTGGGTAATCGGATCATATGAGCAGAATCGGGAGCATTTATATTTAATGATCAAGATCAAGAATAATACACAAAATAAGATCAATCTCTAGACTGTAGTCATCGTATCTTGAACCAGTTGATAAGAGCTACATTATTCAAGGTATGAGCTGTAAAAAACTAGTGTTGGCCATGTGAATGTTTACAGTAACGTTGAATACTAAAGACACACACTGACTTTTCAAAGCTGCCATTGCCATCGCACCAAACCTTAACTGTTTTTGGACTAGACATGTAACAATCTTCAAAAAACACTGGTCGACTGGTGAGAGCGAAATTACTCTAACAAATTGCAGTGCATGAATCATTTACTTTGCTTGAAAAATGATGTAAGATTCAAGCGAGTACCTCCTTATTTCCATGGGGACAAGTTTTAAACATGAAAGAGATGACAAATGAAACGAACTTTCTATACAAAAAATCATCAAGAACTATTAGTTAGAAGATTATATATGAGCTTATTGAATGTAAAATTTTCTGTTCTCTAATGATGATCATCATCTTTTAGTGAAGTGAAAATTTATAGTTTGTCAAGTTTATATATTTAAAAAAAAAAAAAAAAAAAGTCTGTAGCTTACTTAGCAGAACAAGGGCCCCCATTCACCAAGAAAAGGCCTTTTTGGATTAATATTAATCTTCGAACCGGTTCGGTACGGATTTATTGAACCATTCGGTTAAGGCAATTTACTTATGAGAGAGCCGTTTCTCTCTGACTCTAGTAGTAGAATCCTCTCTCGTCTCTTTCGGTGTGTTTCAAGTCGCCGCCGATTCTCTTACCGGAGTTTCAAGTCGCTACACCGTCGGTAAGTCTTCCGACTTTAAGTCGCTGAGAGCCATAAACTTTTCGAATTCAATCCAAAAATTTCCAGCTTTAACAAATTCAATCCAAATTTTTTTCAGATTTTCAATCTAAACCCACCCAATTTTACAGCTTCTCAGTTTGAAGGTATGTAATTTCTTCAGCATAGATATCTCCTAGACTAGTAGACTAGTGAATCAGTTTCTGATATTCATATAACAGTTCCTTGGACTCTGTTTTGGTGAATTAGCCTGAAAGTTTTGGTTGTTCCGAATTGAATAGATGCCTCGGAGGCCATTAGGGAGAAGATTGCCTTTAGCCTTCTCACCTTTTATGCGTTCTCTTGCCTTTGCTTCAACGGCTAGGCGTAGATTGCCTCATCCTAAAGATTGCCAATGTTCTGAAGAGATATCTTTCGGTGAGTAGCTTTAGATTATGACTTTTCTATTCAGAACATTGTAGGAAGCTGATGAGCATTGTATCGAAATTCTGTAGATGAAAAGATCCCTAATTTATCTCAAAAAGAGAAAGAAAAGCAAATCTTGGAATCCTCAGATGAAGAAGACTCTGAGGTAAAGCCACTATTTACTCTCTTCTGTTGATTTTGTTTATCTCTCTATTACGTTGTAGGTCAATGTTTATTCACTGTTCTTATTTCTGTGATGATAAGGGAGAAGTGCAAGCAGACTTTGAGTTCTTCGACCCTAAAGCTACAGACTTTCATGGAGCCAAGATCCTCCTACAAAGTTATCTCGACGACAAGGAGTGGGATTTGACCGGGTTTGTGGATTTGATATTGGATCAAACAACGGTAGGAACTGTTGTCAAAGTAGCAGAGGATGAGGATGAGTCATTATTTGCTCTTGTCACTGCGCTTAACTTGGCAAGATACAAGGCAAGTCTTCTAAAACTAACCTTTGTTAATGTGATTTGTGTATGATCTTATCTCTCATGAATCTTTGTAATTTGAATGTTAAAGCTTGCTGGGGCCAATTGTAATGTTTTTGTTTTGTTCAGGACAATAAGAGCTTTAGAGAGCTAAGAGAGTTTCTTCTCAAAGTTTGTCCTGAGAAGAATGTAGCAAGTGATCTAAAACTGCTCTTAGAGAAAAAGGCGAAAGATGTTGGTTTATTGGTATCTCAAAGGGTGACGAATCTTCCTCCACAACTCCTTCCTCCACTGTATGATGGATTGTTTGATGAAATCTCATGGGCTACTGAAGACGAGGTCTGTTCTTTAAAATAAACTATAGGTAACTTGTTTCCGTATGAGCAATGTGAAATTTAACAGTTTAAAGTTTATGTTTCATAGCCAACACAAGAGCTTCGGAGGTCATTCCACTTCAAGTCATATATTCTAGTCACCAAGATTTACAAGGTAATCTGTGTCTGTTTTCATAGCATTTGTTAGGTTCTCGAATTGGCTTTGCTTGTATTAACGATGTGATATGGCTTTTGGTTATATAGTTGAAGAATCCTAAGCAGAAAAACCCTCGGCGTGGTGAAGAAGACAGCGAGGAAACAATATTCCTTAAGCCTGAAGATGAAATTTTTCTCGAGGTACTTAGTCTCTCGTTACTCACTTGACTTCCCTTGAGAGAAGAAAAAAAACTATTCTCTAAATATTTGTTGATAACAATGCATTGCAGCTGAGCTCTTGGTCCTTCACATTCCCTATGCGCTCGCAGCTCGTTACAGCTCAAGAGGTAAGTTCTCTCTTTAATGCTGAGAGACTTTCACCGAAATCACTTAACTTTTGAGTCAATTGTAACTTGTGGTCTTCTGTTATGATCTTGGCAGATGAAGAATTATCAGCTGACGGGTCTAGTGATGGTCGTGGAGGCAGAGAAGATTCCGAAATTCAGACAGAAGTTGAAGTCTCTCATTGATGAGCAATGATGAACATCTTCGTATTCTTGAAGTTTTGGCTCACGGCTCAGTTTGTTTATCGAATTTCACCAGTTTTGATAAGATTATTAAGGTGCTTTTCCTTCAAAATTACAAGGTCTTATTGTTTCTCCGGCTTTCATCCCCTGGAAAATTGGTTTCTTTTATGTGAAAAACAATGTCTTGTGAAAGAAACTCTGTTAATGAATGATCCTTGTAAGAGTTTGTGAGGAGGTGGGGTTTTGGTTTAGTTCGAAAAAATTTGGGTAAGCTTATTGAATCTTATCACAACTAATCCAATTGGTAAAAAATAAAATAGTAAATCTTAAAGAATTATAACTGCATTTTCCTGTGGACAGTTTTCTTGATAGTTAAGCCGAGAAAATGAAAACAGTAACGTTGACCAAAAAAAAACTCAAGTATCTAGGATGCTCACACCGAGTGGGAATACAGTAATATTGACCCAAAAAATTACTCATTTTTATAAATGATCTGTAATCTGTATAACTTAACCAGTGTTTTCTAGCTAGATTGTGTAAATCAGAACCAAGACTGTGAACAGCAAAGTTTTTGACTGCTGTTCTCTACTCTCTCCCTTAACCTTTGGACTCTCCCAAAAGACAATTTCTTTGTGATTTTTCATTTTGGTCCCAAATAGACTTCCATGAGGAACTCTTTGCAGTTTGATAGCACAAAAAGTTAATTGCAAAAGGAAAGAAAAACCGAAATAAATAAGTGAGAAAGAAGACGACACATGTTTCTGCAGCTTTTTCGCAGTACAAAAGCATCACAGAAGAAGCTCCGACAATTTGAAGATATATTTTATAGAAAAGTATTGTTTACTTTTTTGATTTAGTTTAGTATACAATAGTTCTGTTTACATTAATAATATACTTTTACGTACAATCATCTAATTGATAAACAATCGTGTATATATGCTAATACCATCTTCTTGCAAGATTATATTTTAAAATTTATGAATAAAACTTATTAATTACTTTCGCAGGCATGTATTTACTATTTACAGAATAGTTTCCTCCAATTCTCCAAAGCAACACGACTTCGAAGTTTTTAAACGGAAAAAAAAAATGTTCAAAAAACCAGATTGATCGACCCCTGTGGTTTATTGTAAAAATACAATGTTATGTATTACTATTAGTCATAAAATGAAAAAATAAATATTCGTGTTACTTTGTCTAGATGTGTAAAATGTACTTCGTCTTCACTTTAAGTTGTTTACTTCTTCTTTGTAATTAAGTATATAAATGAAGCACATTCGAAACTCATCGAATCCAAAACAATACGAGGATCAAACCTTAACTTACTATATGATTCTTGAGGGGGCCTAGCACGACCCAACGACACGTCAACCAATCAAATTTCGACAGCCTTCATGTTTTACAGAACCCTAATTGTTTAAAAGATTAGACAGTCTTCATGTGTTTATGAGAAGGACCCAGTGGACTTGGTCCAGGGGTTAGTATGTCTCTTGCTTTTTACATTTCTTTTGTTATTACATATGAAACATGACAGGTCGTCTCTTTTAATCGTAAGGTTATTACATGTTGGGTTGTCCTCGATATTCGTCCTAAACCGAAGTATGGCGGCTAATAATTTGCACTGCTGGTTAATCACCAGGTTTGCGGTTTCGTACCGATGAAATAGAGGGTTCTGCTATGTACTTACAAATCTACATACCAGTGGATATAATTCTTTAATTAACGTGTGATTTGAATGATGTGATTCATATGTGTACCCTGAAAATGAAAAATAAATAAATATCTATGCTCGTAAATGATGTAATTACTTGTGACAAGACTTGAGTTGGGTATTGTTATAATATAATATAATATTAATTCATGGTTATAATATAATATAATATTAATTCATGCTTGGTGAATTATTTTTATTTTTCTTCAACACGTATTTACATGTCTTAAGCGGTTCAAAACGATTCATACCCCAAATGCTGACACAATTTTTGGCAATGATAAATATATGCAGATGAAGCAATTTTTGAGTAAAATCAGGGTTGGAACAGAGCACGTGTTGAATTGCAACAAGAACAAACGAGGGGCCAGTCCGTATATAAATAAGCAATCTTATTGAAAGATGTGTTATTCTTTTGGAAACAAATTTAGCTATGAAAATAACCATAAGTGGCTAAACACAACACAGGCACATTATGATCTACTGAAACCCTAAAACTCTATACAGCGTTTGGTTCACAGTCTCTTTTTCAGGCAAATTCTAAAGTCTTTGCATGCCCTTGATTTGGTAGTGAATCCATTTGCCGACGTAGGTGTACTGTAACTCTGTAAACATCTTTTTTTTTTCCTTTTTTCAGTTTTTAATTTATTTATTCTAACCTACACTTGCGGTATTAGATTCTAAATTCTTAAAAGCAATAATTGCATGAGATTTTGTTGTGACACATGTGTAGGTACCCCTTATCCTTTCCCATTCTTAGACCATACTAATTATGAATAAATTTCTTAAAGAATTGGAGACTTTAATTGAAGAGATTGTTAATTTGGGGGAAAAAAAGTTCAACACACGCTTCTAGAATTTAAACATTAAATGCGAATTAGAGTTTGAATGCACACTGAAACCACAATCCACATTGTGCTAGACTTGTTGATATGATAGCGAATATGTATGTAGAGAAGTAGTTGCTAGGGGTTAGGATAAGTGTAACAGTATTAGCATTACCAAACGAAAAAAGTGTAACAGTACTTGGCCGCTAACCACTCACTTACTGGCACGTGGCCTTTCTTGAGTTTACCGTTGAAACTTGAAAGTAATATTTCCCACTTGCATCCCTCCGAACATGGGGCTATCATTTGCCGTACTATACACCCAAAATGGCCGATCCATTTTTATAATTTTTTTCTCTATTTGAACACTCAATAGTCTCAATTTATAATGTTATTTTGTTGTTGTTAAAATTAGAATACTACATATAAATATATAACCACTTTTCTGATTATAATTTTTGTAATAGCTTTGTCGCCGTGTTGCTAAATTTGCTTTGCTGGAATTAACTACGATTTTTCAAACTCATCACTCGTGATAAAAATCTATTTCTTATACCACATTGGTTTATGGATCGACCCAATGAAAGTAATTTATGACATCGATCGAAATCGGAAAATCTATTGTAGTATAACATTCGATTTTTCACTATAACTTTTTTCAACTAGCACAAGCAGCAAGCCAGCAAAGTGTCTTTTTATCACAACACCAAACAGACAGTGAAGCTTATATATGTGGAAAAGAAAAAAAAAAAAAGACAAGATAATATTCGGATCGCCGAGTGAGAGGACCAGAACTATTTTAGATGGTCATTGTCTTGTCATTTTGACCAGAACTAAAAAAGTTTTGTTCTTTTACAAATTTTCTTGTCTGTGCTTCCACGTTTATCATATAATAAGGTTCACTAGATGTGACCTGTCAAGCCATATATAAGGATTTAGTATACACTATATATATTTATACGTTTTAGATTAGTTAATTAACTTAAGACGTATACCGTGTAGATGTAGTGGTACAATATGGAATTGAATGGATTATACATTATGTAGGTGTTGTTGACTATAAATCTTTATTTGATTTCTATATGGCTCTTATCAAATAGGTAGGTGTTGTTGACGAATAATTGTTTAACAAACAACAATCTAAACACGATAAATCATGTTTAAAAGATTATATATTTGGGATGCAACTCATCGTTGTCAGTCTTTATTCAAATTACGAAAACTAGAACATAAGTAAACAGGGTTACATTTTTTTTTCCTAACATTCTTTCTTCCTTATCTTATTAAAATGATCTTTTGCATTTGAGGGACAATAATGTAATTAACGTCTGCGAGCCGCGGTCTCCCTCTGAGCGTTGAAGAAGACAGCCGCGACAGGGAGACCAAGATCATATTCAGTCGCAAATTTACGGGTACTGAAGTGATCTCTCGAAGGGATATTTGGGAAGATAACTCGTCTTTGCTTCTGCCTGAACAGAACAAACACAAACCTGTGTATCCCTATGCTTGGCTTTGGTAAATCATAGCTCACCATCTCTTTTCCTATATTTCAATTCAAATCTTTATCAATATCTAACATAGTTATTTGACAATAATAAATAAGAAACGTATTTTTATATATAAGTTTTTAAAAGAGTTCAATAGGTGGATAACAAATTTACAAAATTCACTAGGAGCCCTTACCAAACGTAGCATCTGTGGTACCGGGAATGTTTGTAACAATCCTGTTGAAACATTCAACGAAACTATTTTAGCGAAAAAGAAAAATAACATGATAATATCGTTTCATAAAAGAAAGTTTAGGATAATCATTGTGATGGAGAGATTTTGACCAAGACAAGTTTATACGAAGTTGATGGATATTTACTATAGACCCCAAAAAAACTTTATTAGGGTTTATAACGGAAGTATTGGAATGCAATGCATATGGGACATAAGTCCAAAATTATGAAACAACAAATAAATACAATGAACGTACCAATGCAGGTGTTCTTTTTGAAAGGGGTCACTAGGACCTGGAACATCAGGGTCTACCATCACCTGTTTTGCATTTCAGTTTGAGTTAACAACATATAAATTTAAATGACAAGAACAAAGAATTATATGTCCTTCTCTTTTTCTCCACGGAGTCAGAAAACTAAAATCTTATAATAGTGAAGAAAGTGAGACTTTATATAAAAATAAAGATTACACAACCATCAAGCGAGCCCAGCATTACATAGTTTCAAGATATGTATATATTACCAAGGTGAAGAAGGTTCTGAGATCACCACCATGGATCTCAACCCTAGGCTTGGAGGAGACAGCGGAAGGGAGAAGCTCATGGCCATTGGAGACTTGCTTCTTGTTGTAACTCACATTCATTTTAATTGTTGGGGTGAAGAAATCAAGAACATCTCCTACCACTCTTCCCACTATCAATGGCTCTATCACTCTACTTCCCAGATTCTCCATTTTTTGTTTGTTAAGTTTCTTTCTCTTTCTAATCAATCGTGGGCTTAGAGAAAATGAGAGTTTTGTAGTGATGTGGAGACCAAAGGCGACCAAGACAGCTATTTATAGGGTTTTCCCAACGTTGGAGAGAGAGAGAGAGAGAGACGTTTAGGGGCCAACCTCTTTCGTGGTTCTAAGATTCGGACAAATCTACAAGAATTAATAGAGACATCTACTTCCAATTATATATACTAACTTTGTCTTTCATAGTAGGAATTCAATTAGGGGGAATTAATGATTAACTAGGTTAAATAAAATTGATATAAGACATTTTTATGAAATCGGATATAGTTTAGTTTAAATATTTCTGGTTATCACAAATGGCCATGATTTGTTGCTTATGCCTTGACCACAGGATTGACATTAGATACCCCAAACTCTTAAGACTATAATTTTTTTTTAACAAAAGATACTCTTAAAAATATAATATTCAGTAGATTTAATAACTACATTTATTTTCGAAGTTTTGAAATTAGAAACCAAATAAAAATAGTTATAACATTTTAAAATAGCGAAAATCGGTATTTGATGATTAAACTAATTTCCTCTAAAGTTTCATATTTTCAGTTATGTTTTGTTTAAATATTCTTCAATGAGATTTTGTACTATTTGTTTCTATTCAGGATAAACATAAAATAATTTTAAGATAAGATTTTATGACAAAAATCTTAAACAAATAAAATCATAAACACATTATGAAAATTTTACTAATATAAAAATTTAAAGATACAAAATGAAAATATCACTCTTTTTAGGAAAAGAAAAAAGACACTTCCACACACAAACTACAACGATTCTGTGAACAAGATGGTGTATGTAACCCCAACACAAACCTATTCAAATAAAACTAAATGTTATGTCACCATCCAATTTTTTGTTTTATTTGTCACCATCCAAATTCAAGTATATATAATACACGTTTTGATGAAAATAAGTACATATGTTGATCTTTTTCATTAATTGTCCCTTTCTTCCCCTTTCTTTTCTCACTAGTTGAGTGAGAGCATATACGTACCTATGATCTATACTGAGATTCCATATTCAGTTTTACATCTCAGTATAGAGACTGAAAATGGTTACAGAGCGACAAATTACATATGAAAGTACCATATTCATATGTTGAGGTGTTTATTGATGGACATTTTAGTTTTGTTTGTTAACGTAAATTTTATTCTAAACAAATATAGTGTGTCATGAGCCTTGAGTAAAAAATACTATCTATCAATCAAAGCGTTATTTTAGTCAATAATTGCGTCCAGTAATCTATAGAATCCTATAATCTTTTGTAACATCAAGAACAAAACCCATTCAAGTAGAAAATTCGACAAAAAATCCTAGCTAGATACCTTGGTGGTCAGGAGCTATATTGTTTACTTATCGGTCCATGAATTCAAAAAAGTTTTCACTAAAAAGGTTACATCTAATTGGCTAAGATTAAGAAACTGATATATTTAACATTCTCATCGTACTTGATTCTATTACAACTACGGATAAAATTATTGCTCAGAGGTCATTTCACTGTTGTAAGATGGGATTTGTTTTGTCCTTTTGCATTCCAAAGAATTATGGAAATTTTTCTTTTTAAATTGGTTTGGTAGTTACTAAGAATTCAAAGACCAGTGATCATCGGTCGTACAAAGGCATATAATAAAGTAACAAACCAATGGGAAAATTTGCAGATTTGGGACTCTTCTCTCGTGGAACGACAACGCATCGATTCTTCGAAAGTAACATCAATGAAAATCATCGAAATCAGCATGTACCAAAAGTTACCGTAATGAAACGGTTCTAAGACCGAAGATTGCGTGTTTAGACTTTGCTTCTATAAGGGTAAATAATAAGGTTATATTCAGATTGGGTAATTAATCAGGATAAAAGATACAGAAGTAAAGAAAGCTAACGAAGCTTAATCCAAATTATGTACCCAAAAACTGCGTCATGACCACAAGACCAACAACGGAATCTACTACTAATCCCTGCTTCTGGTTTTTTAACTCCGCCGATAATTTTCCAGTCACATCTTCGAAAGAAACGTGATGGTGATGATGTAAAATCAAGGTCAGACATAACCGGATCATGGCAAAAGAAGGTGAATGCGAAGAGGTGGGTAAATGTTCAGGCTTAAAAACTACTTGATGTATTGTTAAACACTAAAACCAGATTGAGAGAATATAGAGCAAATTCTTAATGTGTGCTTTTAAGTCTTCAGACAACACAGATAAGAGAACACCAGAAAACAAAACCAGAAAGAAGTATCAATCCTGCAATTGTCTTAAAGCAACAACATAACTCGAATCAAAAGCATAACCACTAATCCGATGATAGAAAACAAAAAGAGTAAAAAGCAGATGTTGATCTGTTTTCTTGTTTCCGATTGAGGAAGAAGAGGCGAATCAACGAAGTCTCCTGGCTTCTCTCTCAGACTCGAGCAAGGTGAGAATGTCGCCTTCTCTCACTGGTCCTTTAACATTTCTCATGATGAAACGGTCAGAGTCTGTGAACTTCACTCGCACCTGCGTCACCTGACCCCTCGATCCGGTCCTTCCCATCACCTTCACCACCACGGCGTGCTTAATCGCTGAATCCATCCTTACTGCACAAACAACCATCACAATTCAGATACCAAATCACATCAGAACTCAAATCCGATAAGTTGTAATCAATTCACATTGACTAAAATGTGTTTTCAAAACTGGCCAATTCGGAAAAACATTGCACGAGACTAGTGATTACTGATTACGAATCGAAACAAATCAAGTACGAAGCTTTGATTCTCATCGTATCTGAAGCGAAACTAGGGATTCGATAATCTACCTAACAGAGTAGACTTCTAAACTACAGGTTCGAGAGAGAACGGAAAAGATAATTTCGCTGATAAAGCTATAAGAGATTGCAATCGATTCAAGACACAATTCAAATGAGAGAGTATAAGATGAAGGAACCTGTTGATGACGACGGCTGACGGAGATGCTGCGACGGGAGGCAAGAGCTTAGCGGCGATAAAACCCTAAATTTCAGAAACAATAAGAAAGGGATTTCTCGTGAATTTATAAGGGTCCTTTGTTACTCGCTCAAAACCTAACCACTACTAATCCAGCCTCGTCTCGGTTTGCATTAACCGAATCGGTTCATTATTTGTACCCCCGTTCTTTTGATTGAACCGCATCAGGAATACTTTTGTTTATCGAATAAAAAAATGGAAAATTTGATTTTCCAAAATCATAAAAGGAATTACTATCGTGAAAAGGAAATAAAACGTTACGCGTCTCTTTAGGAAATCAAAATACTCCTTCTCTATAAATACAGATATAGTTTTGGACTTGCTCACACAACAATCATTCAAGCTAACAATATGTCAATCGCTGAGATTTTTGATAGAATCGATAAAAACAAAGATGGAAAAATTTCATGGGACGAGTTTGCCGAGGGGATTCGTGTCTTCTCTCCTTCGACATCGTCGGAAGAAATCGATAAGATGTTCAGAGAGCTTGACGCCGACGGTAACGGTGAAGTCGACTTGGAAGAATTTGGCAAGTGTTTGGTTGGCCACGATGATGAAGAAGAAGACGAAGAAGAAGCTGTTATGAAGAAGGCTTTTGATTTGTATGATATGGATGGTGACGGCAAGATTTCGGCGAGTGAGATTCATGTGGTGTTGAAGCGTCTTGGAGAGAAGACTACGATGGAACAATGTATTGCGATGGTTCGAGCTGTTGATGCAGACAAGGATGGTTTTGTCAACTTTGAAGAGTTCAAAACTATGATGAGTCCTAACAACAAATCACTATGATTTTACCCTAAATTTATTTAGTTTGATCCTCTTTTAGTTCTTTTTTTTATTTTGTTTTTTTTGTTTATGATCTTGGTGATCAAACTTTATCAATGGACTTTACATTAGGACGAAAAAATTAAGATAAAGATATCAAATAAGCAGATTTTGTGTGGAATAATTATTTGTTTGGATTTGTCTCAACCTCTTTTAACAAAAAGATTCTTAAATATTTGATTCTGTTTCATTGACTAACAAGAAGAGAAAAAATCGAATATCTCAAAAACACCATTATTAAAAAGACTGCTCTGTTTTGGCTTTCTCCTTCAATAACGAGTTAACCTATGAAATATAGAACATTTATTTCTTATTGGAAATAAAAGAACAAGTACTGATTATTACAGTATACCAACATGTAGAAACCATTAGAGGAAAAAAAACCATTCGAGAAACAAACACAAAAAACCAAGCAAAAGCACAAACTTGTATCTCAAGCTTTCTCTCCATCCATCTTCTTCTTCTTCATCTTTCTTATTTCAGAGCCTAGAGACATTGATGGGATAGTGAGCTACAATGTGATTATAAACAGCAAGTGTAAGAAAATCATCAAGCTCAGCTGCAGTGCACTGCTTTGTAAACATCTTTGAAGCTTCCTTATACATTCCTCTCTTAAACTTGTCTTTCCCAACTTCTCTCTCAATCCTCTCCATCTCTTCTTCCACAACTCTCCCAAACAACTCTTTACTCACCCGAACTCCAAGCCCGTCTCCGTCCAACTCCACTCCGTACCTAATCCATTGCCAGTTCTGAACACGGCTTATCTCAGCCGTAGCTGCATCTTCCATTAGGTTATATAGTGGGACAGATCCTGATCCTGTTAACCACGCGGCTAAGTACTGGATTCCCACACGTGTGTTCAGCCTTAGACCCTCGAGTGTTCTCACTCCTCGTGGAATCTGAAGCAGATCCTCCTCTGTTATCGCGGAAGCGTCTTCACGTTTCATTGATTTGATCTGGTTTGGAGCTTTTCCCATGTGGCCAGTGAATGCTTCATTGCAGATTGGGATGAGTCCTGGATGAGCCGCCCATGTCCCATCATGCCCTGCTCTTACTTCTCTTAGCTTGTCTTTCCTCACAAGATCCAATGCTATCTCATTCGCTTTCGGGTCATCTCTTATCGGAATCTGAGCTGCCTGATCATCATCATAACACAACACAACAAAACAAATCAATATCAAGACCGTGTGGACTAAACATTATTGTTAAGAGGGGACTAATTACCATGCCGCCCATGGCGTGAACACCGCGCTTATGACAAGTACGGATGAGAAGATCAGAGTAACTTCTCATGAAATGCTGGCCCATGCCAACAAGGACACGGTCTGGTAAGAGGCGGTCAGGGTGAGACTGGAAGGTCTTGACATAGCTAAAGATGTAATCCCATCTTCCACAGTTTAAACCGACTGAGTGATCACGGAGTTCGTATAGTATCTCGTTCATTTGGAAAACAGCAGGGAGGGTCTCGATCAGAACCGTGGCTCGGATGCTTCCTCTCTCGATCCGAGCCATCTTCTCAGCTCGCTCGAACACGCTGTTCCATATCTTTGCTTCCCTGTCAAGAAAACAAGTAACCTAATTAACTCTAAACCTCCTGAAAACATCTAATTAGTGACTGAACCGGTTTGGTCTGGTTTAGAGAGGTATACCGAGAATGCTCCATTTTGGGGAGATAAAAGAAAGGTCCGTAACCGGAACCTTGAGTCTCTCTGAATTTGGCGAAGTTGTGGAAGAAGTAAAGGCCGAAGTCGACGAGACATCCGGTAGCGGGTTCACCGTCGATGAGGATGTGAGCCTCAGGGAGATGCCAACCTCGTGGCCGGACAAAGAGCTTAGCGGTTTGGTCGTTGAGCTTGTAAACTCTGTTTCTTGACTTGTCGTGGAAGGTAATGGACCCATCAACTGCATCTCTCAAGTTCACTTGCCCTCTCATCAAATTCTCCCAGCTCGGAGACAATGCGTCCTCAAAATCAGCCTGTTCAACACACAACCAATGATTATTACTCTTAATTCACTGATTGTTGAAAGTAGCTCTACTCAAGCAAGACATCAAACCAAGTAACCAACCCAAAACTAAAGAAAGTAACTAGCAGGACCAACATAACCGAAACAAACCCAACTGAATTCGGTAAAGTTTCTCCTAATTCTAACTTAAATTAAAACTAAACCGAAACCGAAACCGAATTTAACTCGGTCCAACTAGAAGCTTGAGAATTATATCAAGTATCAACCGGTCCAATAAAAAACTTTGGAGTAATAAAACCGGTCCACTAATCACAACATCAAATTATTAATGAAGGCGTTATAGAGATAGAAAACGGACCATGAAGACTTTAGCTCCGGAGTTAAGAGCATTGATGATCATCTTCCTTTCAACGGGACCGGTTATCTCAACTCTCCGGTCAGCAACGGCGGGAGGAACCGAGGCACAAATCCAATCACCGTCTCTGATAAACTTAGTTGAAGGGTCAAACCCAGGGACACCACCAGAGTTATAACGCCGACGTGCCTCTCTCCGACACTCCATGGCGTACCTAACATGCCCACGGAACTCTCTCTGTAACTCAGCCACAAACCCAAGAGCATCTCTTGTCAGAATCTTCGCGAACACTTGGTCGTACCGTCCTCGAACCTCCACGCCCTCCGGAGAATCATACACGGCGATATTTGGTCGATAAACTGAAGTCTCGAGCTCCATTTTCGTTGGTCTTGTAATTACTTTTTCCAAAAGTTATTTTGTTACGTGAATAAGAATCGATCGGAAGTAATGAATTATAAAGGTGGAAATGGATAGGAATAATTGGGGGAATCCATCGACATGTGTGCCTTTTTTAGGTAAATGTGCCAAGTTATGTATGGTTTTCGTCATCATTCGGTTAGGATTATCTCGAACCAAATTTTATATATTTTGTCTAAAAAAAAATCGCCATTTCTGTATCCGGATAATGTGTTAGGATTTTAGGACCCTTCTTGGACATAATTAAAACAGCAGATAACAAATCAAAAGATGATTGAGAAACTCAGAATCTAAACCTCCTTGTATCTATTGGCTACGAGTATGTTTTAACGTTTCGGACTATTGAAAACCTCTGCTTGCCCCATCTTTGTTCTTTTTAGTCTCTTTAGTGCACAAGACTCAAGTATTTGGCGAGTAGTAGTACCTCCACCAGAAGCGTTATACAGTAAACAAAGACTCAAAGTTTGGCAAGGAGCAACACAATTACAAAAATAGAAATTTGGATGAGATATGTGGTTCATCAAATATTAGACCAATGAAGAATGAATCAAAACAAATTGATATTTATTAAAATGGTTATACAAAATGAATTGAATCTAAAAATATAAAACGTTTACAAACATCTGAAACACAATCCATTTCTTGTACACACACCAAGCACCCTAAAACCCAATTTTAGAAACTCTCTCAACAAATTCATCACACACCAAATTCAAAAGTCAGTCTCCAAAATTAAGTCATCACTCTTCCAATTTCAGCATAAAATTGGGTCCAAACTAAAAAAGAAGAAGAAAAGAATAGATCTCTCTCAAGAGCAAATTGGGCAGAGAACCAAACCATTCTCATTACACTCCAAACACTTAACCGTAGCTTTCTTCTTCTCCTCCATAACCTTACAACTTCCATTGCAAACCGAACACATCACAAATCTCAACCCACCGCATCCGCAGCAGCAACTGCCTCCAAGCCTCGCCGCCGGCATACCTGCAAGTAAAATCCCCAATTTGCCCTCCTCCTCCAACCTCATCACCTCCTCTACACTCCCAATCATCCTACCCCTCACGAACACCGCAGGAATCTTCACCTGTTTCGTTCCCATAATGCCCCTGATCTCTTCCTTGAAAACCGAGTGCATGGACACATCCCGCTCCGAGAATCGAACCTCGTGCGAATCCAACACCGATCTCACCGCATTGCAATCCTCAAACGTCTTCCTGATCCCTCTCAGCGATGTTATGTAGATGACCACCGAGTCTTCTCCTCCAGGCGGACATTTCTCAGGGAAGCTCTCGAGTATTCTCTCCGATTCTCTGGTTTTCTCGGGGACGTGAGAGATCACCATCTTGATCTGCTCTTTCTCTTGAGACAACTCTCTCTCGTAGGAAGCAACGAGATCTGGATCGAACATGGGACTGTAACTCTTCCTCCTCTGCGTAACCGAAGAAGGCTCTTCTGATTTGAGAGGGAAACTCAAACGCATTACGCCTCTCTTCGGAGTCTCAAGAATGTTCCTCGGCTTCAGAATCTGATTCGGACTCACACCTCTCGAGTGATTAATTCTCCCTCCTCTGTTTTCTTTCCCTCCAAATCTCTTGCTACTGCCTCTCTTCGGAGACTCAACCGCAGATTTCACCGGAGTCTTCCACGATTTACCGAAAATGCCACGGGATTTGGGGCTAATCCTCTGTGGCATTGAATCTTCGAGATCTTCCATAAGCTCCCATGTGTTGATAATCTCTGGATCATCCTTCTGTGTTGTAGATCTCCTGGGTTTGATTTCGGATTCAGTTACGTCGCCTTTAGTGAGTTCCTGTGATTTGGGAGAAGTCTCTGCTCGTTCGTCGAGATCGAGATGGCCGTATGTGGTGGAAGTGAGGGAGACAATGTGATCGCCGCCATTGTTGACTCGAATCTCTCTTACCAGTTTCTTCTTGCCTAGTTTCGAAGAAACACAACCCATCTCTCTCTCTCTCTCTCTGATAAATTTTTACTGAGGGAAGTTATATTTTGGGGAAGAACAGAGAAGAAGAGGAAGAGGAAGGGAGTTATTTAGTTTTCCGATTTTTTGTTTTTAATTATTTATTGAATTTAATTACATTCAACGGTCATATTTTCGAACGGACATCTGGAAGTGGAAGTGGATCGATGGACTTTTGTCGGAACACCCTCTTCTTTATGTTTTTCTAGTTTTTACCGCATGGCCTTTTTGAAATTACCAGATAGCCCTCATTTTGTTTCTCGTTGTAATAATTTATTTATTCTGATCGCTTGTAAAAAACTGAAATTCGTCGGTTTTACCTCAAAAATCATTGATTTTTGCTTTGTTTGCCTAGATCCCTTCAAGTGCAGTCTGCAACGGTCTATTATTGTACGTTAAGCGACCGTTAACGCTTTCCAACTTACCTATGCCATGTGCATATCGAGTTATAAATTTAAACTAGAGTAATATCAATCTGTGTAAAAAACTATTGAAATGTAATGTTTAGAGAGGGACAATATATTCAGGACAAAGGAGGGCATGCAAATTTCAAATAAAAATGATAGAAAATCTTGACATACCCCCTAGATTGCACTTTAAATTAGAAAGATTGAAATAGTAACATAAGAATAGAGAAATCGTTTGCATATCTTAATCATAATGCCACCATACAGAGAGGAACATTGCTTAGCCTTTTTCAGTTCACCTTTATGGTTTTATTCTAAGATATTCTAAAATTATTTGGTTTTGATAATCGCTATTTCTTTGACCCTACCAAATGTTGCACAACTATATTTCCCTCCACCTATATATAAATTGATTGTCTTAATGTATGATATCGATGGAAATGTAATCATCACAACAAGCAATTAACTAACATTATCCGTCCTTAACGAGTAACTAAAGTGCAAAAGCTGACAATTCAACCACTAACAGCTAAACAAACAATTATAAAAAAAAACATTTTGAAACTCCAGATTCGAATTTCCAAATTTTTAATTCATTGATTAAATAACTTATGTTGTCAAAAATATATACACAAAAAGACACATGAAAGGGAACAAAAGATCATCCAAATGAAAATTTAAATAACCGGACCACAAATGTATTGATGGACCGTGTTATCATATATAGTCTGACTCGGACCACAAAAAATGTGTTGTATACCATCTGAAATTTTACAGAATTATGATTCGGGTAGAATGATGATTTTGTATGTTTACTATTATCTGAAAGTTTGAGATGATGAAAAAAGGTTTCTGTTTGAATGTCTTATAAGTTAAAAAACTGGTTTCGAAAAATCGGACAACAAAATAGAAGACCAAACCTTGAATTTACGTAACAATATATTTGTACATTTCTCTATCATACTACACTTGCACATAACTGAGTATTGGTAGAATTCAGATAGTAGCTGAACTAAGCAACATAAGTTTTTGCTTACACATTCACATTTATCATCTATACGCGTATAGAGTGAAAGAAGAAGATAACTTAAGCAGCATAAGTTTGCTTGAGATACTCTATGATTTCTGCACTCTCAAACATCTCTACTCCAGTGTTTGGATCTTCCAGGTAAGGCACCTGTATCCACATAATAACACAACTTATCAGTCTCATTATCATTCAAACCTTTGTCTCTCTTTCTCTCTCTCTATGTATGTATGTATTTCTCTAAACCACCTGAAAGTGACCAGCTTTATTGAGCAATTCCTGTCGTTTGGGGCTACCACGAGCGCAACTGATGAAAAAGAAGGAACAAAAGTAGAGTTAATATCAAGAAAAGAGGATAGTTTTGTCCCTCTTAAATTTTTTACAGTTTTGTTCCTTTGTTGCCATACCTGCGTTGGATGTGTGGTAACTCCAGTTCTACAAGAACTTCGCGTACAAGCTTGCAAAACGGCGAGCCCTGCACGGCGATTCAAACAGAGACTAAGTTTTTGTTATGTAAATATGATTCGGTATCTGATGATCAGGAGAAAAGTGAAGAGAGTGATACCTCGTATGCCCAGAATACAAGTGGCTTAGGTGGTAGTTTTGCTGGTGTGTACAAGTTACCCTGCAATGGTTTAACAGGATTTATATACAAAGTACTCATATAGTTTCATTAGATGCAAAGAAAATGTGTTGAAAGAATGCAACAGAATTTGTTCTAACCTTTCCCACACGACCAATCATTGCAAGGCCAGCTGTTATAGCCTACAACACCAGAGTACAAATCTTAATTTTATAGTCTTGGATTTCGAATATATAAGAAATATCGATAACATGCGCAAAGAAACTAACCGTTAAAGCACCAAGCGACAGACTCAAAGGCACTGTTCCATCTCCTGAACAAGTTTAACCAAACAGAGAAATTTTGTTTTAACTTGACTAGAAGTGAAGATGACAAAGATGATGCTACTGCCGATAACCACAAAGGGATCTGGTAAAATAGAACCATAATCAGAAACCAACCATATTTCTCGGATAGATATTTGATGATTCCATCTGATTCATACATGGACACTCCGGTATTAGGATCAACCTACAATCAAAAGAAAGATTACATGGTTACACAGAACAATAAAAATCTTATTAAAGTGGTGGCAAGGCAACAGACATGAGATCTACTTGTGCCTATAAGCGTGAAATGAAAAACAATATAAGGATAAAATGGCAAACCATGTACGGAAACTGTTGTTTCCCACCCATCCGTTTAACCTTTGGGCGGAAATTGGGACTCCCTCGCGGACAAGGATAGAAGAGAATGTCAAGATCCAACACTGCAACCATTTCTCTGACCTGCAAATTCTCCATATTAGTAGGCTTATCCTAAGCTATTGCAACACACCAAGGAAGGCACTCATTGTGTTGTAGGGGACACAGAGAATAGAGCAAACCCGAAAAATGATTGACAGGCAAAAATGATTCAACAACTAATAAAATGACTTTGATTAAGTAAAAGAAGAGAGAGTTACCTTCCGGCAGAAGGGGCAGCTGTATTCGCACACCGGAAATGCAGCAAAAGGAAACATTCACTCGATATCAGGAGATAATAGAAACCAAATGAGTCTAAAAGAACAATCAAGAGAGCATACATACCCTTCAAACTCGTATATCTCGATGGGCTTCTCAGGACGAGGCCCGAGCTTTGAGGTTTCCTTTACCGTGATCCCTACAAACAGCATTTCCCTTTATAACAACCATCTTTGCAGTTTGCACAAACTCATTTCATAAACAAAGCCTACAGCTTTTAGGGAAATTTTCCTACTCTTGAGATCCTAATCATCAAAATTCCATCCAACATCTAAACGAAGAGAAACAGAAAGTGAAAAACTTAGAAATTGCATAGATTACCTCCGATTCGCAACGCATACTGGTCAGCTGGAATCTCGTCCTTGGACACGAAAGATGCAGAGTACCTGCTCGGAGACAACGAAATGATCATCAATTGGAAAGCATCAAGCATAAACACGAGAGATTCAACTCTTTACACACTCAATCCAAGCTCAAATAACAAAAACAAAAAAAATTCAGAAATGTACAGTAGACGAAATTGAGGGAAAGAGAAGGAGACGAATTACCCAGAAACGAAAACCCCAGTGCCGAATCTGAAAAGCACTCCAACGGCTGCACCCAAGACATCGAATAGTTTTCCGGATTTCACTCCGAAGCGTTTCGGCTCGGGTGGCTTGAAACCGGGAGGAGCAGTGAATACCACAGCTCCGACGTCCTTGCCGGGTTTCGTGGACACTGAAGCTGACTCGGAAGGTTCAGCTGACGCTTTGACCATAACTAGGTTTCGAATTGATGATCTACTTCGAGAAGAAGAAGTCGGTAGAAAAATCGGAGGCTGAGGGAGGATATTGTTCACAAGTATCCCCGCCATCGATTTTTTTCTACTTTCGTCTGATTTTTTTGCTTCTTTCTCTTCTGTTACTTAAAATTTGATTTAATCTCTAATAAAATATGGGCATCAAACAATTAATGGGCTTTAATTTTGGGCCTTGGCCTTGCAGAGATTGTATATAAATGTATCTGGTCACCCCAAGTTAAATAGTTAAAGTGAAAGAAAGAGAGTGAAAACTTGCTAGAAGCAAAAGCAATAGTTTCAGAAAGAGGTATTTGGACGGTACCTACCAACGGAAGACCGACACGTGCCCAAAGTAGATTTGCTGTTAGCATAGCACGTGAGCCGACCAAAAGCATGGGAACAAAGGACGAGAAATCTAAATTCCTTTTGCCTTCGTCACTTCCGTGTTTTGTCCAAAGGATCACGAAAAGGAAATTGTACTTTCCAAAAGAGAATGAGAATGGAATCACTCATCCTTCAGATAAATCATAAATGTTTATTTTTAGTAATTCTTATCTCGATTTATATGTTCCCTCTTTTTCGATGTATCTACGACACTATTTCATTTACGAGACAACATATAATTTACATTATCTTTGTACGTTTTGAATTGCGTACTGTGATTTTGCGTTATAACTTAACATCATGTGAATTAACATTTTGCCATTACTTTTCTTTTAGTTTACAATTCATAGGTTGCAGTTCAACATTCATAAATCTTGTACAATGGATAGTCACATCAATCCTCTAAGTACATAGAGAACTTACATTTTCTACAACAACAAGAAAACATTTAAATTATTAAAAGCGAGTTCAGTTTTCAAAAGTGAACCAAAGCAAATCATCTGTTGATTTGGCCTTTGAATGTGGGCTGCTTATGCTCTTTTAAAAGATAATTTTCCTAGGACATATAAATGGTAACCAATTTAGAGACAGTGACATCCATGAGAGCACTATTTTCTAAGTCTATAATCATTAACACCAGTGCATTCCACTATTTGCATTGACCATAGGACCACTCTCATTATTACCATCTGTTTGTTCTAACATACGGGTTTAATATGCAAATTTAAGATGAAGAACTGTGCTCATGCCTTTGTCAAAAAAGAAAAAAAAAAAAAAGTATCCTCATGCTGACGCAACTTCCTTGCTTTGAGATTATGTAATTGGACCTCTTATCACATGTACAAAGACCAATACCGATCAGTCGATCTGTCATCATTATGACAAAACCCTAATTCTGTTACAAGATACATTATCATGTGAATTATTTACTGTGTACATTCATTGATAGTCAATCGTTGACCTTAGAACAATACACTATATAAGGTGAAACCACTGTGGAACGAACTTTTGATGGAAGCCATGTATAGTTCTTATATACCCACCCAATCCCATTACCTATTTATCATTTTAATGGTTTGTGTTGACCACTTCTCATCTTCTAGTTTCTCTTCTACGTGGTAGGAAGATTAGTCTAAATTTTGTCTGACATCTTACGTTATGTATAATTTTTTTTAAAGTGTACGCATAACGGATACATTTACACGAATACAGAACACGCGTTGATGAAGAAGAAAAATAAGACCTTGCACGGGAACATTAATACATCAAACACAGATAACTTGGGATCATTATGCTGAACACTACATTAGCCGTAATATAAAAACCAGACCATCGTTTTGTATTCTAGGACCACCAACTCAATCTCAGTTATCCCTAATTAATAAAAAAGGAAAATCGTACTTATAAGGGATACATGGAACAATGAACGAAATGCACCACCCCGACCACACCACCCCACCCACCATTAAAAAAGTAAAGGAAGTGAGGGAAAAATCAATTCGGGGCCCACTTGATTAGCACTAACCGTAACTTTAACGGAAGCCCCCAAAAACTCTTATAAAAACACAAACACAAATCTCCAAGCAAGCAAATAAGAGAAAAACAAAAAGCTAAGTAGAAAGAAAGAAAGAAAGAAAGGAGAAGAAGAAGATGGGGAACTGTTTCGTAATGGAGAGGAAAGTGATAAAGATAGTGAGAAACGATGGTAAGGTTCTTGAATATAGAGAACCCATTAATGTTCATCACATCCTTACTCAATTCTCTGGTCACTCTCTCTTTGACAACACCACCAAAACCAACACTGGTCATCAACATCATCATCTTTTGCCCCATGTTAAGCTTCTCTCTGGTCGTCACTACTATCTCCTCCCAACAACAACAATAACGAACAAGAAGAAGATCAAGAAAGTGACCTTTGCGGATCCTGAGGTGGAAGACGCCGAAAGATTACTAAGCGAAGAAGTAGATCATGATGATACTGGTGAAAGCAAGAGCAACAGAGATGACAGTACGACTGTGAGTGTTGTGAGAATGAAGATCGTTGTGCATAAGCAAGAGTTGGAGAAGCTGCTTCAAGGAGGGTCGGTCCATGAGATGGTGTACCAGAGTCTTGAGAAACAACGTTTCCTTACTGATGATGATGATGATCTTGATTGTAATAGAGGTTGGAGACCTGTGTTAGGTTGCATACCTGAATCCGATCAATAGTATACAAGATAGATATATATGTACAAAAACTGCCTTGAGCTTGTTCAGTGACAAGGGTTTTGTTGTATATTAACTTTGAAGCTATGTTATAAAAGACTGTGATACTGATCAAGTGGATATAAATTTAAGTAAAATTTACATATTAGTGCAAGCCTTAGTTCTTGTTCTTGTCTGTTACATAACAGATTATGAGCTAAATAAGAAGAGATATATGTACTCTACTTTTAACCAAAATTCATGTTTTTGGTCAATATAACAAACAAAAGATCATCACAAGCGAAAAGGTATCTTAAAACTCTTGTTCGTCTCAGCTATCTCCTTCATACTTGTCCATGATTTTCTCTTCCTATTGTCTGATCCACCAACAACTGTTGCTTTTTTCTCAGGAACACTCTCTGGCTCCATCGGTTTCTTACTTTTGGATCTTCTGATTCTCTTATCCCTCTCCAAGGTAAGCATTGGCTTCGGAGTATCGACAACACTAGTCTCCACCTGATCTTTCCCACTTCTTTCAGGTGAAGAAAGCATGTTACTTTGGGTTTCTTGCCTCATCATCGTCATCGCTTTCTTCATCTTCTTAGGGGCTTTTGGCTTTGGCGGGCAAATCTCTTTCATTTGACCTCTCGAAGTTCCTCTCTTGAGGTTACGGTGAGAGCAGAAACTGCAATAGTAAACCACATTGTTCTGAGGCAACACAACAATGTTAGGCTTCTTCTTCTTCTTCTTCTTAGCCGAAACCTTGTCGATTCTGACTTTGCAATTGAAACCAGGCTGAAGAATGGTCTCACACCTGCAACAAAAACCTTTGAAATCAATACATAATCCAATCTTTGTGAGCGCTAAGCAATCGAATCGCAAGATTTCATCTTTACACTAATCGCAAACAAGAAGCAACACAATTGATTCTAAGCAAACGAAAGGTTTTATAGATTGATTCAAGCAAACCAATTTCGACAATCTCAATTCCACTAGCACAGTTTCAGAGGAAAGAGTTTTAGATATAACCTTTGACAAGAGACGAGATCAGGATCAGGAGCAATCCCCGAAGCTTCTCCCTCGGCAGCAAGTAGACGGCCGAGCAAGGTAGCTACCGGCGGGAGGGGAGTATCTCCGGCGACAGACCAGAGAGCGAGATTTTTCAAGTGGTCGTGTCTAAGTACAGACTTGAGATTGGGTCCTCCTTGAGCTCTTGTAAGATTCTTAGCTCCTCGTTTCGCCATCCTTTTTAGGTCTCCGGGACTATTGACCGGAGGAGATTCCGTTCAATCTTCACTCGCTCTGACTAAAATAAGAACATAAAAATTCCATTTTGTTTTTTTTTTTCAGTTTCAACAGTGACCGGGAGATTGAGAGGTGTACCGATCGGTTTGGTTCGGTTTTGGTATTGTTTACTTGGGGATAGTAGTCATCACTTTTTTTTCCAGGCACTATGAAAAATCCGAAAGCTTCGATTATGAACCATAGAAACATCTTCCATGGCGGAAATTCGAAATCGTAATTAGAAAACAAGTAGAAGAAGAAGAAGAGAAAGTCGTAATTAGAGAATGGCTTCTGTGTCAACATGCTTAATCGTCTCCCCTAGGCTAACTCAATCGGTAATTTCATCAAGGAAGCCTTTGATTCGCCTCAAATCTCCAGTCGATCGTTACTCTTTTCCCGGTATCTCGACGGAGAGGTTTCGGAGGACTCGCCGGAAGTTCACGAGCCATGATATCTTGGTGGTGAGGGCTGCGAGTCTAGATAAGGTTAGCGGCGGCGCAATCAAACCAGGAGGATTAGTTGAGAGTGATAAGATACCTACGGATGTCCGGAAACGAACCATGGAAGCGGTGGATGAGTGTGGCCGGAGAGTCACTGTCGGCGACGTGGCTAGCAGAGCTGGATTGAAAGTCACCGAAGCTCAGAAAGCGCTTCAAGCTCTCGCGGCCGATACAGATGGGTTTCTAGAGGTATTCGCTGATTCAGTTTCATGCCCATTACTCAAAATTGATACATAAATTTGAAGTAAAGTTTTGATCTTTATGCGTTCGATGTTGAGTTTAGTCGTCTGAAGGTGTAAAGTTTCTTCATTTAGGTATCGGATGAAGGTGATGTACTTTATGTTTTCCCAAAGGACTATCGATCAAAGTTGGCTACTAAGTCGTTGAGGATACAGATCGAACCATTTCTTGACAAGGCAAAGGTATTGTCTTTTGCTATGATTTAACAGTAAATTGATTGAACGTTAATGTTAGTTATCAACTGAGGTCTCTATCTATGATGGGACTCGCAGGGTGCTGCAGACTATCTGACTCGTGTTTCCTTTGGCACTGCGCTTATTGCGTCTATTGTTATCGTCTACACGACAATCATAGTCTTGCTTTCAAGCAAAAGGTATTCGTTTGACTTGAATGCAGTTACGTTGTCTTGTTTATAAGATGTATTATCATTCTGGACAATGGCATTGGTTTGTATTTTGCACTAACATATTGGATTTTTGTTAACAGCGAGGATGATAATCGGCAAAGAAGACGTGGGCGTGGATATGGTTCTGGACTCAATTTCTATATCAACCCTATCGATCTTTTGTGGTAATTTGATTTCCTGATTAAGGGTTCATCAACTCTTAACCAATAGAGAGGAATGGTTTGATATAACAGGAGCTCATATTCTAGTGTTTTTATGTAAGGTACTGGGATCCCAATTATTACAACAGGCGACGTGCTCGAGAAGATGAAGGAAAGGGAATGAATTTCATTGAATCTGTAAGTTGGAATTGAACTTGAAAGCTTTCATGATTTTGTATTATGTTTCTCCCCTAGTTGCTTCTGAGTAAGAATGAATTGAATTAAGTAATGGTTGATTTATAGGTATTCTCCTTTGTATTTGGAGATGGAGACCCAAATCAAGGAATTGAAGAAGAGAGGTGGCAGATGGTAATGCGCACGACCTTAATCTTCTCATTTTCATGATCCTATTCAGGCCACTAGCTCCAATCTGTGGAAACAATTTAGATGATGTCTCTTTGATTAGGAAACAAAATGTTGATTAGGTTCCATACATATAATGAAGTACTAAGCATGTGACACCTATTTGCAGATTGGACGGTATATAACTTCAAGAGGAGGTGTTGTTGCAGCTGACGAACTTGCTCCCTACCTTGATGTGCCATCTTCCAAGAGTGCTGCGGTATGTTTTGCTTATTGTGTATGGGGAGCTAATGAAACTAGTTTTTGATTCTGCTAACTGCCTTTGTGCTGGTCTCGTTGTACTCATTTACCTCTCGCGCTAATTGTATCACTAAGTAATGTATAAGACGTACTTTTCAAAGCTTCTTAAGTTTTCATTTTGATGTTTACAGAGAGATGAATCCTACATTCTACCTGTTCTTCTTCGGTTTGATGGTCAACCTGAGTTGGATGAAGAGGTATTTAAATCCTCCTTCTGGTTGCTTAAAATGTAATGCCCAACGGTGCATAATCTGCAGTGTTATCTTCCTGTTGCTTAGGGAAATATTTTGTATCGCTTTCCGTCCCTGCAACGCACAGCTTCTGGATCTAGTAGACGAAAGGAATACGTGGGAAAATGGTTTGACTGGGTTCCAGACATGGAGATGTTCTTCAAGGAGAAAAAATGGCAATTTAGGTTCTTATCATTGTTTGCTCCTGGAATTTTAAGTGTTTATTACTTCTTGTGGTTCAGTTCCTGATAATGGAATGTTCTTTCTCCACAGTAAAACTAGTTCATCCGAGAGAGGACTGGTCATTGGCCTAGGTGCTGTTAATCTCTTTGGTGTTATTGTTCTAAACGCCATGCTAAAGTAAGCCCCTCCTTGATTATACTCCACCTAATATATATAAACTTTCTTCACACTCTCTTAATTGTGTTTGGATCTTCGTTTCCAGAGAGGTGAATGTCATGCCAAGTGGATTTCTTACATTTGTTAAGAACATATATCCACTACTTCAGGTATGCTTTAGTGTCTGTTGATATGGCAAACTATCAAATAGTTTCCTGCTTCTGTTTTTTTCTTATTTGCTCTAACCATGCTCGTAAACAAGATCCATCTTGCTGTCTGCCTTCATTGAGTGTACGAACGACTCTGCAGATATATGCAGGTTCATTCTTTGCCATCCCTCTGGTTCGTTGGTTTTTGATCAAGAGAAAGAATGATCAGATAGAGAATAGAAACAAAGCTCGGTTACAATTTACAAAAGCACTTGAATCTCCAGATATCGCACTACGGCGTAAGGTAGGCACATCAGATGTTTGACTCCATTACTATTCCAAACATCAAACTTCTTTTTTACTTGGCAACTGTGAAATAACGCCTTCAAACTAATGCAATGCAGCTACTGAGTGCGAGGGATATGGCTCAAAATACAGTCATAGGGAAGGAGCGGATCGTGTATAGTACAGAGAAAGATATGATTGAACAAGACTACGAGGCTGACGAATGGGATAGAAGATTCCGAGAGGTGGAAAAAACGGATTGAAATGTGAAATATCTTAGTAAGTGAATGAGGGCAGTTTCACATTTTCTTGCTACAATCACTCATCACGCACATCTCTTTATCTCTATCTCACTCTCAATCTCAAATGCCATCCGATTTTGCATATGATAACAGGGGCTTGTGACATTGTGCTAAGTTACGTAGCAGCTCACACTTCATCCGCAACACAGAACTATCTCAACAACTTAAGACAATTCATGGAGGCTTGAGTTCCAGCGGATGACACAAGCCATGGTACATAGTATTTAGACATTCTTCCTCTCTTTGAAGCTGAGAGAATCGTTGGTTTCTTTATAGGTCTCCTAAGTTGAAGAACTGATGAACAATATCGTGCTGCTACTGAGCTCGCTCTCTCTAACACAATCATACCTGCAAGCTTGGTCTTGTTTATACTATCAGTGATGAGATATTATGTATTTGATCGTTCCTGAGAGTTACCGCAAAAACACAACAGTAGATTATATGTAAAAATATTTGTATATACATACCAAAGTCCGTTTTGTTTCTGTATGTTATATTATGAATGTGGGTTTAAGAGAGCTCTTCCATCTTATAGGAACAAAAAATGTGGAATTTTCACAATTTAAGGACGAAATTGGTATGAAAACGGATTAATGGGGTCAATTTTGAAAATGTTTGTAAACTGTGGGGGCAAGATAAAAAAATGAATTACGTGGATGGTTGAAGAAGCGTGGTATGACGTTGTCCGCCACAAGCTTGAAATAATCTCTCTCGCCTCCAATTCGATTCCGTCGCTGTTTTTGACGAAGTTAGAAAATTTCCAAAAAAAAAGAAGAATTTTATTTTCCAGGAAGCTTGAAAGGTTCTCGCATGGTGAGAAAACTCTAAAATTCGTGTATCGAAGGAAGAGAGCAAGAGAGAGAGAGAGAGAGATTCTGAAGGATTTGAAATCATGTCGAGATCTCTGGTGAAACGCGTCGGTCCGTTTATGATTGGTCGGATTAGAGAAAATCATCGAATGCTTAATTTTTCATCCGCTTCTGCTCTCAAAGAAGCTTCTTCGTCTTCCTCTTCTTCTTCCCAGTCTGATTCTTCTTCTCTCGACACCGTCCATCTCAGCGAGAGTTGTATCCGGGTATTGCTTCTGCTGTTTGAATTATCTTTCTGAAATCCGATTCCTAGGTTTTTATGAATCTGGTTCTGCTGGATTTTGCTCTAATTGAACGAGTTTTTAACGAATTTCAACACTTTAACAAATAATTGGCTTGTTTTGAACATCCGTAGTTCACGGTTCTGCAGAAATAGGAAAAAAAAAGGAAAATCCTTTTCTACCTCAAAATTGCTTGAATTGAACAAAGAAGAATGATATGTAACATCGAATTCTTTTAAATTTTGAGAATTTCTTCCCAATTACATTGGCTATGTTGGATATGCCATCATGTTAGTAATGGTTATTTGTTTTGTTAATCAATTGCTAGTGATTGTCATCGGACATGTTGATATCTCTTGTTCTCAGAAGCTCTGAATTTGATTGTTACGACACATACAATAATTTGTTGTTATGCCACTTGTCTTGTCAACTTGACACTAATGAGTTGTATATTTTATTTCAGAGAATGAAAGAGTTACAAACTAGTGAGCCCGAGAAGAAACTGCTTCGCTTAGGTGTAGAAACGGGAGGTTGTTCTGGTTTCCAGTATGTGTTTGAGCTTGATAGTAAAACCAATTCTGATGACAGGTGTCTTTGCTCTCCTCAACTCTTACTATTTTGCTATTACTTTTCTTTCCCTCAAGCTATAAGCCTCACGGATCTCCGTTTATTTTTGTCTCACTTTTAGCTGCTCTTGAACATTTCAGGGTTTTCGAGAAGAATGGTGTGAAACTGGTTGTAGATAATATTTCATATGATTTTGTGAAAGGTGCGACGGTGGATTATGTGGAGGAACTAATCCGCTCTGCTTTCGTGGTAATGTCCTCTTTTCCATCTTCCTAGACTTGTAATCTCGTTAGTTACCATTGTTCTTGTAAGTTTTGCCTGAGCTGATTGGAGTTTATAAGCCTAAGATTCTTATTACCATTTGTAACATCTCTTCCTTGTGCCCTCTGTTTTTGAAATGGTGACAAGACAAATCTTTTAAACAGCATGTTTGTCCATTTTCAGGTTGCTGAAAACCCGGCCGCGGTCGGTGGGTGCAGTTGTAAGAGCTCCTTCATGGTGAAACAGTGAATAGTTGAATTATTCTTCTTTATACAGGAGTAGAAACCACATTTGATAATTTGTTATTACATGTATGATTTCAGAAGTTTTGTTATGTATTCAAAAGGCATAACTAGGGAGAGATACAAGGAGGCTTCTATAGCTTAACACATGATTTGTCTTATCCTATTTTTAAATAATAATTGAATGAGTTTACACAGAGAGCAATGTTGCGACTTCTCTTTATCTACAGAACAGTTGATCATATACTACTACATACATAGATCTCTCAAATCACGAGTCCAGCTGATGAAAGTGAGTCCTTGTGAGTACTTAACAGAGAAGAGCGACTTAATTCTTTAAGCTTTCCCTTGTCCATCAAGAACACTCTCTGCGCCATCATCACTGTCTCCAGTCTATGTGCAATCACGATTACCTGTAAAAATGCAAACATCCGGGAGTCATGTAAGCAGGAAGCTGAGATGATTTACGTAAAAATGATTGTTTATAACAGAATAGCTGAGATGCTTCTTGTTACCGTATGGTCTTCCATTACACGTTCAAGGGCTTGTCTGACTAGCAACTCCGACATACTATCCAATGCTGATGTTGCTTCATCCAAAATCAGTATCGATGAGTTGTGATAAAGCGCTCTTGCGATTGCTAGTCTGCACATTTGCCATTGATATTGATAACAAGATGATAAGCAATCCAGATTACTAAACCCGGAAGAGCATTACTAAATGCAGATTACCTTTGCCTTTGGCCTCCGCTAAGGCTTGAACCCCTGGGACCAATTCCTGTGTCGTATCCCTCTGGTAGGTTACTGATAAATTCATCAGCATTTGCAGTTCTTGCAGCAACCTCAACTCTCTTCATGTCAATCCCTGTCGTGAGATCTCTGTACCCAATGTTTTCAGCAACAGTCCCTGTAAACAGAGTCTTGTGTATGTAGAAAAACATAAGTTACTACAATGAATCCTGAAAGAAAGAGAAATTTTTGAAGGACAAGAACTTACAATGTCCTGTGAAACCAGACCAACATGCTGCCTCAAACTTTCCAGTTTGATATCCTTAATGTCATGTTTGTCAACATAAATAGATCCTATTAAAATAAAAGTAGAAAGAGTGCTTAGACAACAAACTCATTTGGTTCTAAACATTGTTGTAAACAAAGTTCACGCACCAGATGAAGGTTCGTAAAGGCGGAGAAGCAGTTTGATAAGTGTTGTCTTTCCTCCACCAGATGGCCCAACAAGAGCTATAGTCTCTCCTGCTTTAATATGAAGATTCAATCCATCCAAAATGGGGAGCATCTCTTCACCATATTTAAATGAAATATTACATAATTCAACCTCGCCTGCAACTTTTTCCAATTGAATGGCGTCAGCTCTCTCGACCACCTTAGATTTCAAGGAGGTTAAATCAAACAAACGCTCTATCGCTGGCTCTCCTTGTTTCAATTCATTATAAGCTTTTCCCAGATCCTGCATCATCATTCTTTAGATTCAAAATCCCTATAAGACAGCTCTGAGAAAGCAGGACGGGACATGAAAATGCAACTCTGAGAAACGTATATACCTGGACAGGCTCGATCAAGAAAGCTAATGATGTCATAAAGGACACAATCGCACTAGAGCTTAAAGAAGAGCCTGCAAGTGTCACCGCTCCAACAGAAAACACCGACAGTGATCCGAGATAGATAACTTGAACAATCTGAGGGATAAGTGACTTCATTTTCTTCTTCTTAAAACGTTCAGATAGGTCAGCACGAGCAAACCTCTGAAACCTCACAGTCTCGGAAACCTCTGCGTTATTAGCCTTCACAAATAAAATTGCAGGAAGCACCTAAACATAAAAAAGCTCTGCTTTAGTAAAAAAAAAACAAATGTAGATGTTCAAAGTGAGAAACTTTTCAAAGAAGAACAGAGGAATCAGAAAAGAACACCTCGTTCAAGTAGGCAGAAAGTGCAGCAGAGGCAATCTGAGCCTTTCTTGATATCTTGCGAAGCCGGTCACCAAGAAACGCTATGACTAGCGCAACAGATGGGATCACCTAAGCAAAACAAGAAACTTTATACGCTTGAAGTAATGAACAAAGACAGTATTTCCAAATTCTTCACTCTCACCATTGCAGAGACTAGTGTCAAAACAGGACTTGCAACAACCATATGTGTCGCCATTGCAGATATCTGGAAAGCACTCGGCACAACTATCTGCAATAAGTTTAGCTTCTAGTCAGCAAAAGCTAAACAATTTCCTTTTAATCCGGAAAATTGGAACTTTTCAGAAACCTTCCTCTGTTTTGGAAACATTCATTCATAATAAGCTAAAGTAATGATTTTTTAGATTACTCACGTTGAGAAGAGCATACATAGTGTCAGCAACTTCCGAGGCTTCGGCAGTGATACGGTAAGCAATGTCACCTGATGAGATCCCATCCCCACCTTCGAAGAACTCCAATTCTCTCTCTAGAACCCTCTGATACGCGAAAACCCGAATCCTGTAAACCGAATTCAACGCAGCCTCCCATAGAAACGCTTGCTGCAGATAACCAGTGACGACCCTGGCCAGAAACAGAGCCGCCAGCACGAGAGCCGCGTTTCTGAGCTTCATCGGGCTCGCGGCGTTTGCGTTTAGGTTGGAGGTGAAAGAACCGATCCTGGGGATAATCTGAGAGAGCGAGACCACGGAGACCAAGCTGCAGAGCCAGCCAGCGAGGATGGTTCTGGATTCCGATTGTAGGTAAGGTTTAACATTTTCGAAGGGTTTTAGCGAATTGACGGTTGCATTGGCCCGAACAAGGAAAACGGAGGATTTCCCGGAACTTAGAGGTCTCGTCGACGGTTGGACTGGAAGTTTGAGGATGAGAGAGGAGCTCCGTCGGTGAAATGGCGGCGGCGGGAAGAGGAGACACGGCGTCGTTGGGCGGAGGAGAAACGGCATTTCTCCTAATCAAACTGTATCAAACCAGATCGATAAGTTTTATTCATTTGGGGATGACAATTCTCCTTAACCAGAGATATTTTTTAAATTTCGGTTGCCATTATCCCGAACCCGAACAAAGTAATTTCAGACCGAACACAAACCGAAAATTAAATCCCGACATAAAATCATCTAAGTATCTAACGGAAACTTGTTTACAAATGGAAATTCTCAAAATACCACAAAATAAGTTTGTCTTCCAAAAATACCACAAACGCTAATTTTGTTTCTCAAAAGTACCACCAAAACTGATTTTTCCAAAAATACCACAAACGCTAATTTTTCTTCCAAAAATACTACCACAAACGCTGATTTATCCAAAAATACCACAAACACTAATTTTTCCGAAACTACCACAAAAACTTATCTTTCCGAAAATACCACAAAACTAAAACTGATTTTTCCTAAAATAGCACAAAACTAAAACCCAAAATCTCATGTCTGATCTCATCTTTGTCATGTACGAAGGAGAACATTCCGGAGCTAAGGAAGTGCAACTCCTCAAACCCAAAATCTCCTTGTCGGATCTCGTCTTTGTCATGCGCGCGTACACAGAAGCAAAGAAGATAGTTCACAAAATCGGTTTCACTGAAGATTTCTCAGTCTCCTTTAATCCGGAATGAAAAGAAAATGCGTGGAACAAGTTTGTTGCTTGAGAGTCAAGAAACCGAGCACCGATTTTTGTGTTTTTCCCAAATCAGTAATAGAAAATTTAGGATAATTCGAAATGTCTTTCCAGTTTGTGAATTCTCTATTCATTTTATACAAAAACAATCCGTTTATGAGACTTGGATCAAGCTCCACGACTGAAACATGAAGGCGTTTTAGTTGCCAGAGCCAAACCCACGAGGACCTGGCTTGCTTGAGGCAGACCCCACAAACTTCTTCCTTGACTCCGCCTTTCTCTTCCTCCTAGCAGTTCCAGGTGGAGCCTAAGATACATTTACAAGAATCCATTAAACTCTGTCACATGTTAGAAAAGTGAAGAAGAAGAAGAGAGAAGAGAGAAGAAACCTTCTGTTCTGCTTTCAGTGCGTCCTCAAGACCGCTTAATGCAGGAATTGATCCTCCTTCCATTACTCCCATCAAGTTCTTCATTTTCACTCTCATTTGGAATATTTGTGCTACAAGTGCGCTCACCTGACCAAACAACAAATAACAACATGGTATTGAATCTTTTATATTTTGTATTCTGACATCTGAAACTTGAGCTTATAATGTGAGTGAGTTAGTACCTGTTGTTCTGTCTTTCCTGAATCTTTAGCAACTCGTTTTCTTCTCTCTGGAGATTCTGCTAGTAGCTCTGGTCTCTCTCTTTCCTCTGTCCAGCAGATTTAAACGAGCATAAGACAACCAAAAAAATCAAGATTATGTAATGCTTGTTTGTTCAATGGAAGAAACAAAACCAGGTAACATAGCTTCGATCATTGCTTCCATGACTATAAGATTCTTCTCTGCTTCTCGGATCTGCGCAGGACTCACTTTCCCCATCCCGGGAATCATTCCAAGAACACGTGTCATCGAACCCATTTTCGCAACAGCACGAGTCTGCTTCAGGAAATCGTTGAAGTCGAACTTTGCACTCATTATCTTCTTCTGCAGATCTTCAGCATCTTCTTGACGCATCTATCAACACAGATATGAAAAGACATCATCAGCAAGAGAGAGCGAGAGAGAGCAAGAAAGAAAGAAAGTTTGATAGCTGAAAACTTACAACTTCTTGTGCCTTCTCTACAAATGAAAGCACATCTCCCATTCCTAGAATCCTTCCAGCCATTCGGTTTGGATAAAAGGGTTCAAGATCCTCCATTCTCTCTCCACGTCCTACCAGTTTTATCGGTTTTCCAGATACCTAGTGACACACCCATTTAAGACTACACTATCAATTTCAAGCGTAAATTAGATAACTTTCTAGGAGATATTCGATCGAGCACAAACCTCCTTGACACTCAAAGCAGCACCACCTCTTGAATCACCGTCCAGCTTTGTCAGAATGGCTCCTGTGATTCCTATCTCTACATTGAATGTCGTCACCAATGCTGCAAGAAACAATTACCAAAGTTTAATGCTATATAAATCAAGAAGCTAATACATTTTCAGGAAAATTTATAAGAAACCGAAACAGAGTACCTGCAGCTTCTTGTCCGGTCATGGCATCAACAACTAGCAAAACTTCTGTGGGATTCAGAAATCTTTTCACGTCTTTTAATTCGTCCATCATCCCTTTATCGATCTATATAAAAAAGAAGCAGTTTCATCATGACCAAAGCTGCAAACAGGTTTGTGATACAATTGTGACTCTCAAAGACGAAAGATTACCTGAAGCCTCCCAGCAGTATCCATAATAACTACATCCACATTATTCTTTTTAGCTTCTTTTAGACCTTGCTTTGCTATTTCTGCAGGTTTCACTTCAGTCCCTGCTGTATACACCGGCACACCAACCTGACACAAAGAGAGCATCACATGTTCATATACAGGTTCTCTTAAGCCGGTTTACGAGTACACAGGATGATACAAAACTCCATACCTGTTCACCTAAAATGACAAGTTGATCGATGGCAGCAGGTCGGTACACATCTCCAGCAATAAGCATGCAAGATTTTCCCTGTAAAAAAGTTATCAGTTTATCATAATAAATGTCAACAGGGAGTAACAATCTCATCAAAATCTCCATTGTATTTTTCAAAAATGCATACCTGCTTCTTAAGGTAAAAAGCAAGTTTAGCGCAAACAGTTGTCTTCCCCACTCCTTGGAGTCCAGCCAACAATATTACAGTAGGACCTGACTTAGCAAATTGTAGCTCAGATACTTCTCCACCCATCAATTTTACTAACTCATCATGCACAATCTGCAAGAAAAGGTCCAAGCTTTAACTGCTATTGAGAAACTCAAATGATCACAAAACCGATTCATTGCAAATTACTTTGACCAACTGCTGATCTGGTTTGACTCCTCGAATGACACCCATTCCAACAGCTTGGTCACTTACTGATTGAACAAACCTTCTTACAACTGGGAGACTCACCTGTTAACAAAAGCGACTAAAATCACTTGTCTACAAGAACAGAACAACCTATGGAAACAGAACAAACAGAACTCACATCTGCTTCCAGGAGAGCTCTTCTGATATCTCTCATTGGCTCAGCAATATTCTCCTTCGTCAATACCTCTGCGATTTCAAATTACCGTAACTAACCAGCTTTTAGCACATAGATGAACAAACTGCTTATCTTCACTCATCTTCTCACTTTCTGGGTCAGAGCCAAACTACCAAAAAGCTAACAGCTTTGAATATTTACAATGAAAATTCGAACCTTCTCCTTTGAGTTTGCTCCAAGCAGCCTCGAGGCCACCGGTCAATTGGCCAAACATCTCCGCCCTCACTTGGCTCCTTCTGTATCTTCCATGCCCAACTGTCTTCGTTTTCACCCAACTCCATATCTCCTTCTACTCAACACAGACACCACAAAAGTACACTAACTAACCCAAAAAAAACTGATAGAAACGAACAGCAAAAACAAAAAGTCTGAAACCAAACCGTGGATGGATTCTTAGAGGAGAGAGAAGCTGAATTGCTGGTTCCGATGAAAGCAGAACGAAATGTAGCCCTGCTTCTCACATTTCCGGTACAACTCTGAGTGCACGTTACTCTGTTCACAGAGAAACGGCTCGAAAATTGCAGAGCCTCCATAAGTAGTAGTGATCGGAGAAGAAGCTCAAAAAACTTGTCCGGAGCTCCGCAATCTTAATTTTATCCTTTTGGATATTTCCATTTTATCCGTCTAAGTGACGTGGTTCATTAATAGCCGTCGATTATGCTCTCTTTAAATACGATACCGTTTCAATGAGTTTTTTATTAATCGCTCAGGCAAAATTAACATGTCTATGGTTTAGAGTTTAGACTTTGAACAAAAAGAATCACATTCATAAAGATGCTTCCAAATCCTCAACAACAGAAGCAGACACCAAATCCCCAAAAAACTTGAGATATGAGACCAATCAAATAAAAGAAAGAGAAAACCAGTAAAAAAGTTACATGAATGTTCAAGAATTTAACAACAATGTTGGTTTGAGGTCAGAGACGACTTCTTGGAGCTGCTCATATTACTAGTTTCATTAACAAAGGAAGACCAGAGAGAGACTTTATCTGCATCCTTTTTACTATTATCAAACCAAGAATGATCCATGACACCTACACGTTGCCTCGGTGTGCTCAGTGATCTAAACTTTTCCCTTGCAGACTCTGTCACACTCATGTAAGGCTGCAAGCTCTCAAACCAGCTCTCTTCCTCCAACAGACTCTGCTCCAAACGGCTGAAAGATCTCCTCGGGAATGAAAATGGAGAGTCTTGTCCATCAACAGAGTCTTGTCTCTGTAAAGCTCTAAGCTTTACTTTTGTGATTTCGCTTGGAATGAGGATTGAGTTTATGGACGACTTTGCAGACTTGGATTCACCCAAATGTTCAAGCCTACAGCTTCTCATCCCCATGTCCTTTGAGTACAATGATTCCAGAAGCATATGAGGACTCCTTCTCTCCCGATGAGAGCGAGAGTATTTCAACATACGCTCACGCTTCACCACACCTTCTTGCTTCCTCAACCATATGGCTTTGATGTCTTCCTTTGTGAGTGCGCTACTGTCCCAGCCATTGCACTCCACCTGTTTCTTGTGACACGTTGAATGTTTTGATACCTTGACTTCTTCTTTGATCTCAGATTTGGGCTTGGACCAATGTTTCCTCTCTGTGTTTCTCTGCATGAGGCTTGATGTTGAAGCTTTGTTGGAAGGTAAAGCAGACACCTTTCTCCTAACAGCTCTGCCACGGACTATTGCTTGAAGCCTTACCAATGCTTTCAGCGCACGCAACGCTTTCCTCGCCTGTTTGTAATCAAATCAATCACAAGATGATCAAACACTAAACATACAAAGTAGTAGCTTCAACAGATACTAAGATCTCAGAGTAGAGTGTACTGACCAGATAAGCCCTGAATGCACTTTGAATCTTTATAGCAGCCAAATTGGGATTGCGCTTCTTGACAAAATGTTGTGAAGTGAAGGCGTTTCCTGCCATCTTGACAACCTCAGCAGCTGCCTTGGCGGCTGCAACCGCCGCCTCAGCTGCTGCTGCTGTGGCAATGGCTACATTCACGGCATGCTTTCTCTGATCCTCTGTTGCTTCGTTCAAAGTCCTTGTCTTTTGCACCGTAGTTGCAATCTGATGTCTCAGCTTTAGCCTTCTAAACACCCATCTCAACCTCCTTGGCTTCTACAGAAACGAATCATTTTAGTTTTAGAACACACGAACTATTCATGGTTTCAAGAGAAAGGAGCAAAACCTTCTCTGGTTTTGCTTTCGCCTCGCAGATGAATAGCCTTTTCATCCAACCGAACCATGACCTCCTCTTCGTCATCAGATGAAGTTCCTTGGTAAGAGATGATAAAAAGAAGCCTCTTAATTGAGTTGATCAAGAAACAGAACAAAATTCTAGAGAAGAACCATCAAGAGAATCATAATATTTGTATGGATAAAAAAATGCATCTTGATTCCATCCATTTAGTTGTTCATTAGACTTATCAATAGATACCACATTATGTTTCAGATCAGTAGAACAAACAATGATGTAAGAAAACATTGTTAATAGATATGGCAGAGGAACTCGAGGAACTCAAAAGAACAGATAATCTTCCTTTACCTGTGAACACGTACAAACCAAATGATCTTATGAATCAGAATGTGAAGTTTGAGTTTGTGGAAGACAGGAAGGTAGTGATGATGTGGAGATTTCAGACAATTGTGAGAGAGGTGATTTCAACTGATACCTAAATATAGGATCATCGCAATCTCTTTTCCAACTGTCACTTTCACTATCTATGATTACTGACTTGTTCAAACCCCTTCTTTTGCTTTTGGTTTCTGAACCAATCACTTGAAATTGGCCCACCCTCGTTTTGTCATTGTTTAATCCCTTAATTTCTCTTACTTTCAAAATAATTTATCCAATTTCTCAACAGTCTTTTCATGCTTTCTTTCTTGCCCACTTTTGGCTTGTGATAAAAGAACATGTGGCTTGTCAACGTATCTATCTATGCTTACAGAAATATCGTAAATTATGTAAAGTAGATCATATCATATTTTAATGCAACTGTTATGATAACCGCATGAAACATATGTACAGTGGACTCGTGAAATATTATTGCTTGAAGAGAAAAGAAAAATAATGACAACAATGAGTGGTAGTACAGTTTAATCATTAATAGAGAAAGAAAAATTAATACATCCAACTTTTAAGATTTTAAACCAAGAACTATTTTGGGCTTGATTTTTCTTGTACTTAGGGTAATTGTTGAGAGAATGCTAACAGTGTTACTAATCACTTATATTTACTTTTCGATGGTGAATATTTATATCTACTAAATGAAATGAAACTATTTATGTTCTACATCTTAAAGAAATGTTTCAAATGTTTTTGTAATTACGAATATCTAACATCAAAAGATTATACTTTACAAATTTGGGTAATAATTAGCTCAATTTATCACAAAGTTTAGGCGATGGTGGTCCAAAGAGACCAAAGTTCGTTGTTGAGTAGATCATTACAACTTTAGTTATCATGTCATTGGAACAATGATGAGCCATGTGATGTGAGTCATTTATAATATGAACATAGAGCGAGCTTATATAAGCCTATAGGTTTCATTTAGCTTTTAAAGAATGCATTTGAGTTTCTCAACACAGTAAAAGATCCTTTTGAGTTGTTATACAGTCCCACCACCCCTTTAAACACTTCTATACGATAGTTGCCGACAAAACAAAAAAAACCAAAGTAACAAATAAAAAAAAAAAAAAAAAAAATCAATGCAGCAATAATGAGATCATAAAGGATTATCTGTACCTAAGATTACATGATCTGTTTCTTAGATCACTACATGACGCTTTCTAAATAGATAAATGAAAAAGCACACTTTCCGTCATTACATTTCAAAGAATGTGGACATTCTCCACAACCTACCTAGTCATCATCCAGTGAGACCCATTTATGATATCAACATCAGAGCAACTATACAAAGACAAGTAGATGAATTTATTTAGAATTTGTTAAACTGGTTCTCTGTTCTCTCAACAAAATGAGTCAATCACGAAACGCAGATTGCAAAAAACTTGGTCATCACAAAAGGCACACAATCTTTAATGGCTTAATACCGTAATACAATGGCCATGAGAGGTTCATCAATGGTCAAACCAAAAAAAACTTACACAAACCATAATCCAATGGCCATAACAGCAAAAAGATATTAGAGGCCTCAACACAAACTGATTATTAGTATTACCATAAGCTACTTACTTACTTACTGAGAAAGAGACATCTGATCGAGGACTGAGGAGTTTTGACCATCACATGATGTTTTCTCCAACAGAGAAGACGAAGGCCAAGAGAGTCGAAAGTAAGGCAAGACTTTGCAGTATTCCCAAACATATGACGATCCTCGTCCGTGGTACTGAACTTCTTCAACCTTTTGAGTCTCTCTATCATAGATGAAGATGTGTGGGGCACATCTGATGAAAACGGAGTCCGATTTCTTGTTGAGGAAAGCAAGCAGCTGCGTCTCTTTACTCCGAGTGCTGAACCTTTTAGCTTCCACTGGGTTCTTCTTCCACATCGCCTTGAAATTCAGCTTAAACTGAATCTTCCACTCAAGCACATTCTCCACTTTCTCAAGCTTCCATATCTCCATTACCGACTTGTTGCTCCATCCATATTGCAGACACCCATCATCAGACTCTCCCAGAACTTGTTCATCGTAGTCAAACGTTTTCGGTAGCTTCATAGTGTCGATGCGTTTCTCCTCACTGTTTGAGTCATAGATAGCAACTCTACCTCCTGTGGCATGCCAATAAACCACACCATTGATCACTCTCCCCGGAGTCCACGGAGTGAGAGACACAGCCTCAGAACAAGTCAGCTCAGAGTAGCTCCAAGTAGTGGTTTTAGAGTCGTAAGTCTCTATCTTCACCTTCGTGCTGTGAGCTATGTAGGAGACACTCTCAGCACGAATCACCTTGTAGCTAAAACCTTTATCATGATACTCCTCAGTGATCAAAGACATACAAAGCTCCTCGAAATGAACTCTGTGGCGTGGAATCTGATGATACAGCCGCGTGTTGAGGTCCCACAAGTAGTAAGCTTTTGGATGGCGGCCACAGAGAAGAACGCCGTTCGAAGAGTCAATGTAGTACCCAAGCTTCTTCAGAACACCAGAGGATTCGATCTCGTCGCCTACAGTGCTTGTGGAGAGCAGAGGCAGAGAGGCTTCAGAGCGAGGACGACGACCTTTGTCTAAGCGTCTTCCGAGGTAGGTTGAGTTGCAGATGAAGAAGCCGATCAGGTGGAAGCTCGGTTTCCATTTGGTGAGGTAAGTGCGACGGAAGAGTGGGCTGGATACAACTTGAAGCCATCGCTTTGACACCAGAACCAGCTGGTAGATTGTCTCCGGTGGTAGACGAACGAGAATCTCACACATTGCATCGTCAATGTTGAACACCTCGTGCACACTCAGATCAGAAGGCATCCCAAAATTGGTTTTTGCCCTGCTTGAACAAGACATTTCACAAACTGTTTCTTTTGATCATCAGTAAGAGGAAACCAACGGACTCAAACAAATAACCGAAAAATCGAATCAATTTCTAGACTTTTGGAGAAACAACCGAAAAAAGCTAGTGGATTTCTACAAACTACAATGTTTCTATAAGAACAGACGCAAAAGCAGACATGCGAAGGAGGAAACTTAACAATCTAAAAATCGCCAAAGATAATCTTAACAATCCGCATGAAAAAATTTACAATTTTGGTTAATCCACGCGGTATAAGAGCAAAAGGCGGAAATTTTAGGAGACCCTAACCCCAGAGTTGCATTTGAAGATCAATCAAGGACTCCGAAGTCCGAAGCGAGATTCGACTCTAAAAACTCCGTATTTGTAGAAAAAAAACAGAGAGATAAGTGACGTGATAGAGTGAGTGAGAGAGAGAGAGAGAGACAGACCTGACGAAGACGAACGATGATGACGATGAACAACAAAACAGAACGCTTATTCTCGCACTTGACAGGACATGATGTATAAAGCGACTCAGATCCGGACGTGCACCCACCAGAACAGCGTTCTCTTAACCGGATTCTTATGCTATTTGAACCGGATTTGGGGGGTACAATTATCCTTCAGATTGTTTGGTATGGTTTCGTTTCGGTTTGCTGGCTTAATTAGGGGAAACTCATAGAGAAACAAAATTGAGCTACAATCCGGTTAAGTTGTTTTGTTTCATTTGCATTTGCAGTAAGTTTTTAAAAATTTTGGGTCAAAAAACTCAAAGCAACAAAAGAGCAGGTTAATAGATATGTTAGACTTTAGATTTAGGTTTGACCCCCAAAAAAAAGACTTTAGATTTAGACACAAATTAATTTGTTCTTAACCTTCACATCTTGTTGAAATTAAAGGAGTATCCAATCGAGAAAATGAATCTTTGAAGATCAAAATTCCGAAAAAGTTTGACTACCATTTGAAGTTTGGTCGACTCAAATTACCCATGTTGATTAAATTATTAATGCAAGAGTGGGAGAAAGCAATTTAACAATGCCACGCACCATTTCTAGAATCGTCCAACCATTTTAACAAAAAAAAAAGAATCGTCCAACCAAAAATAAAATAATACGAGTTTATAAATTCGTTATAGTAAAAACTTTATAATTAGAAGCAACTACATTCCGTTTCAGAAAAGGAAAATCAAAATCCTTTTTCTTCCCCCACGAAAAAGGAAATAACATCAAAATGCTTTTGAACAGAATTAAATTCACCTGAAAATTCAAAATAATGAAGAAAAAGGAAAGTTCTTGAGAAGCGCTGTTTTGGTTGATTCATGTACTAATCGGGCTGGGTGTATTGACCATCCCTTGTTATAAATTCTCTGTCTCGCTGATCAGAAGAAAAACACACCTTTCTCTTTCTCTCTGAAAGTCTTCGAATTTCTCTCTCATTCTCGTCGAATTTAGGGGTTTTCGTTCTTAGTCTCTTCCTCATTTGGAAGGTTATTCATTGTCTTCTTCTGTGTTTATTCTTCCAAAATTCAATCGCTTGTCGGGTCATTATGAGTAACTGGAGAAGACAAAAACCCAGAAACAACAACAATCATCATCATTATCATCATCGACAAGGCACGACGATGACGCAATCGTCAAAGCCGCCTCTTGGTATGATCTCTCTGTTTTTTTTTTCCTTTTTCATCTTTAATTTCTCTGACTTATTAAATTCTTCGACTTTGTAATCTTTCGTCGCTAGATATTCTCTCCGAAATCGAATTGCTTGATGGGTTTCCTCAGATTTCTGTGTCTGCTGCTCTGTGCGTTCTTAATTAGGGATAGTGTTTGTTCAATCAATGTCAGTTTCTAAGCTCTTCTATGTACCTTAGGTTACTGAAATTAGAGGATTCGTGATACTAATTGTAAACAGTGAATGGTTAGATCAAACTTTGATTAGCCTAATAATTTGGTTTATGACCAAAATCAATAGACTTTTCTTGTTTATTGTTTGGACTTTTTTCTTGCACTCGGATTTTCTAACTCTCAGATTATTGTGTTTCTGCAGCTAACTGCAGACAGTCTGTACCTGCGTGGGAGAAGGAATTCTGTGCCAAGATTGGTTTAGTTCCATGGTCGAGAGTTCTAGAGGCGAAGCAGTCTATGTATCTGTACGGTAGAGTCGTCCAATGGGACGATTCAGCTGGTGAAGATGCTTTCAAGAACGCTAAATCTCGGTTCTGGGCAGAGAGAAATGGGTTTCCTTGTGACCTGACTCTGCCTGATCCTGATGTCTACATTGATGACGTTGATTGGGATGCTGAAGTGGACACTGAACTGATTCTTGACCTCGAACGTCGTGGTCCAGCTCCGGTAAGAAAAGAAGGAGAAGAACCTGTCGTGATTCTTGATGCTTTGGTTTTACCTGAGCAGTATAGCGGAGTCGGTTGGGGAACCGGATGGGGAGACGCTGAAGGGATCAATGCGGAGAATGTTGCTAATGGTAAACCGGAAAACTCATGGGATGATCAGAAACGTGATGGATGGGATTATGGTTTGAATCTCAACAACAACAACAGCTTCAAAAACGAAGCTTGGGGTCACAACAACAACAACAACTTCAAAAACGAAGCTTGGGGTCACAACAACAACAACTTCAGAAACGAGTCTTGGGGTCACAACAACAACAGCTTCAGAAACGAAGCTTGGGGTCATAGGAACAGCAACGGGTTCAACCAGAAGAAGGTTGAGAATTGGAACTGTAAGGATCAAGGAAGAGAGAGCAGAGAGTGGAGAAAGAGGGGAGCAGTGCCGCGTGGAGGAGACAGGGTGGAGGATTGTCGATGGAGGAATGGGAGAGGGAGAAGCAGAGGTGGGTTTCAGCAGCAATCCAATGGTTGGGGCTGGACTGAGACCTTCTGAGTGAGACAGAGAGTCTCTGTTGATAACATATTTTTGAGGAAAGAACATTAGTTCTCGGCTATATAGTGATAGTGTGTGTGTGGGCGTGTTGAAGTGTAGAATCATATTGATGTCTCAAAATTGTTTTGTTCTAAACGTTTCTGAGATGTTGTCACTTTAATGATGCAGATATAGGTAATATGAAAGTTTTTTGGATACATTAATGATCAATGATGAAAGTTCAAAATTTTACAACTTGATCATGGGTTTTGATTCTTGTTATAATACCATACACAAAACGCTTGGAGGGTGATGATCGGGAAAATGTAGTAATTTCTTTTACGTCTCTGGCTTGAGAACTTCATTGTTCGTCTGTCATCTTCTTAAACCTTTGGAGAGAGGAAGAAGCTTCTGGAGATTTCTCTGGTACATTTCCAGGAGATTTTTCCTGAAACAAGATTGGATCAGAATCACAACACCTAATATGTGAACTTAAACACAATATGACGGATCTATGAAAATATAGTTCTATAAATATAGCTCACAGAAGCATTAAGAGACATATACACAGATGAAAGATGAAGAACATATATACTTAGGTGAACCGTGTGAAGATGTCGTCCACCATTAGAGCGAAGAAGATAACTTCGGAGACAACAAAAAATAATTCTGCGTTTCTCTTTTTCCCCATAGCTTTTTTTTTTGTTTTGTGTGACAAGAGAGTGCAAGCCTGTGATGTGCAGATATAAATTGGGGTTATACTCGATATTGGTGACCTGAAGAGACAAGTTTGCTATGTATAATTTTTTTTGTTTCAATTGCTTATTATTAAATCAAGGGAAAATTAGGTTCCTTTGTCTCTATTGATTAACAAAACAACTTACTTTATTATGTTAATGAATAATTAGAAGTTAACCAATACCCTTATAGCTTAGTGTGTTTTGTCATTCATCTTCATGATCTTTATGCTATAAAATAGGGTGGTCAAATCGTTATTTGATTTCTTAGATTAGTTTAGTAGGATGTCTATCTATCGATGATCAATAATAATAAAGCCCTTTTTTCACCAACTTATTCATGCTACCAGCTTCCAATCTAGAAATCGAATGCGAGGAGAAAAAAAAATAATGTATAGTAGTAATACTGTAATAGTGGTTGCCAATAAAAGGGCAATCAAATAATATCCAAGTAGCTGAGTGCTATGCTATGATTAGCCACTTTGAAAGAGATTAAAACAATATTTTATTTGGTGTTGATTTGTATATATGTGGATATAAAAAGAGAACGCAAGTTAATTCTTGTTCATAAAAAGCTAGAAGAAACAAGACATTGGATTTGATATATGAGCTAAAAAAAAAGAAGAAATTGTGGAGTGTCTTCAACTTGAACCACTCACTGATTGATGATTCCTTTTCTTTTTCATTCTTTCTCTCATTGGTGAATCGTGATATAGTAAGTGGGAGGGATAAAAACCAACGAGAGAAAGATAAAAGAAAAGAAGTCTTCGCTGTTTGCAACGTTACTAATGAGAGTCAATATGGTAGAGAGCAGCCTGGTGGCGAAGTGAACATGGAAGCTGGAGGGTTTGGTGCTCTGCACGTGATTAGGAATTAGAGTGATCTGACGGTTGAAAACATGCCACGGATGACGGATCTAACACCCTTTTTATGTGAGAAACATGCTAAAACCAACAGAGGCTCTCTCACAAGTCATCTATTCAAAGCCCGACCTAACCCTAGTTTAGGGTGAAATGGGATGATTAGTAAGGGTTGTGAGTGCTTTACAAAGCTTCTTTTTTTTTTTTTTTTTTTTTTTTTGTAAAGCACTAATATTAAACAAGATTTATTCTCATTTTCAAAACTCAGAGCCTTAAAAAAGAAAATATTTTGGCTAGCAGATTTTATAGAGAAAAAATTTCAAAGCTTTGATAATTTTCTCTTTACTCTTTTCAAAGCTTTGATAATTCTCTACATTCTTTTTTTTTTCACACATTTCTTTCTATATCTCTTTTTTTGGTTTGAACTCTATATCTATGATAATTAATGACACAATATATATATAGTTAAAAATCCCACAACAAATCAGACCCAAAGTCTCCCATGGACGAAGATCACTCCAAGATCGAAGATTTCTCCAGTAAGATCTGTCTCCCGAAGTCGATGATATGTCATAATTAACGTAAAAGTAAAATAATGGTCACTATTGGACCATTTAACCTAATTGTAACTCTTTTTATTTGGTAATTCGTTTGTATGCCTTTGTGAAACCGCACAGCCATCATCAAAGGGGGTAAGATCGGCGACTACTCGGACCTCGAGTGGGACCAAAACAAAAAGAAAGAAGATTTAGACTGTAAGATGACTCGAAATTGTTTGTTTAGACTTTAGATTAGTTGCGTTAATTAATGATAATGGATCTCATGCAACCTTTTTTTGTCAAGGTTTTGAGAGGTCGACAATGGTCTTCTGGAACGTGAAGCAGTGCCCAATCCCTTCTAGTGCGATTCCTTGTGTGGAACCTGAACTCAGTTCAGCTCTTCATAGAATGGGCTTGCATGGTATGGTGCAACTCTTTGCGTTTGGTGACACGTTCGACCAAAAAGAAGACTTTTCCAAAGCCCGAATTTATTACCGTGCCGAATGTGAACATCTCCTGCCGGATGCCATAGACAAAGGTGAATTTACTATACACTTAGCATACTCTTTGTCGTTGGTTTCTTCTTATATATTATATATGTGACATATAATCTGTTGATATACGGATGGGCTTGCATGCTTCAGGTTATAGTGAAATGGCTGTGGACCTTATTTCTTTCGCAAGAATGACCTATGATTGTCCAGCAATTTTAATGGTGATCCCAAAACCAGACCCGGATAGTGAGTTGCACAGGGTGCTCAAGTGTTTGGAAGCGAGAAATCACGATGTTCTCTTAGTAGAGCCGGGTGATGATGACATTGGTCGTCTATTTGCTTCTGTACAGTCAATAGTTGATTGTACCCAAGGTTTAGATGGAAAGCCCATAAGCAGGCCGGAATGCCGGTGTGATGAATAAGAATACAGTTGATATTTGGTGTTCCTTGTGTCTAAATGAATTTTATGGGGTTAATGTATCATGTTTCATGTTTGTTATGTTAATCTCTGTCATGGCCTTAAAATGATATTTGCAGTGTTATTCCTTTCGGTTTTTCTAAGCTCTGCTCGACCTAATTAATGCTTTCTCCAAGAATATTCTAGTTTCATAAGAGCCGGACACATGCAACTGAAGGTGCATGCATACAACTTGGATGTGTTTGTATCATTGTATGTATATATCCAGTGATGCTTTTGATAATCTTTGAGGTTCTTGAGTGCAAGAGGGAGCCTTGTTTGCTTAGAGATTAGTATCAAATCTGATCCTGATATTTAACCATAGCGTATGAGAGGATCGAGAATTCTCATTTCTGTTTTACTTGAGATAACCATAACACTGGTTTTGGCTTATGCATGCATTTGTTAAATCAATACTCAATAGAGACTTTTTAGGATCTCCTTCCAAAAAAAAAAAAAAAAAAAAAAAAAAAACACGATCTGACGGTTGAAAACATGCCACAATCTAAAGTATCTAACACCATTAATTGCTTATATATTTATTATTTATTTGAGATCCAAAGACTAAAAAGTAAAAACACAGATGATAAAACCCACAAGGCCACAACTATTGCTAATTTGCTATCTCTCTCTGACCCTAACTTAGCGCGAAAGACTTCAATTCTCTCCGTTGAACCATGGCCGGGAAGATCGGATTGCTCCGGTAAGATCTCTCTCCATCCTTTAGCTGAAATTGTTTGTTTAGATTTCATCTGTTCCGTTGATGACTTGTGAAACCGCACAGACGACGACGTGAAAAAGCCTGCGACAGGCGTGTTCTGGGACGCCGTGGGTTGCCCATTCCCTCCAGGTATGAGTCCTGATGAAATCCATCAAAAAATCGAAATAGCTATTTGTGACGGTCGTGAGGATTCGGAATGGACGGCTGAGACATCAATCTGGGTTTACGTTGATGAGACGCAAGGGCCTTGGGTTGGGGATTTTCTGAAAAACAAGACTTAGAAATCCAGAATCTTCTTCCTCCCGGGAGGGGATAAACGCGCGAGACGTTGTAGAATGTTACATGACATCCATTTATGGACAATGGACTTCCCTCGTGAATCAATTTTGGTCCTAGTATCGGATCAAGTCGCAAATGACTGCTTCTTCTCCCATAGCCTTAAAAGTTTGAGTGGTGCAGAGTACTCTGTTTACTTAGTAGCTCCGCCTAACAACTACCGACCAGAAAATAAGCGTAATTGGCCAGCAGCGCTATTCTTTGAAGTCTACTCTTATGCTGAGAAAAAGTCACTTCGCAAGTACAAGCATGAAGCATGATCGGATAAAACTAGTTGCGCAATAATGTATATCGAAAACTCTGTTTTCTTTTGACTTTATACAACAGAAAATCGTGGTGTTAATATCATTTTATTACTCGTCTTTGATCAACTAGTTGTTAATCCCATATTATGTGTTTTTAAGTTAAAGACATATGAGCACAACACTGAAATAAAGTAACACATTCTTTTTATCCGGACAGAACAAAACAGAGGAGAACAATCTAGCTTTGCCATCATCACGCGGAACATTAATTGATCCCACACGGAAGAATAACAATAGAGCAGTCTATTTGCAAAGATTATTACTCTTTAGGCCAGCCAAGACCGGGTCTCTGAACCTCTGGTTGGGGTTCTTCGTAGTCACGTGCAGAGCGGATTGATTCCTCAAAGTCAGTAGAATCACTAGCCACGGGAAGGAAGCTTCCAATGTCGTCTTTAGCACCAAACCCTCCAGCTCTTATCACGTCCTCTGCTGCTATGGAAGCTTCCATGTTCACTTCTCCACGAGGCTGCTGCTCTTGACCATGTTGACTCATCTCAGTCTGATTAGTAACACCGTGACTTTGCCTCTCTTCGGTCTTGGATCCTCCCGGAGATATTACACTCGGCTCCTTTACTTTACCTGCACGTATCACATAAAAAGTCACAAACAAGTCTTTATTTCTCCAGCTAGGCATTACAACAAACACTTTATATGCAGAACATTGAGTATATAAAGTAATTGGAGAATTACCGTTTGAGACATCTGACTCAATTTGATCCATTGATTCTCTGACAATCTAGGAACTGTCACGAAAATCAAATACGGGTTTTTAGAAAGCTATATTTCATTAATTCGAACTCTGAATTCCGATTAAATCGTAAATTGCAGACCATCGTAAAAAATCAGCATAAATCTACTCGTAAACCTTAATCTACGTAAATCACAATTGAATCAAGAGATTTTTTGATGAGAGTGTAAAGATCACTTACCCTATGAGACAATGGAGAAGAAGAGCAATAATCTTTCTCTCTGTTTCTGTTTTTTTTTCTTATGTTTTGGGAAAATTGAAAAATATTTTCTGTTTCGGACTGAAGACACTCTCTGTGTGACGTGGCGTATCCGTATCTGTTACAGTACACGTGTCCTCACTATGAGCGTCAGTCTTGATGACGCAGTCTCAACTTCGTGAAACTCGAATACGGATAATCTTTTGAGTTTAGACTAAAATATTTTAAGTTTCTACTTTAATTAAAACTATTTAAATGTTCGTTTGACTGAAGCAAATCGCCTTGTAATTCTTTTGGACTCGGAGACACTTCAACAGGATTTTAAAACCCTAATTTACAAGATACTGTAATTAAACAAAACTATTATGACTATTTCATTAGTTAAAAGGGTAATTTACATATTCCTTGAACTGAATCTTAATACAGATTTCTTGAACGTAAAAACTTCTAGGTTACTTGCTGAACAAACTTGTTTCGAGATTATTCCAACAAAAAACGCTGAAGATATCTCAAAAACCCGTCAACTAACAGAGAGCTCCATCCGTCTGAATCCACCATCGAAAATCCAATCTTGTCGAGAAAATCTCCGTTAAATCTCGGCTTGACGTCACCAACAAGCTTGCGGTTGTCCTTGCACTCGAGTTTCTCGGTGAACCATCCATAACGTGTGTGAGCTGCGTCGTCGTCCAACGATCTTGTAGTATCTGCCATCGTGAAGAACTTCTCCCAATTTTTGTAAACGACTTGCCACGTCATCCTCACGTCCTTCTCGCCGACAGTGATCCCGGAGCTGCTTACGTCGGCTTCGATGTGGAACTTGTCGTTACAGCCAAACACGAGTTCTTTCCCCCTTTTGAGAACCGATGCTTTCTTTGTTCCAGCGGACACGTGGACGATGAAGCTGAGATCAGAGAGTGATAGCTTGAGCTCCGGCAGTTGATCCTTGCGGCGGCGTTTCGCGTCCTTCTCAACGGCGGTGACAACTTGTTTGTACGAGACGGTTTCCGTGGCTTCCAAGGCGAACTTGTAAGGTGAAGAGGCTTGCGAGGACCGTGAGATCAAGAGAGACCTCCATAGATTCTCCGAGGAGAAACACTTTAGCCACGCGGTTGAGACGCAAGAAGCGATGGCGAGAGTCTCAGGCTCCATGTACGAACCAACAAGGTCTAGGGCTTCCCAAGACGGAGGAAGCTGCTCGGTGTGTTCATGCTTGTCGTCGTCTTTGTGCATGGTCACAAGCACGGCTTTGTTTTGAGTGATCTCATACTCGCGTTTGCGTTTCAGGCGGTTTTGTTTCACGGCGACGGGAAAAGACAACACACGTGTAACAACGACGGAGGCAGAGAGAGACATGTGGAAAGTTTCCTGATTTTTTTCTAATACAACGAATGTTTAGTTTCGAGGTTAGGAGGATTAATATTTATAGTCTGTAGAGTGTAGAGGAGGTTTGGATTTTTATTTCCTAACCAAAGTGAATTAGGTAACGCGTCAGACAACAAAAAAGGATAGCTCGTTGAAAAATTAATTAACTCAGATAATTATCCAAGAAAAATGTAACAATCCAAACTATTTGTTTCGTGTTTTTTTTCTATTTTCTTTTTTTGGTCGGTGCATAATAATTAATTAAGTCTTTATTAGTCTTGTAGATCTTGTTCCTGATGGTTCTTTGTTTCCCTGCAAAACTGTAGAAATTTATCAAACAATGGAGGAAACAAAGTAAATAGTATAGTTTCATGAAACTTTGTTAACCTTATGAATTAAAAACTGGGTAATAAGAATATCTTTCCAATATATTGGAGAAAGCGTGATACTGAAGCTTTGTTTACCTTTATGAATAAAAAACAATAATGTTTGTCTCAGTTCTCTGTAGCTGAGAGTGTCTCAAAAGCTTGAACCAATAACTGAACTTTAAGTTTCCGAGCTGGTGTTAGCTTCGAAACCACTTCTTGAAGTGTGTTATCAACCATCCATTCCTCTAAGTTTCTCTTGTTTTGAGTTTCTTGATGCCTAAGATTCACCTTCTCTGCTTCAAAGCCTGGTTCCAACGGCAAGAACCGCGGCTCCTTAGGGTTGAATTTCCTCACATTCTCTAACGCTTTCACGAATCTCCTCAGTAGTATCACTCTTTTGAGGTTGTACCATCTGTTAATCCTCACTTGCGAGACACGTAAAGATTCATTCTTCTTCTGTTCTTGACAAGCTTCTTCAAGAGAGATTCCATCTATGACTTCTCCTAATAGCTCCACTGCTTCAGTTTTGTAAAGTTCCATCTTTTCACCATCCACATTTGTGTCTTCCTTCAACTCCTCTTCTTGTTCTTGTTCTTCTTCTCTTGTTTCTTCAGGCAATGTTTGGTTTCTCTCGTTGTCTTCCATCTGTTTGCATAACAACCGCCACAAGCCTGAGCACTGTTGTTTCTCCTCCAAATCAACTTTTGTAGTCTCTTGTAGATTTCTGAGTTTGCCTCTGATGATCTCAGCATTACTACTTTCATTATCAATATGGAATGCCGTAGACGAATAGCTGGACTGGCGAGAGATGTTCCTAGACGATGCTGCAGAGCCAGGGGTGGAAGAACAACTCCCAATATCTTGTAAGCTTATAGTGTCGAAAGCTTGTGCAAGAAGAGTCACTTTTCTTTTCTGAGACGGTGGTAATGTCGATATGGCTTGTCTCAAAGCATAATCAAGCATCCATTCCTCTGAATTCCTCTTCCCTCCAACTTCTTGACGCCTCAAACGGATCTTTTCGGTCTCTGGATCATGTTCCCAAGGCAAAACCTGAGGAGTCTCGCCGCTGAGTCTTGAAAGACTTCCTAAATCACTAACAAACCGCTTTAGAAGAATGACTTTCTTCACATTGTTCCATCCTTTCACTCTCTTCTCATTAGACTTTGCTTTCAAAGTCTCTTGACTGAACAATTCTTGATCCGTAGTTATGTTGCTGTCTATAGATTGATCATCGGGTGAGTTGTCCGGGATCTCAGAGAGGATCTTCTCAAGAGCTTCTCTAACAAGTGTAACTGTTCCGCTTCTTCTCGCATCATCACCTTCACCTTCCACTTCCACTGATTCACCATTTCCTTCTTCTTTCTCTGTTACCATGTGTTTATAGATGAGCTTCCACATTCTCGACTCTTTCTCTTTCTCAACCACGGTTCTCTGTTTAACATTCTCGATAGGAGGAAGTACACTTCTGGATTTCCTTGGCGTAGAATCAACCTCCTCTTCTCCTCCTTTCAAGCCCTTTTGATGTACCTTTGAAAACACATTTCTGATCCTCTGCTCATCTTTGTTGACTTCACAATCTTCCTCTACTTTTAGTGTTCCTTCTTCGCTAGTTTCAACATTGTTCAGGGAAGTATCAACCTCCTCCTCTTCTTGTTTACCATTCACTGGTATTAATGATTCAAAAGCCTTAACAAGATGTTTCACTTTCCTTTTCTGCGAAGGGACAAGTGTGGAAACGACTTGCCTAAGAGCATGATCAAGCATCCATTCTTCCGCAATCTTCCTCTCTCCAACCAGCTCTCTCCTCAACCTCATTATCATCTTCTCACTCTCTTCACCATCAGACAACTTACGCCTCTCTCTTCCATCCAAGGACTTGAGAAACCTCTTGAGAAGAATCACTCTTTTCAAGAAACTCCACTTCTTGGCCCCACCTCTCCGATGATCAGACTCTTCTCCCATAAGAGAAGTAGAAACAATCACAGACAAATATGTATCTCTTTCTTCAACAGGCTGCAAATCAGAGCTAGTTGAATCACTTGAATCCGCTCCAACATCATCATCCTTCTTTGTGACAGAAACATCATCAGACGAGTCATCATCATCACTGATCTCCGCAAGTATCTCATCAAACGCTTGCTTGACAAGCATGACTGTATCATTCCATACATTCTCTGTCTTCTTTCCATCCTCTTCTCTACAAACCTCCTCGTTATCTTCCACTGTTTCTTCTCTTTTCTTGTCCTCCACGTTAGACTCCTTAAACTCTTTGCCGATTCTTCCATTTGAATCATCCATAATCTCCTGCTTAGATTCTTCATCATTCCATACATTTTCAGTTTTCTTTCCATCCTCTTCTCTCATTTCTCCAGCAGAAACGTTCCCATCATCATGTTCTTTAGCTGATGGAACAGTCTCCTTTGAATCCTTTCCTCTATCCTCTTCACCAGCAACATCTACCATCACAGTCTCACTAGATCTTCCGTTAGACTCCGAATCACTCCCACCATTCTCCGAGGTATAAACCTCTTCTTCAGACACCTCTTGATTGGGTTCTTGATCAGTCACAGTCCCACCGCCTAAAGGTAATCTCTTTCTACTCAAAGTCCGCTTCAAAAGCACCAAACGCCGGTTCACACTCTTCTGCCTCTTCAAAACCTTCCTCCTCATTGACACAAACCGTTTCAAAGATGGAACACCAACAACACTGTTATTATCAGCGGCGTGGCTATGAGGCCGACCGTGCAGAGAACAATAATTATAATTGCAAACATCATTGCTCTTCTTAGAACCTTTCATAGCTGAAGAACATGTAGCTTTAAGCAACCCATTGTATTTCAAGCTTGACATTCTCTTTAACCTAACTACTTCAAGATTCTTCTGGATCTTTTCCATTTTCTTTGAAGCTGAAGAGCTCGTTGGTCTCAAGTAATGAGGCTCTAAGATTCTTCTCACCGATTTTGAACTTTCCTGAAATCAAAATCCACCATTTTTTTAATTACAGATCTCAGATTCTATTACATCTAATGAGCTCAAGAACAGAGCAAGATCAAATAAAAAATGAAAAACAGAACATATGTGAGACTTGCCTGGTCAACTTCCTCGGTCTCATTCGAGTAAGTTCTGGAACCATCAGACATCTCCGGAGAAGAGGAATCTTCCAACTCGGCAGTGTAGCCGGAGAAGATAGCCGGAATTTGATCGACTGTGAAATCGGAGCCGGAGAATCCGAAACTGGGCAATCTAGAAATCCTGATGGGTTTCTTCCACAACTTCCTCTCTCTCCTTTTATGCACTCTTCTGCTGTTTTTACTTGAGCTCTCCGTGAACATCGGAGTTGACATTCTTCTGATGGGATAGCTTTGATTCTGTCGGAAGTCTCTCTGTTTTTTTTCTGTGAGTTTTTTTTGGCGGAATCGTCAAAAAAGATGATTACAATTCATGCCATTGCCATTTTCTGTTCTCTCACTTCTCTCTGTTCGTCAAAGATCAGAACTTTGTATTTTTGTTTGATTCGTGTTTGAACACTCTTTGGAGATTAGAGAGTCGCCGAAATTAAATTTCAAGTTTTTTCTTTTCTTGTCAGGGTTGAACTTTATAGCACCTTTCTTTCACTCTTTCCCAGATACAAATTGTAAAAGAGTGATGAAGTCAATTTGTTAAACAAATATTGTTTCGACCTTGATTTTTTGTACTAAATCTCTCAAACATTTATATACTACTAAATTTGAATGAGTAACATAAAAATTTAATAAAATAATTTAAAACTTACTTCTGGAAAATTCAAAACTTACAAAATTGATTTACGCCAAAAATAAATTTTGTAAGTTTTTCAAGAATAAATGTCAATTCTTTAGTTAAACGTATGAGAATTAAATACATACATACAGTATGGGTTTTCTTATGCACATCAGTTTTTTTTGTTAATCTAAATTGAAATTACATTAATGATATACAAAAATAACAGATGCGGATAATTAATTAGACAGTGAATGTAGTAGGTGTTAGTTTCACATTTATTCATTGTTCTAAAACACAGCGTTTTAAGAAGATAACAAAATTCCTTGGTGTTCACTGTTCAGAATAAACAAATGGGATCTGTCATTTTTGTTACGACTACAGGCTGTTTTAGCAATTTCAGATGGAAACACCTTGACGTTTCGCATACCACGTGGGAATTGCGTAAAATCTTATCCAACGACCATTTTTGTTCGTATTCTCTCTCACGTTTATCTTTAAAAAAAGGAAAAAAAAAGAAGCCGTCGTGATCGGCCATTTCTCGGCCGTGTCTGAGTCTGCGTCCGCGTCACCATTATCGCCCTCTCTTATCTCGTCGCGATTCCCTATGCAATCTTCTCTTTTTTATATTCCCCTTTTATTCACGTCTCTCTCTCTCTCTCTCTTTCTGATTTCTTCTCTCTTCCCAAGTAAACTCTCTGCTTCACGTTTCTTCTTGCTTCTCGATTTTGTTGCTCTGACCTACCCAAGTCCCAGGCTCAGGTAATTTGTTTTATTTTCTAATTTGATCTGGTTTTCGATTACGGTGTCTGTGATGAAGCTCTCTGTTCAATTCAATTGTCTCTTTTTGATTATTCACTGAGAAATTCGACTTTACGATCTCGACAGAATCTCCTATTTTTTTTATCCGCCCTTTCGCGAATTTAAGCTACACCCAAAATAGGATCACACTTTTTTCTAAAAGTCAGTTTCTTTTGCTGGATTTGTATTTTACGAATTTCATCTTCATAGTCAAATTTGGTGAAACAGAAAATGCTGACTCGGTTTCAGATTCTAAGAATAGATCATCCCCTCTGTCTCTCTCCAGAACTTTGTTAAATCTGTATACTTGTTCACGAGTGCTCAAACTTTCAAATTTTTTCTACCTTTTGCAGTTGCAAAAACACAAAACCATAATCTCCAATGGATATAAGTAACGAGGCTAATGTTGATCCGTTCTCAATCGGGCCAACGTCTCTCATGGGTCGAACCATCGCCTTCAGAGTCTTGTTCTGCAAATCAATGGTACAGCTCAGGCGTGACCTCTTTCGCTTCTTGCTGCATTGGTTCCTTAGGTTTAAGCTGACCGTATCACCGTTTGTCTCCTGGTTTCACCCCCGGAACCCACAAGGGATCCTAGCAGTCGTCACGATCATCGCCTTCGTGCTGAAACGTTACACTAACGTGAAGATGAAGGCGGAGATGGCTTACCGGAGGAAGTTCTGGAGGAACATGATGCGCACGGCTCTGACTTACGAGGAGTGGGCTCACGCTGCTAAGATGCTTGAGAAGGAGACACCGAAGATGAACGAATCTGATCTCTACGATGAAGAATTGGTCAAGAACAAGCTTCAGGAGCTTCGTCATCGTCGCCAGGAAGGTTCACTTAGAGATATCATGTTTTGTATGAGAGCTGATCTTGTGAGGAATCTCGGTAACATGTGTAACTCTGAGCTTCATAAAGGTAGACTTCAAGTTCCTAGACATATCAAAGAGTACATCGATGAGGTCTCTACTCAGTTGAGAATGGTATGCAACTCTGACTCGGAGGAGCTTTCTTTAGAAGAGAAGCTTTCCTTTATGCATGAAACACGGCATGCCTTTGGTCGCACGGCTTTGCTTCTGAGCGGTGGTGCTTCTCTCGGTGCGTTTCATGTAGGTGTGGTGAGGACTTTGGTTGAGCATAAGCTTCTGCCTCGGATAATAGCAGGGTCTAGTGTTGGTTCCATAATCTGCGCTGTTGTCGCCTCAAGGTCTTGGCCAGAGCTGCAGAGCTTCTTTGAGAATTCTTTGCATTCTTTACAGTTCTTTGATCAGCTCGGAGGTGTTTTCTCAATCGTGAAGCGTGTGATGATACAAGGCGCTCTACACGATATCAGGCAGTTGCAGTGTATGCTTAGGAACCTCACTTGCAATCTCACATTCCAAGAAGCTTATGATATGACGGGAAGGATACTCGGGATAACGGTTTGCTCCCCGAGAAAGCACGAGCCGCCTCGGTGTCTTAACTATTTGACATCGCCTCACGTGGTGATATGGAGCGCAGTGACTGCTTCTTGTGCTTTTCCGGGTCTCTTTGAAGCTCAGGAGCTAATGGCTAAAGATCGAAGTGGAGAGATTGTGCCGTACCATCCACCATTCAATTTGGATCCAGAGGAAGGCACTAAATCATCTGTACGACGGTGGAGGGATGGTAGTCTGGAGGTTGATTTACCGATGATGCAGCTTAAGGAGCTGTTTAATGTCAATCATTTCATTGTGAGCCAAGCCAATCCTCACATTGCACCGTTACTGCGTCTAAAGGACATAGTTCGAGCTTACGGTGGTAGATTTGCAGCAAAGGTATGTATATGTCACATGACTTTTGTCTGGCTCTGTTCCTTTTCTCTGTTATAACCTTTTTTCACCTGTTTAGCTTGCGCATCTAGTGGAGATGGAGGTTAAACATAGATGCAACCAGGTGTTAGAGCTTGGTTTTCCACTCGGTGGACTTGCAAAGCTTTTTGCTCAGGAGTGGGAAGGTGATGTAACAGTTGTAATGCCTGCTACTCTTGCTCAGGTTCTTATATCCAAAACCTGAATAATCTTGCTTTTATTTGATTGGGAAGCAGAGATTTTATTATACTTACTGTGTTGTGGAATGTTGTGCAGTACTCGAAGATCATACAAAATCCGACTCATGTGGAGCTTCAGAAAGCGGCTAACCAAGGGAGGAGATGCACTTGGGAGAAGCTTTCAGCGATAAAAGCAAACTGTGGGATAGAGCTTGCGCTTGATGAGTGTGTAGCCATTCTGAACCATATGCGCAGGCTCAAGAGAAGCGCGGAGAGAGCTGCTACTGGTGGAACGTCATCGTCTCATCACGGATTATCTTCAACCACCAGGTTTAATGCTTCTAGGAGAATCCCGTCTTGGAACGTCATTGCTCGAGAGAACTCTACAGGCTCTCTTGATGATCTAGTTGCTGACAGTAACCTGCACGCGTCTTCGGGCAGGAATCTGAGCGATAGTGAGACAGAGAGCGTGGATTTGAGTTCTTGGACAAGAACTGGTGGACCTTTGATGAGAACAGCGTCTGCTAATAAGTTTATTGATTTCGTTCAGGGTCTAGATATCGACATTGCATTGACGAGAGGGTTTAGTAGCAGTCCGAATTCCCCAGCGGTTGCTGGTCCGTTTAGTCCAATCTTTAGTCCGAACTCGAGATCAATGGCGGCTCATTCGGAGGGCGGGTTTGAGAAGATGGAATCTAACAACATGTCAAGCATAACAGTTACTGAAGGAGATCTGTTACAGACTGAGAGAACAAGTAACGGGTTTGTGTTAAACGTGGTTAAAAGAGAGAACTTGGGAGGGATGTCATCAAGTGGGAGTCAGAATGTTGAGTTACCGGAGAGTGTACAGCTCGATATACCGGAGAAGGAGATGGATGATAGCTCTGTATCAGAACATGAAGTAGACGAAGAAGATGATGATGAAAAAGAAGAAGAAGGTCATCAGAAGATTGTTTGCTCACAAGGTTCAGTAGGATTACAAGAACCGGTGTCTGGTAGTGTTAGAGATGATTAGAATGGTTGATTCGAATGAAGAGACTCTCAATTGATTCTTCTTTGTTTAACGATAAGTTTCAAAGGGTTTAGTTTAGTGCCTCCTTGTGAATAGAGTGTAAGGGTTGCGTCTTGTGTTTGTTTGTTTGCATTGATTATTGTTTGAAAATTTGACGTATTCATTTGTGGAATTGGAATATACATCTGTAAATTTCAGAAAAAAAGAAAAATGAATATCCATGTTCATTTTAATTTCATGTTCCTGGCCGCGTCGTTTGAAATCATAAATTAAATTATTTTTTTAAGGAAACGTAAGAAATAATTGACTTCTTACAATGTAAAAAGGAAATAGCATAAATTCTCAAAAGTGAAATATATATCTAATATTCTTAGGTAATTTCTCAAAGGTTGAATATCAAAGAAATAATTCATTGATAGTTATATTTGCCAAGTTATATATTTCCATTGAACATAATCTAATAAGTTGAATAACACAAGACTTTAATTAATCAATTCAAATCCTCTTTCAAACTTTTTTAGTAAAGAGATTTTAAATGCATGAACCAATAGCACCAGATTTTGTTAGAAGATGTTAAAACCATGATTAAGTAACAATGGATTGTGGTTGGATTTAAACTCTATTAAAAGCAATGATGTAATTAGAAATATATCACTGACTTGACCAATATTGCAAAATTTTGTTTCCATTAAGAGAAGTTGAGACCCCAAAAAACCATATAAATAAACAAGCTTGCAATCACATTACAACACACATACACACACACAAAAAGGAAAAACAACTTGAAGAAAGGAAAAAAATGGGAAAAGTAACAAGCATTTTCGCCGTTCTTCTCATAATCTCTTCATGTAATTAAGTCTTTCAAAGTTTTGTCATTTTATTTTCTATATTTTTTGTCGATCAAAAGCACACGTTTTGTTTGGTTTTGTTAGTTTTAACTTGAATCTTCTTGTTATAAACAGGCATGATAATGACGAGTGAAGGTGAAGCTCAAAAATGTGGAGATGTTCGGGATTGTGATCCTCGTTTTTGCAGCATAAATTCACATGTAGTATGTAAAAACCACAAGTGTGAATGTGCTTATAGTGCTCTTAGTAGCAAAACATGTTCTAAATCCAGTGACTGTAATCCTAAGGACTGTCCAAAAAAGACGCCCCGTGCTGTCTGCGACAATGGACATTGCTGGTGTTATACAAAGTGATTGTAGTGATTTCCATTATAATTTTATCTATGCATGCAGAATCGAGATGTAATCATATATGTATGTGGACATCATGAATATTTTATTAATAATATCGACTTGTTAAGTTAAAAATATTTCTATGATGCGAATGTCTTTGTTCTTCTTAGTTTTCAAACAGAAGTAATCAATTAATACAGACTCTTATATATACGTTAAGCGTTATTTTCCCATTTTGAAAATAACGTTATATCGAACTCGACAAAAAAAAAAAAAAACTGCATTTGCTACTAGTGAGACCAGATGTTTAGTTTTAATAATTGAATGTTAAATTGGAATCAAGATACAATGGGCTATAAAAAGACACTGCAAACCATAAAATCAAAAACCTCAGTCTAACGAACTTTGTTAATCACAACACTTAGCAATATAACAAATATGTTAAGGTGACTGGTTTTAATTTGAAGTAATTTTATTTTGAGGAATACTTTTAAAATATTATTAAAATAAGTTTTGATCCAAAAATATTATTCAGTAGTTTTATTTTTTTCTATTCCAGGAATTGCTTTTGACTTTGATTTGCTTTGAGTATCATCAGATATTTTCTCTTACTCAGTGAAGTTTCATCAAATTCAATCCCGAACGTTTCTTCCCATCCAAGGAGTGATCCAAAGGGTCTCGATCCAAGCCATCTTCGTCGTTCGGATCCGCCTCCACTTCTTCAACCCTTGAGAATTTCTGGCTATGGAACTTAATTAATTCAAAGGGTTCTTTGCCAACAAAACAAAAAAAAACGAAATATTCAAAGTGTCGCATTAATTAAGTTACCTGTTTTTCTTTTTGCGTTTATTAGGTTACCAAATAGATTGATTTGACCTGTATTCGTTAGTATAGCTAATTTAATTAACACTATAGAATTAAAAAAAAATAAAAGGAACACGTTCATTAATAATGTTTCCTTAAAAAGAAAATCTAAAAAGCCATATAAATAAACAAGCTTGCAATCACATCACAACACCCAAATAAAAAAGAGAGAAAGAAGAGAAAAATATATTGAACAAGGGGAAATAAATGGAAAACATAGCAAGCATTTTCGTATTTCTTCAAGTAAGTCTTTAAAAGTTTCGTCATTTCTTTCTCTACTAGATGGGACGATATGGCTGTTTAGTTCGTTTTGTTTGCTTTGACATGAACCTGACGTATACATATAAACAGGCATGATAACGAGGAGTGAAGGTCGTTATTGTGAAACAGTTGAGGATTGTGGTCGTCGTAGTTGCAGAGAAGGTACACATGTAGTATGTAAAAACCACATGTGTCATTGTTATGATGATCCTCCTATTGGCGCCTTTCCATGTTCTGTCGACCGTGACTGTGATCCTACTAAGTGTCCACCAAATAATCATGCTATCTGCGCTCCTGAATATTGCGCGTGTACCCCAAATTGATTGGAGTTATTTCCATTTTACCTTCATCTATGCATGTGAGAATCAGAGATGTAATCATATATGTATGTGGACATCATCATGAGTATTAATAATATCGACTTGTTAACATTATTTCTACCTTGCAAAACTCTTTTCTTCTTCTTAGATTTGAGTATTAATTTTGTAGTGGACAGGCCTATAGATTATAAAGGAAAATCTTGGTACAGCAGTACTGTACTGCAGTTCTACCAATTTTATTTTTTTCTAAAAACAGTCAATCATTAGTTTTCATGAAAGAAATTTCTAACCAATATCATATCATATAGCTAGACAGAGTGGATCCAGAAAATTATTTAGTCTGAGGCATATTTTGTTTTAAAAATCTCAACTAATAACAAATTATTTTTAAAAAGAGTTCACGACCAATAAAGGATCCCAACAAATGAAAAATAAGATAAAAGAAATAGTAAGTGATAAAAACTTAACTAAATTTTCTGATATAATATTTTACTAAAATTTAGCATTAGTTAGACTTAGTTTAGTAAAAGACGAGCAAAAACTTATCGTTAGTTTAGACATAATTTAGCAAAAGATAAGCAAATATTTCTTATATTTTAAATATTTTTCTGATATACATCACTTTTAATATGTTTTTTATATTGATAAATAGTCATTAAAAGATAATTATACTAACATATTAGAAATTTGGATCATCGGAATTCCAGTATCGGAGAACCTTTTCTTCTTTCAGTGACAAGAGACTTCTTCTGAAGAGTTTCACGATCGTCTCTTTGGCCAACCGGCGACTGAAAAACAGAGTAAAAGGTAAAACAGAACAAGAACAAGAGATTGTTGCTGCATTTTCGAATTCTTCTTCAGGGTACAAGAGATCTGTGAAGGTATTGGGTGATGTTTCTTCGAATTCTTGTGGTGATGAATGGTACAAAAACGAAAGTTAATTAATTGATCCGTTTTGTCCCTTTTAATTATGCCAAAAACAAAAACAATTAAGTTAATTATCGGTTTGCACAATTTTGTTTACGTTACACTTGATTTTCTATTTTTTTTGTAAGCTTTCGGTTACACTCAACTAATGTTCAAAGAAGACCCATATAAATAAACTAGCTTGCAATCTCATCACTACACCAAAAGTAAATTGAGGGAGGGAAAAAATGGAAAAGGTAACAAGCATTTTCGTCGTTATTCTCCTAATTAATTTCTTCATGTAAGTATTTCAAAGTCATTTTCTTTTCTATTCTTTGTCAGAGTGAAAGCACACGTTTTCGGTGTTAGATAATCTAATTAATAAATATCTATACGACTATACATTTATGTATATTAGGTTATATGATACTCAAATAACCTAAAACTTGAGGGGACAACTAATTTGGCTTACTTGTTAGTTAGTTTTTTTTTTTTTTTTTTCAGTTGTTAGTTTTTACTAAATCTTCTTGTAACCAGGTATGATAATGAAGAGCGAAGGTTTTCAATGTGAGACAGTTGGGGATTGTGATACCCGTCTTTGCAGATTACGTTCACATGTAGTATGTAACAACCACAAGTGCACATGTGCTCATGGTTCTTATATTGGTGGTCAATGTGATAGAGTCACTGACTGTGATCCTTCTGGGTGTCCACCATATTATTATGTAGTATGCGATCATCAAGTTTGCACTTGTATCCCAAACTGATTGGAGTTATTTAGATATATGTCTCACGCATGTAAGAAGAAACTCCCATTCTAAATCATCTATATATATATGCATGCGAGATGTAATAGTATCTGTGGACATCATGAGTATAAACTAATGTAATGGAAATGCGTAATGTTCTTCTTTTATAAAAGAATCATAAACATTACAAACCTCAGTCAAACGAACTTTCTTTAATCTAACAACAGTTTTGCCATTTAACGTACAACGCTATATCTTATCGACGGCTGTTTTGTTGAATCCTCCTTCAAGTTTGTTGCAAGAGAGGTTTAGATATCTTAAACTCTTCATGTGTGCGATGGCTCCAGGAACTTTTCCGACAAGCTGATTGTGAGAGAGATCAAGGGACTCAAGCTTATCTAGAGCCGAGATGGTGGATGGGATTTCTCCGGTTAGGTTGTTGTAGCTGAGGTCTAGAGCAACTTGAAGATTCTGAAGCTGTCCAATCTCGACAGGGATTTCACCGGTTAAGACATTTCTGGATAACCGAAGCTCGTAAAGCTTGCTCAGCTTGCCTATCTCTGAAGGAATAGAACCTGAAAGCTGATTGTTTTCGAGGTTGAGCACATTGAGAGCTTCCAAGTTTCCAACATCTTGCGGGATGGAGCCGTTAAGTGAGTTGCCATCAAGAGATAGCACAAGAAGAGTACTGCTCAAGTTGAAAATGCCGGTAGGGATTGATCCGGTAAACCGGTTAGAAGAAAGCTTGAGCTCGCCTAGCAATGGAAGCTTTCCGAGCCAGGAAGGAATAAGCCCTGAAAGAGAGTTATTGTTGAGAAGAACATGTGTCAACTTCTTGCACAAACCGAGCTCTTCCGGTATGGTTCCCGTGAGAGCATTGCTTGAGATATCCAACATAGATAGCTCTTGGATCTTCCCAAATGTCCAAGGGATCCTTCCTGTGAATCGATTATTCCCCAACCTAAGACGATCAAGATTCGGAGACTTGCCTAGATCAAGAGGTATGTCTCCTTGGAATCGGTTTCCTGTGACACTAAACGAGAGATAGGAGCTCGAACCGGACAAGGGACTGATGGATCCATTGAGCTTGTTTCTGGAAAGGTCGAGCCTTGTCAGATTCTTGAGGTTGATAAGTGAGCTCGGAAGATTCCCCTCAAGAGAGTTGTTATAAAGGTATAGCTCTTGTAACGACTTTAAGAATCCCAACGAGGAAGGAATCGAACCGGAGAGCTGGCTATTCGCTAGATCAAGAAGCGTCAGCTGGTTACAGTTTCCTAAACTGGCCGGAATGTTACCAGCAAACTGGTTCTCTCTCAAGTGAAGGTAAGTGAGCTCTTTCAATCTTCCAATTGAAGATGGAATCTCTCCACTGAAATGATTCCGATACAGATCAATCTGCTCCAGATTCGTGCAGTTTCCAATCTCCGGAAAACCGATTCTCGTATAGATACAGAATTTCCAATTTTCTGAGCAATCCGATTTCTTTAGGTAACTTGCCTTCCAAGTCATTGCGATACAGATCAAGTTCTTGTAGATTCCTTAGGTTAGACACTGATGGAGATAACGTACCTTGCAACCTGTTGTTGAAAAGAGCAAGCGCCGTGAGTTCCACGAGCTGAAACAACGACTCTGGGATTCGACCCGTGAGCTTGTTGTCCGCCAAATTCAGCACTCGTAGTGACTTGCATTGGCTGATTTCCTCCGGAATCTCGCCGGAAAGCTCATTTCCCGACAATCCCAGTTGCTCCAGACTTGTCTTGTTAGAACATATAGTCTTTGGAATCGGTCCTTCGAGCTTGTTTGACGACAGATCGAGTTCGATTAGGTTTATTAACCGGCCAATCGAAGGAGAAATCGAACCGGTTAAGCCCAAATCGGAGAGATTTAAACCGACGACTAATCCACCACGGCACGTGACGCCCCTCCACTTGCAGAAATTTGGATCATCGGAATTCCAGTCTCCGAGAACCTTTTCTTCTTTCGGGTTCGTGACAAGAGACTTCTTCACTTCCAGAAGAGTTTTAAGATCGTCTCTTTGACCCGGTTGGCTCAAACTCGACCCGATTAAAAACCAGACCAGAAACAGAACATGAAAAATACATGGTTGCTGCATTTTCGAATTCTTTTTCTTCGAATTGTTGTGGTGATGAATGGTAGTAGTGATTTGTGAAACTAGTCTTATAGACACTTTTAAGGCAATGGTTTGGTATTCAGTGTGCGTTCATGTCCTGATACCCAAGGGGCCCACTTCTTTGTTAAAATATTTATTACTAATTAAATATGGGAGAACTAAATATATATCTTTGACCACTTATATATCTTTTGTTGACCACTTATTTAAGTTTAAGTGGCTGGCAAAAAAAAAAAAAAAAGATTGATACACATTGTATTGTTATACAGTACTAGGATAATTATTTTGGTATAAATAATTATAAGTAATTTAATTTTCCCTAAAGGGCCGGCCCATGAAATGTTTAAACAGACATCAAAGCCCAAAAATTAAGCTATCGATTTCTCTCTCTTTGCTCTTCCTCCGTTGCCGCCGGTAAGCTATCCTCCGCTCGAGTTTCCGTCTCTGGCAGAAATTCAGACGTCGGTGCGCTGAGACGTCACTTGGCAGTTCCATGGTTCTGCAGCTGAGAGGCTACTCTCTTTACAACCGTGGAATCTCTTTCCTCGTCTCTTCTTCCTTGAGGCATCTTAGTACGGCTTCGCTTTTGTTGAACTCCGAACAAACCACTGTCGAGCCACTGGTGAAATCAGAGCTCGAAGCTCTAGTTCTCAAGCAATACTCACATGGGAAGTTCTATAGTCTCGTTAATAACGCCGTTGCTTTACCCTCCGTCCTTCTCGCGGCCTGTGAGAATCTATCTCTCGCTGCCAACTCGGGCGGTTCGTCCACCGAGTTAGCCGATCGCGTCTCCAGGAGGTTCTCAGTCGAAGAAATGGGGCGCGAGTTACGCGAGGGCAGGTTCGATATCCGTTCCTGCTGCGTCGAATTCGTCTCTTCAAGAGAAAACGAACCTCTTGTTCTCCCCCATCTAAAACTGAAAGTATTGATTGAAGCCATTAGAATGGTGCTCGAGATTGTGTACGATGATCGATTCGCGACGTTCTCGTACGGTGGCCGTGTTGGCATGGGTAGGCATACAGCGATTCGTTACCTGAAAAACTCGGTGGAGAATCCACGGTGGTGGTTTCGCGTTTCGTTTGCTCGAAAGATGTTCAGTGAACGGAATGTTGATAAACTCTGTGGTTTCGTTGGAGAGAAAATCAACGATGGTTTGTTGATTGAGATGATAAAGAAGCTCTTCGAGTTTGGGATTCTGCGAATCGAACTCGGTGGATGTAACAGTGGAAGAGGTTTCCCACAAGAATGTGGATTGTCTTCGATCTTGATCAATGTGTATTTCGATGGTGTTGATAAAGAGATTCAAGATATGAGGCTAAAGATGAAAACGAAGAATCCTCGAGAGGAGGAATCGTCAGGTAATGTTTTCTACAAGCCGATAAATATTTATGCCGTCAGGTATTTGGATGAGATACTTGTGATAACATCAGGCTCGAAAATGCTGACAATGGATTTGAAGAAGAGGATTGTAGACGTTTTGGAAGAGAGACTAGACCTGAGAGTAGATAGAGTGAACACAGCGATTCATAGTGCAGTGTCAGAGAAGATAAACTTTTTAGGGATGTATCTTCAGGCTGTTCCACCTTCGGTTCTGCGTCCGCCTATGTCTGAGAAGGCGGTGAGAGCAATGAAGAAGTATCAGAGGCAGAAGGAAGTCAGATCATTGGAGTTGAGAAACGCTAGGGAGAGGAACCGAAAGGTACTGGGGCTGAAGATATTTAGACATGTGTTGAAGAAGCTCAAGCAGAGCAACGGGGTGAAATCTGAGTATGAGATAGAGAATGAGGTTGGGGATGTTTTCGAGAGATGGGGAGAGGAAGTTATGAAAGAGTTTATGGGGTCTCTCGAAGATCGGTGGAAATGGCATTCTCTGCTCACCAGAGGAGATTTTCTCTCTTTGAGGCATATAAGAGAGAAGTTACCACAGGACCTGATTGATGCTTATGATGAATTTCAGGAGCAGGTGGAGAAACACTTGGCACCGGCGCAAGCGAAGAAGGAACTAGAGGATGAGGAGAAGAGAGTGGAAGAAGAAGATGAAGAGAGATATGCTCAAAGGACAGTTGATGATTTGACAAAGCTATGCATGAAAGTGTCAGCTCCGGAGGAGCTTGTTAGGAAGGCTGTTAAGTTAGTTGGGTTCACGAACAACATGGGCCGGCCACGACCTATCAGCCAGCTTCTAGCTCTTGAGGATTCTGATATCATCAAATGGTATGCGGGTGTAGGGCGTAAATGGCTTGATTTCTTCTGCTGTTGCCACAATTACAAAACGGTCAAGATCATTGTAAGTTATCATATGAGGTTCTCCTGTATATTGACACTAGCAGAGAAGCACAGATCCACTAAACGTGAAGCTATTAGACACTACACGAAAGATCTCAAAGTGTTAGATCTTGAGGGGAGCGAGGAGATGCATTTTCCATTGGAAAGAGAGGTTAAGATGATGGGAGACAAAAACCTTTCAGATCCGAGACCTGTGGATGGGACACTGTCTTTGCTTTTGATCAGGCTTGCATCTGATGAGCCCTTGCATTCTTGTGCTGCTAGTTTCTGTGAACGATCGGATACAATCATGTACCGTGTACACCTACTGCAAGACCGTTTGCATATTAGCCCACTGGATGAAAAGAAATGGGTTCGTGGCATGGGCGCAATTCACTCGGCTTTGAATCGGAAATGTCTCCCTTTGTGTTCCACTCACATCAGTGATGTATACTTGGGTAAAATGACTCTTCAAGATGTTGATGGTACTTCATTCCTCGATCTCAGGTGATATCTGTTGCTAGTTTCTCCAACGGTCATTGCTGAGATTAGGCTGAAGCATGCCTTAATCAAGAAGAGAAGTGCTGATTTACATAGTCTCTGGTTGATTTCACTCAACTGATAGCCAAAATGGAGGATAATACTTCATAAGCTACTGATTTGGCTGCGCAATGCAATAGAAGCTTCATGTTTTTCAGGGAGTTTTGCTTGATTCTCAGGGTCAGGAAACAAAGGTTTGAGCATTGGTTAAGCAGCAAGGCTGTTGACTGAGAAACGCAAAATTTGATGAAACAAGTTGTGATCATCCACAGAGAACGTGTGTTCCTTTATGATCATCACTATATCAGACTCGGCATAGTGATATCATGTGATCTACTATAAGCGGTTATATATGATGTTTTGTTTTTTACCGGATGTATATTACTCAATCGTATAATGTATCAATCCACATTTAAGTATGTTTCTTATTGTAGCTAAAGTAGTATACCTTGAAGATTAACAGGTAGGGTACATTTATTTAAAAAAAGGAAATAGCGGGGTTTTTCTTTGTATCATGTAAGAAGCGAGGACAATACTGTTAAAACGAAAATGAAGGGGACAATAGTGTTAATATAATAAGTTTCGGGTGCAATTTGCAAAAGGAGACGAAAATTTAGCTGTGTGTCACGTGACCATCACATGGTTGCCGACGGTGAGCAAACAAGGGGTAAAGTCGGAAGTTCCGAGTCGGAACGAAAGTGAGATCTTCGTCTTCTCTGTTTCGCTTGGAAGCTGAGTTTTTCGATTGGGTTTACTCATAGATTCACATGACTCTAGGACGCAAAGTATAAAGAGAGCTAGAGTAGAAGAAAGAGCGTGGGATTTCTTAAGAGTGAGAAGAGGAATTTAAACGATGGGAGGTTATGTGTTGGGTTCGGCCAGATCGGGGCAAACGATAATGGTGGCTCTGGTACTGGTGGTTGGATCATTCTTCTCCGGCTATATATTCGGAAACAATGCACCTATATACATTCCCGAACCTTCTTCCAATTCTTCTTCTTCTCCATCGCCATCTGGTTCGCTCTCTTTCACTCCCCCTCTCTATTTCAAATGTGTCTCCTTTTCTCTGTATCGTTAGATTTTGGTTTTTGAAGCTAAATTGAATCGAAACCAATTGCGTTTCTGTTCTAGATCAATCGCTTTCGATTCTCAATTACTTCGAGTGTCATACATAGCTCGCTAGTTTTTGCTTTTGCCGATTTGGACTAGGACGTAAATCGATAATGCTACAGTTTTGTGGCTGCAGGTCAATCCAATTTCGCCAACAAAATAGAGCTCACTCACCGAAGAACCTCTGTTGTGATCCCAGAGAGTGGGATAAATGTTTGCCCATTGGAGTTCAACGAGTATATCCCCTGTCACAATGTCACTTACGTGCAAGAGCTTCTCCCAAGCTTGAATGTTTCTAGAAGAGAAGAGCTTGAGAGACACTGCCCACCACTTGAACAGCGTCTCTTTTGTTTAGTGCCTCCGCCTAAGGATTATAAGATACCAATACGTTGGCCGACCAGCAGAGATTACGTGTGGAGAAGCAATGTGAATCATACACATCTTGCTGAGGTCAAAGGAGGGCAAAATTGGGTGCATGAACAAGGTCAGTTATGGTGGTTCCCTGGTGGCGGCACTCATTTCAAACACGGAGCTCCAGAATACATCCAGAGGTATCTGTAACTATCCTGTGTTTGGTTTTCGAATTGCTTTCAAGAAAGGTTAGACATTTCCCTGATTTATTGTATGTAACTTCCTTCAGGTTAGGAAACATGACGACTAACGAAACAGGCGACTTACGTTCAGCTGGGGTTGAGCAAGTTCTTGATGTTGGATGTGGAGTTGCTAGCTTTGCAGCTTATCTTCTTCCTCTAGGTATAAAGACTATGTCTTTTGCCCCTAAAGATGGTCATGAAAACCAAATCCAGTTTGCGCTTGAGAGAGGAATCGGTGCAATGATCTCTGCCATAGCCACTAAACAAATGCCATATCCCGCAGCCTCATTCGATATGGTTCATTGTTCAAGGTGTCGTGTTGATTGGCATGAAAATGGTATGCAATTCTCTTATGCTTTACTTTCTGCTTGTCAATGCCTTGCTTGGTTTTGTATCAATGACTTGCGCTTGGTTCTGCAGATGGTATCTTGATTAAAGAGGTTAATCGCCTTCTCCGACCCAATGGATACTTTGTTTATTCAGCACCACCTGCTTACAGAAAGGATAAAGATTTCCCTGTGATTTGGGATAAGTTGGTCAATCTAACCACCGCAATGTGCTGGAAGCTCATTTCCCGAAAGGTACAGACTGCAATATGGGTTAAAGAAGATGACGAGGCTTGCCTTAGGAAGAATGCAGAGCTTGAGCTTATAACTATATGTGATGCGGAAGAGAAAGCTTCATGGAAAGTTCCTCTTAGAGACTGTGTGGACATTAATGGGAACATACAACAGAAACCCTCTTCTTTAGCTGAACGTCTATCGTCATATCCAACGAGTCTAAGTAAAATAGGTAAGTTTCATCTATTCAATTCATTGTAGAAAACTAGAAACGACACTATCTGTTGTCTGATTCCTTTAATTTACTTTGAAAACTTTGACAAGGCATCAGCGAAGATGAATTTACGCTGGACACAAACTTCTGGAGAGAACAAGTGAATCGTTACTGGGAGTTGATGAATGTTAACAAGACTGAGGTGAGGAATGTGATGGACACAAATGCCTTCGTTGGTGGATTTGCTGCAGCTATGAACTCATATCCCGTTTGGGTCATGAATGGTGTACCTGCTACCGCAAACGATACCTTATCCGGAATTTACCAGAGAGGCTTGACCGGTGTTTATCATGATTGGTAAGCATATATGACTCACTTCTCCAATTTTGATCCTTTCTCACTCGAGGGAATTGAGAACTTTGGCACCAACAGTAAAACTTTTGCTTATGTGGCCGTAGGTGTGAGCCATTCTCAACTTATCCCCGCACGTACGATCTTCTACACGCAGACAGTCTCTTGTCTCACTACCAAGTCAACGGTGGAGGTTGTTTACTAGAAGACATCATGCTTGAGATGGACCGCATTATACGCCCTCAGGTATTTTACGTATCACTAACCTTAAGCCATGTCTTATTTGATGATACTACCAAATCCAAATGAATCATAAACCATCTCATCTTTATTGTAATGTTTGGATTTGCAGGGATTCATCATTATTAGGGACGAGGAATCGATCATCTCAAGAGTCCGAGACTTGGCTCCTAAATTCTTATGGGAAGTTGAGACACACGAGCTGCAAAATAAATACAAGAAGACAGAAACTGTTCTGTTTTGCAGAAAGAAGTTCTGGGCAATCGTCTGATACATCAGCACATTCCACATCTCCAAGAAACGCAAGAACAGAGAAATTCTTTGTTGTTTACTCTTCTTGGGATTTAAGAGAATTCTTTTTTTTAAGTTTACTTGTGTAACATTATTTGTTCATTGATTGATTATAATAGAAATCTCACTGTACATTTTTTTTGTTTTGCAACATCCATAACCAAACCTGGAAGTAGTCGATTTAAGGTGAACTTTGAACCAAAAAAAAAGTTTTGGGGTTTGTAATGTAATTTGAGGAAGTTAATACGTTTAGAAAAGTTTCATATTGGTCCTTGTGATTTTCTACATTTGCTATATTGGTGTCGTCTCTTCTTCCCTCTTCCTTCTTCAGTCATCGTTAATAAATTTGTCTATCGACGGAAAACATTTCAAAGCCTCGTTTTTTTCTGGCGAAAACCTTATCCTTGTATGCAGAAATAATCCCGATTTCTAATTGGTTTCTCATCTCTGATTCTCCAAACTGTTCGCAATTTGAAAACCACCCCATGACTGAGACTGAAGTTCGCAGGAGTAATTAAAGTCTACAGATTCTAAACTGTTGTTGAGGTTAGATTAGTTGAATTAAAGTGAAAACCTTAGTCGTTTTGAATAATTGATTCTGAGAAGTAAACACAAAACATCTTCGTAAATTGTGTTGCAGTAGCTGATGATGCAAATGGAAAATCTGAAGGAGGCTTTGCGTTTTATCTGCTCTTCCGATTTCTGGAGGATGGCTCTGTTTTGGAACATTGCCCTTCTCTATTCTTACTTCCAATTGCTTAAAAGAAGCATCTTTGGCTCGAAATCCTCTTCTTGCTCTAATCATTCATGGAATAGCTCACGCAGACCTATCTGTGTTATCACTGGTGTAAGTCATTCTCTCTTCTCCTAGGAATCATTGCCTCGACTGTATAACGTAATGTAGTGATTACATTATAGCCATTAGTCTTAATTTCTTCCGTTTATTGAATTCATTTCAGGCTACTTCTGGTCTTGGTAAAGCCACAGCAATTGCTCTTTCAAGGAAAGGCTTCTACGTCGTTCTTGGTAAAAAGTGTTCAAATTTGATCTCTTATTCAATACATCTCTAATGGAATAGATCTTGATGATCTTGTTGGTACAAGTCTTATTCATTGCCTCAATCTTTCTTGATTTTTTGCAGTTGGACGGTCCTCGCACTTGCTATCAAAGGTTTTATACGTTCCTTTTTATTTCTTTTCCACCAATAGAAAACCTTAATGCAAGAACCTTTGTGGTTGCCACTTTCTTTTGACAGACGTTGAGTGAAATCAAGAAGCAGAATGAGGATGCACAACTCAAGGCTTTTGAAGTTGACATTTCTTCTTTTCAATCAGTTTTAAAGTTCAAATATTCTCTAGAGCAATGGCTTTCAGAATCGGATTTACATTCTTCAATCCAAATTTTGGTGAACAATGCTGGAATAATGGCAACATCGAGTCGTCCAACCAACGAAGGCTTTGACAGGTAAGGTTCTCCACTTTTCACAATGGTTTCTCATAACTTTGAATTCTGAAGGTTACATACACTTTCTGTCTCTTCTCCATCCATGTCAGGATGATTGCTACAAACTATGTGGGAGCTTTCTCTTTGACGAAACTTCTCCTACCGCTCCTGAGAAACAGCCATGTGCCTTCACGAGTCGTCAATGTTACATCATTTACACATCGTTCTGGTGAATATTCTCTCACAATCGATCCAATAGTTTTCTACTATACAGTAAAGTACCTGATGTCTTCCTCTGGTCTAATTGTCTCTGTAGCTTTCGCTGCGAGGTTTGACAAGGATTCTGTTAGTGGAGTGAACTTTTCAAGATCAAAGAACTATCCTTTTACTAGGATCTATCAGTATTCTAAACGTATGGAAACCTTTTTCTCAGTTTATAAGCATATTTGTTTCCACCTTATGATACTGACATAGTTTCTCATCGTTTGTGAAATCATAGTATGCCTTCTACTTTTCTCTTACGAGCTGCATAGACAACTTCGCCTCGCAGATGATTCACATCACGTCTCTGTTGTGTACGCATCTCTTAAACACTCATATCTCTTAAACTGTTCGCTGACTTATGTGTTTCCTTTCTTCATAATCGTAAAATAATCAGGCGTTTGTTCTTTTGTTGTAGAGCGGTAGATCCAGGAGCAGTGGAAACAAACATAATGCATGAGCTTCCTTCATACATACAAGCCATGGCGTTTTTCTGTCTCAAGATCCTTAGACTCATGCAGTCCTCAGAGGACGCAGCTGAATCTGTTATTGATGCTGCTTTAGCTCCACCTGTAAGATATGCTCTGTTTCATACTTTTATGTGGTCCATGAGCTTTGTTTGATCTGTTGATATGAACATATGTTTGCAGGAAGTATCAGGCAAATATTACTTTGGAGGAAAAGGAAGGACCATCGAATCTTCACCACTTTCCCGTGATCCGAAACTTGCTAAGGAGCTCTGGGACACATCTTGTCACATACTTGACGAGTTGCGGCATGCTTACACTTGAAGATCAATGGCTTCAGTTGTCTATAACACAACACAAAAGTTCTTTATCTTTGTAACTTTCCGAGTTTCTCGCCACAATAACTGATTTCCCCCCCCCCCCCCCAAAAAATCCAGGCTCCGTTTAGCAAAAACCCAATTGATAATTAATATATAATATTTATCCACAACTAGGAGGATTGGCATTTGGCCAAGTCCAACTGGAATGAACCAAAAACCTATTAATAAATACGAACACATTCCAACTAATTCCCAAAAAAAATAAATACCACAAAAACTAATTTTGTTTCCAAAATACCACAAAACTGATACTTTCCAAAAGTACCACAAAAACTGTTATTTCCAAAACTACCACAAAACTTTGTTCCCAAAAATACCATAAAACTATTTTTTCCAAAACTACCACAAAACGTTTTTTTTTTCCAAAAAATAAATAAAAGGGAAGTAAACGTCTCTTCATAGAAAATTATCCAACAAGTCGTCGTGACAAGGACAAGCTAAGCAAAGCCAACAAGTGTGAAAAGAACTTGAAAAAGGGAAGTACAAAAGTCTCCTTTTCACATTTTAAAACTCAAAGGAAACTTAGTTTCTGGAGTAGCCTCTTCGTGAAGATAGGCATAAAGATATAGAGGAATAAGCCGAAAGTCGGGAGGATAAAACACTCAAGAAGAATATTTCATCTGCCAATCAGAGCTTATATAAAGAGAAGTATCCTCACAAAAATGTTTAATCTCATCAATAACCAAACCAAGTATCATATTCCCAAAATCACACAATCACAATCCCCTTTTGTGTGTGTTTCCACTTGCAAAGTGAAAGAGCCAACACAAAGAGAGGAGCTTCTTCTGTAAGAAAAGATGCACAAGGACATGGGAATCGCAGAAAATCAACATCTTCCACCAGGTTCGAATTTTTCTTGCACGTTAATTGATCATGAATCAAACAAACGTTAAAGCGAAAGAGAATATTTATATAGTACTTGCCTCTCTTGACAGGATATCCAGCTGCAGTCTCTGAACAACCTGGAGACGACAAGAAGAAGAAGAAACCAGTGTTTTCCGAGACAAAGCAGAAAGGAGACAGAGGCTTCATTGAAGGATGGTAAATAGAAAACAGATTAAACGACTCTGTTTCTGTTTTTCTAGTACTAACTCTGTGTCTGCTTTCTTGTTCGTTCCTTCCTATGCAGTCTCTTTGCACTATGCTGTTGCTGGATTTGTGAAATGTGTTTCTAAGGAAACGAAGGAACAGTAGAGTGCGTGAACTGTGAAGCTTCCTTTCCCTTTTATAATATTTGTTACCGAGAGAGTATAGTAGCTCAATCTCAAACTTCATATACACTATCTGTGTGGTGTTTGTGTGTATTGGAAGAAGGTTATTATACTAATAATAATGTAAAGAATCATCATAGTTGGTACAGGATCGGTCAAAAATCAAAGAGTACCATACTGATATTTGAGCTTTTAACACTAAAAGAGAAATTGAGCCCTACTTGCAAGTTTTAGACTTGGCAGTATAATCCAAATCAAAAATCGAATATCATACAATGATAACAATCAAAATACTGCTTATTAAATATCTAAAACCAAAATTCTCCACACCAAAGAATAATAATATTTGTGTTTTTGTATACACCACCCAAAAACTGTCTTTCGAAAGGCAATAATATCTCTATCTGACTATCTCTATGCAGTCTGCAGAGGTCAAAAGCATGATGATGAAGTTCCCATATCTAACAAACCTATTTGCTCCCGATGTTGTTCTCGTAACTGAAGCCTTCAGATATGGTCCCCAATCTCTCCTGATCTCCTGTAAGAGACAGCACTTGTGGTTACTTACTACTAACAAAGAGAATGTTTCACTTCGACAAATCTTTATGTTCTTGTTTCGTAACAATTAACAAAGCTGGGAGTGGTCACCTTGAGGATGTTCTACTCTTTCGCTAGAGTCCAGGAAATTTTCAGCATCAGTCAAAAGAAATGGCGATTTGTCGTAGCTCTCCAGAATCTCTGGTATTCACAAACAATCTACTGTCAAAAAACAATGATTCTTAAATCCGCAATGCCAATATTGCAGTTTCCGCTTAATATGTGAATGAGAGTGAGAAGGACCTGAACTCTGGGAAAAGTCAGCTGTGAGATCAGAGAGGCTGAAGTTCCGAGGAATTTGACCTAAGAACCCAAATGTAGAAGCGCCTGCATCAACAACTGGATCATTGAGGGATTGGTTGCTAGAATCGTTGCTGAAAGATGCAATGGAGGCATCTCCAACTGCCGAAGCTGCTTGACCACCATACATCATGAACGGAGCACAGTTCGAGAATGCAGCCTCTGATTTGATCGTCCCTTGCATCAAAGGCGTATCTGTAGTAGCCTGCAAGGAGATCATGCTCGGTGGAGGAACAACTCTGGTTGAAAAGTCCACAGAAGAAGGTACAGCTGTGTTAAGTGCTGAGCCTCCATTGATGTATGCACTTGACATATTAGGAGAGGTATGATCAGAATCCTTGGTTGCAAAGCTCAACTGTTGCTGATTCACTGTTGAAAGAAACGTTGTTAACGATTATTCCACGAGACAACAACTATGTGTTACTAAGCTACATTGCACATATCTTACTTGATGGAACATGCGAACCATTTCTGTTTTGGACGGAAGCAGCTCCGGTTGGATGCATCTGACGCATGTAGTGGACCTGCTGCTCAAGCAGCTTGTTATATTCCATAATCTGGTGCTTCACCATCAGTCTCAGATAATACGCCTTGAAAAATTCCGCGTTCTCTTCTTCGAGCTTCTTCCAAACTGTCAAATCAGAAGAAAAATATGCAAACACAAACATATACACATTACTGATATGATCAAGATATACAAGAACCAACTTATGAACGATCAGGAACTAACTGAACTAATTGTATCAAACAAAACCGGAGAAGTGTTGAGGCTACCTAGTTCTGTAAAACCACGTTCAATCTTAGCCTGCTCGAGTAGAGTGTCGACAACTTCTTCACGGTTCATGTAAAGCTGAAGGCATCGTTCAATTAGATTCTGAACCTGCAAAGAAACGTTAAGAAGAGGCCAGAAATAAACTTATCTCACATGATACTTTCGTTGTAAAATGAGTCAACAGTATTCATTGATGTATGTTACCAGTTGAATGTCTTCACGAGATACTCTTCTCACTGTTACACTTGACATGGCTGAAATTTTGGTACAAGTGATTCTGTTCCTGTCAGAGTCAGAAAGTGACTATCTTGTTCCTGTCAGAATCAGAAAGTGAGTATCTTGTTCCTATCAAACATATAGAAAGTGTTATCTCATAAACTCCGAGCTAGAGAGCGGATCAGCTATTGCCGAAAACTCACAAAACAGATGCTATTGCCTATGTGAGACGCACTCAGGAGATCTAAGCCATAAGACTATCAGCAAAATAAATTAAAAGAGCAAAAAATTGCAAACAGTTATATACCTCGAGAAAATGACATCAAAATCACAACTTTTTTCCGGCTAAGGAAATGATGAGTATTTCATCAACAAAAATCAAAAGAAGAACACAGAGTTAAGAGCAGGAGCTTAAATCGAATTGAAACCCTCAATTTTCACACAGATGAAACCCAAGAGTCGTCATTCATTACTTCTTCAATTGAAGAAGAATCAAAGCAAAGCAAATCAAATCAATGATTAACCGAAAACAAAAAGGAATTAGCCCCCGATTAAAAAGACAAGGGACGAGAAGACCAACGAATTAAAAAAAAAAAAAAAACTAGAAACCATCAGTGAAGGCAAAACCCTACCGAAATCAGTCAATTCCTTTTAGTGATCTGTAAATCAAAGAGAAAATCGTCGAGAAGGAGAGGGAGAGAGAGAACCTACCCTCTCTCACTTTTTTTTGTTGTAAGGAAATGAGTTTTTTTTTTGTCCTGAGTGAATATATGAGGAATTGGGATTAAAAAATTATCCACCTGGACAATGTGTAGGCCAAATTCTTTTTTCAAATGTTAGTCCCATTTGATATTACACATTGTCCATGCAGATAATTTCTTACTCCTATAACTCAATTACAAACTCAATTCCTTCTTTCAAAGATTGGTCATTGATTATTGCTCTATATTTGATACCAAATTCTATTTTGTAATAAAATATATTTCAACATAATTTTATTTTCAGTTTGCAAAATGGTATAATGCTACTTTCTATTCAAAATAGAGAAAATTATATCATTGCGACCAAAAATAAAATTATGTTGGAGCATATTTTATTGCAGAATAGAATCATATATCAAAATATACAATAGGGTAGGAAATGCTGTTAGCATAAAAAAAATCGGAATGATGATTTGATTGACGCATATTACGTCTTTTGAAATTTGGGTTAGTTGGACCGTTTTAAAATTTTTATTCCAAAAATAGATTCATAACTTTCATTTCCTAATAATAGAACAAAATTCTACAGAAAAAAATGATTTTTAAAACCTTTTTTTCAAGAAAGATATGTAAAACCCAAAACTGGAAAAAAAAAAGAATCTCAAACATAAAATTTCTAACAACAAATTCTTTTGGCTGATGAAGATGCAAAGAAAAGTTATTTGCCAAAATGAAGACACAAAGAAAGATGAAGAACTCCACTTAAGGCCATACTATAGTCTGATCAGTTGGTTTGATATGTGGATTTCGTGTTGATATGCATCTTCGAGATGTCAAGTGTATGTTAACTTGACCATATTGGTGTCTTCCTTGAATCACCATCAAAATTTGACCCAAAAAATGATTTCCTTCTTTAGGTTTTGCATTTCATGTTGGCAATCTTCCCTTATATGTCCTCAAATAAAGTTATTATTATTGTTTAAGTTGGACAGGAAAACTATCATATCAAAATGTATGTTATCTTCAAACACTACAATAATCAAGAAATTATCAACATGGAAACCATAATATTTTTTTCGAAAACTTAATTTAACGAAATATTTTATTAATTTATCGAGTATTACTTTATAGAGTTTGTACAGTATATTGCACATATTACTCTGTGGATTGCTGGTTGATATGGATCTTCAAATATATCAAGAGTGGAATTGTAAAAATTATATCACTTGGAAAGATTTTATATATTGTTTGTACCAAAATAAACTCAGAAGATCTAAAGGTTCCAAATTCAAATTACTCAAGACCTGTTTCGTGAATGAAACAAATCTCTCCAAGGGAGTTCACGAAGGGGAAAAAAAAACTAAGTGATTATATTTGACAAAATCACATGTGGAATGGTGTTTTAAACCTATGACAGAGAAACCCTTAGGGGGGAAAAAGGAACATGTTCTTGAATCACTAAGAATCAAGAACCTGGGTACCAAGTTACTAGTAGGAACGGTTACGGACCTGCATTGCCGAGAACAGAGGGAATCGACAAGGCCTTTATCCAGCTAAGAAGTCATCGTTGTGGTCATCATCGCTACTGATGTGGTCAGCAGAAGAGTGAGTAAGCAATATCATACGTCTGATGAGGAAAACGTTATAATAGTAACTGCGGAGATCATTGAGACTTTTCCTTGGGAAAGCCTTGGCAGCAATATCCCAAAATCCTTCAGTAGTTGACAAAGGATTCTTCTTCACAAGATCTTTGAACCTTCTCTCCTCGTTGGCTGTCCATGACTTTGATCCAAGTTCTTCACCCATTTTATCAAACTCCCAAGTATAGAAAGCACGGTTTATGTCTTTCTCTAGAAGCTCCGTTGTTTCTTTAATGTGTTGGTTTACGCAATTGGTTGATCTTGGAGAATCACAAGAACACGAGTCGTCGGATCTTCCTTCGCCGACCTTTTTGTAGTGAGCTTTCTTCTTTAGGCTATAAGTTGGCCAAACACCAGTCCCAAGCCATTTAAGAGTGTCGGAATCCCCGGGACTGCCATAAAATTTACCCTTCTTGGTAGGGGCAATCCACACCGGAATTTCAGCTTGGAAACCAGGACCGACTGGGATACATGGTCCGGTTTTCTCAGAGCTAGGAGCTAGATCTTTGAGGGTCTTGTGGCTAACATTTTTAGGGTTTGGTGGGTCTGAAGCATGAGCAGTTTTTTGTCGTGTAGAAAAAGAGGGATGTGAGGATGGAACACAAGACTTCTGCAGTTTCTGGCGTTTCCTCTCAAGACTTGAATCACTAGTCTTCCCTAAAGATTCTCCAGGAGCTGTAGAGACTGCACCATCACTCCAAGGCTGTTCCCGTGTCCTTTTGGTCTGCTAAGAGATAGAGATAACCGTCAGAGACACTTGGACAATGTCTTTGGGCTGGTTAAGAGAGGACTCATTCACACTGACATGCTCTCCAGGAGTCGCCAGTGTTTTGTTTTCCGTCCCATCGTTTTCATGTCTTTCTGACAAACTCTCGCGAGCTGTCCGGACTCTACTTAACCAAGGCGGATAAAATCCAAAAGTATGGCTATTCTCAAGCATATCGCTTGAAGACAGAATTTTTTTGCCTTATTGCGGAGATAAAAACAGTAGGGATGGATCTAAAGTCAAAGAATGTATTACCTGGGAACGCCTCTCATGGACATGTTTTGCAGCACCACTAGAAGAATCTCCTCTGCCTATGATCTCTGGAGGCATTGGTAAAATTTTCAATTAAAAACTATCTTGCTTCCTTATTCTAGTTCTCACTCTGAATCTAAGAGATCAAATCTCTAGCCACAAGGTAATCGAGAACTTGGAACGTTTTATTCTCAGAATTCATCAAATATGAATTCTGCTACCACTTGGCCAGCCAATGTGGTTCTTTATCATATAATATGATGTACCAAATATTCATAATATATCTAAAGACATTTCTTGATGGCTAATACATACCAGATTTTTCAGAAGAGCGGTTGGTCAGTTTCTCAGGAACGGTGCAGGGCGTTGATACACTTTTTGGTCTTGGCAATTCCCTTAACCTCTTGATAGCAAAAGCAGTCTAGAAAGAGAAACAGTCCAAGTTCATTTACTTGAAAACAAGAAAGTAACACAATACTGAAACAAAACTGATGGGTGTCTTTAAATGCATACCTTGTAAGCGTTCAAGGATTTGGAGATGATGCTCTCAAGTACATCTGGATGCAATTCAAAATACCCTGTTAGGTACTCCTGCACTGATTGCTCAACAATTTCCCTCACATATGGATTTCCTAACCTCGTCTTCCAGATAGAATGAGACAATATATTAGCACAAAATCATTGGCAGAGAAGAGGATCACAATCACTATGGTCTTTCATACCTGTGTTTGGCCTTCAAACTCAGGATTTGGCACAATGACTGAGACTACGCAAGTGAGTCCTTCCCTAACATGCTCCCCACTGAAGGTAATATTCTCGTCCTGAACAAAAACCACATTTAAGAGTCACGTAGATAAAACTGCTTAGTGACGTGACTGGTTTACATACCCTGACAACTTTCGACTTTCTCGCAAGGCGGTTAAGAGTTCTTGTTATAGAAGCTTTCACACCATCTATATGTGTTCCACCATCATTGGTGCGGATGCTATTGGCAAATCCTAGCATTGTCTCTGTGTATCCATCTACGCACCTGGTACAACATCAAAACTGGAATCAGAATCTCAGATCAGTGTAACTACAACATCCACATACAACAGAAAGAAAGGGACGCATACCACTGAAGTGCAATGTCCATTGTGGTACCATTTCTCTCTTTTCTAAAACCCATAACATCATGAAGTGGTTTCTGTAGAGAGGACCCAATCAGTGAAAAATCATTTCAAAATAACAGATATCACTCAACAGACGCAGGATGAAAAATCTAACCTTATTAGCATTTAGCAAACTAATGTATTCTCTAGAGTCTCCCGCATAAAAACATTCGTTATACCGATCGCTTTTCGGATCGTTATCCTCCATTTCCATGGCAAATGAAACCTGCACACATCAACATAGATCACTTGAGAAAGTTGCAAAAATCTCTGTCTCATTCCAATACACTTTTGATTTGATTTGCCAAAATCTTACCAGTTTTATATCTTTCCGTGATACCCTTCTTACAGCTCCACAGTACATTGCTGAAATTCACGAAACACAATTTTTATTCCTGGCAAGAAGAAGCACTAGAATTACAGTAGATCTGACAAGTGATAACCACCGATGCAATTTCTATTTCACTACATCAGATCAAACAGCCAAACATTCTCAATCAAATCCAACAAACCCCAATCTACAAAAATCTCAGTGACGAGAAAGAACAAACAAGTGGTGACTAAGCGGTTAATTTCTGGAAAACATAGATAAAAATCACAATGTTTCATCCTCTAAGATATTAATAGAAACTTCGTCGACTGATAATAACCAATTCAGACGAAAGAGTATATTCAATTCTGTGATTTCTTCACCTGGCCAGAAAATAACAGACAGTATCTAACATTCAAAGAGCAACCAAACATGTATTCACAAACAGAGCCAAATCAAATCGAATTATGGATAACCGATCAAATCGATTTTTAACGATGAACAGGCGTCACAAATCGAACAGAACAACAACATCGATATTTCCAAATAAATAAACGGAGAGATGAAACGGAACTACGAGAAATAATAGCAACCCTACCCCATCGGCAACTTAATCGAATCCGAAAACTAGGCGAGAAAATCTCGGGATCGGTAGAGAGAGAGGATTAAAACTTCAAAAGAAAGTAATCTCTACCTTATGATTTGTATAAATCATCAGCGATTGAATTAATCCTTCATTTTCCAGAGAATTATGAAACAGTCAGTTATTTAAACGGACATACAGTACATCGAAAACCATTAAACCGTCAGGTCCGACACCCCCAGCGAAAGAGAAAAAACGACGTAGTTTAGAGTGTTTTGCCTCGTTATTAGTTTTTTGCAAGGTTCAAAACATTAGAGTTTCTTCTAAACAGATTTGAAGTGACAAAAAAATTAACCTAAAAATTAATTTTTACTATGCGTTAATCAATAGATATTTCTCCAATTTATGAATTTATCCGAGATATTTTTTAAAAAGGGGGAAAAAAATATATGAATTAATCCATTAACGTGTAGAAAATATTTGGTGTTATGTCGGTTAAAACATAAAACCATTGATTTGATACACAAAATATTTTTTAAGATCTAGTGACTATTTTGATGCTGAAAGAACATTATTGTTTAATTTCACAAAAGATCTAATTACTAGTAGTTATGATTTTGTATTTCATGTGTGTTGATATATGGCGAAACCGGCGAGCAGGATATTATTCTGAATTAACCATATATCAAACTTATCTTACTGGTTTTATAGTGTTTCGAAACAAAAACTATAATTTAGCATTTAGAAAAATATTAAAAAAAATTGAATAGTCTTTGTTCCCAAGAACGATTTGAAAATCCAAATCGGTGGAATAGAGTTAAGATAATACAGATCATTAAGTAGATGTTGTACATTTCATGCGATAAATAAGGATGCAGGAGATCTATTTAATGATCTATACACAATATAAAAGAGATATCACAAATTTGGTTTAAGTAGAGTTTACAAACTAGTTGTACATACCTGATGATTTTGCATGATCAAAGTTCCGCATATGTTGGTGCCTTTCAAGACAAAACTTTATCGTATATTTATAAGTACAAGTAAAATCCTAGTGCGAAAAACTGTTTCACAAAAACCCTAGGCCCAATATTATTATTAAGCCCAATTATTTTGTCAATTTAGTGCATATATAAACTATCAATATTTTTTGGTCTACATCAATATTTAAAAATAAAATATTATAAATTCTAAAACTATATTATTAATATAAATATATAAGATATAAGGAAGTTATGTATACATTTTTCCAAAACCAATTATATTAATCCACATGAATATTTAGAAAAGAATCTTTCATATTCTAAAGGTATATTCTCAATATGACATATAAGAAAAAAGGAAATTATGTATATAATTTTCTTAAAAACTAATTTTATTGGTCCACATCAACATTTAAAATTAAGATTTGTTTTCATATTCTAAAGTTATACTCTCATATCTTATTGTGTAAGAAAGAAGGAGAAAGAAGGAAACTATGTATATAATTTTTTGAAAAAAAAACTAATTTGATTGGTCCACATCAAACATCTTAAAATTAAGAATTTTTTCAAAATTTGAAAATTATATGAAAGAATCAAGCTATAATAAATCTTGTACATAGGTGCCAAATGTATCTATTCAATATCATCTTATCAACGAAGGTGCAAATCTAATGTGACATTCACTAGTGAGAGACTACATGAGTACTCACTATTGGAGAGGTTCTCCTATAAAAGCCAACCCCAAATCGACTTTATCATAAGTGCCAATACCTCTTTCTCTTCTCTCTACTGCTCTTCCTCTTCTTCTTCTTTCTCTTCCAGATCGGAGATTGTCCATTCGGTCGACACAAACCAATAACATGGGTCGTGAATGGTACTTTTTTTTCTTCGAAACACGATTCCACCATTAATAAATTATTCATGTATAAACATCCAAAGTTTTCACGTTATATTCTGTTGCATATTATATTGTTCGTGCACCGATCATGAAAAATTGATGAGAGAGTCCGGTTACATGCATGCACATACGCGTATCTGATGTTATAACATATTGTGACTTATAGATAATTTATTTAAAATGCAGCGCCGTCGATGATGCCGTGAAGGAGTGGAAAGAAGATGTCGAAGTAAAGAGTGAAGTGACTGAGATCGTTCTTGTTCGCCATGGAGAAACCACTTGGAATGCTGCTGGAAGAATCCAGGTATCTACATATATATAAATGCACTATGTAAAAATCTACTAATATACACATACATCTAACCATAAATTACATAAAAATTGGAAAATGCAGGGACAAATGGAATCAGAGCTTAACGAGGTTGGACAAAAGCAGGCTGTTGCAGTTAAGATCAGATCCTTTCTCATTCTATCAAATCTACCTATTAGATACATGCATGATCCACTTTATATTTTTCTTTTTATTAACACATGATCCATTTGGTTCTTTTTTTAAAACAATCATTAGATCGCTGAGAGATTGGGAAAAGAAGCGAAACCCATAGCTGTGTATTCATCAGATCTGAAGCGAGCCAAAGACACTGCTCTGATGATAGCAAAATCTTGTTTTTTATCCGGGGTAGGTGAAATATCTCTCTATATTATTCATTTTTTTTTTGGATCGCGTTATAATCGACAAATCATGCAAACAGGTGACTGAAGTAGCTGACTTGAAGGAGAGGCATGTGGGAAGTCTTCAGGGGCTGTATTGGATCGACGGAGCAGAGAAAGAACCTGAAGCTTACTCTGCTTTCTTCTCTTCCCAAAATGACCTCGAGATTCCTGTAAGCTTCTCTCATATTTTTACCACTGTAATTTACGTAACTATTATCAACATTTAATCATATTACTGCGTGGGCTTATAAAGGGAGGAGGAGAGAGCTTTGACCAGCTTTGTGACAGATCCATGAATGCTCTTGAGCAGATTGCAAAGAAGCACAAAGGTATCTCTCTCAATCAACCTCTATGCATGTACATCGTCTTTTAGTATAAGATCTTGTTAATAACTTTTACGTGTGGAATTGAAGGGGAGAGAGTGATTGTGGTGACTCATGGAGGAGTGTTGAGGGCAATTTACATGAGGATCACTCAAGCTTCCTCCGCCGGAAAACTCCTGAATGCTTCGGTGAATGTTGTTCACTTCCGTGACGACGACGAGAAGTGGATCATCGACTCCTGGAGCGATGTTTCACACCTCTCCTCCGTTGGATTTCTCCAGCGTGGCTTTGACGGTGACGCCAGGCTCTAGAGAACCATCGTCATCATCCATCTATCTTTTTTATTTCTATGAAACCTTATTTGATGTTTCTGTTGTGTTTTTCTTTTTTTTTTTAAGATGTGTCTCCGATTATGAGATCGTTGTAGACCATCGATTAATAATACTCCCCTTTGTAAGGGTCTTCAAATTTTTAGATTTGTTGTAATCTTTGTTTTCTTTGAGATGAAATAAAATTAATCCGTGTTCAAACGGACAAATCCTACCAAATGCATTTTTAAATATAAATATTTAATACCATCGCATAAACGTTTTTACACCGAAAAGACAATGTCACGACTGTTAATACATCAACCAACCTCGAGTTTCCTACTATATATCGAGACGCTGAAGATTGCTTTTAGTGGCTGCATTTTTAATGAGCTCTTTACGAATATCGACCTGAGAATCAGAAACAATCAAATGCAGTTAAAGATTTGCGAAAATGTAAAGGTTTTTTCAATCCAACAGAAACAACCAAGTATGGCTTTTACCTGAGTGCCCATAAGAGATGAGAATGTCATGCTAGCTTCAGCTATGTCATCGACAACTAGACGCTTCAATATCCTTGTCTCTGGATTCATTGTTGTTTCCCAAAGCTGCTCAGGCATCATCTCTCCCAAACCTACAAAAGCAGAACAATATCCAGTGGTGAATTCAATCAGGGACTAAAACTCTAGATCTGGTTCCTGCCTAGTTCTTAATCCTGACGAGTACTACAAGTTTCATTCAAGGCTCATGTTATGTGAGAAGCTAGAGAAATTATATCCCAAAGCTCAGTTTTTTCAATCAAATGTTTTACCTTTGAACCTTTGAATGCTGTAGGATGCGTTTGAAGGGAAGCTGGAGGTGATCTTTTTAAGCTCTGCCTCATCGTAGCAATACTGTGCATGTTTTCCTCTCTCCACCTGGTCGTTTTTAAAGAGAAACAGTTTTCTTCTTTTGGTGAGAAATTCCTAAATCTAAAGCACAAATGTTCTGAAGATCATGAAATAGAAAACCTACCTTGTAAAGAGGTGGAACTCCGACGTATATGCAACCAGCATCAAACAAGGCTCTCTGTTGAAAGAAATGTTTAAGTTAAGTTTACAACTAAATCAACTCCAACGAACATGAAAGGGACACTTTTGTTTAATCCAAAAACAGTACCTGGTATCTGAAGAAAAAGGTCAAGAGTAGTGTTCGAATATGCGCACCATCAACATCTGCGTCTGTTAAAATGATGATCTTATGGTACCTTAAGTTTTCCAACTTAAACTCCTCTCCCTGAAAACAGTTATATATTGCATTGAGTTTTCAAGAAAGGACCAATAGAGATGAAAGAATGGGAAAATATATCACCTTCACTCCGAGGCCTAGACCGAGAATTAGATTTTGTAGTTCTTGATTCTTGTACATGGCTGCTTCATCCTTTCTTTCAATGTTGAGAATTTTACCTCTTAGAGGAAGAATTGCCTGCAAATATCCAAAGTCTGTGTTACACACTGTAAAACAGAAGCACGACATACTGTCTCCATAATTCCTATACAATTTAACTTTGACCAAGACTCTCCAATTTCACAGAAAGAGACGATGTCTTATTGAGTAACGAGAGTTTTGATTACCTGAAAACGTCTGTCACGGCCTTGTTTTGCGCTGCCACCAGCAGAATCTCCTTCGACTATAAAGATCTCTGGAGAATATTGCAAAGGGATGTTACTTGTTGTAAGAACAGATTTTTTCAATCATGTTTATCTTTTATCAATTATACAAACGACATTATCATGCTGGACAATTCTTACCAGATTCTGCAGGATCCGTTGATGAGCAATCAGCCAGTTTCCCAGGAAGTGATGATGACTTCAAAATGCTTTTCGATCTGACCAACTCTCTTGCCCTCTTGGCAGCCAAAGCAGCCTAGAGAGAGAGAGAGAAAGCATGGTGAAGTAGACTTTCATGATATTTGGTGCATGAGTTTGAGTGCATACTTGTAGGTAAGGATGTAGACGTATTGATATGTGCATCAAAAGCATACCTTGTAAGCGTTAAGGGATTTGGAAATGATGCTCTCAAGAACATCTGGATGCAATTCCAAGTACTCCGTGAGATACTCCTGAACTGATTGGTCAACAATTTTTCTCACCTCTGGATTTCCCAATCTTGTCTGTAAGGGGGATTAGAAGATAAATTATATTGACTAGAGAAATTTCCAAGAATGAGACAGAAATTTGCTTCCTGTTGACTAGAGATCATAAGCTAAAGAGACAATCAGTACCTTTGTTTGACCTTCAAACTCAGGATTAGGCACCTTGACTGAGACAATACAGGTCAATCCCTCTCTAACATGTTCTCCACTTAAGTTAATATCCTTCTCCTGAAAACACAGCCAACACAAATTTCAGAAAATTAGAAACATACAGAAAAAAGAGAACATTTAGGAAATGCTGCCTGAAACAGCTAACAATACATGCTTAAATTACGTTTTAGAGTAAAAAATGGAAACAGAAGTAGCCACATGGTTTCTGATGTCATACCTTAACAGACTTTGACTTTTTGGCAAGGGTATTAAGAGTCCTTGTTAATGATGCTTTCACACCTTCGATGTGTGTTCCACCATCAACTGTGCGGATGCTATTGGCGTATCCTAGCATTGTGTCTGAGTATGCATCTGAGCACCTGGTACATAAACGTGCCAAGCAAATAAGATCAGATCAATTTTAGATAGTCCCATAATAGGTGCTTTCTTGTGTAAATCAAACACAGCATGTACAGAATAACATGAACAAAGGTTTACAACTTTTATTGACCCAATTTACAAGTAAAATTACAAGAAATCATGCAGCCGAAGTGTTCAACAGAATATGAGTAGGATAATATCATAATTCATATAGTAGGAAAAACAACATACCATTGAAGGGCAACGTCAATTGTAGCACCATTTGTCTCTTTCCTGAAACCCAGCACGTCATGAATCGGGTTCTAAATAAAAGAAGAAGATTGTCAGATAATCTTTTCAAGTAAGTTATGATAAAAAGACACTAATGGTATGTTTAATCTAAGTTAATAATAGCACATAGACATGCTAGGATAGAGCCCTTGATAGCAATCAGCTACACCTAGAATAGTTAGCAGAGAAAAAGTTATTTGGATGTGCAGATTCTCACCTTATCTTTATTTAGCCAGCTGACATATTCAGTTAATCCTCCAGCATAATAATATTCCGTATATTGGTTCTTTTCAGGATCATCATCCTCTCTTTTTAGAGAGATGGTAACCTGCAGACATAAAAACAGAGCAATTCGTTATGACAAAAGAATCATGCAACATCACCCTTTGCCAAAAGTAAACTGATATAACCTAAGGATGCTTCAATGAAGCAAACTACAATGGTTTCTCATGTCTTGAAAGTAAAACAATTTGACCTTTAGAATTCAGAATAAGTAAAACAAAAAACAAAATTCACCTTTGGGTTTAGAAATGCAAGCTCCCTAATTCGTCCAGCGATAGTGTGATGGTCGAACTCAATTGCAGTTGTGAACACTGAAAACAGTTAATACCAAAAACGACAATTAATCATCAAATCCAATCTTGGGGAGGGTAAATTAAGAGTGGAAAAGAGGCAAAACCTTCTTTGTCAGGCCAAAACCGGATGCTTGTCCCTTTAGTTCCCTTTGACTCTGGTGGGAGATCACTGCTTAAGAGTGTATCTATGGGCTTTCCACGAGAATACTTTTGCTTATGCTCCGTCCCATCTCTCCAAACTGTGACCTCCAGGGCCTGCATACCAATAGACATCGGAAGCTTTTAAGTTACCTCTACTGTTGTGCTAATTATAGTCATCGGCTCTAATCAAACTTCAAGTCATTCCAAATGTCCTGCATTTGACATCACTATGTCCTAGAATTCATTAAGGAAACATTTCCAACTATTTCGTCTTAACATTCTCATAGTAGCTTAGGCCCTAGAGTTTCACAAATCACTGAAACGGGATACATTTCCAATCGGAAAGAAGAAACAATGTGAGTAGAGAGTTACAACACACCTCAGACAAAGCGTTGACAACTGATAAACCTACACCATGTAGTCCACCAGAGACACTGTAACCACTACTCGTGCCACCAAACTTGCCACCAGCATGTAAAACCTGCACAAATAACAAGCATGGCAGATAAATCGCATGATTACTATAATAAGGTCATAGTACTATCGTGAAGATACAATAGTTATCTTCAAAGTAGCAATACCGTAAGCACAGTCTCCAGGGAAGATTTGTTTGTTGCAGGATGCACATCCGTGGGTATCTGCAAGAAGACCGTTATATATCAACTTCAAAACGAGAATAGACTATGGTTTACAAAACTACAATCCTTATTTTCAAGGTTAGATTTGCTAGCATGAGAATGTGTAAGATATTGCATACCCCACGTCCATCGTCTTTAATGCTGACTGAACCATCTGCATGAAGGACGACATCAACCTTTGAAGCATAACCAGCTTGAGCCTCATCAATTGCGTTGTCTAGTATCTCATAAACCTAAGGAAACAAGTTAATACATTAGAGAAACATAAACAGAGCTCAACAGCCAATACGAACAAGGGATTGAAATGGATAAAAAAAAAAACACTTACCAGGTGGTGCAAACCGCGAGTTCCAGTACTTCCTATATACATTCCCGGCCGTTTTCTTACAGGGTCTAAGCCTTCCAGCACCTAATGTATCACAGAGAATTTAAAGATGTAAATTTTGAAATAAAAATAATGACTTGACACAATCTGTGGTAAGAAAAATGTGTATCAACTATTCAGCTGAACAACAACAGAGAGAAAAATTACTTGAATTTGCTCGGAACTGTAACCCTTAGATGTGGCGCTCTCTTGGAAAGCCTCGTAGGACACGGTGGATGACATAAAGGGCCTTGAAGAAACCGCATTCCTTTGTATCAGCCTTTGATTCAAAACGCTGCTTAGCTGAAACGTCACCCTGAAATTGAAAGACAACAATAACACTCTTGAGTGCAAAATTTCGCAGCAGTTCTCTAAATCAACCCAAGCCCATAAGTCTCCAAAGACATAGACTTTATGAAAACCCTAGAACCAAGAGACTACAAGTTAACATTGCCAATTTTCGAGCCATTTTGGTAATTTCAATAACCCAACCCAAGTAAATAAAATACTGAGCTAAGGTTGCGAATGCGAAGCTACTCTCTCATGTATCTGCGATTATACTGAAAACCTGGGGAAGAAAACTGAAAAAAAGGAAGAAGAGCGGGAGCGGGAACCTGGGACATTGGAAGGAAAACGGAGGCGAGCAGAGAGATGAGCTGTGACGGTGAAGAGAAGGAGAGAGAGAGTTAGAGAAGAGATGAGGACGAGACGCCATGAGCCAGAGACGACGAAGATAAGGTGTTCTCTGAAGAAGCGCCATGGAACTGAAATTTGGAAAACTCAAGAGGTTTTTCACCTTTCTCTGTGATAAAGATAAACCCTAAAAGCCCTTCCTTTCTTAAAATTAATTCAATATTTTATTTTATTTTGAAGAAAAAAACGATCGAAAGGTTAAAAGTTTTAATTACGAAAACAAGAATTTTGCCGCCGTTTCCAAAGCAGAAACTTGGGCTGTCTGAAACATATGGGCTGTCTGAAACATATGGACTGTCTTAAACATATAAGCTGTCTTAAACATATGGGCCTATTTGCTAATATGGAACATCTCTAAGTAGCAAAGTAGTAATTCTTTTTGGGGGGTAAAATTCAGAGGAATTTGATTTTTTTTGTCTCTCTTCACAGTTCACAGTTTGAGTCTTTGAGATTGTATCCTCTTTATATTAAAAAAAATTAAATGCCCTTGTCTATTTGGACTTCTTGTTGTGTAAAGTGACATTAAATGCCTATTGTACTCATCAAAAAGAGATTGGTGGATCCAAACAACAACAGTGATTTTATGAGACTCTCTGTTATCTGATTTGGTATTTCCAGCAAGTGTCGTCTCACATCTGTTCAGTTTGGTGCTTGTGTGTTGCTCCTTTTTGGGTGTTAGTCTCGTGATACGCCAACTAAAGATAAGCTGTAGCCCTTATCTTATCATAATTGCTGAGAGGGAGCGGGAATGTGATAGAGAGAAGGTGGCTTTTAGAACAACTTTAAGGACATTCATTCATGTCCCAAAGGCTTCTTTATCAGCTCAAGTCCATTTCAGCCACACACACACACACACCTCATCCCATACCTTAATACGTGTCTTTTCGTAAACTCACATATTTAAATAGACATAAGTGTGTGTGTTTATGTCGAAGATAAAACTATTCCGATTTCAACATATGAATTTCTAAACTTTGAAATGACATAAAAAAGGATATTTTTTCCATTTGACATTTTTTTCTCTGAATTTGAATTTTAATCCTAATTTGTTTAACAAACAAGTCTTGTGGTGGGGATTTTCAATTTTTTTTCAGGAGTAGTCACCATCTTTCCTCTACCAAAAGTCACAATTGTTTATCAGTAATTTCATGCCTCAATCCGGTTTAATCGGCCAAATTGATTGAATCAAGCCGGTTAAAGCACTCGATCTTGAAAATGGCGGTCCCATATTCCCGACCGTTACCACTCAAAACATTTGTTTTTTTCTTCGAAAAGAAAAAACCGGAAAATTGGAAAGAAAATTCGTTGTTGTGCACTATAACAGTGATACTAAAATCCCCAAAATATCCCCTAACGATTCTGGTAACCAGACACCTTTTCTCAAAAGCGAATTTGTAAAAGACGAATAAATACGAAACAGAGAGAGAAAAAAGAAAGGAAGACAGAGAAGGAGAGAGAGAGAGAGAGAGAAGAGGGCCAAGTAAGCTCTCATCACTCATCTGTTATCTTCCTCTTCTTCTTCTTCGTCTTCTTATTTTTTTCTTCCTTTTTCTCCCATTTATCTTATTTTTTTTATTTATTTTCCCGGTTTTAATGTTAAACCCATTTATCTTATTTTCCACACACGCCTCTCATTTTTCTTTTCAATGGCGATGAAATCTCTTTCCCCTGTTCCTAAGCTTCTCTCCACAACACCAAGCTCTGTTCTTTCCTCTTCTGACAAGAAATTCTTCTTCGTCGATTTCGTTGGATTGTACTGTAATAAGTCCAAGAGAACCAGACGCAGACTTCGTGGAGACTCTTCCTCTAACTCACGCGCTTCTCCTCTGTCTCGTCTATCCTCTGTTCGTGCCGTTATCGACCTTGAACGTGTTCATGGCCTATCTGACAAAGATCTCGCTTCTCCATCCTATTTAAAACCTCAGGTCAGATTCTTCGCTTCTTTACTTTTTTCACTGAGATATTTTCACGAACACCCAACGTGCTCTTTTGGGTTTTGGAAATGAAGAGTTTTTATGTAAAAAAATTCAAACTTTGATGATACGTTTCTGTGAGGATCTAAAGTTTTGATCTTTTTTTGTTTTGTTTCTGGATTATGATTGATCTTAAAGCAGGTAGCTAATTTGGAGGATATTCTGTCTGAGAGAGGAGCTTGTGGAGTTGGGTTTATAGCCAACTTAGATAACATACCATCACATGGAGTCGTCAAGGATGCTCTTATTGCTCTCGGGTGTATGGAACATCGTGGAGGCTGTGGAGCAGACAATGATTCTGGTGATGGCTCTGGTCTTATGTCTTCCATTCCTTGGGATTACTTTAACGTCTGGGCCAAGGAACAGGGCCTTGCTCCTTTCGACAAGTTACATACCGGTGTTGGAATGATCTTTCTTCCACAAGAAGATGCCTTTATGCAAGAAGCCAAACAAGGTGACTCCTAAACCATATCAGTTTCGTCTGAAGCTAATAAGCTATACAGTATGTTACTGAAGTATTTTCTTCTTCCTTGTAGTTGTTGAAAACATATTTGAGAAAGAAGGGTTACAGATTCTTGGGTGGAGGGAAGTTCCTGTAAATGCTCCCATAGTTGGTAAAAACGCTAAAGAGACAATGCCTAACATACAGCAAGTCTTTGTGAAACTCGCAAAGGAAGATAGTACGGATGACATCGAAAGGGAACTTTACATCTGCCGGAAATTAATCGAAAGGGCAGTGGCTAGTGAAAGTTGGGGAAGTGAGCTCTATTTCTGTTCACTCTCCAATCAAACCATAGTGTACAAGGGAATGCTTCGGTCTGAAGCTCTTGGACTGTTTTATCTAGACCTTCAGAATGAGCTTTACACGTCTCCCTTTGCTATTTACCATCGAAGGTACAGCACAAACACTAGTCCCAGGTGGCCTCTTGCTCAACCAATGAGGTTTCTTGGACATAATGGGGAGATCAATACCATTCAGGTTCCACTATTTCTAGACTTTTTGTTAGGACTCATCATTGTACTTTACAGCGAAGTGTCTAAGCTCAAGAAGATTTTTTTTGGTTTGAAACTGTGCAGGGGAACTTAAACTGGATGCAGTCTCGAGAAGCTTCTTTGAAGTCCTCTGTTTGGAATGGCCGTGAAAATGAAATTCGTCCGTTTGGTAATCCCAGGGGCTCTGACTCTGCCAACCTTGATAGTGCCGCAGAAGTAAGTGGCATAGTGTATTTTGTCATGAGAATCATAATAAGATGTTTTACTACAGATTTAACTTGCCACTCATTTGGATATCCTGCAGATATTAATAAGAAGTGGACGAACTCCAGAGGAAGCTCTAATGATTCTTGTCCCCGAGGCGTACAAAAACCATCCAACCTTATCTATCAACTATCCTGAGGTAATGTTGATAATCAGATTCCATTTAACATGAATGTTCTGTTTTGTTCTTCTAGAGTTATTTGACATGCGACGTCTTTGTCTTCTTAGTGATTTGTTCTGCTGTTTTATTATCTCTTCATTAGATGGAATTTGCTTCTTTCCCTGCAGGTTGTAGATTTCTATGACTACTACAAAGGACAAATGGAGGCTTGGGATGGTCCTGCATTACTTTTGTTCAGGTAAACATTTTGAGGATTGGCTGCATTAGGCATTAACAGTAGATCAGGTTCTAGAAAAGGTTATCAAGTACTTGTTTTCTGGAATCAGTTTAGGGACTTTGTTATCACCTTTGGGTCGAGTCACAGCATTTGTTTGCCTGTTGTGTCTGAGCTCTGGCTTCTATTCCCCATCGTTTCTCCATTCTGTTTTTTCGCCTTCTCCTCAGGTTTATCTGACACTTACTACTTGAATCCGTCACCTAGTGATGGAAAAACAGTTGGGGCTTGTCTTGACCGCAATGGGCTTCGTCCTGCTCGATACTGGCGTACAAGTGACAATGTCGTCTATGTTGCATCTGAGGTACTTCATATGCCCATAAACCTATATAAGTAACTTTTTGATTCATCATGATGGTCCAAGGCACTCAACCACCAGATTGGTTTCACAAGACTCACTATGTAAGAGAAGCCAGTTCACATTGGTAACAACTTATACGCAGTTTAAGTCAGACTTGAGTCCTAGCCAACTCATCTTTCAGGACTGTTTGAAGAGACAAGCTAGCAAAATGTATTGCATCTCAAATTGGCGCTCTTCTAGTTAAAAAAGAAGCAGATAAAGTATATAGCTTTATGAAATGGAGATTGCTATATCTCACAATGCACATGCCTGTCATGAAAAATGGAAAAATGCTCTTTCTGATTGCTTGTCTTGTTTTAGGTCGGAGTTGTACCAGTTGATGAGGCGAAAGTTACCATGAAAGGCCGTCTAGGACCTGGCATGATGATTGCTGTTGACCTAATTAATGGCAAGGTTGGTTGGTAGATGGACGGTCCAAATCTCGGTTACTCTTTTTCAACAGTTTCTGTGTTGACAACTGACTCATAACTCGTCCAAATTACAGGTATATGAGAATACAGATGTCAAGAAGCGGATATCATCATTCAATCCATATGGAAAGTGGATCAAAGAAAACTCCCGAACCTTGAAGCCTGTGAATTTCAAATCCTCAACGGTCATGGAAAATGAAGAAATCCTAAGAACCCAACAGTAAATATTCTCAACTTTCATCTTTTGTTTAGATATGCCTCTTGTTTCTCTGATCACTCAGAAAGTAATACTTACAAATCACATGTTATCAGGGCATTTGGTTATTCAAGTGAGGATGTGCAAATGGTTATTGAATCTATGGCTTCCCAAGGAAAGGAACCAACCTTCTGCATGGGAGATGATATTCCACTGGCTGGATTGTCTCAAAAGCCACACATGCTTTACGATTATTTCAAGCAAAGATTTGCACAGGTACGTTCAAGTCATATGAATCTACTGTATGTAGTGCCTTCATTTAGTTCTACTATCTTGAAAGGTTCCCTTTCTCTTAACTAAACCGTATGGCCTGGTTTCAGGTTACAAACCCTGCCATTGATCCCCTTAGGGAAGGCTTGGTTATGTCTCTTGAAGTAAATATTGGAAAACGTGGAAATATATTGGAGCTTGGTCCTGAGAATGCCTCACAGGTTTTGACTCTTGATTACATCCCCACTGTTCTAAGTCGGAGTACCCACCATTTTGTGTCACACTACCTGTTTATGTATGGTTGTTTTTGTCATGAACCAGGTTATTCTGTCCAACCCTGTGCTAAATGAAGGAGGAGTTGAGGAGTTATTGAAGGATCCATACTTGAAACCCAAGGTTCTGTCCACATATTTCGACATAAGAAAAGGAGTTGAAGGTTCCCTGCAAAAGGCTATATATTATCTTTGTGAAGCAGCTGATGATGCTGTCCGAAGTGGCTCTCAGCTCCTCATTCTTTCAGACCGATCTGATAAACTGGTAAATGTCATATAGCATTTCCAACTTTCAATAAGATACAAGAAGAGTTGATCCACCTCCTAAGTCTTCACTATAAAGGCTCTTGCATAGCAATGAATATGGTTATTTGGCTATTTCAGGAACCAACCAGGCCTGCAATTCCGATAATGTTAGCTGTTGGCGCCGTCCATCAACATCTTATTCAGAATGGCTTGAGGATGTCAGCTTCCATTGTTGCTGATACCGCCCAGTGTTTCAGCACGCATCAGTTTGCTTGTTTGATTGGATATGGTGCAAGGTTTGACTCTTACGTTTGTTCTGAATTTTCTGAGTTAGATTATGTCTGACCATCATATTCATCTTATGAATAAGTATGTTTTGTGAAAAATTTCCACAGTGCTGTATGCCCATACTTGGCCCTGGAGACATGTAGACAATGGCGCTTAAGTAACAAAACTGTGGCCTTAATGCGGAATGGAAAAATTCCTACTGTAACCATTGAGCAAGCTCAGAAGAATTATACTAAGGTGAGAATTCCATTACACGTTCTTAATATGTTTTCGCAAGTAATAATTTTACCTTTATGGATTCTGATTTCCACATGGCTTATCTTGCAGGCGGTTACTGCAGGGCTTCTTAAAATTCTTTCTAAAATGGGAATCTCATTGCTTTCAAGGTTCCATTCAGTTTTCCTCTAATATTTTCTATCTGTTGTATCTCTTATGTTATGCACATTTCTACAACTTCTGACTTAGCATTTCCCCTGTTCAGTTATTGTGGTGCTCAGATATTTGAGATATATGGTTTGGGGAAGGAGGTTGTTGATCTTGCATTCACTGGAAGTGTTTCAAAAATCAGTGGACTCACCTTTGATGAGGTGAGAAAAACGACATCACATTGATTTCTTATAACCCCCTGATCAAATCCACATTGCTTCTAAGAAAATGATATCTTCTTGCAGTTGGCAAGGGAGACATTGTCTTTCTGGGTAAAGGCCTTTTCTGAGGATACAACTAAGCGATTAGAAAATTTCGGCTTTATTCAATTCAGGCCTGGGGGTATGAAACTATTTACAAAACTTTTTTTCAGTTCTTGATTAGAATCAATATGCTTATGCATTTTCATTTACACAAGTATTTTTCTTTTAGGTGAGTATCACTCAAACAACCCAGAGATGTCAAAGTTGCTCCACAAGGCTGTCCGTGAAAAGAGTGAAACTGCATATGCAGTCTATCAACAGCATCTCGCTAACCGACCTGTTAATGTGAGTCTCTCGTTTCTCTCTTTCACGCCATCTTTAGTATTTTCATAGCTTGAGTAAGTTCATTTATTTCTGACCACTTGGGGATATTTCTCTGTTTCTCTCTAGGTCCTCCGTGATCTCCTTGAGTTCAAGAGTGATCGTGAACCGATCCCAGTAGGGAAAGTCGAACCCGCCACTTCTATCGTTCAGAGATTTTGTACTGGTGGAATGTCACTTGGTGCTATTTCCAGAGAAACTCATGAAGCTATTGCTATTGCAATGAATAGGATTGGTGGGAAATCAAACTCTGGTGAAGGTGGAGAGGTAAGAGAATCTCCATTTTCTCTTTCAGACACCACACCTTTGAGTAAGAAAATCAAAATCTATAATCCCCTGTTTTGTCTGTTTCCCTCTCTAGGATCCTATCCGCTGGAAGCCGCTTACAGATGTGGTTGATGGATATTCACCAACATTACCTCATCTCAAAGGTCTTCAAAATGGAGATATTGCAACAAGTGCTATCAAGCAGGTCATATTCTCACCAATGTTCTGTATAATCATTGATGGTAACTTTTTGGTTGGTTTTTGATAAGAAAAACTTTCATCTGATGCATTTGTGTTCTCTCAGGTTGCTTCAGGGCGTTTTGGAGTCACACCAACGTTCTTGGTCAATGCAGACCAATTGGAAATCAAAGTTGCACAAGGTGCCAAGCCAGGGGAAGGAGGTCAACTTCCTGGAAAGAAAGTGAGTGCATATATCGCAAGGCTAAGAAGCTCTAAACCTGGTGTTCCACTTATATCCCCGCCTCCTCACCACGACATTTACTCCATAGAGGACCTTGCTCAGTTGATCTTTGATCTACATCAGGTGATCAGTAGTTTCAGAACTCTATGAACAGTTGAGCTAAACAAAAGGTGTCACATAATCTAACTTGTAACTGAAACAAACAGATTAATCCAAATGCAAAAGTATCAGTAAAGCTCGTCGCAGAAGCTGGAATCGGAACAGTTGCTTCTGGAGTTGCAAAGGGTAACGCTGATATTATCCAGGTATCATCAACTTGAAAATATAACATTTTCTCTGGTTGCTCATATTTTCTTGTTTCCCATCTGACAAGAAGTTTCATTGTTCCTTTTTGATATGATCCTCAGATATCAGGGCATGATGGTGGCACAGGTGCTAGTCCAATAAGCTCCATAAAACACGCTGGTGGGCCGTGGGAACTTGGACTAACAGAAACTCACCAAGTAAACCTTTTGGCTACCATGTGATACTATTCCTCTTGGACGCTTTGAGTCTCTTGAAAAAAACTAATTTCCTCTGCTTGCTTTGTTCTCTTTTGCAGACTCTTATCGAAAATGGACTCAGGGAAAGAGTCATTCTAAGAGTGGATGGAGGCTTAAAGAGTGGTGTTGATGTTCTAATGGCTGCAGCTATGGGTGCTGATGAATACGGATTTGGTTCCTTGGCAATGATTGCTACTGGCTGTGTTATGGCTCGTATTTGCCACACTAATAACTGCCCAGTGGGTGTCGCTAGTCAGGTAAAATCAAAACATCTCTTAAAATTCTCCTTGGCTTATTATATTCATCTTCTCTTAAGTTTCACTTACACTTGTAACCACTCTGAATGGTCTCAGAGAGAAGAATTGCGAGCAAGATTCCCTGGTGTGCCTGGTGATCTTGTCAATTACTTCTTATACGTAGCAGAAGAGGTAAGCCACTTCGTACCATTCTCAATCACTAAGACTTCTCCTGTCCTTTTCATCTGAAGGAGAATCTTTTGTCGGCAGGTGAGAGGTATCTTAGCGCAGTTAGGATACAGCAAGTTAGATGACATCATTGGACGAACAGAGTTACTGAGACCACGAGACATTTCGCTAGTGAAAACTCAGCATCTCGATCTGAGTTATCTTCTTTCGGTATATTGACTGAATCCAGACTCTATTTCTTCTACGTGAAATGAGAAATCATATTTATATCAGTTGTTCTTATTTCTCTTTTCACTCTTTCAGTCTGTTGGACTACCTTCATTGAGCAGTACTGAAATCAGGAAGCAGGATGTTCATACAAATGGACCTGTTCTTGATGACGATATTCTTGAAGATCCATTGGTAACACAAGTCTTTCACTTCTCTTTCTCACCTAGATCCGCTGACTGTAGTTGCTAACAGTTTTAATATAACTGCAGGTGATTGATGCGATACAGAACGAGAAAGTGGTTGATAAAACCGTCAAGATATGCAACATAGACCGTGCGGCTTGTGGTCGCATTGCTGGTGTCATCGCAAAGAAGTATGGAGACACTGGTTTCGCCGGACAAGTGAATCTAACGTGAGACACAAACTTTATAACTTTGTATAAATGAATATGCTTCAGCTCAAGTAAAACAAGCTTTTACTCTGTTCTTTCTCTGCAGTTTCCTTGGGAGCGCGGGACAGTCCTTTGCGTGCTTTTTGATTCCCGGTATGAACATCCGGCTCATAGGAGAGGCAAATGACTACGTTGGAAAGGTAAACTAACATCAGAACGCATAGAATTCAGTTTTCTTGCATCAACACTTTCTTGTTATAAATCAGCTGAAATGGTTGATCTTTTGTTTTGAAGGGAATGGCTGGTGGTGAAGTAGTGGTAACTCCTGTGGACACAATCGGGTTTGTGCCCGAGGAAGCAACCATAGTCGGGAATACTTGCTTGTATGGTGCAACGGGAGGTCAGATATTTGCAAGAGGCAAAGCTGGAGAGAGATTTGCAGTGAGAAACTCACTCGCTGAAGCAGTAGTTGAAGGCACTGGAGACCATTGCTGTGAGTACATGACTGGTGGCTGTGTCGTCGTTCTTGGAAAGTAAGTAAACTTCAATAAATCCAAAACCGCTGGATGAGACTTTTTAAGTAAACTGAAATGTTTTCCATTGAAACAGGGTGGGAAGAAACGTTGCTGCGGGTATGACCGGAGGCTTAGCTTACCTTCTTGATGAAGACGACACTCTTCTTCCCAAGGTTTCTTTCTTTATATCCATTTCTTTCTTTTAAGTGAAGTTTTTAGATGCTTTCTTTGCGACATGTTTTAACAAATTCCATTACAGGTGAACAAAGAGATAGTGAAGATGCAGAGAGTAACTGCACCTGCAGGGGAGTTTCAGCTGAAGAGCTTAATCGAAGCCCATGTCGTAAGTCTTAAAACAACAAAAAGTCTCTCTACTCTCAATCAAAGTCCCTCAGTAAAGTTAAACCTCTCTTTCTGTTTTGGTTAAAAGGAAAAAACCGGAAGCAGCAAAGGGGAAGCGATTCTGAAGGAGTGGGACAAGTATCTACCTCTCTTCTGGCAATTGGTTCCACCGAGTGAGGAAGATACTCCTGAAGCTTCTGCTTCTTATGTAAGAACAGCCACCGGTGAAGTCACATTTCAATCGGCATAGAGATCATCATCACATTCAAGCAAGTTGCAGTTGAAACACAAGGATTGATACAAAATGGTGGACTATAGAGGTGCAAATCAAGAATCATTATCATGTTCATAGATCAATGTGTGGGGACAATATTCTTACTGTCCTGTGTGATCTTTACAGTACCATGGTTGCTATAACTGTACAGCGATTCAGTTAAAATAACTGCATTCCACTGCCATAATCATTTGCATAATCTCTTTATTGACTAAAGTTTCCGAGTCAAATAATCATTAATTTAAAACAATAAGAAAATGTTACAGAAGAGTAGAGTTCTAAAAATGTGATAAAGTCTAACATAAACTAATGGAGATTCAATCATTGAAACTCTCATCTCTCAGTATGATTGTTGTCGTAATCCGAAGAGAATACCATTGAGGTCTTCCAATCTCACTGCGCAATCTCTTCTCATCTGCACAAAGAACAAATCATCTTTTAGATTCTCATAACTTTATGAGTTTGAAGTAACAAGTAAACACTTTTAGATATCTTTGGACAAGTATATATACCTGAAGATGCAGAGTGTAGAAGATCCTTGCGGTGGAAGAAACCGAAGAAGAGGCGCTTATGACATTAAGCCCGTTTTCTTCTAACCTAAGCAGCATGTCGGAGATAGATGTCCAGCTCGATGTAGCAATCTGCACAGCAATCTCTGTGTCACTGAGCCAATTCGCTGCGATCTGTTGGGAGGAAGAATCTAGAGATTCCATCATTGCTCTATTTCTCAGCTGTTCTTGGTGATGATTCAAACTCGCTGCTTTTCTCGAGATTTTCTTCGAAAGCTCTTCTTTCTTTCGAGACAGACGTTGAAGCTCTTGCCTCTGCTCTGGTATGTACTTCACCACTCCTGACACCGTCATTGGAATGCTCAGCTTCCTCTGCATAATCACATATCAATAAGGGTTTTCTTTCATTAGTTTCAAGATTTACAAAACCTAATCTTGATGGCTTTTGTAGAAGTTTAGAAAACAGTTTTAAAGCACAAACCTTTTGCTCAGAAGCAGGCAAGAGGGCACGAAGTGAAGAGTACAAGGTGTTCAGCTTCTTGCGGCGGTCGCGTTCGCTTGCGTTGTGATTCAGTTTCTTCTCTGAAACCGTTCCTCGGTGATCCTCTTCTTCCTCCTCTTGACCATTGTTACTGTTACTGTTGTTAGTACCGTTGCTAGGACTAAGACTCATATGATGATGATGATGGTGAAGATCGATGTTATAGTTATTGGATTCATCTGATTGAGCGAAAGAAGGATAAAGGAAAGAAGGAAGATGTAGAGTAGGAGTAGGAGGGAAAGATTCAAGTTGATCAGACCGCCATGGATATTCCATTGTTGAAGCATAGTACCATTCTTGTTGCTCATTTGGAAACATTGGTGTTAACGCACACATTATTGTTCCCTTCACTAGAGAGAGAAAGTAGATGAGAGAGAAAGAGAGACTTTGTTGATGAAGAAGACAAAGGAGAAGGAAGATGATAAGACCGAAGTTGAGATGGAATCTATCTTAGCTAGTTGTGTCTCCGAGTAGTTGGTATTTATAGTTCCATGATGAATGGAAGTTTCTTTAAGTTTCTTTAAGCATTTTTAAGTGATGTCTTACACTCCACACGCAGTCTCGTGCGGGAACGAGTAGGGCACGAGCTTTTCGTACAACATTATCTATATCCTATTCCTCCCTTAATTATTACGATAAGCTCGATTATCGAGGTTTAATCCAAACCTAAACATTATCATCATAATAATTTGGATTTTTCTAATTAGTTAATATTTTTTCCCCTACAAAATAATATATTTAAGATTTTATAATTAATATAAAGGGTGAAATGTTTTTGAAAGATAATCTATTTTTCTTAGTAACTATGTTTCGAACATGTGAACGCAGTTTGAGGGTATATCAATCTTTGATGCTTTCACAATTGGTCAATTCAGTACATCACCAAGTTAACATATATTTATCCATGAATGCATACATCATATGCATTTCTTTTATCTAATGGAAGTTTTGTAACTTTCTGCATGGTGTTTAGTAATTATCTCTCATGCGTTCGAATATAAGAACCGTCAAAGTATGTCAAATGTTTTTAGTATTTTTGTTAAGGAATTCCAGAAATTCTACAAGACCCGCCCATCCTTCACATCATGAGATTATTTACAATTTCTAGATTTTCTTTTGTTTCTGTGTTCTTTCCGGTTTTATTTTTATTTTTCTTGATTTGATTTACTCATCAAAGCAATTTTGGTATGTTGAAGTACTCATCTAAGCATTTACCATTTAGAGTCATATAAATTAAAAAGTAAAACTTTAGTAGTGTCATTGTTGTAGTTTGTCTTTTAGTATTAGAAAGTTAGAAAGTAGGGATCAATTAACAAAGAACAAAGTTAGAAGTATGTGACAGTGACACTATCAAATTCCGGTGATCTAATCGATGACGTTTATCATTACTTTTGTGACCATCACTTCATTTCATATAATTTCATTTAGCGTAAAGGGTGAAATAAAATACCATCACATTCAATGAAAATATAGAACTCGACTCATAAACTGCTGATTTAACCATTTTAAACTAGCTGTATTCTAATTTCATGTTAATATACAAAAAGTAGAGTAAGGATATCCCACTTAATGTAAAATGTTGACGCACATGTGTGACAAGTGAAAAAAGTACGATGGTGAAGAGGGTAAAACGCACGCGCTCTTTGGTCAATGGCACGTTTCAGCCTTGGGTTCGTAGCGATGAACCACATCTTCATGTACACATCATCCATCGGCCACTTCCTCGTCTCACGCTCAATCAAAAAAATTTACTTATCTTTACTTTCGATTTATCTGCTTTTTTACCCAAAGATTTCGAGTAATCTAAATTTCTATTAAAAATTGTAAACGTATTTTGAGAATACGAACGAACAAAATTTCCTCGTTTAATCTTCCAAAAGAAAAAAGAGCTTCTTTCTGTTTGGTATAAGAGCATCTCTTTAATTTGACTGAGGATGTCTCTTTTGAATCTTAAACATAAATGCAGTATCAATCGTGATTCGTGAAAAATCAAAACGGATACCATAGTACATTTTAGGGTTCGAAAACAGTATCATTGTGAATAGACGATCTCAGTGTTAATGGATATTAGATACTATTTTCGAACCCTAAAATGTCATATAAAAAACAATTATCATAAGCATAGAATAAAGGCTTGACATGACTACAAAAAGAAGAAAAAATAAAAGAAGGCTTGACCTAACTAGAGTCTTGCCTACGTTGACATTTTAATAGTTAATGTTAAAAAAATGCAATAAAAAAGGAAAATGACAAATTTCTTAAGTTTCTACATGTATATATAATAAGAACTAAATAAAATGTTATAACAAAAAATGCTAGTTACTTTTCTCTACTTTTTCAATAAAATTGTTTGTTTCTATTAATTTTTAAACCATTAGTGATTGTTTTCTGATAAGAAAGATATCAAAAACTATAAAACCATCTTCCCCTCAGAAAAAAAAAAAAGAAAGAACCGAAGATAAAGAATGTTAATCTGATGATGGTTAGCACGTCTGCGACAAGCCAGAAAATAGATTCCTATATATGCATAAAAGTAAATGGAAACTAAACTCTTGCTACTATTGTTGTTAACTGTTAAGCCGTCCATTTGTTTATCGACTATACTGATTTATATGAAAAATGCTGTTAGGAAGCTACTTAAGGAATCTACGAATCAAGATACATTAAAAAAATAAATGATTGGTAAAGTAATCTAGAAAATAGTTCAAGCATTTTAACATTTTTGTTTACGTTTGAGTTTACAAGTCACTACAATAGATTCATTTTCAAATAATATAATGTTTTCGTAATTTTTACCTTGTACTTACCATTTACATATTGTGAACACAAACATAATGAAAGTCATCATCTTATGATATTTGACTAACAAATATTTGTATATACATAAATTTTTAATATAGCGCAGACGCCAAAAGTTCGTAGTGTTTTTACCTATTTTTATTTCTTGTCAACAAGTTTGTACGTAGTATATTAATAGAGTAATTAATATTCTTGCACGATAAGTTAAATAACCAAAATGGAATCTCATCATAGACACAGACAGAGAGAGTTTGTCTGGAGAGTAACAACAATGTCGACATCTCACCATAGAAACTAACACAGTCCAAGTACATATGACAATCTATATAATAGTTAGTGCGTATAAATAGTTACAAAAAAATCACTAGTATTGAGAAATTATCATCCCCCAAATTTTTAAGGTCCTAATATATAGAGCTCTTGAACAAAGAAGAAACAAAACATAAGGAATCTATGAATTGTTCATCTAGATCTGCGTTTTGTCTCTCCGTAAGCAACCACCCCAAGAACGGTAATGGAGTAGCCGCCAATTCCCATAACCGTAACAGGGTTTCGAAAAATCAAGATCGAAATCACCACTGCAACTGCTCCTTTAGCATTCCCAAGAACCTGCACATTTTGCGAGTCACACAATCAACATTGTTAAATTTTGCGAGTCACACAATCAACATTGTTAAGTCTTGTTATCTCTAACCAAGACCTTCAAGAGAGACGCAATAAAGGTTTTACCTGGAGAGTGAGGGCGCTTGTGTGTTTTGTAACCAGAAAATTCAACAAATTGGCTGAATAAGCCATCACCGAGTTAACCAAAAGAAGTATCCACATGTACTGATGCTGTTTAGCAAGCGTCAAGGTCAAGCTGATCACGTCTGGTTCCATAACTAGCGTCACTGGAAGAAGAGCTATGACTGCTATTGGGGACATATACAACATCAAATTCATCGAGTTCAGTTTTTCCCTACACGAGACCAACAAAGAGATGAATATCTTTGGTTGGTAACAAATTAAATAATGTGAATTAAGATCTGAACTTGATAAAGTGATGTATCATTAAAACATTCAACCTAACAAACCATCTATGAGATTTCTTGATTAGGTAACTAAAGTTTCCTGATTTGATCATCTAACTAGTTGCAGAATCTAACTTCTGTAACATAAAGTAAAGTAAGGTCATTTTTTCTGATATTTGTTTACCCCTCTGAAGAAAGTAAGATGCCTTGAAGAACAGATTTAAAGGCTCTTGCCGCCGTAGCACTAATGCACATAATGAAACCAAACCAGTGAAATCCTGGCTCGCCCTGCAGAAACACACAAAATGGTGATTAGATCAGGATCAGATATAACAACTTGATGAGCTTCTAAGATAACACATTGCAGGAGAGCACAAGGTTAGATCCCAAAATGATTTTCTACCAAATTCTACACCTGATTAAACCATAAAAGGCTCAAGCTTTTTAGATAGCACAAGACTCAATTTTCAAAGCTTTCCCTTTTTCCAAGTTTGGATCTTTCACATTAACACATACACTCTCTTTAAAGCTACCATCTAACTACGGATCAGTCATCTGAATCAAAAATTGGCTAAGCACTTTTCCTCAACATTCAAATCAAACATCCCAGAACACTGGCATTGTTAAGAGAAGCGAAAACAGAGGGAAAAGAAGAAGCTTTATTACCCCACTGGCGATGACGACGCCTGCAACGACGGGGACGAGAGCACCATAGGTAACCCAAGCTTCTCTTTTAAGGGTCATGACGTAAGCGAAGAGAGCGGTGAAAAACGGGGTGGTGGCACCGACGGCTTGGTTGAAGGAGACGGGGAGGTAACGGAGGGAAATGTTGCCGCCGACGACGGAGGCGCAGAAGACGATGCTGAGAGTGGCGACCTTGAGGAATTGGGATCGAGACTTGAGGGATTGGAGAGGGACGAGCTTGAGGAAGACGATGGAGATGTAGCTGAGGATAGCGCAAGCGGACATGTGACACATTGTGAGGAAAATCGGGAATTTGAAGCCGTAATTGGAGAGGAGGAACTTGTTGAGGAGAAGAACACCGATGTTTGATGAATACCATGAGATGATTAGGGTCGATATGAAGAGGGTTTGCTTCTTCGACGACGACGACGACATTGTTATGTTCTCTGATCTGGGTTTGTTCTTCTTCCTCGACGAGATCGAGATTCGTTGAGCGGATGAAAGAGGAACAGAGAGAAGAGAGAGAGAGAGAGAGAGAGAGAGAGAGAGAGAGAAGGGAAACGAGAGAAATCAGGTCCTCACTTGGAGCATGGAACGGCAATGACAAAGCCCAGGTGAAATTATAACTGAAGCCTTTAATTTACTTTTTCGTCACATGAAAATAAAATCTGACCCTATTAAAATCGTGTTACTCTATTTGGTATCATGCAATGTACCAAGTGAAGAGAAAGTTCCACATAATAGACCAATTATCAAAGAGAGTGTATATAACCAAGGCATTTCAAAGATCTTAAATCGACAATTTGCAACTTTTATATAATTATATTCAAAGCATATCTAATAACTTAAGATCTCATTTCATTTTTGATGTACTCCTAACAAATATACCACTTCATTTCATTTCAATTATCCAAAAAAAGAGCTGAAAATATCTAAATTATATAATGTCGGTTAGATCCATCCATAATGGCAATATTGCAAATTGATTGAAATCAGAGAAAAATTCAAAGAGTGTCCTTATCTATCTGACACAGCAAAAGGTCAACTAAATCACATTCCAAAGACCCAAACTTTAGTTTAGATCCTCTCTTTCTTCGATCTCTTTTGAAAAGGTTTCATTTTTCCTTTTGGAAAACTTTCCAGCGATGTCAGGTTACCCTCCGACGAGCCAAGGTTACGGTTACGGTTACGGCGGCGGTGGGGGGAATCAGCCTCCACCACCTCAGCCACCTTACTCCTCCGGCGGAAACAATCCTCCTTACGGATCATCAACATCCTCTCCTTACGCCGTGCCTTACGGCGCACCGAAGCCGCCATCCTCTTCCGCGTCGCCGTACGGCTCTCCGGGCCCTCAATCTTCGTCAGCCTCGTCCTACGGCGGACCGCCTCCTTCAGCGCCGTACGCGCCTTCTCCAGGGGACTACAAGCCGCCAAAGGAGAAGCCTTATGGGGGTTACGGAGATTACGGAGCTCCACCACCGTCTGGGCCTTCTCATTACGGGGGTTACGGTGCTTCACCTCGTCCGGCGCCGTCTGGGCACGGAGGATACAGAGCTCCACCACCGCAAGGGGTTTCTGAATACGGGAGTTACGGTGCTCAACCTCGCCCAGCGTCGTCTGGTCACGGAGGCTACGGAGGTTATCCGCCGCAGGGTTCATACGGAAGTCCTTTCGCATCTCTGATTCCGTCGGGTTTTGCTCCGGGGACGGATCCGAACATAGTGGCTTGCTTCCAGGCAGCGGATCAGGACGGTAGTGGCTTCATTGATGACAAGGAGCTTCAAGGTGCTCTCTCTTCTTATCAGCAGAGATTCAGCATGAGAACTGTTCATCTTCTTATGTATCTCTTCACCAACAGCAATGTCATGAAAATCGGTGAGCTTTCCAATTTCCATTTCTATGATTCTTGTTCAGTATTCATTTAATTGTGTCTGTATTAGGTTTTGCACTTAGAAAGATGCAAAAATCTCAAAATTTTATTCTTCATACTGATTTGGGTCAAGATTTTACTATTACCATGTTGGCAAAGTTAACTAATTTCTATGTATAGACTTCCGTGAATTACGTGCAAAAGAGTACTCACCGTCTTCTATTGTTTTGTTGGATCTTTTGATTTCATTATTTTAGTTCTTGTTGAGATGATAAAGAAAATCATTCAAGTTGCATTCTTTTTTCTCTTGGTAGCCTGGTTTTGAATTGCTGCCCTGTAGTGACTTAAGAAATCTCTCCATGTTGCAGGACCTAAGGAGTTCACTGCACTTTTCTACAGTCTTCAGAGCTGGAGGGTAAGTTTAAGGTTTCAGCTAGTGATTTAGTTCAAAATAGGTTGAAGTTCACTCATGTGGTTGTGGTTTTGGTTTTGTTTTCAGTCCATTTTTGAGAGGTCTGATAAAGACAGGAGCGGAAGAATAGATGTAAATGAGCTGAGAGATGCGCTTTTGAGCCTTGGGTTTTCAGTTTCTCCTGTGGTTTTGGATCTGCTTGTTTCCAAGTTTGACAAAACCGGAGGCAAGAGCAAGGCCATCGAATATGACAATTTCATCGAGTAAGTTATTTCATTCCATCCTCTCTCTATGTGTCTCTTTTCTTCTTCTTGCTCTGATCGTTGCTAATTGAACGTCATCTGGTTTGCCTTGCCTTGATGCAGGTGCTGTCTCACTGTTAAGGTACGCTATATCATTCACTCCATTGATGTCTCGTACGATTCCTACATAAGTGCTTTTAGGTCAAATGAGATCGAAATCGTGTTAGTGTTTTGGGAATCTCTCCTAGGGAAGAGTTAAACTCAAACTTATCTCCTCAACCTGAATATCAAAGTCCATTTTGTTAAATTTTGCCAAAAATGTGTTGAGGTTTGGGGGTCAGAAACAGAACAATATGTTGTTGTTTGATTGATCTTCCTTAAGATCTGCAGATTCTTTAAGTGATTAGTCGATTGATTTGATAAGATGATGGTGGGGAATGTGCAGGGACTGACAGAGAAGTTCAAGGAGAAGGACACAGGATACTCAGGCTCTGCTACTTTCACTTACGAGACCTTCATGCTCACCGTCCTTCCCTTCCTCATCGCATAAGGAGAACCTGTTTGCTTGCACATTCTCAGTTTGTTCTTCAATGTATCAAATGGAACTACAAGGAGCTTTTCCGGGTTAGTTGAGTTAAAAAACAAATGTGAAATGTAAAGATTGTGTCTTGTGGTGTAAAAGAATCAAACAACTCATAATTTTATTTATGGTTGAATATTACATATTTGTGTATTGGAGAATACATATTTAAAGAAAGAAAAACAATTTTTTTGCATATACAGCAATATTGCTTTCTTGTGTTTAACTTTTAATAAAAAAAAAAAGTATATATTGTAAAAAAAATAAAGTTATGGACCTTAAATCCCAATTTCAAAGAATTTTGAAGTGTTTGGAAACGGGTCTAGGAGTATAGTAGCCTCTCTCCTAACGGCGGGCCTGTTCATTTAGGAAAACAACACGTCCGTTGAGCGCTTGAGCTGGTCTTGCGTTCGCCTCATAACCCTAAATTCAATAACACAAAACATATTTAGTCATCTATATAAGTAAAGGTGAAATTCAATCTCAGTGAATGTTTATGTGAGAGTAATGTCTTACACCGCGACGAGCATCGACCACTCGGTCAATTTGCTCACGTGAAACAGTCCCGACCTGCATTTAAAGTAAGAAAAAATCAACATTTATTATATATATATGGATTCTTGATTTTCACATTTTTGGTAGAAAGAAGTAAACAAGTATACCTTGTTGACGATGGTCCAATTGACATCTTCCGTGCAAGGAGGAGTGGTGAGCGATCCTCTATATTCATAGAATTTCGTTAGATCCCATTCGAACTCCTCTCTTGGGTCTATCTGTCCTATGATTGCCTCTCCTCCTTGTTTGTCTGCGATCGAATTGATCTTGTCCATTATCTGTCCCAATTTGTAACAAGAACTCAAATCAGCTTCCAAGTTCCGAAAAAGAAAACAAATGATAACTTTCGTAAAATTAAATCGATCGGTAAAAAAAACATTACCCGTGAAATGAAAGCATTCGGTGCACCTTCTCTGAAGAGAATTCCGATAACTGCCAAGTGTCCTTCTGCGCTTTTGTGCACCATGTGAAGTTCCATGGCCAACCTAATAACAGCAAATTCAGGTTTCATCTTTATTCATTAGGTCCATCATGTTCATGTTCATGTACATCATCACTAGAAATGAAGTGATGTTGTCAATCATGCATTTCCTTACCTTTCTCCATTGAGGAAATGCTCTGAAGGTGCGTGCCAGTGGCTTTGAACCAATTTATAGTCGGTTTTGTTGATCACGACCTTCCCTGCGTCCTCTGTCCATGAAATCTGATGCACACAACACATCAGTCTTGCCTGCGTCCTAATTGGTTAAAAAGAAAAGGCTATATTCATTTTACGTACCATCATGTCGTATCCACGGTTCTTGAGAGTAGCTGTTACTGGTTTGTAGTATGTCTGAAGAAGCTCTGTAGAGTTATGAACTAATTTAGCTATTTGGGGAGTAAGATCGATTGGCGATTGTCTCTTCCCTGTCCCGCAAATCTTCCATTCAGGCTTGATACTGCTCCATTTCGAGGGATCGGCTTCCTCACCTTTTCTGTAATGAAACTCAGTCTCTGTCTCATCAGCTGCAAACACACACAAGGAGAAACATGTCTCAATATATTTAGTACGTACTTCTCCAAGTTTTACTTTAATTAAATTACATTTTAGCTATATCATATAGAATGTTCAATAGGACCCGGATCGCTAAGTTTCTATGTTTTTCCCTATCAATTCGTAGTATCCAAATTGGTAACGAATCATATAAGAAAGAAACGAGAATTTACCGGCTAGAGCTGAAGATAAAAGAGCAAGAAATGTTACGAAAAGGATAATATTGCTGTTCATATTTTTTTGTTTTCTTCAGAATATTTGGATTCTACCTTGTTTTGTTAATGTCTTATATAGGACATTTTATGTAAATTTGGGAGGTTTTCTAAGAACCGTAGCTATTCTGAGGTTGAAAATTGTCACTGAATCCAATCTCTATTTTAATATGTGATAAGATTTTTTTGTGATTAGATTGGGTTATGCCTCTATTACCTCTCTTAAGATCCCTATACTATTGAAAGAATGGGGTCTAATTTAAGTCAAATTTGTAGTCCATTGTAAACAAGTTTAGTTATGATAATCGTAAATTGTTTACAAGTTTAGAGAGAACAATTCCGTTTTAGAAAACCTTTAAATAGTAATGTTCTAAGAACATGTTAGACACAAATATAATTCAGTAGTTTCTGCAAAACTATCAATCAAATCATAATTCGGTTAGGCCAAAGCCAAAGGTTCATATACTTTTAGATGCAGCTCTTTCAGACACAATCAACTCATTGGACTATCATACCAAATACGTTTTCACATTGAAAATGATGAAGCCTTTACGTAGAAAACACCGCATAATTGACAGCCTATGAACCCTAATCACGTTCAGAGCATTTATCCGTTAAATGTCGAAAAATTATTGTAAAAGAATGGACCCAATATTATTACAATGATAATTCTTATCCTCTTCTTTTGATCTGTCTATTGTCGAATAGGAAGTAATCACTATTGAGATTTGTCACCTTGTTTGGAGTTATCTTTGTCTTGTTGCTTAAAAGCATCGTAGTGAAGAACATAATAATGGAGAAGCCACATGGTACGACCATGGCCTAGGGAAACCATCACGTTTCCAAACTTGGAGATAGGGTGCAGAAAAACTTTATGTTTATACACAAAAAAAAAGGGAAAAACTTTATGTTTCTTCTCATCTTGCAGAAAGGGCTTTATGTTTTCTTAAACAAATTTTTGAGAAAATGACAGATATCATCAAACTTAAAAGAGATAGTTCACCTAAATCTTCTTTTTATAATTAGCAAGTTTTGAATTTTAGTCTATGATATTTGAAAATATTTTAAAGTATATTAGACCCATAAGCATATTTTAAGGAAAGCCGTATAGGCCACTAGAAAATCTACATGTAAGAAACGTCATGATGACATTAATTAAACGAGAAAGATAGAAATTTCTCGGACATAACTAACTCGTGACACTTCTCTTAAGTTTCGAGTGTGTATATATACACACACACACAAAGGCACAGAGTCATAGAGCGACTTGAAACAGAGCATTGTACTAACTAGAAACTCTGTTTTCAGCTTCTAAGTAAGAAAAACAGAGCTCCTTCCAATGGCGGCAACTGCTGTAACTATCGTTGCGACCAAACGCGATGCTCTTGATCCTTACATCAAGATTCTCCAGAGTCGTTCAAATGACATCGATGTCTCCTTCTCCTCCTACCTCAAGCCAGACAACAATAACAACGGACAACAACAACAACAAAAGGAGCAAGAAGATACTGAGCTAAGCATCTTTGAAGCTCGAAGTTACTTTAGCGAAAGCGGAAGCAACGATAGATCCCATAATGGTCCAAGATTCTCTTCGGTTTCATCCGCAAAAGTGTCTTCTTTTACCGTAGGACACACGGCATCCTCTGAAGCTAGCTGGAACAGCCAAACCGGTTTGCTCTGTAACAAAAACCGACAAGGATCGGACCGAGATGGACGTGGAAGCAGCAAGAAAGGGCCCAGGTGGTTTTTCAGACGCAGGACTTGTCCCTGTTCCAGCTCCAAGTCGGTTCAGGTCCAGGAATCCAAACCAAGAATTGCAGTGCCCAGGACCGGTTCTGACCGAGTCGTATCGAACCGTATCGTTCATCATAACCATCAAACGATAACTTCGTCTGATCCGATCAGATTAACGATCCCTTCAAACACCGTGACTCGGTCCACTGACTACGCGGCAAACAGAGAATCTAAACCTCCGGTTAGCAATTTCAGCTTTCCGACTCTAAACGAAACCGTACAGAGTCCGGTTCTGAATCCGGTTTCGAATCCGATTAAACCGGTTCTGAATCTCAATAGTTCCAAAGGAGTCATCATCACAGACGAAGAAGCCGCGAGCGACGCTAGCTCAGATCTCTTCGAGATAGAGAGCTTCTCTACCCAACCGACAGGTCGTCCGTGGGCCCCATCCGCTGCGGATCTCGTCAGGAACTCGATAGACGAGACGGCGACTGAGTACGGTTACGAGCCGAGCGAAGCAAGTGTCACTTGGAGCGTTACAACCGCGGAACCGGCTTCAGCGGTTGCGGCCAACTTCTCAAGAATCGGCTTGTCGCAGCCGTCGCTGGCGTTTGGCGGTTGCGATAAGAGAAAAACGGGGTTGCTGAGCTGTCGTTGTGAGAAGGCAGTTATGGTTAGCGGCGGTCAGCGTTTGAACCATCCGTGTAAGAGCGTTGGCGTTCAGGAAGAGGTGGCGGGAAAGGTGTTGTGCAACAATGGCAGTTCTAAACTAAGCGTGACGAGTCGAGCAATGCTGGATACCAAATCTTCGTTTTTGGTTTAGATCCGGTTTACTCCACTATCTTGGTGTTTTGACTTTTGGGTGCTTCTCTTTTAAAATTTCTCTGTTTTTCAAAAAACTTGTGTATTCAAGATTGTGACGTAAACAATATCAGTGTGAATAAGATATTAATTCCTACATATATCAAGACTTAGATTTTGAATTTCAATTAACTTTGAGTATGAGGGTTACAACTTTACGTATATCCCACATTTGTGGGACCATGAGTCCATGACTTGGGTTTAACGGATTACTTATGTCTATCTCAAAAGTTTGGTTTAAGGCAGAGTTTCTTGCTTTAAAGCATTAATAATACAGTCAAGACTCCACTAAAAAATGTTCCATAGCTTAAAAGCAAACATCTGGTGAAAAAGTATATATCAATAAACGATGTAACTTGACCCTCACTACAAGAAACCTCAATCATAAATACACATATTAGCTCCAAAACAACAACAACAACAAATTTCTCTTCAAAACATTTTGCCTACAAAGTTGTATAAATTTATCTCTAAACCCTGAACTATCACTTCTAGCTAGAGACTTAATGGATCAACAAGAAATGGTCAAGAGAAGACTAGCCGTTCTGGTCGGCTGCAACTACCCCAACACAAGGAACGAGCTTCACGGCTGCGTCAACGACGTTTTAGCCATGAAAGAAACTCTATTGACCCGTTTCGGATTCAAACAAGACGACGTCGAAGTGCTAACGGACGAGCCAGAGTCAAAGGTGAAGCCGACCGGTGCAAACATCAAGGCTGCTTTACGTAGAATGGTGGATAAAGCTCAAACCGGATCTGGAAACGTTTTGTTCTTCCACTACAGTGGCCACGGAACTCGGATTCCTTCGGTTAAACCAGCTCATCCTTTTAAAAAAGACGAAGCTATTGTTCCTTGTGATTTTAATCTCATCACAGATGTTGATTTCAGAGAATTGGTCAATCAACTTCCTAAAGGAACAAGCTTTACCATGATCTCTGATTCTTGCCACAGCGGTGGCCTAATCGACAATGAGAAAGAACAGATCGGACCCTTTTCTGTCTCCAGCGATGGATCTCCAGCCACGGAGACAACGACGAAAATGACAACAATAACATCACGTGCCTTGCCCTTCAAGGAAGTCCTCGACCACTTGAGTTCTCTCACCGGAATCTCAACTTCCGACGTTGGCACACACCTACTCGAGCTATTTGGCGGCGACGCTGGCCTTAAATTCCGGTTACCGGCTATGGAACTGATGGATCTTTTGGAGAGTATGACGGCGCATGAGAGACACGTGGACGCTGGGATATTGTTGAGCGGGTGTCAGGCGGATGAGACTTCTGCTGACGTCGGCGTTGGCGGTGGGAAGGCGTATGGAGCGTTTAGCAACGCGATTCAGATGGTTTTGAAGGAAAATGGAGGTACCTTGAAGAACAAGCAACTAGTGATGATGGCTAGGGAAGTGCTTGAGAGACTAGGGTTTCACCAGCATCCTTGTCTCTACTGTAGCGATCAGAACGCGGACTCGACTTTCCTGTCGCAACCTTGATGGGACCAAGTGGATTATTAATAAATCATTGTACGTACTTGTTTATCATGTTTATATCGTGTTTGCGTTTGGGTTTGTTGGAATGTGTAATTTCACTCTTTGTGGTGTTCAAAAAGAAAATGGACGAATAAAAGGTTGTTGATAATTACTCCATTTACTTAAAAGTTTAGTTTTATTTTGTGGTAGTTTTGGAAAAATCAAATTTTGTGGTATTTTTAGAGAGAAAAAAACTAATGATGCTATTTGATTCAGAATTTCATCCGGAAATCTTATTCCGACACAAGAAAAGTTTAACGAATTTCTCCGGCGAAATAAGATTCGACGAGTTAGATCGCTACAGTAGAGGAATCGATATATTTCCTTTCTGTTTCTTTGATAATTTTCTAGGGTTTTTTCTCTTCGACCAATGTCAAAGTTTGACCTAATTAGGGAGAATCTATTCCTTGGCGATTTCCACGCGGCTGCTGAAGTTCTCCAGAATGGTAGCTCAGAGATTTCACATGTTCTAACAGTTCTTCACTGCCCTTCGATATCAACTTTTGAGGAATGGCGTAACGTGAAATTAGAATCGAAAATAATCAAAGAAGTCTATGTGGGTGATGATGACGATGAACAAGGCAGAGAGTATGCGACTGAGAGCTCGTTGGCATCAGGAAATCTTCTGTATTCTCTGGAGCATACAGGGCAAGATCTCAAGATCACAAGAATGTCTGTGTTTGCTCATGATCATCACTGGGAGAATCTACTTGATTTCTTCGATCTTTGCTTAGATTTCATCGATGCTGGTCGCAGAGACAAAGGTGTTTTAGTTCATTGCTTTGCTGGACAATCTCGGAGTGCTTCTTTTGTCATTGCATATCTTATGAGAAACGAAAAGTTGTCTCGCCAAGGTATGGATGGATTATACTTTAATCTTATTTATTCATCTGATTTCTTTTTAATGAAATTGTTGAATTGTTTTTGTTTTACAGATGCTTTGACATCACTAAGGCAAAGTGTCGTTGGTAGCACCAATCCTGGCTTCGTAAAACAGTTAGATTTGTTTCAGATGATGAACTTTAAGGTCGACCGTTCAAGCCCTATGTACAAACGCTTCCGTCTAAAAGCTTTACTGCTTTAGGTTTTGATCCGTTTTTTCATTATCTCGAAGTTTATCGAAAATAAATCATTATTGATTTGCTAATGGATATCTGACAATATGGGATTGTATTGTAACAGGTTATCTATATAGCAAAGATAAGAAATTAGACAAATCGAAGTTGAGGGGTGATCCAGAAATGTCGAAGATTGAGAGTAGTGGTACTACTACGTACCAGTGCAAGAAATGTAGGAGAGTTGTGTTGTTGGAAGAGCAAGTGATGAGTCATACTCGAGGTGAGGCTGATCAAGAGTTCGATGTCATGTTTCCAAACATGATTGGAGATGTCCACAACAAGAATCCTGGCGGCGAGGAGACGCAATGTACTTCTATATTCGTACAGCCGATGAGTTGGATGAATGCAGCTACATCTATATATATACTCTTAATAAATGACGCTCAATATAAATCTGTGTTGGTTTCTTGATTCGTCTTTACTAATCTCTAACTTTCTGTTTGTCAGTGGAAGTTGATGTCTCGGAAGGGAAGTTGATGTGTCCGGAGTGTAAAGCTAGGATTGGAAGCTTTCATTGGTCAGGAAGTTATTGTAGCTGCGGAAGCAAGATTGTTCCGGCCTTTCAGCTTCAAATGAGCCGCGTCGGTGTTATCACTGTCAAAAATGACAAGAACAAGAAGAAGAAGAAGCACTTGAAGAAAAGAACACAAGCTTGGATTTTTTGCTGTGATTCGGAATATAAGCTTTGTTTTTTTTTTTTTTTTCTGCATGGAATCTGAAGTCTCTTTTTTATACCTGTTCCTGTCTCTGTATGAAACATTTTAACACTCATCTAATATATACTTCAGATTGCAATTGGAATAACCAATAAAGGACACAATATTTGAGATAAGCCCCCATTAGAACTAGAGTTCCTGTAGATTTGTTAACTAGTAGTCCAACGGATCTCAATGTGAATAACGCCGTTTCTGGAATTGATAAGATGATATTTCTGGTTGATCCTTCCATTTTCGACTACATCGCCAAGATTTATGTCTACATGCCCTAGTTTCTCCTACATAGAGATATTAAGCAAATATATGAGTCAAAACCAAATGTTAAACAGGGTTATTAGCAAGCTGGCATAAGATCTTTTATACCTTGGAACGAAAGTGAAAGCCAGTTCCTTTGCTCATGACCTCAACACGTATACTCTCTCTCAATGGCGGCTCTTCCAGCGTAAACTCGAATTCCTCGTTCCATAGCGGGTCTCTTGTCTTCTTCAACATCTGATCAAAGCAAACGTAGCTCAACCATTAGAACTCAGACGACATGAGTAAAAATGCAGGTTTAGGATTTACCTTTGTTCTCTTCTTTTCTCCTCTGAAGAGAACAAAAGCATAAGGGTTTGTGTGTTTCTTCTTTCCCTCGACATCTTTGGCAGATTGGATTACAACTGTGAGTAGACCGGCCTCACTGAGAAAGTCATCATCGTCCTCTGATGGTTTCTCGCTTCTGCTTTCTTTTCTCTGGTACTCATCTTGATTTTCTGTTCTACTCTTAAGGCTCTCTTCTCTGAATGGCACGTACCTGATGTCTAACTCTAGTTTGCCTCTCTGTTTCTTGTCCAGTGGATCCATAACAACATTTGAGTTCTTGATCAGATCCAGATTAAACACCTTCTTCTCCCCCGGGTTAACTTTCTGCAAGGGGATCATCTGCATCCCTAATCTGTCGTGCCCACCAACCTACAGAGATGAAGAGAGCAGGTCTAGTAACTTAAGAACTAGAGAAGAAACCATGGAGGAGTGAAAATGAGATGGTGAGAGTGTGAGACCTTGTCCCAGTCAAAGACTTCTAGTTGAAGGACTTGTGTTAATGGGTCCTTGACGATGAGCTTGAAGTGTTCATTCCATTCAGGGTTTAAGTTCCTCTTCTTTATGGTGGTTTTCTTAGCTGGAAGCTTCTCTCCGGTCAAGCTAAGCTTGACATAAGGGTCGGATGTTCCAAGCAAATCCTTCTTGAGGAGATTGTGAGCTCGAATGATGTTCACATGTAGTAATCCTACAGGCTTCTTCACGTATCCTCTACATCATCACAAGTAAACTCATAACATCAAGGAAAGGAAAGAGAAAGATCTCCTGATAAACCTTAAGACAACAACACTTACGTTGAGGCATCAAGAATAGGTATCTCAAGCACTTGAGGCCAATGGTACATGCTTGAAACTTGCCTTTTAATAGTTTCCTGCAAAAAAAGCCATGAGATAAAGATAAGTTCTCTAAAGATAAGACGGAGCCATCTCATTTTGACTATAAATAAACACCGTAATCAAGCTCCTACCCATAGGAGGATCATCAATGTAGCACCTGAACATATCTGTAGAGACCCGGTATGGACATGAGATCCCCACCAAGCACTTTCAATCCAAAATCAACATGTGGCTGCAAAGAGAATCATGCTGCTTGTTAAAAGCACACAACTTTCAAAGCAAGTCTGAGCCACTCTTTTGTGTGATGTAGCTACCTTTTCCATCAATGAGACTACGACAGCTCCGAAGCATGGGAAGGTCGGTAGAAGAGGCTTCAGAGCTACACGCACTGTAGCAAAAAATTGGACATCTACGAGCTGCAAAGGCAAAAGTGGTAAAGTTGTCTCATTTCTTGTTTTCCATTACTTCACAGTGATGATCACTCTCACTGACCTGAACTTTGATTCGTAAAGACAGAAGCTTTAGCACCAAAACAATGTTGGGATTGCCTGCCCACTTGATTGATGGTTCAAACAGAAGTTCCTTCTCGTTGGTCTCATAGAACTTAACACCTGCACAAAGGATTAAGCACAATGCATTTCACCATTGATTAGCAGCACATCTTACAGAACGGTGAGAGGTCATAAAAAGAACTAAAGAGCACTAGGATTTGCCATGAATAGTCGGTGGAAGCGGTCCAAGACTCAATTTTTCGAACTCTATGGATTCTACACAGAACTTCCCAATATAGTCTGCAAATATGGGTTGTGCAGAGCTCTGAATAATCTCACAAATAGCCTATACACAAGAGGAAAAATCCAACCTTAGAACAGGAGCTCAGTGAATCAAATTTTGATATAGACTTATCAGAAGTAGGAAGCTAGAAAGAACCTTATCAAGGTAGGGCCACATGTACGAGAGAAATCTGTTAAACCAGTCCACCTAATTAATGTAAACAAAACAGAGAGAGGAACTATATGAGTCAAGTCAAGTAATGGAGCTAAAATGTAAAATGGTGACGACCTTACTCTTTCATAGTCTGGATTCTTCATCCACAATGGGATATCTGGTAAAAGATCAAGAAGGACACTGATGCTACTCTCGACTAGTGGCCTCGCTGGTGGATACTGCAATGTTCCAACATCAATGAGCATCTATGACTCAACATCAGCAAAGACTGTACCAAAGGCTTTCCCTTTCCAAAAGGAATAACTTTTATTCAAAATCCAAACCCAAATAGGCTATCAGATTCACCATTTTCAAGCACATGCGTAAATTTTTGTTCTTTTTGCAAATCTTCGCCACACCCGCTTAATCAAAAATCAACCAGTGAAAACTGTGAAATCGATTGAAATTTTAAGCTACCCAGATGGTGAAAACAGCAGAACAAGCCTCAAACTTTGACGAGAACGAATGAAACGAAAGATGAAGCAAAAGTGTGTTTCCGAGATCAATTTACCTCTCTGTGTGTGGGCTGGGAATAAACCAAGGCGAAGAATCCGATGATGAGTCCGATAGGGATTCCGATTGCGAAACCGATGATTCCCAACACACTGGTGACGACACCCATTTTTTGTTTTATTTTTTCCTCGATGAAAATCTAGGAGAAGCGAGAAAACACAGGAAAATACGAGAGAAAATGAGGAATGAATTAAAAGAGAGTATATTGTTATGGTAAGGAAGGAAAGAGAGGAGAAGGAATCGGGTCCAAAACGGTAACGACGAACAACGTTCTGTTTCAACCGCCAAAATTTATGACAAAGTTTTGATTCCGATTTGTATTGTTTTTTGGTTAATTTAATGTCGCTGATTTGTTTTGTTTTTAGAGGATCAAAAAAAATCACGAGATGTGTCATATCCGTAGCCGACGTGAAAATGACTTTATTATCCTCCTTTCGTGTGTGATTTGCCTCTGTTTTGTTTGTTGGCCTAATCAACTTGGTGTTTTTAGCTTTCTTGGAAATAAAGAAGATCACGACCCAATTAATTTTCCTTATGGTCCCAACCAAAAATTTGTTGGACTACTATTGGAAATACAAATCAATACAATTAAACATAACTAGGTAATTCAGTAATTGGTTAAATCTATAAACTGTATCTTTAAGGTAATACTTTTTCTTTTCTTTTTTTGCAATCAAAATCTACCACGAAACCTCAAAAGACGTTTGACATCACAATAGGTATAGGGCCTCATTGTTTAGGACATAATTTCAATAAAACGTGTTTCTCTTGAATTAATTTGTTCAAATGTGTATTTACTTGTCACAATTGGTTTCAGACATGAATATTATTGGTCCAGCACATAATTCCTTTATTTGACCAAGTACCATTCAAAACTTTCAGGAAGTACATATATAACAAAATGAAGTCTTTTTCAAGAGTTTAGATCTAGTTTGAAATATTTGAACCCAAGGCCCACCACACTGATGACAGGTCTAAGAGCAAGAGCCGCCAACTAGGCTACTTGACTCCCCACAACAATATCTTTGTTCGTTGATTTATCAGATTACAATCCAGTATTCTTGAATCTGACTTTTGTCATATCTTACCTACTGTGTGGTCATTCAATCATAATTTTTGTTCTGTTCGAAATCTTTAGTGTACTTTCAAGTTTCAACATCATTCTTTATTTACTTTCAATTTCTCCTTTTATCAACATCATGCTTTATTTACGTTTTTGTGGATTACTAGATATACAAACACATGTACCATGATTACTAATTTACTACTATCAATAAAAAAAATCTTAAACGTTTCAACTAGTCCCATTGCTCTCCTAACCAACCACTTCACAACGGTAACATTTTTGTAGTTGAAACCAATCTGACGATAAACCTAGGGCTGGGACTTTCGATTCAAAGCGGCAACTTGTTCTCAAGTCTCTAATTGCAGACGCTTTGTAACGTTTTTCTAAGATCAATGGTTATCGACATTACCCGGTTTCGATCGTCTGTCCACCCGAACCGTTCTCGGTAGTTGGGCCTTGGCAAACTTTGAGTTTCAAATGAGGCCCAAAACATCAGTCTAGGCCCAAATTAGCTACACGAGTACTATAAAAATAGAAGTGCCAAAGCTCAATGTCAAAAAAAAGAAGCAATCCAATTTAAATCCTCCAATAGGGTCTCCTTCTTTCTCCGACACTTGCCCTGTTTTCTCAAGATTCCATACCGAAATCCGATCTAAATGTGGACTGACAGAATGCGTTGTGGCAATCAGGTAGTAAAAAATGAATGCACATGTTGTGATCATATGTTTTTTCTTTCTGTCCAGTTTGAGGAAAACAAAAGAAAAGATAGATATGAATAGGTGTGTTTCTTTTGAATAATGCATATATTTCAGACAAAATTTCTCCGTGTTACGAATCTGAGCTCGAAGACAACTGACGAGAGTTTGAAGGAGCATTTGAGTCAGGTGGTGAAGCAGGGAAAGATTCAGAGTGTCAAGGTAATTTCTTGTTCATATTGCTATCCACTGAATTAACCGTCTGTTGTTGATATTCCTTTTCTCTTTATTTAATCTAATATTATCATAAATTAAGCAGATAATGAAGCATTATAAGTTTGGGGAGGTGCTTTCAAAGGGTTATGGATTTGTAGAATTCGACTCTGTAGAGACCGCGACCAGCGCCTTCAGAGATGTAAAGGTAATGTATTATATTATGTATAGACATAATTTATTAAAGTATTTGAAACTCATAAATTTGTTCAAGTGTTTGTTTGGTTGGTTCTGCAGGGAATTGTTCTTGATGGGTATGGTTTGGGCTTGAGCTTGTGTGATGCCAAGTCGGTTTCAAAGATGGACTACAAACCTTGTACTACATTAAAGGTGAGAAATCTACCCTCAAAGGGGATAGATCTGAAAGATTTAATACAGCTTTTCAGTCCATTTGGCCAGGTAAACATCAGCAGCTAGCTCTCTATTGTATTTAGAATTTTAATGTGAGATTTGAAAACCATCAAACCACCACATTCATGTTTCTTGTTTATGATGCAGATCAAAAGTGTTAGGCTTCCATATGCACGTTTTGGTGTTGTCGAATTCGTGACAAAGCAAGAAGCCTCAAACGCCATAAGAGCATTGACATTGTCACGCGCCCGTTTGTACGGACGCCGTTTGGTAGGTCTTTTATATCATATGTTGCACTCTTTTGTTTATCTCTTACTGCATTTGACATGATTCTCGACTCTGTTTTTGCAGATGTTGGACTGGGTTGTCGATGACGAAAGGCTCCTGGAGGATCGTTCTGGTGCTAAGAATATGGACCAAGAAAAGGTGTTGGTCAAGTTTGAGAATTTAGCTATATAGCCAACCCCATCTATTTCTATATACTATAGTTTGTATTGACCACATCGTCTGATAATACTCTGTCATTCTTCATTCTGCTCTGCATCGTTTACCTTTTGGTATACTATTTTATTTGTCAAGGTTCTCTTTTTATTACATGTATTGGCTTCGTATTTTAAGATATATGAAAAAGAATGATTAAAGTTTATGTCAATGAAACCAATCTGAACCAAACAATATTGATCATCATTGTAACAAACAACAACACACAATGATGTGATTAGTGTAATTTATTGATTTATAATTTCACAAATGTGGTTGCATTAGTGTAAAAAAGTAAAAAATTGTCGTTGGAGAATATCAAGTTGAGGGTTGCTGATTTAATAGACCCTGTCACACGTAACCGTAAATTTGTACAGAAGATGGTTACACGAAGAATGGACTGTATACTGTTAGCTCGGGGTACAGCTTGAGTAGCAAACTAAAGGGGTTTGTTTGAACAAGAGAAAGAGGAGAATCTTTTTAGTATTGCAATGATCGAATCTCTTTTGGTGTAAAGAGGCTTTTCTATTTCCATTTTTACGTTTTTGTGATGCTCTGTTTTATACAAAAAGAAGCCCAACAATTATTCCAATCCAATTTATACTTTATATAAATCCTCCATTAGGGTTTCCTTCTTTCTCCGACACTTTCCCTGTTTCCTCAAGATCCCAGTACCGGATTCCCATCTAAATGTCGACTGGTGATGAAAGCACGCGTTGTGGCAATCAGGTAGTCAAATTGAATGCACATGTTGTGATAATATGTTGTTTCTTTCTGTCTTATGCTCCAGTTTGAGGAAAACAAAAGAAAAGATAGATATGAATTGGTGTGTCTCTTTTTTTATATATATTTCAGACCAAATATCTCCGTGTTACGAATCTGAGCTCCAAGACAACTGACGAGGGTTTGAAGGAGCATTTGAGTCAGGTGGTGAAGCAGGGAAAGATTCAGAGTGTCAAGGTAATTTCTTGTTCATATTGCTCCACTGAATTAACCGTCTGTTTTTGATATTCCTTTTCTCTTTATTTAATCTAATATTATCATAAATTAAGCAGATAATAAAGCAGTTTAAGTTTGGGATGGTGCTTTCAGAGGGTTATGGATTTGTAGAATTCGACTCGGTAGAGAGCGCGACCAGCGCCTTCAGAGATGTAAAGGTAATGTATTATATTATGTATAGACAGACATAGAGTTAAGTCTCTTTGAAACTTTTAAAATTTGTTCAAGTTTTTGTTTGGTTGGTTCTCCAGGGAATTGTTCTTGATGGGCATGGTTTGCGCTTGAGCTTGTGTGATGCCAAGACGGTTTCAATGATGGACAAACCTTGTACTAGATTAATTGTGAAAAATCTACCCTTTTATGAGGTAGTAGATGTGAAAGATCTAATACAGCCTTTCAGTCCTTTTGGCCAGGTAAACATTAGTATTTTAATGTGAATTAACAAGATGGTTTTGGAGAGTTGAAAAACATCAAACCACATTCATTCTTTGCAGCTCAAAAGTGTTCGGCTTCCAAGACCACGTTTTGGTGTTGTTGATTTCGTGACAGAGCAAGAAGCCTCAAACGCCAAAAGAGCATTGTCAAACACCTATTTCCATGGACGCCGTTTGGTAAGTCTTTAATATCATACGTTGCACTCTTGTGTTTATCTCAAGCCTCTTACTTCATTTGATATGATTCTCGACTCTGTATTTGCAGGCGCTGGAGTGGGCCGACCAGGACTATAGGCTCCCGGATCGTTCTGGTGCTAAGTATATGGACCAAGACAAGGATACTCGTCCAAAGAAAAGGCAAATGCTCCACAGGTGTTCATCAAGTCTGAGAGATTAGCTTAATTAGCCAACCCCATCTGTTTCTATATATTATAGTTTGTATTGACCACATCGTGTGATACTCTGTCGTTCTTCATTCTGCTCTGTATCGTTTACTTCTTCGCCTACTATTGACTTCTTAATTTAAGATGTATGAAAAAGAATTATTAAAGTTTATGTTGTTGAAACCAATGTGAACCAAACAATAATGATCACCATAATTGTAATAACAACAACACAATAATGTGATTAATGAATGCTTAGGAGTTAAAAGAGTCAGTTCGGTCCTAGAATGAACCGGCGCACCGCTCTGTTTTCACGTTACTTCACACCGCGCGCACACTCGTTAATGTTTTGCTATCCAACGCTAACATGCGCCTAAGGCAATGTTAAACTGATTTTTGGAAATTTTAAAGATTTTAACCATTTTTTAACTCACTTTCTCCTCTTTCTCTCTTCTTCTTCTCTTTCTCTCCTTCTCCGTCTCTCCGTCGCTGCGCAACCGCTCAGTTCATATCGTTTCTTTTTTCTCTCTTTTTATTTCTTCCTCATGGATTCTCCGTTTCTCTCTATTCTTTTTCCTTCCCTGATTGTCTCAGTGCCTACAATTCCATTGTGCTGAATTCCTTTCCTGATTGGAGCAAGTCAAGAAGATTACATCTTTAAATCAGTATCTCGGAGTATTCGAATCTAGGGTTTTAGAGTGCTGGGTTTCGTTAGGTTTCTGTGATCAATCTGATCTCGGTGATTGAATCGATCGTCTAGCCTTACGGATTTCGAATTGAGATGGGCAATGTTGAAATTCCGAATTGGCTCAAAGCCCTGCCATTGGCACCTGTCTACAGGCCTACGGACACCGAATTCGCAGATCCCATCGCGTACATATCGAAAATCGAGAAGGAGGCAAGTGCCTTTGGGATCTGCAAGATCATTCCTCCGTTACCAAAGCCATCGAAAAAGTACGTTTTCCACAACTTGAACAAGTCTCTTCTGAAATGCCCTGAGTTCGCTTCTGGTGTAGACGTTTCGAAACTTTGTCAAGAGGATAGGGCTGTGTTCACCACTAGACAGCAAGAGTTAGGCCAGGCTAGGAAAAAATCAAAAGGAGGAGAGAGCAGTAAGAGTGGTGTTAAGCAAGTGTGGCAAAGTGGAGGCGTGTATACATTGGATCAGTTTGAAGCAAATTCGAAGACTTTCTACAAAAGCCAGTTAGGGACGGTTAAAGAGGTGTCACCGGTTGTGGTTGAGGCATTGTTCTGGAAAGCGGCTTCAGAGAAGCCAATGTATATAGAGTATGCAAATGATGTGCCTGGTTCGGCTTTTGGTGAGCCGGAGGGTCATTTCAGGCATTTCCGGCAGAGAAAGAGGAGAGGCAGGGGATCTTACCAGAGGAAGAATAGTCATGATGATCAATCAGGTAAGGACGGTGAAACCACATCGCCTGAGGTAGAAAAGGCACCTCTTGCTTCGACAAGTTTATCGTCTCAGGATTCGTCAAAGCAGAAGAACATGGATGTTGTTGATGAGATGGAAGGTACTGCAGGCTGGAAGCTCTCCAACAGTTCGTGGAACCTTCAGATGATTGCACGTTCGCCTGGCTCTGTTACACGCTTCATGCCGGATGACATCCCTGGTGTTACATCTCCCATGGTTTATATCGGTATGTTGTTCAGCTGGTTTGCCTGGCACGTTGAGGACCATGAGCTTCACAGCATGAACTATCTTCACACCGGCTCACCAAAAACTTGGTATGCTGTCCCTTGTGACTATGCGCTTGACTTTGAAGAGGTTATCCGCGAAAGTTCTTATGGCAGAAACATTGATCAACTGGGTACGTTCTTTCTGAAAAGCACTGTTATAGATGATATGCCGTTTCCTTGTTTATACATATAATCATATATGTTGGTAGAATATGTGAGAAACGAGGATCCCTAGAATGAAAAATGTAGTTACAATTTTATTACTCCTGAATGATATGGTGAAAATGAAAACGTTTCCAGCTTTGACTATGGTATGGTGAAAATTTATACTCCTGGAAGAATGTCTTAGGTCTTATTGCTTTTGCGTTGTGATAGATATGGAACGTTGCAACAGTTCTTAGGAAATACATTGTCCCTCTGTTTCTCATCAACTCTTTCCTGTTCGTTGTTACTGTCAGCTGCTCTCACCCAACTGGGTGAAAAGACAACTCTTGTCTCACCTGAGATGATAGTTGCATCTGGAATTCCCTGCTGTAGGTAGGCCTGTTATTTTACTTGGAGTTTCACTTCCGTTATGTGGAGATTTGAGGCAGTATGTGTTTTATTGTAACTACCTTCATGCTGTGCTATATTTATGTTTGTATATATGGTTGTTCCTATGTAGGTTGGTACAGAATCCTGGTGAATTTGTTGTGACTTTTCCGAGGTCTTATCATGTAGGATTCAGCCACGGTAAAACACTTGTTTTTTTACAAACATTCTTTCAAGTCTTAGTGATTGCAGTCTATTCGTTCTGTTTTGCACTCTTCAAAGTGTTTTGAGAAAATATGAAATTGAATAAAGCTTTGGAGAAAAAGGGTGTTTATCTACATAGAATGAGGTGAGGATTGATTGTATCTAATCAGGAAGATGGGAAACAATATATCTGTTAAGTTAGTCACGTATTAAAAGTAGATAGTTTGGCTTAGTTTATGAATGCGAATTCCAATTATTTTCAAAATCCTTAACTAAGCAGATTTAATCTAATGTTACCTAGGTTTTAATTGTGGGGAAGCCGCTAATTTTGGTACTCCACAGTGGCTCAGCATAGCAAAGGAAGCTGCTGTGCGTAGGGCAGCCATGAATTATCTCCCCATGCTGTCCCATCAGCAGCTGTTGTATCTCTTGACCATGTCCTTTGTTTCAAGGCAAGTTTCCATGGTCCCTTTGTACAGATAATCTTTAAGTTTTGGTGGACCATGTTTATTCTCATATTCTTGTAAATATTAAATTTCCAGAGTGCCACGATCATTGCTACCAGGTGGTCGTAGCTCCCGACTGAGAGAACGACAGAGAGAAGGAAGAGAGTTCCTTGTGAAAAAAGCCTTTGTAGAAGATATATTGAACGAAAACAAGAAGATATCTGTTCTTCTTCAAGAACCTGGCTTTCGTTTGGTGATGTGGGACCCTGATTTACTTCCACGTCATAGTGCGCTGGCTCTTGCAACTGCCGAGGGCCCTGTTCCATCTCCAGCAGTGGGCAAAACTGAACTTGAGGATGGTCATTCGGGAATGCAGAAGAAAGAGAAGGGTACTCTTTTAGAAGAATTGAGTTTGTACATGGAGAAGCTGAATGATGTATACTACGACGATGATGATGGTCTACTCAGTGATTTCCAAGTTGATTCTGGAACGTTGGCATGTGTGGCGTGTGGCGTTCTTGGCTTCCCCTTTATGTGTGTGGTACAACCTTCTGAAAAAACTTTTAAAGATCTCTCAGAGAGACAAGGGGAGATAGGTAACAGACCATTATATTTTGTCCAAAAGCTATGAACTGCCGTATCTATGTTAGCCTTTTGAAACCTGTTAATAGTGGTTCGATTAATTCTACAGATGCTCAGGAAATTACGACGCTGTCATCAAAAATTTCTGACTGTGAATGGAACATGTCCTCCAGAGATATAAGACCTCGCATTTTCTGCCTCGAACACACTATTGAACTTCAGAGACTGCTGCAGTCAAGAGGTGGAGTCAAATTCCTTGTAATTTGTCATAAAGGTAGAATACTCATCATTTGCTATTACATTTTATACCAAAATGATGTACAGGAGAGGAGTGCAATATCAGTTTTAGAAACACTGAAAAACAAAATGATTGATTGTTGATCATTCTGTTGTAATCTTTTTGGAATTGTTGCAGACTTTCAGAAATTTAAGGCACATGCGGCTATAGTGGCAGAAGAGGTCAAAGTCCCTTTCAGCTATGATGATGTCCCGTTAGAGAGTGCATCTCAAGCAGAATTGAGTCTAATTGATCTTGCAATTGAAGATGAAGAAAACAACGAACACGGCGTAGACTGGACATCAAAACTTGGCATCAATTTACGGTACTGTGTGAAAGTGAGGAAAAATCCCGCTACTAAGAAAATTCAGCATGCACTGTCAGTAGGTGGGTTGTTCTCCGACACGAGCCACATGCTAGATATGTCAACTATCAAATGGCTGCAGAGAAAATCACGCTCAAAAGCTAAACCCAGTTCTACCTCGAGTTTCACACCTCGTGAACATCTTGAAGTAAAAGTAGACGGAAAACTAGGTGAGAATTTGGATTCTCAATCTGGAAGAAAGGAAGAAAAGATCATCCAGTACACGAGAAAGAAAAAGTTGAATCCCAAGCCCGCTGGAGAACAAGGTGAGGAACTAGCCAATAGGTCACATCTGGATAGTGCAGTTCGTTCTGAGATGAACAGTGAGATTCGAGATTCAGAGAGGGCCATTGGCAGGGGCGGTGTATCCTTTTCCATAAATCCTTGTGGCTCATCTTTAACTAGGGCACACGGACAAGAGCATCCTGAGACCCCTGACAGGTTTGGTTCAGCTTTAGATGGGAATATCACAAATAGTTCTAGTATGGTGAATGGAGATTCTGCTGACCTAACTTCCTTAACCAGAGAGCACCAAGGACACTCTATGACCAGCAATAATAATGGCGTCAACGCAACCATGTTTGCTCCTAATCCTGATGTGCCAAGAAAGTTGTCTGGTGAGTATGTCTGCACTGATGTGTCTGTACGTGATGTTGATGGAGCAGTTGAAATGAGTGACCAAGAGCTCGAAGAACCATCTACGATCACTAGCGTCAAGGAAGAACAGCAATCACACATTGTGGAGGGAGAGGAAGCTAACATTGCCAGTGAGAACATAGTTGTTGACACGATCGATGATGATGAACCTCTGGCAAGTAGGGATATATTAAGTTCAAGCAATGGTGATCAAGCTTCTTTAGATGGCGTGCAAGCTCCAGATAATGAACTTAGCATGGAGAGCGAAGTTTCAAGCTCAGAAAACACCGAGGTTACCAAGGCGCCCAATTCTAATATTGGAGAAGGAAAGAAAAAGCGGAAAATAGAAACAGAGTCTGAGACAAATGATAATCCAGAGAGTAGCACTGGTTTTATAAGGGGTCCTTGTGAAGGTTTGAGGTCAAGGGGTAGGAGGAAAGCGACATGTGAACCATCATCCGATCTCACTGAAACGAGCGGTGAAGTGAAGAAACCCGCTGCTAAAAGGCTCAAGACAACTCCAAAGACTCGAAAGGGGAGTCATTATCAAGAAGTCTCCACGATAAGTCACCACAACCGTTGTTCCCTAGAGGGATGCAAGATGACTTTCGAGAGTAAAGCGGACTTGCAAGCTCACAAGAGAAACCGCTGCACGCACGAAGGATGTGGTAAGAAACTCGGGGCTCACAAATATCTGGTGCTTCATCAACGTGTTCATAACGATGATAGACCATTCGGGTGCTCTTGGAAAGGATGTTCCATGACATTCAAATGGCAATGGGCGAGGACTGAGCATTTGCGTCTTCACACAGGAGAACGACCATACAAATGCAAGGTCGAAGGATGTGGATTGTCGTTTAGGTTTGTGTCGGATTATAGCCGCCACAGACGGAAAACCGGGCACTATGTCACATAGAAATCCGGCATTGATCAGTGATGCAAGATTCTGGCCGGAAAAACTGAAAGGCCTCACTCTCACTGTGGATTTGTGAGATGGGTGTTAAATCTAATTTCTGGTTCCTTGCCAGTTGTTGTGTATTAGATAGTTGATGATACTATATGACTCTTTCTTAGCGTAGATGCGACTTCTTTCCACTTTTGAGAAGGCCTCACACTCTTGTTTGCTTTGTTGTTTAATTCTTAACTTTAAAATGTTAATATTCTGTATTCATTCATTGAAACCCACAAGTGTTCTCGTGTTTGGTCTATGTCCGGTTAACAAATCTTCTGTCATTTTTAATTGGAAACATAACTTTTCTGAGTTTCTAGTTTGGGCAAGTGAAGAAGTATTTACGTGACACTTAGATTTGAGGAACACGTGTATATACTTGGAATCTATGTCAGATATGTTTATTACGTACACGTGAGTTCATCATCATCCCAATTCATATTTAGATTCCACGATAAGGGGTTTCTACTCGTATTATATAACTAAATCGGTTACGTATTTAAGATCACAATATGATACGAAACCAGTAATATAATAATGATTCATCCAGGAGTTTTCAAAGCAAATCAACAACAAAAGGAGGGATAACAGAACTTGTTAATAATATAAGCTTTCAACAACAACAAAACAAGGATTACAGATATTGAGAAAGTATCCATTTTCTTAAGTTATTATCAGATGCTTCAAAGAGAGAATAAAACACAATTTTAACGTTTGGGAACGTGTTATTAACAAAAGACAAAAATAGAAATTGGGCAATTCTTTGATATTTCCTCTTAGTTTTCTTAAATATCTGAAAAGGATAAAACAAAGCGTGTAATCGTCAATAAAAGCGAAGACACGTGGACAAATCTTGGCGGGTTATTGGAAATAGCGGGGTTTTAGGATAACCGCCTCCGATAACCCAACGACGGTGTGAAACGGCGTTTAAATATCTGCCGGCTTGCGATCATTCTTTTGTTTGTTTTGCTTTTTCAACGGCTGCGATTTTCTCTGTCACCAAACCCATCTTCCCAGCTTTTCATCTCCTTCCTCTTCCTCTTCCTCTTTCTCTCTCTCTTTTTGCTTTTTCAAAGTTTTTTAATCGAATCTCTCGGCGATCTCCAGGTGCCCGAGGTTAGTGGGTTTTCCAAATTCGTTACCTCTCTGATATATTTTCAAAAAAATCGTTTCAAAAATGTTAAGAATTCGGATATTTTATTAGAAATTACGTTATTGGTTCTATTGGGATTTTGATGAATTTGTCTCCGGATGATGATGTGGCGGCAAAACTATGTAAATCGATAAGCTTTTGGTTATTTTGGAGTGGAGGTCTCACGAATTTCGTTTCTTGTAATCGAACAATGTGTTGCTTGATGATTTTCAAGTTAGATAGATCATACATCATTTCTTCGTTGATGTTTTGGTTAATGTTTGATCATGCGTTCCTCGTTTCCGTCATTTTGCAGCAAACACAATACTTCACGCAAGCTAAATTTTGGTTGTTTGTGTCTATAAAGTTTGACACTTTCAATGGGGTATGAGCCTGATCCAGATGCTCTTCGGTGGGGTCTCCATGATCTGGAGGTTTGTACACTTACAAATGCTGGTTGTTGCAGCAGCGTAACGCGGTATGAGACTGATGCAGTTTCTCAAGGCTATGTTAGAGAAGGTTACAATCAGCCTTTGACTGGTTACGTTGACAACGATGCGGTGATCGCTCAGTTTTACCAAGACGAATTGTCTAGAGTTGATCGAGCCGAAGCCTCGGGGCTCAATAATCCTACTCGTAGTTCAGTTGTTGCACAAGACTGGCCTCATCACCCTCATCATCAAGGTGGATTGTCTACAGGGCAGGAAAATCAAGGGGAAGTCATTGATATTTCCAGGGAAAGTGACAATCTTCGTAAGCATAACGGTGACATGGAAGGCAAGAGTGTTGCAAGGAGAGGGAATCAAGGAGAACAAAGTAGTTCCCCATCTCGTGATGATGACTCGGTTTGTTCTGTAGAAATAGAAGAAGAATCTTGGTCGTTGGATTCTGAGGTTGGGAAGCGACTGAACCAGATGATACCGGTTGCTGTAAGTACATCTTCTTTGATGATGGATTTAGAATCAACACATCAGATTCATATGTTAGTCTAGAACCCTGATTTGTGTTGTCTGTGTTGCAGCATGTACCGAAAATCAATGGTGAATTACCGTCAGAGGATGAACAGGTTTCTGATCATGACCGGCTATCTCAGAGGTATGTTATAGATATGATGTCATATACTAGCTAGAGAACAATTTCTGTTGCCATTTATGTGGATCTTGGTTGGTTTTATCCTGTTAGAACTTAGAATTACAATCAGATCTCTAACCTCAAGTTTCATGGTCAATTGCTTCTTCAAATAAATCAATATTGTCTAGTTTTGATAGCTGAGACTTTTGTAGTGCAATCAACGTTAGGTCTATAAAGATTGGATATTGAGATCTCTATGGTAATTATACACTACAGATTACAGCTTTATGGCTTGGTGGAGAACAAGATTGAAGGAGATGGAAACTGCCAGGTTTAGTAATGTCTTTTCTCGTTGTTAATTATGGTTTTGCAGATAAATCTCTAGCAGTTTCTCACTGTTTTACACCTTCTCTCAGTTTCGGTCACTGTCAGACCAGCTTTACCGTTCTTCAGAACACCATAACTTTGTCAGAGAACAAATTGTTAATCAGGTCCAAGAATAATCCATTCCCTTCATTTGAGTTTGATATACAACAAGGTCCTTGATGATTTTAACACTCTCATATGTTGTTTCAGCTTGCGTATAATCGAGAGATGTACGAAGGTTATGTTCCAATGGCGTACACCGACTATCTTAAAGCAATGAAAAAGTATGAAACTTATTTCTTTCAGTTCTTTCCACTGGATTTTAAGCTTATTACATTATTAACTGTGAATATTGGGATCATAGGAATGGAGAATGGGGTGATCACGTTACTCTTCAGGCTGCTGCGGATTTGGTATTCACACAACTTAATCTGTTTATTTTAGTAACGTGTAAAGTTTGATCTTTAGGGATCTTGGAATATGAATGAGGCAAGACTTAGCCACTGAAATACTCTGTTTTTTTCTGTTACTGCAGTTTGGTGTTCGGATGTTTGTGATAACTTCATTCAAGGACACATGTTACATTGAGATCTTGCCTCATTTGCAGAAGTCTAATCGCCGTAAGTTACCTACAACTGTATATATTCTCCCTGTTAACCCAACATCTCAGGGTTATATAACAAAAAATAAAATTGTCTTTTTGTTGGCTTTTGAATTAGTTATATGTTTGAGCTTCTGGGCTGAGGTTCATTACAACTCAATCTATCCTGAAGGAGGTATGTGACATTTCAAATGTTAGATAATCAATCATGGATTCTGTTAAACTAAGTGTTAGATCAATTTTGTTGATATATTGAGTTCTTTCTTCTTCCTGTGTTCTTTGTGTAGAGCTGCCGATGCCGGAGGGGAAGAAGAAGAAGAAATATTGGGTTTTCTGAGCCTAACTTACTTCTGATGGAGGCACAAAGTTGATGAACAATTCTTCTTACTAACTTAGATTAATTAGTTTTAGTTTTAGGGAGCAATATGCTCTTGTATATACTGAACGTATTTCCATTAACCATATAGTGTGCTCATTTTTCTCTTAATAAAAGCTTGATTAATCGTATAAATAAGAGGTTTTACATTAAACTTGTGGGAATACTACAATCGATAAAGGAAGGTCACAGTTGCTCACCAAAACCTCTACGTTTGATTGATATTGCAAAATATTTCCTAATCTGTTTGACTACAGAGAAAACAAAAACGTATTGCAAAACTACTACTAATCCACTTTCCATTAAAACCCAGTTACAGAGAGCTTCTCAAAACCAAGACAACGTGAACACTCTATAAGGGACCCAAAAACTAAGAAGAACCAGGTGAAAACAGAGCAGAGTCTGAAGATGTTTAACTGCAAGTGATGGAATCGTTCTCTATCATCTCTCGGACTTCGTTAACCACAAAATGCGCTTTGTTGCCGCCAATAACTTCACCTTGTTTCTTCCCATCTCTCCATAGCTGCGCACAGAGCATAATGCACAGAATCAGTCATTGTCTTTCCATCAGTCCGGTTCTGAATTATAATGTTCTTGAAGACAAAATTTACCTGTATGGTTGGCATTTTCTGCGTGTTCCAAACATAAGAGTTAAGTAATTGTTAGATCAACAATAAGGACTTGATTCGAAAAGGTTTGTTAACAAAATGCCAGATTCATATGAAAGGCTTACCGTAACCCCTGCACGAGTCACAAGTTTGTATGGCACAGAGTTGACATCAACATGATAAAACCGCAGTCTGGAAATTATGGTTCCAATCAGAAAACCACAAGTAAGAGGTATAAAAAGCAGAGACGGTTTAATCCAAAATTCATGTCAAATGAAAACAAGACCTTGGATAGAATTCAGCAGCGAGCTTTTCGAGTTTGGGTTTTAGGTAAATGCATTTCCTGCACCAAGCTGCCATCCTACAAAATCCATGTAGCTTATCTTCACCAACCAGAAACACACACACAATAACCCCATAAGAGCCAAAGACTTGCCCTTTTCTCAAGACAACAGAAATTTTGAAATTTCACGACAACAAAGAACAAGACAGTGATGAACAATGTGAATAATCTGAGTGTAACCATCGGATTCTTGTTTCCACTGGATCGAGAAACCAAATTCTGTCTAGATTTAATTCAAAATCAATTGGAAAAATCAGGGGATCAAAATCAATCTCACCAGACAATCACAACTGATTCACCGAGCTTCTGAGCTTCCTCCATCACCTGATCGAAGTTGCTCTCGCTACAGATCGGTCCGAGCTCAACAGAAACCGGCGAGTCATCGAGCTCTTGCACGCAACCGTCCTGTTTCCGGGCATCGACTCCTAATACTCGGATTCTCTCCGATACCAAACAGATTTTCTCGGGAAAGCAAAGAAATTTGAATTTTATCCGTTGAGGGAAAGAGCTAGAGATACGACGAGGAAGCAAAAGAGAGATCTTTGGGTTTAAAGACCTCAGAGACGGTGGCAAGTTTACAATCTCTGTCATTCTCTTTCACTGAAACGTTTCTCAAAAGGACTCTCCACACAAGATTAGTATGTCAATGAAAACGTAGTCAAATATAACCGAAAAATAAACTAGTTTAGGAAAAGCCCCAAATGTTAATGGAAATATCAAGTTAACGCCCTGTACTTTTTATTATGAACAAATAAACCCATATTTAAGATTATCTGCTTAAAAAACCATAATCGAAGCTGTTTTATCTTTACAAAACTGTAACACTAAAACGCAAAAAAGGTTCTTTCAAGCTCTGTTTTCTTTCTATTTTCTCGGGCACAAGATCTGAAATGGACGAATGCTGTTCCAAAATTTTGCTTCTGAGATCGCAAGAGATGTACAAGTGTATGATTGGATTGTTGGAGTTGGGATGATCCTACCACATTTCTGTGTTTCTGTAACTGGAGATTAGTGACTTTTAACTAGCTATCTCTCGACGCAGAGAAGCTGATACCATCTTCAGTATTCCTAGTAAATGTGGGGCATAGCCATTTGATCATGTTAGGACCTAATACCTGTGAAAAGCATGAAACCATTTTATGGTCAAGTTCTTGATCAGAAATCATTTTCAAAGACACAACAGCGATGAAGTGAGTAAAGCCTTCAAGGTGGAATGACACAAAAGATACAGAACAATGCCAAGAAAGGTACCGAGGTGATGTTTTTGTAGACGCCAAGATCGAATTGATGCCGATAGCTTTGACCCGATTTTCTAGCTAACCAAGTGGCTCGCTTTGAATCATAATGCTACAAAGAAAATTTTGTCAATTGATTTGCAATAAACCGCTTACATATCATGTCTTGAAGACTGAGGGCAAGAAAATGAGGATGCATACCTCAATGGTGGTCATATTGTGTGCCATCAGGTAGATATGCCAACAAAGGAGAGTCCCAAGTGTCAAGCTTAGTCCAATCATGAAGATCCCACAAGAAACCTAAAACCATTACAAAACACTGATACAAGTAAGCTACTTAAGTAAAAAAAGCGATTCCCAAGACTTAAATGCTAAAGATGAAGAAGCTAGAGAAGAGTCGAGGAGAAACCAAACTTACAATGAAAGTTTTAAGTGGAACATTTCCCACATAGGAGTCCCCGTTCTTGAATACGCAGCAAACCAGCAACACCTAAAATTACATTCATATACATAAGATGAGTGTCTCACCTAAAAAGGAGCTCTGTAATTAGGAATTCAGAATAGGGATTGTAACGTACTGTGGAGTAGATGCAAGCCACGGTTGCATAAAACACAACAAGGAAGAAAGCTTTATAGTTTGCATAACCAACACAGTTATTTATCCAAAGGCAATGGTGGTCCTGTCACATTTGTACATTTGAAAGAAGAAAAAAACGTTACACAAAATACATTTCGATTGCAAGGTTCTGGTGAAGCTTAGAATCAAAAGTGTCAGAATTTACCAACCATCTTCAAGACACATCTTCTGCAAACTCGGCAATGGTGAGTCCGAGGAGGCTTATATGCAAAGCACTTGTCACATTTCCTTGATTCTGTAGCCTAATAAGACAGCTTAAAACCTTTATTTTTAACACCAAGGGAGAAAAAGGCGTTGACTTTCATCCATTCTTCAACAACTAAGAATCTGTTCCTCGGCTCAATAAGTGAAATTCGAAATAACAACAGACAAGACCTAACGATTCACGGGTTTATCACTGCTGGTGGTTCAAAACATCAACAAAACATAAGCCCTTGTCTTACCCTGTTCTTAAAACCTCAGCCAAACAGACATTTCAGTAAAACTTCAATACAGACAAGAATCCCCCAAATGCGTCAAAATTCAGAGGGAAAGAGGGAGCTTACGTTACTATGGGACCGGCCAGAATCCTCAACATCAGGAGCATAAGATGTCGGGACACGACCTGGATCTATGAGAACGCAAATGGAGAGGGAAAAGAGACAGAGAGACGCCAAGAAGCTGAAGAGCAAGGCGTTTAATTTCCCAGCTGAGCTTTGTAAACCAACCCAATCATCGATGAAAACGAAGAGTGTGATGTAGTACACGAAACCCATCACCAGAATCACAGAAACCACCGGGATCGACAAGAATCTCCGGCAACTCATCGCCAGATCTCTCCGTGGCTCGCGAATGTTAATTCCTCGCCCCGCCCAAAATTGATGGAAACCGAATCGAAATTCCCCAAACTGATTTAACACGTGGCAAGATATTATTCGCACTGATCCAAGTATACTACTGCGGAGATATTGGGCTTCATAGTGAGTTATTGGGCTTAAGTTTCATCACCAATTTAGACTTATATTTATGTTATTTTTCCGTAGCTTTGATTTGTAATAAGTTAATAACATACTGATTCAACTTAAGGATTTTCTTTTGAGTTCACAGATTTAAATGTGTTATGTGTGGTTTTCTAAATGGTCACAATCAATTGATACGTCAGAAAAAAATCGAAATAGTGTATACATTATATATGACATATATAGTACACTAGCTTAGATGAAGATTGTACTATAAGTGCTTAGCTACCATAAGTTCAATGTCCACCATGTGATTCGTGTCCCTCACATTTATTGGTACAACATATGCTTTTATGTGTGTCTTATTCTATTTCACTTTCGTCATTTAGGGACTGTAAAATGTTATGATTAATCACACCATTCATGAAATGTTTCATCTAAACAAGTTAATGTTCTCACCGATCGATCGATTACGTAGAATTCTAAGAATTTATTTCATAGTTTATGACATTTAAGGAAATATTTAGAATATATAAGAGCATTTACTCTGCATTTTTATATGTAATTTGTAATTTCGTATGGAAGTGGAACTAAAACCCTAGACATCATTTTCTTAGTCTATATAATACATACAAACAACTAAACAAGTGAATGTGTATGCATGAATATATGTGAACACGTACAGCCTGATTTCACCTACATTATATTCCATGTATATGAAAACTTGACCACAGCTTCAGCTTGATAGAAACTCGACTTGTTGTCCTTGAGATATAAAAGAAATTGAAATATATAATACTTTTTGCCATTACAGCCACTCAATTAGTCGTGTTATATAGAGACTCAAGCAACGTTCTAGATCAAACAAACTTTTAATGTGATAAGACTAACTCCTACTTCTTATTTTTGTGTTGTTTTATAACCAAGGGAATGTAGATAAACATAAGAGTAATCTAAATATCTTCTCTTTCTTTTTGGCAGATGCATGATTTAATCTAGATACCTATAGTGTTTTGTTGTTGACTTGTTGTTGTAATGCTATCTATATTATTTTAAGATTGTTGTTTGATACATACATAAAAGATTAACCGATATTTGTTAAGATTTTAAATCTTATAACATTCTGTTTGGTAAATTTAATATTACGGGACAACTAACGTGTGCAGAATTTTGGTTCTGGACCTTTTGGTGATATATATTTGTAGCAACCTAACTTAATAAGCGTGTTAATGAGATCGATTGATTGTGCCAATCCCAAATCACCACCAACTCTCTACTCTTGCTATTTAACTTGCCTTTCCTCAGTTATGCCAAAAGACAAACCAACTAAAAGTTGTCCTTAATTGCATGCCCTACCTGACACAATCTCTTTAGATTCTCAAATCTCGCCAATGGCTTTTTGTGGGGCAACCCACATTTTTCTTCCTTAACTTAATTAATTTATTTCATTTTGCAACCAATATTTAATCCGTTAGTGTTTTGACACGATGCATAATATATCAAGAAAATATATCAAATGTCTTTATAGCACTTTATAAATTTATAACCAAAGAGACCAATCAAATAAGAGAATTTTCAAAGGTCGGGAATTTGAATAATAACGCTGAGAACAGACTAATTAATTTAACTAGTTTTGATCCACACAACTCGAAAATTGTGGTCTCAAGTCTCAGATATATATGTTCAAGTAACCATCTAACCATATTTATGGTGCAGCTTGAGCTCTTAAAACTGGAGGGGACAGCTAACCATCTTTGGCAAGTATCAAATCGCATACGTAGTTACATAGATCTGTAAATAGTACTGTATATATGTTCACATATTTTCATAGTTGTAGATGATTAGCTCTATGTAATTCTTGTATGCGTCGGATTGCATCAACCGTTGAATTGTGGCATCATATATATAATTCTTGTATGCGTACATGTATATGTATGTACTGATGTTTGGACTAACCTTTTGATTTTCATTGTAATAGGGACTATCATTTACGGTATGCACACATATCATCTCTCTACCTACTTCTCTTGTTGATGACTACCAATTTTAATGTACTAACTTACTCAGTTCCTTTTTGTCCTACCTTTTTTCCACACAAAATTAAATATCTAGACGAAATGTGTTCACATGTTCTCTTCTTGTTTTTGTTTTAGAAATATTTAAATCGATAAGGAAGAGACAAATCTTTCTCAAGTTGAGGCGCTTGAAAACAAACTTCTGGTACAATGTACAACACACCATAATGTTTGATTTGATTTGGCATAAAAACCACATTTCTATTATAACAAAATTAGAATAATATCACAAAGCAATAGCAAGTTATAACCCAGAAATAGAAGTTGAAACTTGAAAGATTAAAAAAATATACACGACAGTCGTGTGGAGCTGAAACTATAAAAGGTCTGGGGACGAACTTTATATATTTATCATTAATAGTAACAGTTTAACAACGGTTTTTTAAATGACACTTGGTTAATTAATCGACCTGTATTCAATAACTTGTTGTTCTTGATCATCGACCGCATTACCTACAAGAACCAGATTTGAAAGGAGACTGAAGAAAATCATATATGATCCTGGAAAGATATATTGCATACAAAAAATTACATCCACTCATCAATATTCAATACCCAAGCTAAGATCAAAGACAAATCTATTAATCCATTTCATTGTAATTAACACCCTAATCCATCATTGACCATACATTAAGCAAAAATATACAACACAAAATGAATATGTGTAATATAGACAGAGCTGTAAAATATGTTTAACCACAGAAGAAAATACAGATTCTTAAAACTAATCAATAAGGAGATTTAGTTTCTTACCGGAGAATCGGAGATCCCAATATGTATATTCAGTTTCTTTCTCCATGCTTTAGGTATTTTTGTAGCCGTTCGATTGTTGATGCAGCATCATCAAGATTCTCATATGCATATCAAAAATTCAAAACCCTAATGTTTTTCAAATTCCATGTGAATCTTAATGGTGCTGCACCTACAAACAACGACTGATGAGCTTTCGATCTTCCACGGATCCGCCGAGAGCTTGTATAAACATTCACACACGACACACCCAAGGGATCGAGTATAAAACATCGTACGAATCAATTAATGGAACAAAACGGGATTTTACTGAATAAGCAGAAATAAAATCGCAGGATAAATAAGTGGAAACAGATCTAGTATATATCTTCGATCGATATCTATGCTATTAAGAGAAGAAGAAAAAACGAGGAGAAGAAGAAGAACATGGAGAAAAGCAGTCGGTGAAGAGGAAAGTGGATTGGTGAAGTAGAGAGAAGACCTTTCAAGAAATCCAAGGGCTGATGTGTCAAACTCTAAGTGGTTCCTTTCGTCATAAGAAAAATACGGAATATTCTGTTTTAGACCGTCAGAAAACAATTTTATCATTTTTAAAGGAAAAACCTAAAAAGTATAAGCGATGAATGTTAAAGAACGGAGCTAATTAGATATTTTTTCTGTCGATCCAAAGTCTCAGACCCAACAAACCAATCTTGAAACTCTATCATAAATGCATCTAGTTTTAAAGTTTTTTATTGTATGAGAAAAGAGTACGTATAAATACATAGGTTTTGTATAAGCACAAGACTAGTTGTTAGAGAGGGAGTGAGAGGGGCAAGTGAAGAAGAGGCTGAAGTGAGGTATTTATAAAGACACGCAATGGCTTAGATAATTGAACCGGACCGAACCAAAGCAAACCATATTTGTGGTTGTTTGTTGGCATTGTTCATGTCTCTAGTTTAATTGATGAAATTTTGTACATTAAATAAACTTCAAAAAATATGTAAAAACAAATACGAAAAATATCTCATGGTAAGGTCCAAAAATATTCCTCGTGATACACAATTAACCATCGACCAATTAGATATCATTAAAAAAAAAAAATACTAGATAGCCATTGACTTGGAAGTGAGCGTGTATACACGTAAAGTGTTCAAGGCAAGTTGATAAACATAGTACACTACTATATCAACAAAAAAAAGATTCCTTGTCTCCCACACTTTCACCTGATGATCATCAAAAGCCACAAGCCTAAATAAATATTAGAAAGCAGAACCACTATGCATTTTACTATTTCTTCTTATTTATATAAATAAATAAACATTACTAAATTGCTTAGTCTACTAACTAAAAATATACGTTAATGGACACCAAATATGTGCTTCGTTCTCATGGATCCCACTTAATTTGTTTTTGCCATGAAAGTGAAGTCTTTCTCCTAAAGCTGAAATTTTAATATATATTTTTATGCCTTTGCTGATGTGTAAAACTTTTTTTATATTGAAAAATAACAATTACAATCAAATCTGGAAAGAATCGTCTAAATAGTAGCAGTACTAATTACTAAACTAGATAAAATAAACCGATTAATCCGGGTCTTAGAATAAAAACACTAAATTGAATAACTGATAAAATCATGGTTATGGGCTTGATTGGTTGTGGCTTTAGCTTTGATTTTTTTGCTTTAGAATTTATGTTGTAGAATTTTTTGCTGTGATTGTAGATTTTAGTGTTGTAAGATTTTTTATTGTAGATTGTGGCATTAAATATATCATTAAAATAAAAAAATAAGTTATAGAAATAATAGATTAAAAAATAAATGTTGAAAAAATAATAAGGAAAGAGTAAAGAGAAAATTCTAAGAGCACTTAATTTTGTGCTCTAGAAAAATTGCTTTCCAAAGCCACATTAATTTCCATAAACAAAAAAAATTGTTCTGCGTTTCAAAAATGTAAAGAGATAAAATGAGAGCTTGATTGGTAATTTTGGATTGTTGTACAGAGATCTAGTGCTATGGAGAGCAACCACAACTCTTACTAATCATCCCCATATTCAACATGGTTAGAAATACTTTTTTTAAGGCATTGAATAATTGTCAGTAAAAAAGAGCTTCGCTGACAATTATTTTATTTGGGAAGATGGGTTATCTACCCATATCATGGCAGACAACCTGGTACCTTTGCATCGGTCCTCATTTTTATAGATTAGATCTGGTTTTATATTCCACAACTTCGTATTTTTCTACTTTAAATATGTCTTGACACACACATGATATAATACTATTTTTCTTCAGATTTAAGTTATAACCATTTTTAAAAAAAAATTATAACCATTTATCGTTTAAAAGAAAGTTATAACCATTCAAATAGATGGTCTATTAGGTAAACACCGAGTAGAAATCACAATGTACCATATGTCTTATTCAATTTGTTGGAATCCCTTGGAATGTATATCCAAGTGGTACTGCTCGGGATATGGTTGTACAAAAACTTTGTTTTCGCGAATTGTAACAGCGCATTTTAGTGATTCTAAAGCAAACTTAATCTAAAGATTTAAGTTTTGAATATGTTTTTTAGCCTTGTTTCTTTTTTTCCATCTCGCTTAACTAATGATCGTAAGGTCAATTACATGTTTTCACATGGGAACATGGGTGTTGGTAGTTTATACTACTGTATAACTAATTCAAATGACTTCGTTGTTATTTGTTTGGAACGGTATCATTTTTTTTATTGCCACACACGCGAAGACCGTGGAGAAAATGCGAAAAAAAATTTACGATCAAATTGTGATATTTATTTGATCACAGTGTTTAGCCGTACGTCACGGACTCAAGGTATTTCTCCATAAAATCTGGAGTCCATTTTATATCAAATCTATATTTAAAGGATCAAAATACTATCGGACATTTTTGTTTCCCCATCAGTTGAGAAATCACATTATCGTAAAGCACCTAGAATAAGTTCATTCGCCTTTGTAAACATACAATTTAAGCCTTTGAAAAGTTTCCTGTAAAAATGAGAAAATTTCGTAAACCTGGATTATAAGTTTATAATTAAAACCCATCCTATAACTGATTTAGGAAGACTGACACATTTTTGGTACTTTTAGACTTTAATTTTTTTAGCAGTGTTTCTTTTAATAAACAAAACAGCACTTGAGAACTGGAAAAGAAAAATCTATGATAACAGGTGTATGTACTGGCCATGAAATGAATACAGTTCCTCTAGATTGTTTTGCTCCAAAACTATGGGCTGCTTAAAAGTGATTTTATTAATCAATGTCTGATTAGGTCATCTAGATCATCGTGACTTGGATCTCACGTGGAAATGGAATCAAGCTTCTTGGTTATCTTATTTTACTTTTAAAATTTTAAAGTAATGTATTTCTCAACTAAAAATATTCGCACGTATTTTTTTGTGCATGGTCTAAAAACCCGGCACTTTTGTCTGTCATCTCGTTAGAAGATGTATGAGCTTAACCGAATAAACGAAAGAGATATTTCTGGTCTATGAGCTTAACCGAATAAATTTCGTTTGGTCTCCGTCAAGAAAAATGGGCCTGGGCCTGGGCTTGGGCTTATTACGATGGTGATTTTAGGCACTTGCTACTTTCCATGTAGCGTAGCAACCTCAACCACCACCGTTTTAGGGTTTCGTCTTGTCATTAATTTTTGAGAGGCGAAGGAAACAATACGATTCAGATAACAGTTCTCGAAATTCACAGTTTCGTTAACAAGAGGAAGAAAGAGGTAAGACGAATCAATTCGTTTATTACCTCGAATTTTCTCGGGAAGACGAATTGTTTGGGATTTTGAGCTTCTAAGTTTTGCTGGCTTGTTGGAATTTTTTTTGTTCGTTTACCTGATTACTGCTCGTTTCAGTTAACAGACGAGCAATAATGGCTGCGAAAGAAGGAAGTAGGATCTTCGTTGGTGGTTTATCGCCGGAAGTGACAGAGAGAGACCTTGAGCGAGCCTTTAGCCGTTTCGGCGACATTCTCGATTGTCAGGTACGACGATCTTAATTCGATTGATTTCTTCCTTAGAGATGTTTTTCTATAGAAAATTGAAGCTTTCTGGGTACTCGTGGGTACTTGTAAGGTCTGATTGCTGATAGAATTTGGAGTTACTCGTTGTCAATTTGCTATTGCTCATCTTGAAAATGACGATTGTACAAATAAAAACAGATATGTGTGGGAATTTGTTAAAATTCTTAACTTGAATTACCCCTTTTTTCAGCTATTGATTGTCTTTTCTTTTGTTTCCTGGATGCCGGTAATGTGTTACTGAAACACTGTAGATTGATGAGTTAGGGATGACATTGATCAGAGCTACATGGGTCAAGTTGAGAAACTGCTCTGTGATAGAGAATAAAACTGCCTGAGAATTTAGGAAATACAGTAGTGTTTGAGTCTCTGAGAAAAATGATTTGAACAGTTTTGGAATTTGTTTCACGAAGTTGGGACTGTGGTAACAGGTTACTTCAGTTTCTTCTATCTAGAAGAATGTTCTTTCTTTTGGAAAGAAGACTGTCTTTTGTTACTCATGATTGATCTGCGTAATCTTTGACTTCTCTTTGTATGAACACTGGGTTATCTCTTCCTTCCTGCTGTTCTTATATTCTGAGTGGAGATCCTGGTTAACCAGCTTTAGGAAGAAGCACTTGCGTTTTTTCTTAAAATTTGTTAGCTGGGCTGATTTGGGTTTTGAGTGGTGAATTCAAGACGCTACCCAGTTTAGGCTAGTGTCACCGTTTTACATCTCAGCTGTCTTGCTGCAAGATTTCATTCCTTCTTGATACCTTGAGCGTCAGTGCTAGCAGTTTAGGTACTTCAGCTGGTACGAACTGTAGAATGGAAGATAAGACTCGGCTGAAGCAGAGATCTCAAGAGACTACTCTCCGTTTGTTATCGCAGAACTCCTACTTGTCTTTCTTGTCAGCTGTTTGCTTTTACCATCACCCCACTTCTCATTCCCTGTGTCGTTAGTAGGGGTTACATGGATTTCATCTTTTCCTTTCATTCTTTTCTTCTTCTTCAAGCCTAACAGATGTCCTAATTTACAAATGCAAGCCCTTCAAAGTGATTTTCTAGTTCCACCAACCCAGTTCTCTGCTCTTATCTGAGATCATAAAGTTGTTTTTCTGAGATGGGATTCTGTACTTCTGATCTGTGTGGCTGTGGCGCTATGTAAAGAGTTAACGGCTCCAGTGGATCTGAATGACTTCAGCTGGATCTACGTTAGATGATATCTGCATATTGAGAAGAAACAGATGTTTGATCAGGAATGATATGTACAGCTAATTCAGTGACTGCCTTCTGTCTGTTCAACTTTCTCTCTTTAACTTAGTAAATTGCCTGGCGGTTGAGAATAGGAATTAGCTATCAGACTGTTTAAAGGGCATTAGTTCATGGAGTTGTCATTTTGGACTGAATTGTTAGCTGCTTCAGTTTCTGGGGATCTCTAGTGTGTTTTGCTCTGAAGTTGAGTTTATATTGACAATTTGACTGCACAAAAGAGAGGGTCAGTGTTATGCAGTGAACCTTAGAACAGATGGGTGTTTCTTGATGTCACATGGGCTTGATATGATCTTTCAGATTTTGCATTCGTTTCATTTCCTTCTGCACAGTTTCTAGCATACATCTTTGGGAAATCAGCTTTTGTGGTGTGTTGTGTATAGATCATGCTGGAAAGAGATAGCGGTCGTTCACGTGGATTTGGGTTTATCACTTTTGCTGATCGCCGGGCTATGGACGAGTCCATCAGAGAGATGCATGGAAGGGACTTTGGTGATCGGGTCATCTCAGTGAACAGGGCTGAACCGAAAATGGGGAGGGATGATGGGGAAAGTCATGGCTCTAGAGGTGGCAGAGACAGTGGCTATTCATTTGCTGGTAAAGGAAGCTTTGGTGGAGGAGCTGGTGGAGGTGGCCGTGTTGGTGAAGATGAATGCTTCAAATGTGGACGAGTTGGGCACTGGGCCCGTGATTGCCCGTCTGCTTCTGGTGGTCGTGGCGGACCTGTTGGTGGTTATTCTTCCCGTTCTGCTGCGTTTGGAGGATCTGATGGGCGTGTGGACCGTTATGCTGACCGTGACCGTTATGTGGAGCGTGAGCGTTACGTAGATGATCGGTATGATGGTGCTGCACGCTTTGGTGCTAGAGACAGGTTTGATAGCAGAGAACCCTACATACCCCGCGATCGATACGCCAGTGACAGGTCAGATTTATGTTGCTCTCTAAAGTTTTCAAATTTACTTGCTTTGTTACGTAACTTTAATCAAAGTCTGATATATGTTGTAACAGGTATGCAGCCCCGGCTGATCGGTTTGCAGGTGGCGATAGATACAGCCGTGGATCAGACCGTTACCCTCCAGCGAGTTATGACAAAGCTCGGTCCTTTGAGAGAGACTTAGTCCCAAGTGCAGGCAGTGACAGGTACGGTGGTGGTAGAGCTGGTGGTCCCGTACGTGGAGGAGACGAGGGAAGAGGGTTTAGAAGCAGAGCCAGTGGTCCTTATGAGAGGCCGAGCCGAAGCGGTGGCGGTGGTGCTTATCCGTCGTCCTCAACTTTTGACCGTTACTAAGTCATGAATGAAATAGTGAGTGATACTTGGTTGAGGTTATATACACTCGCTCTTGTGTGTGTGGTACTGTATCTCTGTAAGCGTTCTTAGGTGTACCGACTTTATAATATTAGTTTGGAGAACTGCTAAGCTCTGTATTTTGATTTTTTTTTCTTCTTCTTGTGTTTGTTATCGTACATCGCCTGACTTTGGGCTTCGAGTTTTACTTTAGAGTTGAACATTGCATACATATTAGCCTTTTATCTAGTTTTTGATTATCCAAAGTTTAAAAGAGTGTCCTAAGTCTATCCAAATCGAGGGTGAAAAACATAAATACGAAGTAGCTAGATCGTCAAACCATGCTTACCGGACGTCCGGACACAAATCATACTTACCGGACACTGATTTTCATATGCGAGAGGGTAAAACCATAATATGGATTTAGAAGAGGGGTCATTCCATAACTAAGGGACAAACAGAGGGGTAACAGTCATAAATATGAAACAGTCAGAGGGTAAACTCATAAATATGAACTAACCAGGGGGGACAAACATAATAACAGTAGAAACCACCGAGTAACTGTGAATAAATAGTTACGGATAAACTGAGTATATGAAATAGTTTAGGGTAAAATCATAAATATGTACTAACCCGAGGGTACACGACAAACTGAAGTTTAAGTCGTAAATATGAAGCAGTCGGAGGGCAAAACCATAAATATGAACCAATCTGAGGGCTGCAAAATTATGAACTAATTTACCAGTCAAATTGCTACAGATTATGAAACTGTTGATGTTGGATAATGAAAAGCCGAGTAAAAACCGCAGTCAAAAGTCGAAACATGTCATCACATCACGCATAAAACGTTCACTCTGCTTTTCTTCTCTCTCAAATTGTTCACTCTCATTGTAGCCCTAAACCCACCGCGAAGATGGATCGCAAGGGTAAGGGAAAGCTGGTTGCCGGAACTGGATCGTCCTCCTCCCTCGGAAAGAAGAGGAGCGGAGGAGTCGAGTTCAGAGATGAAGGCCTCAGGATTAATACGGATGGAGCTCCGACGAAGAAACAGAAAACCCCCGGGATTCTTCAGTTCTTCGAGGAATCCGCCGAGGTCGGTTACTATGGAGGGAGCTCCGACGAAGACTGTGATGTAGATGACTTTCTCAACGGTAATTTGTAATTCATTTTCCCTGGTTTCGTTGATTTTCTTCTTGCATGTGTTCATTGCTTCGTGATTTTCCGTTTCGTCTTTTGTGCTGACTCCGATTTTCGTCACATTTGATGATTTATGTCTGATTTCGTCCGCACTGAGATTAAAATGGCTAATTTTTTAGACTAGGGTTTGTATTTGAGCTATGCTTTTGTTTGAACCTCGAGCTGTTTCGTCCATTTTAAAGGTTTGCGCACTCTTAAAGGCTTAAAGCCAGAAAAGTTCACAAATTTCCCCTCTTTTTCTGATTATTTGAAGCAGATTTCGATGATGAGCCGGAGGTGGAGGCAAGTGGTAAGGATGACAAAGTGAAAACGGGCAACTCTGCGTTTTGCGTTCCTAAGGAAGAGGAGATCAACGAGGAAGAATTTGATAGAATGATGGAAGAAAGATACAAACCTGGTTCCGGGTTTATTAGATATGCAGACGATGATGTGAAAAGTTCTATCGAGATGGATGCTCTTGTTCCAACTGCCCAGGATCCTCCAATATGGAAAGTCAAATGTGTGGTATGTTATGCAAAGTGTTCTACTTTAGCTTTAACCCCAATATGGTATTACTTCTGCTGACTCCATTTGTTTTTTGCTTGTAGATTGGACGGGAGAAGCATTTGGTGTTCTGTCTCATGCACAAGTTTGTCGAGCTGCGAAAGATAGGCACCAATCTACAGATCTTATCTGTTTTTGCTGTGGATCATGTCAAGGGTTTCGTTTTCATAGAAGCTGAAAAGGAACATGATCTTCTCGAGGTATTAAACATTTAGCATTGTCATGTTGGAACAATGTTGTACCTCTCTGACAGTATGTTGGAGGTAATCATAACGTGTATGTATGACACTCTGATTTGCCTTTTCTCTTAGGCATGTAAGAGCTTAACTGGTATCTATGCTACTCGGATGGTGTTGCTTCCTAAAGCTGATGCTCCAAATCTGCTTACTGTCCAAAGAAAAACCAAAAACGTTGTTGAGGGAACATGGGCTCGTGTTAAGGGTGGTATATACAAAGGAGATCTTGCTCAGGTACAAATTCTTTTGCTTTACATGTTTCGTTTACAGCTTGTTGTCTTCGTAAGGCTACCTAAGCAGTTTATGCTTTATATTCTTGTAGGTTGTGGCTATGAGTGACTCTAAGAACAAAGCACTAATAAAGTTAATTCCAAGGATTGATGTCAATGCATTGACCCAAAAATATGTAACTACTCTATCTTCATGCTCATTTATTTGTTTGTGCCCAAAGTTTTGCCACTGTTTTATTTGTGTGTGTTCATGTCATCTCTTCTCTATATGTGTTTTAGCTTATCAGTTGCTTTGCACTTTCTCACTAACTTTCTTTCTCAGGGTGGGGGAGCTTTCGTCCAAAAAGGCCTGACTCCAGCTCCAAGATTGATCAGTTCAAGCGAGCTTGAGTAAAATGCTTGATCTTTTTTCTTTTTCTAGTTTGGTAATATCATTACCAAGTTTCTAATACATCTGGTCTCCTTTTTCGTCACAGGGAATTCAGACCTCTCATTCAATCTAGGCGTGATCGTGATACTGGAATGACTTTTGAGCATCTTGATGGCCTGATGCTGAAAGATGGGTTTCTATATAAAAAAGTATCCTTAGATTCAATATCATCCTGGGGTACTAAACCATCAAAGGAGGAGATACTAAAATTTGCGCCTGTAGAGCGAAAAGAATCTGGTGATACAGAGTGGATTTCTGAAATATATGGTGAAGAAAAGAAGAAAAAGATTCGTCCAGCTGGTAAAGGGGTTGGAAAAGGAGAAGGTTCACCAGAATCTGACTCAGGAAGTAGCTATGAGTTATATAATCTAGTTTGTTTCAGGTATGTAGTCGTCCATAACTGTGGTTATCTGTGAGTAGTTTTTGTTTTTGTTATTTCATATGCTAAGCACTGCGTCCCTTTCCCTTTGTAGTCGAAAAGACTTTGGTCTGATTGTGGGCGTGGATGACAAAGGTGACGCTTACAAGGTATGTAGTTAGCTATTCAACATCTCATATTACCATATGGTCTCTCTCTGATGAGTCGTAAATTTTTACAGGTTCTGAAAGAAGCTTCTAATGGTTCGGTTGTAGTCACTGTTGGGAAAAAGGAAATGCATAATGAACCATTTGATTCAAAATTTACTGCCTTGGATCTGAATAACAAACAGATATCAGTTAATGATGTTGTGAAGATTTCCAAAGGCCCATCTGAGGTGTGATTTTTTTTCATTTCTCATCCTTTAATGTTTCTGTTGCGCTTTTTTTCCACATAATTAGGCGAACAAACTTGTGTAAAAGCTTCTTACTTTTCATGTTTAAAATACTTATTCAGGGTAAACAAGGAGTTATAAGGCAAGTGTACAGAGGGATCATATTTCTGTACGTTGAGGGTGAGGAAGAAAACGGTGGATATTTCTGCTGCAAATCACAGTCATGTGAGAAAATTAAAATCTCTACGGATGAATCTAATGAGAAGGTAAGATAGCCCAGTCCCTGAAGTCATCTTTTGATACAATATCTAAATGTTTATGTTCTGATGACATTCTGTTTTTTTCTCAAGACTGGTGGATTTGATGCTTCAGCTTTTGGAGATTTTGCATCCTCCCCAAAATCGCCACTAGCTGCTGAAAACGAGTGGCAGCCAAAGGGAAAATACATAAACTGTATGTATGGAGAGTTATTATAATCTAGCTTCTATTAATCCCTTTAGGCTTCTCACGAATGATTATCAAATGCAGCCAACCAAGGAGACAGGGGTAGCATGTATTCTATAGGCCAGAAGCTGAGGATACGTGTGGGTCCATTGAAAGGGTATCTCTGCCGTGTAATAGCTTTACGCTATTCTGAAGTTACAGTCAAGCTTGATTCCCAGCATAAAATTCTGACAGGTTTGTTTTCAGGCGTGCACACATTTTTTTCAATACTGTTCTGCTATACTCTGAATATTTGCAATGATGCATTTCAGTTAAAAGTGAGCATCTTGCTGAGGTTCGCGACAGAAATACTATGACAAGGTAAGCTCCCATGAATCTCCTTAAAAATACTGCTCAGACTCTTTTCTTCCTCCATGTATCTGTATCATTCATTGCCCTTTCTGTCAAATGCTAACTTCTCTTGCACGCTGTCTGTTGCTATTTTAGTGGGAATGTGGGGACTGGTTCCTTTCCACCTTTTGACACGAATAGAACAGAAGGCAGCTCTGGAGGTTGGTGTTTCTTGTGCACGTTCAAATTTACTTTTAGTTTGGCAGCCGGCTTTGAGCTTAAATGCCATGAAGCATTTGAACATTTGCAAGATATTATAATCCTTTCCAGTCCTTATTTTATGTGCGTAGACATCTTATTCCCTTCTAACTTTTCATCTTTCTCGTTTGTTAGACTGGACGAAAGGAGCAGGCACGTCAGAAGAGGGTGGTAACTGGAATGTAGGAGGCGCTTCTTCTGATTTGTAAGTCTATTTTCCCTGTCTCCTTGGTTTCGATTGAAATCTCCTCGTATTTGAATCTAGTTCATTCAGATTTAATTGCTGGGATTTAAACAGACTATAGGCTTGATAAACTTTCTTTATCCGATATTTGTCTTGCATCCCGCTGTGATTGGTTTTTGTTTTATTCCGCTGCAATTCATCATTGTTTATAGATTTGAGGCAGGAGTGTGTCAGTATTGAATGTGTCACGGTTTGACTATGTCTTGAGAATTATTTTGAAGATAGTGATATGATTTTTTCTTACTGAGTTGATTTGTTCCTATATCGCTGTGCTGAAATTTTGATTCATGTCCTCATTACAGGAGCGCGTGGGGCAGTAAGCCTACGTCTGATGACTCGGTAAATCGTATTTTTATGCTGTTGCTTTTATACATACACCTCTTTTTAGCTTCAAGGAGCGAGAGGAACTCGCAGATTCTTAATGTCACAAGGGTTCTGACTTTGCAGTCTCAGCAGCAAACAGTGCCAGATGGTAACACTTCATCGTGGGGCAACGCAGCAGCTGGGAACAAACCTGCCTCTGCTGGTGATCAACCTGATAGTTGGAATTCGTGGGATAAAACACCTGCTGCTGAAGCTAACGCTGTTGGTGGGTGGGGAAGTGCAGTTGCTTCAAAAGTGGAAGCTTCTTCTTGGGGAAGAGCTTCTACTTGTAATGCTGATGATTCAGGTTCTTGGAGTAAGCATGGAGGCACTGATGGTAACAAACAAGACGAGGACTCAGGATGGGGTAAACTAGTTACTGAATCGAGTCAGAAGAGAGAAGAATCTTCTTGGGGTAAGAAAGTGGCATCTGAATCTAACACTTCCTGGGGACAACAGGACGAAGGCTCTCAGGGGAGCAAGGGAGGATCTGCTTGGGGTAATCAAGATGGAGGATTCGGTTCAGAGGAGAAAAAAGATGGCTCTTCTGGTTGGAATAGGCCAGCAGAAGATTCCAATGCCAATAGTAAAGGAGTTCCTGGCTGGGGTAAACCAGATGATGGAGGACCTTCGTGGGGGAAAAAGGACGATGGAGGACCTTCGTGGGGAAAACAGGATGATGGAGGATCCTCGTGGGGTAAAAAGGACGATGGAGGACCTTCGTGGGGAAAAAAGAGTGACAGTAATAAGGATGATGGAGGATCCTCGTGGGGTAAAAAAGATGATGGAGGATCAACGTGGGGTAAAAAGGATGACGGAGGTTCTTCTTGGGGTAAAAAGGATGACGGAGGATCTTCTTGGGGTAAAAAGGATGACGGTAATAAGGATGGCGGAGGATCATCATGGGGTAATGGAGGATCCTCGTGGGGTAAGAAGGATGATGGAGGATCCTCGTGGGGTAAAAAGGATGACGGAGGATCTTCTTGGGGTAGAAAGGATGACGGTAATAAGGATGGCGGAGGATCTTCATGGGGTAATAAGGATGGCGGAGGATCTTCATGGGGTAATAAGGATGGTGGAGGATCGTCATGGGGCAAAAAGGAGGATGGAGGGTACTCGGAACAGACATTTGATAGGGGAGGACGTGGGTTTGGTGGTAGAAGAGGAGGAGGTCGTGGTGGTGGCAGGGACCAGTTTGGGAGGGGAAGATCATTCGGTAACTCTGAGGTTAGTTTGATAAAAATCTTTTCAATCTTGTTTTTGAAGATATATGTTGAAGTCTAAAATATTTGTAACTTTCTAATGGTTGTAGGATCCCGCTTCATGGAGTAAACCAGGTGGCGGATCTAGCTGGGGCAAGCAAGACGGTGGTGGAGGTGGTTCAAGCTGGGGTGGTAAGCAGAACGATGGTGGTGGTGGATCTAAACCGTGGGAAGAGCAGAGTGGTGGTCGTGGGTTTGGTGGTGGAAGAAGAGGAGGGGGATTCCGAGGAGGTTTCCGCGGAGGTAGAGATGGAGGACGGTCGTTTGGTCGTGATCAGGCACCTGGCTGGAAAAGAGACAATCAAGAAAGCACTTGGAAGAGCGACCAAAGTGGTGGATCCGACTGGAAGAAAGGGTGGGGAGAGGATTCAAACACTCCAAAGCCTTCCATCGTTTCAGCCTCTGCGGGAAACTGGCCTAGCTGGGGTACTAACACCAAGAAAGAAGTCAGTGACAAACCGGGAAACGATAGCAAACCAGCTTGGGGAACCGGTAACGATCAGGGGGATACCGGAAACAACAACAGTGACGGTGGTTGGAACAAAAAGCCATCCGGTGATGTCAAATCGAGCGGAGAAGCTGATAACGCATGGGGCGCTAAAACAAACTCAGAGGCACCGTCATCAAGTGGCTCTGCGTGGGGAACTGGAGACAAAACATCTGGTTGGTAAAATAAAATTATCCTGAAATGACTTTCGTAGTCTTCTTGTAAGTAGAAAAAAACTCAAGTCTCTGTCTTAGCCGTAACTCTAAAAGTCCAAAGTCTAGTTTAACGCCATGACTCATGAGGTGTCTTTTCTTTGTTTAGCCTTTGGGCTATCTCTTTTTTACCCTCGATGGTCGATACTCTTCGGTGTCTGTTATTGTACTTGGGCTGATTTTGTAGCTGTTTTAACTTTTGGCATATCGGAGTTTTCATTTTCATCACGTTTTCTTATCTTTTATGAATGCTTACCAATTATATTGTTCTGACGCATCACAGCTTAATTTATATTTCGAATTGAAACAGCATTTTTCTTGTGTATAATTAATCAATAACTGAATTGAAAGAAGACAAAAAATTGAAATAGGAAGAAGATTAGCTTCTTGAAGCTGACTTGACACCTAACTTAAGTAGTCACCATTTCTTTGATCACAACAATAGTAACAGAAATTCGAGAAAAAAAAAAAGACAATCAAAAAAATAGTACATACACTATGTGAAGATTCTCCAGCCAATTGATAAGCCCCAATTTGGGACCAAAAAGGTTGAGCCATCAAAACAAGAATAAAAATATTATATATATTTCCTCCATATTCTACAACTTGCAAATGCGTGTCTACCTATATATATGTATGTATATTCGCTTTTAAAAATGTTTTTGAACCCACAAATATGAATGATAACCTTCTTTAACCAGTGATGAAATTATCATCTCGTATGGTGTGGAAAATAATACCAAAGTAAAATGATAGTGAATAAAATCGACCAGACTTGTTCCGGCCTCAGAGCCGAAGCCGCACTGCTATTGCTACCGAATATCATTGAGAAAAGACCACCATCGCTATCGCTGCTGCCGCCACCGTCACCAGCACCGGGTCCACCTTTACTGTAACCTCGTGTGATGGTCCCACCTCCGGGAAAACCTCCTCCTTGGCCGTTTCTCCCACTACACCACCAAACCAATAATATATATATAATTTTCGTTGTGAATGTGTTCTGTCAAAAGATACTAACAGTGACGTGCGACTTTGATCAAAATGGACGAATCAATGTAAAAGTTCAAAAGGAAGAAAAGTAAAGACGAGAACAAGTTGCTCCATCACATGTGTGCTTCAAGGATTAATCTAATTTCCTAAGTTAGGCAGCTATACTATCCAGCAACTCCGTATGTATTGGTTAAGTAGATAACCGGTAAATAAGTAAATTAAAGTAGTCTGACAAGGAATATCGAACTTTTGAAAGCACGACGGCTAAGGGAATCCTTCAAACATACTTTACTTTTACAAAAGAGGGTCAAATGTTAAAATGTTAATAAATTTATTATTCATAAAAGATCAAATGCAACGCCAAGTAGGTCCTGGAGATGCACATATATGAGATGTATATGACTGTTCACTCCACATCTAAGTAGATGTAGATCGAATCTATATAATATATAATCTCCAAGATGATCCCTCTAGGTTTCGTGTTTTTTGCTGGAAAGATGACTCAATAAGGGAATATGTTACGAAATATGAACCCGTATGTATATATATTCCTTATCATCTATCCTTTTGATTAGAAAGTCAGTTTTATTGGTTCTTTTGATCCGATCGTCAAACCCATTGTGTTTTCACACCTTGAATGCGTGGAAAACTATTTCGTAAGGAAATGAATCTTTTTTTAGTATTTTTTAATAAAAGTTTCTTCAAGTTTGTGGGGTTTTGGAAATATACCAAGCTGCTAAAGAATGAAGCACTAAACCCTATATTTGTGAAGAACTTGCTAATAAGGACATGAATCTTTTTCTTTAATAATGATATCTATATGACTATCGTTGTTGAGATTTAAAGATATACCATATCTTCAAATAAAGAGAACCACAAAACCCTAATTTGGTGAAGAAATGCTTATAAGGAAATGAATATTTGTAATAACTCGCTTTCATTGTTTTTTGCATGTAGAAGAGGAAATACGACAAAGCCTCAAGAAAAGCATATACAGTAGACGCCATAGAAAGGGGTTTTGGGTTTCTTTTTAAAATCGTTTAGAAGTTTAGATCTCTGACCCACGCGCTTGGCACATGTGGGAATGAGATTAATATTAAAAAGGAGATTGAGCGCAACTTTTTCTGAACATGAAAAAAGAGAATGGTTTTATGCATGTTCATGTTAACGTCATGGTTTTCTTTGTTGCCATTTCGGAATTGTCGTAACACTTTGGTGTGTAACTCACTAACTTCTTAAAATCCAAAACCTTATGATATGCATCTACAGTCAGAAACAGTTCACGTTTCTATTTCTTGAAAAAAGTTTTACCTTTTGCGTCAGAAAAGTAGAATTTGGCTAAAAGTAGTTACTGACATAATTATTTTAGTGAAGAGCTCAATCTTTAAATTTTGAGAAAACTCAGGCAGGTAAAGCCGAAATAGTAGTAATAAAAACAAAAATAACAAATAAACCATAGCAATATGAAAAATACCACAAACCAAAATTACTTTAAGAATAGCAATCATTCTTGTAATTTAATGCTGAAAATAGCACCAACTTTTCAAAATTCTCACAAATAATGAAAGAATAAGGTATGTGTTTCTAAGAATGATACTAAATAAGATAAAAAAATAATAAAATATTGATGCTGTTTTCAATAATCAGAGTATAGAATATTTTTTTCAAAAAATCCTAATTTAGAAAAAAGAATTCAATAAAGAATAGAGGCAAAACCGTGATAAGAAAGATGCTAGTTTGAGTGGATGAGGCAATACTAGAGTAGATAATATAATACCTGGGGTCGCCGAAAACGCCGGCATTGACCGTTAGTTGATCAATGATTGCGGCGGCTTTCGCCTGAACACTGGTGGCTCTCGCGTAGGCAGGACTCACTCCGTCACCTGACGGCACAAAAAACGCTCCGTTAACCATCACGTCTCCATCCGTTCTCCAGTTCCATTTCCCCCAGTGATTCTCGTTTGTCTCCACGCGCTTCGTCACCTATCACAAATAACATAATGAGTGAAAAACACTCGATGCTAGAGCGCGTACGTGACATAAAATTTCATTTGTGACGGTGTTAAAGCCATGACGACAAAAAATGCAAATCGGCAAATAAGACTTTAATCAGCGCGTGAGATAGTGGGCCCACATATCAGACAAGCCAGATAAAATTCACCGGCCCCACAAATTACATATCCAGTTCTAAAGAGAACTATGTTCAGCTTTTGCAAAAAATTTAAAATCTAAGAAATTCGGGAGAAAAAAAGGTTTTGAATTCAAGACCCTGTTTTCGGATAAAAGAAAAAACAGCCAAAACAAAACGTTATATTTTGAAAATGCATTTTTGAAAATAATATCTTACCTCTTTGGCATTGGGATCAATAGGTGCGGTGTAACGGTTGCCCTGACTATTGATCGTAGGGTTAGCACTTCCGCCGATTGCATACATTTCCCAAGCCGTGAAATCATTGTTCACCACGTGGATATAACCGTGCCTACACCGTGGCATCCTCTGAACAAGCCCCTCACCGAAATGGTTGAATGCAATTGTCACTTGCATCCCCGAGTCCGCTGTGTACCTTTTAGTACAATGGTCATGATCAAAAGCCACAAATTTGGGTTAAATTGATCAATCCGAAAATGTTACGCTTAATTGAAAGAAATATGAAAATAAGGGGCTTTTATTGGAAAAAGTGGAAATAATTACCGGTCGTCGTGACCCAAGAGCATAACCTCGTCGTGCTGATAGAAATAGTTGTTTGAAATCGTGACGGCGGTGGATGCGAGAATGACGTCGATGAGTCCGTCGGCGCAGTATCCGAGAGAGCAGTGATCGACCCAAATGTGATGCGAAGCCGAGACTGAGATTCCATCTCCGTCGGAGACTCCTCGGAACCCGACGTGCGTCGGCGACGAAGCGACCAAAGTGTTGCCAGAGGGTTTGCAATGGTGAATGTGGACATTGTGGATAATGACGTGGCTCACCTGCTGGACCGTGAGGCATCCGTGGCCGGTGATTTGGATATTCGTGCCTCGTCCGTCGATCGTCTTGTAGCTCCCGACGATGAGCTCGTGTTTGAGATTGATTCCCATGTCGCCGGCGAAGACGATCCAGAGAGGTTCCGGCTGGATCACGGCGTGACGAAGGGTTCCGGGAATTGGGTTCGCCGCGTCATTGTCGGAGGAGTCGGTGACGAGGTAAAAGCGACCGCCTTTACCTCCGAGCGTACCTTGTCCGAAGCCGATTGAGCAATCGGCGAGTCGTTGGCGATTTTCCGACCAGTTTGGATCGCAACGCCAGCAATCGTCGATTGGGTTCCCGGTGATACAAGAAGGTATTGGCGCCGACGCCGTCGTGTCGTCGTCTTGCTGGTAAGTGAGGAGATTTCTTCTGAAGAGAGACTCGTTGAGTTTCCTGCATTTGAAAACAGAGAATGTCGAAATTTACGAAAAAAAACAGAGGAGACGATGTCTGTCTCTGTTTTACTGGAAAAACAGAGGGGTTTTACTCAAAAGTCTCAAAACCCATTCAAGAATTTTGAGCAGACTTTTTAAAAGATTGAAGTTGGAATAATTGAGAATGAGAAAGATGGAAGAAAAGTAAGAGAAATGTTATACCTTTGAACGTCAAGAACAACATGTTCAGGGAATGGGTGTTGGTGTGGGAGAGAAAGATTGAAGGAAGATGTTGAGGTTAAGGTTGATGAAGAAGATGCTCGTCCATGGTGAGAGAGAGAAAACAAGAGGCAAAACCATATAATGCAAACGCATGTTGGATTTTGAGGATTTTGGATCCTCTTATGAGCCGCCACCATTATAACCTTCTCTTATTTCTCTCTCTCTATCTCTTTATCTCTTCTGAAAAAGACCAGCAAAATTAGAAACTCAAGTTCCTTAAATACGGTTTAATGGGGAATTGTGCAAATTTGGGTTATACAATAAACAAGAGTCAAAAGAGAATATATTTGTGTTTCCTTCCTATCTCTCTCTCTATGGTTTGTTTCAAGTAGAAGAAAAGAAGTTTAGAGAGAGGAGGTATAGTGCGTGAAAGGGACAGAGAATCCTTAAAGAGATTAAAAACTCTTTCTCTCTCTCTTTCCTCTAATCTGATTCTTACTTTTGCAATAGTGACTCAGTTAACTTGCATCATCACCCAATCATCTATCTACACATCCCTCTCCCTGCAACAATCTTTCTATGGATCCTAATTGTCATCAAACTCGGGACAAAACTATATAAACTTGTTCGAGATTGTAGTTTTCGCTAAGTAATAGTATAATAAAAAGCATTGTTACCACGAAACGAAACTCTAATGCAAGATGGAAATTAAGAATACTCACTGTGGAAGATTGTCGTTCGATTTGGGCGGCGCACAAGGGCAAAAACTTGTAAAGAATTTGTCCAAAACTCAGAAGGACAGAGTTGTTCTTGAAGACGATCTTTATGGGAATCTGGCTTAGAAAGTAGGAAGGGAATTTATCCTTTTCAGTCACAAATGGAAATATTTGTTTTGCAATATTTGTCACAAGTGTAAACTTGACATTTTTGTAAAATCTACTTAAAATTTCTTTAATTGTTTTGTGCGTGTGTGTGTGAAAATTTCGTTATATAAAAAAAAAAAAAAAATGCAGAGAGTAGTATATGATTGCTTGAAACGTTCTTTTGGCTATGAGATATAGAAATTTAAGAGGTTCCAAAACTCTGTTTACAGAATTTGAGTATAGTTTTTGCAGGCTTGGGAACAGGATTGAAAACCCACTGATATTCTTGATCGGCTTATCTGCTTGATCATCCCGTCACTTTTATCACAGATTCATACATGGTTCCTCTTTCTTCTATGTGTGTCTGAAACTATGTAGGCCTTTTAAAAATCTGAACTTAGCTCTTGAAATGCTCTCAAAAGCAAGGTGGCTTACTTACTACTAACTACTAAGATATAAGAGTTGCTTTTTCTCAGTGCTTTGACAGCTTTGGAGCGCATTTCGGTTTGTGTCTTCAAGATTGGAAACCAGAGCTGAGGATAGCTTGAGCAGTAAGTTGTAATACATTGTAAGGCCTTGGCAAACCTTGTTAGCCGTTTTTTTTTTTTGCTCGTTATACATTTTATAAATGCTTTTGAATTGGCAAGACCATTATGAAGTAATTTGAGAGAGATTGTGGGCAAAGGAAAACAAGATAATATAAATCCCAAGACAATAGTCCGGAGGGATAATATATAGAGAGACAACAACAAGGGACAAGAGAGCTAGAGCTTAGTGGAGAGGAGCAAGCCACATGGAGTCAGGGGTAGTGGAGTCGGTGAGGTGATGGAGAGTCTGGGAGGCGAGGTCGAAGAAGCCCAAGCCAGAGTCAGAGCTTCCAAAGTAGACAGAGTTTGGGTGTAGGCCAGGATAGTCAGTAGCAGAGACGCAAAACGCCTCGTTCTTGTCCCCAAGGAAAATGCAGAGGTCGCCAATGTCGCGTGTGTGACGACTCTTGCGGAGATCATGGACGAGGAAACTACTCTCGCTTTTCTCAGGGTCAGAGCCAGACTTCTCCTTGAACCTAGGAGATCATTGAAAAGATGGATGGTGTGAGTAAGTAGCTTACTAAATTTTACTGGTTAGAAAAGATGGACAGTTACCAGAAAACGAGCAAGGGTTGGCCGGAAGGTGTCTCCACCAAGTAGGGCATGGCGCGACAGGACAGACTCAGGAGCCCCACATTCTCTTTACTGTGGAATCTCGGATAGGGGCTCACCGGAGGAAAGATGGAGCTAGTGGTGCTGAGACTGTGGCAGGTGTTGAGATAGAACTTTTGGTCTGTGACAGAATACATGACGTTTGACTTTTCGGCGGGGACCTCGGGGGTCTGGATGTATGTCCACCCGGAGTCACCAGGTCGGCACAGACCGATCGTCGCGGCAAGGAACTTGACGGCCACCACACAGTCGCATCGTTCATCGTCAGGGGAGGCTGAGAGAGCCATGTTGGAAACTTTAACTACATTCGCAGGAGGCAGAGGAGGCAGGGATACAACCTTAGCGGCAGGGTTGAAGATATTGGTCAGTCGCACACTGGAATCGTGTATGTTTCTCAGACACACCCATCCCCTCGACGATCCTATGGTCACCGACTCCTGCATCTCTTCCGGTACCGGGATCTTCACCGTTTCTTGCTTCCTCGGGTCGAAACAGTCGATGCTCACGAGCCTTTCTTCCACCGCGTTGCTGCTGCGGAGTAGCATATACGGCGTTGCCGCCGTGGAGAACAACCGCTGCTCATGAACCAAACAGAGTCCAGGGTTCCGAGCTGATGATGAGAGCTTCACGATTCGCCCCAACATTCTTGAAACCCTACTAACCAACAAAACCCTAGAAACCCAGCCTCTCTGCCTTCTTCGTATTATATATACTCCTCTTCCTATTTTTCATTTTCCCAATCAAAAGGACAGAGTTGTTCTTGAAAATGATCTTTATGGGAATCTCGCTTAGAAAGTAGGAAGGGAGTTACTCTTTTCAGTCACATATGGAAGTATTTGTTTCACATAAAATCTTGATCAAGAAAGACTCATTTATTTATTTTTATTTTTTTCTGAAGGCCTTTTAACAAAAAAAAAAACACTCATTTTTTTACTTATCTCGTAGTTAATTAAGGGATTGGTATGTTTAAATCGCACCATCATGATATTTTTCTAGAATTGATAATAGAATTATTTACTAAGTAATGACACAGTGATATTGATACTGTGTATGTGCATATATATACAGATTTAGATCCACAATGAGTCAATGCATGATAATGTGCATAATATAGTTCTATATATGGTGAAATGAGCTAACTTTTTAATTATAGTATAATGGGACGAAGTGGCCGAGTGAAGGGATATTGAAAATTTTATATATGCTCTAAAGAGATGTACACGGCTTGCACAAAGAAAATAAAATCATTGTCATATTTTCGGTTAATTTAAATGTTTCTACTTTGTAAGAAAATTCATCGTTACAATTCTACACAATCGATTTTCTTTTTATATTTTTAAGTGAAAAATAAAAGAATACCATATAATATTTAAATATCAGTCTCACGTAGTCCAACCAAACGAATTAATTAACTCGCCAAAAACAATATTGTCTATTAAGAATGTAGTTGGTCAATATATGTTTGGCAGTCTCGAAAGCCATGTAAGCTTTCAACTCAACTACAGTGTTTGGCCAAAGCGTGCTTGGCATTCTCAAAAGCGATTTGAGCTTTCATCTCAACTACACGTTTGGCCACATTGCTTGCACTTTTATTAACAAGATAAAAACAAATTGGTACATATAAATCATTTTAATGTTTATTACAAAATATACTATATGAAATGATAATACCACAGACTAAGGAGTGAGTCTGAATTGTGTTGAAGGTCAGATAAAAAAACTTTGCTTACGCATACTTTGTCCAAAAGATTCAGAGTTTGTAGTGTTTATAGAAGCTGTAGGATTCTGATATCATAATTGAGAAAGTCAAACCCAAATACTGTACCGTAGGATATATGATTCTCACTTTTTATTTTTACATAAAATTGTTATATTTTTAAGTCCTGGTTTTAGGATGCCACCAGTGAAAAAGAAAAAAAGAAAAAAACGTTTTAAAACTTGACATTGGGCCATAAGTTTGGATTCTTGCTCATGATATTGTTGATACTGTGTATGTGCATACAGCTATAGATCCACAATGAGTTATGAGTCAATGCATTATAACGTGCATAGTATATAGTTATATAGTATAGTTAAATATGGTGAAATGTGCTAACTTTTTAATCCTGGTATAATGGGAAGAAGTGGCCGAAGTGAATGGATGTTGCCTTTAAAAATGTCGAAAATTTAAATTATGTAAATGGCATTCCATACCATAGTCCATATCCATTATTAGAGTGATGAGAAGGACTAATTTTCGGTTAATGTTTACGGTACCCCTATTCAAGTAACTTGGTGGAATATATGATTTGACATTACATAAACCAAAACGACAGAATCTCAGAATCGCATAGCAATTTGACGGTTTTACCCTCAGAATCTGCCGTCGTAAATCCCGTCCTCAGTCGCTCTCGCATCGTCTTCCCTCTTCGATTCAAAATTTCGAAATCCGATCCAGGGTTTCTCGGTCCGCCTCCACCATGAACTCTGTGACGGTTATCGAAGTTGATAATTCTCCTGCTCAAGGTTCGAATATCGTCTTACTTATCACCCATTTCTCTTCTCATTTGAAATTTCTCTTTTTAATTCATTCTTTCACTGGAATTGACTTGCTCGCATCTAGGGAGACTTTTCTGGTTTTCTCTCTTTTCTGTCAAATTCAAAAGCTTTCTCACATTGAGATGGTAAATTGGCTTTTAGAGTCTTTGAATTCGACTATCTCTACTCTTGTTCGCATCAGATTTACTGGAATTTAGGGGTTTGATTCCGTTTCGTTAGATTGTTATTAGCTGCTACTTTTGATATCAGTGTTAGGGATTTCGCTAACACACTGGTGAAATTGGCAGAGGTTCCTCCTACTCCTAAAGGAAATGGAAAGATGAGCGTTCTGGAATCTTATATGAGCAGTGCACAGAGGAGAAAACTAGGCGATATTAGCAATTTGCAGGGTCAAGCAAAACAAATGAACAGAGAAGAGACGCACCAGCAACTAGATATGTTGTTCTCTTCCAAGGAATATGCTGAGAAGCTTCAAAAGGCAATGCCTTTCACCTTGATCTTGTTGCGAATCGTGGCAGACTGTATTTTGCTGATTCGGTTGCTTTATTGATTTTGATTTTGCAGGAGAACATGACATTGATGAAAGCTCTAGCACACAGAAAGTATCCACCTTCTTCTTTAGAATATGTTTGACTTGTGAGTTTGATGACCGTTAATTTGTTGGTGATGTTGTTTTGTTTTGTGGCTTCAGTAAAATCATCGAGCTGAGCGGTGTTGAGTTCCAGAAACTGAGGATCAACTTACGGAATGTGCAGGAAAAGAATTTGCAGCTTGCACAGGCAAACAGTCATATGTTGGCGGTGTGTCCCATCTTTCTATGGTTCAGTTTTTAGATGATTGTTTGAGATTCTTTGAAACTCTATGATTAAAAGTATGGCTTCATTGTTTTTCCCTGGCAGGAACTCAATACAAGCAGAGACAGAGTACGCTTTTCTGGAACTTAAGTTGCTCAAATCAAGGCTTTCTTTTTTCACTATATTATAAGTTCTTCGATTAACTGACATTGTATGTACATTTTCAGCTCAAGCTACTTCAGCATGAACTTTGCTGCAAGAATGTATTACTTGAGGCCAGGAAAGTTCAGCTTGAGGCAAGTTATCCCCTTGTTCTATATATATACATTCTTTCCTTGGCTATAGTTACCTGAAAAAAACTAGAAGCTTAAGAATTTGTTACCTTTTCGTCCAGGAGCAAGAACTTCCACCTACACATCACCCATCGAAAGATAAGGTGCTTACTTGAATTTTTCTGGCTGACATTGAATAGGAACTACCTTTAGTATTACATAGTCTTCACGCTACTTGGCTTTGTTGTTGACTTCAAGGTTCCATCAAACTTCTTTCAGGTGCATGACATGAATCATAAAGACACCAAGAGAAAGCGAACGTCAAGGATAAAACGTAAAATGTTTTTTCACAGATTCATTGTTGATCCTGGAAACCATATTTTTGCATACTTACACTATATCGTTTCATTTTCAGCTTCAGAGTGCTCCAACGTTAAGCCAATACAGATTAAAGAGAACGCTAACAGTAAAAGGTCCAGTACCGCTTAATGTTTTGTCCATGTTTTCTGTAAAACCTTTTGGCAGTCAAGTAAACCTGAATTGGTGTTGTTTTGCTTTTAGGAAAGTTTCTGGAGTCATAGATACTACGGCTATCCCTGAAGTGACCTGTCAGACGGAAGATGACATTGAGAAGGGGGTTGTTGTCTCTCAAGGGACAAACCAAATTATTGACCATATTGTCAACAAAAAGTTTGTTCCTGATGCAGTAAACCCAGTAAAAGACAGTGTTCATAGCAAGAGGTTCTTATATTCAGTCTGACAATTACATCTTTTTATATCAATTTCTATTCCAAAACAATGGTAAGACAAGAATACCTTATCTGTGCTTTGATTCTTATGTCATAGGCAATGTGTACGAAGGAAATCTACCAGGTTTGATGTTCCAGTAACTGATCAAACGGAAAAATTGCTTGAGATGGATGATGCCAAAGAAACCAAAGAAACTGCAAGGTTTTGTAGTTTGTGGTTTTTTTTGTCCGCTTTCCACTTTAGCTACCTACGTTGTTGCAAACTCTGAATGGACAATAGCGTATTGCACTGACACTGTCTCCATTTCGAGCAGGCTCTCTTTGAGAAGACGATCTGCTCGGTTAAGGCCTGAAGAAGCTGAACCATGTAAAAGCTACCAAGAGAGTGACGAAGTCAGGGAGACAATCAAGACAAGAAGGTTTGTAAGAGTCTGCCTAGTTACAAGTAGTATCCCTTATAGATGTTGCTAAAAAAAATATTGCATTGGAGGTCACTGATTTCTTGAGTTACTGGGCAGAGTCTCTTCAATACTACAGTCTTCAAAGTCTGATTTCCAAGAGCCGGAAGTGACTGAAACCTTGAATGCTGATGATGCAGGGTATGTTGAAACAGATCGTTTTAGTTTTTTTCTCTATCCCGTCAATTGATAGCATGGAAACTGAGTTAGCTAATACTACTTGCGTTTTCTCTTCTGGATAATATTTCAGAAGCTTAGTAAGCCAGGGATCAAGATCTGAAGTTGTAGAACCATCCGAAACCAGACATGACACAACAGATACAAACGGGAAACGCAGGTTTGTTAGTGACATTATTGAAAGAGAATCAAAGACTAGAGCTGAGGAAAGCGAAGGGGTGATGAGAAGAACATCTGTGGGAAGAAGACCATCGAGACATGCAGCAGACAAAGTCCAATCATACAGAGAAGTTTCACTTAAAGCAAAGATGCGGCGAGACTGCTGAATCAAAATTGTTGTTCAGAAGCTTACTTCATGCTTTTGTATATCCAAGTCAATGTTATCTTGGACTTTGCCTTCTTCTTCTCTAAATAATACCAACGTACTGTAACATAAGTTACATAAAACTGTATTTCTCAAATTACGGTTTTATAATTCTTAATTACAATTAGTTCATTTATTACTCCGAATTTGGAAATTTTTGTTTTCAAACGTGGTGGCTTTTCAAGCCTTATGAGATGATGTGGCACAGGAGGCGCGTGGTCGGCACCGCCACCAGAGGATCCGCCTTGGGAACGGTGAGACCCGGTCCTTCAATGGTGTCTACGTCACCGGGTTTCACGCCGTCCGGTAATCTCCATGTGAAGCAGTGTAGTAGATGAGCCACCGCAAGCTCAAACGCGTACAACCCGAGTTGCATACCCGGGCACGATCTCCGACCCGACCCGAACGGAATGAATTCGAAATCGTTCCCCTTCAGATCCGGAGCACCCGGGTCCAAAAACCTTTCCGGGTTGAAAATTTCCGGGTCGGACCAAGAATCCGGGTCACGCCCGAGAGCGAAGGTGTTGACCATCACGCGCGATCCCTTGGGGATATAGTAACCGGAGACCTCGGCGTCCTCCACCGTCTCGTGGAGGAGGAGAGGGAACGGCGGGTGGAGCCGGAGAGTCTCCTTGAGGATACATTTTAGGAAAGTGAGCTTCTCGAGGTGCGTGTCCTCCACGCGCCAATTATCAAACCCGACCACACTCGCTAGCTCGTCCTGGACCCGTTTCATGTTCTCCGGGCTCCGGAGCAGCTCCGTTAGGACCCACTCGATTGCTAATGCCACCGTCTCGGTTCCTCCAAACATCACATCCTTTTTAAAAAAAATGTAACATACCAAAAAAAAAGTCGATTTCAAAAATTTCAACTATATAACCTACCAAAATGTCTGTAATATTTTCATTAGTTACCATGATGATGCCTTTAATGTTATCAAGATTAATTTTGGTCTCCGAGTCCTTGACTTTGACTTCTTCTTTGTAAAACATAAGTAATTGGTCAACCATATCAGTCTCCTCCTCCTCGTCAGTGTTATGATCTCTCTTCTTCTTGTCACACTGATCTCTCTTCTTCTTGTGCAAGTGATCGTTGATGATGGATTCAATGAAACCATCGAGAGACTTTCGAGCTTTCTCGACCCGCCCGTTTATTCCCTGCGGGTCGATCCAACTAAGCCACGATGGGGCATAATCCGCTACATTAATCTCACCAAAGAGCTTAGAGAACTCTTGTATGATCCCAAGGAACTCGTCAAGTCGGGCTTCATCAGAAGTGGACGAAGAGGAACCAAACGCTGCTCGGAACGTTATATCTCTCGTTAGGGAAAATGCGAGTTTGCATACGTTTAATGGTCTTCCGACGTTGGCCACCACAAAACGGACCGCTTTGTGGACCTCTTCATCGACAGAAGCCCACGACTCGGCTCGTTTACGGCTAAAGAGCATCATCACGTAGAGTTTCCTCATCCGACGCCAAAACGGGCCGTAGTTGCAGAATGCGAGGTCAGATTGCCCGTAGGTCAAGTAACGGATGGCGATTGTGGTGGGACGGTTTGAGAAAACGTGGTCTTGAACTTGGAGGACTTGACGTGCGATTTGAGGAGAAGAAACGACGAAAATATGGGAAAATCCGAGGCGGAGGTGAAGTAATCCGCCGTATGTGCGGCTGAGCTTGGCCAAGCCACGGTGGTTCAAGTGGCTCATCATGAGAATATTGCCGATGATGGGTAAGCCTCTGGGACCGGGAGGGTATGGTTTCCGTCGTCTAAACCACCGTGAAAGGAGGTGCCGGAAAAGAAAAAGAAGAAGAGGGACAAGAAAGATGAGAGTCATTAGAGTATACATTTTTGATACAGTTTGGTGTTTTGGGGTCTGTTTATATATCTTTAAAAAAAATGTGTATGATTGATACCGATCTTAACAACTATATTATAAAGCTATTTTTTATATATTATCTTTCAATTATTTTAATCAACATTAGTATTAAATCGTGTGTTTATTGGGAGCCTGATTGGTACAAAGAACAATTGAAGAAGCCACAATGATTAAGGTGATCACTGCGGTGTATTCTTAGTTTTAGTGAAAACGACATCGGATATATGTACAATTGTACGCCATATATTTGCATTATTACACGAATCTCGATTCATTCAATAAAAATTAGGTTAACGAAAACTACACGAAAATTGTTTAGAAAGTACAATTGTACGCCATATATTTGCATTATTACACGAATCTCGATTCATTCAATAAAAATTAGGTTAACGAAAACTACACGAAAATTAAATTGTTTAGAAAGACTCACTATAAATAGTGTTACTCAATAAAAAAAAGACTTACTATAGAACGCAAGAACTAATTGTGAAGATATGATTTACGTACGTTGATGAAAATTCAATAATTGCTTTCAGCTGTCAAGAAAGAAATTCATTAATGTGTAAGAAAACACAATCAAGTCAGTAGTGCGTATCACAGATGTGAAGGTAGAACGTTCAACAAGTCTTTAAACATATACCAAAAACAGATTTAACTAAAGACATTACTCCGTTAAGAAGATGCTAATAAAACACGAGTAAACTCGAATCCATGACCGTTACTGATCTATCTACAAAATTATACATATAAATATCAGAGCCGAATTGCTAAGAACATATACAAAAGTTGAAAAGAAAAGCAAACATCTTTCCAAATTATGAATACTCTAATTCTTTTCTTTATTGTTACTGCCCTGTGTGCTGTATCGAACAACGCTAGCCTACTGTTTCCGAAAAACGAAATTGGTTTTAGGAACAATCTGAGCAGTAACGATGATGTTCTCACAGTCCATTGTAGATCTGACGAAGACGATCTTGGTCTTCACTTTCTGCATCAAGTAGACGTTTATACTTTCGAGTTTGGAGATAGGGTCTTCGGTGGAACTTATCATCAGTGCGTACTACGACATGGGGTTAACATTCAATTTGTGAGAGAGATTATGGCATATGAAGAATCTCCTTATCATCTTAGATTCGGTCAACTAATGTTATGGGAGGCCAGAGATGATGGGATCTACTTGACAACAGGTGATCAAGGCAAGGCAGAAAAAAGATATGATTGGTAAAATCTTTGTCTTCAAGCTACGTTTGTCTTTCTTTCTTCTTGATAACCATCAAGAAAATTCAAGATATAGAATTCATAGGAAACATATTTATTATTTGATGCTTGTATTTTTTTAAATTATAATATTACATCAATGATATTCAGTCAGGTTGATCTTAGACCTCTAAAGCTACCCAAATATCAGTTAATAAAAGTAATACAAAAATTATGGATCAAAGAATCATATTTCAATGAGGACAACAAGAATTTGAATCAATCAAATTGAAATTGGTATGTACAGTTAAAACAAATTCCTATAACTTGAATATGTAGTATCCCTAGAAAGAGGTATGTTTGAGTGTCTCTGGGAAGTGAAGCCGGAGTTTCTTCGCCGGCATGGGACTCATCACCTCCTCGTCTCCGTTGACCATGGAGAATTCCGGTATCGGCGGGATGTTGAGGTCAAACCCATGGTGGTTGTGGTTGTTGTTGCTGCTGCTGCTGACGTGGCTTATAGACCCCACACCTTCCGAATTCGACACGCTACTGCTTCCTCCACCGCCACCGCCACCGCCGTTCTTTCCTTCGTAGTGGCACCTTTTGTGGCCGCCGAGAGCTTGACCGGTCGCAAAAGATTTGTTACAGATGGAACAAACGTGCGATTTGACACTTCCCCTGCCGCCGACGGTGGTTATCGCCGAGGACGTCGAGTGTTCATCTCCTCCGCTTGATTGAGTAAGCGATGAGTTTTTCCGGTGGCTGGCTTTGTGTCCACCGAGAGCCTGGTAAGAAGAAAACGCCTTGTCGCAGACGCCGCACTTGTAGATGGGAGTAGAAGGAGGAAGCAGAGGCGGCGATGAAGAAAAAGACAGGTCACGGTTTCGATCACCGTCGCGAGCAAGAAGCATGAGACATAAAGCGATATATTCATCCTCAGTGAGACTACCACTACCACAGTGGCGGTCGAATTCGGATCTGGAACGCTTAGAACGCTTGCCTTTGCTCACATGAAAGCCAACAGCAGAATCTTGAAACAGAGTCGGAATCGGAGAAGCCAATCTTGGCGAGGTAAGAGCTTCGAGTGCCATCGTTTTTTCAAGACTTTTAGTAGTAAGTGAATTCGATTTGAGTTTGGTTTGAAGAGAGAAGAAACGAAAGCGTGTGTATATATAAAGAAGGAAGTAAAGTCGGAGCAGAGGAGGAAGTTGCGTGTGAAGAGGTGAGAAAGTGTGTTGTAGTGTGAAGAAGTCGATAATTACTTGCTTTATATTTTTATTTTTAAGTTGTGCGGACCAAAGTTGAAATGAAAGTATCCAAGTATGGGCACATTTGGTTTGACTTGGTACACGTGTGTGGAAGTCGGCTGAGAAGACTTTGTTCTATTATGCCGCCTTGTTGCCTATAATTCTTATCGGTTAAGAATATTCTAGAGATAGAGAGACAGAGAGCTCACTTATCACTTAGGTGTTATGCTGACCAAACAAGTGGAGATAAATAAGACCAATTCAAGTCGGCTACTTAACCACTCAACTCATACTATCGATTATTATCAACGTTGCTTTTTTGTATCTGTCTTTTTCTTTTTCTAATATGACTTTTTTTTTTTCTTTTCAAAAGGTTTGGCGAACGATAATCAACCATGTGAAAATTGGAGACTAAATTTCCTACGTACTATGATTATCAAAAGTACTACTACATGGTTGACCATCTAGAGCCGTTTCTAATTTTAGTCTTCTTGAAATTAGCCTCCCACATTTAGCATGACTCTATATCAAAGAAGAGAGACAGATTTTAACGCATAACCTTTAAAGAACAAAAAGATACTTAAACTAATAACTACATAAAAACCTAGATTTTCAGAAAGGGGATACAAAATCCAAAATGATATAAAATTTTCAAAAAAAAAAAAAATGAAAAGTCTTACAATTGTTCTTATTGTTTTAGGGTTTTGCAATGGAAATGCTTTTGGGAAAAACGTGTTCGGGGTCATAAACATGTTCGATGACAAGACAATCCTCAAAGTCCACTGCTATTCTGGGAACGACGATTTCGACGTCTTACTCTTGAGAAACAGGGAAGCAAAATTTTGGCGTTTTAACGACCGTTGGTTCGGTGAAACCATCTTTAGCTGCGATTTGAATTATGGATTCCACTTCATGCATCACAAAAAATTTAGATCGTACGAGTCAAAGTGGAACCATTCAAACGGGAATAAGGCAAATGTGACATGGTTAGCTGTGGAAAGGGGTCTTTACCGGGTCTACGAACACAGGACTCCTGAGTTTATGCATGAATGGGAATAAACCAGCCATCTAAAGATTAACCAGTTGTGGGATAAACATAAACCCATGACCGATTAACTTTTTGTTAATATTCTTGATGTAAATATATTTGATATTCTAATTTATTAAGTTGTATATTTGAACAAAAAGTATAGTCATATATGTTGTTTTACATATATAAACTTTCTTAAATTTGATAATACTATTTTCGTTGTTATAAATTTGTGTGTGAAAAAACTATGAACATCAGTTGGGCTTTCCGATTCATTTGGCTTTTCCATTGAAAGTGTAGAAAATATATAAACACATATATACACACAAAAAAATGCTATCTCAAACCAAGAATTATTATTATTTTATTTAAAGACGGCAAATCCGATAATCAGGCTTAGCTTACGCTTATCGATTGGAGCGGTCAGATTAATATAGGGGTTAGGATGGGATAAGCACTAGGCTGATTTTCTGTGGGTGACTTTTTATGAAAAGAACAAAAAAAAACAAAAAGTTGTGAAAATTGTATTTTAGATGAAAATGTTTACTAAAAATAAGATAAAGAACACATTTGCTAACCGTACTTTTCTCCCATTTTTTTGTCAATCGCTATAAATAAAAAAAGAAAGAGTCTCAGCAAGAAAATGTGTATAGATACCCAAAGATGGATAATAACTAAACAACAAAGAGAAATTTAGTTTAGAAAAAAAATGAAGAACAAATTAATCGTCTTTCTGACTCTTCTTAGCCTATGCATCGGAAATACAATCGGAGTAAGTAAACTCGTGCTCAAGAACGAACTCACCAATAATAGAATTCTCGCGGTGCGTTGTAAATCCAAGAACGACAACCTTGGTGACCATTATTTGAGCGTCGGCCAAAGCAAGCCTTTTGAATTTAACGACAACGTTTGGAAGAGGACGCTTTTCTGGTGTCGTATGTGGAAAGGACCTAACTACAAGATTCACCAAGTGTTTGATGCATACAGATCTAAGTGGAAAAGAGATACCGGGCCAACGTACTATTGGATAGGAAGAGAAGATGGGATCTACTTTATGCAAGAACCCTATCCTAAACCTCCCGTGAAAAAATATGATTGGAATCTTACGGCTCCTTAATGATGACAACAGAGGATGATTAGCCTACATTTTCTTCCCTTCACGTATTTGATGAAGATTACACCTAGTTTTTTTGTAAATTCAATAAAACTGATCATACACATTTCACAATAGAGATCTAAATCTAATGTGTAGTAAGTTTTCATCTATATATATTCTGTCTATGTTTTTAGAGAGATCTTAGCTAAGTAACACTTTCAAAATGTGTCAATGCTAAATTAACACTATCCTACCCCTTGGCTTGGAACCCGCTCACTGTAGAGCCGTCGTGTCTATACAATGCCATGAATCTTACTGTCATTCAATTTTTCTTATTTCAATTCCATATCTCTATACAATGACATAAATCTACTAATATTTTCTTATTTTAGTTCCATATCTATACAATGCCATGAATGTGTCGAAAAAATCCATGTATACATCCAACAAAAAAAAAAAAGATCTTAATTAAATAAGATTTAGTTAAGATATATTACGAATCTGTATTAATGTTCTTTATTTCTTAAAAGATTTATATCCTATCTAAGCATATTATACACCAACCATAAAGTAGCATAAAAAATAATATGTGGATGCTGTTTCCTTGTTTGGTTAAAATCGCAATCCATATTGTGTCAATTTTCCTTTTTCTTGGCACATATTAGTAAATGGAAGAAACTATTTCCTGAACATAAATGTGTATAAATACCCAACATTGGTAAAGTACAGAAACATAAAAAAACAAAACATACAGTATATCCAAAGAGGTATAGCAGACAAAAAAATGAACAATCTTTTCATAATTTCGATTCTTCTAGGTCTATTCATCGGCATAAGCCATGGTTTCCACACGTTAGGAGAGAGTAAAGTCACGGTAAGCAACCAGTTGGAACACAGCAAACTCCTCAAGGTTCGTTGTAACAAGGGAGACAACGATCTTGGAGAGCACATTGTGAAAATCGGCGAAGAGTACGAGTTTACTTTTAACGACAGTATTTTCGGAACGACTCGTTACTCGTGTAAAATGGATCAAGGTCCCAATTTCAAACATCACCAAGAGTTCGTGGTGTATGACGCTTCGTGGAGCAAAGCTCTTGAGGTCACGTGTAAGTGGATTGCTAGAGAAGATGGGATCTATTTTTCTCTCGATGGAAACCCTCCCACGAGAAAATATGTGTGGGACGGTCCTCACATCCTCAATAATTAGGGTTTTTATTATTCTTGGTTGATATATATGTATCGCATTATGATGAGCAATCCGATCATTCTTTAGCAAAATTAATCAATCAATCCGACCTCGTTTCAATACCAATCTTATTACAGTTTTTTCTCCATTGATTTAGTTCTACTTGTTTTCCGCTCATCTCTACACGTCATATTATTACAAGTAACATTATTACAGTCTTATTATGACGTCATATATGATGTCCAATGTTCCAAAACCGTATTATTATGACGTGATATATATATATGTCCGATGTTCCAAAACGAATTAAAAAGTTAACAGAAATTACAGAAATGCCACCCAGGGGTCTATTGAACAGAATAAGTGTTATATAAATATCAGAAAGATTTAAGACAAATCAGGGACCAAAGACCAAATATTTAGATATTTAGTGAACCAACGGTCGAAGTGGAAACTATCATCGGAGAAGAAGAAGAAGAATGGCACTGACACTGTCACCGACCACTTCCATTCATCTTCTCAATTCCACCTCCGTCGCGATTCCTCGGATATTCGCCGCTGATTCTCATCTTCGATCGCGGTATCGGCGGCCTGTATCGTTAATCTCTAACCCCCGTCTCAGGTTTCATTCGAGAGCTTACTGCAGCGAGTCGATTCGCTGCCTCTGCTCTCCGTCTTCCTCTGCATCTCCAATGTCGCTCGAAATCTCCACTCCGAACTCTCAGGTTTTACGCCTCTGCTGGGTTTGTTAAGAGCACAAGGACATTTGTTTTTAGGGTCTTTGGAAGAGAATGTTGACTGATCAAGTTGCTGATTTTGATTCTTTTTCTGTCTTACGCTTGCGTCGAAATTGTCATCAGTTTCTGGATTGTTTGCTCTATTCAAGAGCGTATTGGGTCACCCAAGGCGTAATTGCTTGGAATGTGGATGTTGGTGAAGGGTCTTGTTACTTGTATGCGAGCAAAACTGCTGCTTTATCATTCAGCGAAGATGGAATCGAAGGTGCTTCATCTTATCTCTAATTTGTTTACCACAGTCTCGGTGAAATTTTTTATTTTAATCAAGTTCATTGGCTTTCAGGTTATGATTTAAGATTCAAGCTTGAAGCTGAATCCGAATCACTTCCTACCAAAGTTAGTTGTGACTTCTCTTTTTCTGTGTGTCCTTCAAAAACAATTCTTATAGAGGAAGTCTTAATTTCAGGTGATTGAGAAGTTTCCACATATTGGGAATTACAAACCGTTCAAAGTTCCTTCGGATTTGGATATCAGGGACCTTGTCAAAACCCAGTTAGCTGTTGTTTACTTTGATGGTGAGAGTTTTCTATACCATTTCATTTTATATGCTTTCAAGATTTGCTTCCCTTGCTTGTTGTAAATAACTCATTTGCATCACTAAGTAACTACGAAGACTGAATTGTTCAATGGTTGTTCAATCTTCTGCAGCGAAAGGAAGAATGATTCAAGGAACTGGATTGCAATTGCCTGGCGTCATAGATGAATTGTTCTCATATGATGGCCCTCTAGGTGCACATTTTACACCAGAAGGTGTATCTCTTCATCTATGGGCTCCCACTGCTCAAGTATGATGCTCATGCTCATAATGTTGTTATATTTTGTCAAACCTGTGCTAAACACAATTAACTATTTTGTGTGCTCATTTGTGCATTTAAGTAGGCAGTTTCTGTATGTATCTACAAAAATCCACTCGACGAGAGTCCGATGGAAATTTGCCCATTCAAAGAGGTTAATGGTGTGTGGAGTACTGAAGGAACTAGTGATTGGGAAGGATGCTATTATGTGTATAAAGTATCAGTCTATCATCCAAGCACCTTCAAAGTGGAAACTTGCTATGCAAATGATCCTTATGCACGGGGGTATGGTATTTTTTCAAATTTTGTACCTTGAAGGCATATCCTTATGCACGAGTCATGTGTGATTTGTATTTTATCATGCAGGATTTCAGCAGATGGTAGCAAAACTTTGCTAGTTAATCTTGATTCCGATGATCTGAAACCTGAAGGGTGGGACAAATTAGCTGATAAGAAGCCACGCCTAAGATCATTCTCAGATATAAGTGTTTATGAGCTGCATGTGAGGGATTTCAGGTAGTATGCTTCTGCCTAGATGAAAATTGTGCTCGTGACTATCGAATTTTTACGATGGGGCAGAATTTAGCAAGCAATTCTCGTTACAGAATAGGATATTTTTCTGCACTATGTTTGTTTCTAGTCTAATCTTTGAACTGTGAAGTCACTTTACTTTGCAAGTGCAGGTTTCCCGTTTCTTCTTGTTTGTCTAATCTTTACCTGCTATTTCAGTGCCAATGATGAGACTGTCTGCCCCGAACATCGTGGTGGATATCTGGCTTTTACTTTAAAGGTGCAAATATAACTTTATCATCATGTCGTCCATATATGCTTTATAAATCCACATGTTATATTGGTGACCCAAATTTTAGTTGTACTCTATTACTTCTGATTCATTCGCTACTCTGCAAAGATGCTCTGTATCATTGTGTTTTCTGTCATATCTCATTAGATCTATTGGCAGGATTCTGCAGGTGTGAAACATCTTCAGAAATTAGCGGATGCAGGTCTTACCCATCTACATCTTCTTCCAACATATCAGTTTGGTGATGTTGATGATGAGAAGGAGAAATGGAAGTCTATAGGTAGGGTATCTAAGTATCTTTGATGTCTCAAGCGCATACTTAATAGATTGCTCGCCATTCATGGTTGGGGTGCATTTTCTTCTTTACATCTGAGGAGTTAATTGTTGCCCTCAAGACTGAGCTCAAAATTCAGAAGCACCTTAAGTCTTCAGACCAATAGGAACATAATTATGATATATTTTTTTCATTGTAGACACCAGTCTGCTGGTAGGATTACCACCTGATTCACCTGAGGCACAAGCTCGTATAACAGAAATCCAGAATGATGATGGCTATAACTGGGGGTAGTCTGTTATATGCAAGTTACTCCGTTCATTATGAAGCACTCACCTTCATCACAAGTTTCCTGTTTTGTGAAGGTATAATCCTGTGCTCTGGGGAGTCCCAAAAGGAAGCTATGCTAGTGATCCGACTGGTCCATGCCGTATAATTGAATTCAGAAAAATGGTTCAGGTTCGCATTTTTCCTTTTTCTGGATATTGAAAATTGTACAAAATTTCATGGTAAATCCTCATACTATCTTTTAGTTGGCTCAGTATGTAGCTTCTTTTGGCAGGCTCTTAATTGTACTGGTCTCAATGTTGTCTTAGACGTTGTTTACAACCACTTGCATGCAAATGGGCCACACGACAAAGACTCTGTTCTTGATAAGGTGAGCGCCTAACTAAGTTTTTATTAATTTCAGTCTGATAACCAACTTCTAGCGTGAGTTCTCTATCTCCCATGACAAAATGTACTTGCTTAGATAGTTCCAGGTTACTATTTGAGGAGGAACAATGATGGTTTTGTTGAAAACAGTACATGCGTAAACAACACTGCCAGCGAGCATTATATGGTTGATCGTCTGATACGGGACGATCTATTAAATTGGGTTGTTAACTATAAGGTACTTCTTTGTCATCTATAAAGACTACTTTTCCATCTTGCTACTTTCTCCACCTTCCCACAGAATATCGTTCTTCATGCATCTTTCATCCTTTGATTTACTGATCATGACAAGGTCTATTGTATTCTGCATTATTACGTAATTGTATATTCCGGCTGGCTGACCATTTCCTGATTCCTTCAGGTTGATGGTTTCCGTTTTGATCTTATGGGTCATATAATGAAAGCTACAATGGTAAGCAGCTTTCTTGGTTTCATTAGGGTTTTGCTTGGAATATATCTATAGATTAATGTGGATTGTAATATCTATGTTCCTTAGGTAAAAGCAAAATCTGCAATTGGTAGCTTGAGAAAGGAATCAGATGGAGTTGATGGTTCAAGAATTTATTTGTAAGTCTTGGTTCATTATCGGACTTACGTGCCAATTTTTCTCACATGAGCGTCCTTTTTTTTTTTTCTTGTGAAATAATTTTGGCCATATCGTACCTTGTGCTCATCAGATATGGCGAAGGATGGAACTTTGGTGAAGTTGCTAACAATGGACGTGGAATAAATGCTTCACAGTTCAACTTAAGCGGGACTGGAATTGGAAGGTGTGAAGTTCTTTACTTCAATATATTTGAAAGAATGAGTTTTTTCATCCCTTTTTCCTCTCTGTTTTAGTTACCGCATTTCTTGAAGCTGGACGTCTTATAACTGTCTTCAGTAATTGTTCAACATCTTCCTGATTCCTTTTGTTTTACCTGGACCTTTATATCTCTATTCAGCTTTAATGACCGTATACGAGACGCAACTCTTGGTGGATCTCCATTTGGCCATCCTCTTCAACAAGGATTCATTACAGGTTTATTGTTACAGGTATTTGGATTTCATTTATGCAGTTAGTCATCAAGATATCGAATCACTAAATTGCTTTTTAGCTCTAACCAAGGTGTAAAATAGAGCATATGCACATCATCACATACACATATTTCCATACCTTTTACCAACAATACATATATATTTGTAACTTTTTGGAATAAACATCACATCACGCGCTATGTATTACCCACGTAAGGGTTAGAGATGAAATTTCCATGGCATCGAATGATCTCGTGTATCCTTGTTTGTCTGTGAGTAAATTGTTATTTTGAGTAGAGATATACGTTTAGAATATGCAACTCTTCTTCTCTTCACTTCTTTACCTTACCTTTTCTGCACAGCCTAACGGTCATGAGCATGGTTCAGAAGCTACCCAGCAACTGATGCTTTCTACTGCGAAAGATCACATACAGGTAATTGATTGCCGTAAGATATATATTTCTTCGCTCAAGGCTTTAAGGATGTGCAAACTTGAACTTTTTCTCTCTAATTCGCTTCACTGCTGATCCCCATTCTTACCAAATTATATTATCTTACGAGTTGAAATACGACAGTGGTCTGGAAATCTTGTAACAGTAAGTTAAAGAAATTCTGTATATAACATATTCCCTTTTACTTGCATCATGGATTAGATTGGGATGGCTGCGAATTTGAAGGATTATGTGCTAACTAATCATGAAGGGAAGGAGGTATGTAAATAGACGCACTTAATTATAACCATTCACAAAGGACTTTGTCTCCCCCTTTTATGATGTGTTGCTCTCGTTTTTGTAGGTGAAAGGATCGGAGGTTTTAATGCATGACGCTACACCTGTTGCATATGCTTCACAACCTACAGAAACTGTACGGAATATTGTTTCTACTATTTGCATCATTTAAGTGAATCAAGGCACCACTAAATCTGTGCATTTTCATGTTGTTTCAGATTAATTACGTCTCTGCTCATGACAATGAAACCCTCTTTGACATTATCAGTTTGAAGGTAATATAGAAATATGCTCTGTGAAATATGCCTTACGAACGTTCAGTGTTTTCTCTTGCATGATTAGAATCCAATTCTGAAGTGCCTCAATTTACTCTGCCTGTTGTGTCTTGGAGGGTATGTGTAGACTTATTTCTGCTTTATTCCACCGTTTTCTTGCAGACACCCATGGAAATATCTCTTGATGAAAGGTGTCGAATCAATCATCTGGCCTCAAGTATGATTGCCCTGTCGCAGGTTTTCTACTATCTCCCATCTTAACTCAGTAAATAGATCACTTTAAGACCAAAGGACTGAAGACTAGGGCTAGTTTGGGCGTTACTTTTGAATCTATTACACCGAGTAGGTTTCTTGTTTGGCTCATTATCTTAGAACTAAATCTGAATTATGTTGTATTATGCTACGCATGTGAAGGGTATACCATTCTTCCATGCTGGGGACGAGATTCTACGCTCGAAATCACTTGATCGTGATTCTTACAACTCCGGTGATTGGTTCAATAGGTTTGTCATTTCTCTCTTGTCAAGAACATTTCTTCTGATTATATATCGCATCTACTGACTGACATGAAACGGTGACAAGTTTAGGCTAGACTTCAGCTACCAATCCAACAATTGGGGTGTTGGGCTTCCTCCTAAAGGGAAAAACGAACACAGTTGGCCACTGTAAGTACCGACCTCAATCGCACTTAATATGTATGGTTTACTTCCACTGCATGTTTCTGAAACCAGTCGGATCCTTACTATATATGTCTCCAGGATTAAACCGAGGTTACAAGATCCATCCTTCAAGCCTCAGAGCAGTCACATAGTTGCCGCACTCCACAATTTCTTGGATTTGTTACGCATCAGATACTCTTCACCGCTCTTCCGTTTAGATTCAGCAAAGGCTATCCAGGTCAGGTTGACTACTGTTTGATATGCTCTTACGAAATCATTCGTCTACTATCCTTCATTGTGGTGCAGGTTCTAAGTAAATGATCTGTGATTGTATTGATCTCATTCAGTACCTCTCGTTTTTCTTTCACAGGACCGAGTGCGATTTCATAACACAGGCCCCTCTTCAATCCCTGGCGCCATTGTGATGACCATTGAAGATGGTCACAAAGGCATCCCCAGTGTCTCTCAGATCGATCCAAAGTAAGTAAAAACGAACAAAGTCCACAAATCTTTCAAAGCTTCATATATATATAGTTCGGTAACGGTACGGTTACTCTTTCAGCTACTCATTCATTGTGGTAATCTTCAATGCACGCCCGTCTGAGTTCTCATATCTCACTCCCCTTCTAAAAGACAGGAATCTCAAGTTACATCCGGTACAGGTAAATCGCTTATTACGAAAATTATGACAATAAAATCATAAGCTTTGGCCTTTCAGTTTATTTTCTAAGTGGATGATTCAATTCCGAGTAACAGGTGATGTCCGGCGATGAAAGAGTGAAGAAATCAGTGTACGATGCTTTTTCCGGCGGCTTCACTGTACCTGCAAGAACAACGACGGTGTTTGTTGAATCTCGGAATCGTTGAAGCTTATCTCCTTGTGGCAAAACTAGGTGGTCCAGGTCGCAATAAATGCTCTGTTCCATAATATTCTGTCAAGAACATGATTGTCCACTTGTCCTTGGAATAATAATGCGTTGAGAGTTTCAACATTTATTGCAATGTTGGTTCTGTTGCAAACGGTGATGTCGTTTGAAACAAGAAATAACAGCATTTGTAATGTACTGTATTATTATTAACTGAATCTTAAATACTAGTACTAAAATAAGTTTTTCATCCAAAAACACCATTACCGTAGAAAAATATATATGTAGAAAAGAAACCAATCTGACTGAGAAACAATATGAGTTGTTTCAGATGAAGAATGCGCTACAAGTTTCTAGACTTCAGCTACAATGTATAAATCATAACAAAAAATTAAATCAATCTGACTGGGAATATTATGGGTTGTCTGTTGTAATACTTATTCTTCTACTTTACAACAAAGGTTGCTTTGCATATATCTTTTATTATCTATGTATGAATAGAGATGCAAGTTTCCTCTTACAAAACATCTCAATTCTATCTAATTGGTATATAAGAACTTGAATGATTGGGTTAATCATTTTAACAAGTCACCGAGTTCTGTATAAAGATTGGGTAAGAGTGTTGTCGTGCGTTTTACCTTTGCAGCCAACGTGTTCCACGTTTAAGATATGTCCCACCTCTATAAATAAAATGTGTGAGGTGCCAGCCTCCCCATACAATCATATACAGTTATAACTATAGTTTTAAAAATAATCATTTTCTTGAAAATAGTGCAAGAAAATGGATTCAAGATTCATCCATATCGTTCCTTCCTCAAGGTTCCTTCTCTTGAACTCATCTTCACATCACATGTATGTTTGTAATTATATACGTATGATTGTATATGTATTTCTTTATGTATGCGATGCAGCGTTAATGGTAATACTGATCAGAAAGAGAAGTATAGTGAAGATGAAGAGAGAAGTAGTAAATACTCTTTTGCGACTGCTCTAAGTATGAGCGGGGGAGATGGAGACAACAGTTACTCCACCAATTCTCTTCTCCAGGTTCTTTCATCTTCTTTGTTCTTTCTTTCTTTCCTCAATATGCAAAAAATACTACTTCAAATTTGGTTCATTCGGTTTAGTTAGGTGATGGTTTAAACAATTTCTTTCTCGCCGGTTTAGAAAGCTTCGGTTTGATTTTGATTTGGTTTGTAAGACCATCCATGATTAAAAGCACTAGAAGAAGAGAAAACTCGTTACGTCAATCATATCACCGAATTACATAATAGATAACAGTTTCTTAATATATAATTTTTTTCCAGAGAAGAGTGTTATCAAAGGCTAAGCCGGTCTTGGTTAAGAACACAAAGGAACTGATATTAAACTTGAACTTTCCTAAATACATCAAAGTAGCTGATTTGGGTTGTTCTTCGGGACCAAACACGTTCTTGGCAATGTCTGAAATCATCAATACAATCAATGTGTTCTGTCAAAAATGGAACCAAAACCCACCAGAGATAGATTGTTGCCTAAACGATCTCCCTAACAACGATTTCAACACGACGTTCAAATTCATACATTCGTTCAACGAGAAGAACCTCGCATGTAAAGGATCGTATTTTGTTTCTGGAGTCCCTGGTTCCTTCTATTCCAGGCTCTTCCCTCGTAAGAGTCTCCATTTTGTACATTCCTCTTATGGTCTCCATTGGCTCTCTAAGGTATGTTGAGTGTTGCGACTTCGTTATATTTAATTAATTGTAAAATTGAGTAATTATTTGATATTTCGAAAATTGCTATAATGGTGGAACTATGTGATTATAAGGTTCCGGAAGGACTTGAGAAGAATAAGATGAGTGTGTATATCACAACTTCAAGTCCTCTAAGTACATACAAGGCTTACTTAAACCAATTCCAAAGAGATTTCACGACGTTTCTAAAACTGCGTTATGAAGAGATAGTGCCAAATGGAATAATGGTTCTCACATTCCTCGGTAGAAACACTATCGATAATCCACTGCATAGAGATTGTTGTCACTTTTGGACATTATTATCCAAATCTCTCCGTGACCTAGTAGCCGAGGTATATATCAAAGTCGAAACATTTATTTCTGTCGACGATTTCAAATATGGTCAAAGTCAAAATTTTGTCATGATCTGTTTTTTTTTTTTTTTAGGGTTTTGTGAGTGCATCGAAGGTGGATTCTTTCTACATGCCATTTTACGACCCGAGCGAAAAAGAAGTGAAAGAGATCGTACGGAAAGAGGGTTCCTTTGAGATCAAAGATTTAGTGACACATGAATATGATCTTGGCCATTGTAACCAAGACGAGTCAAAGAGAAGTAAATCAGGGAAAAACGAAGCCAATTATATACGAGCGGTGAGTGAACCATTGCTTGTGGCTCACTTCGGAGATGCTATTATCAACACATTGTTTAACAAGTTCGCACATAACGTGTCTCAACATGCCACTTGCAAGAACAAAACGACCGTTAGTCTAGTCGTTTCATTGACTAGAAAATAATTTTATCACGTAATTCAGACGATGCGTAAGGTTAAATTATTTTTACGTATAGTGTCAAATTATGATTTATGTTAAATACTATAGTTTAGTTTTCAAGTACGGATTGATGCATGCGATGTACAAATAATGATATACACTTGGCTGTTACTTAAAAAAACTCTGTTTTGGTAGCTTGAAAATCGAAATTAGTTTGCTAACTTCGTGGAACAACTCCGTCGTTAGATAATGAGTCTCTTTCACAATATCGAGAATTTGGTTGAGCTGGAAGCAAAGACTCGTTCTGTGCCAGATGCTCCGCATCGCGATGATTACAGAAGTATAAACACACTGATTCGGAAAATGACTTTTATCTACTCCTTGCGTTCGTTGGGACCGCAATTTCTTGTATTTTGGTAATATTGATATCTCCAATCTCTCTCTTTTTTTAAAAAAATCTCCATGCAGCATCACTACCTTCTTTAGATATTACAGTGGTGGTTTTCCTTTAATCAATGTTACGTGTTGATTTCAGCTACACAGAAATTCTTAGAAAACAGAAGAAAAAGGAAAAACCTAAGATATTTTTAGAAACGTTCTAAACAAAAATCACATTTTGATGTAGTTTAAATGGCTGAAATCAATTATAGTACACAGAGATAGCGAGTGAGAGTGGATTTATATGTGAATGTGCATGTGTCTCTTTTCGTGTGCCATTGAACTAATTCTAGACCACAAATATTCTGTTGCCTCCCATGAGAGTCTGAACCCACAACTGGGCCAGGATAGAAGTACCAACCACTGGGCCAATCAGCTCCGTCCACAACATCCATGCGTCTTATCAGTTTTTGTTCAATAGGTTTCTACAACACAGTGCAGATATATATCAAGTTTGAATATACTTATATGAGATATCTCCACCTCTATAAAAATATAGTCTTCCATGTGCAGCCTCCTCTGATAACATTAAGTGTAAAAGTGATTTACGCTCTTCAAATAACTTAGTAGAACAAAAAATGGATTTGATATTCATCCGAGCCAATCCTTCCTCGAGGTTTCTCTTTTCGATTCATCTTCAGAGCACACATATATGTTTATACGCCATGTGTATGTTGATATCATGATATGTATGCATGTATGTATATGCAGGTGTGACGATGAAGAGAGAAGTAGTAAATACCCTTTTGTAAGTGCTCTCAGTATGAGTGGAGGAGATGGTGACAACAGTTACTCTAACAATTCTCTTCTCCAGGTTCTTTCATCTTCTATATTATTTCTCTAGGACATACATCCACAAACCGATAATTTTTCACGAAATTCAGTAATTGCAATTTATTGATTTTTATCTCCCTTTTTTTTCAGAAAAGGGTTTTATTAAGGACCGATACAGTCTTGGTTAAAAACACCAAAGAAATGATGAAGAATTTGGACTTTCCTAAATGCATTAAAGTTGTCGATTTGGGCTGCTCTTCCGGACAAAACACATTTTTGGCGATGTCCGAGATTGTCAACACAATCAATGGGTTATGTAAAGAACGGAATCAAACCCCTCCCGAGATAGATTGTTGTCTGAACGATCTTCCTTGTAACGATTTCAACACAACTTTCAAGTTCATAGCTTCCTTCAACAAGAAGCTCACAAGACAAGGATCGTGCTTCGTCTCTGGAGTCCCTGGTTCCTTTTACTCGAGGCTCTTCCCTCGCAAGAGTCTCCATTTCGTACATTCAATTTACAGTATTCATTTCCTCTCTAAGGTCTTATTATAAGTACTTATAACTTTATAGACATTTAAAATTCCTTATAAAATAAAAAAGCTTATGATATTGGAATTTTGGACTTGTAAGGTTCCGGATGGACTGGAGAAGAACAAGATGAGTGTGTACATAACAAGTTCAAGTCCTCTAAGTGAATACAGAGCATACTTGAACCAGTTCCAAAGAGATTTTACGACCTTTCTAAAACTGCGCTCTGAAGAGATGGTGTCTAATGGACGCATGGTACTCACATTAATCGGAAGAAACTCTATTGATGATCCATTGCATAGGGATTGCTGTCATTTTTGGACTCTGTTATCCAAATCTCTCCGCGACTTAGTCTTCGAGGTATGAAACTATTAAATATTGATATTTGTTGCATTTAAAACATGTTCATGCATGGATTGTTTCACATTTATATAGGGTCTTGTGAGTGCATCAAAGGTGAGTTCGTTCAAAATGCCGTTTTATGATCCGAGCAAAGAAGAAGTGAAAGATATGATAAGAAAAGAGGGATCCTTCGCAATAAACGACTTGGAGACACATGGATTTGATCTCAGTCATAGTATCGAAGACTATTCTAGTTTACAATCAAACAGAGTTAAAGCAGGGCAGAGAGAAGCTAGCTGTATAAGAGCAGTGACTGAAACAATGCTCGTAGCTCATTTTGGAGATGCCATTAATATTGATACATTGTTTAACAAGTATGCGCTTCATGTGTCTCAGCATGCAAGCTGTAGGCTCAAAACGACTGTCTCTCTAGTCGTTTCATTGATTCGGAAATAACTTTTATTATATGGATTGTCAAAAAAAATCATATACTCAGTTGAATTATGGTTTTTTATTGGTGTTTGCTTTTGTAAATAATAAATCAGCCAAAAATCTAAATGCACCAACCAAATCAAATTGGAATTGGAGTTGATGAATCGATTATTTTCTTCTATAAATAAATAATAAAATAAAAAAACAGTGGGGTATGCTGAAAAAAAAACAATTGTGTGTGATCGTACTAAAGGAACGTGCGACCATGAAATAGACAAGAGATTAGGAAGAAGAGGCTCACACACAGTCGATAATGGTCCTTCTAAATAAGCTTAGAGAAACTACGTACTTGTGCTCCTTAACTCTCCCACTACCATTTCTCGCTGTATTTGTCAAACTGTTTGGGATTTTTGCATGCATCTCCCTGTTAATCAACTATATATCCCACAAATCAAACAATATTAAATAACGCTACACGACATTTTTGTAGTTATAAACTTAATAAAACATACTGTACATATATCACGAGAATGATGCTTATGTAACTTTATGCGCCAACCTTTAAAACAAACATTTGGTAAGAAATGATTCATTCCATAATTTATAAATTTTACACAAATGAATCATTTGAAATAGATAGATGCAATAATATGTATAGATCTGCGTACAAGAAGTCCATGTTATCTAGTCGGTACTCTTCCCTCATCATTGGGATTAAGCAATAACTGGTCACTCTCTTTTTTCTTTAGCTAAATTATTTAGCTACTAACCAAGTCTCTCAACAGATGGAGAGTAGACTTTATATTACTCAACAGATGAAAGAATTCATTTCGTATATAATAAAATAAAAAAATAAGAAATGAACTCTTGAAGATACGATGAGCTGCACTTGCTGATTGCTTGTTACTTAGTAATATTCTTGACGTGGAGTGGGTGCTCTTCACATCATGCACACCCATTAACGGTATATACTTTCGATCTGCTCATACACACGCCAACATGTGCTTAATTATAATCGAGAATTGCATCTACCTCTTTATTTTCTATATATTTAATTAACTTAATCTTATACGTATATATGTTGTGTCTTCTTCTACTATATTATGGTGGAAATTTCGAATTGAGATTCTTTTAACAAACTTTCGAATTCTTTTACCGTTTGAACTAATAATATCACTAGACAAATAATAAATTCATTTTAGTTATACTTTGCCACTACTTGCATTATTGTCTCAAGTCTTATCGTAGCCTTATGACAAATTAGTTGGACTTGGGTTTCTTAGAGTCAATTTTACACAATTCTAGATAACGAAAATTGAAATATTTTGTTTTTTATTCTAAAAAGGAACAAATAATGAAAGATGGAGTGGAGTAATGGTAGAGAGAGATGAAGGGAGAGCCGTAGATTCCGTGAGAGACAGGCTTGCATTGCACTTATCATTACTCCTTCCTTCCCTTCCTTCACCCAAACCTATATCTTAAACCTCTACTTCCTGTTTTTTTTTCCTTCAATAATAATTTTTTTTTCAAGATTGATTATTACAATAACATCACTCGACAGTCCACAAAAGTAGAGTCATGCATGGTTAACAAAATTCGACTTAAAAATAAAATATATAACAATGTATAGTAGAAGACAAGTTTTAATTTCATTTACGTTTGATTTGGTTTTAGTACAAGATAGCACATTTTTGAACATGTTAAGATTTTTAATTATTTTTTGAAATATATAATTTATATAAATTTTTCTTAGACTAACTTCTACAAAAAAAAAGAGTATTTTTTTTTTAAATAAGATCAAATCATACTTGGAAGAAATAATAATATGGAAATGGAACAGATGATGTAATGTTGAGTCAGAGAATCGTTATGCTATTTCACTATTCTGTCTTTAGATAATGTCTATTTTGAAGTAATATATGCCTAAAATTTGTTAAAATTCACTCATCAATGTGAAAAGTAAAAAACTAATTTGAACAAAAAAAACTAAAGAAACTATTTTGTGTGGTCACACCCCAAATAAATCGTTATACAGAGTAGAAAAACGGATAATGAAGTGGAACAAAAATACATTACTTTAGAAATTGTCTAAAATTGCACATATTTGGTTGCAAATGGTTACACACACTCTTTCTCTCTCTGTCTCAATGTATTGTGATTAGTTTGCCAAGTTGGGCAAATGGTAGAAGAGAGACAATAACAGAAGTACTAAATTTTAAGAGGCTACAAAAAGACAAGTCCAAACATATTCACACACTTAAAAAGCTTTTCTCTTATATTTTTGTTCTATATGTGTGGTGTCTCTCTTTGACTCCTCTCTTCCTATATCACTCACTATTTATGTATCCATCTCTCCACACATCTCTCTCCGTCCCACACACATCCCTCTTAACACATTACTATATATGCATCTCTCATCCTTAACTTCTTCATGATCAACAACACAAACTAATCCTCTTGCCCCTCCTCTCTGATTCTTCATCTCTTGATATTGTCTAATATAATGGAAGCGTTTGAAGAGGCGATAGCGGCATCAAAGGAGCAGTCTATGATCCTTAAAGGGAAGAGGACGAAGAGACAACGTCCGCAATCTCCTATTCCTTTCTCTATCTCCCCTCCTATAGTTTCTTCCCCGGCAAGAGACATTGAAGAAGAATCCACTGATCTTGATTCCAAGGACAATGCCCTAGGCAATAATGTTGAACCTCGAAAAAAGGATGGTGTGATCACGTCTTCATCTTCATCAGCCTCTTGGTCCTCCAACAACAACCCAGCATTGAAAGCCGAAGTAGACGAGGAAGATCAAGACATAGCCAATTGTCTGATCCTCCTTTCCCAAGGGCACTCTCTTCCCCACCACAACCAACAGCTCAAGATACCTTACCACGAAACAAACAACAACAGCAACAATAACGCGTATAGATTTAGCAGCAGGAGGTTTCTAGAGACTTCTTCTTCTAACGGTGGTGGTAAAGCGGGTTACTACGTTTATCAGTGCAAAACATGTGACCGGACGTTCCCTTCTTTTCAGGCTTTAGGTGGCCATAGAGCTAGCCACAAGAAACCTAAAAACACTTCTTTCTACTCCAGCCTTGACCCCAAGAAGAGCATCTATGAAAACGACGCCGTTTCACTCGTCACAAACACAACCCTTTACAAGAACAATAACAATAGATCGCTTGTCGCGTACGGTAAGGCAAGTAACAATAAGGTTCATGAATGTGGAATCTGTGGAGCCGAGTTTACGTCGGGACAAGCCCTAGGTGGCCACATGAGACGGCATAGAGGGGCGGTGGTTGTCCCGGCGGCGCCTCTCACAGTTACGGTGGCTACGGCTGCGGCCAACACGGAGCTATCACTGTCTTCGATGTCGTTCGATCAATTATCGGACGGTCAAGATCATCTGGTGATGCCAGCGGCAAAGATAGCTAAGAAGACGGTCGTGTCGTTGGATTTGGATCTGAACCTACCTGCACCGGAAGATGAGAATCGGGTCAACGGATTCAGCTTTGCTTCAAAGCAAAAGCACGAACAAGAACATCAACAGACGAAGCAAAGAGAAGAACCAAAGTCTCTTGTCTTGTCTGCTCCTTCTTTGGTGGATTGCCATTACTGATTTATTAATCTTTATTTTTTTTTTATAAATATTATACTCGAAATTTTTATCATTCATTGTTTCTCTATCAAACCTTTTTTTTTTTTTGTATAACCGATTCTTTGCTTGTTAAAGACTTACGAGATTCTTTTTTTGGGGTCCTTTTCACAGGAATACCAAAAGATAATCACTTTGTTAGTTTCGATTTGTTACAAAGAGAAATTGTATAAAATTTGATGTCACGTTCTTTTATACTTTTGATCAATATTTCCTTTTTATTTCCCAAGAAAAACTAAAGTTCATGAAAAAGGCGTGACGAGGGTCGAGTCTTTTTTTTTGTTTCTTCTGCAGTTCAAAGAAAAAGTTCTCCTTTCAGTTGAGAATAAAGTTTTAAGTTAAGGGTGAGAATTTTTCAATCACATAAGCGTTTTTGTTTTCGTTTTCTTTTTTTATTGCCGGTGACGATTTTTTCCCCGATAATGTTGTCATATAATAATACTCTATTCACATTCTGTTTAGTTGCAATGAATGAGTTTCCTAGATTCCAGGATCTCCACTCAAAGACAAGATTATCATCTTCTATTCTTCTTAAACTGATACTACTACTTATTTAACTCTCTCTTTTATAAAAGTAAACAAAAGAAAAGTGAAGCAAGAAAAAACCTCATATAGAAAAATAGCCCAAGCCCATATAACAGAACCCAACTTGAACCAAGAGCAAATCTAACAAGAGCCCAAATAGCCCAATTAGGAAGTAAGAGAGAACGTCTTGGAGTGGACGAGTTTGATCAAAGCGAGAACCAACAATTGCAGAAGATTGCTGTATGCTTCCTGAAATTGAGGAAGCTCTGTCCCAGATTATCGATTTAAGGCGAACGGGGAGTGGTTACGGTGGCAGATTGCCGGGAGAGAAGCAGAAATGATGTTTTGTCCCAGAAAAGGAAAGGAGGAAGTTCCATTAAAGCTTGTTCCTTTGGACTTTGGAGACCAAGTTTGAGTGGCAAATTTTCATATGTGAAGCGCGCGATTAACAATTTAGGGTTTATAATGCACTGGAAATTAGAAAAAAAATATATAAAAGAAAAGAAAAATGGACACTTTAATCGGTTTAAGGGTTCGTGACTGAAACAGATTCCTTGGTATTCAAGGCAGCTCTTTCTTGGTCTTCTCATTTTTCTTTATACAGGTCAAAATCGAAACCCATTTTATCAACTTTTTTATTTGGTGTGTTTTCGTCTCTACACGAGTGAGGTTTTGGGGGAGAGAGAGAATTTGGGAAAGGTGAAAAAAAAAGAGACTAGTACGGTTTTTCGTTAAATGTGTCGCGACTTGATGACTGTTGAGGCATTTCCGGCGCCGGCGGAAGTTCCGGCGAAGACAACGCTCCCTCCCGGCTTCCGATTTCACCCGTCAGACGAAGAACTCGTGAGCTATTACTTGAAGAAGAAGGTTCTGGGGAAACCCTGTTGCGACGCGATTGTGGAAATCGACATTAACAAGCACGAGCCTTGGGAGTTAGCAGGTTCCTTCCTTTCTCTCGATTGAATATTTTTTCGGTTCGGGTTTCGCGTCTGTGTTAGATTTCGTGTGTGAAGTGATAATTTCAGTCTACGAGAGAGTGTTTAACTCGGCGGATTCTAGAATTTTCAGTCGCCGGAGCTTTTGGCTGGTGCTTTTGTTATTCTTAGGTTATACACTAATTAACACTCTAATACGTCAAATGCGAGCTATCATTGCTTGGAATCTCAAGCATTTTCTCGCAATTTCTGTCTAGAATTGGTTGCTGGTTGTGTTTGAGAAAATGCAATTTTTGTAGATCTTTTAGTTATAGTCTTAGTGAATTATTTTGTGCTTGTGTTTCAGAGTATTCAAAGCTGAGGACAAGGGAGCAAGAATGCTACTTTTTCAGTGGTATTAAAGTGAGCCGAAGAACAAGCAATGGCTACTGGAAAACAACTGGAAAAGACGAGGAAATCCGCCGAGGAAATAAACACTTGATTGGTATGAGAAAGACTCTTGTTTTCTACTGTGGTCGTGCTCCATACGGTCTTCGAACCGATTGGTTGATCCATGAGTATCGCCTCCTTGATGATGATGAACCACAACAGAATCAAGCCCCTCAGGTCTTTTTATTGTCTACAAGATTTGATTTTTGGTTATGTATTTTGCTTAGATGGTGCTGCCAATAGTCTCCTTGATACATAAATCTAGATATGTGTCATTCTTGTTGTCTTGATGTTTTTTCTTCTTTATGGTATTGATTCTGGATTTCAATCTTGTTTCACTTCTCTATCTACAGGTGCAGCAAGGTGCGTACGTGCTGTGCAAATTGTTCCTCAATAAGCCTAGAGGAAACTGTGATGCAGCCTTCATGGAAGAAGAGTTGGATGGAGAAAATGTGAGGGTCATGGCAGATCATGTTCCATTTGTTGTGGATGCCAATGTCATCAACGAGCTTCCGAGAGAGTTTGAGATTGATAACGATCACATAGCAGAGTATCCACATAATGATGATGAGACACTACTGATGAGAGAATCCGCAGCAGCAGAAGTGCTTCCTCTTTGTGTCCTCAACAAAGAAGCTCCATTGCCTCTCATCCAATACAAACGCAAACGCAAAAACGAATCTTTAGGAAACACACTGAAGGAAGAAGCTCTCCCTCTTTGCCTCTTCAACAAAGAAGCTCCATTGCCTCTCATTCAATACAAACGCAAACGCAAAACCACTCAGGACCATTGTCCTTCCACAACAACAACAGTCGACACATCCATTGCTGCCATGGCCGCGGTGCTGCTGGATTTCTCCCTCACGGGTTGTTCAAAGGAAGAGAATCTGCGGACGAAGGAGAACAAAACAGAATCAGTTGTTACAATGGGGCCTAAAGCAAGCTCATACACAAAACCGATCAAAGATGTGCAAAAGGAGAAGAATCACCAGATAGTTGTGGAGAGAGACAAGTTAAAGCTTGATTTGATGAGTGCAGAAATGATTATAAACTTGCTTCAGGGGAGGATTAATGCGTTGCGTGATGAGAACGAGGAGCTGAGAAAGAACATCAGCAGCAGCAACAACAACCACCCTGGACAAATGCTCTGAAAATGACAGAACAAAAGCTTAACCCTGCAATAAAGTCATCTCTTGTAATTCTCTAGCTTCTTGTGCTTCCATGGCCTCGCATAAGAGTTGTAATTCCAGTGAGCTATGGATGGAGAGGGAACGATGCGAATCTCTATGATTGTATATATGATCATCTCTAGTCATTGTTTAAAAAATAGAACAAATCTTTGTTCAGTCTCCAATTCTCCATGAGAAGAGCTTCTTTTGACCTTTGGAAGTCAAAGTCAAACAACGCTTAATGGAGCCAGTGGAGGTTGTTTCTGTAATTTCGGTTCAGCGTTACAGATCTTAGGAATGTGGCAGCGTGCGTCAGGACGCTATAAGACTTTCGTTTCACGTAAGCAAAAAAGGGGTTTGGTGTAAATGAAATGGATAAGTTTTAAGTTTTTTATTCTTTACAAAAATGGATGCTTAAAAACTGGCTTTTGAGTGAGGCCATGTTCGTTTGTTCGAAACGTATGTCCTTGTCAAGTTATTATCTTTAACTTAAAGTTTTGGGTTTTACTGACTCACATAACTACTCGCCATTCTTTATTGTCTTTGTAAACTTCCGAGATTATTACTTTTTTGTTAAAAGGCCTAACTTCGGAGACTAATGGCAATAGCAATTTGAAAGCAGATAGTTTGGTTATCCATAATAAGTAACAATACAAACCAAATAACTAGTAACTAAAAAGGAACATATAATCTATGTGTCATAAATACAAATTTTCTCATCATTATATATATAGACATCTAATTATGTATTACCTATTTTACATGTAGGTAATTTGATAATCAGTTCAAAGGCTTTTGTAGGGTAAAATTTTGATATTATGCCAACAAAAAATAAATAGATTGAAAAAGCAGATTTGCGTCCCAACGACCTCGAAATGTTGGAAATCGGAATCTTCTAGAATCAAAAAACATAGCTAAGGTGTTGACGTGTCACCTAACTAGAAGCTGTCATTATACAAATATCACCGAGCCGTCACTGAAAATTTGTCTCCAATCTCACCTTCGTGGAAGATTTTAAAACCTTCGCTGCGTGAAATCTTTTTTAATTTTTTTTTCCACGGTTGCTTAACACCAATGCCAATGGCATCGTGATCGTCTCTCTCTCCTCCGTTTATTTCGCCTTTTCCAATTTTTCCCAATTCTTCTTAAAACCCTAATTTTCGTAATCTTAAATTAATCTGCTATTGCTCTCTCGAATCGGCTGCATCTACTCTGGATTTTACCTCGTAGAAGAAAACCCTTAAATTCTCCTCCGAGCTCGAGTTTTGTGTTCTGGTTCACCGATTGATGGGTCGCGGCTCAGTGACGTCGCTCGCTCCTGGATTCCGTTTCCACCCTACGGACGAGGAGCTCGTTCGCTACTACCTGAAGCGCAAGGTCTGCAACAAACCCTTCAAGTTCGATGCTATTTCCGTCACCGATATTTACAAATCCGAGCCCTGGGATCTACCAGGTTACTTTTCCAAGCTCCCTTCTTTTTCTCTCTCTATTGTTAGATCGAATTCCGTAGCTCAATTATGATCTAGAATTCTGTTTGACATCGATTGGATTTTGTCTTTTGTTTGTGTGTGGGGATGGATTTAGATAAGTCGAAGCTGAAAAGTAGAGACTTGGAGTGGTACTTCTTTAGTATGCTGGATAAGAAATACAGCAATGGCTCGAAGACGAATCGGGCGACGGAGAAAGGCTACTGGAAGACGACAGGGAAGGATCGGGAGATTCGAAATGGTTCAAGAGTCGTCGGGATGAAGAAGACACTTGTTTATCACAAGGGTCGTGCTCCTCGTGGTGAAAGGACCAACTGGGTCATGCATGAGTATCGGCTTACTGATGAAGAGTTGAAGAAAGCTGGTGTGCCACAAGTAAGATCAATTGGGTTCCTCTCTTTTTACCTTTTCTGAATCGAATATCAAACCTTTTTATGCCAATAGATTGAGTTATTGACTTTGTTGGGTCGTTGTGGGGGTTGGTGGAACAGGATGCATTTGTGCTATGTAGGATATTCCAGAAAAGCGGCACGGGGCCTAAGAATGGCGAGCAGTACGGTGCTCCATTTCTTGAGGAGGAGTGGGAAGAGGATAAAATGACATATGTACCCGAGCAAGATGCTTTGAGTGAAGGATTGGCTGTTGATGATGATGTTTATGTCGACATTGATGAGTTTGATGAGGTATGTGTAAGAAGTAGTAGTTCCTACCTTTTATCAACTATTTCAGCAATATTTTCTCTTTATTGATCAATGTGTAGTGTAAGTAAGAGTGTTTAGGTGATACGGTTAGAAAAAATAGCCTGGGATAACGCAAATGAACAAAGTGATTAAGTAAAGTGGTTACAGAATATGATACTGTGTACCTGTTTAGATTATAGGTTAGAGTTGTGTGTTAGTTAGCTTTGGTTCTCTCGTATTGATGGTAACATACATTTCTATGTCATCTATCGTTCATGGCATTTCTTCTGTGTGAGCGTCTGAATCCGGTTTTCTTTTGTAGAAGCCTGAAAATATGGTGGTCTATGATGCCGTTCCTATTGAGCCTAACTACTTCCAGGGGGAATCAAGCAATAATGTCGAATCAGGAAACTACTCAGACTCTGGAAATTACATTCAACCAGGAAACTATGTTGTTGACTCTGGTGGCTACTTTGGACAAGCAAATGAAACTTTTGAGGAAGATCAGAAGCCTATCATTCGGGATGGTAGCATTCAGCCTTGTACTATGTTTCCGGATGAACAGATTGGTTGTGATGTGCAAGATGAGAACGCGGTGAATCTGGAAACTCCCAACAAGAATGAGTTTGTGGCTGATACTTGCTACAGTGACATTCCTATTGATACCAACTATATGCCTGATGAGCCGTTCATGGATCCTAACAACAATCTTCCTCTCAGTGATGGTCTGTACAACGATCTTCCACTCAGTGATGGTCTGTACCTGGAAACGAATGATCTCGGCAGTACTCTACAAGACGGTTTTAACTTTGAAGATTACCTTAACATCTTTGACGATGAGGATGCTCAGAATTTGAGTATTGATGTTTCTCAATTGATGGGATCTGAAGATGCTCTTCCTGACCAAGAGAGCCTCGACCAGAAAGTAAGAGTCTTGAATTTGATGTGCTTAATTTTTGTGTGTGTTAAGTCCTTCCTAACTTACCTTTTACACCAACAGCCTTCCCCTGAAGAATTGGAGAAGGAGGCTGCAGAAGACAAAGAAGCGGTGGAGAACAAGGAAAGTGGCGAAGGATCTTCCTCAAAACAGGATGCAGATGTCACAGACTTCGATTCAGGTAACACTCAGATGTTCATAGACTCCTCGTCGAACACAAATCATTTGATGACTGATTCTGACTCTTTTGAAACTGAATCCTTTGCAGGTTCGAAGTACCCTTTCCTCAAAAAGGCGAGCCACATGTTTGGAGCCATTTCTGCTCCGTCTTCATTTTCTTCCCAGTTCAAGACAAAGGACGCTGCAATCCGGCTACACGCAGCTCAGTCTTCAGGTTCAGTTCACGTCACTGCAGGTATGATCCGAATATCAAATATGGCTTTAGCAGCGGATAGCGGAATGGGGTGGTCTTACGACAAGAACGGCAACCTCAACGTGGTCCTTTCTTTCGGCTTGGTCCAACGGGACGATGCGATGAGTTCCTCTGTAAGCAAGACTGGAGGAACTACAGCGACAAGAGCTATGTTGATCTTCATATGTTTATGGGTTCTCTTACTGTCTGTTAGCTTCAAAATAGGAACCATGGTCTCTGCTCGGTGATAGCTTCAAAAGTTGAATCGTCTCAAGAAAAACTTTTTGTGTTTGTACCTCTCCAATTATATAGGGTTTACTTTGGCAGTACTTTGCTGCCCAATATTTTATTTGTCATTTCAAGGTTATTTGTGTTGTTTGAATTCTCTCTATGATTTCTAGCTTCGAGTTTCTAGAAATAAGAATATGACCTTTTTTATGACAGTTAATCATTTTATCCTTCCTCTTTCTTAGTTGTTACTTTAAAATGTTTCCATATATAAACGAAAAAAAATCAAGATACCTGTTAAATATTTAACTGTAAATTCTCCAATAAACAAGGGGAAAAAGCATTCATAACAAACAACCTGATTCTGAATCTTTGTAAAATAAATGAACTTATATCCGAGACTCTCTCACACTCAAAAATTATAACAAATGTTTGATTTCTGTCTCTGTTGGCCTCAAACGTTGCGCTTCTGCAAAGTATTTGTATCTGTATATCCAAATTTCTTGGTGTTTTACCTTGCAACCCAACCCCAAACACCACCAGAGCCTCGCCTTTTCACGGTACCGTCTTCTCCTTCTTCAGATGCTGACTTCTGTCTTCTAAGCATCTCAACTTCAGCTTCTATGGCTTGTCCTGACTCCAATGCTTTCTGCAATTCTGCTATTTGTGCCTGAGACATGCCATTAGATAGAATATTAGAATCTCGATTGAGTTGGAGATTTTGGAAAAGAGATATAAAAGGCAAAAACTTTAGCAGACGATCAAGGTAAGGAGGAGGTTTATAAACCTCGAGTTTAAAGCATCTTGACCGTTCTGAGATAAGTTGACCTTGTACAGATTGTAGTTCCTGCGTTTAATGTCAAAAAATATTGTCAGCCGCGCGAAAAGGTGACAGCAATTAACTTGTGACCAGACGGAGATACGTACTTGAGATAGCTCAGTGTGGCTGTTATTAACTTCATCTATCTTTTCTTTGAGCTTCGAGTTTTCTACTTTGGTTTCTGCAACAGATGACTCCAGTGATCTTTTCTCTTCTTTGACTGCATCGATTCTCTTCCTGATATCTCCCTCAGAGAAAGTGTTTCCTATTCCATTGAGAGTTGGGTTTGCAGGTGGAGGGAAATCTGACTTTTCTGACTTGGCTATGGCATAAGCAGCAGTGACAGAGGCTGCAGCTGCAGCGGCTGCTGGTGACTTGAAGATTTTGGGATGCGAAGATTCTCCTGGTTTTAGTCTCATGACGAATATCTGTGTGAAAAGAAGACAAGAGCCGAATTTAATAATTAATACACATCAATAAGACAAAGACTTGAATAAGTTGTATTCTGTTGCTATAAACCCTCACATCATTGTTATACTTCCCGTTATAGCCGCCAAAAGCTACTAAGATGCTCTCTCCGAATACTGATGCTGAGCACACACTGAGACCCTGCAGATGAATCATACAAGAACACATAAGAAAACTCGGATAGGAAAAAAGAATGAAACATCTAAGATTGGATTAGTAGTTTTGGAAGTATCGACCTCACTAGCAAGCGGATGTCTTGCTTCTACATGGGCTGATGCAGACCAAACCATCTTCGACATATTTAGAACAAATGTCTCTAAACAACCTGCACAGGAAAGAGAAGAGTTACGACAGAGGAGAGGTGCATGCAGAGTATTAACTGCAGAGGAGACTTTATTCTAGAAGTAGAGAGTGTAATTACCGTTACTGTTATCACCGCCCCCAACGATGTACCAGTTTTCACTAATGGTTATTCCAGCGTGTCCTGCCCGAGGAGTTACATCATCTCCCTGAACCTGAGGCTGTGACCACTCCATCTGCCACGAGTTGGAGAAACTCATCAGAATATGATGAAAATGGCAAAGCAAATTCAAGGAAATGTGCTTACAGTTTGCAAGTCAAGGATGTGAAGATCACTAAAGAAGATCGAATGAGAACAACCACCAAAAATCAAGAGGTAGCGATCGGAATGTGTGGCAGCTGTGTGATCAAATCTGGGAACTGGGCGTGTCTGCCTATCAATTGGAAAAGGAAATATTACACACGATACCAAGCATTTAGATGTCAGACCAGGTAGGCAAAACTGCAGTAAACATATGCATGGATCTAGCTGCATAAACTTACGTTGTCTCTACCACATCCCAAGTCATTGTCTCGAGATCAAGAACATGCAGATCATTCAGCAGTCTCCTGTTCTTATCTTCCCCACCAAAAACAAAAACTCTGGAACCGACCAGTGTAATGGAATGTCCACCACGTGATACCTGGAAAACATGGAAGGTACATAAACAAACTATCCGAAAATTTGTATCAACCAGCACTTCAGATAGCTATACACTTACCGGAACATTCCCCCAAGTATCAATGACTCCACACAAATGTGTTTCCAAATTGATGAACCTCACTGCAAGGACAGCACTGAACACACGATAAGAATCTAAAGCGCATGTAACTGATACCTTTTCTTTAGCATCTCACAGAACATAAAAAGAACAAGCAAGCTGGATGTGGCTAACCTGACAAGTTAACTGATGATTGCTTGGAGTGGCCACCGATCAGAAGAAGCTTGTTTCCCCACTTGATCTGCCAAAATCTTCGAAATCAACATTTCTAAATATGATTGCAAAATTCCTACTTCATGTAGAGGACTTACAATGCGATGGTCTGAGATAGCAGGAAAAGCTTCCCGTAAGCTAACACCTTCATCTTCGGCGTTCTCAGCATTTGATGATTCAGTTTTCAGTTTCAAACTAGACCAAGTCAAACTTCTGAGATCAAACACCTGATGAGATTGAGTATTTCGGATCAATATAGATTCATGAAACAAAAAGAAGAAACACAGACGCACAGAAACAGAGACAAGAAACACAAAATACCTGAACATCAGATAAATATCGTCCATTCCGGCTACCACCGACAATGTACAGTTTCTCATCAACAACCACTGCCGCATGCTGCAGTTCCCAGACAACAGATGAACATATTAAGAGATAAGTATCTCCAATCAACAAAATGCTGAAACTAAAACCACCAAGAATTTGAATACAAAGAAGTTCCACAGAGACGATCAATCAATCACCTTGTAACGAGCTGATGCTCGGGAGCCAGATACAAGGAGTGGTGTCCATTCATCGTGGGGGAGATTTGAATGCCAATCACCAACGTCTATTTCTTTCCTGATCTCTTCCATTTCCAGAAGCAGCGACACAAGACTACGTCACAGCTTCACTCTGCCATTTTGAGAACAAGTTATGAGATGAGTTTGGATCTCATCTGACTAAAGCATTGGACACTGATACACGAAACTCTATAATCAAGTAGACACGACTGCTAAAATCCAGAATTTAGCTTCTCAGGAGTCAGGATCCGTCATTTCCACGGATTACACATGGAAAAGAAGGAGAAAATGACGAGATCCTGACACCGGAATCATTCTCGATGACGATCACGAAATAAGACATTGGACATTGCAATAACAAAGAGATCTGACACCAAATTCGAAATTGCTTTCACCAACGTCAGATATGAGATAAACGGAGAATTAAAGGGGAAGGAGAAAGACGAACATAAATTCAGAAACCGAAATGACGGCGATGGACAGAGCCGCCGGTTAACGCGAATGGTATCGGAGCCTGAGAGGGAAGAAGGATCGTGACAACTGAGATCGAATCTCCAACTGTATTAAACTTTATGGGCACTTTGATAAATAATTAAAAGTCTCCGTCCCTTCGGTAAATATAAATATAAAATGTTCCGGGTGCGTCTGTAAATATGTAACGTTACCGGTCGGCAATGTAAATACCAGAGGATACGAGTTTTATTGTAAATAGTAAAAACTACGTGCAGTTCGGTAAATAACTAAAGTTTCGTGAACTTAAGCGAATAATTAAAGTTATGGGTACTCAAATATTAAATTGAGAAATTTAATGGGTCTGGTATATGAATAGCAGAAAATATTGATAAACAGCAAAACTAGAAGCAAAAGCAATGTAATGGTTGATTATTGTAAATTGTTACAACAGAAAGAACTCAAAGGGAAACAAAACTTGAACAAAATGCAATAAAGTTATTAAAAAAACAGAAACTTCTAGCTCCAAATCTGCTTCTCTCCCAGAGAAAAACACATTATATAAAGTCAAGACATAAAAAACAAAAACGAAAAAACAAATAACGCTCCTAGAGAGAAACCTCTGCCTCACTCTCAAAGATGATTTGTGATCCCCATCTCATATAGCTTAAGCCTCAACAAATGAACCAAAGATAGGAACCGAGATGGATACTCTTTACTCGGTGACTCTCTCTGAGGCTGAATCAACTTTCTGTTTTATCATTGTCTCAGCTTGTTGGATTGCTCTCTGTGGCCCTGTGATACTCACTTTCCTGTCAATATTAAGCCATATCACAAGTTTAGTCTATCAGAGATGTTTATATAACACATTGCTCGGTTATACCACTACAACCAAATAAATGTTAACTGTACCTATCATTGGTTCCGGACATGAAATCGCCTCGGTCTGATATTTTGATTCGGGCACCAGTCATCTGCGAGGAAGTAAAGTGGGCTTTTTAAGCTTTTGGTAGACTGAAAGATTTGAAACCAAGGGTTGGAAGATAAAGTACAGACCTGAGTGATCTCCATGATGTTTCTTCCTCCACGGCCAAGGACCAATCCTATATGCTCATCCGAGACACCAATTGTCACCGTGGTACTAGCTTCTTCCTGGAATAGTTACCAAAACTCAGCTTTAGGTAATGAATATACAAGCTTATATGCTATAGCAATGTTTTGTATTATCAGGTTGAGAAGAGACTAACCTTATGGTTTTGATACTTGCCTCCGGAGCCGTTTGGTGCGTAGTTAACCGAATTGTATCCCGCTGTTGCAACAGAAGGAACCACATACGCATATGGATGACCATGAAAACCAGAGTGGAAAAGACCTAAAATGCCGAATTAAAAGGAACTTACAAGAGAATTAAGCTTATCAACAGACAAGCATCATACACTATCCTCAAACTAGAAATAAAATCTATGTGAGATGAAAGATACTAAGCCCCATTACTACCCTAGTTGACATCTGACAATCTAATCTAACATTTTTCAAGCGATATCATCCAGCATCTACATTTGGCACTTATACTGTTCACATGACCGTGTACTGTCATGTGTGGTGGTGACTTAACAGTCTTTCCATACAACAAACAATTTACATAGTGTCAATTCAAGAGTCAGAGAATGTCCTGAAATGATCTAAACATTTACTCTATTGCTTTCCCAGCATGAATAAATGCTATGCAATCAAAATCATACAAGACACAATAACATAATAATCTAAGCTACTACTGAGTTAATACCTCCATATGAATATGGGGAATGTACGTTCTGGGAGTAATGATCGTCCTCGGTAAGCTTAGCCAAAATCAAATCAATTGCCCGCATCTGCTCCTCGAAGGTTCCAGATAAAGTCACTAGCCTATCACTCAGCCCGTAGTAGGTATTATCCAGAGGTGATATCTTGATACCAGCTTTAGATTCCTCAATGAATGACCTGTGGTCAAAAGAAAGAAACAGGAAATGATTAGTGTGCTAATCCATTTTGGTAAATATCAAATGGTTTAGTGTGCTACAGGAAATGATGTTAAGGGAAACAGAGTATGGAAGATACGACAGCCTCATAGAATCTGCGACAAATACAGAACATAAACTCACTTGATGGTAGCCCCTCCTTTACCAATTATGCCTCCGCAAGAACTGTTAGGAACCACAAGTCTTATTCTTCTCCTAGGCTCAACATCAGTGCCCTCTTCAGCATGAAGCTAACAATCAAGTAAAAAAATAAAAAATCAGATTTCATAATGGCATAATATATACATTAGTTCAACGCAATTGTCACATGAAATACAATACAAATTAGTCAAACACGACTCAAAGCAATTACCTCACTGTGCAATTTATCAAGGATAAGTTCCAATCCAGCGACAACTTCTCTAGTCGTCCCAGATATCATAATAATTCTATCAGTCGTCCCAGGGAAAAACTCTTGGTTACGTGAAAGCTGGATCCTTGCACCGGACTTTGCCTGAAATTCAGTGATGGTCGAGCCACCTTTCCCAATGACGGAGCCAGCTGCCGCATTGGATACAAGAAACCGAATGTGCGTTGGCTTCTCAGCAGAGTCTGAAAACGACAATACACATTAAACGGTCAAAGAGAGAGCATAGCATCCTCATCAATTCATCACATTTTGGAAAAATCTACAAGGTTTTCTTCAAAGAGCGAACTTTAATTTCATTGAACAGAACACACAAGGTAATAGTGTAATTTAACCATTCTCAGAGAATTGATTCTATCGCACCAAAAAATCTACTCCCACGTTTTCATCGGCAAACAAAATTAATGACCCAATTACGATGTCAAATCACAGAATACTAAAACGGGATTCGATTCACGAAGGTGACGAAATACCAAACATTTGAATCAGAGTCGAATAAAATGTATCTTCATTGTTCAATCACTACCACGATGGAAAAAAACAAAAGACCAGATCGGATCGAAAATCAAAATACCAGCTTCCGAAGAATCGTTCGGTTCCGGGGATCTCTTCGTCAGCTCTTCAGGGGAAGCTGCCGCATACGACTCGGTAGACTCCATTGCCGCTGCATAAGATAGAGGAAAAACCGAATCAACCAATCGACATTACCAAAACAATGAACGAAAGGAAGGACGGTAAAGAGATAAGACTGGTTCGTCGAAATCTGAGATTGAGTATAATATTCCGAAGTTTACCTGTCCTCGCACGATTTGAATCTCCTACTTCCGTCGTCGTCGTCGCCGTCAATTTGCGGCTGTGATTCCGAATCTAAGCAAAGAGTGAGTCTGGATGTGCGTCTCTCGTCCCTCTCTGGATTCCTCGGCTTCTTCGTCTTTGTCGCCGAGCGGTTTGTGAAGTGAATGAAGGTGGCTCTGGTGTCTTTCGTCTATCTCTATCCACTAGGCTGCTTATTCTAATATTTACATTTTTTTTTATTCTCGTTTATTCTTATTGACCGCCTCTCTCTCTTTCTCATTTATTTTATTTTCCTTTACATCAATTCTCACTTTTATTTTTAAAAAACATAAACTCAACTCAACTCTTTTTGAGCGACATCAATTGTACTTTAATTATAAGCTTCCTCAAATTGCAGAATCCATTGACAATGGAAATTGTACCATATGGTAGATTTATCAATAAACTAGCAAAATAGATGTGTAACACATATCAAAACACAAAAGTCTAGTAAAAATTGTCATATAACCTTCTAAATTAAATCAGTGACATCTAACAAAATTTAAACCAAGCAAGGAAAACCAATTAAGCTATCCAGCTTGATGAGACATGTCAACAATCAGTAGATCTCTTTCTTGTTCTTTTTTTTGAGAAAAGGGTTTTGCATAGATCTTGAAATAAATTAAATACAACATTTCTCAACTTGTATTTTTTGTTTCTTCCTCAAATTGTGTTGTTACGGTAAGAGTTGACGAAGACTATAGAGATTTAGATACCATTAATGGTAATGAATGTTTGTGATTTGAATCGCTCGATCAATGAAGTGAGATATTATTATATGGTGATTTGGTATTTAGTCGGACAATAATGGGAAGTGGCAACTTGTGTTTCAATCACGACTACCCAGCTTCATTGGTTCAAGTTAAACCCTCATTATAAAACTTTAGCTATTTCGTGTGGGTCATAAACTAACATAACATTACATTATACATTTGGAGAAGACCAACCAAATCATGTTCAACTACTTCCTATTTTACGTTTTTACTATTTAAAACAGCAATAACGATAGTAATAAGCAAAGTAAGCAGCTGCTTGCGTTATTTAGAGTTAAATTTAAAATTTCGGCCCTAAATTACAAATATGTCTTTAGTCTATTGATAATCTTGTAGTGCTAAGTTCTGTGATTGCCTGAGTTCGAACCCCTCTCTCCTCACAGCTTTTAGTTTTTTTTTTTAATCCTTTTTTAATAAACTAATTAAATTAAAACTATGATACAAAAAAAAAAACAAAAACCCAGTTGAACCCTACTTTTTCTTCTTCCTCCGGTGCTCTGTGCAGATGGCAGGCAAGTTAGCTGGGAACAATTCAAGACAAGCCTTGGGTGAATCTTCGGATCAGATGGTGGTGACTCCGTTTGAAGTCTCTGCGAAAGAGGGTGAGAAGATCGATTACAACAAGCTTATTGACAAATTTGGGTGCCAAAGGATCAAGGAGTCGCTGATTGATCGTGTTGAAAGTCTGACTGGTCGTCAACCACACGTATTCCTCCGCCGCGGTGTATTCTTCGCCCACAGGTTCGAAATTCACTACTGATTTTATGAATCTGCTTGTTTTTATGAATTTTATTACACTTGTTAAATTACTTGTTTGATTTCTTAGGGATTTGGATGTCATATTGGACGCCGGAGCAAAGTTTTATCTCTACACAGGGAGAGGACCTTCCTCGGAGGCTTTGCATTTGGGGCACTTGATTCCTTTCATGTTTACCAAATACTTGCAAGAAGCTTTCAAGGTCCCCCTTGTTATACAGCTCACGGACGATGAGAAATTCACGTGGAAGAACAACTTATCCGTCGAGGAAACTAAAAGACTAGCTAGAGAGAACGCCAAGGATATCATTGCTTGTGGATTTGATGTCACAAAGACTTCCTTTTCTCGGATTTCGACTATCTTGGAGGGTAAGTGAAATCAATTTTTATGGATAAAATTAATCCTGAAGATTGCTTTAGCTCATAAGAATTTTGGGTTTTGATGTTTACTTCTTTTTGTGTGTATAGTGCTTTCTATGAGAATATGGTTAAGATTGGAAGGTGCCTTGGATATAATAAGGTGAGTGACTTTACTCTCTATCTCCTTGAATTGGGCTCATGTATGCTTATACTTGCTTTCGAGTCGCTGATTTTTCATGTTTTTGTTAGGCTAAGGAGATGTTTGGCTTTTCCGGTGATGATTATATTGCAAAGCTCAGTGTTCCTTTGGTGCAAGCAGCTCCGTCTTTTGCGAGCTCATTCCCACAATTGTTCCCTGGCAAAGGCAATCTCCGTTGCTTGATTCCTTGTGCAGTCGACCAGGTTTGTGATCATCATATTGAGTCTCTTCTTCTTTGTTACCTGTGCTGCCTTGGTAGTATAATGGGTTTTTTTTTTTTTCAGGATTCCTGTTTTAGAATGGCTCGTGATTTTGCACCTCCGCTAGGCTATAGGAAGCCTGCTTTGATTGAGTCATCATTTTTTCCTGCTCTCCAGGCAAGTGTTTGTTACACACACACACACACACACACACTTTCTTGTTTTTGAAACTAATTGAATGCCTTGGTCAAATTTTCACAGGGAGTGCATGTAAAAGTATCTGCTAGTGATCCAGATTCCGCTATCTATTTGACTGATACCGCCAAGGCTATTGCCAGAAAGATAAACAAAAAAGCGTTTAGTGGTGGGAAAGACAGCGAGAAGGAGCATATCGAATTCGGAGCAAATCTCGAGGTACAAAAAATTCTATTGATAGCGGATTCGAAACTGTTTTCGTGATAATCATCAGTCTTGGTGCTATAATACTTAAAGTCTAAGTCTTTGTTTCTGGTAAATAAACTATTTTACAGAAAGACATACCGTTCAAGTATTTGAGTTTCTTCCTCGAAGATGATATTGAGCTTGAACAAATTAGAAAGGTACATAGACCTCTGTCAATATATAACAAGTCAGAATTTTATCTCTGTATCTGAATATCGTTACTTTCAGGAGTATGGAGAAGGTCCGAAGCTACCCGGAGGAGAACAAAGGATGATGACCGGAGCTGTAAAGAAGCGAGTCGCTCAAGTGTTGACACAAGTCGTGGAGAGACACCGCAGGGCTCGAGCTGACGTTACCGAGGAGGTAATCATCTGTTCTTCTCAAAACTATTGATCAAGATTCCAAAATATCTTTTAACGGAATCTTACAAAACAGCTGGTGGATGCATTCATGGCCGTGAGACCTCTCCCAACCAAGTCTGAAGCTTGGGAGCAAGTGGAGAGTCCACGAGGGAAGATGAAGATGGATGACGACAAGCTTATTGACGAGTCACTGATTGATCGTGTTAAAAGACTGACTGGTCGTGAACCACACGTATTCCTCCGCCGTGGTGTCTTTAACTCCCACCAGGATTTCAATGAGATATTAGATGCGTACGAAGGAGGAGAGATGTTCTATCTCTTCAGTGGCAGAGGAGCTTCATCGGAAGCTTTGCGTATAGGGGATTTGATTCCTCTCATGTTTACCAAATACTTGCAAGAAGCTTTCGGCGTTCCTGTTGTTGTACAGCTCAGGGATGATGGCGATTGCTCATTATCAGATGAGGAAGTTCGAAGACGTGCCAGGGAAAGTGCGAAAGATATCATTGCTTGTGGATTCGATGTAACAAATACGTTCATTTTCTCGGATCTCGGCTATATTGGCGGGTAAGATATATGCTTTAGCTCAATACGTGGATGCTTCATGCTTCTTTATATATATGTTTGGGCTCTCATGTCTACATTTTGTGTGTCTAGTGCTTTCTACAAGAATATGGTCAAGATTGGACAGTGCGTTACAGTTAATAAGGCAAGGGGAATCTTTGGCTTTTCCGATGAAGATTGTCTCTCGAAATACTCTTTTCCTCCTGTTCAGGCATCTCCATCTTTTCCGAGCTCATTTCCACATTTGTTCTCTGGCATGGACAAGCTCCCTTGTCTGATTCCTTGTGCAATTGACCAGGTTTGCCTTTTCATCCAAATTCAGTCTCTTTTGGTGTTATAATTTACACAAGAATCTTTTCCTTATTTTGGTATTTGTTCTTGTTTCAGGATCCTTATTTTAGAATGACTCGTGATGTCGCGCCCCGGTTAGGCTTTAGCAAGCCTTCTCTAATTGAGTCAACATTTTTTCCTGGTCTGCAGGTGAGTGCTTTTCTCTTAACTATACTCTCTAATAAGGATTATTGCAAGTTATAGATAATACTGTATTGATTGCCTTTTGTCAATTTTGTTTCGCAGGGATTTAACGGAAAAATGTCTGCGAGTGATCCAAATTCCGCTATCTATGTCACTGATACCGCGGAGGATATTGCATACAAGGTGAAAAAAATTCTGTAAATTTTTAACTGTACAGATGATTCGATACCTAATCCTAATAATGAAATCAGATCATTGCATCTAATATCTTAAACTTGATGCGGTTTTTACATGCAGATAAACAAATGTAAGCAGCAGACCGACAAGGAGTGTAGAGATCTCGAGGTAAGGAAATTCCGTATTCACAAATATATATAGTTTAAGGACATTCCGTATTCACAAAGAGTTTATTTTGACAGGAAGACATACCGTTCCAGTATTTGAGTTTCTTCCTCGAAGATGATGATGAACTTGAACGCATTCGAAAGGTACATAAATCTGTCAATTAGATCACTACTGTATATGGAGGAGAATGTGTCTGCATCTGAATACTGTTACTATATGTATATTTCAGGATTATGGAGAAGGAAAAATGTTACCTGGAGACGTAAAGAAGCGACTCATTGAAGTGTTGACAAGCATTGTGGAGAGACATCGTAGTGCTCGAGCTGCCGTTACTGATGAGATGGTTGATACCTTCATGGCCGTGAGACTTGTCCCAACCATATCATAGGAGAATTAGTTTTTTTCATTGCTGATTTTGTAAAGCTATAACTTCATTAGTGAAATATTTTAAAAGAAATCTGATTCTTACATACGTGGAATCCAGTAAAAAAAAAGTGAAAAAAAAAGTGAATTATTAATTTGCGGAAATTAGGGGGAACGAATCATTCTAGTTATAATATTTTCTACTGGACACGGGCTCTTACTTATTGCACGGGCTCTTATTGGGCTTGCTTTCATTCTGTAGTGAAAAACGTCAGCAGGCTAATATGCGCCGTAGAAAGCTTGTGGTGATGGTGGTGCCCGATCTCCGTCGACCCACAATCTTATCATCCTTCTCTCTCTCTCTCTCTCTCTCACCTTCGATTCTGTGTTAAGCTTAAACAAACAAAAAACGCCGTCATTTCAGCTATGGCGTTGAGCTCAGCTACTCATAGACTTACCTCCTTGTCGTTCTCGGCGAAGAAGAAGACGAATCGAAATCCACCTCTCTCCTTCGCCATCACTTGCTCATCCTCCTATGACGAATCACCTAAACCTTCTTCACTCGCCTCCTCTTCTTCTTCTACTCCACCAATTCGCGTCTCCTCGAGCTCTGTCCCCAAAGCTCGATTCGTCTCTCGCCACAAACAGTCCGTCTCCGTTCGCCAGCTCCAGCGACCTCTAAGTAACCTCAGCGCTATTTTTGGGCAATCATTTCGCTTGATCTAAAATCTCTGTTTATTGTGGATGGTTGAATCTGGATCGGATTTGTTTTTTGCAGTCGAGTATATGAGCTTACCTGCAAGTCAGTACTCGGTGCTTGATGCGGAGAGGATTGAGAGAATTGATGATAACACGTTCAGATGCTATGTTTACACGTTCAAGTTCTTCAACTTTGAAGTCTGCCCTGTTTTGCTTGTCAGGGTCGAAGAACAGCCTAACGGCTGCTGCATCAAGCTCTTGTCCTGCAAGGTACTCATTCGTTTATTCGAATGGAAACTGAATGAAATGATAGAATTCGCTAACAAAGAGAACAACTTGTGGCTATTAGACATACAACTTGAATCAAATTAACTCGTTACTTTGCTCTGTTCACGTGTGATTATATGATTGTTACGATTATGATGGCTTTTTTCATTTTCTTGTGCTATATATAGCTTGAGGGATCTCCTGTTGTGGTTGCTCAAAATGACAAATTTGATGGTAAGCATATCCCTGTATATGATTCTCATGTTGTAATTAGTTTGTGTAAAAGTGATCAATAAGTTGTAGGTGAATTTTGTTAGATTTGGTGATTGTTGTATTGGGCTTAACATTTGTTATTTTCTAGTCATGCAGCTTCTATGGTGAACCGGGTATCATGTGATAGCACTGAGGAGGGCTCATCAGAGCAACAAATTACTTCAGATGCAGTCATTGAGGTAGCTAAGTGCTTCGTCTTTCTTGCTTAGTTAATCAGTCGATCGCTGTGTTGTTTCTGACTTAAATGGCAAATTCTTAGGTCAATATCGAGATTCCTTTTGCGTTTAGAGTCTTCCCAGTGGGAGCTATAGAGGCGACGGGAACACAAGTTCTTGATCAAATTCTTAGACTCATGCTACCACGGTTTCTGTCTCAGGTATGCAGGAGAAACATATTTGTATTGTACTTTTTAATTGATTATTATGCATCAACAAGGTCCTTTAAGCTATCTTTTAATTGCTTAGTATGCATCAACATACTGTATTCGAAGATATTCACATTCCGTTTCCTGCAAAATTATCCCCAATTTAATCTAACCATGCTTCTTGCAGCTCTCGAAAGACTATCAAGCATGGGCTTCTGGAGACACTTCAAGGCAACCTCTTGGTACCGGCGAGATCTGATAGTAAAGGAAAACCTACCTTGCCTGATTCAGAGAACATGTGGCTCCTCAAGTTCGCATTGGAAGGCTAGCCAAATTCTCCATCTTTTTCAAAAAAATGTGTTCTTCTTGTAATATGGCCACAGACATGAATTTGTATTCTCTGGAATTGCAATTGCAACCTTTTTCAATAGAAGACATACGTTTGTTTGTTCCACTGTAATCCCATGTGTTTCGTGTTAATCCAACTGGAACCTTAACCGGATCTAGCTTTGTACCAAAAATCTGTTTATGTGAATCTACGGTAAAATTGAGCCGGTTCTTATTCTAAACTGGCAGATTAACAAGACGCTAAAGGGTAGATGCAACGTTGCACAATATCGAACTATGTGACTCAGTGTTATTTAGGGCTATCGAAATATGTGACTCAATGTTAGTCAGGGCTGTGTTGTATTTTTTGTTATCTTTCCCCTTACTATTAAAACCATATGAAATATATCAACATACTATGAGTAGAAAAGAAGCAAATGTTGTAAGCAATTGAGAAATAAGTTTCTTATCACTTCTCCTACAACGACAGCCAAATATCATTTTGTGCCGATCTCAAAGCAAAAGTCTCTTTCCTCTTTCAAAGATAAAACCTAGCAGATAATGTTTACTTCATAGTTACAAGACAAAAGAAGACGTTCATATAAGGGTGAAACAAGAAAATTTGTGTTTGATATGCTTCTTTAATGTTCTTGTATTTTTTTTCTTGTTTACTTAGCAGAATGTCTTTTCATTACTTTACAGCACAAGATCTATCATATATGGATTCAGATGAATTCAGTTCTTCTATCGTGTTTATTACTTACCTCTTTCTTTTGGGTTTATTCGGAAAACATTGCCACGAGCCATGGCAAATAGCTAAAAAGTGAAAAAAATAGTAGAAAATTAGAAAATAGGTACTTGAAGTTCATAGATCCTATTCATATTGCGTGAGATAACAAAAGCATATAGACAAAGATATATGCAAAATGTCCACTAGATCTGCAATTATCATTGAATGTGTCTAAGTTATACATATGTGGATGTCGTAAAATGTAAAAACCAAAACGTGCGTTTGTTCCCTCTAAAATGGGAAGGTTGTGACTTCAAGATAAATATATGGCTACATTTTATATCAAAACTTTAGAGATTCCAACCATATAGAGTCATAGACCCATTACTCTCACAGTCTCACTAGAGCTATCTATATTTTTATATCTTGGTATAACTAATTTGTTTAATATCAGACTGGTTTAAATATCCATAAAAACTACTGATCACAGCCTTCGATTTTTTTCTAAACACAATCATAATGTAACGCGATAAACGTATATATGAAAAACAAATAGATGAGTGGATGGTGGAAAAAGAAAACGTACGTTTTATGTGACTGATGAGACCTAACATAGACCCAAAATCCATGCAACCTTGTCCTTCGTCCCAATGCATTTGTATGCTTTCTCATGGACATTTTCCTATTAATTTATTATACTCCCTCCGTTTTAAATTAGTTGTCATTTTGATAAAATGTATCTGCAATTATTTGGATGTATCTGCAATGCAAAACACGTCCAGATACATCCAAATATTTGCAGATACATTTTGCCAAAACGACAACTAATTTGAAACGGAGGGAGTATATTACTATATTGTTCGAAATATAATTTAGGTTTTGACCATTTTCGTTTAATCGTGTCTTCAGGATGGTCTTTAACTCTTTCTGAATAATAGCCAAGGAGACAATATTTCTCCAGCTTAGCCATCGCGCGCATATCACTGATGAGTGATGAGAACATACAATTGCATACTTCACCCAATATGTATTTTTAGTGTTGTTTGTATGATCTCGTGGGCCATTAATAGCCAGAAAAATATAAACTGTCACTACTTCTCCGTAATCCGTATGGTCACTACTCACTAGGGTCGTCGTGAACACAGTGGCCACGACATCCATCCATGTGAACCCTTAATCTTGTATTGAGTGGACATATATCTCTTAAACTCTCTTAATTAATTAGTGATTGCATAATTTGCAGAGGAGGATTAATTAGTGATCAACAAGGGTCTGATGAATATATAGTATCACGTTTTAATTTGATGGTATGTTTCGTCTACAATTGATGTAGACTTGTCGTGGACCTTAATACTTCTCTAATTTTGTTAACTTTGACATTGAACACTTCTCTGCTTTACTCAAATAGGGATTGGATACGGTCTTATGAGTATTTCATTTCCTTCATATTTTGTAGTAAATAAACAATTTAAAGAGTTTATTTATACATGACGTGGGATGAGGCAAGTACGACACGTGTACTAATCATCGACCGACTCCTCTCGCTTCCTTGAGACTCGCCTTCTCTTCCTGTTTTTTTTAATTTGACAAAAAAGCGAAAAAGTAGACAAATTAATTAAAAAATAGATATTCATTCCCAAGAAAACTAAAAAATTAATTGTCATAATTTACACAATGAGAAAAAGACCATTAAGGATTTGATTAACTACAATTGTTTTTCTCTTTGCCTAATCGTCGTTTCTCTTAAACATTTGTTTCTCTCTCTCTCTTATAAAACTCCCTCTCTCTGTAGTTTCTTCGATCATTTACAAATTACCAATAATTTTAACTTCTTCTTCTTTCCTCTTCATTATCAATCTCTTCCCAATTTTGATATCCCGATTTCTTCTCTTGTTTCCATCTCTCTCATTTTCAAATTTCTGTCTCGCCATTGACGAAGAACACGAAGATGTATGTCTCGCTAATCTGAATTCCGTATCCTTGTTCATTTTTCTCCTGTTAATTGGAATCGGAATCTGGGTTTGAAATTGTTGATTTTGGGTATTGATTGGTATTAATATCAGGTGAAATGAATTGGAGGACATTTGGGTGCGAAATTTCAAATCGTTTGGATTTGGGGATTTTGTCTATTCTGGGCCCTTCTCGGAAATTCTGGGAAGAGGTGATGCGTCGTTTTAGGTTTTGAGATGAAGTTATTTGCTGTTTAGTTAATCGGATTTGACAACAAAAAAGGGGAATTTAGGTTTTGGGTATCAATTGAAGCGTGAAGAAGATGACTAGTATTCAGCCTCTGCTACAAAAATCAGAGTCCAAGGATGATGTTCGTGCCGAGTTTGAGCGAGGTTTGGAGGAATTCATGCGCGGGCACTTGGACGAGTGCATCTCATTTGGGTCATGCAGTTCTGTTCACAACGAAGAAGACGAGGACGGCGAGGATGATCAGCTTGTGAGGAGGAGACGAAGGTCTCATCTCGAAGGGGACAATTTGGCTGAATCATCTGCTGCTAGAAGGCGCCAATCCCAAATCCTGAGCCGTTGGGCTGCAAGGCAAGCTCAGGAGATGATTACCACCATTGAGAGGAGGAATCGAGAGTCTGAGCTGATTGCTCTGGCTGGTTTGCAAACTGTCTCCATGCTCGATTCGTCTTTCCTCAGGGAGTCTCAGCCTCCATCCTCAAGGCGTCAGGGTGGTGTTAGCGAGAGGCCTAACACTCAAGCATCTGGGATCTTGCAGATGTGGAGGGAGTTGGAAGATGAGCATGTTGTGAACAGGGCGCGTGAGAGGGTGAGAGAGAGATTGAGGCATCAGAGGAGTGCTGAGTCTAATACTAACTTGTCTGGCTCTGTTGCATCGGAGAGTCAGGTGAGTGAGAACAATGAGAGTCCGAGGGATTCGAGTGAGAGTGAGAATGATTATGGAGCTTGGTCACATGATCGGAATGAGAATGGGGATAATAATCTTTCCAGTAGGGAGCAGTCTCCTGATCTTGGGGATGGTGAGAGGGAAAGGGTGAGGCATATTATCCGTGGATGGATGGATAGTGGGATTAATGATCGTTCGTCTAATGTGAGGCCGAGAGATAATAACCGTAGAGCGGAGTGGCTTGGTGATACTGAACGGGAAAGAGTCAGGGTTATAAGGGAGTGGATGCAAATGACAAGTCAGCAGAGAGGAGCGGGAGCTCTTGCAACACCGAGAGAAGACCAGAGGTCTCTTACTTCTCAAGTCGATGGGAATCATGACAGGGTCGGTACAGGGTTAGCTGTTAACCGTGAAGAAGGACAACCGCAACCGCAACTGCAACCGCAACATGTTCGTCGAGACTTGCGGAGACTAAGAGGAAGGCAAGCGTTAATTGATTTGCTCATGAGGGCTGAGAGAGAGAGACAACGGGAACTTCAGGGCTTGTTGGAGCATCGTGCAGTCTCTGATTTTGCTCACCGCAACCGGATTCAGGTTTGTTTTTTTTAAACTTTATAGCAAATGAATTGGTTTTCTTTCTCAGATTTACACTTTTTTGGCATTCTGAGATACCATTATATGATACACGCATCAAAATTCATGAGCTGTAAAAGATATAATTTTTACATGGGATTTGTTACATTCTCAAATTACATGCTATACAAATAACAAGTCTTGGTTTTGGATTTTGGATTGGGAGAAGAAAAAGACAATAAACCTCATACTTATCAGTATTAGTGCTTAGGCAATTGTATGCTGATTTCTAACACCTTAAAGCTTATTTGCAGTCGCTTCTGAGAGGAAGATTCTTGCGGAACGAGAGACCTGCAGATCTAGAGAGAAGTCCATCAACGGCTTCTAGGGAACTTTTTCAGCTAAGAGAAAGACATACTGTCTCTGGTTTGAGGTAATAAATGACTATACAAATGTGAATTTTGATATCCCTGCGTCTCATCTTCTTCCCCCTGTTTACTGATGATATAACAAATTTCTGTCCTTTCATCTTATTAACACACGAATACCTTTTAGCATATAGCTTGCTCTCTCATAATTGCCCAACCCTTGCTTTGATTCTGTTACAGGGAAGGATTTCATAACGGGAGGGAAAATACTGTCCGTGACGATAGTGATAATAGCAACAATACCACAAACGCTCCCGCAATTGCTACTACTGCTGAAGATACTCAGCGTATAACCGATGAGAATTCAACTTCTTCTAGACAAGGGAATAATAGTCCCCTTTTGCATGAGGACTCTAGTAGGTCAGAAAGCAACCTAACAAATGGATATAGAGATTGGGAAGAGGATACCAATCAAAGAAGGGAATGGGAGGACGACGTCACAACAGATGAGAGGTTAAATTTGCAACAAACAATGTTAACGCAATTTAATGGATTGGGAAATGGTAACGCAAATATAGTCCGGGACGACACCTCGGTCAGTGACACAACGGTCAGTGACCTGCACCGAGAATCCTCAGGGATTACAAATGATGAAGATCACACAGAAGAAGGTCATGGTGTTTGGGAGGAGGATAGCTCTAGACAACCTGATGGGAACTGGCCCGAGACATCGTCAGAAGGCCCAAGGAGTCCCCGCGTAGTACCATTGAGAAGATTAAGCAGGTTCCATCCACCTGAGGATGACAATGTTTACAGCATTGAACTCAGGGAACTCCTAAGCAGGTACGTTTCAGCTGCACACTGCTGACAAATGTGGATTTGTCTTGTTTCTTTATTATCGTGTTTTCTGATGGTTTATACCGTCTTTTATGGTTGTAGGAGAACGGTTTCTAATCTACTACATAGTGGATTTCGTGAAAGTCTGGATCAGCTGATACAATCATATGCTGAAAGGAGAGGACACACTCAAGTAGACTGGGATCTACACGATAACCTGGAAACAGCAATCCCTGATTCTCCAGAACGTGAGACAGACAACCAAGTATTTGTACGGAACGATAACCAGTTTAATGGTCCACAATTGCTTTCCGCTCCACCTTTGCCTCCACCCCAGCCAATTTGGCATCAAGACTTGCACCACACTAGCTGGTCTCATCACTCTATGCCTCGATCTGAAATTGTAAGCCTTTAACTGGTTGATCAAATATTTCAATGACATATCGTAAGCTTGGTTAGTGTAGATTTTGAACTGTACTTGATGTTTGGATTAGGAATGGGAGGTAATGAACGACCTAAGAGGAGACGTGGCAAGACTACAACAAGGGATGAGCCAGATGCAGAGAATGCTTGAAGCCTGCATGGATATGCAGTTGGAGCTGCAGCGTTCGGTTAGACAAGAGGTCTCTGCTGCCTTGAACCGACCTGCAGGTGGCCAAGGTCTGTTCCTATTCAACCCAACGAAACTTTGTTGTTCATTTTAGTGATCTCAGCAACTTAAGATTTGATTGATGCAGCAGCAGGTACGAGCTCGGAAACATCAGAGGACGGATCAAGATGGAGCAATGTAAGGAAAGGGACTTGTTGCGTTTGCTGTGACAACCACATTGATGCCCTCTTGTATAGGTAACCTAACTATTTGCTCGCTTCTCTCTCTGAAACTCAGAACTGACAAGTGATTTGAATCATGCAGATGTGGGCACATGTGTACTTGCTCAAAATGTGCGAATGAGCTTGTAAGGACCGGAGGTAAGTGTCCGCTTTGTAGAGCACCCATCATGGAGGTCATCCGGGCCTACTCCATTTTATAAGCCTCTTACGTTTACAGAAGAAACAACAACTGCAAGGAAAGAAGAAAGTATAGAAGAAAAGACCAACAATGTTCGGTTTTGGGGTTCGAGATTATCTAGTTGTTCCTAGTTCCCTTCTTCAAATCAAAATTTGAATGTGTATAGATAGTTTAAATTATTTAAGAACCCAAATTATAAACTAATCAAGAAATGAAAGGCTCTCATTGATTCGAGTTGGGCCGCATTGTATTGGGCCATGACTATATATTCGTCTTCGGCTTATTATCCGATAGTATAAATTTTCAGCGTTTTCTAGTTTAAAGTTTTTAATTTTAACAAATTTTCTAACACACGAAAAAAAATGAAAGATGAACTGATATACCTTTAATATTAAGAAAAAAAGAACCAAAAACATCGGAGCTGTTTTGTTATAAAATAACTTTAAAAGTGATGTTATGTAGTAAATTGGTAAAACAAAAACGTGGTGAAAATGATATAACCCTATAATGTAGACATGGCTCCTCTTTGGCCACACTATCATTTAACACTTTCTATATTTAAATGTTTTGCTATAATTCCATTTATTTCACCTCTCTATCCCCGTAATGCCGTAACCTAATTTATACGCTATTTAATTCAAAATATTTCAATCCGTTAATTTAGATTCCCAAGTTTATCTTTGTGCAAACGGATTTTCTGAACCATAATCAGCTTCTTCCTTCCATTCTTTATTTTTATTTTTAATAAAAGAGTACAGCCAGCTTCTTTCTTTGTTTTGTTAATTCTATAATTAGTGTGATTCAGTATCTTATGGTGACGTGAGCTGTAACCTTTGCATAAATTAAAAAATGATAGAAAATTGCAGAAATCACGATGGTAGACTGTACCAAACAAACCCGGCTAATTATTGTAACCCACTACCCAACCTTTTTTTAATACCATGTTGTATGGATACTCATACTGTAGTATTGAATAATATTTGATCTCAATGTACATAATCATCATGTTGATTTTTACGGCGTGTATAAAAATATTACATTTTATTAAGGTACTTTTACGCACGATCTAATAAAATACACCGGATTAAACACAATTAACAACGACCATACAAATTAATTTAAGTATTTGATCATCGTGCTTATCCACCTTTATCTACATCGCATTTACAAGATTTGACAAAAAAAAAACAAGATTTCCATGAAAAGTAAATCTACAATAATGTCATCTACTATTTAACCTTATTTGTTTAAGCTGTAGCACTTACCTTGTATCTGTCGCTAATTGATGCCATCCTTTAGTAAAGGTCATTTTTATCAATAATATGTCAGTAAGTAGTAATATATTGACAACGAAATTCCATAGCCGTGTTTGTAAGTATAACTAGGGGCTCAAATATCACAAAATTCAAAGATTACGCATTATTACTTCAAGATATCGTGTAGTCCAATATTGTTTGTTTCACAAGACTGAATGCGTAAAGTGATCATTTCTTAAAGTGATGAAGATGATTGCATTTTATTGTCTCTCGACAATCAATAATTATATATATGTAAAATCATAGTTTAGTGACTGTACTTTTATCCTCAAAATACCGCAAAGTCTCAAAATCAACCACTAGTCCGTTGCGAGTCCATGTTGATTTTACAGTGGTACTGGTAAATTGGATATGGTCATGAATTCCTAGTGTTGTAGACTTGTAGTATCTATACTACATAACCATTTGTTTATGTTTGACTTTCAGCTCATTTCTTTTTTTCAGTTGATTCTGTTAAAATGAATTGTGGTAATCTCAACGTTTTTCTATTCACAAATTAAGTTTCAAGCATATTTGTTGATTGGGGATCCCTAGTTGGTGTTAACAGTTTTTCAACATTTTCAGAGTAATGCTATATTTTTTGTTTCTTTTGAATTTCACTGTAGTCGAATAGTTTTACAGCATATCCAGAATGATACTCGAAATACTATAGTCACATACTCACATACGACTATTGGAGTATATATATTTGTATGACAAATATAGAAATAACAAATATTTTGGTATCCGATTTTCCGAGTACGTGACGAATGGGCACCCCTAATTAGATTAATTTTCTACGAGACGTCATCCACAACAACATTAAATTTCATTAAATTACAATAAATTACAGATCCCAAAGCCGTATTTATCGCTCTACCTGTCGGCCCAAAAATGTCAGAGATCAACATGAATTTCCGATCAACTTTATCTGATTACAATATTACTTAATTAGCTTGCAAAATAAGTAACAATCTATTTTCTATCAAAATATTAATATAATATAGTTGGATCAAGGCATCATTATCTTTTTTTCCGTGGCTTCATTCACAAGCGCACGTAAAACACTCAACCATTACATATTAACCGAATCAAATCAACACCTAAAACAGTAAAACGCCACTAGAATTCTCTGACTTTTAGTTACTTTTCATTTTTTATAACCTGTTTTGTTAGTTTCTCTTAATTAACTATTGCCTTAAGAATGATCAGTGTACTCTCTTCAGTTTTAGATAATCTCAAAGTTGATGCCATGTTTTTTATTTAACAACAATTGATTACTCCCCTCATAATGTGATGTTAATTAGATCGGACGGCATAATTATGCACAACATGGTAAGTGGTAACACATAATAAAAACCTATCGTGGCCGACAAAAATAATTGCTTGCAAAGGCAACTCATTTTCTCTTCCTTTATTTCCGTGATATCTCTCATTCACCTAATTATTTTTGAAATTGTTACTTTAATCAGTTGCCACCATAATCTATCTTGCAAAAAAAGGCCATGATATTTTTATCAATCATGAATTTCACATATCCATCTTAATCAAGAAACTGCATCAATCAGCTATTAATGAAATATTTTTTCCTTTCTTGTTTTGGTCGGTTAGCAAATTGTAAACGTTATAAGATTTCATTAACAATTTACTATCACTTCTTTTCTAAATTGTTTTATTAGCCGATATAGGTTTTTGTTACGTGCAAGTACAAATTATCTATACATGGAAATTTATTTAGTAAATTACTATAACTGTTGACTCATTTAGAAAAGAGCTAGCAAAATAAAATTGATAACTCAAATTGCCTTAGCGAAAAAGAAGAAAGATTCCATCATCGATGGATCGGCACATGTACATGATAGAGTGGGTCGACGTGTAAAGTCGAGAATCGTTACATAAAATAAATAAAATCGAAAAAGCTATCGAAATTGTGGAACCTTTAACATGATTGTTGTTAAGTCCAATTATTGATCACCCTCGGGAACAAGAACGGAAACTTCTCCGCCGCCTGGAAACCGTCAGAGCCGCCGTGGTCGTGGTGGTGGTGGTCGATGGCGTCAACGCCTGATTGTAAACGGAGGAGAAGTAGTGATCGATCTCATCTTTGCTGACGATGATCTCAACCTTGGACGACGTCATAAGCTTCCTCTTGCAAGATCTGATGGCGAGAGACGACGGCGTCGGAGATGGACGGCGTTTCTGAGGCGGAGGAGGAGGAGTGGTGGCGGTGGAGGGAGGAATTTTGTGGTCGGAGGAAGTGGGAGTGGTGCAGCCGCCGCCGCCATGATCATCTCTGTTGGTGTGGATGGATCGGATCTTGATGGGTGATGGGAAATTCAGCATGGGCAGGTCTTGTAGTAATTCAAGATCCATTTTTCTTTTATAAATACAAATAATAATTTTATTTGTTCTTGAAGGTTTTGTTTTTCTGTTTTGGCGTGTGCCTGAACAAATCTTCTTAGAGAAGTGGACTTGTGGTTTCTTGTTATATATGTGCTTCTGTCTTTACATACATGCTTTGTTGTGTATGTATATATCTTTAGTTTAATTGGAAAGAGAATGGATGAAGGAAGATACCATATTACTCTTTATCAGTAAAGAAGATACCATATTACTTCCCTCACTTACATTTGACAGATAAGAAACTAAATAAATTAGATAAGCCACATTCCATGTTTACAAAATTTGACAGAGAAAAAAATGAATAATTTACCAAAATTTGACAAATTTTGAAAAAGATACCATATTAACTTCTCTCACTTACATTTGACAGATGAAAACTAAATAAATTAGATATAGATAAGCCACATTCCAAGTTTACAAGATTTAGATACCTAAAATAAATAAGTTTTGTATTTCTGTTTTATTTTGCTTGTTTTCTCGTAGGAGACAAAAGAAAGAAAAGGAGAGTATATATTCATATCGTTTTGAGAGTTACATTACATCCACTACAAAAAAGAATCAAAGCAAGATTAGAGCCTATGTATAGAAGCAAGTTTACTTTAACAGCTAATTTTGTTTTTGTTTCAAAATATCAAACTTCTGTCAATGCGAATGTAGACTAAGTATGCATGCGATTTTACTTTTAGAACGAATATAAAAGAAATCGAAATTCTATTATAGTGCGAATATAGGCTAACATACATATACATTTTTGGGTTAAAGTAGTAGCATGCATATTTTGGAAAATAATCAAGCAGTAACATGCATAATGGTACACGTAATGAAGTAAATAACTGATTTATAATAATTAATTCTTATTAATCCGATATGTTATATTAAAAAATAGGTGTATATTCAAATTTTCAGATCAAGTTTTTAATCTAGATCTAAACGTAGAGGTTGGTTAGAATTTATGTCGTGTACCGCTAAAGAAACCAGAGACATGTCATGTGTTTAGACTTTAGACTTTTTGTACATGCATGATGTATCACTATTACATGCATATTTATTTAACTTGTATTTTTTGGTCAGATTCATTATGTTATATAGTGGGTGGTATAGATTTATTATAACAACGATATGGGATCATATAATTGCAATCTGTTCAATTTTATTTTCCATATTAGATTAATTAAGATTCCATTATGCGGGAAGTAACATAATTTTATTAATTAAGATTCCATTTCTATATCTTTTTAAGATTCTTGTTGATTAAGATATTTACTTTGCATCCGCACGACATCGACACGTTCATTTTAATCATTTTTCTTTTTTACTATATGCCTTACAAAAGACTCCTCATGCGATCTACATTAACTATGTACCTATTCAATAATTATATAGTTATTTGAATCTAAAAAGTCAGAATATACATATATACATGATTTATAAGTGTATACAGACTTGTTACAAGAAGATAGTTACGTATTATTGTCCAGAGAATCTAACATCTAAAGACATGCCACGTGGTGACTTTAGAGGAGGTTTGTGGTGTGATGTAGGGTAGATCTGTGTTAGCGACTGGCAATATCAGATAATGAAGCCACCAAAAAAAGGTACAGAAGAAGAAGAAACAATCTCTCTGATCTTTCCCAGTATCTGAATCTCACCGTCTTTTTTCATTTTTTTTACTTTAATTTTTAACCCACATATTATTTTTCCTTCTCTTTTTTAGTTAACTTTTCTTCGCAACATGCATATGCATGGACCCTTTTTTACGAGTTTGTTCTTTCTGAACCACTACTTTTATTTCCCGATCAATCTTTTTGAACAACTTTAGTTGTTGACAACCAAAAAAAAATGTCTAGTTAGTCGAGCGTTCGTGCTTATATGAGATTAATAGATTGCATATGTGTATGATGATTTGTAAGAAAATTGAGTAAGACAAGTACACAAGTAACTGGTAGATATAAAATTGAATGTCGGGTTGACAAAGAATTCGAATATGACGGGAAAATATATAAAACTATAGGAAATTTGTTCTGGTTTCAGTTTTAAGCGAGTAGATCTATGAGCAAAAACCTAGCTAGAACTACTCGATATAAACAAGAATCGATGCATACAATCCGTATATTATATATTATATTTACTTGGTTGATATATAGATGGTAATACAATTCATACGTGGTTTTAGTTAGTAGGTAATAATTTTTTAATATTTTATTTGTTGTAAACTACGATGGAGACAAGGGAAGCAAGTAAAACGTAACGTACATGTCTCCATAATAATTTATTTATCCTTACTCTATACTATAAAAAAATTCCAAATTTTTATTTCAAATAGTATTCTTTATGAATTCGTGGGTTGATACCAAGTGGATAATGATCATGATGGTCCTCTCTTGGATGTTTATGTTTCATGTCCAATTGTCTTTTTTACGTATGATCAACTATCGATCCAAACCTATATAGATACACGACAAAAAGAAAGAAAACAAAAGCATTATAAAATATCATTGCAATTAACCCAGTCTAACACTCGGATAGTAATAAAACTCATACGTAACTAAAGCGACATAATTCATCGAAACGAAATAATCGTAGAGTCAGCAAAATCTGAAGGTTATAATATCATCTCATATGTTTGTGTTACAATTTCCTTCACAAACATCAAAATTTCCTATTCTAACCTAATTAAAGGAAAATTGACGAGGAAATAAAGAGAAAACCCCTTTGATTAGATTTGCACTTGGAGAAGTCGGAGAGAGTTGGAAAGCTAGACAAGAGGGTTTACATGGCCGCATAGCTTAAATGGTAAAAATGAGTTTGGGGAAAAGTTAAAAAGGATTGGGACCATTTATACCAAACCTCTCATCAACTTTTCTTGATTCTTTCCGTTTGTCCCCATACCATTTAATTTCGTGAAGGCGTTACTTCACTATTTCGATTGCTCCATTTCACAATTAATAAATGTTTACAACTCTTTTGATGTAGACATGAAGAAAAGGAACCTTTGCACGGCTTAGCTTTCCTGAAGTTTTTGTAGGGTTTAATTATTATAGGCCCCTCTTTGTTTAGTAGATGGCGAGAAAAAGTGTTTGTTGAAGGGTCGATCGAGTCCAAATTACTCGCATGTGGAACGGTCTGTCTTGGAATACTTTTGTCTAAAGTATTAAGATATAGATAAAATTAGGTACTGAGCTTTAGTAATGATTTCTGATCTCTTTTCTTTTTTTGTCGAGGGTTCCACTAGATTCTCTTATGAAATTTAAACACGAGGTGGTGAATCTGCATCAGGACAGTCGTTGGCATTGTTGGTCTTGAGTCATGTCATCTGCAACATTTGTACGAGATTTCACTTTTTCTATGCAATTATCTTATAAGAAAGCTTATAAAAGAAAAGAGAATAAACCTATTTTTAAACAATTATTAGTTTACAGAGAATTGCATATATATATTTAGAAGCTTGGGAGTTTTTTTTAATTTTCTTATCTTGGCAATTTATGATTGTGATTTCACGTAGGGACCGGCAGGCTGGTCGATTATGATGATAAAAAGGAGAAATGAAATCATGCAGCATCAACATCAAAATTGCCTTATTCTGGAGCCAATGAATTGTAGCGTATATACACAAACCATGAAAGATGAAAACAAAAAACCTAAATCAGTGGCTAAAAAAGTGAATGTTTTTTGTTTCTTACTAAATTCAAATACTGAAAGCAAAGAAGAGAAATTTGAATGAAAAACTTTACTTTTAACGGTAAATAATAGATTCTAAATCTAAACTCTCTTCCTACAATATATCTCCAGAAAACGGCAAGTGTGAATCTCTACTTTCGATGATCATCTCCGTGTGAATCTCATATGTGTTTCATTTCCCCTGTCAAAAAAAGAATCAAACCCCTGACATAACCCGTTGGCTCTTTAAGCTCTCTCGTCCGGGGCTTTGTATGCGCTCTTGAAGATCTCTACTTTTCATCCTCCAAGTGATTTCTGCTTGTAACCATTTTTAATCCTATCGTAAAGTTTCTCCTTAGTTTTACGTTTCTTGTCCATTTTCAATCGGTATCTTTCTTCGCGTTCCCTCTCGTAAACGCCTTTCCAATGCACTTCTCCGGTTAGTGGCCATAGCCATCTTTCTCGTGGATGGTCTTGATCGTCTGCTGCTTCTGCCAAGTCTTCGTCCATGCTTTTCAGCAGTGTGAAGTTAAAGTACTTAGCCCACATTAAACCTTTTCGTTGCGGTAATGGATGTTGTTCCTCGAGTGAACCGTCTCTCGGGTTTATGTAAACCATCTTTCTCCCGCTGTGATATGCCCACACGTTAACCAACAATTCCAGAACCCGGCAGTAACAGTGCTTTCTCTACTTATTGTTGAACAACAAAATAACAGAACAATCAGAAATTTGTTGAAAGATTAGAGAACTAAGTCAAGAATCTGTGATTTTTTTACCTCTAGCAGCGATGAAGCGAGTGAGCAACTTTTAGTGTCGTTAAGATTGTTGTGCAGTGCATCTAGAGACTCCGAGAACATCCTGTGATTCGAACTGGGAAGGTGAGTTTGGGGAAACGGTGAATGTTTTGGTGGAATAAGTGGGAATAATAGTTACCTTGAGAACATGACAAACTCGAGGAACGACGGAGTTGGCATGACCCAGTTGTGGAGAGAGGACCAGTGATGACCATCTTCAGGCATCGGAGGAAGCGCTTCAATGTGTTCTGGCAATCCATACATGTGCCGGAATGCATCTTCAAATGTGGTTCTGCATCAATTCGAAACCAATGTGAACTCAGCTTTCTGAATTCGCAAAACCAGAATTCGTCATTATCAGCATAAATCATGTAACAGTTAAAGCAGAGGAGGAGTACCTGCAGTTTCCTCGGTTAAGGATGTCGCACATAGACCAGAAAGTAAGCGCATTTTTTCTTCCAAGGGCGTCGCCATCAATGTCTAATCTTGTCCAGAAGTAAACAATCTCCCCCTTGGTTTCTTGTTGTATAATGTCTTCGAGGGACCCTTCAGCTTCAGATGATAACGAGACCTGTCTCCACAACAAAAGTGTCATCAAACAGTGTCGAAGTTACACAGTGGATGCAAAGACGGGTATGTGCCTTTTGGAATCAATCCGTTCAAGCTTTCCACTAGTTCAATTTTAGAGTGATAACTTCGAAAATGAAAGATCAACAACGCTACTTTTTAAAAACTACCTTCCTACCAGCTGCACGCCATGACTGAAATCCAATCCAAGGTCTCATGTGAATGCTGTCCACTTTGTTCGCAACAGCAAACATTCCCCCGATTTCGCAGAGGATATCTCGATAATGAGTATCATTCAGTAAAGGTAATCGGTCTGCTGCATCTACGTCGTCTGAGCTTAGCCTTCGATCTTTGCTGGACTAGAGTGAATATATGACAAAAAATCAGAAACCAGCAATATGATTAAGCACAAGTTTATCCCTAATACAGATTTGATAACTGTTGGATGGAACATCACAAACCAGCTTACCAGGCTCAAACCACGGTACAGAGAGCCATGATGCAGAAAGGGCCAAGCACCAGCTCCATCGTAAATCTCATAAATACATAAAGGCTGACCAGTTCGTTCTAGCTCTCCTTCATCCCGTTCGTTCACCTCAAATTTCAACTTCTCCGATTTGCGAGCATTCCGGTATATTTCCTCCCAGTCATCAACATCTCTATCCATTCTGTCCTCTAGCTACATATCAGACGAGGAAGAGATAATTCAATATATTAGACCAACCCAAGCTCAACAAGTCTCACAGAAAAATGTCTAGGGAGAACCTAGAAATATGTCTGATGGCAGCAAAATTTTGATACCTCCTCAGATTCTACTTTATTGTACTCTTCCGCTCCCTCGATCTCTTCAAGAATATCCCAGTCTAATTTGGAAGGAATATCGTCCGAAAGAAATACGGTATTGTTGTCAACAGGGTCTATTGGCTCAACCACACCCATGAACTTCTCTTCGACTTGGAAAACAGTTCCAGGTCTTCCAACGGATGCAGAGGCGGAGTCCCCAATGAAGTTTTTTCGCTGCCCTATTTCGCTCCTGAACAGACCCCACTCCCATGCGCCCACTTGAAGTTGAGAAATAGAACCTGGCAAGAAAGTATCAGATGGAAAGTGGAGTGTGTTCTCCAAAAGCCTGGCATAACCAGTTACGCATTCTGTTGCCATCAAGTTCTTAGTTAAAAGTCTTCCTGAAGACGAAATTGCTTGAGCAAATTTAGAGAGCCTTCCATCTGATATCAAGGGTGAGAATGCCTTCAACAATGCATCAGGGTCATTTCTTCGAAAAAATATTCCATGAACTTCATCAGTCATCTGCAGTTAAAGGTTCATAAATAAGCAAAAATTAAAGAGGTAAGTGGTATAGTCTGATTATCGGAAAATCATAAACTTCAGTCTACTCACATATTTTTTCATAACAGGAAAGTCGGGTGTTATGATAGGGATGGCAAAGCTCATAGCTCGCACAATCAATGGAGGGAAATTTTGTTCCTCTTGGGAAGAAGCATAAACAAGAATATCAGCCATCAGTAGAACTTTATTCACATCCTCATTCAAACCAAAATGCCGAACAGTGCCTTCGGTCAACCCAAGCCTCGATGCAACCTCCTGCATTCATGTATTAACATACGATTATGTCTTCAGTATACAATCTCAGCCAAAACTAACCGCAATCAGCTAAATAAAAAAATGTCTTACCTGTACAGCATCACTCTGTCCTGCGGTAGAATTACCATATAGAAAAACAAACTTAAAGGAACCGCTGGTATCTTTTCTCCTCCCATATCGTGTTAAAAGTGGTCCCAACAGGTGCATTGCCACAGCATTATCCCAAGAAAATTTATCATAAAAGAAGGAGCTCCCAAGCACCATAATGATCAGGTCATCCTCGCCATATTCATTACTCTCCCTCAGTTTTTGCTTTGTGTGGCTTTCACTGTAGCTTTCTGCAGCCCAAACATCGACTACTGATTCCGGAATCACAACGAAGTTCCCATCATCAAGAACGCTATGCAGCATCTGAACAAATAATACGATCTTAGGCAAAATACAAAGAGCAGACACTATGGTATACTTGAAGTGCTAACATAAGCTTATTGCAGTCAGAAATCTACCGGCAGAGTAAACTGTGGAAAAACAACCACATTTGCTCTTGCAAAAGCACTTCTCCAGTGGGAGATTAGAGAATTCTGCCCCATCTTTTGGTAAACAGGCAACTGATTTGCAAGAATATCTTCATGAACTATCCATATAAGTGGTACTGAACGAAACGGCTCCTGCATAAGGCTGCATAGATATGAAATTTTATCATCATAGAATCTCAACCACAGAAGTAATGTCAAAATTCAGAAAACCTCAACAGCTTGTTACTTTTTTCACATCTTAGGCAGCAACAGCCAGTATAAGTACGCAACAAAAAGGTGCAGGCAACTAAACAAACTTAATTTACCCACCTTGAAATGGCTTCTTTTGCTTCAAGCGAATCAGCAATAACACCTTCAAAACTGCAGAGCAGGAATAATTATAACTTCATCAAGGTGGAGTGGAAAAACAAAATATATAAACAAAATAATCAAAGAATCATCTGCCAAGAAATCTGATTTGATAATACGGCCAGGAAACTAACAAGAAAGCTTTTAAGGAATTTATAGAACACATACATTGTCCAATCCGGCTTATCTGAAACCAAAAGTTTAACGTGGCCAGCCAACTGTTCCCACAATGAACGTGCTTCACCATTCTCTACGGCAAAAACCTGACAACTTTTAAGGTCACAAGCTTTTCTAAAGATGCGAGAAATAAGACAAATATACGCTTCACTTCACTGCATATGTACGGTTGATTAACGAATTAGAGCATCCATTCAGCATATATCATATAAAGGAGAGAAAACAAAATCTTCAACGGGAACGCTAGAGCTGCAAGCATAACGGCCATAAAGTTTCACCTTAAACACATAGCCCAGTTTTTGAAGATTCTTCATCACTGTGATCAACACTAGTGTTCGGGGATCTTTCTTCATATTCCCTAGTATCTGTCATTCATAATATATAAAACAGATGAGTGCATGGACACACACTACAAAAAGCATTATGTGAGACCGCTCAGAGATGATAATAAAGTGTTGATATACATGACAACCGTAGTTTTCCAAAACTAATCAGGAAACAGCTCCAACATCACTAAAACGACAGATAAAGAATGCAAATAATTGCAAAGTGCAAGTATGATGTGCCAGCAGATTCCTAGACGCATCTACAAAGTAATTTAGCTTCAATCTCATACCGGCATACCCCAAGGTGCAGCATCCGAATCCAAATGCTAGAAATAGAAACATCTACAAGTGTTCTGTATCACAGTGAACACTAGCGCTTAAACTTAAAAACGGAGTAGTCTACGAGTAACTGAAGTGGATCTAGAAATCCTAACACTAAGCATTAGTCACTTTGATGCATCGATTGAAAAAGGCAAAATGGTAAACAAACACTCACGAGAGCCAGTCTGGGCGGACGAACGCCGATCCTGACCGCCGAGCGCAAGGGATCAAGGCCTTTGCCTTCAATTAATGTCCTCGCAATTCCTCCAGGGACGTACTTCAACGTACTCCCCAAACCAATTTGGCTTTTCACTTGCGCTCCCTTCACATTCCCTTGCCAAGTAATCGAATTCTGAAGCAACAGCGAGGACATGACGAACGCGCAAACCGTGAACGCGACCAGAAAGTAGAGCAAACAGGTGCCACGGGGCTTAAGCAGCGAGAGCAAGCCCTTGCGGTTCAGTGATCGGCCAATGTGATGAGGTCGGCTACGCAAGGAAGGCCGATCCAAACCGGAGTGAGATCGATCTCGCCTATCGCTTGAATTCCTCTTGAGACGGAGACGATCCCGGACGGAGTGGAAAGATATCTCTCCATTTCCGGCGACGTTGTTCGCGTTGTGATTCCCGTCTCTTCCGGCGCCGCCATTGTCGTCGATCTCGAGCGAGAGAGAGTTTCTCCCCATGGAGAAGAAGAGACAAAGGCCGCTTCACTGGTGTTCAATTACTAAGCTCTCTCTGTTTCAGGTGCCACAAAACTTCACCATGAGAGAAAGAGAAAGAGAGAGAGAGAAGAGATTCAGATTGATAATTGATTTGCGTACTTTTGAGTTGCGAATCTGTTAAGAGAGAGACAGTGGTGGAGAATGAGCAATTTTTGTCAAACTCTTTTAAGTTAAATAATACCAAAAAAATGTATATTTTTCGTCTTTAATTTCAAATCCTATTAATTGTTTCTAATCATTAATTTATTTTGTTAGGACGGTGATAAAGAATTGTAATTGTTTCGTCAAAGATTTCACGCGTTTATCAGAGTCCAACTTGCTTTTTGAGCGGTAATTGTCACTGTTAGTGATAATGAAATCTCAAATCTCTATCCTTTTCACGAATCACTTTCTAATTAATTAATTTTTGTTTACTTTACGTTAACACACATAAAATAATGCTGTTTATAAGAGATTAATTAATAATGAGTGTTAACCGGAGATACGGTTATGCCAATAAAAACGGTAGTTATTACCTATTAGCCATTTCAAACTCCATGGTTTTGAGATAAAAGTATAGTTTTCGAGTTGTATGATTGTATCAAAACTATATATAAATTGTACACCTCAGCTTCTGGGTAATTTGTGTAGGATCATCTACGATATCATTACAAAATGAGTAAAGTGCGTGAATCATTGAATCTTCTAGACTTGTAGTACGAAACATACAACGTTCATATGTTTTGCACAACACAACCAAATGCATATCACACTAATAAAAGCTGTAAATGCAATCTGAAATCGGCAGATGAATTCAATGCAGAAGACTTTTATTTTTGTGTTCATTGCCGCATGTGGTTACACCCGTCTTACTTCAAAACTCAGTATGAAATCAAATATATCACCATAATTAAACAAAGAGAAACCCAATTATCTTGTATGAAATCCAAAAAATGCGTAGATAAGGACAATTTAAATGGATTAGACGTAGATTTTCGATCGGATGCCTTTTCATCAAACAATAAATGGAAGTAATGACACACACATCCCTATCGATATACCTTTGTCAATCGTTCATATTTTGGGTCCACTCCATCACATAATATTTTACTTTTCTTTTTTCCTTTTTTTCAAATTTGTTAGATATTTTTACTCACGGCGGAGAAATTATGCGGATACAATATGTTTTCTTCTTGCAGAGTTTAGGATTGCAGCAGTGTAACTTACTTCCAAAAAATAGAGGGCCTATAGTGTTAGCGGATCTTACAATAAGGAGCCCAAAAAAGTCGTACGCAGAGAAAAGACACTTCCCGAATTGGCCGTTTATGCTAACGTACAGTGAAAAGGGTAAAAAAAATAAACAGATAGTTATGGGAGTCAGATTTCGATTTATTTTCATCCAACGAAAACGTGACGCGTCATAGACTCATAGATAGTGCTTTCTTTCTCGTTCCAACTTCTGACTAAACAAACAAACAATTAATAAAACAAACAACGAGTTTCTTATCATATTCCCAACCATCTATCGGAGCGTTGTCTCCCTCCGTCAACTGTTTCTGTCGGCGCGGCGGTGAAAATGGCGGCGACCTTACCTATGTCTCCGATTAGCCATCAGCTATGCCGGAGCAGCTCCAAGTTCTGGAACAACGCTTGGACTCCCCGGTTCTGTTCGCCGATTATCTCGATCTCTCCCTGTCTCATCGGTTTGACCAGTGTCGGCTCCGCCTGTCAGTTACGCGCTCGCCACCCTCTGATCTGCTCTGCGGTTACAACGAATTCACTTTTGCATGACGTCGGAGCCACCGTCGCGGTTCTCGGTGGAGCCTACGCGCTCGTCCTAAGCTTTGAGAGTCTCACGAAGCGAAACGTGATTCCACAGGTCTCTCTAATCAGATGAAGTCACTTGTTGAATCATGTTTCTCATATTGTCGGATATTAAAAACTGATGCATTCATATTTTGAAACAGAAATGAGACTAAGACTGTGCTCTGGATTGAGAATAAGAATAAGTAAGAGACTCATTTTGGTTTTTCTTGAATTTTTGTTGGTGAAAACAGAGTTTGAGCAGAAAGCTTGTGCATATACTCTCAGGTCTCCTTTTCGTACTCTCTTGGCCCATCTTCAGGTATTCCTTTCTTCTCTATACGCTAATCAGTTTGATTCTCGCTCTTTACAAATTCAGCAATTTTGATTTCTATTTCTTGATCATTAAGTTTAGCGAGTCTACGGAGGCTCGATACTTTGCTGCTTTTGTTCCATTAGTGAATTGCTTAAGGCTTGTTGTAAACGGACTATCCGTTTCCCCGAACTCTACGCTAATCAAATCTGTCACTAGAGAAGGAAGACCAGAGTAAGTTGTTTTTTTAGCCCTTCTTTGTTCTTCACTCGTAATGATTTACAACAATCTGATGTGCGTTTTTCTTGTTTATCAAACCAAATTCCAGAGAGTTGCTTAAAGGTCCTTTGTTCTACGTTTTTGCTCTTCTCGTCTCTGTGCTTTTCTTTTGGAGAGATTCTCCTACCGGTATGATGTCGCTGGCAATGATGTGCGGTGGCGACGGTAATTTTTCTCATCCCTCGATTTTATCTTCTTGATCAACAATAATGGAATCCTATAACCACTTTAAAAGTAGATTGATTTTCTATATAGGTCCTTGTTGTTTGGTAATGTGGATGTAGTGATGCATCAATATGTGTTTGTTAATTGTTTATAGGAATCGCTGATATTATGGGGCGTAAGTTTGGATCAGAGAAGTTACCTTACAACACAAGAAAGAGCTGGGCGGGAAGCATCTCCATGTTCATCTTCGGCTTCTTCATCTCCATCGGGTAAAAACCACCATACCCACAATTATCCATCAAAAAAAAAAAATGGTTTTCTTGATGAATTTTTTTTTTACTGATTCGCAATTAAACCAAAACGTTCTTTCTTTTGTCATTTGCAGATTACTTTACTATTACTCGAGCCTTGGGTACCTTCAAGTGAACTGGGAAACTACCTTTATGAAAGTCGCGATGGTCTCATTGGTCGCCACCGTGGTCGAGTCGATACCCATCACCGATCAATTAGACGACAACGTTTCGGTTCCTTTGGCTACCATTTTAGCTGCTTATGTAGCTTTTGGGTATTAGATTCATAATTTTATGAATCCGACATAGGAATGTAGCCAAGAATATGCTACTATAGTTGTACTTGTATATATTTTACTTCTGCGACATTGACATTACGGCTCAAAGCCTCAAACGTTCGTTAATAGTCTGGTTTCGGGTTATAGAAGTGGTTGTTACATCATAAACTAAAACGGACCACAAAAGAGCAACTTAAGACATTATGGTTTGATGTTTCGAAAGCATTGGGACCTTTATCAAAGATATGGCTTATATTAAAATTGATAAGAAACTATAGGCTATCAATGTAATAAATGTATACGAATTAAGAAAAAGTAACCTCTCCAACCACAACTATGACTCCATCAACGGTGGGAATTTGCATACATCATATTGTTGACAATTTACTAGTATATTTTAGGGGAAAAATTCTTTAAATGGATAAATACAATGCAAATAATAGAAACTCAACAACTCCGTCGAAATCTATTCGACTGTGCACGAAATCTAAATTGCAGTGGATGGCCATACTATACATTGCTACTTATAGGTCGGTTACGAAAAAACGATTCGCACCTAACGATGTCCGTCCATTGTACAACTCTAATTTGAAGACAAAAAGTGCAAGTGTATTAAATGCATCATATCGCATATTATCCAATGTATTGATTTTGTAATTACGATTCAGTTCGTGGCATATCTATGATGATGTATCAACAATTGTACAGCGGTAAACGACATGAAGGAATTTTAAAACCGAAGAACTACTGACGTCATCCGAAAGCGGCCGGTTATGGTCTCCACGCGTGTAGCGGCAGCTTTACACGTGTCCTGAAAGGAGAGCGAGTAGTGGAAATGCTCCATATCTATACTCGCAGTCCAAGGGTATTTTGGTCAAAACAAGAGCCCATGCCAAGTAACGTTTCCGATTCTGCATTAACACACTCGTCACCTTTATAATTCCTCTGCAACGGATATACACGAGAGAGAGATATATCTCTTTCTGTAACCTTAAATGGAAAATTCGACTCACATTAAGTAGCGAGAATAAAAATATATTTGCAATCAAAGTTAATTTCGAATTCATTATTTACAAAACCTACAAAAAAAACTAAAATTAAAATTTCTACGGCGATATTTACACGGTTTCGCCGCCGTAGGAGTGATTAAAAGAAGAAGAGGAAGAAGAAGAAGTGAAGAAGAAGGAAGGAGTGTCACATCTGCAATCTCTCTCCTCTCCTCCATAAAAATTCCCTCATCTCTTTCCTCCTTTTCCTTCAATTGAGATTTTCTCGCATTTCTTCGATCGGAATCCACCACCCTCCAAAAAACTAAAATCAAAACAAAAAGCTTCAAACCCTTATCGCCAGCATTCCATTATCTATACAGATCCAACAGTTCTGTTAATTTTTTATTTTATTTTTCTCAGTGCAATCGATTCGTCTCTCTGTTTTTGAATTGTTGGATTTGATCATGGGTCGTATCGAGATATAAGAAAGAGGTGTTTCCGTGTGGAGGAAAAAGGGGAAATGTTGGCAATGGAGAAGGAATTTGATTCAGAACTTGCTCCGGGAGAAAATCGGTTTTCGTCTTTTCCGATGATGGAAGAGACGACGGATAACACCGGAAAAAACAGCTGGGAGAAGAAGAATGTCGCTGTCGCTGCTGCTACTCACAACAACCATCACCGTTACAAATATCTCTCCAATTACGGTGGCGGAGGAAGCTCATGGCGGCGTTTTCTCTTCTTCGCTTCCTGCTTTGGGCTGTACGCTATCGTCGCCGCGACGTACGCCTGGCTCACGTTTCCGCCGCACATCGGCCGTACGGATCATGTATCGACGTCTTCGCTAGGTTGCAGAGAGGACAACGAGGGTTCCTGGTCGATCGGCGTTTTCTACGGCGATTCTCCCTTCTCTCTCAAACCCATCGAAAGCGTGAGTTTCCGATCTCCGATCATCTATCTAGGGCTTATCAATTACAGTCATAATTGGGAAATTGACAGCATTGTTTCTGGTGATTGAATCAGATCAATGTATGGAGGAACGAGAGTGCAGCATGGCCTGTGGCTAACCCAGTTTTATCATGTGCCTCCATGACCAATTCCGCCTTTCCTAGCAACTTTGTAGCTGATCCCTTTCTCTATGCACAGGTAGGTTCATATAGCTCTTGTTTCTCAAAGCGCTTTTGAGTCTCTTTTGCTCATGAATCCCTAATTTTGTTATCTTATGAAACAGGGTGATACTCTTTACCTCTTCTTTGAAAACAAAAACCCAATTACAATGCAAGGTGATATAGGAGTTGCCAAAAGCATTGACAAAGGAGCAACTTGGGAGCCTCTTGGCATAGCTTTGGATGAGGCTTGGCACTTATCTTTTCCATTCGTCTTCAACTACAACGGACAAGTAAGATATATAACACTAAACAAACATACTCTCAGAGAACGCTTCTCTAACTTTTTTTTGTTCTCTCTTCGAAAAGATTTACATGATGCCGGAGAGTAACCAGATAGGACAGCTTCATCTCTACCGTGCTGTGAACTTCCCCTTGAGCTGGAAGTTAGAGAAAGTCATGTTGAAAAAGCCTCTTGTTGATTCGACTATAATCCATCATCAAGGAATCTATTGGCTATTAGGATCAGATCATAGTAGCTTTGGGACGAAGAAGAATGGACAGCTGGAGATTTGGTACAGTAGCACTCCTCTTGGACCGTGGAAGCCACACAAGAAGAACCCTGTCTACAACGGTAAAAGAAACGTCGGGGCAAGAAACGGAGGCAGAGCGTTTTCACACGATGGGAATCTTTATCGTGTTGGTCAAGACTGCGGTGAGAACTATGGGAAAAGGATACGCATATTTAAGATAGAGGCTCTATCCAAGGAAGTGTACAGAGAAGTCGAAGTCCCATTCTCCTTGGAGACGTCGCGTAAAGGTAAAAACTCTTGGAACGGAGTCAGGCAGCATCATTTAGATGTACGGCAGCTTAGTTCTGGTGAGTACATTGGTTTCGTTGATGGTGACCGAGTAACTTCAGGCGATCTGTTTCATAGGGTTTTCCTCGGTTACGCCTCTCTCGCAGCTGCTATCTCCGTGGTTGTGTTGCTCGGGTTTCTGCTTGGGGTCGTGAACTGCATTGTTCCATCAACCTGGTGCATGAACTACTACGCGGGGAAAAGAACCGATGCGCTCCTGAATTTAGAAACTGCGGATTTCTTCTCGGAGAAGTTAAGACGGATTTGTTCTAGGTTAAACCGTGTACCGCCTTTTCTCAGAGGGCTCGTGAAGCCTAACACCTCCTTGGGAAGATTAACACTCGTTTTGATAGTGCTTTTGGGACTTTTGCTCGCGTGTGTAGGCATCAGATATATCTACGGTGGAAGCGGAGCGGTCCAGCCTTATCCGTTCAAAGGTCAGCTGTCTCAGTTCACGTTAGCAACTATGACTTACGACGCACGTCTTTGGAATCTCAAAATGTACGTTAAGCATTACTCTCAGTGTCCTTCCGTGAGAGAGATCGTCGTCATATGGAACAAAGGACCGCCTCCTGATTTGACTGAGCTAGACTCGGCCGTGCCTGTCAGAATCAGAGTCGAGAAGCTGAATTCTCTGAACAACAGGTTTAATATTGATCCGCTGATTAAAACCAGAGCTGTTCTTGAGCTTGACGACGATATCTTGATGTCTTGTGATAACATCGAGAAAGGGTTTAGGGTTTGGCGGGAGCATCCGGAGAGACTGGTCGGATTCTACCCTCGTTACGTTGATCAGACCATGTCTTACAGCGCGGAGAAATTCGCGAGAAGTCACGAGGGATACAATATGATTCTCACCGGAGCAGCGTTTATGGACGTTGGTTTCGCGTTTGATATGTATCAGTCGGAGAAAGTGAGACTCGGTAGGAAATTTGTGGACAAGGAGTTTAACTGTGAAGATGTGTTGATGAATTTCTTGTATGCGAATGCGAGTGGATCGGGGAAGGCTGTGGAGTACGTGAGACCGTTTTTGGCTGTTGACACGTCGAAATTCTCAGGCGTAGCGATAAGTGGAAACACGAACCAGCATTACAGAAAGAGGAGTAAGTGTCTCCGGAGATTCTCTGACTTGTACGGAAGTCTGGCTGATCGGAAATGGGTATTCGGTGGGAGAAAAGACGGGTGGGATTTGTAGGAAATGAGTTTTTTTACTTGTAGGTCAAGTAAGTAGTTCTTCAACATAAAAAATGTCAGTTTTAAGATTTATATTAAGCTATATCCATTTCTTTTAGCTTTGTTTTATATTTTCTTCACTTTCGTTTACTAGGTTTTCAAAATAACCTTTAGCCTCTCTTTTCTTATTTTTTCTTTCTTTCTATAAGATCTTGTTGATTATATAAATTTTCTAATTAGAAATGTATGGGCCTAATTTGACATACTTCTTAAAGTTTGGGGCTTACTTTGAAAAAGACGAAATCTGCTTGAAGTGAGCCGAATTTCCCGCTTTCACATTATTTTCAAAAAATGGAAAATCGAAAATCAAAAATCTACTCGAAGTAGGAAACGATTGGGCCTAGTTTGGATTGGGCCGAATTGTTTCAAGGCCGATTGTACATTACAGCTCTACTATGAAACAATATTGAAACAATATGGACATATTTTTGTATTTAACGACTTTCTCAATATTTTTCCACAATATTCCGTGTGGATATTCGACATTCCTTACTTACAAATTTATTTGGACTTAATTATTACATAGTGATACAAATTTAAAATAATTGATATGATGTGATCCCAAGTTAATCCTTACAAAACTTTATTACAAATGAAACTTATGCCTAGTAATGAGTGAGAGCATTGGTTACTGAATCAATCGAATCATTGCAAACGATTTTCTATCCAAATTTTGCAAAAACTCTACCAAGTCAAGTGTGATCAATTCCTATCCTTTTACTATTTAAAAGGATAAAATATTATTATTTTTTAACTAAAGAGGGAAACAAAAATAAATAAAAGAAGAAGACGAAGAAGGAGAAAGGGGAAGAAGAAGAGAAGTGAAGAAGGAAGAAGTGTCACATCTGGAATCTCTCTCCTCTCCTCTCCATCAAATTTCCCTCATTTCGCTGCTCTTCCCGATATTCCATCATCTCTTTCTTCCTTTTCCTCCAATCGAGATTTTCTCGCTTTTCTTCGAGAATTTCGAAATCGGAACCCACCACCCTCCAAACAAATTAAAAATCAAAACAAAAAGCTTCAACCCCCTATCGCCAGCATTCCTTTCTCTGTACAGATCCAACGGTTCTGTTAATTTTTGTGTTTGTTCGTTTTGCCTTTTCTCTGTGCAATCGATTCTTCTCTCCGTTTTTGAATTGTTGGAATCTATCATGGGTCGCATCGAGATATAAGGAAGAGGTGTTTTCGTCGTGTGGAGGAAAAAGGGGAAATGTTGGCAATGGAGAAGGAATTTGATTCAAAGCTTGCTCTTCAAGGGAACTCATCCAGCGTCGGCAAAGTCGCCAGAAGCAAGAGCTTCTCCTTTAAGGCTCCCCAAGAGAATTTCTCCATCCAGGATTTCGAACTCGGCAAGATCTATGGCGTTGGCTCTTACTCTAAGGTTGCTAATTTCATACCATTCCTCGTTTATTTTGTTTCCCAATTTTAGCAATTCCCTTGAACCGAGCTCTGATTTGTTACTTGTTTTCTCTGATGCTTTCGTTTTCTCGGCAATGTGGGTTTGATTCATGAATTCATGTTCGATTTTTATCTGAATTTGATCTCTCTTTAGCCAATTTGAGTGTCTTATAGATTGAGTTTGTATTGCTCTGTGGATGATTCAAATCAGGTTGTTAGGGCAAAGAAGAAGGAATCTGGAACTGTGTATGCATTGAAGATAATGGACAAAAAATTCATCACAAAGGAGAATAAAACCTCTTATGTGAAACTGGAAAGGATCGTTCTTGATCAACTTGCCCATCCTGGGATCATCAAACTGTTCTTCACATTTCAGGATGCATTCTCACTATGTAGGTATTTCTAATTCAAAACGAACATTCCTGTGCTTTGAACAAACTTCTCTGATATTGACTTTCCGTCTTTCTTGATATGTTTTTTGGTAGATATGGCACTTGAATCTTGCGAGGGTGGCGAGCTTTTCGACCAAATAACCAGAGTAAGATGATCTAACAATCTAAGAAGATTGACCTTTTTTGGTATTTGACATACCATTCATGGTTTGGTTTCTTCTGTGTGTTTTGTGCAGAAAGGTCGGCTATCAGAGGATGAAGCTCGGTTCTACACTGCAGAAGTTGTGGATGCTCTTGAGTACATACATAACATGGGACTGATACATCGAGATATTAAGGTAACTCTTTTTTGGAATATCATTCTCTTTTATGGCTCTAAGAAGGACAGTGCTAAGTGTTGTTCATGAAATGGTAGCCGGAGAATCTGTTGCTGACTTCAGATGGGCACATTAAGATTGCGGATTTCGGTAGTGTAAAGCCAATGCAAGATAGCCAGATCACAGTACTTCCTAATGCAGCTTCTGGTAATTTGACTGTCCATAATCCTTTTGTAATGTTGCTGAGCTTAAGGTCTTATCTATAATTATTGTCAGATTCTGGTTTAAGCCTCTCTCTGTAAACTGGTGACGTATACAGACGATAAGGCGTGCACTTTTGTCGGCACTGCTGCGTATGTTCCTCCAGAAGTTCTCAACTCCTCTCCTGCAACTTTCGGGTAAGAGTCTTTGGTTTCGTATTTTAGCCTTTTCGTTTTGTGGATCACACAATGCCTCTTACTTAGAACAACCTCTTTGGTACTCTGTGGAACACTATTTAAACAGAAATGATCTCTGGGCTCTCGGCTGCACTCTCTACCAAATGCTTTCAGGGAGTTCTCCATTCAAAGACGCAAGTGAATGGCTGATTTTCCAAAGAATTATTGCCAGAGATATAAAGTTCCCTAATCACTTTTCAGAAGCAGCAAGAGACCTCATCGACCGGTTGCTGGTAAGATACATCAAAAGCCTGTCATCACCACCAATCAAATGATATTTGCAGTAACTCTTTTACTGTGATGTTCTCTCAGGATACAGATCCAAGCAGAAGACCAGGTGCTGGGTCAGAAGGTTATGCTGCTCTTAAGAGACATCCTTTCTTCATAGGAGTTGACTGGAAGAATCTTAGGTCTCAGACTCCTCCAAAACTATCCCCAGATCCTGCGGTATATGACTCCTCATAGACTTTGGACTTGTGCCATCTATTATTAGTATCATTTTACTCGTTTCTTGATTCAAGTTTTTTTTGTCTTGTGCAGTCTCAGACAGCATCTCCTGAGAGTGATTACACACACGGTTCTCCTTGGAACCCAACACATATTGGAGACTCTTCAGCCACGCAGAACGATGGGCACGTTCCTCCTTCTACATCTTCTGAATCATCGGGTTCCATAACAAGGCTTGCTTCAATAGACTCTTTTGATTCGAGATGGTGAGGGCATATAGGCTTTCTTGTTCCACTGTTTTCTGGGCAACATCCCCGGTTTAAAGCTCCTGAAACTAGACTCCAGTTACACTAGTATGCTAACTTTTTTCTTGTTTGTGAAAATATGGTTCACAGGCAACAGTTTCTGGAGCCAGGAGAATCGGTTCTGATGATATCAGCCGTGAAGAAGCTTCAGAAAATAACGAGCAAGAAGGTTCAGCTGATACTCACCAACAAACCCAAGCTAATTTATGTTGATCCGTCAAAGCTAGTCGTGAAAGGGAACATAATCTGGTCTGATAACTCGAATGACCTCAACGTTCTAGTCACTAGCCCTTCCCATTTCAAGATTTGCACGGTACTTACTCATCATTTCCATTATTCTCAATTCTCAACCAAAGGTGATGAAACTGAAATAGCGACTCTTATTGAATTCTGCAGCCAAAGAAGGTTTTATCATTTGAAGACGCGAAACAGAGAGCTTCGGTGTGGAAAAAGGCAATCGAGACTCTTCAGAACCGCTAGAGACAAACTCCACTGAAGGATGGTTCTGTTATTTTCTCCATTTGTTTTCATTTTTAAAGATATGAACTGACCAAAACTCCATTCTTCAGATGTTTTTCTACCATACTCACCTTTGAAAAGAATTACTTCCTCATTTCCATAACTTGACAACACACACACAAAGAAAAAGAGCTTTGAATTGAAAAAGAATCCTTTGTTTCTTCAAGTAGGTCAAAAACAAATATCTTTCAAAGTCAAAGTTACATGAAGTATTGAATTCAAGAAAGAGTACAAAATACAGTCTTGGAAACTAGCACATTACAAACAAACCAAGTCCGGGGAAAAAAAAAAACTAAGAGCAAGTGGCCGCATTGCTCTCTTTAACAGCAAGTGGTTCATACCATTGAGGGCCAAAGCCAGCAGCTTTCCTTGCTTCTGCATTAAACGGAGGTTTCAACGGTCCTCTGAAATGCTCCCTTACCACCAAATGAAACTTCTTGATTATCTCTTCATTGCAATCATCAGATTCTTTGCTGTTGATGGTGACTTCTGGATTCTTGGACCGTGCGCATAGATACTTGAACCATTTCACTCCAGCCGCACAGTGAGTGATTTCTTCAGGGTACACAACTCTCTCCAGTAAATCTGCAGTTTCGTTATCGCCTCCGTTCCTAAACCGGGATATTGTCGTCGGCAAGACATCAAGTCCTCTAGCCTGCAAATGGTATAATCAGTGAGAGACCCCCAAAAGAACATTTTCTTCAAAACAGAACAGAGACTGAAGTATTTCTCACCTCGTGAACACAGTGCTCAATAGCTAAACGAGCCAAAAGGTCATGAGATGTAGCGGTTGCAGAGTCCCAAAGACCATCATGGGCAGGCAATGCACCGTAACGAGACCCAATCTCCTCAAGCCGAGCCGCAAGCAAAGAGAAGTGACGGCCTTCGTCCTGAGCTACCAGAACAAAATCAGTGAAAAACTCTCTCGGCATCTTCTCTTGCTTGCCAAAGCGAGCAATAATGTCCTGCATTACCATAATCACACCCCATAAAAATCATCAAAATCCAAAGTTTCAAAATTCATCAAATAAAACAATTCCACATTATCACATTCCACTACACAAAGCAACAAAAAGTCAACTCCTTGCAGGAATAGATTAGCAAGTACATTTTTCTACTAAAACGTACCCAGGATAAGTCAATAGCCCAGCTTTCAGTATGAACAAGACTATGAACAATTGCTTGCCTGCTCTGTAAGCTACCAGCTCTTCCCAGCTTCGGCATCAAGCTCGGAGACACTAATTTCACCTACGAATTCAATCAAAATCCAATACTCGTCTCAAACACTTTCCTAAAATAGATTTAACTGAACAGAGACACCAAAAGAAGGGAACGGAGGAGATGGTACGTTGGTGAGCCGAGCCGGCCTGTCCGGGACGGGGAGATCGACGGTGGGATTGTAAGGTTCGGCGATGGCACCTTGGAGCCATTTGACGGCGATCGAGTCGCCAAGCTTGGCTTTTTCGTACGGATCCGATGTGTTAAGAACCCTAATCGCCGATTCAATCAGGGTTTCGCTCTCCATTGACATTCTTCTCTCTCTTTTCCTCGTGGGTTTTGCGCCGGCGAAGTTGATGTAGACAAAAATTATCACACGTGACCGGAGCGCGTGAAATACACGGCCTTGAATTTACTCATTAGTCGCATTTACACCACGCGCTACGTTCGCGTCTTGGAAGATTGGTTGGTCTCTCTATCCAATATGTCTCCGATTTAAAAGTCAAGGTCTCTCAGGTTCAGTTCTATTGGGTTTAATTCGGTTTGGATAGATATGTTTAGTTTGGTTCAGCTCAGTTAAAATGTCAATTTCCAATTTATTAACCTCCTCCTAACCTGTATTAACGACAAAATAAATTTGGTTCTTATACGCTTTCAAGCTCAGTCCTCTCCTAACATATTAATGACAAAATAGGCTTATTATCAAATGAGTAAATTGAAAGAAAAAATAAACATGTGATGTTGTACCAACAAATCTAAAATCGTTGCTAAGAGCACATGCATCGCACATCCCTACTGGGGTTGTTCCCAGGAAAAAAAAAAAACAAATAATTAGTGATGTGGCGTACTGACGTGTAGAGTTCAGAGAAAGAAAGGCTCTGCGGGAACAACTTCTGAAATCGGTTGTCTGACACAAACTCTACACGTGTCGCAACGCGATTGGTCAGTTTTTTGTTTTTTTTTTTAAATCATGACTTTTTTTCAAAAATTATTTTCTTTTATTTTTAAAGAAACCCCAGTGAGGATATGCCATGCATATGCTCTAAGGATTCAGAAATTTTCCCTTTATAGTAAAGGCTTCTAGAGCCCTATATAAACTCATTTGTTAACGGAATTATCTTCTTCTAAATGAATTTTAAAACGAGTAGTTGGAGAATTAATTTCATACCAAATTAGACAATATAAACAAAATTTTGCAGTTGGTAAAATGTTACAGATGGACCCATAACTTTACAGCTCTATAAAAAAAAAAAATTACATGATTTATATTACTTAGAGAACTCGTTTTATGTAAGATTTAGAGTCACATGGAATAATGTTTTAAGAATCTACGAACTGAATATGTCTAAATATAATCTAAGCTTATGCACATAGTTTTTGAAAGGACTATCTAAGAAAATTATATTTAATGGTATAGATAAATTATATTTAATGGTATAGATTATGTCAAAAAAATTTGAAATAAGAAATAAGTAAAAAGTTTGCAAATCTTGTAACATAATTGTTTTAAAAATCTGTTTTAGTATAAGAGCAAACGGACAATTCTGCTCTCATTTTTCCCTTGATCTTGCAGAGTCGTAGGACCACACCGTTTCCTATTTTTACGTAATCTAACAACAAAACTGACTGCATTCAAAGATAATGTCAGAGAGTTTGACGCATCAATCTATGTGTGTAAATATAGAAGACATGTCTATAAATTACAATCTGTGCACACACACATGAAATTTATTGCTCACTCTTACTCATAAACAGGTAACCCACAATAATGCAAATCTGTCAAAAGTAAATGCAAACAACACAATCCTTTCTTCACTGTTGTGAATATCCACCTCTTCACCAATTGGTTGCTAGTCAAACTCAAATTAGCAACCAATTTGTAAGAACAAAAAAAAACAATAACTGCGAATATGCATGTCCATCATTATAACTTGTTTATTTAAAATTTAACATCGAGAAAAACGAGAAAAATTCAATCGTCTACGATAGCAACTTGACTGTCTACAACATTCCAAATAATCCAAATTTTCTATTAAAGAAACATTTCTTATAGGCTAGAACCAACTGATAAAAATATAGTATATAGATAAAAATCGATCTTGTTTTTCTTTTTTTGCTTACTTGTGACGAATCAAACACGAACAAAGCTCATGGTATCGTCGTTGATCCAATCATACTTCTCAATGAACGGATTAGGGATTTTCGACAATTCCGGATATCGATCGATGGAATCTTCCCAAACATTCTTATCGTCAAGATCCTTAAGAACCTTCCAAACACAATTGTTACACTCGAATCCAGCTCCCATGCTCATCATTATTATCTTGTCACCTTTCTTCAGCATCTTCTTAGCTTCCATGTAAGCAAGAACATACCATAAACCACCTGAAGACGTGTTTCCGAACCTATGAAGCGCCATTCTCGCTGGCTCGATGTCGAATTCCGTGAGCCCTAAGCTTTTTCCGACCCCTTCGACAATCGCTCTTCCTCCAGGGTGAATACAGAAATGCTGTAACCCTGATTTTAGGTTTAGACCTATCCCCGAGCTCGCGGATTCTCCCTTCGCGGTGGTTCTTCGTTTAAACGCGCGGAAAATAGCGTAGCGGATCAGTTCCTTGACAGGCAAGACTCTAGGCAGGAGAACGTGGAGGTTTTTGGTTAGGGCTCGAGCGGCGGCTTTTTTTAGGTATTTGGTTAAGAGAAACCCTGGATGACCTTCGTTGTCCTCCATTTGCATGCAGCACGAGTAGGCCTCGTCATCAGAGCCCACGTGGGACCTGACCACGGTCACGAGCTTCATCAGAGCCCGGTTCTTGAACCGAGGTGCGTTGGTTAGCAAAACAGAGCTTCCTCCGGCACGGAAGAGACAGTTTGAGAGCATCATTGACCTATCTTTACCGCAATACCAGTGAGGACCCATTGTCTCGGTGCTGACCACGATTGCCACAGAGTTTTCGCGGGTTTCGAAGATCCGTTGCACGATATCTATCGATATGACGCTGGCGCTGCACCCGAGGCCAGAGAGGTTGAAGGATTTGATATCTTCTCTCATCTTGTATCTGTTGATGATACGAGAGGTGAGAGAAGGAGATGGAGCGAAGAGAGAGACGTTGACGACGAGGATGTCGATGTCTGAAGGAGAGATGAAGCCTTTGGTCTTGTGGAAAAGCTTGTCGAGAGTGTCGAACATGATCTCGTCCATCTCGGTGTGAGCGTCTTGGAGAGTAGGAGAGTCTTCTCTGCCTTCAAGGACGTTGATTGGGCCGTAAGTTTCCTCTCCGATCCCTGAACTAACCATTGTACGGAGGAGAAACCTGTACTCTTCAAGACCCAAGTTCTTGTTTCGTTGAACCACCTTGGCACACGTTTCCGTGTCGAGTTTTCTCTCGTCTTTGCCCTTGAAGCACTCGTAGTGAAGCATGAAGCAGTTTCTCTGGTTTCTTCTGTTGATAACAAACTTGGAGATGTAGAAGACGAAGAGAGTGGAGAGAAGGAGCATGGAAGGAAGTGAGAGGAGCTCCATGGAAGAAAGCAAGAGAGAATCAGGGAGGAAGAGAAAGAGAGAGAGACAGACAGAGAGACAGAGAGACAGAGAAGAGAGTGTGTTGTGATTTTTTTTCCAAGTTGTGTTAAAGTTGCAGGAAAATGTACGGATTTTATAGAAGTTAATAGATATGGTCAGCTTTGTTTTAAATTACTTTAGTCATAGAGCTTTAACTTCTCGACCAACTACTTTTTATTTAAAGATGGGTAAGATAAAATTAGCCATATTAATTAATTGTACAAGTTGGATTATTCGTGATGCAAGAGGCACATATATGCAAGAGGCAAAAGGAGCTTGTGTGAAGAATGTACTTCCAGGACATGGTGATGTGAATGCAACACTGTTGGAGCAAAGTGCATAAGAAGATAATTTTTGAAAGAGACAACAAATAGTTGATGGATTTAATGAAGAGGACTAAATTGAATTTTGGAGTGTTCAACATTGGATTCGTGAGGCTAGGGTATGAAAGAATCGCTTTGAAAAAATGTCGGTTTCAGTGGATAAAGAGACCTAGTAATCAGCATGCTGATGAATTGGCAAAGAAGAACATTCCTCATGATGATGATTTTCATTTTTTTTTTCTATGTTTCACATGTAATATCTCAAGCTATACGTGATGATTAGTGTAACTCTTTTTAGTCACTAATCAAATTAAATATATATAAAAAAAGATATTTTAGTTTTTGTGATCTTTCAACAATATATACATTATACAGAGTTTGTATTTTGATGGTAACATTGGGACGACACTAACACAAACTAATAAACAATAAATTGTTGTCAAACTAATACATTTGATATACAAAATAAGTTATTATACCAGTATAATAAGTTTGAAACCTAGAATATCATCAACACATGTAAAACGCCATAGACTGTATATGCTTACTTACCATCTAAGCATCTGTAGTGGCTGGCCAACCATTAATAAAAGTAAAAAACCATTAAAAACCCCAAAAAGTTTTTTTTTTTTTGTATGAACCCCAAAAAGTTAAGTATTTACCTACTTAGTTTCCCATCTATATTTTGTTAGATGCTGCAATAAGCATAAACAATCACTATGAAAATGATAGCATCAAAGTACTTGATATCCCATCTACTTGGTTTCCAATCTGTATTCGAGTGTGGTGCTGTGTCGTCCAAGTCTAACCACTGCAATAAATCTTATTTAGCGACGTATTACTGTCGCGATTGATAATTTGTTTAAACCACCAAAAAAAAAATATCAAAAAAAAAAAAACTCGCAATCCTTTCGCCGACATAACCAGTATCTAATAAATATGTTTGATATGTATGACTTACCCATATTACTATACGTTGGTTTGAATTTGAAATTCGATATACTTCAATTAAGTAGGAGTATAAGAGCAATCCATATGTCAGTTGGGGCCATGCGACATGTATCTCTCCATATGAGCTTTCAGTCTCATGCTCTGATTTAACTTTTATCTTTACTTTTTTCGGGTTAGTCTCCATATTTTCAACCCTGTAATAAAAATAGTTAATTTTGTCCTCAACTTCGCTACTATGCAGTATACAGTATAATACACTGCACCTAATTGACTACATCGTATCCTATCCACCAATTTACTTCGATCGGTTGTGACTTGTGATAATGCATTATGCATAATGTGATTTTGTGACAAAATAATTTGCGAAAACGTGGTGACTTGACTAACGGATACATAGATGATAATTTAGGATGAAAACGACATAATTAAGAAATCCAACGGATGTCTGTGTTGATAAGTTCTCCGAAATGGATTTGACTTTTCCACCCTATAAACCTAGAGTAAGAGTCAAAGAGCAGACGAACACGAATCTGCGATCAACGGCTCAAATTGATGCTAAGGGTAAAAAAAAGCGGGTCCAAGCCAACTACAAGAATTAAAGAGTATACAACGAATAGAAACAACAGTCTTGGCATCCTTTGTGGTGCGATGTTGCCCCCTAATTGACGCATCTCATTTATTGCATCCCTCACTCTCTCACGTCTATGTTTTGTTTTACTTTCATCATATCTATCGTCTTGCTAGATTGAGAAAAGAGGGCGCGTGCGGTTTAGGGTTTATGAGAGTTAGCAAGGTAAGTAAAGGAATCATGAATCAGCCATCTAATGTCTTAGTAAACCACAAGTTCCTTCAAAAAAATTGTACTTTAATTCCAATCTTGGGTTATTATCAACCAACAAAAATAAATATTAGAAATCTAACTCTCTCAACGAAGAGGCCAGAGGCCAAAAGACCTCCGACCTCTATGTACAAATGATCGCATTTGCTATACAAAGAAGTTAGTTCCCGAGATGCTCCCACACTCCAAAACGCTCTCGGCGGGGGTTTCTTATTGCTCTTCATTGCTGTTGCTATGCCTTACTCTGTCAAAACAAAAAAACATACACACATGTCTCTGCTTTTAGGGTCAATCTCGTGGCGAGTCATTCAGCTGTGAAGTAGCTGTCGTAGATGGAGAGTTTGTCAAACGCTTCATAGTTCGCTGTAAACCCAGCAAACTGGCTCCTTATCTGAGCACACCCCGCATCAGGCCATCGACACGTTCCTTCTCTCGCACGCAACGGACACAATGATTCGCTAACATTCTCCTCAGCCACTGATGAGATAGATTCTGAGATCACTGTTGTGCTGTTCTCAGATGGTGTTTGGAGGACTGGGTGAGAACATTTCTGTGGCCCGTCTTCTACTTCGACTGTGCAATCTCCATTCCTAGTGAAGTTAACTTTGCAGCCTAGTGACTGCACGGCTCGTGTTATCACTGCAAGCTCTTTTGTAGCTCTCTTTGCTGATTCTCTAGCTGCACGACTCGTGTTTTTCTCGCTAACCAACTCTTCACTCAATGACTCCACTGCAGAAGATAGCTCACCTACCTTCCTTTCTGCTTCTTCTTTCTCCTGTTCCATGTAAGCAATCGAGACCCAACCAATTTAGCTGACGATAATGGCATCTAAAGCCGGATATAAACTTCGCAACAAGCATGAAATTAGTTATTTAGTAGTGTAGAAAAAGCTCACCTTCTTCATTTCTGAATACTTAACAGTCACGGCTCTACATTGGTTTTCGGTTTCTGCAGCGTTTGGTTCCACGGGGCAGGCCCACCGGAGATGGAACTGTGGCCAGAGAGTTGGGGCTAGAGCTGCTGCGGGAGGTAATAGTGGGCCATTATATATTGACGGGTCATAAAACAGGTTACAATGGACATGAGAAGTTCCACTGACGGAACGCAAATTAGTCAAGTAAGCCCAAATGCATCCACACGATTCGGAAATCCCACATTCCTGCCTCTCCTTTTCACTGAAATCATCAAGATAAGAGTCAATATATATACCAAAAGTGGTCTCGATGTCACTTCCTGTTCAACCACAGAACTTTCAACTATGCAACATTGCTCCAAAGATAAACTTGCATATGAGGAACTTCTAACTTTATAACTGAACTGCCCAAGAAAGTTTCAAATGAGAAGTTACCTATTGCACAAAAAGTTCCCAAAACGACATGAAAGCAAGCAGTCCGTGAAATCTACCAGGAAAGTCTGAAACAAAATATGAAGAGCAGAGAAAAACATTAATAGAAAAGTTCAGCATGACACTGTCAGACACCTGTAAAACAATACTCTATACATACCGGAGAAAACTCAAAAGCAGAAGGATACATCCGCATTAGCTGCGAAACGCAATCAATCCACTGCAAACATAGACACACGCAACTATCATTAGCAGATCTGCCACATCGAAAAAGAATATATAATTGCAAGCAAGAGCTGCTCACCTGCAAAAATATAGGAGCATAGTCGTTCAGCATATGTGAAGATTGAGCAGCTGCTGATCCTGAAGATTGCCGTACTGGAGATGAAGGGAAACTTTTAGCAGAAGAAGACTGAATTGGTAATTCAAAACTGTCAGATCCAGAAACATCAGGCATTGCCACACGATCCGAAAATGGGTGTCCGAACGCTAACCAATCTTTTTCGATAAGAGCCTGATATGAGGTCAGAACAGTAAAAAAGACTAAGTAAGACAATGGTGCATCATATAAAGGCTGTTTATGCAGGTGAATTAGCTGGTAAGAACATCTTAAATAGTAGCATTCGCCACAAAGTATTCACTGAGCAACGCCCACAATATCAAGTTAAAATTCTAAACTTGAAATTGATAAAGAATTAAGTAAATCTAGTCACAACGAGAACAAGAACCCAAAAAACCAAAACTCTAGCACAAGGATACCTGAAACCCAGCAAATGTTCTGTAGTATGGGTCAAGCAATAAGCATGCAAGAGAAACCAGCTGAGTTGTTCTGTCCCATCCATCGCTGCACAATGACATCATAGCTCAGGATATAACAAAAATTCTACCTAGAATAGCAAACAGCCTGATTTAAAGTGTCTACGTGAGACACATGCTTCTTTGTCTTAGCATATCTAGAAATTGGTACCAGAGAAAAACAGTTCAGTGGTGATGTGGCCTTTAAGATAGCTAACCTGCAGTGCACAAGAACTGATGCCGACTCCATAGCAACACGTGCAGCAATCCATGCCACACCAGCTAAGATGCTTTGGATGTGGCTCAACCAACCACTTTCTCCAAGCAAGGATACTGAAGCAGACATACTACTGAGATTACCTCCACCCCAAGTCCAGCCACCATGTCTCTACAGATTTCACACAAACAGATATCTCCACCTTTAGCAACGGAAGAAGAAACTAAGGTTCCAAACATTCACTCGATAGTTAATGTAAGAGTCAACACGCTTTAAGCTTAGCACAATGGAAGCATATCCAATTTAGTTGCTAAAACCACCTAAAATGGCGAGTAATAATAGACCATTCGGAGAATGTGGCTGATTTTTAAGAGTAAAACAAAAACTTTAACTGCTTACAAATAGAGAACTCCCTGGAATTCAGTAGTACTTACCAAGAATGACGACGTGCCATCGGATGATGTTGTACCGTGCATATCTAAATAATCCCTAAGGCGGGAAAAGCTCTCTCTAATTGCATGAATGTTGTCTATCCCAAAGAAAACAATCTGAAGAGAAACACTGTCAGTAAAAACAAAGAGTTCCAGAAGACATGATATTGAGCTTCAAATCACTTAGTTCATGTGTACATACCTCAGATTGCAAATAATTTGAAGATGATTCTGAGCCTCCTCCCTTCGCTCCATTTGCTAGTGCATTTTTCCTAGGTCTTGCATCTGCGATATAAAGCTTCCTATGACATCAATACAAAATGCGAGTAAGTGTATATTTTTTATAACAAAGTCTCCACATTCAACCATATTAGAGATATGAAGCAACAGAATAATTTTATTTCTTCCCAGACAGATCTTTTTTAGTATTCCAGAATAATATCCTATGTCCAATGGGGCCAACAATAGTGGTTATCTTCAAGTTATATGTATATGTGATTAATAATAATAGCACTCTTTTCCGGTAAACACAAATCCATGCAAGAAATGCAAGCACACGGAAGTTTCATGGTACTAAAAGATGATAAAAAGGGATCCGTAAATTCAAATATTAACTTTGACCAAATGACAATAACATCAGAAGCTCACCGTGGCGCTCCGTTAGGACCAGCTAACTGAGTGCAGAATGAAGCAACCAGTTTTTCATCAAAGTTACTGTAGAAAACGAGCAAAATATATAAAAATTTCAGAATCCACCACTTGAAGCACTTTGACATTCCAAATGAGAAACTAAATTATCATGCACAATGGTCGTGAAAAACAAACTTTTATATACCTCCTCATGTTCATCATCAGACCAACTAAAGGTTGTGATGAGCGAGCAATCACAGCTCCACTTCCTGCAATCGAGATTAAAAAGTATCATGTAAATGTGGAAGCTATACCCACGAAATTTAAATGGAAACACCAGAGCTGCTGCATTTCTACCCGGATGACACCACGAGATCACAGGCAAGCGACATTTTGCCCGGAAAGTAGACGCCTGGATGAGCTCTTCATCACTGACATAAAACATCCACGAAGATAATCTCTCAGAGTCTGGCAGAGACCAAATTAAAAAAATTCATTCCTGAACAAAAAATCAAAGTCCTACCTAATGGATTTTGGAACCATTAAAGCAAATGGATAAGTCTGACACAAGTTATAATTGGAGTTCAAGTCAGTTATCCGCCAAAGGTCATTGGACAATGTGAATGAACCGTCTTCAATCATATTCTTCGACGCTCGCGATGAACTTTTTCCGAGAAGCCGAAAATATTCATTAAGCAATCTTTCCTTTGGATTTGTGTTACCGAACTTGGAAGGCCCACATGTAAAAGCATAAAGATCCCATACTCTCTCTGGCTTGCGACACCTCGATAGTGCATCAACTACAGCACGTCTCTGCAAAGGTATGACAACAGAATCATATAGGTTTCACGGAGAAATGCGGAAGGCAAAAGATGGAAAAAGTCAAACTTTCACCTGCTTGATTCCAGGGAGAAAACCATAGACAATTATCCTCATGTCTTTGCCTACAAAATGCACACGATTCAGAGGAAACAGTTTCAAACTAACACACAGATGGTTTTGCATAAAACGGTAACAAAGAGATCTCTTCAGTCAAAATATGGAGGGTTGGGGTGATGTCTACTACCAAGATAGTTACTGTCAGGTAAGGAACAATGGAGGGAAAAAATACAGAGCTAATTTAAAAGGGAAGTTCGATCTATGGCGTAAGAACCTGATAAACAAAACTACTCAAATCAGAGATAGCAAATACGAAAACGGAAACATACCAGTGACCTGTAAAAGACGTTTTGGTGGATCCTTGTTGGAGAGATGTCTGTTTGATTGAAGTTTCGGCACCTAAATTAAATTAAACACTCATGATACATAAATTAAATAAAAATAAGAACACAGAGCATAAATTCACTAAAATTAATCACATCTCCAAGGTATAATAACTGACCAATTTGGTAAACTTCTCGATAGCTTGTAGTGGAATTGTACCAAGTGGAACGAGCTTTCTGCTTCCTTCACTCTTCACAAAGAGAAACAAGGAATAGATCCTTCAAATTTACGTGTGATGATGCATACAATAAGTGGGCACAAAGAAGAAGCAGAAGAAAAGACATACCAAAAACATAATCCGGAAATTCGTCAGCAAGAGGGTCCCTGCCTCATCGGTGTTTATGAGGATAACTCCACAACACTGAAATCAAAGCCATATATGACATTCAGATTCCACAACCACAAATGGATTATTGTTAATATTCAAGGAACCTGAGTGAATCATGCCTATCAACTCTCAAATCCGTAGCAAACAATTCAGAAAACAGCGAGGACACAAATAGCATTCGCAATTCAAAACTTCCAATTTTGACCAATTCTAAGGGCATACCTCATAGATGATCCTCTCAAATTCGAGCAAGCAATCCAAGTTCGAAAACGAGCTTGACCAAGAAGCTGGCTGATCCCCAAATCGAAAGAGAATAGGAAAACATTAGGCGTCAATCGATTAACGCAACAATACTCAATAGACAAAAAGAAAGACGAAAACACGACGTTCTCGTGTAATTCGGTAAAGGAAAAACGTGGGAGAGAAGCTAGAATTGACAAGTTAGAGCAAAAGAGCAATACATCGTGTTTAGTCCATTCAATCACGTCCCAGCTTCCGGTGCCTTCCATCTTCTCCGACGAACATCGCAGCGATCGTAATCGCCCAGAGGGAGGAGGTCTCGGCGCCGTCATTCGGAAGAGAGAGAAAGAGAGAGGGAGAGAGACGGTGACGAGGCTTCACCTGCCGCTCAACGGTGGCAAACGACGGATTGTGCACGCTGCCTTTTCGCCACAAAGACAATGCGACATCCAAATACGACGCAGTTTCCGTACGGCCAAAGTTTACGTTTTATACTTTTTTTTGTGCTAAAGACTTTATTAATTTCTTTAATTACATCTCTTACCTATAATTATTTTTCGTCGGAAAAGGATAAAATATTTCTTACATGTTAAGTGTGTTAATTTCCATATTGATTTTCTCTTCATCTTAGATTAAATGGAAATTTTGGATGTTGTTTTTTGGTAATTAAAAAGAGATTTCTTTATTTAAATTCAATTAATTATTAATATTATTTAACATAAAACCATAAATATAAAATATCTAACAAACTTAAATTTTACAAACCATCCCAAAACGAATCCCTAAGAAGTTAATTTTGTATTTGTAGCATGACCCTTCTATAAAATTATTGGCAGCTGTATATCATCATATAAAATTAGCATCATACAAATATTTGTATTTTAATGCTAGATATTTCTTTTTAATAATACGATAGGGTTCATTAATGGTATAACGATTCAGCATGCTGAATTTTGAGATTTGGATTTCGAACCAAGAATATAAACACTGATCTTCGGTTGGCCAATTGCGATTTGCGAGTCCACACAAATTATGCATTCATAAATGATAAAACTTGAACAAATCGGAACTTAAAGAGTCCGAAATCAAGGATTCTTCAGTATCACCAAACGAATTTTACAGAATCTAAAACAAACGTGAAACTTTGGCACATACGTATATGCAGTATGTAACTCACCACAATAAAATCGAAGAACAATATACAACGCATCATCATCCTACTACAAGTCAGAATTTGCAATCCACGAAGCAGAATAGTAAAGGAGAGAAGATAAAGAGTTGCTCAGATCTTAATACCTCTTGTGGTAATCGAGCAATGTAACAACTTTTCGTCCTTGGGTTTGGTCCAAAGCTTGCATAGGAGAACTGGGCGTGCCCACGGTTCGGTTTCCCGAGGGGTGAGATCCAGTGCCGGTTTAGGTCAAAGAGGCTTGTGGCTAGTCTTGGAGAGCTTCACTAGTTATCCGTGTCCAAGCATTTCTCAAGGGTTAGACTACTGGTGCACTCTTGAAGAGCCTTGGCGTTTAGTTCTCTGCCAAATCTCCAGACGTAGTTGAGCCCAACTAGAAGCTCCGTGATGATGGCTTCTGTCTTCTGCTGGTTTGCAAAGAAAAGGGTTTGTGCAAGAACTATGTGCGTCCTTGAAACCAAGCTTTGGTGCTCGTAGCTCCTCTCGGACTGCCACTTTATCATGTTGTGAGCTAATGGACCCAACCATTCCAAGATACCCGCCATAGCGTCTGTCCAGTCTTTTGCGAGTCCTGGATCATAAACTGTGGAAGAGCTCAAGCTTTTTGAGTACGGCTTTAGGCTTTCTCTCAGAGACGTTCTCACGCTCGCAGGTAACATGTTGTAAAGGTCGTCTCTTGCATCATCGCCTATCAAGTGAGGAGACGCAACAAATCTCTCTATCACAATGATGACATTAGCGTAGTGTAATGCTAAGCAAGCGGCACCAAGGGTATTAGGAGCAGCATCTGACAACTTGGGTCGGGAAGGAAGCATCAAGTTTTCAACGTGGACAGAGTTTGAATTTCCTTCAACACTATGATGATGATGCTCAGCGCTACTATTCCTAGCTCCGTTCCGGGTCCTGGTGCTGAGAGGAGTAATCCCGTCGTGAGACACCAAGCAGCCTTTAAACGGGCCAACCTGTGTTAACCGGTTGGGTTTCGATTGCTTCTTCGCTGAGGAAACTGAAGGCCTTTCCGGGGTCTGCACCATCTTCTTGTTGTGTTTGCTCATTCCGAGAAGTGGTCCTGATTTGGAAGTGATCTTTCCGAGCGGGCCAGAGTAAAACTTGAAACGTTTGTTCTTCTCTGCAACAAGAGGACCTGACTTGGGGGATTCGGAGCTGAGAGAGCCCGAGAGGAAATCACTCATCTTCGTGGACCTTAGACCAGCTGAACCTGACGCTGGACTGGTATACTTCCCAAGGGGACCGGAAGCAAATCTAGGAGGGCCGGTAGACTCATACTTATGAGACGAAGGCGTCAAAATTGTAGAAACCGAGTGGCTGCGACCAATGAAATCAGAATCTGCAGAGCTAACATCACTTGCCTCTACTCTGTAACTAATGCCAAAAACATGTTTAGTCCTACTTAAGATTGTGAAAACTGATCTCACCAAGAGAAGGACTGTATAGTCGTAAGTACGGTTCCATAGAGACACATCCCGCAGATTCTTCACCTCATGCCTTTTCCAAGTGACTTTCTTCTTATACTCCACTAGATTGTCGGTTGCAGATTCATTGCTCATCATCCTCTTGAAAGTCTGTTCAAGATCCGCCAAAATCTCAGTCTCCTGGTAGAGACTCGCGTTTGATGAGATGAAACGTTCCATTTTCTTGGCTTTCCTATCCATCTTCTTCCACCCAAACTGCCACCCAAATGGGTCAGCCCCAGTCTTCATCATATCGCTGAAACTATTCTCAAAGCTCTTCAGCTTGGGATCGTTGCATTTCCTAGCGAGCCTAGCCACAGCCTTCGCTACATTCTCAATGTTCTCCATCATTTCATCACGTATTAGCCTTACAATGAAATCATCGTCTTCTGAAACTAGCTTCTTGATACCAGTGGAATGTGTGATCTCCTCCCTAAGCCTCGCAACGTTCTTATCACTTAGGGATTGCCACAAGTGCACTAGTTTCGACAGTAGACTTGCAACCTCGAACGCTAATACTCCAAGCACCGCCTTCTCTTTGTGACCGTCATGCTTCTTTGGAAATCTCCACAGATTACGAAACCAAGTCTCTGAAACCATCCTCTCTCTCTCTCAACCTGCGTTGCAATAGACAACACAAAGAAACCGATACAATTAAAGCAATTTACTAAGAAAAAAGAGTGAGGAAGTGCAAAATCAAGCAAACACTTCAAACTAAAAATCACACCCACAGCTGAAATCCCGAGCTGAAATCAAATTCAGAGCAAATTCCTAGAGGAAGAGGATAATAGATATAACACTAAAAGCACGCAATGGAAGAAGAAGGAAGAACAACAAGAAATCTGCAAGAAGTAAATCTAACGCAAGCAATAGAAGCTGGATTTGGGCGAAATTGGGGAAATCTAGCTACAGAACCCAAGTTACCTCGGAATCGGCAATTCTACCAAACACCAAATCGATTCTAAGAAAAAATCTCAGCTGCAGTAGTATGCAACACGGTCTCGCAGCTTAATTTTATCAAACATCAAATTCGCAGAAGCGAGAAACGGGATAATTTTTCACTAGAGACGCATGATTCGAATTGGAATTGTCGGCAAATCGAGAAAGAGACACGGAACAGTAAAACCCCAACCGAGAAAGCGCGTAACGATGATACAGTGCGAAAGAAGAATCTTACCGATCATTCGAGGAAAAGATGTGAATCAGAGAAAAATCTGGGGAAAAAAAAAAAGAAAAAGGAAATTAAGAGAGAGGGAAAGTACAGGAAGAAAGAGAAAGTAGCGAAGAAGATGCAGTGGAGACTATAGCCACATCCCACATGGAGAGGTTAAAGCAGGAAATTGTGGGGAGAGAGAGAGAGAGATACTGAGCGAGTCAAGTTCGTGTGAAAGAATCCTATATTTGCCTTTTTTATCTTTTTTGTTTAGTGCTTTTAATTAAGATTATTACGTATTTTGCCTCAAACCTTTATGATTGTCACTTTCGGAGCCCCAAATGTTTGACAAAGCAACTTGCCTTTTTCGACTAAAAATCAAACCATTATATTTTCCAAGAATGAATTGACTGGAGTTTCGTCGTACAAAACACGAAGGAAATTAAGGAGGAGACTTAGCATTAGATAATAACCACGATAAGAATTGCCGTGTTAAGAGTGGGTTGATTAATTATACTTTTTGAAGCATGCACCTTATATGTTGTGTTATGTGTGAGAGACTGAGAGTGAAACAAAAAAACCAAAATAACCATGTTTGCAAGTTATAACTAATTATGTTAATGATGGTAGAAAAAGTTATCACTTTCCTCAATAAACTATGTTTATATTAGTATCTATGTCACAGAGAAACTACTTCACTAAAAAAAAAAGCGTATAACCTATACTACTACATTACATTTATAGCCAAGGGAATTTTCTTCCCACATATAAAATTCTGAAACAGAGCAAGAATCTTATAATAATGATTCGTGACTCGATCAGACGAAAAAAGAAAATGACTTGTAACTCGTGACTTGTGTGACATGTCTCATGCTTTTGGGCCTCTTGTAACAAAACTAAATGTGTGGGAGTCAAATCAAATCTCTAGAAAATAAAGGAGCAACAGACAAGACAGTATTGGATCAGATATCCTTTCCTTGGTATGAAATAGGATTATCTGAAAGATGAGGGACCAGAGTGAAACTATTTGGGTTAGGAAGAGATCCGTCACAATCATTTAATGGCTAGCACGCGGAAACTTGTCGTTTATACAATTTTCTTAACTGTATCGGGTCGGGTTTTGAATTTGCAAATGGGTCAAACAATTCGGAATATTTCGAGTGACAATTTTTAACGGCATTGTAAATATATTTTCACGGTTTGGAAGAAAACGATGATGCGATTAGATACCGTGCTAACCTTGATTAGTGTTTTTTACATATTTATAGAGAAAATAGTGACTACGAACGCCTAATCCTTTTTTCTGAGTTAGAGATTATATTAAGAAAACATTTTATAACAGATGATTAAGCATTGTGTTACCTTTATAACTCTGTGTAATTCTGTCAAATGTAGCGTTGAAAGAAGCTTGCAACACTAAATGCATACCCAAAAAACGTGTTGAAATGCTTTGAATACAAAATTTCGATTTTTTTTTGGGTAAGTAATAAAAAATTAATTTAAATACAAGAAAAAAATTAACTAACAAAATACTCCTACGTTTGAGGTTTAGAAAAAAAAAAAAAAAAGAGTATATTTTCAGTTCCAGTGAGTATTAGTAACAATCAAAAGTTGGGCTATTAGCCTATTACACTCACGTTGTTTTAATCAAAACTTTGCAGAAATACGTAACAGAAGTAATCCAGAAACTTGGCAACAATCTATTGGTGGGTATAGTCTAGAAAACCATGGACGAATTCAATCAAAGAATATATTTTCACGAAAAACGAGCCTAACAACCTCTCGATTCGTCAACGACTTCATTTACGATTCGTTCGACTAATCACGTGTTCATTCTCGTGTTTGTAAGATATTTCATATTTGTGTTTCTATGATTCTATCCTCATCAAAAAAATAGTTAAAAAACGGTTTTACTGTCCGCTTAACATTCGTTTATGGTATCCTTTTACATAATATTATACACTAAGACTTTAACTCGTGATCAAAGAATGAGGAGAATAAGACATGAACTTTTTACCTCTTTTCTTGTTTTTAACAGCCATTTTAGTGGCATAAATATAAATAATATATTTATTAACAGATGTAACGTATATATCATTTTAATAATTATATTATTTTGTCTATTTTCAAAAGTACTTATAAACTAAGTAAATATATTTAGTCAAAAATACCCTTGCATATATAGATAGAAAATAATCTTGACAATATTTTCATGGATAAATACTATATAATCTCATTCGTAGTTTTAGTCCACGCATATTCTGAAAACCGAGATCCAGAAAACCCTAAATTTGGCGGCGCTTTTCCTTTGCTCTAAATCACATGTGATATCCGATCGGTATGTTTCGTCATCCATCCTCCATAAAAGAAAGTCACTTAGGCCTATAAAAGGAATTCCACTTATAGATAGGAATAGGCCCATACAACAGAAGTATATCGGGAAACGGGAGTCAACGGGGTTTCTCCGGTCAATAGATGCGGTGCTGAGGTCGCATTTCTCTTAATGAGTGATTCTAAATTTCCCGATCTAATCTTTAACTATGTTATATATTTTGTTGTTGTTTTTCTTTTTTCACTACTATGCTTGCTCAAACTCGTAATGAAATTTGGTTGATTAATTGCAAAAATTTATAATATTTTTCGTCAATTATTCGAGTTTGTGTATAATTGATGTAGATCTATAGATATTTATAAATATATATGAACTTAATGAAACAAATTATAAAATCATATTGTTCGTTTACAATCTAATAAAACATTTATTGAAATATTTTCGTTAATATTTACACTTTACAGTTTATCTCTAAATTTTTTGTTTGGATTAAAGTTTTGTTTTTTGGGGGTGAAAATGTGAAGTTAAATTTGATGACGAGAGATGTTATTCCTATTTCATAAATAATATAGCTCTTTTTGGTATTTGTTCATCATGCAGAGGAACGGGTGTAAAACGAGACGTTGCAGCAGCACATAATTTATGTGACATAACTCAAGGCATTGCCATTTCCGTATAATTAAAAGAACAAAAGAAAATTACAGTCAAAGGCACTTTTCCAAAGTCTAATAACACTCAAAGGCACTTTCTACTCCCTAGTGACTTTGGCAGTTTTGGAGTGAAGCATAATTCCAAACGTATCCTTGCTTTAATTTCCAGACCTTTTCCTTATCTTTTTACCAGAATTTTTTTTACTAAGGAAGCAAATACCTTTTTGTTTGTAAAATAGAAGAGGTGGCCGTGTAATTAGTTGGAGGACGACAACGATGTAGAGACGTCGATGAAGAAGCCGCCGGTTCTGAATAAATCTGGGTTGTTGAAGACAACTTCCAATTATGCTCCTGTAAATTTAAAATAATTTTCCACGCCTCCAAATCTGGATATAGCTTCTCTCTGTCATTTTCGTTGCCAGACAAACTCTGTAGCGTTGGTTTGAAAACTTAACAAAATAGGTAACCGATAACATTTGTACAGGCGCTAATAAACACACACAACTGATGTTGCACATGTTTTAGGTGATGGACACATGGATATAGAATCAGGGATTGATCACTGTGGATAACTAATTATAATTTGTGTTATGTTAGTTGGTAGCATGATAGGCCAAATTTTTGATGTACAATTACTAATAAACATATGTACAAGATGTACTAGACACTAATAATTCAATTGGCCATCAACGAAGGAATGCCCAATGTGCGCAGGGGTGACTTGTGTACATGTTTTACATCGAACCAGCGATGTTGTGATGACTTTAATACCTAACAAAATACGTGTTTAGTAACATATGTACATGGAGTTTTGGATTTATTATCGTGGACGCTAACCGTGGATAGGTGTTCCAAATGCAGCTTAAGGAATGTTATCACGAATGGAAAATATTTGATATTTCTCCATTATTCGACGATATGCTATATGAGAGCGTCGATATCCCTGACCTCGACATCGACGAAATGGGCATAGTTTTCACCCAGGTATAGAAGCTTTATCTGCTTAGCATGGATTTCTCGAGGTTTAAAAGCTTCTCCTTCTTAATCTCACACAGGCTTTTTCTCCGACAAGTTAAAAATTTCTTCAACACTCTGAGACTTCAATCAACCTAAAAATGTGCGTCTAACCAGCTATGCATCGTACACAGGCTTATGTCCATGTCTAATACGCTACATGTTCTGATGTTGGGTATCATTTCTTCACCGACTTGAGGCTTCAATTTTCTGAAAGGAGGTGCGTCTGACCAGGTACACATCATTCAGGGCCCCTTGTCCATGTCTAATAACATACGTGATCATATGTTTGTTATAGTCGAACCACGCTGCTGCTCCCTTTATGGAGCTCCACATCGTCCAATAGCTCTTATCCATGTCTGATAATCTGTGTGTTCAGATGATGTCTTCTCGGCAACATAGACAACAAAGAATTTAATATTCCTCCATTGTCCGACGACACACTATATGAGAACGCCGACATCGATGAAATGGGCATAGTTTTCACCTAGGTACAAAAGCTTCATCCCTTTAGCGTGGATTTCTCCAAGTTCAAAAGCTTCTCTTTCTTAACCTGGCGCAAGCTCTTTCTTTGACATAGGTTAAAAATTTCTTCACCGCCTTGAGGCTTCAATCAACCTAAAAGATGTGCATCTAACGAGTTACGCATCGTACATATCCTTGTGTCCATGTCTAATACGCTCCATGTTCAAATGTTCGGTGATAATTTCTTTACTGATTTGAAGCTTCAATTTTTCGAAAAGAGGTGCGTCTGACCAGGTATGCATCATCCACGACCCCTTGTCCATGACTAATAACACACGTGTTCATATGTTCGTTGTAGTCAAACCACGTTGCTGCTCCCTTTATGGCGCTCCGCATCGTTCAATACCTCTTATCCATATCTAATAATCAACGTGTTCAGATGATTGAGATCGTCACCACACTGCTGGTTCGGCACACAGAATCGGTGAGACGAAAGAATCGCGTAGCAGTTCGTAAAACACAGAACCAAACGGCTGCTTTGGTCGAATGACAGAGCCACTGATATTGAGAAATTGTCGTGGCGGTGGGTGAAGGCAGGAGCAGCAGTGAAGAAAAACGACGGTGTTAGATTTTACGTTTTTTGCCTGCCGTTTCAGTTTTCTTCAAAGTAAAAAAAAAAGTGAAATTAAGAAGGTGAAAGGATGGATCTTCTTTTTGCAAATATAAGTGTGAATGAAGGGTTTTTTTGTCATTCCCACATATCAAAGTTCCTTGGGAGTGAAAAATGCCTTTCTTATAACTTTGTAACTCATAAGTGTGATGTAAATAACTCAAAGAACAATTGGCAATGCTCTCTCTTCATTACCTTCCTTTTTGTCACTATTCATAATCGTAATTTGATTTTTTTTTATTATTATTTAATTCCCTTTTGTTTTCTTCTTCGTCTCATCACTCTTTCTCTCTCTATCTTAAAACGGTAGAGCTGCTGACACAGTCCCTCCGGCATTGACTCGCCTGAGTTTCAGAAAAGCCTGTGCGTTCTCAAATCGGTGAGGTTTAAGCTCCATTTTCCTTTAAAAAAAATGTTTTTTTTTTCTCTGGAATTTGTTCTGCTAAATAAACTGTTACATCTCCGGATGACGAGATGATCTACTGGGTAATTTACTTTTATTTTCTGTTTTGTGATTATAATCTCAGCCATTAACACCTGAAATTTGGTTCTTCTCGTAATCAAAACCCAAATTTGTTTTTAATCTTCCTTTCTTAGAAATTCTTATACATGTCGCCTTTATTCGCCCATCTTTTGCGCTTTCAATTTATTTCATGGATTCCACCATTTCTTCTCTTAATGGGTTTCTCTTTTGGTTGACGAGAAAATATCAGGAAAAATAATATACTGCATTTTATGGTGCAGATTCTAAACGATTAAAACGAGTGATCGCGTCTTCTAGCCTGTTTTTGGTGTTTGGAAATGGTTGTCTGATGTTTGGAGAGAGAAATTCGTGAACTTGGGGGAGATTTAGTTAAAGGAGTGATTCATAGGAATGAATTCGAGGGGTGATCCTGGGGATGGCTATTTTCGAGTTCCTCTGGAGAATCAAGCTCAACGGGAGATTCAATTCATGGGTTCTTGGCTTCCGGTTCCACCCATGAACCCCCTGAAAGGTAGATCAAGTCTAGTCGTAGATGAGAGAGCGATTCACCAAGAGCTAAATAGGGTTCCAAGTGGTGGATACGGTGGTGTACATTACGCACTGCAGGGGATGGATCAAAGTGGGGTTTATGACCATGGTGCTCATCATGCGGTGTACAACGGAAACATGTCTATCAATAGCTTAGCAGGATCATCATTTGCACAGTTCAGGAGTAATGGTGAGAGAGAAGATCCTTCAGGCAGGACTAATGCAGCTTCTCCTTTAGTACCAGTTGTTAGAAACACAATCGGCAATGGAAATTTTACTGCAGAGGCGGGTGTGCTAAACGGTTCTTTCACCCAGAGTGACTACAGTGAGTTTGAATTGGACGACTTGTTGGATGCCACCGATCCGATCAACTTCACAAGCCTGCTGAGTTGTGGAGATAACTTATTCCAGGCTCCTCAATGTGAGTGATCATATCTATTTTCAGTTTTTCTTTTTTTGTCCATTCTTGCAGTAGTTAGTGTGGAAGTGGAACAATACTTACCACTTATGATATTCTTTTGGTCACATCTTAGCATGAATCAAACTGGCATTGCATATCATCATTAAATTTCATAGTCCGTATCATTTCTTAACATGGTAAGTTTTTGCACAGATGGAACTCCAGCGTGTAGCAGGCCACTCTTCAATTTGAATTCACCGCCTAGAAGAGAAGAAGCTGAGTCCATCTGTGAAATTTCTTTTCAATATGTACCGCCAACGCCCAATCTTTGCAGAACAGGCCAAGAGAATGGATTTCTGGAAAAGATAACTACAATCAGTGGACATGAAAACACAGAGGAGAAATCTGAAAAAAGCATGCAGAGCATCGGCTCATCTGTTGTTAATTCGGCAGAAGTTAGCAAACAAAAGGAAGGCAGGCAAGAAGATGATCCGTGGGTTGATCTTAACAAGACACCTCACCAGAAACTCTCCAAAAGGAGAAAGAAGTTCATGCCAAAGGTGGTCGTGGAAGGCAAACCTACAAGGAAGCCACGCAAACCTGCATCTCAGGAAAACGTGAAAGGTAAAGAGACCGGGAGTGGCAAAAGGAAGAAAGCTCAAAATACAAACCTGAAAGAATCAGCAACTAAAAAGCCAGCCGTTACTGGAAACATGAGCAACACAAGCCCTGAAGTTACACTCAAAAGTTGCAGAAAAGCTTTGAGCTTTGACTTGGAGAAAAATGGAGATGCGAGGCAAGGTGACCCTGAGTCTGAAATTGTCCAGAACACTAGTGGCTCAAGCTCACTTTCTGAGATCAGAGATGCCGCTGGTGGTAGCTGTGTGGATTCAGTAACAAAAACAAACCAGACCAATGGTTTGGTGGCTACGAACCAGCCACTTGAAGAAAACCTACTCAGAGCATCCCAACCAAACCATCCTCATATACCTGTCAGAGACCAACAACCTGAATTATCGATTGGAAACCAACAAAGCCAGTTCCCAGTGGTATCCCAGATAGACATCCATCAAGCTTGGCTTCAGATGACAAACGACCTTGGCTTTCCGTTCGGTAACCAGCTACCTGACATGGCCATAAGAAACCAGCAGACTCGCTTGGCCATGGGTAACCAACAACCTATGTACCTGACAGGAATCCCACGACCTGCATTGGCGAGTGGAAACCAGCAATCCGGAAGTCTCAAAGGGAACAAGGGGCCTATGTTTTTCAATCAGCAAACACAACCGACTTACTTACCTGCTGTAAATGAACAATATAGATCACTAGCAGGCATGCAGCAGCTTGTTATGTCAACTGGAGGGCAACAACATGGACTACTTATGAGAAACCAGCAACCTGGATCATCTTTGAGAGGCCAGCAGCCTTTCGTGCCTCTGATGAACCAGGAACCTGTAACCCGGAAAGGTTTTACTCACTTGAATCCGATGGTAGCTGCCAGCATGTCATCGCCTGGGCTTCGACCTCATTCTCAATCACAAACTCCCGCAACAAATCTGCAAATGGAATCTGTTTCCAGAAGTTTGAATGGGACTGCAGGTACATACCAAAGAAACACCATTCCTGAATACGATTCTTTACAGCAATATATCCATCAACGAAATGGTGAATCTTTTGACGTATCCAAGAAGACATTATCTCAACACTCTTTTGTCCCAACTTCAGTTATGGCTAAACTTGACGAAGCCAGGGGCTCGAAAAGACAGTATGATCGTGTGATGCAAAACCATGATCTGAACCCAGTGCTCCAACAGATTGCTCAATCACATGATGTGGAGAGACAGAAGAGCAGTGCAGAACATTTAGATGCTGCAAAGAAAATGAAAATCCAGAAAGTAGTCCAAAATTCTGCAGATAATGAGAAATCTGTTGTCCTAAAAACGCCCGCAAAAAGGGGTCGTCCTGCAAAGATAAAGAAATCAGTAACTTCACTTGCTCAGGCCTCAGATCTCCAGCCTACTCTTACCAAGACACCATCATCAAGAAGTAAGGCTACAGATAATGGGAAATCTGTTGTCCTAAAAACGCCCGCAAAAAGAGGTCGTCCTGCAAAGATAAAGAAATCAGTAACTTCACCTGCTCAGGCCTCAGATCTCCAGCCTACTCTTACCAAGACACCATCATCAAGAAGTAAGGCTACAGAGAAAGGGAGGAAGTCCAAACAAGATCCGGGAAAAGCAAGAGGTAACTAATATATTCCACAATCTATGCGTGACACAATTTTAAGATTCTATTAGCTGATGTGTCTAAACCAGCTCAATTACCACTTTTGATGCGTTTTATAGGTTCACCAGGAGAACTTCTATGCCAAGATTCTATTGAAGAGTTAATATACAGGTTGCATAATCTTATTCTAGGAGAACAAGAGCAAAATGCACTAGTCTTATACAGAGAAGATGGTGCAATTGTTCCATATGAGGAGAAGAAGCAGAAACCAAGGCCTAAAGTTGACCTTGATGATGAAACAACTCGGATATGGAATCTACTGATGGGGAAAGGAAAGGATGACGAAGACACGGATAAGAAAAAAGAGAAGTGGTGGGAAGAGGAAAGAAGAATTTTCCGAGGGAGGGCCGATTCATTCATTGCCCGTATGCATTTGGTTCAAGGTGAGGAACCATAACACTCTTAACTCTATTTTTATTCAAATTGCATGCCTGAACAGGAAACACAGGCATCATCTAAAAGTTTATCTTGAAATCATAATAATATAGTTGCTTGGGAAACAATTCAAAATAGCTTACAGTAAAGCAAAAATTTATGATGTTTACAGGAGATAGACGGTTTTCGCCATGGAAGGGATCGGTGGTTGATTCTGTTATCGGTGTTTTCCTTACGCAGAACGTCTCGGATCACCTTTCAAGGTACAATATTGGTTGTCTTAAAGAAATGAGCATGTCAAAGAGAGTACCAAAACATAAAATATAATCCATGATGTTTTTACTATGCAGCTCTGCTTTCATGTCATTAGCGGCACGATTCCCTCCAAAATTAAGCAGCAACCGAGAAGAAAAACGGAATATTAGAAGCGTAGTTGTTGAAGATCCAGAGGGATGCAGTCTGAACTTAAACGACTCCTCTCCGTGTCAGGAAAAGGGTCAACATCCATCTAACACACAAGTTTCTGGCGTTGATAGCGGATCAAAAGAGCAACAACAGGACTGTTCAAACTCTGGAGTCGAAAGATTTAGTTTCTTCGGGAACAGTAGCCAGAATGTAGAAGATTATTTTGATCCTGCGGTATTTCAATCATGCCGAGTAGTTGGATCCTGTTCAGGTTCTGGTGATGCTCAGACACCAGAAACTGCAAATCTCGCTCAGAAGAGAAACTGGAAGGACTCTCTCTCTTTTGGTCAGCCAAGCAGTGATACTAATTGGCCAAGAGAAGGACCGACCAATGTTTCCAGCAGCTGTAAGCAGAGTACGATTCGGCAACCACAAGTACTAGATATAGAGGATTTTGGAATGCAAGGTGAAGGCCTTGGCTATTCTTGTCTGTCCGTTTCACCAAGAGTTAGCAAAGGAAAGAACAACAAGGTACCTCGCAGAGTGGTCAGACAAGGTGGAAATTCTGCACGAAAATTCACAGGTCAAATCATACCACCAACGCCTCAGGAACTACCAAGAATGGGATTGTCTACTTCCTCAAGCACCCACCAAAAGCACTGTGGTGATTGCCAACATAATCATCAATGTGGCAGTAGAAGTCTGGAGAAGCATACAGAAATCGAATACAAGGAGACAAATTCAACTGTGATACGAGAGATGAAAGGGAAGCTTGCTGATGGGAAAAAACCTACAAGCCAGTGGGATAGTCTCAGACAAGATGTAGAGAGGAATGGAGGGAGAAAGGAACGAACCGAAGACAATATGGATTCCATAGATTATGAAGCCATAAGAAGTGCTAGTATCACTGAGATTTCCGACGCCATAAAGGAAAGAGGGATGAATAACATGTTGGCAGTGCGGATTAAGGTAAATATACTGATTTTCATATGTGAGTCTCTTAGTTTCTGTAAACTATCTAGCCTTATCTAAAATGATTGAAAATATTGTAGGATTTTCTTGACCGGATAGTTGAAGATCACAGTGCTATTGACCTCGAGTGGCTAAAAGATGTTCCTCCTGACAAAGCGAAGTGAGTAAACCACATTTTACACTAGTAGGATTATTTTATTCAACAATTACGTTAGACTGAACACTGAAGCAAGCTGTTTATGGTCATTTCACAGGGACTATCTCTTGAGCATAAGGGGATTGGGTTTGAAAAGTGTAGAATGTGTGCGACTCTTGACACTCCACCAAGTGGCTTTCCCTGTAAGTCGGAGACTATATTATTAGCTACTCTTCATTAAAATAACTACACCAAACTGAGCTGGAAATTGTTTTGGTGATGTGAAGGTGGACACAAATGTAGGAAGGATAGCGGTTAGGCTGGGCTGGGTGCCTTTACAAACTCTACCGGAATCACTTCAGTTACACCTTTTGGAGCTGTAAGTTTCTTTGTTTTATTCAAACAACTGCAAGGTTTGGTTCTTGCAAATCATAACCGTGAAGTATTTCCACAGGTACCCAGTGCTTGAGTCCATCCAAAAATATCTTTGGCCAAGACTCTGCAAACTCGATCAACGAACATTGTACGCTCATAAACTCTACCAAATCATCTGTCTGAAAAAAACCAGTTTTTCCTTCTCCTTTGGAATATAACAGCAAAATTAATTATCGTCTTTTTTCTTACTCAGATACGAATTACATTATCAGCTGATAACTTTTGGAAAGGTATTATTGCTCTAAGCTTCGAATCTATTTTATGGTAATTTGAACATTGCGGTCAAATATGTGTCTGAATCATGTGAACTCATGTCAGGTATTTTGCACCAAGAGTAGACCAAACTGTAACGCATGTCCGATGCGAGGAGAATGTAGACACTTCGCCAGTGCTTATGCTAGGTAAGCAAGCTTTCATGCACTTCTATGCAATAAGTCTGCTGCAGAAAAAAAAGAAAAAGAAAAAGGCTCAGTTTCATCGTAGCAAGCTGAAAATAATAATACAAGAACAACAAAAAGATCAAAGTCGAAATCATGGTGCCATATGCACTATCATTTTAGCATAAGCTCTAGAAATCTAAACATGAACACTATATTACTATTGCTTAAGTAGCGATTTCATATCTGACATTTAATGCTGATGCCATTGTAACAGTGCAAGACTTGCTTTGCCGGCACCAGACGAGAGGAGCTTAACCACTGCAACTGTCCCGGCCCCTCCTGCAGCCATCCCGATGATGCATCTACCTCCCCCTCTTGACAAAGCTCTAACAAGGGAAACACCATCGAATGGAAGAAACTGTGAACCAGTTATCGAAGAGCCGACCTCGCCAGAGCAAGAATGGACTGAGATAACAGAGAGTGACATTGAAGATGATTACTACGATGAAGACCCTGATGACATCCCATCGATAGAACTCAACATTAAACAGTTCGGCATGACTCTAAGGGAGTACATGGAGAAAAACATGGATCTCCAAGAAGGTGACATGTCCAAGGCTTTGGTTGCTTTGAATCCAGCCACTACTTCAATTCCAACGCAGAAACTAAAGAACATTAGCCGTCTCAGGACAGAGCACCAAGTGTAAGCCGATATCCCCTCTTATACTTTATCTTTCACATAGCATGTGGGTCAGCTATAAAACATCACCATGAGAAAGTGACTTCAGAGCGTATAGCTGTAAGCCATGTGTTGTTTATATAGCCTTGGTAAATGATAGTTGTGTTGTCTGTTTGTAGGTACGAGCTCCCGGATTCACATCCTCTACTCCATGGTGTAAGTCCACCATTAATTCTATCTTTACTCTAGTTCTTTCATTTGAACAAGTCTGTTTAAAAACGCTCATTTGATGGAAAAACAGATGGAGAAAAGAGATCGAGATGACCAAAGTCCTTATCTCCTAGCTATCTGGACACCAGGTGAGGATTAAACATTGCTTTTCATGTGTTGTCATCGAAGAAAGTAAAGCTAGGACTGAAAAATTTTAAAGGCATTTGAAACAGAGTGGGTTAAAGATTAAGTTTTGAGGAATGAAAGTTGGAACGAATGTGATGTAATTGTTTGGTTGACAGGTGAAATGGCAAACTCCTCAGCTCAACAGGAGTGGAACAGTCAGACAATCAAAGGAACTCTTCTGGTATATTGTCTATATCTTCTTTTTGTAGTGTTCAACAATTGAATTGCTAAGGAGAGTAAGGAGAGTGAGAATACAAATTGCTGATATGTTTTTTTTTGTCATTCACAGATACCTGTACGAAGTGCCATGAGAGGAAGGTTTCCACTCAATGGAACATACTTCCAAGTTAACGAGGTTGGTTGAAATTTGAAATTAAAGAAATTGAGCGAAACATTCTTTCAACATACATGTAGTTTGATTCTTGATCCTTCTTTGTTGTTTTTTATTTTGCAGTTTTTCGCTCACCATGAATCCAGTCTCAACCCCATCGATGTTCCTAGAGATTGGATATGGAATCTACCAAGAAGAACAGTTTACTTCGGTACATCGGTAACATCAATATGCAGAGGTAAACGCATTCATAACCAGATTGATCAAATGTTCAAAACACAATTTAAAAAAGTTTCACCTTCCATTTGTCAAAGGAAAAAAAAATGTTGAATTTGTTTTCTGTAAATTTCGCAGGGCTTTCAACTGAGCAGATACAGGATTCCTTCTGGAATTGTAAGATCCAATTCAAAACATTGCTCCTCATATACTTTGGATATAGCATACACATACTTAGTATCAACACTGTGATAGAAACTGATAAACATTTTTGATGCAGGTTTCGTCTGTGTCCGAGGATTTGAAGAGAAGACCAGAGTACCTCGTCCGCTGGTGGAAAGGTTGCATTTTACGGCGAGCCGATCCAAGACGACCAACAAAGGCCAAGACAAGAAAACGAAATAGATAATTTACCTTTTTGCCCTCCTTTGGTTGCACCAAATCGCAGATTATTTTATTTAGATAGCATCTGATAACCATTTTGTTTTTGAATATATCCGAGATGCCATCCCGGTTCAACTTTTTTTATCAGAGTAAAAGTTCGATTTTCATTTCGCATCTGCGATTCCTTTTCACGCGCCTCTCATCGTCGATAAGACCAACACGCGCTTAGTGAACCGTCAGATCCTCAATCGACGCTTTGGTATAATTGTTGAAAAGTAAAGCGGTGCTGTTCACGCGCTGCTCATGGTTAAGCCGCCTCTCACGTGTTATTCACCTGACCGCGCACGTTAGCTTTGACCACTGTCTTTGTCTCTGTAGTTTTTTAACACACGCCCTTTATTCAATTTATCACCCACCACCAAAAGCCACTCAGTCTCGCTCTCCATCTCTCTCTCTCTCTCTCTGAACTGATGTCGTCGTCGTCGTCGTCGTCGTTTCGAGCTCCGGCGGGACCCGCCACTTTGTTTTCGGCCGATCAGAAGATCAGACTCGGGAGGCTTGACGCTCTCAGATCATCTCATTCGGTTTTCTTAGGAAGAAATGCGCGCAGCGTCGTTTCGGTCCCTTCTTCCTCTTCTTCGTCGAGTTCTTCGCCTATCCAAGCCGTCTCTACGGTGAGATTCGATATCTCCTCCTTTTATTTTTCGTTATAATCATAAGGAATCTTCTGCTTATATGGTAAACTTCACGAGGTGCTTCCTGAATCCGCGATTGATTGGTGATTATTTTTTTATTGAATGAAGATTGATTGGTGATTAGTTTTCTGAGTAAGAATGAAATCGAGTGTAGGTCTGAAATTAGGTACAGCAATGAGAAATAATCTGCTATTCTCATGTTCAATTGACATTTTATACAGCCTGCGAAGCCAGAGACTGTGACGAAGCGGAGTAAAGTGGAGATAATCAAGGAGAAGAGTAATTTCATAAGGTATCCTCTAAACGAGGAGCTTTTGACGGAGGCTCCAAACGTCAACGAGTCAGCCGTGCAGCTCATCAAATTCCACGGGAGCTACCAACAGTACAACAGAGAAGAACGTGGTGGAAGATCCTACTCCTTCATGCTCCGTACCAAGAATCCATCTGGCAAGGTCCCTAACCAGCTCTACTTGACTATGGATGACTTGGCCGACGAGTTTGGCATCGGCACGCTTCGTTTGACCACTCGGCAGACATTTCAGCTGCACGGTGTTCTGAAGCAGAATCTCAAGACCGTGATGAGCTCGATTATTAGAAACATGGGGAGCACTCTTGGCGCCTGTGGTGATCTGAACAGAAACGTTCTTGCTCCTGCCGCGCCTTATGTGAAGAAAGACTATCTCTTTGCTCAAGAAACAGCCGACAACATTGCGGCTCTGCTTTCTCCTCAGTCAGGGTTCTATTATGATATGTGGGTTGATGGAGAGCAGTTTATGACTGCTGAGCCTCCTGAGGTAGTGAAAGCTCGGAATGATAACTCCCATGGAACTAACTTTGTCGACTCTCCTGAGCCGATCTATGGCACTCAGTTCTTGCCTAGGAAGTTCAAGGTCGCTGTAACTGTGCCTACGGATAACTCCGTCGACCTCCTCACCAATGACATTGGCGTAGTCGTCGTCTCAGATGAAAATGGGGAACCACAGGGTTTCAATCTTTATGTAAGTTGACATGTGCTCTATCTAGTATCTGTTTTGGTTTGACTTGTCTGCATCTGTTTGATGATAATGACTCATCTTGTAGGTTGGTGGGGGAATGGGAAGAACACACAGAATGGAGTCTACTTTTGCCCGTTTGGCAGAGCCAATAGGGTATGTCCCGAAGGAGGATATTTTGTATGCTGTGAAAGCCATTGTAGTCACACAGCGAGAACACGGGAGAAGAGATGACCGTAAATACAGCAGAATGAAGTATCTGATCAGCTCCTGGGGCATTGAGAAATTCAGAGATGTTGTCGAGCAGTATTATGGTAAAAAGTTTGAGCCTTCCCGAGATCTTCCAGAGTGGGAGTTCAAGAGTTATTTGGGGTGGCATGAACAGGTTTTGTTACTTAAAAACCTTGTCAAAATTGCTTCAAGTTTAGAGCTTCTTTCATACTTAATCAGTAACATTTTATTGTCATGGTGAATTTGGCAGGGAGATGGTGCGTGGTTTTGTGGGCTTCACGTAGACAGTGGTCGTGTTGGTGGTATAATGAAGAAGACGCTTAGAGAAGTAATAGAGAAATACAAAATTGATGTCCGCATCACACCAAACCAAAACATTGTATTGTGTGATATAAAGACTGAATGGAAACGTCCCATCACCACATTGCTTGCTCAGGCCGGCTTACTGGTAAGCAGCTTTATTTGACCATTAGTTATGCAAAATCTTATAGCTGTAATGACATAAACTGAGTAAAAAATGCTAACTTTTGTGCAGCAACCTGAGTTTGTGGACCCATTGAACCAAACCGCAATGGCTTGCCCAGCTTTTCCTTTGTGCCCACTGGCGATAACCGAGGCAGAGCGTGGGATTCCCAGTATTCTAAAGCGAGTGAGAGCAATGTTTGAGAAGGTAAGATTGCTCTGTGAAGATAACTTACATATATATCTAATCTTGGGCCATGACAGAGCATTTGGTCTTGATTTGCATTCTCTTTGATTGGATCAGGTTGGTCTGGAGTACGATGAGTCCGTTGTGATAAGAGTCACCGGCTGTCCTAACGGTTGTGCAAGACCATACATGGCTGAGGTTGGTCTAGTCGGGGATGGTCCCAACAGCTATCAGGTATGGTTTGAGCACAAAGCTCTTGTTACTAGTGAGACAGTGTAGTAAGCAAGGAGGCTCATATTCTCTGTTGTTGTTGTTGGATCCGCAGGTTTGGCTAGGAGGAACACCGAACCTGACCCAGATAGCGAGAAGTTTCATGGATAAGGTCAAGGTTCACGATTTAGAGAAAGTCTTGGAGCCATTGTTCTATCACTGGAAAGCCGAGAGACAAACCAAAGAATCATTCGGAGAATTCTCAACCCGCATGGTAAGCTTCACATATAACTTCTTCTCTTAACTTGAAATCTTATATCAAAACAAAGAAAAGAAAAGAAAAGAAATCACTGTGTTTGTTTTTCACCGATGATGAAATTGCAGGGATTCGAGAAACTCAAGGAGCTGATAGATACATATAAAGGAGGTCCTCAATAACCACAGATCATCTTTCGTTTATAGATTCGTGTGATGTCTCCTTTGTTGTCTAAATTGTTACTTCGAGGAGAGAAACTTGTTCTCGTTTTGGTTTGATTTTGGACCGTTTTTTGTTTGTGTGGATTGCTTTTTGACCTTTATTGGGTAGAATGAGTATCACTGCGTCTGTATTAAACCCATCAATACGCCCCATTTTATATTTCTTGCTCTGGATATCATTTGATTAAACGGCTTCTTACTCATTTTATTTTTGTTGTTGCTCAGAGCTCTGTTTGATTTTCTTATAATGTCCACAAGTATAACAAACAGTAAAAACCTTATACAGTATACTACAATTTCAGAACAGGTCTTTCACAAATAAAATAATGAGTTTCGAAATCATTTAGGCCCCTTTGAAGTAATTTACAAGAAAATGGGATATTTTTGAAAATTGTTGATATTTTTTCCTTTCCATATTCTCCATTGCGAGTAGTAATATAATGCAGAGGGCTCCGGGGATATAACTGGAATACTTTCATACCGATTATATTGGTTCAAAACCTAAGTGGCTAAACCCTAAAATAATCCCGACTCTTCTTCCTTCCTCTCTCTCTCTCTCTCTCTCTCGCCGCCGGACAACATGGGTGCCAAGGCGAAGAAAGCCCTGAAGAAGAACATGAAGAAGGTCTCTGCATCGGCTGCTGCTGCTGCTTCTGAGCTAGCAGTTGTCCAGAACCCGAAGCCGTCGGCTGATTTTTTGGTAATTTCTTCGATGCCTTCACTTACCACCGTCGTATCGAATTCGTCTCAGATTCCCTTTTGGGTTTGACTTGAATCTCTCTGTTTGTTTGTGTTTCCTTTTTCTCGGTTGATATAGCCACTAGCAGGCGGTCCAGCTCGAAAAGCTCCAGTGACCAAGACAATTGTGGAGAACAAAGCCACGGTGCTCTACATTGGTCGCATCCCTCATGGGTTCTATGAGACTGAGATTGAAGGTAAATTAATCTTCATTACCAGCTCAATTTAACACCCTTGGTTTAGATTATTGTGTTTGATCAATTAGTCGTAATCTGATTATCTTCTGGTTCATAGCTTTCTTCGCGCAGTTTGGAACAGTGAAGAGGGTTAGAGTTGCCCGAAACAAAAAGGTCCCTTCTATACACATTTGCTACTTCATTTGTTTGTGTCTAAAGCGTTGCTTCTTTTCTCATTAGTTTTTTTGGTTTCTTTGTTTTCAACAGACTGGGAAATCAAAGCATTTTGGATTCATTCAGTTTGAGGACCCTGATGTATATATACTTGAAACCCTTTGATGCACTTCATACAATTTGTTCCGGATTTTCAATTGTTAACTTTTTTTTTTGTGTGATTATTGTTATCTATAGGTGGCGGAAATCGCAGCGGGTGCAATGCATGACTATTTGTTGCTAGAGCACATGCTTCAAGTCCATGTCATTCCACCAGAGCATGTCAAACCGAATCTGTAAGTCACTTGAATTAGACTTTGTTTCCTACTGATTTGATTTGTGATTTTGTCTTTGCAAATAGTTAGTTGGTATATCCAATTGTGTAGGCTATAGAGGGATTACGTTAGATTTCTCATATTTTCAAGTAATTGTGGATCATAATGCTTGATGTTCTAAATGATATTATTAGGTGGAAAGGGGTAAAGTGTCATTACAAACCAGTGGATTGGGTTCAGATCGAGCGTAAACAACATAACAAGGTAAATCTTGTTCACTTTTTCATGCTCTGATTAGCCATTTCTCTTGAGCAAGCGACTTTATCTCTGTTTTTATGTGATACAGGAAAGGACATTGGAAGAGCATAGGAAACTGTTGCAGAAGGTAGTGAAAAGGGAGAAGAGAAGGAGAAAGAATATCGAAGCCGCTGGAATTGAATATGAATGCCCCGAGCTTGTATGTTTTCTTTCTATTACTCAATTTCTACTTTCTCTTCATTACAAATCACACAACTATGAGTAAAATATCTAATAACCGCCATCTTTTGTGTTGCTGCTTCAGGTTGGAAACACACAGCCAGTCCCGAAGAAGATCAAGTTTAGTGAAGACTAAGAATCGAAGCTGAACAACACTTTTTCGATCTAAAGCTTTTTTTTTGTATTAAGGGATTCGTTTTTGTTGTACTTTGACATTCGGATCCCAAAACTCAAACTCTATCTGATAAGCTATTGCAATGAAAAATTCTGTTTGAAAAAACCATCTCAGATTCTCCTTATAGCATCAATGTACTTAACCAAGACAGCCGATGTTAGATTCTCCCTGTTAAAACCGTTCTTGCGATCTCTAGCTGCAACAGTTGCGATGAGAACAAAGTTTTCGCCATTTCCTACATCGATCTCATACAATTCCGCAAAGACCTCTCTAAACTCTTCTTTCAGTTCTTGGTAAAACGTCTTGCTTGGAGGAATGACATTGATGACGAAAACCCCACTAGGAACAAGAACATTCCTTGCAGCTAGCAGAACATCTCTACCCACAAACTCGATAGGAGGAGCACTCACGCCGTGAATCGGATCGGTAGAGTCGAGATCAACCATCAAGACGTCATATTTGGCATCATCATCACAACAGGTAGAAGAATATCTCTTCAAGAAGTCAATACCATCTTCAACGTGAACACGAGCAAAGCTTTCTTCTAATCCAAAGTATTGCCTTGCGATCCTCAAGACTTCAGGGTCTATCTCTACCCCTGTAACCTCGAACCCTAATTGTAGCGTTAAGAAACTAAGCAATCCACCACCTCCGACTCCAATGCACAACGCCTTTGGTTTAGATTCGATGTGAGAGCCAATCAGGGAGAGACTTGCCACCATTGGTGCTAAGTAAGGATGCACAAGGTCCGTGAGATCAGGCCTGAACTCTGTTGTAGTTAACGAAGGAGGAGAAGGATTCAAAGCTGAAGAGGAGCTTCTGGGGACGATTTTGATATCGGATTGGACTAGATTAGGCATTCTCTTGAATCTCAACCTCCTCCTGAATTCTCTTACTCCGTTATCGATCTCAATCTCAACATCCTCAATTAGCATTTCGCCGACGAAAGGTCCGACGGATTTCTCCAGCGCTACGCTAGAGACAACATCATCATCGAAAATCAGAAACGGAACATCGTCGATTTCTCCTCCGGTTAGGGTTTTAGGTGACAGAGCTACCGCGAGAGGTTTCAGTCTCTGCTCGAGTTTTTCCGAGTCGTTGTCCTCGTCGATCGGCCGGTGGTAAACCGTGGGGGAATCAGAGCGATCGTCGCCGATCAGTATCAGCCGAGAGATGCCGGGGAGGTTGAGGAGGAGCTGGAGATGGCCGGACTCAGTGGAGAAGATCCAATCGGTTTCTCGGTGCTTAGGGACGAGAATGGCGGCGACTCGAGGCGAAGAATCAGTGGAATGAACAGGAGAATCGAGGACGGCGAGTCGGAGGAGATGCAACGGAGAGATAGGATTAGGAATGGTGAAAGAGATGAAACGAGAGGGAGAGATGTTTTCGAAGATTCTCACATCGAGCGCCATTTCTCTCTCTCTCTCTTCTCACCATCTTCGTCTTTTCGTCTTTCGAAGCTCTTTTTAAGGTGATGCTTCTACTAAACCGGACTAAACCAAACCAGAACAAACCCATCATGTGACTCGCACGTGAATATTGACTCTCTGATTTTTCTTCATTAATCCGGCTTCAGATTCTCTCATTTCATTCTCTGTGGATTCTACAAACGATGGTTACGAGGTTAAAGTCCAACACATTCTTAGATCCAGTACAAAACGGCAAGATTATGTAAAGCAGAGGAGTTTGTTGACGTGATTGTAGTAGCTGAAGCTTGAAGTAGTCGTCTTTCACCGGCCACCAAACCACTTTTTGAATTCGCCGATAAGCAGACATTTTCCTTGCACTTCGTCTCCTGAAAAAGTACTAGAATGGCGGATAATTCGTGGGACAAATGCGTGGAAGAATCGGTGAATGTGCTTGAATCCAGGCAACTCCTTCGATCTTTGAGACCCATTTGTATGTCAAGGCAAAACGAAGAAGAAATTGTGGAAAACAGAGGCAATGGAGGAGACGAGTACAAGGTGTTCGATGGTTTGTGTCAATGGGATCGAGCTTCAGTCGAGGTTTCTGTCTCGATACCCACATTTCAGAAATGGCTTCACGATGAACCCAGTAACGGTACGCTTCATTTCTTTCCGAGAGTTTCGGAGTTTCCAAAGTTTCGTTTTTTTTTTTGAAGCAGCTAATTTTGGTTTTATGCAAAATGCTGAGTATAACTGAGGTTAGTGAACAAGCTGCATTAATTATGGATTTTTAATTTGCTTATCGGTTTCACATTGACAGGAGAAGAGATTTTGAGGGGAGATGCTTTAGCTGAAGGTAGAAAAGGGAGATTCAAGAAGCTGCTTTTGTTCTCTGGGAATGATTATTTGGGTTTGAGCTCACATCCTACCATATCAAACGCTGCTGCAAACGTATGTTTCCAAAGCTTTTTCATGTCAACACAAACTAAAGTGTAGATTTCATCCATCCGTTGCCTTATGCTTTTTTCTTGGCAGGCAGTTCAAGAATATGGTATGGGACCTAAGGGTTCTGCATTAATATGTGGCTATACCACTTACCATCGTTTGCTTGAGTCTAGTTTGGCAGAACTGAAGAAGAAGGAGGTAAAAGAACTTCCTTGAATGATTTGAAATGGAATGTCTTTATATTGCAAGCTGAAAGCAGATGATGTGTCTTTTTATCTTTTTTTAGGAATGTCTTCTTTGTCCTACTGGGTTTGCTGCCAATATGGCTGCATTGGTTGCAATTGGAAGTGTTGCTTCTCTTTTGGCTGCTAGCGGGAAACCTCTGCAGAATGAAAAAGTGGCCATCTTTTCTGATGCACTGAATCATGCATCAATTATTGATGGTATTCGTCTTGCTGAACGACAAGGCAACGTTGAAGTTTTTGTTTATCGACATTGTGACATGTATCACCTTAGTTCCTTACTGTAAGTCCTTCACTTCCTCAACTCCTCTCTTGACGTCTAGTTCTCCATTTATGACATCTGTAATTTGTTTGGCCAGAACAAGTTGCAAACTGAAGAGGAAAGTCGTGGTGACTGATAGGTCAGTCTTATTTGTGACTTACTTACTTATCTGATCATATTTTGTCCCTTTTGCTTTTCATTTCCATCTCTGTCCATAATGCTATCTACAAAGGCTTAACTTTAATTTACTGTAGTGCCTTTGGCGGTTTGAGACCGTGAACATATATACGAAAGGTAATTCTAATGGTTGGATCTGATTTTGGTTTTGCAGCTTATTTAGTATGGACGGTGACTTTGCACCAATGGACAAGCTCTCTCAGCTTAAGAAGAAGCATGGCTTCCTGCTAGTTATTGATGATGTAAGTTGGTCGAATCTTCAAGTAAAATATTAGGTGTTGGTGTCGACTACTTTTTTTGCTGAAGAAATGTGGAATTTTGATTGGTCAGGCCCATGGAACATTTGTTTGCGGAGAAAACGGTGGTGGCGTGGCCGAGGATTTTAACTGTGAATCTGATGTAGATTTATGTGTGGGTACTTTGAGTAAGGCAGCAGGGTGTCATGGCGGATTCATAGCTTGCAGGTACACATACTTATAAGGTTCATGAAATCTTAGAATTGCTTCTGTTGAAACAGAGGTTTCAATGCAAGTAGTAGACTGGTAACAGCTTAAGTTTGGTTTTGGAAACAGCAAAAAGTGGAAGCAACTTATCCAATCGAGAGGTCGCTCGTTCATATTTTCAACAGCAATACCTGTCCCAATGGCTGCAGCTGCTTATGCAGCGGTTGTAGTGGCGAGGAAGGAGAGATGGAGAAGAAAGGCAATATGGGAGAGGGTGAAAGAGTTTCAGGCATTATCTGGAGTTCGCATTTCAAGCCCCATTATCTCACTTGTTGTAGGCAATCAAGCCAAAGCCCTCCAAGCAAGCCGGTTCACACACATTTCTCTCCCTCTCTTTATCTTCCTCTTCATCGCACACAAACTTGTATAGCTGACTGGATTTTGTTTTTTTCTCATTGTTGCAGGTATCTGTTAGAATCAGGGTTCCATGTAATGGCAATAAGACCACCCACAGTGCCACCCAATTCTTGCAGGTACACAAAACAAGAAAAAACTTCCGTTGAAACCATTTTACCATACGAATCTCGATGACACTCATTTTTCTTGTTGTTCAGACTAAGGGTGACACTGAGTGCAGCACACACCACAGAAGATGTGAAGAAACTCATCGCTGCGCTTTCTTCTTGCTTGGACTTTGACAGCACCACTCACAATCCTTCCTTTATCTCTCCCAAACTCTAAAACCTTTTTTTGTCTCAATTATTCCAAGAATCTGTTTCACCTGGACTAGAGATTTTTATGTATTGATGTAATCCCTAAATTACAAAATGTGCAATGTACTTCAACATCTAGTTACATGGAAAGTAAAAAAACATGGTCCTGAGAATAGAGATGCAGAGGGGAAATAAAAGCCCAACAGGTGATCAGTTGTTTCCTTGGGCCAACAAAGCAAAACCTCAATAGAACTTTCCGGATTTAGTTAACGTTTTGCTTACTTGCAAAACAAGTTTTTCAAATTTTCCTATTTTTTGTATTTTCCTTTTTAAGAGATGACATCGTATTCATTAAACCAAATAAATCTAGCTTAAGTGAACCGGTCCTGGTCTGATATCTTCGTTTCAAGTGGTTAGGAGTGTGATTAGCTTCAAAAAGGAAAACACTCTTCACTTAATGATGCGACTAATTACGGATTAGCGATAGTTCAGAAAAAGGAAAGAAGGAGATCATTGAATCCTTTATATAGTTGCATAGACGAGGGAGAGAGACTGTCTCTGTCTGTGTAATGTTCTTTCCAAATACGCAAACCAAAAAATCATATTTTTGTCTGTGAAATCGAGAGAGAAAAACAAAAAACAGAGAATGGGAGGCAAGAAGAGGAAGATAGCGATGGAGTTTGTAGAGAATTCACAGGCGCGAGCGGTTCTTTGCGCAAAACGCCGTAAAGGTCTTTACAGTAAAGCCTCCGAGCTTTGTCTTCTCTCCGGAGCACAAGTGGCGATAATAACGACTCCGGTCTCTTCCAACTCCAACGTCTCCTTCTTCTCCTTCGGCCACTCCTCTGCCGACTCCGTCGTCTCTGCTTTCCTCGCGAACCAGCGTCCTCGAGATGATGACAGCATTGGCCGCGCGTTAGGGTTTTGGTGGGAAGACCAGAAGCTTGCTCAATCGGAGAATTCTAACGAGTTGAGTGACGCGATCGGCTCGATCGCGAGGATGTTGCAGAATCTCAAGGGATTGCAAGAAAGAAAAGCCGTGGAAAATCACGAGGGTTTGAAGAAGGAGGAGGAGCTTGCTTTACACGGAACTAACCAAGAGCTTGATCAAAACCAAACCCTAAATCTTCTTCAATTGACTTGTGCTAGTGCTTGCATTGATCAGGATGATACACCTGCGAAGTTAGAGGAACCAGTCAAGATCAGCCAAGCGGAGAATCAGAACGTGGCGGTTTCTGACAAGGACAGCAACGACATCAACAGTTTAATTCTAAAGTTGGATGAGTGCGATGAAGAGTTTGATCTTGATACAATCTTTGATTTAGTGATGAATTCAGAAAGTACGCCGACGAATTCGAATGTCTCAACGAATCAAAATCCGTCCTCTTCTTCTGAAGATGGAGCAGCATCGGTGTTTCAAGGAGAGTGTAATCGCAACTTTTGTGATTCGGATGGAGATAATAATATCCTAGCGATTTCTGACAACAACAACAATGCTTTACATGGAGACTTGAACGGGTGGAATAAAGAGCTGGATCTTGATGACATCACATCCTTTGAAGCTAATGCTGGAAGTCTGATGGATGATGTCTCGGTGATGAAGTCGAACCAAAATCTGCTCTTAGATGCTGAAGCTGTTGAAGATGAAGCAGCGGTGATGCACAGAGCTTTGGATCATAAGGATAATTTCAACTTCTCCGAATATTGTAATGAGTTAACCTCCATTGCTGCAATCTGAACATCCTCTAAGATAACAAAGTTAGATCAATTATTTTCCTTTAACGATGGGTCTGGTTTGACTTCGATAAGTTTTCTATACTTGCTATTTAAATTTAAGGGATGTTAATCGAACTCAAAGTTTATATGCTTATATATATCTAATATATCTCTGATATTTTTGTATCCAACCAAAAAGACAATCTCAGAACCAATGAATAGTACAACAAAGAGCATCTGTCTGATAATCTGTATTTAGCAATGTCCTCGGCTTCTTGTTAGTTACCAAAACCAATTATCGTCAAGAACATTATTCTATGTGATTGCTTCGCACTATACTATTAAACATCATCATCTTTCATAGACGCCTGTGAAAATTTTCTACCTAAGACCATAAGCAATATGAACAATATTCGTCATAAGAAACATGAAACAGCTGAGATTTCTGGCACGTAATTGAATTCCAAACAAGTCAAACACGTTCATTCATTTTAAAAAGACGTAAGACTATTTAAGTTCCTTGTTTTGGAAAGTGAGTAAATGGCTTTCTGCAGAGATTTAGATTTCCTAGGTTACTAGTAAATGAGCAGTTGAAACGCAATAAATCAAATAGGCATGCACTCCACAATTCCCAGCTCAAAGTTTGACGGATATATGTTCGTCTGTTGCTTGTTGGTCCAATAACACTAAAAAACTTTTTTCTATTTTCATTATCAGACCGTAATTTATACATTTATCTGTTCTTTTTTTACATCATAGTGATCATGTGTGTGTTTTTTTACCCTTTTTGACGCCTACATTCCTTTAAAGTCTAAAACCAAACAACATGCCTTGTTTCAGTAAAGTAAGCAGAGACAAGTACAAAACAGTCCACAGGATTTTTGACTATGCAGTTGTATTTTGACAAAACGGTCCATAACCCGATAAAGTTATTTTTGCTTTAAAATCTGTAGCTAAATTTTGCATGCATTTGCTCTGTTTTATATACTCTTCCTCTCTTCTCCACTAGTACTCAATCCAACAAAGAAAACTCAGAGAGCTAAAATGTCTGTCATTTCCTTTTCTCCGACTTCCCTTGAATTTACCTTCCTTGCGGTTATCATCTCCGGTTTCGTTTTCATCCTCACTCGCTGGAATTCGAAGACGAAGAAACGTTTGAACCTTCCTCCGGGCCCGCAGGGTTGGCCGGTGGTCGGAAACCTTTTTCAGTTCGCGCGCTCCGGGAAGCCATTTTTCGAATATGCAGAGGAGCTCAAGAAAACGTACGGACCCATTTTCACTCTGAGGATGGGGACTCGGACAATGATCATCCTCTCCGACGCGAGTCTAGTCCACGAAGCTTTGATCCAGCGCGGAGCTCTGTTCGCCTCCCGACCCGCCGAGAACCCGACTCGAACCATCTTCAGCTGCAACAAGTTCACCGTCAACGCCGCCAAGTACGGTCCCGTGTGGAGATCTCTGAGGAGAAACATGGTGCAGAACATGCTTAGCTCCACCCGCCTCAAGGAATTCGGGTCAGTGAGGCAATCCGCCATGGATAAGCTCATCCAGAGGATCAAATCGGAGGCCGATGGCAACGACGGGCTAATCTGGGTGCTGCGAAACGCAAGATTGGCTGCGTTCTCGATTCTGCTGGAAATGTGTTTCGGAATCCAGATGGACGAAGAATCGATCGAGAAGATGGATGAGATGATGAAAACGGTGTTGATGACAGTCGACCCACGAATCGACGACTATCTTCCGATTCTCGCTCCCTTCTTCTCGAAAGAGAGGAAACGCGCTCTCGAAGTTCGCCGCGAACAGGTCGATTTCGTCGTCGGATTCATCGAGAGACGACGGAGGGTGATTCAGAATCCAGGATCCGATAAAACGGCGTCGTCTTTCTCGTACCTCGACACACTCTTCAACTTAAAAGTGGAAAGCCGCGAAACGACGCCGTCTAACGAAGAACTCGTGACTCTCTGCTCCGAGTTTCTCAACGGCGGCACGGACACGACGGGGACGGCGATCGAGTGGGGCATCGCGCAGCTGATTGCGAATCCGGAGATTCAATCTCGACTGTACGATGAGATCAGATCGACGGCTGGGGATCGTTCTGTCGAGGAGAAAGACGTGGACAAAATGGTCTTTTTGCAAGCATTCGTTAAGGAGCTTCTCCGGAAACATCCGCCGACTTATTTTTCTCTGACGCACGCCGTCATGGAGACGACGACGCTTGCCGGCTACGACATTCCCGCCGGCGTCAACGTCGAGGTATATCTTCCTGGTATAAGCGAGGATCCCAGAATCTGGTCTAATCCGAAAAAGTTTGACCCGGACCGGTTTATGTCGGGTAAGGAGGATGCTGACATAACCGGGATTAGTGGCGTGAAGATGATTCCGTTCGGTGTCGGCCGTCGGATCTGTCCAGGGCTTGGAATGGCGACCGTACACGTGCACCTGATGCTTGCGAGGATGGTTCAGGAGTTTGAGTGGAGCGCTTATCCGCCGGGAAGCGAGATTGATTTCGCCGGCAAATTGGAGTTTACGGTGGTGATGAAGAATCCATTAAGAGCTATGGTCAGACCAAGGGTTTAGTTTTCAGTTATCTTTTTTCACGTCTTTTATGTAGTTTTACCATAAAAAAGTAATCTTCTTTCTCGATTTCAAGAAGTTCCAAATTATGGCCAAAGTTTTAAGAATATTAAAGATAGAAAATATGACATGGCTCTACAATACAATTGATCAGTGCCAAATATCTCCTGTAATTTTTTTCCACGTTTTTTCAGATCATATGAAAAACGAAAAAAGAAAGGATGGAGCATCTTTAGTTCTTTACGGTAGTACATCGAGTGAGGTAACAAAAAACAAAAAACCCTAAAAAAAGAAAAATCTAAACATCTAAACCCATTTACAATCTCAGCGTAGAGAAACTAACTATACACATAACCACCAGCTACAGAGAGACTACATCTCAAATCCTGCTTGAAAAATGCCCCAAAAGATCCCAACTTTCCGATTCAGTTCCAGTATCATTTGTAAATTTTCTGTCTTTTACCATATTATCAGTTCAAGAAAAGGTTTGTGGCCACCTCGCTCGATTCAGCTACTCTAACAGCTTCTGCAATCCTCAGAGCCATCATGGCTTTGTAAACAGCCAAATCAGCGTTCTCTCCAAGAGCTTGTGCTCTTCTTCTTTTCGCTATGGCAATCTCCATGGCTGTATCAGCCATGGCCTTGGCTTCTTCCACTCTATGATAAACGTCTTGTTCTTCTGAAGCTTCTTGTTCAGCCGACTTAACACCCACTGTCCAAGTTAAACCCAACAAAATAAATCAGATCTTGCTCTCATCGAGCTTATTTCAACTCTTTATCGACAAAAGTGCACAACTTTCTCTATCCTTCACTCAACTTTCAGTCTAATTCTGTGTACTCTACTCTACTTAATTGTGCTTCGGCAAGAATGTTCCAATAGATCACAACACTAGCAGCCACAACTCATCACAAAACATTTCTAAACTATGTATATTCTCTAGGTCATAATGTTGGGGGAACATACCGAGACTTGGCTGTCTGGCTTTTCCATGGAGTTGACTCGCCTGCCTTTTGAAGGATCTTCTCTTGCGAAACACAGGTTTGAAAACTAGCGAAGTTTTCTTCACTTGATGACCCTGTATACACAGCAACACATCCATTTTGTTAGCATAGAACACTCTTGGAAATATAGAATAATTGGTCCAAGCAACAATGACTTTACCTGGAAAACTCTGAGGAGTGGTGCTTTTCGTTGCTTCCTTTTTCTCGCCCAGTAATCATGTACTGCTTCAACCACCTCTTGCCTACCCAAGTACGAAAGACTAGCTATAGTGGCTTCTTTCTCATCCAAGAGATCATCGGCAGGGCTATGGAAATAGCACTTTTCAAACCCATCAATCAACAACTCAAAAGTATCTCCCTGAAGTTGTTCCAATTGCTCATCTTCTTCACCAGACATTTCCCGGTTCTGCCTATCCAGCCACACTTCATCTTCAGAATCCATGTCATAGATTGCAATACTTCGAGCCATGGCCCTTGAAACCTCATCTTCTTTGACTGATATGTATGTAATTGGCATAGAAAAGGAGGGAAAATCACTGAAATCCTCTGCGTACCCACACACTTCTCTTACCCCAGGTATGGGAATGACTTTCGCATTCTGTTCTAATACATTCCGTTCATAGCATTCTTTATAAAGCTCCTTAAAACCAAGCCAATCTTGTCTGTCGCAAAACTCAAGCTTCCAGTCATTATCTCCCATCCAAACTATAGAATGTGTAAACCGGTTGCATGAACAAGGTCTCATAGTCTTCCGTGCCTTGTGGCTGAATCTGATTGCCCCATCTTTCTTAATAACAACGAACCACTCCTTCGAAGACGAAAACTCCAACATGGCACTAAAACCTTCTTCTCTGGTGCATCTGTCTGAGCCTATCATCAGTATATTCGCACAACAACATAGAGAATCAAGCTCCTCTTTAGTCTTCGGCTTTTGAGTGACGCTGCTACTCCCATTTGAACAAGGGGATGAGTCACTTATCACCACCGAGCTTCTGAGTTTCCTTGATGATACTGCTGCTGTCCTGTTTTTCAAACTTGCTGATAGGTCAGAAACCGACGTTCCATTGTAAAGCTTGTGTACACTATGCGGAAGATTTCTTGCTCTTCTCCTTCTTAAGGAGCTTCTCCTCTTCTGGAAACTATGAAAACCTAAATTGCTTTTACACTGAACACTGGCTCTCACTGACGGATGTAACCCAACCACACCATCGTTCCTCGGAGTACAAGGTTCAGATAAAGCTACATCAGACTCTGAATCAGATTCTTCAACCGGATTGTTCAGCAAATGCAAAGATTTCTTGACGAAAACAGAGGAGCGTGGTGCCATTCTGAGAAATTGAGTGATATGCATATCCATGAAACATCGAGGAATGGCAGAAAAATCAGCTGTAAAGAGAGGAAGACAATTCACAGCCCCAAAGAACTTGCATAAGCCCCTTGAGCTAAGGGGAGGCTCCTGAAAAACGTCACAAGAAATACAAACCAATAGATTATTATTACGTCTTCAATCAAAGATCCAGACTTTATATATCACTACCTACATAAACAAAAATGCAGTACCGCAAGAAATCGCACGCCATGGTTTGCAAACACTTCGCTGATGGGTTGAGACAAGAAGAAAGAAGCAAGAGAAGACAGCCTCAGCTGTTCCCTCCTCGAGTATCTCATAACCAACCCGAAAACGGTTGAAAACCAGCATTCCTCACATGAACCATCTACTGTAAGAGTAATCACAGGACCATGGAGTCGTCCCGAGGAGGAAACCCGGTCCGAGAGTCTTCTTCGCCTACGATAAAACTTGAGGCTTCGCTGTGGCTCCTCCGATTTACTACTTGACTGGTCAGAAAGTCTCTTCCTTTTCCTACTATATACAATCCCAAACATGGTATCCACAGTCTTTGCATCTCCCACAGCTTCAGGTTTCACTTTCCTCCTTTTGCTGATTGGAAAGTCGTCTTCTTTGTCGTCGTCGTCGTCTCTCTCAGTGGAAATTTCTCTCGGGCTACAGGGCTTGCTCGCAGGACCGTTACTCTTACCGGAGACTTTGTTCGCTTTGCCTTTAGTGGGATTTTTCAAAATGGAATTCCAATCTCGATCCACAACGTCATGGGCTCGCTTCACCTTTGGTTCGTCGACGTTGGGCCAGATCCGGCGACCCGAGCGGAGGACCCGGGCTCCGTCTGCGGCTTTGACCACCCCGAAAACCCTTGTGGTTCGTCTCATTCCCACAGATGGCATCTCTATGCGTTGCTCATACGACTCCGTTTTACTCAACTGAAGAACGCCACAACTGGCTTGACTCACTCAGAATCTGGCTTACTCAAAACCTTTCTTTCGATCCAATAGCCACTTCTCTCTGTAAATTTTCTGACAAATCACGGCACAATCAGATTCTTACAAAAAGAAATCTCTTCTTCCCGACGAAAATTAAGGAAATCGAAACGGGTACTGATTGGGGAAAAAAAAGGCGATTTTAACCGATTCGATCACAGATCAAATTAGTGATGCCCAGAAGGAAATGAAAGAAAAAGAAAAAAGAAAATCGCCGAGATCTCTGGAGATCGAAGAAAAATAGAGAGATTCGATTGAGAGGATCGAGATCTGTTCATGGGATTTTTTTTTTCTAGAAGCGAGTAGACATGGTGAAGAAGAGGAAGATGGGCGGTTCAGTGGTTTCACGAATTTCTCGTTTTGACAAGAAGAGAGGGAACAGAGGTGGCTAGGGTTTATGATCCAAAACAACAACCAAGAAACAAAACTAAAAAAAAATCTCTTTAGTGTAGATTAGTTGCAACCGTTGGATTCTACTATCGACGGTTCAGATCCATTCTGGTTCGATGGGTCCAAGGCTTTTTTTTCTTGCAAACGTAGATGGCGAATTTTTTGGGTTACACGAATATTATAAAAAGCGAAAAAAAAAACGAATTTAAAACGGAATGGGTCGAAAATTTCAAAAGGTTTCAAATTGAAATGACAAGATAGCCCCTGTATTAAAAGCAAAAGGTGGATGAATCTGAAGCGTTTTAAAATCAAAAGACGCAAATGTACCTTTTAATTTTAAGTTTCCTACTGAGAAGTCTTTTTTGGCATAAATTTGTAAATAATTTAAGCCTCTGAAAATTAAATTTTTATTTTGTTAACTTTAATCATTGAAAAAACAGAAAACGATCGTTGATGTGAATCAGAAAAAAAAAAAAATCTCAAATAATTTCATGACCATGATAGACGCAAGAACTTTAAGACAAGAGAAGATGATAGGTTTGCAAGACAACTGAGAAGTGAGAAACAGAAGAGATAATGACTTTTCATTACAATAAAAAAGATGAGATTAATTGACTTTTCATTACATACGACGACTCTTATTTTATTTTGGGTTGAAGAAAATCTCTGGTTACAAGAGGGTCATGACTCATGACATTGAGATACTCTTTGCTTCTTTTCCCTTAGGCCTTGGCAGCTTCAGCGGTTTCAGCCTTGTCTCCCCAGAAACTGGTCTTCTTTCCTGTCTTTGAGACAGTCTGCAGAACAGCTTCTGGCTGCACGTTGCCTTTCACCGTTACCTTCTGTTCCTTGAGATCCACATCAAATGACTCCACACCTGACAAGACAAACATTGTTCTTTTGTGCTTTGTGAATTTCGTTTACACATCAAACATGGTCAAGGCAAGCCCAGGGAAAGAGAAACTAACCTTCCATTTTGCCAAGGACTCTTTTCACAGCTCCTACACATCCCTCACATGGCATAGCCACCTTCAGAATCACAGTCTAACCGGAAAACAAACAATTCCAAAGTTTAATCGAAATGGACTTGACAAAAGAAGTAAAGGATTCTTGAAAACAACATGTCCTAATCAAGCTGCTATAGGGACCACAAAAAACAGACTCGTCTAAGCAAACGAGAATAAACCCTTTTCAGCTTTAAATCAAATGGACATGACAAGAAGTGAGAGAGAACTATGAAACACTGCTCAAATTACTTAAACAGCTTTAGCCTAATCAAACTTCGAGAGAGAGAAAAAAAAACATTTCAGACTTAGATTGATCCAGACAAAAACAGATCCACCCATTTTCAACTACAATTACATGATTCACCATCTGCTTTTATATGATCCTTGCCAATTGCCATCACCAATATGATAAAGTGGGAATTTAGACACACATCTCACACCAGCGTTATCAAAAGATCTAAATACAGATCGCTGTTATAATGGATGATTATTATAGCCAAATGAATCATATACACCATAAAAGCAGAGTATCCACAAAAAGATCGGACAATCGAATGAAACCCTAACTCAAACCTAAACAGGAAAAGAAGCATTAAAGTCGCCGAATTTGCTACGATCGGAGACCCTATGTACAAAAATCAAAGTCTGATTCGAGTACCTGAGACATATCTCTTCTCTTTCTCCTTCCTGACGTAAAAGTTTCGCACAACCACAGCGAAAAAGAAATGCAAAGGAAAGAGAGATGCAATTGGAGTTTTAAAAAGGACGCAGCTTTGACCAAGTCAACGCAGATATTCTTATTTAATCATAAGATCAATAATTGTGAATTTGTGTGATAACGAATGAGTCCGATAACTAGATATTGTGATAGCAAATTAAATTTGATACATTTAGTAATACACTTTATTAAGTTATACATTGCTTCTTTGACCATTTGTGTTCGGTGTCGCAAATTAGGACCAACATTTCATATTTCTGTCGAAGATTCCTTTGCCGTAAGTTGAGAAGATCATCTCCTTGAGAAGAGGATACTGAAGAAGAACAAACAGCAGCGCCGGGGAACAAGCTAGAAGGATCGTCGGAGCTACGATCCATTTCTCGTTCTGCATCATCGTGAACAGCGCCGACGAGAATGCAACCAGCATCGCCGCGATCGAAACGAACAGTATCGAAAGTCCGGCGATCATCTTCGTTGGCAGCGATACCAAGAAATCGTCGAAGGAGTACCTCGCCGTGAGTATCCCGAGGAATATGAGAACAGAGGTGCAGGAGGCGAAGCATGAGATCAAATCGGAGACGATGAATGTGATGAAGCGCCGGTCTTTTAGGTGAAAGGGTTCACCTTTCTTATTTTCATTCGTGCCGCCGGGAACGGTAAACACCGCCGCGAAAGTAACAGTCACGATGAGAGCCGCGACTAAGCTGCAAGACATGGCCGTGTCTTTCATCCACTTCTCTGCCTCTTGTCGCAATGCTTGGTGCTCCTTTGTGAATATCTCGATCGGCGTTTGCTCTTCAGTGTTGACTCTCTCCTTCTCAATCTCCGGCGCGATTCTCTCCACTTCCTGCGTAATCAAAGTCCACATTTTTAAACACGTTTGTTAATTTCCTCTGTTTTGAAATCTTTTGATGAAAACAGAGCAAACCTTGAACCATTGCAACTCGCGCTGCATCTGCAAAGTTGCGCCGACGACTGTAGAGAGCTTAGAAGGAGGAGAAGGAAAGCCGGCGAGATGGAGCACACCGTTTCCGTCACAGTCCTTGTCAGCGAGCAAAAGATATTTCCTGTCGTCAAGACCGTAGAGGAGACTAAACACCTTCTCTTGTCTGAATTCAACGGCCAAGAGAAACAGAGTACTACTCGAGCTCGTCCTCGTCGACCACAGAAGCTCGGAGTTGTTCTTGATCATCTCCACCAAGAAGTCCACATTCCCAAATCTTACTGCAAAGAGTAAAGCCTCGTCGACCGTCTCAGAACGTTCCTTCAGTCCCATGGCTATAGTTTCCTCTGATATTCCGAGTAGAAGCTTCTTGGCTTGTTGGTGCATCACCTTCATTCGATACACTTCATCTATTCCTGAATCATCTCCAATTCAAATCTCATGTAAAGTTCCAGCGAATAACCGTATTTTCTAGACGAAAGCCTAATACTTTACTTACCGGTCCATTTGGAGAGAACTTTGAGCAGTTTCCCCATCAGAGTATCTAAAAATAACCAATAAAAACAGAAAACTTTCTGACTTAATTTTCTTCTTAAGGAATACAGAGACTTTTATGAAGTTATGAGTATGGAAACTCACTCTGATGATCTTTGTTTGAACGTGAAGCCTCCGGAAGAGTCGGCATCTTTACTTGTATCCCTAACAAGTGAGGAAACGAAAAAGAATCATTTTCTCAAGTTTTTTGGATCAAAAGTGTATTTGTAATGACAAGGCTTAGATTGGTACGAACAAGAGTAGATAAAGCGTTCCAATGGTCCGAGATGGCAGCCACAAGGAAAAAGATCAGGCTTTGAAGCCAAGACGATGATTGGAATTGACTCTATCTGCAAGTGTTTTGTCACAGCCAAGCGTCTGCACATTCCGAACAGATCCAAAGCTATGTCTAATTGAATGAAAGAAAACAGATTAAAAGATAGATTATGTTAACCATCGAAACATGTTGTTGCGTGAAGTGGAAGAAACCGCTTACCGAGCATTTTATAGAAGATGGCATTGAGAAAGAGCAAGGAACCATGATACCCATCGTCATCAAGCAACACCTGAACCGGAGTTCTAGTGTAAAGATACCGAGCCATCTCCATCTGCGTGTTCTCAACCGCAACCACAACTGGAATCTGTCCGTTGATTCCAGGAATCTCTAGCAGCTTAGGGTTCTTGGCGACCAAGGCTTCAGCGATCTCCATGTTACCACTAACCGCAACGACGGTGAGAGGTGTGTGGTAGGAAGCGTTCTGGCTCATCTTGGGAAGCATTTGTTCAGGTGTCATACGACGGAGAAGCTCTTTGACAATCTCTGGTTTCCCACATGCGCAAGCTTTCAGCAATGGCGTCTCGTAGAGGTTTATCCATTCGTCTACTGCGTCCGGACGACGGTTCAAGAAGTCCTTGACGGATTCTAAACGACCTTGGCTTATTCCTTGACTTAATTGTATGTACTCATAGTATACATTCGTAACCTTCCCTACATCATAGATATCTTCCCTTCAAAAAATCTATCTTTCCTTGTAATATATGTGAGAAGTCTTACGTACCGTGAAGCCTAGATGCGGAGAGAGCTGATTCGATGAACGGAATCTGGATGTTTAAGGGATCAGTTGGAACTTCTTCTTCAGGTTCTTCTTTTATAGGAGAACAACTGTCGCCTAAGCCACCGTGAGGAACCTTTGTGTTGGCAAATTTGAAAGGGCTCCTCCGAAATGTTTCCTTCAAAGCTGCTGCGTCGACTAAGTAATTAGAACCCATTGCCATTTTAAAATGTGTATTTGACAACTAAACCCTAACAAAGTATAAGAAAAACAAAGCAAACAAAAGGTCAGAGGATATATAAATTTCTTTGTCTGTACATGTATGCAAGGCATAACATTAACATACAATCTTTGGTGTTGTCTGTCCTATTCTTTAATTGATCTTACATTAGAATATATGCTTTGCTTCGTTACTCATTATTTTATTTGGAAAGCTTTTATGTCTTAAAAGGTTCTTCTAATATACAGTACACGAACATATATTATTTGTCAGGTAGCATTTTCTTTTGGCTGCTTTAGTGATCATTTTCTTGCACAGATTCTAGGGATTTCCTTACTTGAAAACCAAGAAAAAGCGAGCTAGCCTAAAACGGCGCCGTTGTATCTCCATCGTGTGTTACAAATCATAACCTTGACCAATAAACCGCGAAAACAAAACCAATAGACCGAAAACAACTTTTAACTTCTAATCATCCACCGTGAGCTTCCTGTCTACGCTTGAGAAAGATCGATAAAACGCCTTGAAATGTCTGTACGCAATGTCTATATCGTCTGTTCCACAAATCTCTCTCACACTGTTTCACAATTAACAAAGTTCCAAAAACCAGCAGCTGAGTCTAAAAGGCAGTTTGATTTGAAAGAATTGTGAAACAATGTAATGAATGAGTCATTAATACATATACCTGTGCATAGAAAGCTGAGCTATGCCACAATCAACGGTTCGAATCCCGACTCCTGAAGCCAATATAGGTCCTATTGTTGATCCACATCCCATATCGTTTCTCACCACAAACTCCTGCACCACTAACTAAAAATCTTAGTGTAGAGCATGTAACTTTTCTCTTTCTGTTGTTTACTCTAAGGGTCGTAGAGCACGTAACCTGAATTGGAAGATCATGAAGCTTTGCGACTTCTTTGAAAAGAAAAGAAGTAATCCCGCTGGTTGCATACCGTTGGTTTGCGTTATGTTTGATAACAAGACCCTTGTGTATCTGAGGACGGTGGTTCTCTTCATGCTTATCCGCAAAGTTCGGGTGCACGCCATGAGCCATGTCTGCAGACACTGCAACCACAAGAACTCATACTCTCAACTGTCTCTTGCGAAAATTCCAGAGACTACAAAGTACAAACGCATAACTAAAACAGGAAAGGAAAGTAGCTGATATGCATACCAAGAAAAGATTTGCGGATAGCACGGTCAAACGTACACTCGCCGACCTTGTCATTTCCTAGGGAACTCACAACCCGTCTCATTGCTTGAAACATAGTTGGTGCTCCTGCACCTTGACATGAATCTGAACCTACCTATCAGAAACAAAACATGGTTTAAGAAGACTTTCAACACTTACTTTGGCAGATGTTTCGACAACTGTCGGGCAAATAGTGCAGCTAATAATGTTGCTCAAGCTGAAGAGTATCTGATAGGAAAAAAGGTACCTCCTCGTTGTCAAATAAAGCTATCATCCGGATATCATTTTCATTTGCTAGGCTTTCCGATGTAGCACATGAGTCAATGAGAGCTCTCAAGGCGCAGAAACTCGATGCAAGATTATCTAGTCTTCCGGAGAAAATGAATTCATTGTTTGCTCCTCCGAGGCAGCTAGGTTGGGTATCACATATATTTAACTCAAGACTCACTATATCCTCAGCCTTACAGTCCAGCTCATCTGACAAAATCTGCAACACGGTCATGAAGCTTTGAGGTATTTAACTGAATCAAATAAGTGATGATGATAATAATGAGAACGCAAAATGTTGATAAGTTAAAGAGGACTAACTCTCGCAAATAATTCAGTTATACCATACCTGCATGAGTAATGGATGATGAGCATCTTTGGAAGATGAAGATACGTTTTTGTCCTTTGATTCTACTGAGGTTTCATCTGGTTTCGTTGCCAGAAGCGGAACAAGCTGAGTCTCCAAATTCGGTTTAAACCCATCACTGTTCACTGTGCTAAACAATACAAGAAGAACAAAGAAAGCATGAATGAGCTCAACACTTGATAGCAAATGCATTACTCTAACACTCAGGTAGACAAACTCATAAAAGAGAAGTTTACCGATCAAGATGAATGGCCAGAGTAGGCACTCGTAGTAACGGCCTTTTCACTTTGACAAGCTTGTGAACAAACGAGCCGTCGCTGGCTCTCACAATCGCTCTCCCCGCAACGCTCAAGTCTCGATCAAACCAAGTGTGCCACAAACCACCTCCATAAGTCTGAACATTCACCATCAGATAGCCAGATTTGGATGACGCTGACTTCGGTTTAAGTTTAAGACAAGGGCTGTCCGTGTGAGCAGCTATGGCATGAAATCCATTACCAGGAACATACCTACAAGATAAGGATCAAATGTAGGTTTCCTGAACCCAACAGATAAGGAATCTAAAAAAAAGATGATTTTTGTGAAGAACCATTCAGTTATCAAAAGCATGGCCTAGTTCCAGGACTGATCTACTTATGAAGATTATTGACAAACCATGGAAACGTTAACGAATCAGAAACTCACTTTTCTCCGACAGCAAAAGCAACTAGACAGGACATGTTTCTTGTGAAGAAGTAACGGCCACCAGGTTTTAGCTTCCAGTCCTCGTTTTCGCTAAGGAGATCAAACCCAGCAGCCAAAAGCTGTCTTTTGGCCTCAGCTGCAATTAAAGGAGACTAATCAGAGTCAATTGACTACCGAAAAAAAAAAATTAAATTCAAACTTGGTTTCAGTGTTACCAGTGGCGTGAAACTGTGTCCAGGATTCATTAAGATAATCCAGAAGATCTCCGACAATCGACGCGTTAGAATCACTCCCCAACGAGCTCGAATTACCCTTGGAGGAGCAGAGGATTGGAGAGACGGAGGAGAAGGAGCGAAAGCGAGAGCGATGGAGATAAGTAGGAAAAGAGAGACACTGAGGGAGGAAGCGTGAAGGATTGAAGATGGTGGGAAGAGAATGGGTTACTGGAAGACGAGCTATGGCCGCCATTAGACTCTGAAATCTGAAGACTGTAATCTCTCAAACTCAGCTTATCTCCTCCGCCTTTCTCCGATTAACCCAACTATCCGGCGTCTCCCACCACAGTAATTTTCTTTTCTTTTAACTTTTCACCTTTTCATATCATTTACAGTTTTACACTCTTTTATTAGATGGTTAGAAAGTAAAAACACCAGCATCGATATGTCGTCACCTATAGATGACGTCATATTGCATTTATACCTGAAATGGATACCAAAAATCTTATTATATAAAGTATATCCGATATTGAGATTCGTTTCGTGCTTACTTTAGATAAGAAGACAATACAAGACATCATTAACCACAATAATTAAAGGTGAAGTGTTCGCAAAAGTCTTTCGGAGACTTTTAAAGGTAACTACTAGGAAGCTGCATGAGTGGTCCCCACGTTTCTCTCTACTTCTTGCTTCACTCCGTCTTGAGAGGCCTTTTCTTTTCCACACCACACCAACCATTCTCTTTCTCTCTCTCTCTCTCTCTCTCTCTCTTGCATCGGCCTTGACATGGCAGATATCATCGGCGGGGAAGTTGTGACGGAGCTCGTGAGGCAGCTCTATGCAATATCTAAAAAAGCCTACAGATGCAGAGGCATCGCCGTAAAGCTCGCCACCATGATCGAGTCTCTTGAACCCACGATCAAGGAGATCCTCTACAGCGGCGTCGAGCTGAGCCCTCATCGCCAAGCTCAACTCGGTATGTTCTCCCGCACACTAGACAAGTGCAGGAAGCTCACCGAGAAGGTTCTCAGATGCAACCGTTGGAACATGGTTCGACAGGCTTACCACGCTAATAAAATGGAGGATCTTGAAAAGAAAATCTCTTGTTTTCTCCATGGACCACTGTTATTTCAAATCCTCGCTGATGTTCACCATCTTCGAGCCGGTAACGAAGTCCGGTTCGATCGGATTGACCGGAATCTTAGTAGCTTGTATGACAAGATGGGTTCTATGAAAATCAGGGGAGGTGGAATGGTGCGAGAGGCCATGGTGACAGACGGTGATTTAGGAAATCTCGGAGTAGGATTGGAATTGGGGAAGAGGAAAGTGAAGGAGATGCTGTTTAAATTCAGTGATGATGAGGGAACGCTTATTGGGATCTCAGGGATGAGCGGTTCCGGGAAAACCACTCTTGTTATAGAGCTTGCTAGGGACGATGAGGTCCGAGGTAATTAAAACTCTCTTTAGCAGCCTTATATGCTTGTGTTTGATTGTGTCATGTTCATCTCTGGTGAAGTATTGTTGAGCTGTGATTTCATTTGCAGGCCACTTTGGGAAACGTGTTTTGTTTCTGACAGTGTCACAGTCTCCTGATCTTGGGGAGCTGAGGTCACTTATATGGGAATTTCTTACTGATTGTAATAAGCCTTGCTTTGTTGCCACTCTTCCGGAATCTGTTAGTCACACGCGGAAGCTAGTGATCCTTGACGATGTTTGGACAAGGGAGTGTCTGGACCAGCTCATGTTTAAGGTTCCTGGAACCACAACGCTTGTGGTCTCACGGTCTAAACTCGCATGTCCTAGCACCACCTATGATGTGGAGTTGCTGAATGAAGGTGAAGCAACGGCTCTGTTCTGTCTCTCTGCTTTCAACCAGAAATCAATCCCTTTGGGGTTCAGCCAAAGTTTGGTCAAGCAGGTAATGTAATGAGTCTTGTTCTACAAGTAATGCTTTCTTTTTGTTTCAAGTGTTCAGATTTACTCTGTTTTGGCAGGTTGTTAAGGAGTGTAAAGGCTTACCTTTGTCTCTGAAAGTTGTGGGTGCTTCGTTGAGAAACCAACGTGAAAAGTATTGGGAAGGTGCAGTGAACAGGTTGTCAAGAGGCGAACCTGCTGATGAAACTCATGAGAGCAAAGTGTTTGCGCAAATCGAAGCAACTCTAGAGACGCTAGACCCTAAAACCAGAGAATGTTTCTTGGACATGGGTGCTTTCCCTGAAGACAAGAAGATCCCTCTTGATGTTATCATCAACATGTGGGTTGAGTTGCATGATCTCGAGGACGCTACTGCTTTTGCTGTTCTTGTTGATTTATCAAACAGGAATCTCCTTACTCTCGTCAAAGATCCAAGGTACTGTTTATGATCTCATCTATTGTACTTGTAGCCACTTCTATGGTTTAAAACATAGTCTTAAACTCTTAACTAAAATAATATGGATAAATTTGCAGGTTTGGCGCTATGTACACTAGCTACTATGACATCTTTGTGACGCAGCACGATGTTCTAAGAGATCTAGCACTTCATCTTAGCAATCGTGGGAAAGTGAACAGAAGAGATCGATTACTGATGCCTAAAAGAGAGTCAATGCTTCCCAGAGAATGGGAGAGAACCAATGATGAGCCATACAATGCCAGGGTAGTTTCCATTCACACAGGTGAGAATAACTCATTACACAACCATCTTCTTATGAACTGATTTGGTTTTGTCACTCGAACCATAACGTTTTTATATGGATTTCTATTTTTGTTTATTACAGGGGAAATGAGTGAAATGGATTGGTTTGACATGGACCTCCCTAAGGCAGAGGTTTTGATATTAAACTTCTCATCCGACAACTACGTGCTGCCACCTTTCATTGCTAAGATGAGCAAGCTTAGGGCGCTCGTGATTATCAACAATGGTATGTCTCCTGCGCGTCTTCATGACTTCTCCATCTTTCCCAACTTGGCCAAGCTCAGTAGTCTCTGGCTTGAGAGGGTTTACGTACCTGAACTCTCTAGCAGTACGGTTCCCTTCAGAAGCCTCCACAAGATGTCTCTGATCAATTGCAAGATCGGTAATAGCTTTGATCAGACAGCATTGGACATGGCACAGATCTTCCCATACTTGTCTGATCTCACAATAGATCACTGTGATGATCTTGTGGAACTATCTCCGACCATTTTTGGGATCACCTCTCTCAAGTCTGCCAGCATAACGAATTGTCCCCTCATCGATGAGTTGCCTAGGAATCTGAGTAAGCTTAAAGCACTTCAACTTCTGAGGCTGTACGCTTGCCCAGAGCTGAGATCTTTGCCTGTAGAGCTCTGTGAGCTGCCAAGTCTGAAGTACCTTGACATCTCTCAATGTCTCCACCTGAGTTCTGTTCCAGAAGAGCTAGGAAAAATCAAAACACTTGAGAAAATCGACATGAGAGAATGCAGCGTATCAAGCATACCGAGCTCTGCGGTCTCGTTGACTTCTCTACGCCATGTAATATGCGATACAGAGACTTTGTCGATGTGGGAAGAAGTCCAGAAGGTGGTTCCAGGACTTCGTGTTGAAGCTGCTGAAAAATACATCAGCCTGGAATGGCTTGAGGGATAGGTTCTTGATCTCCCTCTTAGGCCTAATAAGTATGTTGTATCTCTAATTTAATATTTGCTTATCTTTAGCAAGTTTTGTATATATTCCATTAACGCACTCAAGAGTCGGTGCTATCTTTTTTCTTCGTTCTTGCCGTTTGCCTTTGATCAACAATGCCCTCAATTTCAGAATTTTGTCCTTATTTTGGAGTAGGTTTTGGTCCCACGTCCGGAGAAAAACTGGAAGTATAACAAAGAACTCTCCTTTGAAACAATAGGTTCATTATCAAATCCTCTAGTTTTATGCTTATACCAATGAACGGATTTAACAACTTAAGTTTTTTTTGGAAGCTTATTAGTAACAGGTAAAGGAAGAGCTATAGCTCAGTGAGTGACAAGAGAACCCAAACCATCTTTATTCTTCAGCCCGAATGGTTCGATTCATACAGAAATCTTTCGCAGACATTATGGTATTACGAGTTTCCACATTATATTCAAAACAGAATACTTCATAGATTGCAACAGATACGATTTCGTTAAGCAAAATAAGCAGTTTTTGTGTTTTTGTTTTGGAGCAAACAAAAGCTTATTAATAGCTGTCAATGTCAGTTTCAGGCCTTCTCAGGAAGTAACGCAGACAGTTCACCAACACCTGCACGAGAAGTTTGATTCGTTACCTCTCTCTCTCTTTATAAGGTTTTAAGTACAAAGAGTAATTGAAACAAAAACTAACCTGTGACAAGGAATTGTTCAGTGCTTGTCCTTGGTAGCTCACGTGAAACTTGTCTTTCGCAACCAGTCCCTGTGACAATGGACACGTTATTACTATAAGGCGTAGAAATGGAATCACACTGCATCATATAGTACATATGGAGGTTTAAGAGATTTTTAGTACTTCTGTGTCAATCTCTGCGGATTCTACATCAATGTTGATATCTGCCATCACTTTGATCATCTCTACAACCAGACCTGGCCTGTCCGCTGTCTCTATGCAAAGCAGGCTAGATAAAACAGGAAACCGGAGAGGGTCATGTAAACTATTCGCCCAGGCTACTTTTAGTGTCGCTATCTTACTGAATATAATATATACCTCCTTTTTGGTCCGTCTTCTTTCACATGTATGTGAGTCGAGATATCCACATCGATCTGTCACCATATGAATCCAAAACAGATTTAAGATATCAGTAAAGATGGCCATTAACAACGACTGCAAACTGTTTTGAGACTAGATTTAGCAATAATAAAAGCGTTTGTATTAGACATAGGACAAAGAAGTATCATCCAACAAACAGAGTGAACATTACCTTCTTTTCCGGAGCCTTTATTCCAAATGTCTCACCCATTGCAAGTTGCTCGCTGCATTCCTGCAAAACAAACGAAGGAAATGTTCAAAAAAACTCCACCAGGTATTCTAAAATGTGACTGTGATTAAGATAACGAGATCAAGAAAACTGAAGCACACCGGATGGTATTTCAAGAGATTGTTGATGATTGTTAACCGAATTTGCTCCAACGAGTCAGGATCTTCCACTTTCCGACCGGTGTCTCTGGTGTCAAAAGAAAATAATCAGTTCAGGCCTCTGTGACAGCTCACTATCCAGGTAGCTGAAGATGATACTTGCAGAAAACACCAATATTTTTCGGAAACGGAAAATACTTGTTCAGATTCACTTGTCCAATGCTAATTATCTATGTTTGAAGGAACTATTCAGAGAAATGGTATAGCACTTGTCTATCATGGGGCTTCATATGAGACCTACAGAATTCTATACCAGCATGATGTATATCAATTTATAGAACAAGTAAGAGGTCAAAGAAGGGCGTTTCTTACAGTTTTGTTATAGAAAACCTCGTCTGTTTCACGGATCCTTCAGTTGAGACAGTTCCTTTTACTACATCCAATCCCAAATCTTTCAGCGCCCTCATCTGCCAAAAACAATAACAATAATGCTTCATAAGCCGAGAACAAGGCAAGTTTCCATGATATCAAACGACAAAATAATAGTCAGAACACTACAAATTTAGCTCACTAGATCAAGAATAGCTAAAGCCTTTTGCTGCTTTTATTTAGCATTGTTGACGTAGCCAGTCGATAAGAGAGGAAGTATAACCAAAAACGGGATTCAGGGTCAGAATCACTCACAGTGTCAATGAGGGCCCCAAGACGATCTCCAAAACTGAGCTGTACGATAGTGGCTTCAGGGTCAGCATCCTGGTCAATCAAAACCATTGGCATTGGAACACGGTCGTCATCATCTTCCGATTTCTGCGATCAAATTTTCCAGCAAATGTCATCTCAAAGCACACAAAACTCATACGCAGACCGTTTTCCCTATTAAACATAAGAAAATATAAATCACATATCAATACATAACCGATTACACTCTCTACATTTACTTGCCGAGCTTCTGCGGTAAGTCCATGGCAGTCAAATGACTCAAATTAACAGCTTAGTCGCAACGCAACGAAACAAAAAGGCTGAAACAAGTTACTAACCGGATAAGATGGAGTGGCGTCAGTGCTGTTAATCGAAGCATATACACGGTTTCTTATACTGCACATCAAAACAAACAAGAACGGAATCATATGTTAGCAATCTCAAATATCTCAAAACTCACAAGAATTCGCAATTGGTTCATAGATAAACCAAGAAACCGGTTTCTCAAATTGTAAAGAACTCCAGGTTCGAACTTTAAACTACCGATTCTTTTTCAATTCTCAAGTTGAAGATTCGTGACGACAAACTCAATTACTCCATACGAGACGAGAATCTATAAAAAGTTTATCTATCAAATCGTTCGAGCACATAATTAGTTGAATCAAGCTCAGAGTAGCCGAACGATAAAGGACCAAGCAAAGTTTACCAAGATGACTATGAATCTCAAGCAATTACAGCAAAGGAAAAACAACGGGAAAGATCTAAGAGAAGACGACGAATGCAAAATAGGCAACAGCTAACCTCATCGTCGAGAGAGACATTACGCCTTCGACGAACTTCCGGCGATCATCGAACAAAGCAGGCGATAGATCTGGAGAAGTAATTTGAGCGGGAAAACGAGTCTGCCTGCTGATCGCAGAAGAAGGAGGAGTACAAGTGAAGGAAGATGAAAAATGAGTTGCAGAGAAAATACTATTCGAGAACGCCATTGAAGACGAATCAATAATTTTTCTTTTCCTTTTCTTTCTCCTTTCGAACTCAGAGAGAGAGAACACCGGAATCTAAAATGGCGAGAAAATTGGCTTTTAGTGATAACAAAAGATGGTGGAGTGCTGAATCTGCTGATGTATGACGTCACTGTTTAGATGCTCCACCTGTGCATATTTATTTTTTCTTAATTATAAGTTTCTACAAGTAATTAATTGATTACTTGCAAATTGCAACTAAAATAATGTGAGAGTGTGAGAATTTAGACGCATTGATTTGGTTGCTGACGTTCTAACTCATACGTTCCCATAGCAAATATCTACTCTTTTGTATTCTTCCAATTAGTCTGGTTTGTAGAATTTTTAATGCTTACGTAAACCAATTAAACTTGCTAATTGTCTTTGCTAAAAGTTAATAGCAATATCTTTTCCTTGTCAAATTGCGATGTTGTATAACAATTATTGGCGTGAGTGTGTTGTGAAAAGAACAGTTTAAAAACTATTATTCGTTGACCCAGAAAACAAGGGAAAACAAAATCACAGAAAGATGAAGCTGAAGAAGGCTCTCACCATTGGGCTTTAGCCCACTGGGCCATTAAAACCAGCTAACAAAATTTTCCTGGTGACAAAGTCCCTCTTCTAGCGGTGTCTTCACCTGAGCTTCGTTGTTGACTCGGAAAGACATTTTCTACCAAAAACCGATTTCGAGAAATCTCAGTGATTAGTAAAGATGTCGGCGGTTCGTTCAGCGATCACACGGCTTGGTTTGGCTCGGTCCTTGGGGGAGAGTCAGATTGGTGTATCTCGTCCCGTTGAATCGACTCGAGGAGCAGCGATTCGTTGTTTCAGCGACGACAAAGGTCGTGTGCTCAGCGAAGAGGAGCGCGCGAAAGAGCGCATGTACATCCAGGTTCTTCTTCATCATCTTCGACTTTTTTCGCACATTTCTCGATTTCTGTATGGATGCTTTAGTTCGTCTATGCGCTGTTGTTTATTGGATTCAATTTTCGGAGAGAATCTGATCACAGTAAATCGATCAAATATCATTTTGAAGAGATGGCGCTATCTCTAATCTGAAAGCTTACTCAATATACTTGGATCAAATTTTTTGGGATATAAATTCATAGATAGTGAAAGAATGGGAATAAATGTTGTCTGTGTGATTTTGCTTTCGCTTGTACAACATGAACTATGTGTTCGTATTTGCAGTGTCTATAGCTTGTTGTGATCCTTTTTGGTTTGAGGTCTGAGATTTTAGTTACAGAGTTACATCTAGAGCTGAATCTTCTGATTTGCATTACTCAGCCTCTGTAGAACTGGCCACGACTCGTTAAAGACTATCGAATCGATGAGTTGTGAGATCCAGAATAGTTTCGAACTCGCTTCTAAAGAGTCCGACCTTTTTTTGCTGTAGAAAATGGAGCAGGAGATACAGGAGAAGAAGAAGAAACTCGCGGAACAGAAGCCAGCAAACGAGAAAGGAAGCGCAGGGAAGGTAAACATTCATCTGACCACAACTATTCCACTCGTTTTCTTCATACATGTTTTCATTTTTATGATATGTCTTCAAGTCAGAAATCCCTAGTCGTCGGTTTCTAGATAATATATATGATTTGTGACTATGGCATTTCTAGTACCAAATTTGGCTTTACTTTCAAAACAAATGAAAACATTCTTTGCTTTTCACTCTTGTGCAGAAACCTGAGGGAAAGTAAGACCTGAGTTCTTCACTTGGTTGTATGTAGCCTCTGGTCATAAGGCAAGCAATGGTGAAAAATAATGTCTTTGACCTTTGTTCTCTCTTTGTTTGAGACTTTGTACTAGTACAGAGATTTACCTTTCTGATGTGTGTTTGTTTGTGTGTTCTAATAAATCAAGTGATAGACAAAAACGTTCAATGAGAAAAGCCACCATATGCATTGATTCAAAATACCAAACTTAAAACTGTGTTTACAAAATGGTTTCCTATACACTATTTTATTCTTTCATCGTCGTCATCATCATCTGTATTAGAAAATACCCTCCTATTTCTTTCCTATTCACATAAATTGTGTAAAAAAGAAAACCTAAATAAGAAAACTAAAACCATCTCCAATTTCTTTCCCCACTTTTCACATCCGGAAACCGAAGTCCTCAAAATGAGCCGGAGTCAATTGCTGACCAAACTCTGACACAATCTGTTGCTGCTGCTGCGGTGCCTGAACAGGACTCCCGTGCTGCCCAATCCAGTCCATGTTGGACCCAGGCATGGCTAAATTAGTGTCCACCGTGGTTATGTCGTGGATGCTCGACCTTTTCCTCTCTTTCTTCACCGAGTTCTGTCTGAGGAAGTACTTTTGTGCGTGACTCGCAACTTGTGTCGGTGTCCTCGTCACCACCACGTTCCTCGATATGCTCCTCCAATCTCCTTTACCATATCTCTTCAATCCGATCAGAAACAATCTGCAATTAAATTATTCATATTTAACAAAATGTCATTAATCACCTAAATTTAGCTAATTGCGACAATACTGAAATTAAATATATGAAAAACGTGTTAAATCCTACGTTCTCTTCCCTAACCAACCAAAACCCTAATTTTGCTCTTTCGAAATGATTTTTCAAAATTGGGAATACATACTTGTGTTCGTTTTCCGTCCAAGGAGTGCCTCTTTTCCGTTCGCTCTCGCCGTGCTTAGACCCGAAGGAGATCTGACCAGCCGAGTCCCAACCCGCCGCCGCCAAGTCATCCATGTAATCAGGGACATCAACACGGCCGGAGTCGATCTCGAAGACGTCGTGCACCAAAGCCTCGTAATGCTCTCTAACTTCACCAGCCGTTTTCTGGAGCTGATCGGCGATTCTCTCCCACCGGCTTGGAGATCCTTCAGGGAAAAGCACCAAAGCTTGCTCGAACATCTTATCCTCCGACCTCGTCCACTGACTAGACGCCATCTCCAAGAGGATTTTTTTAGTTGTTTCGAAAAGACTCAAGTGGACAAATCTGAAAATTCTCGTTGGATGTCTGAGAAACTGTTTTGAAGAATTTATACGGATTCTCTGGTTTTTTTCTTAGGAAAGTTTTTTTTTAGATGAGAATAAAATTTATAAAGCTGGAAAATAAAATAAAAAGGGAGAAAGAAGCAGCTCAGAGACCAACTTCAACACGGTTTCTCTGCAATTGGGATGTCTTTTGTCTCTCTCTCTTCTTCTCTTTTTTTTTTTTCAATTTATTTTATTTAATTTTAGGTTTACACCTGACCTGACTACTGAATTTATTTTGCTCCAGTTTGTTACAGTTCTCTTTTTTATTTATTTTAAGCATATGCCACTTTCTTTTCCAATAATATGGGAACACGTATTTATTAGAAAACAACCGCCTAAAAATACATTGAAGCAATCTAGAAAGATTTTCTTTTGTGTTCACATTCGCTAAAAGGAATCCACTGTCTACGTCTCTGCTACTTTAATTTACTCTCACTTCACTTTCTTAAGGATCTAAACTATGGTTATTATTTGTCGTTGTTACTCTCTACCTTTAAATTTTAAGTTTTGATAATTTTTTGAAAAAATTGTACTCTAGTGTTGTTGTTTATTTTGTTGTGAATTTTAAATATATTGTTTTTCATGATTTTTATAGAAATTATGTAACATTTTGACCAGTTTAATTATGTACCGCAAAAATTGACCAGTTTTTGACAGTTGGGGTCATTAATGTTAGTCAAACCCCAGTTTTCAACTTTAAGTGTAGTAACCATTTAAAGTTCAACCCTCATGACTATGACTAACTAAACCAAGTATGCTATTTTACTATTCACAAAATATGATTTTATTGTCAATCAAGAATGAAGATCATTCATGACACTTCCATATTCATACCAACAACGCGATTCAAAACTAACCGATCATAGAAGGACTTGAAGCACCAGATGAACATCAATAATTGGCACCACTCCACTCTAAAATAGAAGCTTCGATATCGAAGTTGGGTTTTCTCAAATGTTTTATAGCCTTATAAAGCTGTTCGATTTATACTTTATTGAATGAATACTCCTGTAAAGAAAAAAAGATAACACTCGTATTTGTCTTATCTTATCGGAAGATCCTCCATTGTACTTGTTAATTATTATTCACAAGTCTCAACGAACTCCAACAAATTAACTAAAGAAAACAAATGAACTTCCAACTAATATTCTAGTGTTTTAACTGTACTTGCTAGTTGCTTTTTCTCACAAGTAGTTTACTTGTTTATGATCTTGCACACTTTTACTAATTTAATTGGATCCACAAGTAAAGTGGATACGAAGGTGCGTGGACCGACTCTCTACCAGTTTAGGCCACGTGTCTTCTGCCAATTGTTTCCGAAGGATACTTTTTGGCACTCGAGTGATGCATCTGGATGACGTGGACTCTTATCCAGCCGTCACGTGGCCTTCAAAGAAAATCTACTAATTTCTAGTTCTTCTAAGCTTCTTGTCTGTTACCATATGTTTTAGCTTTGATATTATCTTCCAAAATGTGGGAAAATACAAAAATACGAATGGAGGAGTAGTCAATATATGGGGTGGTAGATAGAAAAATAATACATGCAATCCAAAATAGTAGAAGATAGTGTACATTGGTGAGGTGAAATTCTATAAATATACGGTCATATTTTCTACAAAGAATAGTAAAACGATCGTGAATTTGTTATGGAAGACAAAAAGTTTGGCGGACAGTGGGCAAGAAACCTCAGAAGATGACGAAAAGGCTACGAATGATCTATATCTTCTTGATTCCATAATACATACTTCAAGGCTTCAGCAGTTCGGCTTTCAAATCTGGTTTTAATATAAGAGAGTTTAACAGATTAGACCTACAAAGATTCAAGTATTGTACTATTATATATCTAATCTGGTGCCAATATCCTACAGTGTTCAAGTACGATTCAAGTACCAAACTTTTAGGCTGCAGTGAGAGAAAAAGTCGAACGATTTTTAAATTATGCGCAAAAAAAGAAAATAATGTTTGATTGGGCTTAAGTCCCAGATAAACTATCAAATGGGCTTCTCAAATTAGTTCGAAAGTTAACTGTCCACATCACTATCTTATGGGCTAATCCAGTACTAAACTTCGCTCTGGACAACACGAACGAGAGAGATTCGAATATAGGTTGTGCTACCTGAATCCTGATGATCAACTGGATATTCTGTCATTTGCTGAATCACAGTTTGATATATTTGTGTTTGCATGAAACTGGTAAAATATTACATCCAAATTCAAACTATAAATGTGACAAGATAAAGTATTAAAGACACATAATTAGAGTATTATATTTTTTAGCTACTTTTATGTTTTGCGCAAGTAATCTTCGATTCAAACGGTAACCTATGGCTATACTGACATAGCGTCACTGCTTGACACTCTTCAAGTATATGTATGGAGAGAAGGAAATCAAAATGCTTTCTTATGGTAGAGGATAAGATGAATAACTATGTTATTTTATTTTTAAATATGACAAAATAGTGAAATACTCATATGTTATATGTATGTCTCTAAATTTAGAAGGGAATGGGCAGGTCTAAACCAAAAAGTTAATATTATATATACCTCCCAATGGAGGTGCTTTAAACAAAATCACATGTTATCCTTATCAAATTCAAAACATATATGTTTCACTGTATATATAGTTTAAATCTTGACAAAGGATTATTGTTTACTTACAAAGGATTATTGTTTACTTATTTCCGGATCATGATGTATAAATTTCGCAAATTAATTACTATTTACTTTCTTCTGGATCATGGTGACTTGATTTCTTATACATTTGAGGTGCTAATTCTTTATAAGAAAAACATTTGAGGTGCAAATTTCTTGGTATGCACGAGTGAACATAATAATAGAGGCAGAGGGAAACGGGAAAAAGAATGACAGCTAGTAACTGTGGAAAGACACATGGGAAAGTCAAATCAAATAATTGTGGGTGTAACAAGGTATGGCTCCCTCATGACATCTAATCTATGGCCCTTTTTTCCCAAATAAAAGTCAAAATGGGTTTGATTCATAAGAATTTTCTATTTAATAACTACAGAGTTTAAGAGCCGTTATCGCATGCAGAGTATAGAATAAGTACATTAGTACATTAGTTGACCGATCCTATGATGTATAATTACGTATACACTATACAACGTAACCCCAATACTTTATGAAGTACTAAAATGAATGAGATACATTTTTTACATGTCATAATACAAATTCGTTTGCTTACTGTAAAATGAATATTCTATTCAACATAATGATAACTCACCAATTATTCACATATCTAGAAGCACCTAAAAGCTAATATAAACGGATATGAAATTCGTTTCTCGATAAAAATTAAGATTTTGAATAAGGTCGGAAATCAATCTTGCTCATATATCAAATGAGATATTTTGAAAGAAGTGTGAGACACAAATGACAGGTAAATAAAACATGATATATGAAAGCCAATCACGTTCCCACAATAAATTTCAAGCAGAAGAAGCCAGCCTAGTTATAGTAGAATGGCCCTCATTCTTATCTCAAACCAGCTTGACCCGTCCCGGTTCTATTGAGATATCACTTCAGCCTGGTCCAAAGACTGGTCTACTATATTGATTCAAAAAAGAAAAATCATGAAAGGGTACGGAAATAAGAATTATAAACAAAAAGAAGACTATATAGTTTTGCTCTAAATATATGTTTAGTTTGTCTGGCACATAGATTGATCTAAATGATTTATAAACAAACAAAACTACTATTTTGGTAAGAAGAGTTAAGAGGGTAAATCTGAAACCAGAACTGGTCCAATCGGACACAACCCAAAAGACTCCATTTTATGTGAACTACAAACCAGCTTACACTCTATTTTGTTCCACGTCAAACAAGCTTAACCTAGCTCAAATTATGTTCTAATTGAGACCCCTAAAGACAAAAAAAAACAAAAACATACAAAAAGCTCATCTGGTAAAGCGATGTGTAAGAAAGAATGATTACTCAGCTATTATTTGGGGGGGATGAATCTGAGTCTTATTGAATAAGGGCTCTGCTCTGTTCTGTTTCCCAATCATATTGGACCCTGCAAAAATTGACAATTCTGTATCAGTATACACTTGCATTCCATGCATAATAACCGTTTTACCCGAATCCCAAGAAAAAAAACAAAAAACCACACCTAAATAGATAGATCATTAATTATTACAGATCCACTTACTGAACCATTTAGATTACTAATACTGATCATAATCAATCCTCAAATGCTACTGTTCACCCTTGAGATTACATTATATCAAATGGATTTTGCATTCGTATACATGATTTTCTTGGACAAAGTGTGATCCCAAAGTCACTTAAACTAGAGCCAAGATCAGATAGTGAAGAAAATCCATGAATCATAAATTTGGGATCACACTTTGTCCAAGAAAATTTTAAACCCATCCCTCTTCTTCATGTCTCTTATCTTCACTCTTTCTATTTTTTTTCATTGTGGGGTCGTATCCCCCATGAAATTCAGTTGTAGTTCTGATCCCAATGTGGAAAAAATAACATTTCTTAATTGGGATTCTGTAATAATGCAGTGCATGTTCGTACAGTTTCAGTTTGATATATGAAGAAAATAACGGAACCGCACGAGTGAAAACAAAATGGCAAATAATTATCATCAATTAAACCCCTCGTGATGTATTATCATATAAAAACTTGCCCATCTCATATCAAAATCCATACATTTAATATCTCTATCACTCTATGGACCTCAGCTTATTCACCTATATATACCCATGTCCTTCAGCATTGTACTTTCACCACAAAAACCATCTCTATCTCTATCTCTATTCATCATTCCTTTTAGTTTGAACTCTCCTTCTATACACTAAAATCAAAATGAAGAACAAGTTCATAAAAGCCTGCGAAAACAAGTTGAAAATCATGAAGACCAAATCCATAGTCATACCTTGTTGTACATCATATTCATGCGAGAGTTGCTGCGAGAAGGTTTCTTGGGGATTCAAGAAGGAAAATGAAGTCATACCAAAGGATGTTCCAAGAGGACATTTGGTGGTTTATGTGGGTGATGATTACAAGAGGTTTGTGATAAAGATGAGTTTGCTTAACCATCCGATCTTCAAGGCGTTGCTTGATCAAGCTCAAGATGTTTATAACTCCTCAAAACTATGGATCCCATGTGACGAGAACACTTTCCTCGATGTTGTTCGATGCAGTGGAGCTCCTCAGTATCAAAGGAACTGCATTGGCATGTAAATGTAATTAATAAGGGAGAATTTCAAAAGAAATATTCATATTGATTTTGATATATCATCTCGGGATCTATGTTTCCATAGGGAAATAGTGCTGGTTTTTTGTTGTTTAGATAATGTTGTACACTAGTTAAGTATAAGAGTTTCGTAATATTTTACAATGTAACACCTCGTAATGTTTCCAAATAAACTGAAACATTAAGTCTCTGTCTGACAAAGATTTTTCTCACACATCTCAAGACAAATAAGCAAAACTTCCCAAACCTCATCAAGCATCCGTTCTGTGTCATAGAAAAAGACTCTGATGCAGACATTGTCAGAGAATCAAACAGCTTCCAGTTTCTGTCAATTGTGTAGCCAATAGGAATGAGCTTGCAGCTATTTTATTCCATAATTGTCAATGTCATAAAGTAAGAAAGTGTTTGTCCTCTATAGCAGAACCCTATTAATCAGCTTTAAGTAGTTTAATACGGCGTCCATCTTAATAATTTTTGAAGGCCCTAAGCAAGAAAATATCTGGGCCTTTTACGTACATATTAGTCTCTTTTTCTTATGCTTTTTATATGACCGATCATAACTGTTCTGATAGACTTTGCATTCTGCCAAATCTGTAGTCGGCCCATATGATCGGTTGATAACCAATATGTGCATATCATGTGAGATCTAAACACACAGACACGTTTTAGATCTAAAACATACTCTGACAAATATAATACAAGTGAATTCAGTGGTTATCCTATAGATCTAGGCCAAAGATTCAATATTAATTCTTCTGAAACATACGGACATATATCATTAATACAAGTGAATTAAGTGGTAGTTTAGGAGTTATCCTCTAGAAAGTTTAGGAGTTATCTTCTAAATCTAGGCCAAATGAGTGTGTTTATATAGCGTAGAGCTTGATGAAAGTAAGTACAAGAATATTAAAATGAAGAGTGGGTTTTCGAGAGATGAACAGATTGTATTCCATCTCCTATTATTTTTGTTCGTTTCTATATGGTTTTTGTTTTTTGGGTTCACTCTTCTTTTGGCTTTCTCTATCGACATTATTGCTCTTCCTCCACAAAACGTATTACTTAGAGTTATAGCTCCATTGGTCAAATATTAACTGGTAATTAAATAAAAATGAATATGCTGAATAAAGAGTTCCTCATATTCCTCTGCTGTAGAGATGTTGGGATAAATTTTCAAAGACAGGTTGTTTTTTTTTTCCACTCGGTCGATTGATAACAATGCTCACTCGGTCATTCTCACAAAATACTTAAAATGTCAATTATTCGGTTAAAAAACGATTCTCAGGGGGGAGATTATCCAAATACAAAGAAATGTGTGAACTTGTCTTGCTTAAGAGAACCGAGAAAATGAGTTTGATATTATTTTTTAACTCAAAGATGAAGGCCGAAGGTATCACGTGAGAAAGGCCTAGTGGAAGACCCACATCAATGCATTATTTAATGTTGCTTAATATGGAATCATTGGAATGTATCAAATTACTCACTATTCATTACCATGTGGTGGGTTATACTCACATTGGCTTCTTCTCCACTCTTTGGTGCTATGTCCATTAATTATTCAGTACTCACTAGTCACTATTGCATTGTTGTTTGTTTCTTGGAGTATCTAAATATCTCGATTATAATGAATATTTTAATATACTAAGCTTTGTAGAGTTTTTTTTTTTTGAACGACACTAAGCTTTGTAGAGTAAGTTGGGATTTCATCCTAACTAAAACTTGTAATTTTGTATACAATTTTCTTCGTTAAACACAGGGCCTCAACAAATTATAAAATTGCTTATAGTGGTGTTATCTAGATAGTGATAACTACGATTGATGCCATGGTCACTTGAATTGAATACTTCGGTTTACTTATCAGTGGTACTTGTGTCTAACTATACTACCTTCTTACACTAAACAACTAGTCTCCCATATTCACTCACAAACCATAATCACTCGTAAAGATTGGTCTCATCACCGGCACCCGCAAAACGCTATTTTCCTCCGCCACCAGCCGCGACCACCTTTTTGCGGCTCAAACCAAATTCATGGTTTTCATTCTCCACCATCAGATCCTTGATCGTAATCCAACGTTTATCGTCCCCTCTAGTTTTTTATTTGTATATTTATTTATTTTAACCAAATCAAAACGTGTTTTTTATTTTTTCTCATTGTCTTCTTATTTAAACCCCTCTTATCTTCTTCATCAGAAACCCAAAACACAAACTCATTCATCAACATTGAAAATCTCTCTCTGCATTCACCAACAGTTCGAAAATGGTTCAGGTCAGTGGATTAGTACACCAAAACGGCCACATCGAGGCGACGTTGTGCGGCGGAGGAGAGAAGACGAAAGTGGCGGTGAAGAATGTGGCGGTCAATGCTGTAGCGGTCAAGGCTGTGGCGGCCGTGAAGAATGAGGCGGATCCATTGAACTGGGGTGCTGCGGCGGAGCAGATGAAAGGGAGCCACTTGGATGAAGTGAAGAGAATGGTTGAGGAGTATCGGAGACCAGTGGTGAATCTCGGAGGAAAGACTCTGACCATCGGACAAGTCGCGGCCATCTCCACCATCGGCGGCGATGTTAAGGTGGAGCTAGCGGAGGCTTCGAGAGCCGGCGTGAAAGCTAGTAGCGATTGGGTTATGGAGAGTATGAAGAAAGGCACTGACAGTTACGGTGTCACCGTTAGCTTTGGAGGTACTTCTGACCAGAGACCACAAAACGACGTCGCACTCCAAAGGGAACTCATTAGGTAATTAAAATAAAAAATTTAATTAGACGAGGGTAACATTAATTTACCCTTTTTTAATGATTAGTTTAGTAGATTAAATTACATTTTGTCACTGAATATAATCACGTGGACGAATTTTTTTTGTTTTTGAGACTCCATTTGCATGGGAAACATCAAACATGCTTGGTCGATGAATCAGGTCGAGTCGGTTCGGGTAGGGTCGGGTCGGGTTTCAGTTCATATATAATTAGTCTCTTTAATTTTTATTTAACACTAGTATTATACCCAGTACAATGCACCGGAAAATCGTTTTATTGCATTTTTCAGCAACAAAATACTCCTTTATCATTTTTTGGTTCTTTTGTTTTTATTTCTTAACTTACCATTGACCAAACCACCAAAATTTCTTCATTCATAATGAAATTCGTGTTCGATTTGAGGTCTTTTATTTTTTTTAACCAAAAGCTTTTTTTTTAATAAAAAATAAAGCCTTAATACTTCTTTAAGTGTTTTTATGTGACAATTATTAAACTTAAAAAGACAATTAATTGGTTAAATAAAAGAAACAAATTCGTAATTAGGTTAGGCATATCAAAATCCAACATAAATAGTATTTAGTCTAGCTAAAATAGTGAAATGAAACATTAAAATATGAAGCTCATTTAGTTATTGAAGCCCAATAATAGTGCCGAAAAAATCTCATCACTATTTCTAACTCCCCAGTCCGCACGATTTCCATCTCACCACCAATCCGATGTCGAACACGGCGGAGGACCGACTACAACATGATTATTCCCCGTTTTCTACTTCGACGAACTCCGTCTCAGCTATTTCGAGTGCTCCTCAATGGTTTCACGATGGATCTCTCCGTCATCGATGCCGCCGCTTCGTCGACTCTTCCCTCTCCGAGGTCGAGGCTGGCGAAGAAGATAAAGAAGGAGTTGCCGATGAGAATAATGATGTAGATAAACTACTAAGAGTTTACAATTTGGTTGAAGAAGAAGAAGAAGAAGAAGAGTCCTCTGAGTCTGTAAAAAGAAGAAGCAAAACGGGGGATCGTCAGTTAAAGATTCTGATGAATACTATCCGAAGCCTGCCAAGGATTATTACTTGAAATCATGAAAAATCCCATAAATAAACAAAATTAGGAATCAATAATATCTGAAAATACCTTTTTTAAGTGAGAGAGAATGAAAATCTCAAGTAAGGCGACGCTAGAGCTTTAGCATAAATCGGTGTTTCTGCGATCTGCGATTTGCGAAAAAAAAAATCCAGATTCAGAACATGTAAGGATTCCAACAATCAATTTAACAAATGGAAGAAAAAAGAAATACATTAGAGTATTCTGATTTCAATCGTTAAAATCTAAATCAAATCAATATCAGAAATTGCAATGAAGACAACTAAAACGATGCAGCAGAAATTTGATGAGGATTGAGAGAAAAAAATACTGTAATTTTAGAAGAAGAAATTTAGTTAGTTACTTTTGAGAATGCTCGATCTATAAGTTATATACATTGTGAAAGTGAAAGGTGGTTGAAACTGGGATTGTGGGTTTGGGAAACGTTTGAGATCGTGGGTCTATGAAGAAAAATTAAAGCTAAAATAAAAATAAAAATTTAATCGTTTTCGAAAAAAAAATTACATTCAGAAATAATGGGAGATACATGTCGTTCATATAGACTATGAGGTGACTGCTGATTTATTAATATTAGATTAGATTAGACACGAAATGTTGTTTGCTATTCCGTTTCAGATTTTTCTACCTTGCGAGCAAGTATTTGCAGCCATTAATCAAAAAGGCTTGAGAAAAAGCCCATTAACATACGAATGTGTTTGTACACTTTAGGCATTTGTTAAGTCTATGGCCCAAACTAAGTTATGGTGTCTCTTTCGTTGTTGCCAAGGAAGAGCATACTTGGGTTCACGGTGAACTTCTTGAGTCGGTGCAAGATCTTACCCAGAAGAAGCAATGCGACTTCTCTCTCTCGAAATCTCTTCGTTTGCGCCAGTTATGAGCAAGAGAATCTGTCACAGGGACAATACGAAGATGGTTTTTCGAATCGTAATGTGGTTCAAGCTTCGGAACTTATGGAAATCTTGCAGCTTTGTGCTAGAAACGGAGATATTACGGAAGCAAAAGCTTGCCATGGGAGGATTTTCCGTCTTGATTTGCAGGGAGATGTCACTCTCTCGAATGTTCTCATCAATTCTTATTCCAAATGTGGTTTTGTGGAGCTTGCTCGCCAAGTGTTTGATGGAATGCATGAGAGAAGCTTGGTGTCTTGGAACACGATGATTGGTTTGTATACCCGGAGAAGAAGGGAGTCAGAAGCACTGGATATTTTCTCGGAGATGCGAAACGAAAGTGTTAAGTTTAGCGAATTCACGATATCGAGTGTTCTCTCTGCTTGTGGGGCAAATTGCGATGCCTTGGAATGCAAGAAACTGCATTGTCTGTCAACGAAGACCTCTCATGACCTGAACTTGTATGTTGGTACTGCCTTGCTTGATCTTTACGCAAAGTGCGGGCTGATCAAGGACGCAGTGCAGGTTTTCGAGTCTATGCAGGACAAGAGCTCAGTTACATGGAGCTCTATGGTAGCAGGTTATGTTCAGAACAAGAGCTATGAAGAGGCTCTGCTTCTCTACCGTATAGCTCAGAGAATGAGTCTACAGCAGAATCAGTTTACATTATCTTCAGTGATCTGCGCTTGCTCAAATCTTGCAGCTTTGATAGAAGGGAAACAGATGCATGCTGTTATGAGTAAGTCCGGGTTTGGCTCTAATGTCTTTGTGGCATCCTCTGTAATTGATATGTATGCTAAATGTGGAAGCTTGAGAGAGTCTTATGTAATCTTCTCGGAAGTGGAAGATAAGAGTATTGAGCTTTGGAACACGATCATCTCGGGGTTTGCAAAGCATGCTCGTCCCAGGGAAGTGATGGTTCTATTTGAGAAGATGCAGCAAGATGGGATGCAACCAAATGAGGTTACTTTTAGCTCCTTGTTATCGGTTTGTGGTCACACGGGTTTGGTCGAGGAAGGAAGGAAAATTTTCAGATTCATGAGAAGCAAGTACGGTTTGTCGCCAAATGTGGTTCATTACTCTTGTATGGTTGATGTTCTTGGTCGTGCTGGGCTGTTGCCAGAAGCGTATGAGTTTATAAAGTCTATGCCTTTTGATCCTACTGCTTCCATTTGGTGCTCTCTTCTTGCTTCTTGTAGAGTCTACAAGAATCTTGAGCTGGCAGAGGTTGCAGCCAAGAAGCTGTTCGAATTGGAACCAGAAAACGCTGGTAATCACGTCTTACTATCCAATATATACGCGGCTAACAAACAGTGGGAGGAAATCGCCAAGTCAAGGAAGCTTCTCAGGGACAGCGACGTGAAGAAAGTGAGAGGGAAAAGCTGGATTGAGGTTAAGGACAAGGTCCACGTTTTCAGTGTTGGAGAGAGCGGTCATCCGAGAATCCGAGAGATCTGTTTGGTGCTAGACAATCTGGTGATTGAATTGAGGAGGTTTGGATATAAACCAAGCGTAGAGCATGAGCTGCACGATGTGGAGATAGGGAAGAAAGAGGAGCTTCTGATGCAGCACAGTGAGAAGCTGGCTTTTGCCAGAGGGTTCTAGTGTTAGGATCATGAAGAACCTGAGGATATGTGTGGACTGGCATGAGTTCATGAAGGCTGCATCAATGGCTACAAGAAGACTTATCATTGTTAGAGATGTTAATAGGTTTCACCATTTCAGTGATGGTCATTGTTCTTGCGGCGAGTTTTGGTGACAAACTTTGTTTCACCTCACAATTTTTCTATAGTATTTTTTAGTGACGGAGAAATAAAATATAGTTCTCACTGAAAATCAAAATAATAAACTTCGATTATGTAAAAACTTGAGAAACGTACAAAGATTGATAAAAAAAGTTGTCGAGAAGAAAAGATGTTTGACGCTAAGCAATATTGGATTGGATAGAGGCCCAAACAATATGGGCCTGATGTAAGAGCCCATAGCTGGATAGGAATTAAACCCTAAAGAGAAACCTATATTTATATCTAAAGGCAATTTTATCTCCTCCGTCATAGCTCTTCTTCGTCTCTTGCCGCCGCATCATCTTCCTCGCAGGTACTTTCTGGTTAACCTAGTAATTGCGTTACTGTCGATGAACACATAGGAAACGTCGTGCTCTATGTTTGATCTGTTTCTCGTCCGTGAAAGTGTAGAATGTTTCTCGTTCAGTCTTAGGTTTTGCTAGATTCTCCAATCTCGTTTAAAACATGGAAAATTAGTGAACTGGACTGAGTTTTTTACCTGATTCTGCCGCATCTTCATATTTTCAGCTTAGTTAATGTTCCATTGGCTTAGATCTGATAAGAATTATTCACATTTCTGTGTTCATTTGTTGATAGATAACTCTTGATTCGTATGCAATTCTCTTGACAGACCAATTTTCATGCGTTTCATGTGTTTATATACCCTAATGCTTACTCAAATCAACTGTTCTGAGTAGTCAATGTATCTCTCGTAATTCTATTTGATGTTGCAATTTTCACTTAGTTCCACACAAATGCTGCAGTTTCATTATACATTCTTTAAGCTTTTCTGTTAATTGTTCGTTCTCAAAGATTTGATTTTTCTTCTCTTATCAGGTAAGGTCAGTCACAGGTCATCTGAAAGATGGGGCGTGTTCGTACCAAGACCGTGAAGAAATCTTCTCGTCAGGTGATCGAGAAGTACTACTCTCGCATGACTCTCGACTTCCACACGAACAAGAAGATCCTCGAAGAAGTTGCCATCATCCCATCAAAGAGGCTCCGCAACAAGATCGCTGGATTCTCCACCCACTTGATGAAGCGTATCCAGAAGGGACCAGTCCGTGGTATCTCCCTCAAGCTTCAAGAGGAGGAGCGTGAGCGCCGCATGGACTTTGTCCCCGACGAGTCTGCCATCAAGACCGATGATGTCAAGGTCGACAAAGAGACTCTAGAGATGCTTGCTTCCCTTGGCATGTCTGAGCTTCCCGGCTTCTCCGTTGCCGACCCACAAGCAGCTCCTACTTTTGCCAGGCCACCCAGAAAGTACTAAGAAGTTTGTTATCAGAAAGGATTGGCCTTTCTTATTTACAGTTTAGGCACAAAAAGACTTCTGTTTCTTGTTGGAATGTTTATTGCTTTTTTTTTTTTGAAGTCTGAAACTGAATATGTGACTCTTTCCTTCTCAATGGTTTTTGAGTTTTGATAATCGTTTGTTTATGCTCAACACTTGAAAGTAAAAATTCAAATCACACTCGAACCAAAATTATATTTTACAAGAATGAGAAGGCCAAATTGGTACTTTCCTATTTCGTAAGGATTATGTTACGTTATAACCAAAGAGAAGAGACGAGAGAGGAATTGAGATAGATAATGGATACTGGAGGGAGCTTGTTGTCGCTCTCTACTCCACACTTCCCTTACTCCGCCCCCATTCTCCGCCGTCATTCTCCGGCAGCTTCCATTTCTTTCTCACTCAAACCACCTCCGCAGCCACCACAACCTCCGCCCGAACCTCCTGAGAGTCCTCCTGACCTCCGCCGTCCGGAGAAATCCGTTGGCTCTTCTTCTTCCTCTCCTCCTTCTACTTCCCCTTTGCCTAAAACCCCTCTAAAGAATCCCCTCAAGGGCTTTACGAATCGCTCCTCTGTTCCTCTTGCTCAATCAGAGGTCTCGAGTAAAGTCTCGTCCTTTGGCTCTTCTCTAGCATCCAAACTACGTTTGTCCAGCAAGCTATCTCCTCCTCCTCCTCCTCCTCCACCTCCACCTCCTGTGGAAGAAACCCAATTCCGAGATGACTCGAGGAGAGTCACGAAACCTCCGAAAGAGGAAACTCGGAAGCCGGAACCGGAATTCCGACAAGTGGGGAAGATATTCGTCGGCAATTTACCGACGTGGATAAAGAAACCGGAGTTTGAGGAGTTCTTCCGACAGTTCGGGCCGATAGAGAATGTGATTCTAATCAAAGGGCATCACGAGGTGGAGAAGAACGCGGGGTTCGGGTTCGTCATTTACGCGGCGGAGAAGTCTGCCATGAAAGCCGTGGAGTTCGACGGCGTTGAGTTTCACGGTAGGGTGTTGACGGTGAAGCTAGACGACGGGAAGAGGCTGAAAACGAAGGCTGAGCAGAGGGTAAGATGGGTGGAGGAAGGAGAAGAAGAAGAAGAAGACGCGAAGATGTCGAATAAGTCGTCGTGGCATCAAGAGAGAGAAGGGTCTCGGAAGACACTCCAGAGGATTCTTGATACCAATGGAGATAACTGGCAAGCTGTTGTTTCTGCTTTCGAGAAGATCAACAAGGTTTGTCATTTTGTTAACATCAATTTTGCTCTGCTTTTGACTTAGAAGGAACACATAGGTCACTGATTCAGTTAATGTTTATACGCTCAGCCATCTAGAACAGAGTTTGGTTTGATGGTGAAGTACTATGGAAGAAGAGGGGATGTGCATCGAGCTCGCGAAACTTTCGAAAGGATGTGCGCGAGAGGTATCACACCAACATCACGTATATACACAAGGTATCTATCTTCTTTAATTACCAATTGTGTGACATTTTTTTCAGATTTTGCTAATGTCATGGATCAGCCTTTGCTTGAATCAATATTGTTGCTATGGATGTAAATAGTTTGGGATTCCTTAAAGGTTAAAAGAGGATTTGTTTCATGCAGCCTTGTTCACGCTTATGCAGTTGGTAGAGACATGGAAGAAGCACTGTCTTGTGTTCGTAGAATGAAGGAAGAAGGAATTGAGATGAGTTTGGTGACTTATAGCGTTATCATTGGAGGCTTCTCTAAAGCCGGAAATGCCGAGTAAGTCAAAAAACTTAATGTGTCTACATGTAAATCATTCAAGTTCATGTTGTATACACTAACTCGATCTGATAATTTTTTGGTCTTTTGGAAGAGCTGCAGATCACTGGTTTGATGAGGCCAAACGGAAACACAAAACCCTTGATGCCAGTATATATGGCAAAATCATTTATGCACACTGGTAAGTGGTAACCACTGATATGATTTCTGATTTCGAGCGGTAAGATTTGTTGGTTCGTCTTCAAACTAAAAAGATATGTTACAAACATATTCTCAGTCAGACGTGCAACATGGAGAAGGCAGAGGAATTGGTTAAGGAGATGGAAGAAGAAGGTATCGACGCTCCCATTGCCATCTACCACACCATGATGGATGGCTATACAATGGTCGCCGATGAGAAGAAAGGCTTAATTGTTTTCAAAAGACTTAAGGTACATAACTTGCTTTACCTACAAGTTCTGTCTTTCTTAGTTCCTCTTTGTTATCTGAGCAAGTAAAGAGATGGTTTGTTTGATTTGCTATAGGAATGTGGATTTACTCCAACAGTTGTCACTTATGGGTGCCTCATTAATCTTTATACTAAGGTAAGGAGACTTATATATAGACTAAAGTATTTATATGGTGATTTTCTTGGTATTATGTCTTGATTCTTGCCTTCTCTTATTATTAGGTTGGAAAGATTCCAAAAGCTTTGGAAGTTAGCAGAATGATGAAGGAAGAAGGCATAAAGCATAACTTGAAGACCTATTCGATGATGATCAATGGGTTTGTTAAACTAAAAGACTGGGCAAATGCGTTTGCTGTATTTGAAGATATGGTAAACGACGGCTTGAAACCAGATGTGATACTATACAACAACATCATCTCAGCGTTCTGCGGAATGGGAAACATGGACCGAGCGATCCAGACTGTAAAGGAAATGCAGAAGCTGAGGCATAGACCAACCACACGGACGTTTATGCCTATCATAAACGGATTTGCCAAATCAGGGGACATGAGGAGATCCTTAGAAGTATTCGATATGATGAGACGGTGCGGTTGTATTCCAACTGTTCACACTTTCAATGCTTTGATCAATGGCTTAGTTGAGAAACGTCAGGTATGTTCTTGATGTCTCGACGTTCTCTTAAAGAGATTATCTTTTGTTGATCAGTCTCTCTTGTAACATTACTTTTGTAGATGGAAAAAGCGGTGGAGATATTAGACGAGATGACATTGGCGGGTGTTAGTGCAAACGAGCACACATACACAAAGATCATGCAAGGCTATGCATCAGTGGGTGATACCGGAAAGGCCTTTGAGTATTTCACAAGGCTTCAGAACGAAGGTTTGGAAGTTGATGTCTTCACTTACGAGGCGCTTCTCAAAGCTTGCTGCAAATCAGGACGAATGCAGAGCGCTTTAGCTGTCACCAAAGAGATGAGCACAAGGAACATTCCGCGCAATTCCTTCGTCTATAACATTTTAATCGACGGGTAAAGTCTCGTTTTCTTTAAGCCAACAATCTTGATCCTGCTTTTGGAGTTCTCTCATATCTTTTCACTCTGGTTCTTCTTTTAGATGGGCAAGAAGAGGTGATGTTTGGGAAGCTGCGGATTTGATGCAGCAGATGAAGAAGGAAGGTGTTAAACCTGATATTCATACCTACACATCCTTCATCAGCGCTTGTTCTAAAGCCGGCGACATGAATGTAAGTGAGATTTCAGCTTCAAGAAGCAGAGCCTTGTTGTTTATGTTGGGTTTGCTAAGTCTTGAGAGAATGTTTGACAGAGAGCTACAAAGACGATCCAAGAAATGGAAGCATTAGGAGTGAGACCAAACGTCAAGACTTACACGACCTTGATAAAAGGATGGGCAAGAGCTTCTCTCCCAGAGAAAGCCTTAGGTTGCTACGAGGAAATGAAGGCCATGGGGCTAAAACCTGACAAAGCTGTGTATCATTGCCTTATGACCTCGCTTCTATCGCGTGCCTCGATCGCAGAGGCTTACATTTACTCGGGAGTAATGTCTATCTGCAAGGAAATGGTGGAAGCAGGCTTGGTCGTTGATATGGGAACTGCGGTTCACTGGTCTAAATGTCTGTGTAAGATCGAAGGTTCTGGTGGTGAGCTCACTGAGACGTTGCAGAAGACGTTCCCACCTGACTGGAGCTCTCATCATCATCACCATAGATTCTTGGATCAGGTTTCTGATGTTGATTCCGAGGATGATGATAATGATGATGTTGGTGGTGAAGAAGACAATGATGATGTTAACTCTGTTTCGGGTATCTTATCTTACAAGTAAGATAAACCGGTCTTGTAACAACTTTAGCGTAGAGCAATACTGGCATTTTTGTATTTTTGTTTCAGAGTTTCTGCAAAGTAAATCTTTTTGAGTGTTACGGTTTCTTCATAGTGTGAAAACGAAAACAGAGAGATCTAATCTTCATAAAATTGAAAGAACGAAAAAACTGAAGTGGACTAGTGTACTTCCAAAACTGGTTATTGTCAGTTAATAAAACCAGTCTGGTCTAAGATATTGATCATGTGCAAATCCAAACACTAACTGCAAATTTACCTGTTAAATTCATATTAGATATCAGCATGAAATTTGTAATCTTAGATATCAGCATGAAATTTGTAATCTTTTAAACAAAACTAAATATCTCACACTGAGTGTTAACACCTAATAGAACAAACTACATTATCTTAGCAACACATGTTTTGACGGCTTGTTTACAAATTGTGTATACGCATTATCGAAAATTATTATTTATAAAGTTTGTTTTATAGTTCTGGAGATATGCAAATCTGACATGTAAACCAACAAGATAATTGAGTATCGGTCCTTAATAAAAAAACAGTTAAACTCTCCAACCTCATGAACCCAACCCATGCCTTTACCCTTTATACATATTTAGTTTTATAATTAGTCAATATAAAAATTCGGCCTATACGTTGCATGATAGGCCAAATAAATCATATTAAATATAAACATGTGGTTCGTAAACGTACGTCTCACAAGTCACATGTTATAATGCTTGTGTAACAAATAAACATTCATACACCAAATTAATCATGTTGTCGAAATACGTATAATTGACATGATGACATCTATCATTGTGAAGGTTAGGATAAGAACAAAATAAAAATCGCGTCAATAATTTAATCAATATGTCTATATACCATTAAAAAAATGTTTATGAAGGTCGTAGACAGAAGGAACAATTTGGCATGGAACACGATACATACAATGGATCTCCCACTCTCGTACCTTCTTCTCTTCTTCCACTTTGAGTTTCACCTAACTAATAAAGAGATGGTGTTTGGATGAAATTGACTAACCTGAATTTTAGACATATCGATTGTTTTCTCTGTGTAGACACATTTCGTTTATATATGACTATGAGTTTTCGATGTAATTTTTTCCGACTTCTAATTTTCGTGAAGAGATTAATGAAGTGCGGGGTCAACAAAGAAAATGTTTTGTTTTTTTCATTCATCAAATCGTTTGAAAAAATGAAGTAAGAAAGTACTAATTAACAAGTCAAAATCGAGCTAGTTGAGACAAAGAGAAGTAGCGAGGCGGTGCCCATGTGGCCTCTTAACATTTAAGTCCCTAGGTACACACATACATGACCTCAACGTTACATTACTATTCCCTTCACAATTAATTATTACAGACTTCTCCAACTTCCATAACTATTTCATTCATAAATATGAACCCTTTTTTAGACGAGATTTTCAAACCCATCTCTACTGTTGGCGACAAAACTAGCCTTTGTTGTTATTGTAAATCAGACAATCAAATAGGAACAGCACAGAAATGACATTTCTTTATCAAATTTTACTTATTTATCCCTTGCAGTATGCTCATATCTTCATGCTAGTGCATTCTAGAGATGAACCTATTAATCAGTAGGTTTCCACTTTGCGCTCATGCATATAACTTGTGCAATGTGTACGAGTGTATAACTGTGTATGTATTGTATATAGAAGATATCTATTAAATATTTGGACCAAACAAAAGGGACCCATGATGTCTTAGTTATATATGTGACATTATAATTGTATAGTATTAGTATAGGCTTCTAGCCAGTTTAAAGATCGTATGTGTAATGTTTATCATAGATTGGTTGCTAATTAGTAATTACTACAAAAGTCTAAATAACTAATCATGAGGGTCAACGGGGTACATGTTGTTCCATGCATTGCTGGCTTTGCCTGTTGCTAAGTAATGCTCATTTCATGCGATTTTGATAATTATTTTTTAAATCAACTCGTCACTTTATTGTACTTTCTCTCATTCTAATCTCAATAATTATATGCTTTTGATACTGAGCTCTTTGAATTATTCACCAAAATTTTAGTTTTTAATTAGTAAAAACAAAGCTGCATAGAATCATATGAGTTGTTTAATAATGAGTATACAAGAGATCTCTAGTTAGGCTACAATACTTCCTCTGTGCCGATGAACTTCAGCTAAACACTATACGAAGTGGAATCAATTTCACAACAACAATATCAGTAATCGCTTGCTTTTGTTTTTGGATCGACCTCTTTGTATGTTTTATCAGTTTCTGTACCCAGCCTCTATACTGTATATTATTTTCAGTACAGAGTCCGACATACGTATCACTTGGTCGCACGAGCACAGTATTCGTATCTTTTTGTAGGTTTTATTTCGCCGGGTGCAGAAAAATAAATTTATTCATCCCTTATATTAAAGCAAATGAAAAACAAAAACGACGTGTGTCTTTGAATGATTTTGGAAGGACAAAAATTGGGTTTTTTCACGACTTTGTAATTATCAATTTCTGCTCCTTATACCAAAAGATGAATACTAAAAACAATATTGACCATTTACCAAATTTACCTACTTATAAGTAATAGTTGGTAAATACTAAATACCAACATCAACAACATCTGAGGTAAATTTCTTTAAAATGCTTTTTATGGTTATGGTCTTATGGATAACAAAGAAAAAGAAAAGAGTTTGATTCACCGTCGTAGTTGTTGAGAAGTTACTTCTAAGATTTCTTGCAACTGTGCTTTGGCATTTATTATTTACTTTTACACTGTTACAAAAAATCTCGATAATAATGGAGTATCAAAATCGGTCTTTAGCAAACGGATAAAGAGGCATGTCCAAGATGTTCATTGTTTTCTTTTGGATTTTCTGCATCTCATTAAACTAGAGAGACCCATAAAGATCTAATAGAAGGAAATTCACAATCAATGTATGCGTGATTTAACGGTACCTCTCTTTAATTCCTCACATGAGTTTTGCACTCTCTATTGTTTTCTTTTCTTCCATTTTCTCCCACAAAAGTTTATCAAATATCTTACGCAAATCAGGGGAAACAATAAAAAAGAATGCAAAAGACAAAACGAAGTGTGTTGGTAAATAAAGTTAAAAAGTACGTAAAAATTGATGTATTTATTTCACAACAATAGGTTTGCACATCAGATTGGCTCTGTTTAAATATTTTTCTACTTTCAGTTTATATCTCTGAAACTCTAGTATCTTGATTCTTCAAGGACACTGTCACAGAATCACCCTTTACATTTTTGTACAGTATTGATGGATCATATGTTTTACTAATAGTAAACTTAATTTGTCTAAGAAATTCATCAAATAAAAAGCAAACAATTCAGTACATATTTCTATAGTTACAAACGTAACAACATATTTCTTCTTCTAAATAAATTAATATATGAGTGAAACATGATAAGGTAGACATACTTTAAGTTCATGTCTTTATATAACTACACACATGCATTTTTATGTCTTAATGTATGAATAACATGTTGACGGAAAGTAGTAGTAGAACCAAGCTCGTGAAATATTTAAACTCGTACAAAACGAACATCGATTTTGTAAATTCAAACACAATTATAGGAAGATGACCTAGAAAACATCTAAAAAACCTCAGTCGTAAACGGAGAGAAATTACAAATGAGAAGAAGATTTGACATGACGAGCCAATGGACAAGAATGTAGTACCGTCAATCAACCTTTATTCACTATTTTATTTGTTATTGGGATTTGTTTTCTGCAACATTTTCTTGTAAGCAATCGTTTTTAATGCTTTGTGTTCTGCGCACAGAAGCCTTTGTCATTGGCGCGGACTAAATTTTATGTTTTTTTTTCTTTCCTTCTCTATGAATTGAATAAGACCTTTTTTTTTTTTTTGTTCTTGTGTTCAACTAAATTGAATGCTACTGCTGTGTCTTACTAAATTCAAATTCAGGTAAGAAAAAGAACAAAAAAAGAGTTCAAATTCAGATAAAGCCATTTCGTGTTTATATGAATTGTTAAAAAAAGACTTCAAATTCAAACACTTTTAGTCTCATAGTTTGAGATATAATGCATTGTACCAATATGCTGATTCAATAACACATTTTCGATCGTAATGAATTATGATTAACATACAACTTACCAATTATTTTCATAAAAAAATAGTTTTTGTTTGAAAATCATTTTCTCAACTTTTTATCAATTATTTAGAGTGCACAGTGGAGAAAAGCCAAGATTAGTTTTGGATTATAGCAAATCGTATTTTGGAAATAACTATTTCAATCCGGATTGTGCAGAAACGAATCCGAAAAGTTGACCACAAAACAAAACAAATTATTAACTTTCAATCTTCGTAATTTGATTGATTAAATAATTAACGATAAAATATTTAAAATGTACATTTCTAAAAATTACAAAAATATATAAAAGAATAACAAAAAAATTAAATAGACACATGACCTGACCCACCACCACCAGCCCTCTTCTCCCTCCCCTTATATCATTCCCTCCTACTCTCTTCCCTTTCCATTAATTGCGAACCCAAAAGCTTCACCAAAACAAAAAAGACAAAATCTACAGAGAGAAATTGTCAAAACATAAAAAGAAAGAGTTGGTTTCAATGGGGAAGAAGAAGATGAAGCTCGCTTCTCTGTTCAGAGGCGGAGCCGGAGGATTACTGGCGGTTCCTCTCTGCTACAATGCGAAAACGCTTTCGTTCCGAGTCGGCGACGACATGATCAAGACGGTTAACTCGGTCTTCTTCGACCACAGCCACCACAATGGAGACGTATTGGAGGCCGAAACGCCTGAGTCATGGTTCACTAACTCGTCCGAGACGGCGAGTCACTCAACCGAGTCGGATCAAGACCTCGACGCCGAATCGCTAGAGATGGTGGTGAGAGGAGTCGTTAGATCGGACCGGTTATTCTTCGATCCGGGAGTCACGAGCTCGATCGTGGAGGAGGTTGGCGAGAAATCGAAACCGGGTCGCGAATCGAAGTCGAAGGCTGCGGTTTCGGTGGGAGAGGATCGGGATTGTATCTATACGCCGCCGATTGAGGAGATCAGTGTCGCGGTGGCGATGGAATCGGAAGATCCGTACGGAGATTTCCGGCTATCGATGGAGGAGATGGTGAGGAGTCACAGTGAGTTGGCTAAGGATTGGCAGAGCTTGGAATCGATGCTTGCATGGTACTTGAGGATGAACGGGAGGAGGAGCCACGGCGTAATCGTGAGCGCGTTCGTCGATCTCCTCTCCGGACTCTCCGATTCCGGCGCCGGAACCTCGTCGGCGTCGATATCGGATTCGGCTCGTTACTCAACAGCCGTGTCGTCTTTGCCGTCGTCGCCGTTAAATTCATCATCGCAAGGTCAGACGGAGATCGAAGAGGAAGAGAGACGGAGCTGTTAAATAAAGCTTAAGATTTGTTAAATTTAATTAATCTCGCTTTATCAGATTAACTTTTTGGATTCTGTAAAAAGTAATTAGTGGTTAGAGGAAAACCATATTCTTAAATATATTTAGAGCCTTCGTTAACTTAAGCGAAAGTAAACACTTTCTCCCGAAAAACCATAGTAGCCGCATGAAACTCAGTAAAATTAGACCAATAAAAATATAAAACTGTAAAACACTTCCCGAAAAGGAAGAAGATCAACTGAAACTGTGTATGCTATTTTAAGATATTTAACTTTGACTTCTTGTATTCATTGGTATATCTATCTGCAATGCATACTCGTAAGTCGTAAAAAAGATTGGGAGAATTGGAAAAACCAATTACATTTTCATAAAACCTACCAAAAATTTAAGATATACGAAACAGAAAGGAAAATTATATTGACAAACACGGTAAAATAAGACATGTATTAAGAAACTTGTGAAAACGTCAACTGTAGTAGTATCTTGAAAGTTTTTTTTTTTTGGTCCTTAAATGAGTAAACTTGTAAATCAAATAAACGTTACTTCAAACTACTATATAAAAGAGTTCGTGAGTTATTTTTAAAAAGTGTATTAATATAGAAAAAAATAATTATAGATTTTGACGTGTGATCTACATTTGAACTGACACTTACAACTATCATTGAGTTACATTTAACAGAAACTGTTTAGTTTATGTTAATCAAGTGCGAGTCAATATCTTGAAAGTGCAACTGTAATTGAAATATTCAAAATGTATGTATAAATGACTTCATTTTATAATATTTTTAAATTTTATGAAAAGAGGATACTGTATTTACGAGGGTGCATTAAAAGAGAATGTTGGTCTATAGCGAGTTACGCTGAATTTGAAATGAAACGAAAAAGGTTTGTGTTTTGTATTTTGTATTTTGTAATGAAGGAAGAAGAGTAACATGACTACATGAGATGAGCGATGGTGGTGTGGTCAGTGGTCACACACACAACAGAACACAACACACACAGACCCTGTGACTCTGTGAAACCATTCCCAACATCATAGACCTACTCCTCCTCTTATCTCTTTCCATTTATTGCTCTACATTTAATTCGGGGACCAACCTAGACGACGACGTTTAATGTTTCTTGTTTTCTCTCTTCCATCATTATTTAATACACTATTTTTGTGCAAGTAGTGTATCCTTTTCTTCCTCCTCAATTTCACTAATTTGATTTTGAAAACAAAAATACATATACACATGGCTGTCTTCAGATACAACATGGCTATACAAAATAAATAGTTCTTTTAAAACTTAAAGAGTATAATATATCAGAAAACAGAAACACAAAGTAGTGACAATTTTTTTGGTTAGATTGTAACATCCTACCACTAACAACAGTTTCATTCACAGAACCAGGGCCGGCCCGAACTGGTGGGGCGCCTAAAACAATAAAATTTTAATTTTGGCCCAGAAATGAAAAAAGACAATAAAAGCATCAACTTAGAGTCAAACTAGCGACCTTGAGCACCAGAGAAGGACATAAACCACTAGACTACAAGCGCTTTTTACAGTTTTGGCGCCTCTAAAACAGTATATAGAATGTGGCGCCTAAAGCGTGGGCTTTACTCACCTTATCTACGAGACCGCCCTGCACAGAACATCATTCTTTTGTTTCTTCTACTTACAAAATCACTATCATTATTTTTCTTATGAGGAATGAAATATGGGCCCAGCCTGATTGAGATGACCGAGTATACAGTCACCAAAATCTAACATCTAAATCTATTATGCCATGCAGTCATGAACGAGACAAATATAAAAAAGGACACTTGGATTTGACAGTTAAGGCCCATTTGAGGAAGGTTCTTCGATCCGTCCCCACATTGGTTAACATCTGATGAGAAAACAAACCAAAATCAGTGTGGTTCAGGTCGGTTCAGCTACAAAACCTTTCCATTTCAAATTGGTTCTTGCTTTGGACTCAGATTTCAGAGGAAACCACATGAAACTGAAAACAAAGTCAATTCGATTCAGACATCAAACTGTAATGACCATAGCACGACACTAAAACCAGCAATGCATTAACATATTACAAGATAAAAACCTAAAACCGATTTAAGGAGGTCCTCAAATACAAGTAGTGTTCTGACTTCTGAAGAACCTAGACACTATGATATAATGTGTTTTTTTTTCCTTCTCCTTGTGCATTTCCTTTATTCACTGCGAGTCAGGATCTTTACCAAAACCCATCATGGCATGAGTGGCTAGCATCAAGCCTCTTCGACCCATCTCCATTGCCCGCCCGACTAACGGGAAGTTAACCGTGTCTCTGTTCCTCAGAGGTTTCTTGTCCCACCTTATCATAGCATCATTCACCAACCATTAAAACAATGTTTTTGACAGTACAATATTCTGTGAAAGGAAATTAACAGTTTTGAGTTATAGTTATATCATTACCAGTCTTCGTGTCGGACAATCTTGTCGTTCTCGACATAGAGTTTAATGAGAGAGATCATATCTATGTTCCTTCCCATGATCTTGTAGTGTTGCTTGTTGTCTATTAGAATCTGTTTCTCCATATATAAACAACATCTTCTGTTTAGATAATGAAAGGAACCGAAAGATAATGAATACGAGAATCCAAACCTCTTTCTTCCCCGGCGCAGTCTCACTTTCCTGAATATGATATTCAACTATTCTCGACTCACCAAACACCTATAAGTAAAATACAATGTGAGATCACTGAGTCTCTGCATGGAGATACTAAAGAGAGTTTTAAATCATAGTACCTTAGCGAGTGAATAGAATGCTGATTTGATTTGCTTCACCCTGAAACAACCAAGAGCAGATATACAAAATTTCAAAGTGATGAAATCTCTGCAAATTTTGTAAGCAAGAATATGAAGGCAGTTCGTTGGAAGGTTACATACCCCTGAGCATGCGTTAAAGGGTCCTCAAACGAAGCGTCTGGCGCGTACATGTCAAAATCGTTTGCTTTTGCGCAAGACCCGTACCTAAAACAATCCCACAAGTAAGAATCAAAATCCGATTCAATAACCAAACCAAACCGTAATGAACAAAACATCTCGAATCGTTTCGGTTCAGAAAAATCCTAAAATGAATCAATCAAAAACTGACTCTTTAACCTAAACTTCCTTAAAAAAAATTCTTAAATTCAGAGAGAAAAATCGATGGGCTCACAAGTTGAGAATATGAGGCATGATTTTATCGGCAAATCGCCGTTGTTTCATTTCACAAGCTCCTTTCCCTTCGCATTCCCATGCCGGATCCGTCGCCGCCGCACTTTCATCTAACAGAAAACAAGGATCATTCAATACCAGAACGACGTAGATCGAAGAAGAAGATGAAGAGCCGCATTCGTAACCATCAATAATCAGATCGTACAAGACAACGAATAAGTAGAAATTAAGATTTACTGGTTGAATTAAAACGAACCTGGACTCTTCCCCATGGATGCTGCAGAGATTTTCCTGGAAAACGTTTGAAAGAGGCGAGAGAGAGAGATGAAATGAGAATTGGATTACGAAATTGAATTGAAGCGAGGGAAGGAGGAGTGATATTGCGAATACATGAAAAAATTGGTCGTGGTGGATTAGCCTCCACGTGGCACAATCATCTGCTTCGTTTTGACCGTTGATCATTCCAACGTAGAAAATGTGTCCAAATTTTTTCTAGTCTCTAGTTTTACCTTGTGCAATTTGTTCGGCTGCGTTATGTTTTTGACAGCGAACCCTAGTTTACAAAAAATTTAAGAGATTAGTTGATATTAATATTAACTAGATGATAAAATTTGTGCGTTCATGGAATCACTTTGAAGTTTGAATGAAGTTAGTGATAGTAGAAAACCAAATGAATTTCTTATTTTCGGCACCATACTTTCATTTCATTTCAAGAAAAGATAGCTTCTTTAATTAACTTGTTTTTGTTTGTTTGGCGGTGTCTTTATCTTAATACTTAAAATGTTTCTCTTTTGCTTGTTTGTCAGGTTACAATACACGTGTGGATCGGTGAATGAAAAGAGTCTCTCCACATTTGTTATCAATAAGTGAGACAGGATTCTCAATTATGGCCAGTTCAGGAAATTAAATTGTTATTCATACTAAAACCAAATTGTGATTAAATACCATAAGCGAAGTTAGTTAGTTAAAATTCATGAATCTAGAAGACTCGAGTTGTTTAGGACAAATCTCTGGAGACTGTAGTCTGCTTTGGTTAAAGATTAGATGAATGTGATAAGAGGGTACACGTCATTCTCGGATTATTTCTTCCTCTTTTGCTTGGAGTTAACTTGTTTTAAGATTTGGTATAACAATTTCTTAAAAATACAAAATAGTTCCCAGCGATTTCTTGGGGGGCAAGTTCCCAGAGAGACGTTCGAGTAACTAAACACACATAAGATGGGATAGGATTAATTAACTAGAGCCTGGATGAATAAAGACAAGTCATTTAATTAACAAGAGAATTTCCTGTTTAAATTAAGGAAGAATACATAAAAATAAAACTGAGTATTAGAAATAATCTGAGGATTTCCTGATTAATTCAAGGAAGAATACATATGTAAACGGAGAGGTCGTAGAAGTCTTTGATTACGAATTCGATCATATTTTCTGCCGACAGAATTAGAATTTGTTGTAATCGGAGACAAGTTCGTGTCATAGCTCCGGTTAATTTTGTCTATTTGCTAATGCTAGGCAAGCTCCGATATGTTTAGTTATAATTTATAACGTAGATGAAAAATAAAATAAAAAACCTTGGTATTAGCTGACAGGATATAGTGGCTCCTAAAAATAAACTGAGTACTTGATACCAAAATGTAATGAAAAGTGTAATCCTTACCATATCAGCAACATCTATTTTTCCATGAAATGTGTAATCTTACCAAAATGCGATTTTGGCCATTCACTGCTAATTGCTGGTACGGCCTTCTTCTTAGGCGGAGTTAATAAGGAAACAATATATCGACCTTAATGAAATTCTCTAAGGGCACTGGTGAACACCTTGTCACCTTTGACTTTCTCCGATATCACAATCAATGCTGGATGCCTATAGCCAATAGGAGAATTGTAATACGTTGACATAAATGCCATAAAGCCCTTCTCTGAAGATACCACTTGACATAAATGTCATGGTTCTTCAAGTATTTTTGAACATTGCATTCTCATCATTCCGAAGCATATATGCAATTATTCCAGTTGCGCAAAAATGATGATCAAGGTGGAAATAAGAAGAAAGATTAAAAAAAGGAAGAAGAATAGGAGTCTTATGATACAATTTGCTGGTGGATTTGCAGCTTCTCAGAATGTTCATTGTGGTTTTCTTTTCTTTGTTCATGTAGTTTTGTTTATTAAGCTTTAAAGTAATATGTTTGTGACTTTGGATACTGCACAAAAAAAGTACGTTAGATATACAAAACATTATAAAATAGGCTCATTTTGTCTTCAATATATACAAAACGTTAATTTTTTGCTTGTTTGTCAGGTTAATCGGTGGATGAAAAAAGTCTCCACATTTGTTATCAATAAGTGAGATAGGATTCTCAATTATGGCCAGTTCCGGAAATTAAATTGGCCAAGATTGTTATTCATACTAAAACCAAATTGTTACTAAATACCGTAAGCGAAGTTAGTTAGTTAAGATAATCATTTTACCTACTATTCAACAATTTTGATGACACAAATCAAACAATATTGATTACAGTATTACACTAAACCATATACAGTACATACAGTTACCATATTGTAATCACAATCATTAATAAAAAACACTCGGCATCTTGACTCATATTCATAACAGCTGTTCTTCCTTCCTGAACGTTCTAGATTGATCAGATATGTAACTAAAACAAAAAAATGGGACGACTTTAATGTAAATGACAAAAACCGATAAATTATCGTAATCAATGCGAAAAACATAAAAAAATAATGATTTTTAAAAAGTACGGATGGGTCAGTGAGCTTACCCCTTGACCCAAAAAAAAAAGCAAAGGGCCCAAAAACCAGTCCGTACGCCTCCGTCGTCAGCCAATTGGGGGATTTTGGTTTTGCCCTTGCTCTCTTCCTCTTTCTTTCAATTTCTGCATTATACACACTTTTCTACATTTATACGCTCACGCAGCTGTGAGAGAGAGAGAGATAAAGCTAAAGAATAAATTCTCTTCCTTTTCTTTTCTTTTTCCAACTTGCAACGAGAGAGAGAGAGATACGCAATATCTTCCTTCGCCCACACTCGCCGTTTCGCTCTTTTAGTCCGCATTGCTCCTCTCTCACTATCTCCGCCGGAGAAAAATTTCCCGGAGGTAAATAACAAACTTCCGATGATTCAATCAGGAGTTAGTAGTTGCTCTGTTTGATTGTAAGATTCAAACAGCTCCGTAGATGTTTCAGGTCTTTTTTGTTTGTTCGTTTCGCCGTTTAATGTCTCTGTTGAAATTTCCGTGCTTTTTTTTTTTTTATAATTTCAATGCCGTTTTTCTTTCAGCTTGTAATGAGTCTACTTGGTAACTGTTTCATTGATTCGTTGTGGTTCGTCTAAATTTTTCGTTTTCCATTTGTTTTTTTTTGTCGTGTGGGGTTAGTACAAGAATGGTTGTCGGGTTCTTCGTTTATCTCACAAACTTTTTTTACTAAAGAAAGTTATTTTTCTTTCTGAGCTTAAGGTCCCTGTTTGATAGCTCTTAAGCTTCTTTAGCTTGATGATGAATTGGAGCAGCTTGTTTAATATTTTTCGAATTTGTTGATTTATTAGGGAGGAAATTTGTGAAGCTAATCTGAAATCTCATAGTTTGGAATCATGTCAAGGCCTGGTCAGCTTCCTCCTCGTTGCCCAATTCCAAAGAAACTGTCTTTGAATCCGGTTGGAGATACATACTACTCTTCTTCCTCGCCCATTGAATCATACATTAGCCAATACAAGTCTTCCACGCAAGAATCCACGCTCGAGGACCAACCAGCTTGGCTTGACGAGTTGCTCTGTGAGAAGACTGATGGGAGGATGTTCACTGGAGGAGGTCCAGGTCCTCTACGCCGCTCAGCTAGTGACTCTGTTGTGCTTTTGGGAGACATCTCTGCTAACTTCTCTGGCTTTAATCAAAGCGAAGATGAAGAGAGTTTGACTTCTGAAGCTTGTGGGGAGTTGGAGTCAGCTTGTGTATATGGTCCCAACTCGCCAAGAGCAAGGAACAGCTCTAGCTTCTCTAACAACCCTATTGCTTCTGCGTTTTCGGAGTATGGTTCTCAGAACTCAGATGATACTGTGAAAGGGATCAACTGTATGCCTCTGGCAGAAGATGCTTGCGGTTCAATGGGCGTACCGAATGCGAAAAGGTGAGATAACATTAATCTTTTCTTATGTCACTAGTCTCTAACATCCTTAAGAGTATCCTTTATCGGCTAATGTTCCTAATAATCATGTTCCATATGGGTGAAAATCTAGTTTTAGTTTCCTGAGCTCTTGTGTGACACCTCTGCTTCTAGTACTCGACTACTAGATCATGATTCAAATATTGCAAGTCAGAAAGGAAGATAGGAACAAGAACTTCGATATGTCTGGTTTCCATTGCTTTGTAGTTAAAGATAGGTTTGTTATGACTATTACATTGTTGCGTCTGATGCTGATTCTGTCTTGATTTGTTTATCTTTGCTTTGCCAGGAACCCGGGACAGCGTTCAAGAGTTCGTAAGCTCCAGTACATTGCTGAACTTGAGAGGAGGGTTTCCATGTTGCAGGTAGAGTTTCGTTTCTTGTTTGTGCTTTCGAAACCCCAGTTGGTTGTTTTGTCTGTGGATCATAGAGTAATAGTATATACAAAATAGGTTGCTGGATGTTAGATCTCTGTGGTTGGTCGGTGTTAGATGCACATCCATAGAACACACCTTGCACATTGTTTTGTATGACAATAAAATATGGTAGTGACCAATGGCAATACCGTTTTGCAGACGGTGGAAGCGGATTTATCAGTGAGAGTGGCTTCACTGCTTCAGACACGTGCAACGCTGTCCTTGGAGAATAGCCAACTGAAGCAGCAAATGGTGATACTAAAGCAGGACAAGCTCATCAGGGAAGGTAAATAAACATGAAATATAAAACAAAATTTTTTAGAGAGCGTTTGAATGGAAGCTTGAGATGGATCGACTCATTCTCTGCAGGTGAATATCAGTTACTGAAGAAGGAAGCCCAGAGATTGAAATCCGGATTGGGAAGCTTTGGGAGCAATAACAACAATAATAACAGGCTGGTCAGGTCATATTCTGCTGGTTCAGATGTAGGTCCAAGGAGAGCTTCGTCACACTTGGACTGGAAGTTGCTGGATCTGACCAAACTCAATTTCAACTAAAAGACAAGAACCCCTCGCAAGAAGAATAAATAGCTTAAGGAATTGAGGACTTGATAACAGTTTCAATGCTTGAGAAAAGGACAAATCTTTGTTTTTTGGATATGTATAAATATGATTTAGCAGAGTATAAAGTATGAATGTTGTAGCTCATTGTGGTGGATTTGAGGGGTAATATGATCCATTAACTAAATTAACAAGCAAGGCAAATAAATTATCATCACTTTGATTCAACCAGCAGAAAACTTGATTGATTCACTGGTAAAACATAAACATAAGCTTCATTACTTGTTTAAACAAAAGGTATTACCATACCTTGAAATACATTACAGATACTCACTTCCTCTCAGCTACTACCTACAGTCCAGATAACTAATTCCACAATAATAAAGGTTTTAAATTTACAGATGCATTTCAATGACCTCCAAAGAAAGGTTAACATTTCTAATAGTCATCCAAGATCTCTTCTTCCTCTTCTACTTTGTCTTCCGCTTATTTGTTCTCAACCTCCTTCTCTTTAGCCTCAACAGCATCATCATCTTGCTTCTCCTCAGCATCATCGGTTTTCTTCTCCTTATCCTTCTGCTAAACAAGTCACCAAATCATCTTAGAACTCAAGAGATTCAATGTTAAAAACAAGAATAGAAGACAAATCACTAGTTGTGAAAACACTTACTTCATCATTCGCATCATTGCTCTCTAGTGACTTGTTATATTCTGCTTTTAGCTCAGCAGCTTTATCCAAATAAGGCTTCTTCTCCTAAAAAGACCAAGTAACATAAACCAGAGTAAGAACACAGAAAACAAAAATCACCATGAAACTAAGCAAGAAACAAAGAAAACAGAGCAACTCACTTCCTCAGTCATAGACTTCCACTTTTCAGCACCCTGCTTTGGAACCTACAATCATATACACAAACAACAGCCTAGTCAAACACCACAAACATTAAACATAGTACTCGAATGCAGTAACGAGCACAGTTATAGAGTCTTACATCCTTAACGTTACAACCTGGAAAAAGATTCTCTGCCCTGAAATTTTTACGGAACTCATTCCTGCAAAGTGAAGCCAAAATCAGCATCATTCCCCTATTAGGATGAAACCATCAACAAAAGAAGTCTGTGCAAGACGATTATCTGAGGATGTATATTTACATGAAAATGACGAAAGCAGTAGGAGGTCGCGTAGGCTTGTTTGAGGCAGAGCCCTTTGTGAATATCGTTCTCTTAACCACAGTACACGAAGGAGATGATTTACCCAGATTCACGCTAATCTGGGCGTCGAGACTGCAACTGTGCATGCTTATAAGCGCTACAGCTACGCTCTTGTTGCATCCTTGACTGAAATCGTTTTCAATTCACACAAAACACTGTGAGAAAACTAAAAATCTAATCGCCAAAAACCGAAAATCATCGCTAGATCTAGAAATCCTAAATCGAAAACTAAGGCGAAACAAGTCATATCTTAGATCGAAACTTGAATCCGAACCAAAGATTGAGAAGAAGAAAAGTACCAGCGAACGAAGGCCCTGCCACATTTGTCGCGAAGTAGAGTACTGGTGTTGCTGGTTTCGGCTTCCACTCTTTTCATCGGCTTTGCTGCGTTTGTTTTCGTCGATGCGTCGGCCATTTCTTTCCCTGCTCGTTATCGGAAGATCGACGGAGAGAAAATTTCTCTGTGAAAATTTATAACTCGAGAAGAATTTTAGAGAAGAAGCGAGAAGAAAAAGAAAAGGGAGTAATTGAGAGGGAAACGAAACATAATTTATGGCGCCAATATAGTCTCGCGAAAATGGGAAATGTTTTTTCCGCTTCGTTTTTTTGGCATTTGACACGGATCTTTGACATGGCGATCTGATCCACCGTTGGTTTTTGCATAAGCGATTCCTATAAACGGCCAAGATTAAACCTAAGAAGAACATAAGCAAAAATGATAAAAAGTGACAATTCTTATTTTAAAAAAAATATAAATCTTACGTTAATATTTGAGATAAAAAGAAAAGTTTAAAGTAAAAGATTTTTCTCCGGTTTTCACCTTGTGGGATCCAGAGGTTTTTCTGGGTAAAAAAATAATAGAGAATCCAATAATCGAGGAACTAAGGTTTAACATGCACAAAACGTATTACATGACATCAGTAACGAATTTAAAAAAGCTTAGAAGTCAAAGTAAGCTTTCACAAGATGAATGTTTATGCACACAAAACGGAATCTATCCCCGAAGTGATGCTCGTGGTACCGCCGGTAATCCCCATTCATCCTCAGCCTGTTCATCCACAAAAATCTCTCTCATCAGCCATACATACATACAAAGTAAGATCAACATGGATTTTATGCAATAAGTTAAAGAGAAAACTAACCTGAGGTCGTCCAGATGGAGCTCCGGTTGGTGCTGGAGGCAAATTTAGTTCGTCATCAAGATCCGGTTCCTTATCGGGTTGGAGATAAGAAGGCACTCCGTCTGCTTCAGTCTCGTTTCCCATGTCAGCTTCAAGAGCATCAAGCTCTGCATTCACAAACCACATGGCAATCAGTTTCAACAGAGACCCTAAGCAGAGCATAAAGTGGATTTCTGAGAATGTGTCAAGGAAGGACAGAGAGAGAGAGAGAGTACAAAAACAACATACCGCCCATAAGGTCATCTTCGTCAATGTCATCAGGAACATTGTAGCTCCTACCAAGTGTCTCTTGTATTTCAGAGCTCACATCCATTAAGTCCATCATCTCATCTTGTAAATTCTGTGTCACAGTGATACAATAAATCATCCCTAATCAGAAAATAGTACCTAGGAAGCAAATTACACAAGAATAAAACACAACGTACATCAATATCTTGAATCTTGACTGTTTTCATCATTCCTTTCAACTCCTTGTTGGCAGATTTCAACGCTGTCATCTGCAGATAAGCAAAGAGATATAGTCATTCCGAGTTCTATCTTAGTGCCTACCACATTCATGTACATCAAGCAACATATGAGCCATATATCAAATTCAAATCAGATTTTGGTTCGACACATACAGTTTGTTGAGCATCTTTGAGGCCTTCAGCAGCAAATGAAACTTGATCAAGGTTAAAAGTCTGATTGTAGAGCATGTCACGTTGTCCTTCATACCTAAGCAAGAGAACTGATATTAAACCCCATGGCAATGTCAATAGTAAGAGATGATGACAAACAGAAATGCAGGTATACATTCTCACATTTTCTTTTGCTTGAGAACTCTCATAGCTCGAGCTTTGACAGCTTCTTGAGCTGGACCGGGTCTAGTCCTTTTGATCTGTTCTTTGTATTTGCAGAGCTCAGCATCAAGCCTCTTCACCTTATCTTCCACTGACTCTCCTCTCTTATTGATCTGACAACATTAACATTTTTGGGGGATTAAGATCATGAATTGCTCCATCATTCTATTCAAATCCAAATTCCAACTCCAAAAGCTAAAACTAAAGACACCAATTGATTAATATACGATCGCAGACGATAAAACCCAGAAATCGACAAACTCTCAAAGAGCTTACAAAAACCTTATACCAATCCCTATTTCTCCACTATCCTCTAATGATTTCGAGACACAAGCAGAGATTGAAACTGAGGCTAGCAATGAAAACAAAAAACGAATCCATAGTGAAACGAGAGGAGAAACCCGATCAGAGGCGTCCTGGATTGACGGTGGAGGCTCTTTGTTATTCTTCGCACCAAAAATTCTCTTCATCTTCTCCTACTACTACTTCAAGACGAATTCCAGATGATACAGACAAAGCCTTCTCCAAAAAGCAAACAAGATCTCAGATTAATTTGGTGAAGAATCCGTATTTACTGATTCCCTGATAAAGAAAAAATTGTTTTTTTTTTTCTTATCTGTCGAGAGAGGTTTTGGGTTTTTTTCCACCTTTTTTCTCTGTTACAATTTGATTTGATTAATGAAACATCATCAAAAATATGAAAACCACAATACTCGAAAACGAGTAAACCACTTTGAAAATGTCAACCACAATAGCGTAGAAGCTTCTATTAGCGTAGTTTTGCGATTGCAATACCGTATTGTTCAAATATTCCATTGACATCGTATAGCTTTCTTGTATAAATTGATTGCTGACTTTATTAAATAAAAATATATCTGGTAAAATTCCTCAATACATTATTGTAGGAGAGGAAGAAAAGTCTTATCTCTCTGACTCTCCAAAGAAGACAATTACAGAAGAAAACAAAGGTTTGAAAAACAAAAGGTTATAAACACCAAAAATTCACACAAAAGGTTACTCTCCTCTTCTCTATACACTTCTGTCTCAAACTTCAACCCCCAAAAGCTCTACTATCTCGCAACCAAACCCACCACTATTGCTGAATTGGCTCGCCAGTGACCAAGCCACTGTCATAGACACAGCAGCTTCAGACACAGTTGCTTCACTTGCAGAGGCTTCAAGCAGCAGATTTGGTTGATGGCGATGGTGATGGTGATTGTGTCTGGTGTAGTGAAGCTCGATTTGGAGACGGTGATGCAGAGACGAAACCAGTCCCTTCTTCATATCAGCTTTCACTTGTTGTATTGGAATCGCAGCGAGAAAGCTCTTTATGTACTCCCTGCACGACTCTTTACCTCTACACACTACTACTTCTTCTTCGTCTTCTTGTTCCTCTGGTTCTGTTGAACTCTCCGGTTGCTCTGACTTGTTCTTACCACCTCCTGGTATCTGGTTTCCTATGTCCTTAACGGGTTGCTGTAACCTCTGGATCTCTGCATCTTTGTCAAATTTCAAGACATAAGCTTGGTTGCAACCCTCGTAGAGCCTCTCTCCAAGCGTGTCGATGATGTAATAAGCATCATGGTCCACGAGGAGGACGAAGAAATGATCATTCCAGCTTACAATGTAGATCACAGGTTCGCTTCCTGACTCTTCTGGTTCTTGCTTCATGATCTCTTCCCAGATACAATCAAAGGACATTACGCCTTTCAGAAAATCTAGACTTGCGTCTTCTTTTCCTTCTTCCTCTTCCTCTGGATGGAAAAAACCGATGAATGACTTCTCCGGGATTACACAGATGGGTCTGACTTCAGCCTGGAGAACAGTCTCCAAGTCGAAATGTTTGTCTGGAAACCGCTCCCGGTACTCCTCGTTTTCGCAGAGATTTCTCCACTCGGATGATCCTTCTCTGATGAGACTGTCAAATTCTGACCTTGTTGGGATTATGTCTCTGTTGGATCCTAACCAATGCGCCATCACCGCTACTAAGGCTGTGCAGGCGCTTTCTCCAGCAGCTCTCTCGCTTCTTTGATCGATCGAAGCGAGAAACACTCGAGCCGTGAGTTTCATCAGCCCATCACGGCTTATAATCTCTCTGTTCTCCCAACTACCAACAACAAAGTCATCGTCTCCAAACTCAGATAATGGTTTCATGGTTGAATCATCAGACCTGTACCACTGCAAGAGAAATCAATCAAGAGTTAAAAGAAACGTTCTTTCGAAACTGGAAACAGTTTTAGTGAGAATGCATCATACATCAGAGGTAGACTCATCGGATGAACTTAGTTGTCTACGGTCAAAATCGATATCATCACCACCTTCTTCAAGACAGTCCTTCTTAAGAAGAGGTTCGCCTTTCTGTTTAGCAGATCTAAAACTGAGTCTTCTCTTCTTCCAAGACAACATTCTCTTCTTCGCCTGCTCCGAGCTCACTGCACTATTTGAAACCTCATCACAGCAATCCCCGGTCTCTGCTAATGGACTGCGATGGCTGTAGTATATCAAATCATCATCCTCAGGGTTTGTGTCAGCATGAAAAGAGCCTCTAGCCCAATTCGCGTGCCGGAGTGTTTTGTAGTTAACAGGATCAGCCACGCCGCTTGCATTCTCCTTGTTCTCTTCTGATTCATCCGCAGCATCAGCATCGCCGCCTTCATCCAGAGAATCTGTATCACAAGGATAAGAAGACTCGGAGTCAAGACTTCTCTCAGGGCTTTTGCTTTCACTTCCGCTTCCGCTGCTTCCCTCTTTCTTACTAGTCTCCTTTTCCGATGACTGGCGGTTTGACATGCAATGGTTGAAAGTTTTCATCTTTCGCAGGCCTACTTTTACAACAGACTCGGCTTTCTCGGCCTCTGCGGAAAGAGGAGACCACAGAACAGGAAGAGCAGATCTCTGTCTTTCAGGCAATGATTCTTTTGGGGAGAACTGAAGAGATATCTGTACACATAAGTTGAAACTTGGGGTTTAGAGAAACGAAACAACTGTGAATTCATATATCCATCAAAATGAGGAAATCATTGACGCACATGAAGACATGGACTCCGTGCAGATGATGATGATGATGAAGAGCCACGGATCTTCAGCGGCACTTTGACTTGAACATCATCTTCTTTCATCAATGAAAAGTACTCTGCAATGTTCAGTGATGCCTTTCCAAAGCTACGAACTTTCTCCTTCGATCCTTGATTCAGTCCCTACATAAGTCATAACCAACGATTGAAAAACAGAGGAGCTTAAATAAAATCTCCAGGATAAATCAAAAACACCCAATTTTACATGATTCCATTGAATTGGGGATAAATTACAGAGGACCTACATATGCACAGCACAGGCAAGGTATAATTTTAATTCAGATCGATCAGATGATTGATCATTCATCAGAGCAAATTAGCAAAACCATAACAAAAGTGAATAATCACAGTCAATGATTTAAGATGATAGAGAGAGAGAGAGAGAGACTGACATTAAAGACGGTGAAAGAAACGAGCCATGGAAGAAACTCTCCTTCTTTGTAAACAGAGAATTCGCAAACCCTCTTAAACTCTTCGTTCCACTCGACGACGCCGTCGCCGCGAAATCCGCCTTCCTCGGTGAAATTCCGTACGACGGAGCGTTTGAGAGTAACGGTTTTGGGTCCTTTCCATTTGATCTCAACGACCGGTTTCTTCCTCGTCGTGCCTCTCCTCAGACTCTGATCACCAACGGTAGTACTATCGCAATCGCCGACAGAATCCAGACCCTCGAGTTTGTGGACGACGACGACCACGTCGAATTTGACGGCGAAGAGCGGAGGCCACGGCGGCCACCGCATGATCTGTTTCATTTTCACCACCATAGAGTAGCTAAACCTAAGATCGGAGTAGAGAAAGATTGGGATAAGGTTTTTGACTTAGAAAATCGAGATTTCCGGAGCAGAGAATCGGATTTTTAGCAAATGGGCTTAACGGATTTGGTGGACGCGTTCTGATTCAGACGCAAATATTTGAAATTTGGAGAGAGACAGAGAGAGAGAGATGAAAATGAGAATAGAGAAGGAATCTGCATTTGATTCTTTTAGAGTCAACCCTTACAGAGAGGGACAGGCAATATAAAATTGTTGATTATTAGAGATATAATACGTTTAAAAATAATTAAAATTATGATCAAAGTTTGACAAAATTAATATATTTTTTTAATATCACAGCTTTTATATAAATATATATATCGTTGAGAATTTTGAGAGCAGGTGAAACAGAGGATAAAGCATACGTCTTTGTATCCACGTTCAGATTGCAAAAAGTCTTCTTGTTTTTATTAATTTTAAAATATACTTATATCAAACCAGATAATCATAACAATAACACCATTTAAAAAAAAGTTTAGAGGTAGCAACAGTTACCTGTGGACTCTAGCTATGATCAAAAGTAAAAATCTTTTGTTAATTATCAGCATGCCAAATGTTTGACTTGATCTTCTAGTAATTGTTTTTCTGCTTTAATTTGCAGCTAGTCGCATATCTACATTAGACTCTAGAGGCTCTTTAAATCTTGATCACAAACTCACAAGTATGACTTGAATTGATATGCATCTTACACCAATTATTCAGACAGATAATTTCGTCACATCTTATCTGTCATATTAATATATTATATGGTTGTTTCTGATCAGACTTACCAAAATTGCAACATATATTTATTTTCTCTTCTTTGTGTACTCAGAAAATTACACGATCCAATCATGGTTTACCGGGTTTTTTTAGTATGGCCACTTTTTTTCGTTTAACAAGTTTATTTCTCTTTTTGGATCAAGCTATTATCATTTGTGTAGGACTAGAAAAGAGAAATCGAAGTTTGTTTTTGCAAATGTGTCATATTGTCATGTGTATTAGAGAGAATGGTTTCATGACTCATAATATGAGTGCTACGTGACCTTGAAAACTGAAAAGACATACGCCGAAAAAGAAACATGTGTGAAACACATTTATGTGTTCATGCGGCATCTTGTTTTTTTTCTATTTTGGAGATATGATATGATAACTCTAGTATTAACCGTTTTGTTCATATAGATCTTGCGAGCATGGAACACGAATCCATTTAACCCAAAAAAAAAGCTATGGGAAAATAAAAGATGCATGCGTTGATCATAGCTAATTTCTCCAATCCATGTGAACGATAAGGTATTTTAATGTTCCATGAAGGATGATGAGATACTAATGTAAGAAAAATGTTAGGTATGTCCTAATTCAAGAGGTCCTAACTCCTAACTATATGTCAATCACTTATTATAAAAGTCCATACACTAACTCATGCAGTGCTCTCATGATCCCCTTTCATTTCTTCTTTTGTAATGGAAATTTATAAGTGCAACTCAATCCAATGCGAAAAAAATACAGCTCATCAATCAATGTGTTAAACGAAACATAATTATAATACTTTAAACAAGAGCCACTATATATTTGCTTTCGAACAATTAGACCCATAGACCCAAATGAAACTTTATGATCAAAGATAATGATGATCACGTTTTGTGGACTAAAATTGGGAAATCTAAAGGGATGTGACGCAGCTTTGAAATAGACAATTTATTTGTTTATTCGCTTAGAAACTTCACAGCGAATCAATTCAATGTTTTGGTAGCAACTCCTACTGACAAGGCCCATGACAGCAGCGAATGGCTACCATCGGTTTCTATATACACCATTCAGGAGATTGATCAGCCCAAAGAGGTGACGAATGAGCCTTGTCCTCTGAAGGTGGCAACCCTCGACACCATTTGAAGCAGGCTAATACATATGCTCTAAACAAGTACACAAAAGTTTCCCAAAACGCAAGTCTAAGACAAAAGATTGAGAATCCAAAAGAGGGCAAAAGAGTATCTTTCTAGGCTGTGCATTTGCCTTCAACACAATCAACCATAATGATAATATGATCAGAAGAAACTCTTCTTGTCTTTGGCTTTAGTTTTTGTATTTGTAAATAGACTGAAACTAGAGTTTAAGAGCAATGCTAAAGCTTTTCTCTAGTCCCATTTTCAGAGGACCTCCTGTGATGCTCCCTTTGTGCATCATCGCCACAAACTCGTTGTAGTCTATTCTCCCGTCCTGAAAACAAACAACTCCAATTGTTCAACGTTCTCATCATTCAAACCAAAAAATACTCAGCAAGAGGTTTCATTGTAGGCAAGTTGTATCGATTCAAGTCATTATGATGAGATGATAAAAGGAGTGAAGGGAGCTTACATTGTCTTGATCAACATCACGCATCATTTCTTCAATGCGGACATCCTCAACACCAAACTCCTCACAAGCTTGTTGGAGCTCGTCCGGGGTGATATAACCGCTCCCATCTTTGTCAAAGTATGTAAAGGCTGCGAACAAATGGTCCTCTCTCTCTATCTTGTTTAGGTGCAATGTTGCGGCTATGAACTCTTTGTAGTCTATTGTTCCACTGTTGTCCACATCAGCCTGAATGACATATACACAGATTAAACGATGCCTTTCGTTCTCCGAGTTACATGCAAGCAAGGGACTAAAACTTACAGCTTGCATCAAGTCGAGAATTTCAGACTCTTTGAGATTGGCTCCAACTCGTTTTAGTCCTGCTTTAAGTTCTTCGAAAGTTATCTGACCGCTTTTGTCGGCATCTATCATATTAAACATCTCTTTCAAGCCGGCTATTTCTTCTTCAGACAAGCTCTCAGCAATGACCTACAACAAGGCATAAAGAGAGAAACTTAATCTTTCTTTCAACATAACAAGAAGAAGAGGGGGTAGTTTAAAAATCCGCTTACTCTAAGAGCCATTTTCTTGAACTTGTTCATTGCAGAGAACTGCTTCATACGGCTCAGAACAGCAGAATCCAGAGGTTTGTCTGGAGCCACGCCATCGACTTGTACCCATGGATGACCTGTTCAGAAGCAAAACTTCATGAGAAATGGAACAATGGCACAAAAGCACTCTACATGACAATGTGGCTTCATGTAAGACCAGTGAAATCTATGCTCTATGGAATTAACAGAAAGATAGTCACAATGGTTCAGCTCAAAAAGAGAGAGGTTTTCAGATCGGAATAACTTACATAAAACTTGGTGTGCAGTTAATCTTTTCTTGGGATCACGAACAAGCATTTTCCTCACTAAGTCTTTTGCACCTTCAGATATGCTCGGCCAAGGGTCAGATGAAAAGTCAAGATCACCATGGAGGACCTGTTCGAAAATACCTTGCTCGGATTCTGAATGTTCAAAGAAACAAAGATTTTGTTCAGAGCCTAATCAAGACAAGTGGCAGATATCTTTATTTATACATATACAGCACACTTTTTAGTTCTCACCAGCCCAAAATGGAGGAACTCCACTTAACAAAATGTACACAATCACTCCAGCACTCCACACATCAGCTTCCGCACCATAGCTCTTTCGAAGAACTTCCGGTGCTACATAATATGGGCTACCAACAACATCTGTAAACACCTCGTCTGCAAAAGAGAGAAGCGAATCATGCCATTTTCAAGCTAAAGACCAGATCTTGAAAGATGAGTAAGAATGAATGCAAACCTGGCTTGAAGAACATAGAGAGTCCAAAATCAATCGTCTTCAAGAGGGAATCTTCGTCTTTACTAACAAACAGAAAATTCTCAGGCTTGAGGTCTCTATGCATAACACCAAGAGAATGGCAAGCCTCTAGCACCCCAACTATGGTTCTAGTGAGCTCAGCGGCTTTCCTCTCCGTGTAGTGACCACGTTGAATTATCCTGTCAAAAAGCTCCCCACCAGCACAACACTCCATTACTAAGTGCACCGCCACAACATCCTCATAAGCTCCTTTGATGGAAATGACATTTGGGTGACCAGCCAAGTGATGCATTATCTGAATCTCTCTTCTCACATCCTCCACGTCCTCATCGGTCAACAGCTTCCTCTTGGCAATCGACTTGCAAGCAAACTCCTTTCCTGTAGTCTTCTCCACACATAAGAAAGTCGTCCCAAACTGCCCTTGTCCGAGTTTCCTCCCCAATGAATAAAACTCCTTAAAGTTCTCAGTTTTCCTTTGCAGCACTGACTCAGTTCTAAGCCCTGCGCTGGACACTCTCTTCATGTGTTTAGGCTTCTTAGGCTTAGCTGGAGTATCAGCTTTTGAATCCGGCTTGGTCTCTGGTTTTGTCTCCTCCTGCGTTTCCGGTTTGCTTTCAGGCTGAGTCTCTAAGTCCGATTTGGGCTTGGTCTCGGAGTTAGTCCCTGGTTTCGGCATTGTGAGCAGCTCAGGGGGTTTATTCTGGACATGATCAGGCAATGGAGATCGAAGCTCTCCTGAAACAGCTTCACTTGCAGTGTCTCCATTGCTCTGAGAGACCGAATCGTCTACGTCTCGTGGCCGCCACATTGCAGCGGAAACAGAGTGAAAGAAGCCATTTCCGCTTGGTCCAACACAAGTATTACCCATCCAATACCTCCTAAATCTCTATATCCAGAAATAGCATCAAGATCTGATCCAAATACAATCTAATCCCATTCCTAAGAAAATGTGATGAAAAGTCAAATCTTTTCTATCTTAAAGACTTTCTTTTTAGTTCTTGAACACCATCAGACATCAAACCTCGGACTTCACGGATCAAACATGTGCTTTCGAATTTCTACACGGATGAACTGGTAAACAGCACGGAGCTTATTCAGAAGTGAAAAATAGCAAGAATAGACGAAAAGGGTATTGGAAAAATCGTGACTTTGAAACGAATTCAGTAGAGAGAAGGATGCAAATCAATGAACCGAAACCCAGAGAAAGTAAAATCAGCCCCACAGAGAGATCTGGGAAGAATGAGGAAAATAAATTGGGTTGGGTGGGAAAATGAGGAGAAATTAGAGGGATAGTTTAATAGCACTACACTTGCATAAACTGTATGGATATTGTTTAATCTAACCAGAGAGTCAAAGGTTTTGGAGAGAGAGAGACGATGACAAAGATTGGAACCAGTTTGACAATCAAAACGCGTTTAGTCTATCGCCGCCGAGTTTTACGCTGCGATTTGTCTTTAACTTATCTACTGTATTAAAATGGAATTTGGTGAGGTATAACCGTACAAGTGTGGGAAGTCCATAAAATCGTTTCTTTTGGATGACTTTGCATTTCGCTAAAATATAGAAGACATATGAATGAAACGAAATTAACCGAGGCTCGTCAAATCTGCTTCATAATAATAAAGCTTATAGATTTGAATTGAAGCAACTTTTTGGACAAAATTACCCTTCTAAACATGTTTCGTAAAACAAAATAATATTTCTATCTATTTAGAATATGTGTTGAATAAATTTGCAATCGCTTTTTGACAGAATTACTTTCTCTCATGATTCTTGTCAGTATTTCATTGGCACGGTTTGGCGATGATATATGCCTTATACGCAAATTATTTTTCACATTATGATGTTTTCTAAAAAATAATTCAAAACGATGTAGGTCTGATAACCAAAATCTATACACAATTAACAGAGATATTGCGGGTTGGCTGTAAGTTAGTTATGTTAACCTGCATTTAAAAAAAACGATAAAAATGAAAAAAAAAAAGTAGATCAATTTCCAGTTGGTTAAACCTTTTTTTCTTTCTATTTTAAAATTTTTGTCTGATTTCACAATGCAAGATCAAACTTAAATGGAGCACAACCTCAAGAAATTTTGAAATGCTGACGATAATAATTAAAAATCTCGGGTGTTAAACATTTTAAACATTTTTAATTTACGTGTTTAATTTAATTACCTAAAATTTATCAGTAATTTAAGAATAAATCGTTTTTAAAAATTTATGTAGTTAATGAGGTGGAGTATTATATAAAATAGTTAAGTTAGTTTCTATATTCCCTCCGTTTCAAATTAGTTGTCGTTTTGGAAAAATGTATCTGCAATTATTTGGATGTATTTGTATGCAAAACACGTTCAGATACATCCAAATATTTGCAGATACATTTTGCCAAAACGACAACTAATTTGAAACGGAGACAGTATTACATAATAAATAAATATGGCCTTAATTAGTATTTCTCTAATACATTAGGAACAATGTTTTGAAAAATTGTGAACTTATAACAAATTATATCAATTATTATTACATGATCTTTTATACATTTTTAAAAGGTTGATGTAACCAAATGTGATCTTTAATAATTTTATACATTATTAAATTAACTACATTTGGTTACCCTTTCCCTTACATGATCTTTGAAATTAAGTTATAAGGGAAGGGGTAACCAAATGTGAAATTAAACAGTAAATCAATGAATAATTAACTGTAATTACTATTGTAATATACGTTTCCATATGTACTAGATTTTATGGAGAACAAAAGCTTGTAATTTAGGATATTGGGAGAGGTTAATATGGCTGTGAATCACAATGAGAGGGGCAAACATTACATGTGTCAAGTTTTGATGATGATTTTTAGATAAGATTAAGATTAGAACAAACAATAGCAGGAAAAACGAGGGATCGAATTCCGAAATAGTTTTATATAAATAGAATACTAAGGTCCCAAAGCAACTTCAACTTGGATACTCAGATTTCTTTTTGCATTTTCATCACTTGAGATCTAAAGCTTTGATCTGAAACATCATATCCCGAAATTCATATTCTGGATTATGGATTCTTCGGGTACGATTTCAGTTATGTGTTATTATGAACTTATCGAACGGTCTTTACTATGTCTATCATATCTACATGTGGTACCAGACTCACTCATGTTCGTTTCAGATTAAAAGTATATTATTTTAATAAAATTGATATCTCTTAAGAGAGAATCCCGATCGCTGGATCTATCTAGAGAAAAATACATTCAGCATTTTTCGAAATGTAGTTTATATTGTAATGCATGCTTAGATAAATTCCTAGAATAAAGCATGTGAATCTTATATCTCCCGTAACAAAAATAAATAGATAAATATATATATATATATATATATATATATATATATATATGAAATAAATTTAAAATAATCCAGAAATAAGGTTGATGGCTTGATGCTCATCGAATATATTTAGATTTCTGGTGGTGCCTACTCTTGGAATAGTTTCATGTTTATTTTCGGTGAGATTTGGGTTGGAATGGAAAAGCCATGAGAGATTATCATAATAGAAACACAACCAAGTAGTTCGAAGCTTGTTCGATCTTTCTTGAGAATCAAGCAAGGGAAATCCTAAAAAAAAACTGTTCAAGACTATATAGAAAGCTTTGTAAACTTGGTTATTTAAGCGGTCCAGGTTTGGCCCTACAAGCTTTAAAACGGCTTTGAGTTCTGATCACTTAAATTGATGCAGCTTTGAGGAAAACAGTTTGGAAGGACCCTTTCAAATTCACTAGCACAAAGGTTCTTCATGGTGGCCTTGGCGAGGGTTTCTCATATGTTAAAGAAGTTCCGAATGATCTCATCAGTAGTCAGATTCCGCCCAACGAAATATCTGCTCCCGCATCTCGGATTGACGGTAAGACTCGTTTCCATTACTTTAATAATTATGTGTCATGACTTATGAGGGATATTTAGTTATTTAAACAATTATAATCACAGGATCAGGGAAGATTACAAATATATACTATGATTATATACAATTAAGTCAAGCAATAAGCCAAGGGAATGTAGAATCTGTGAAGAAGTTGTTGCGCCGTCGTCCAGACGCATTGAACGAATTGATAAACCCTTACGAGACACCATTGTTGAAAGCTTGCGTGTGTGGAGATCTCGAGATTGTTAAACTGCTTCTTCGTTGCATGAAATCTGAAGGAATGCTTCCTAAGACGAGCCAAAACACTCCGTACCACACACCTCTCGCCGTTGTCGCGTTCACTGGAAACGTGGAGATCGCTAAGTACTTGCTTAGCAAGGACTTTGGGCTGCTACAGATACCAGGCATAAATGGACAGCTTCCCGTCGTGGTTGCAGTTGAGAACGGGCACAGAGAGTTGGCTCGGTATCTTACCGAAAAAACTTTGTTTTATTGTTTAATTAATGAAGATGATGGGTACCACGCTACGATGCTCGTGGTCAATGCCATCTACTACAACATGCTCGGTAAGTAATTTCTTGGACTTGAATCAAAACATGTTTGAGCAGGATAACGAGGAAAATATAGTTTCGATGATCTTTTTTTTTATCTGCTTGTTCATACAACTAGACATTGCGCTGCATGTGATTGGAGGAAAATACTACCGATACCTTGCCGTGACAAAACACTTGCAGATAGAGTCAAGTCCAGTCGTTGTGTTGGCTTCAAAGCCTGATCTTTTTCCTTGTGGCTGCCATCTCGGACCATTGGAACGCTTCATCTACTCTTGTTCGTACCAATCTAAACCTCGTCACTACAAAGATATATATACCTCCACGTACTATCCCTTTTTGATTCAAAGAAACTTGAGTAAACAGTTAATATGTTGGTGTCATTTGCTAGGCATACAAGTAAAGCATCCGACTACTCCAGAGCGGAATCGTCCGAAGAAAGATCAGCAGCGTCAGTCCTTCCTTGCGCATAACTTATTTCATAAAAAGTCTCTGTGTATTCTCTCTCAATAAAATGAGAAAGTTCTGATATTTTCTGGATTTTGTTTTTCCCCTCCAGCTACCCTGATGGGGAAGATGCTTAAATGTCTCTCGAAATGGACTGGTAAGTATTAGGTTTGTTTTGTCTGCAATTTGGACAGAATTCACATGCATTTATATTTCAGGGATAAATCAAGTGTATCAACTGAAGGTCATGCATGTACAAGCCAAGAAGCTTCTACTGGGAATATCAGAAGAAACACTTGGCATGGGCTTAAAGGAACGTTCTGAGACAGTCAACGAGGCTTTACTCTTTGCAGCAAGATTCGGGAATGTGGATTTCTTGGTGGAGATGATCAAGAACAACTCCGAGCTTCTGTGGTCGAGCACTAGTCTGTTTCTTTTGGCCGTCGAGTTCAGACAAGAGAAGGTGTTTAGTCTCCTCTACGGCCTGGACGACAGGAAGTACTTGTTGCTCGCCGACAAAGACTGTAACGGCAATAGTATGCTTCATCTCGCCGGCTATCTTTCTCCTCCTTCCAAGCTCTCTACCGTCACTGGCGCAGCTTTGCAGATGCAACGCGAGTTGCATTGGTTCAAGGTTTGCTCTGTTTCTCTCGGGTTAAGAATTGTATTAGTAATATGCATAAACCAATACAGAAGAAGTTCGATGTTGAAACGTATAAATATATATATATATATATATATATATATATGTCTAAAAATGTGGCCTGGTTTACACAGGAAGTGGAAAGAATCGTACCAGGGATCGAGAAGGAGAGAGCAAACGCAGATGGGAAAAGACCGATGGAGATATTCACAAAGGAGCACCAAGCACTGCGACAAGAAGCTGAGAAATGGATGAAAGACACGGCCATGTCTTGCAGCTTAGTCGCGGCTCTCATCTTCGCCGTCACCTTCGCAGCGGTCTTCACCTTCCCTGGCGGCGGCAAACCTTTTCACTTAGGTGATCGAAATTTCATCACATTCTTGGTCTCCACTTTGATCTCCTGCTTAGCCTCCTGCACCTCCGTCCTCATATTCCTCTGGATACTAACCGCTAGATACTCCTTGGACGATTTCTTGGTCTCGCTTCCAACGAAGATGATCGCTGGACTTTCGATACAATTCATCTCGATCGCGGCAATGTTGATGGCCTTCTCTTCGGCGCTATTCGTAATGCTTGACCAGTCATCGTGGATCTCTCTGGCTTGTTGTTTCCCGACAATCCTTCTCGCGTGTTTCCTGGCGCTTCTGTTTCTTCTTCTTCAGTATCCTCTCCTCAAGGAGATGACCTTGTCAACTTACGGCAAAGGAATCTTCGACAGAAACATGAAATGTTGGTTGCATGACATTGAACAAAAATGCCAAAGAACAAGTTATAATGATGAAGACCCTATTCATTAATAATAACAAACTCAATAATCTCTAAAAATAAAATATATGGTTATGTGTTTTAAACATAATTTCTCTTGTTGTACCTTTTTTTTCTCGGCTCATAGCCGTTATAATAAGACTACTGTCTTTTTTTCATTCGGTTATGTGTTTCATTAATGTTATCAGCTTATATCTATTTAGAGATTACATACCTCAGAGTTTAACGGCGGCCATAACTCGTTTTCCACAAACTCAATCTCTTCCCACCAATCCACAATCTTCAATCTTTCACTCTTCCTCTCTCAATCTAGAAGAGAGTTTTTCAGGTGTGAAAAGGCAGGACGTCCTGAACTGGATCAATATATAACCTTGAATCAATTTCATCCAACTATGCAAGAAAAGAGGATGGTTATTACTTATTACCAAGATTATCAAACAATTCCACACTTGTTCCTTGATCTTTCCCATCTATTGCTATAACGAAAAGGTGGTATGTTGTTGACCCTAATTGACATGAAGACCTAATTGTCCAGAACCTTATATAATCACAGCATCATGCGAGAACCAGCACATAGTAGAAGAGAATATAACTAGTACATAGGAAAAAAAAATTAATTGTATCATCAGGTATAAAACTGCTGCTTGGTATACTAGCATTTGGTTGGAATTGAAGCCATAAACAATCAGCAGCAAAGCAGATGAGACCGAAATTATCTAATGCTCTTATTAGTATACAACTTGTCCAGTGATTCATTAACTAAGATGTTGAGACAATTCCGGTAACTTACATATTGATATTCGTGTCTCGCTCACACAAGCACCGCATAGAACCAGTAACACAGAATCCGAGTTACTTATAGCATACACAATGCATGATGCTTAATGGAGATGCTTAGCACATATTTTATTATTAAAAGTGTGTTAAGCATCTCTATTAAGAATTCTATGTTTTTCTTTGTTTCAATAGGAGATTCTTATTTGGGGTGCTTAAGAAAAACAAAATTATTATAAATTTTAATTTTATTTATGAACAAACATGTAAATCAGAAAAACAACTTATAATTTTATTTATGAACAAACATGAACAAGCATCCATCATTGATCGAGGAAACAACTTTCAATGTATGTAAATCAGAAAAACAGAGGGTTAAGAGCTATTTTGCTTTCATGAATCGTACCTTGCCATTCCCTACAACTTTTTGTTCACCCTTGACAAGTTTTGGATAACGATCCATTCGTGAATCCTCTTGTATCAGCTCTTCAACCTATAAAATTCATACATAAAAATCCATCTCAGGTAACAACATGAGAATTGGTTTAAACTATCAGAAACTCATAATAGAGAAAGAACAGTAGGAGAAAAAGAAGCATACCTTAGTCCATAACAGAGGATCTCTTCTTTCTCTAGGCAAAAGGAGATGATCACGTAACCGTGATGCGATAACCCAAGGAGGCTCGTCTGCAGAGTTTGATGCTACTGCATTCTCTTCCAGGAAGTCACACACCTAAAAATGAATCCAAAAACGACCTGTGTTTTTAGAACACAATTGACAATAATACTCAGAGATGCTGTAACGGGTAAAGATGTATAACCTGGTCGTACAGTTCTTCAATTCTACGCGAGAAACATCGCTTACGCTGGATTATCCTATGCAATATTGCGCAGACCAAAAGCTGTACATCTCAAACACTGTAAACAAGCTTGAAGATGTTGATCAAGTAAAACTAAACAACTCAAAAGACTGGTTTTTTTTCTAAAGAGTATATTACCATTGCACAGGAGGACGAGATCATGATGATGTGCTTCAAGAACCATTGATGCATGCGACAAGTCAAGGGTTTGTAACTCTGTACTAGCAATTCAAGGCACTTCAACTCATTCATCCTTCAAAAGTAAGAATCTTTAGTCAATAGTTGGTGTTAACCATTATCACAATTAGTCAGTGATGAAGATACCAACCCATTAGAGTTCCAAATCGTGTCGTCATGTGAGATTACGGGATCCAGGACCATACTTCTTCATGTGAGAGTTCCAAATCGTATCGTGACCCAGCCATGAAATCAAGCAACAGAACATCAAAAAGTTCATCAATTTAACAAAAAAACAAATGAGAACTCATCATCTTCCAAACGAAACTATATTTTTAAAACCCAATCAACAAGATAGAAATGGTAGAAACCCAATCAACAACGCCATTTTCAGAGCTTATAGTTGCTCGAAAACCCTAATTAAGCATGTTTTACATCCGATTTTGGAAGAGATCTTACCATGCAAAGGGAAGGAAGAACCATGGATTGAAATTGGTTGATCTTCGTTTCTTTTTCTCAGATTTTCATCACCACAGGCTGATTAGGAACGCCCCACCATCAATAAATCATGATTTCCGGCTGATTTGGTCACCAAATGGACTGATGTTTCGATTCACCATTGATCGCCACCATCGCCGTCGACAGAGGAGAGAGAAAAGAGAGAAGAAAAATGAGGAAAATAATGTTTTTTTCTAATTTCCCTGTGGCCAAACCTGTGATGCCACGTGTCACCACGTGTCACTAAGTTTTATTGTATTTTTCATTTAATTAAATTCACTTGTGGGTTAAGAACGGAGGTAAAGTACCCGCGTTGAGCATATGCTCTTAGCAAAGCATAATCTACCACTCTAATCCCGGATTAAAATTGCAGAGGTTATGGATACTCTCACCTAGACGACCAAATTGAAGCCTAGGCTATCAGAAATTCAGAATCGATTCAATAATCTCAGCTCTCAAATCCCTCGGAGACAAAAATGAGATATCTGATTACCCTGCCTAGTGACACGTGTGAATTATGTCTTTACCGCTACAATTTCCATTTTCGTTTTCTTTATTTTGGTCAACACAATTTCCTTCCATTTTCATGAGAAAAAAAAAAAAAAACGGAAAACGTTAACAAGGAAACGACGCGGCTTTCGCAGTCTCGTGTGATGGACTTATGTTTTGGGGAAAAACGTGCGGCAGTCTTCTATCCATACATAGAAAACAGATTTGGACCACAATGCAACTTCTTTACGACAAATTATCGGGATTTTTTTTATGACTAAAAAACTAGTACTATATGAATCTTCCTAGAAAGTGTACGCGTTATATTAATGTATATCAATCTAATGTAATGTATACACCCGATTAAGAAAAATATACCTATCATTCATTTCTAACAACAACTGTGAGTCTATGACTCTATGAGCGGTTATTGATTCATTTTTGCAATTTTACGATATCTTCGGGGTGTTTTCCTATTTGATGAAAACGTGTTTGTAAGGAAATTTTCTCTCAAAGAAATACAATGCGAAAATTAGCAACTCAACTCCCTCGAAATATTTTCATATGTGTATCGGCACAACATATGTATCGATGGGATTCATTATCTGAGAAAGAAATAAATTTGTCTTTCAAAAGTTATATTATCATCCTAATAAGTGATTAATAATCAACTCTAACCAAAAAGGCTATAAGGCTATCATCCTCTGAAATGCAATCCCTCTAACCAAAATAGAAAGAAAATTCGTCTTTAGCTGTTTAGTTTTTATCCGAATAGCTTATTATAATTAATTCCTAGTGGAATTCATGGCTAAGTTTCTTCCGAAAGTAGATTATAGTTGCATCAACGGTATTTTTCTAAGAAGATTAATTCATTTTTTCAAAAATAAAAAAGTCATGCTTCCGTGTTGGAACGTGACACACACTATTTGGGGACACTCGATCACATTAATGCCTGACTCAGACAGTATGAATCATTCACGCATACATAAGTCATATCATACATTATTAAAGTTCATTAACAGTTTGAATAAGAAAAATCATACTAAGATAGTCGTATTAATCATCTCTCGTCCACCTAAGAAATAGTACACGATAAATTCAATCCAAACCAGGTGGCTCAGTTTTTGCGGGGTTTTAATGATATTTTCCTAAAATTGTTTGTAAAAGTAATATATAATGTATAATTGCAGATTTAATTTGTGTGTGTGCAAATTAATTGTTAGTAATAGATCAATAGAGGAGTCTAAAGTCTTTAAAGTCATTTTTACAGTTATTTTTACAGTTATTTTAGGAAAGCAGTATATATATATATATATATATATATATATATATAAGCTGAGCAACGAAGAAAAGCAGTATAAGATATATGTTACAAAAGTCATCAACCAGAAGTCTTACCAACCTTACGAGCTCGGAAAAATAGCTTAGGAAATCAAAAGAGTGATGAGCAGGAGAGCGAGGAAACTGACGGTGAATGATATTCCTGAAGAGAGGAATACAAATCCATACTTCAGTTACTCTAAGTTAAATAGAGCGATTAGCAACGGTGACTTGAAGTACGTGACCAGTCATTTGAACCAAAATACAGTCAATGAACTCATAGGGGAGAATGAAACCCCTCTCCTCGTTGCTCTCAGCTGTGGGAATAGAGCGATGGTGGAGACGGTCTTAAACCTTCTGAGCAATAACGTTAAGGATCTTCGTCAAATTCATTTCCGAGGCGGCTGGACACCTCTTGGTGTCGTAATCGGCAACGACCAATTGGGTATTGCAGAAGCATTGGTGGAGAAGTACCCGGATCTCCCAAACATCCCCGTTTCCGACGACGGCACCCTACCGGTTACTGCAGCGGCGCAGCTGTCGAGAAAAGAAATCGCTCGATTTCTTTACAAGAAGACATCTGCCCAGTCTTTGCAAGATTCCGACTCCTATCAAGCCTCGAAGCTTCTCGGGCATGCCATTGAGCACGGAATGATCGGTAAGTTTTATGTTCTCTCTCTCTCTCTTTCATTTCTGTTAATTTTCTGTTGATTAACTATAATCTTTTTTAATTATTATATTTAATTGGCTTTAAATTCTCAGATATCGCCTTGGCGTCTGTTAATTTTCTGTTGATTACTATAACTCTTTTTTATTTTTTTTTTTAATATGGCTTTAAATTCTCAGATATCGCCTTGGCGATGCTCAGTGACACTAAGCATTACTCTCTAGTCGTTGACAAGAACAAGTTGAAAACGGGGCCAATGGCGGTGCTAGCCTCACGCTCCGATCTATTACAGATTCCCCAAAATCTGGGATATTTTAGGGCGTTTGTCTACTCGTGTAAGTTTCCGAGAACTGATTACATATTTAGATTAATCATGCACGTATTTAGATTAATCATGTTCTAAATTCTGTATACAGGCATACAACTGGACTTCTCCGTTTCACCTAATGTTGGTTATAAAGGCATAGAACTGGACTTCACAAATCGAAGGACCGACCAAGACGTATCTAAGCTCCTACCCTTTCCCCGTAAGTATAAATTTATAAATTGACACATCTTTTTATTTCTTTTCGTGTAACCATTTCTCTAACTTTGTTTCATCATTTTGTTTTTTTCACAGCATCCGTTTGCAAAAAACTCCTAGAATTCATCCCGAGCTATCTTTCCAAGGAATTGTATTTGCTAAAATACACGAACTGGGAAGCTCGGGAGCTTCTCCAGAGCATGACGGAGCAGCTGGTGGCGAAGGGGAGAGAAGACCTAATCAAGAACGGCATTGGCGAAGCCATCTATGAAGCCGTCAGGAGCGAGAACCGAGTTTTCCTGGAGAAGGTTTTGAAGTGGAATCCAACGCTTCTGTGGAACTGCGATAACGTCTTGAAGGAGAATCTGCTCGGACTGGCTGTGGTCTTCGAGAAGGCAGAGATATTCAATCTCTTCTACGGGCTAGACTGCAGGCGAGAGCTCCTGCTCATCAGGCGACCGCACAACGAAGAAGAAGAAGAAGAAGAAGACACCATCCTCGATATCGTGGCTCGGCGTCCGACTGAGTGCATCTATCACATGGCCACTCCTCTGCAGCTCCAGCAGAAGCTGCAGTGGTTCAAGGTACGTATATCCAGTTGAGCTAAGGTTCACGTTTTTGTTGAGCTAAGATTCATCACGTTTCGTTTCTTGCACAGGAAGTTGAGGCTCTTGTCCCGGAGTCAAAGAGAAGAAGACCGTGGAAGAAGTTCCAAGAAAATTACGAACCCATGCGAAAGGAAGCGGAAACATGGATGAAAGGAGTGGCCAGCTCCTGCAGCGTCGTCGCAATTCTCATAGCCACTATAACTTTCCAGGCCGTTTTCACCGTTCCGGGGGGTATGAAGTCGGAGTTAGGTGAGCCGCTCAAACTCACGGACCCTTCCTTCCTGACTTTTGTGATCAGCGATGTCTTGGCATTCTTCTGCTCGTGCACCGCCACCTTCGCATTCCTTGGAATTCTCACGGAGAGGCATTTGATTGAAGATTTCATGAGGAGGCTTCCCAAGATGATGATCATCGGAAAACTGGCCCTGTTCTTCTCCGTGGTGCTGATGATCGTGGCCTACTGCACCGCCGTCTTCACGGGTATACACTGTGCAGTTTGGGTCATTGCCTGTACAGTGGCTGTGGCCTGTGTTCCCGTTGGCGTCTTCCTCAGATTGCACTCCCTACATCTCAGAGACATGATCATTTCGACGTTTGGTAAGGGCCCCTTTAACAGAGACACAAAACCATGGATGGTCATACCCATCCATACTTCTCTTTCCTCACCATAGACTTATTTCTACTTTTCCCTAATCGATTCAGATTCAGACCTTTTGTCTGTCTGTTTATTTTAGTTTTTTTTTTTAATATGGATTATGATGATGCCTTGGTTTGGTTTGTAAGAAAGACTTAAGTTTTATCTATCGCGCGCTCTTGTTATCGGATAAAACATACTACTTCTCAATATATCTAGTCTTAAAATCGCTTGTCTTTTACATGTACCAACAAGAATTTCGGATCAGTTATCTCGTTCCGCCACCTCTAAAGACTAAATCCAGAGTTTTGACAAGAATCAGATAAGGAAGACAAAAATTTCAAACACACAAAAAACGCATAATATAAGAGTTGATGAATGATGATGAACCCATTGTGTTATGTGTTTGATTAGGCTTTTCACAAAAGAAGCCGTAAAAGGTAAAACTAGAGGATTCGATTCATTCACAAATAACAATATATATATATATATATATATATATATATATATATTCGAGGTATTGAGCAAAGCATCTGAATTTACAATCTAATCAGTAATCACTATAATCTCCTGCGCCGACCAAGTCGAGGCCTTTCCGATTCAACAATCCACAGCTCTCAAGTCTCAAATCCCCAACCTCAAGCAAAGCCAAAGCTTCCTATCACGATCGCACACCATTGAAGCCGAGCGGGAATTCAAAATCGACGGGGTCAGTTGTTCAACGGCAGAGTGGCGACTGGAGTAGCTCGAAGATAACACGCAATGGCGAAACCGACTAACCGAAGGAGACACAGTAAGCGCGTATTGAGCAGAGCATTGTTCATGGCGGAGGTGTAGGGTTTACGCCGGCCATGGAAATTCGAAGTCGCGGCGGCCGGAGGCGGAGCATCTTCGGTTTTGCGTGAGATTAGAGTGGAGGAATCTAATTCGTCTGCCTGGTGACACGTGTCAAATCGTCGAAGGTGTGTTTTAAATGTAAAGATACGATATTTTGCAAATTTCGGCAAAAATTACTGAAAATAAAAGGAAAGAAGAAAAGAGAAAACTTTAATAAAGGAAAACGACACCGCTTTGTTCGTCGTTTCCCAGTCTCGTCTGGTACAGAGATGTTTTGTGGAAAAACGTGAGCCAACCCACGTTTCAAGAAATAAACCAACTCAATCAACGTTTCTTTCTCTTTCTCTCTCTCTCTAACTCATTTTATATACACTCAAAATCTGCTTAAAAGCGTTTATTAACTACTTTTATCACTCTCTATTCTTTTTTCTTAAAAAATCGCAGATATCTCTCTGGTGTTGTTGCTGTGCCTCAGCCTAACTCACCTGTAAGTTCTTCTTCCTTCCTCCATTCTACTGTGGGATCTTTCGTTTTCTTTCCTCAAATGTGTTCTTCCATGATATCCAGCTTTCACCCATTTTTGGTTAGCTTGAATCTTGTATGAGGCCAATTTTGTGAATTTCGCTTGGGGTAAAATATAAAGTAGAGATTTTTTTACAGAATCGTGTGTTTTGTTCATCTTTGCTGAAAACTTGAATAGTGAATCTCAAAAAGTTGTTTCTTTATGTAAAAATGCTTGCTTTTTTCTTCTCTCTTTTCACTGATGGAAAAGGGGTTGCTTTTATTGTTTCCTCTTTGGCTGCTGAGAAGCACATGGTATGAGAAATTAGGGGACATTTCAAGCTGAGAACTGAGAACTCTTTCTTATCTTGAGTTTCTTCTGTCTTTGTTTTTTCATTTTCTTACAGAATTGCCCCTGTGACGAAGATGAGCAAAGTTCCGGTAAGAATCGTAGGGATTCTTCTGTGGCTATGTGTGTGGGTTTGTAACGGAGAAGGAGAGTATGTGCTGTACAAGGATCCGAAACAGAAGGTGTCAGATCGAGTTATGGATTTGTTCGGTAGAATGACTCTGGAAGAGAAGATTGGTCAGATGGTTCAGATTGATAGAAGTGTTGCCAGTGTTAACATAATGAGAGATTACTTCATCGGTATGCAAATACAAATCTTTCTTGGTATTTCTAGAGATCTCATCACTTGGTCGGCTAATTTAGTTGTTTCACTATTTCTTATGCTATTCTCTTCAATACTTCAGCTTGTTTGCATATTGAATCACATGCGATTTTCATTGTCTTGATATATAGAACTTGGTATTGAGTGTCTGCATTTGCAAAATTTGAACACAGAATATGTATTTTTTGGCTCCGTGCAGGCAGTGTATTGAGTGGTGGTGGGAGTGCTCCACTTCCTGAGGCAACTGCTCAGAATTGGGTTGATATGATAAATGAGTATCAGAAGGGAGCTCTAGTGAGTCGTTTGGGCATTCCTATGATATATGGTATTGATGCCGTTCACGGGCATAACAATGTCTATAACGCTACTATCTTCCCTCACAATGTTGGTCTTGGAGCCACCAGGCAAGTACTAGTTAAATCATTTACTTGATTCTGCATGTTTCATCTCAGAGTCAATGTGCTGATAGATTTGAGTTTCACAGGGATCCTGATCTGGTTAAGAGGATTGGAGCAGCAACTGCAGTCGAAGTCAGAGCCACTGGAATTCCATACACGTTTGCTCCTTGCATTGCAGTAAATTTTCTGTATTCTTGATCTCACTGTCTGCCTGAGTTTAACAGATCTGACACTTTTTAATATCTTTGTTACTTTGGTCTTTTGCTGAAGTTGTTTCTCACTCGCTTGTTGTAGGTTTGTAGAGACCCCAGATGGGGTAGGTGTTATGAGAGCTACAGCGAGGATCACAAAGTCGTGGAAGACATGACGGATGTCATACTTGGTTTACAAGGAGAGCCTCCTGCCAACCATAAGCATGGAGTTCCATTCGTTGGTGGCAAGTAAGGCTCTCTGCTAACTTGGTTGTGTTATATGAGCCTTACGAAAGTATGTTCATTCTCTCATTCATGTTATTTTGATAGGGACAAAGTGGCAGCATGTGCCAAGCATTTCGTGGGAGATGGTGGGACAACTAGAGGAATTAACGAGAACAACACGGTGGCTGATTTACACGGTCTTCTCAGCGTTCACATGCCTGCTTATGCTGATGCAATTTACAAGGGTGTTTCCACAGTGATGGTTTCGTATTCGAGCTGGAATGGCGAGAAGATGCATGCAAATACTGAGCTCATTACAGGGTATCTCAAGGGTACCCTGAAGTTCAAGGTCAGCTTACTTTCGATGCACATGCTCAGTGCTCTTGCAGTAGTCTTTCTTAATGGATTTTGCAGAGTCTCTAATAAGTATATTCTTAGATCAAGAAGTTGATTTGAAGTGCTAATTCCAGCTTATCTTGTCTGTGAATATGTGCAGGGTTTTGTTATTTCGGATTGGCAAGGCGTTGATAAGATTTCCTCACCACCGCATTCGCACTACACAGCTTCCGTCCGAGCTGCAATTCAAGCTGGCATTGATATGGTTTTGTGTTTTAAACTTTACATACATTCAACTTTACTGAAATAATTAGTTGTTTGCGTCAGCTAAATGAAACAATGTGCAGGTCATGGTCCCCTTCAACTTCACCGAGTTTGTCAATGATCTTACGTCCTTGGTGAAGAGCAAAGTAATGCCTATCTCCCGGATTGATGATGCCGTCAAGAGAATCCTGCTTGTCAAGTTCACCATGGGTCTTTTTGAGAACCCTTTGGCTGATTACAGCTTTTCCAATGAATTAGGAAGCCAGGTCAGTGGTTTAACCTGAGATGCTAATATCCTCCCTTGCAAAGTATTGTAAAATCTTAATGGAATTGTCTCAATTTTTATTAGGCACACAGAGACTTGGCAAGGGAGGCTGTTAGGAAATCTCTTGTGCTGCTGAAAAACGGGAACAAAACCAATCCTATGCTCCCTCTTCCCAGGAAGACCTCAAAGATCTTAGTCGCTGGCACTCATGCTGATAATTTAGGTTATCAGTGTGGTGGTTGGACCATAACTTGGCAAGGATTCAGTGGTAACAAGAACACAAGAGGTACGTTTTGCAAACTGTATACAGGTGTTTAACACTTTGAGCAAGAAAGAATGTAACAATAATCATTCATTTTCTGTTCCAGGGACTACGATTCTTGGCGCTGTAAAATCAGCTGTTGATCAGAGCACTGAAGTTGTCTTCCGTGAAAATCCAGATGCGGAATTCATCAAATCGAACAACTTTGCATATGCAATCATTGCTGTTGGCGAACCTACATATGCAGAGACAGCTGGAGACAACGACAAGCTAACCATGTTGGATCCAGGTCCAGCCATTGTTAGCTCCACTTGTCAGGCTGTCAAATGTGTGGTTGTGGTTATTTCAGGGAGACCACTTGTGATGGAACCATACATTGCCTCTATCGAGGCATTGGTTGCAGCGTGGCTACCAGGAACAGAAGGCCAAGGTATCACTGATGCTCTCTTTGGGGACCATGGCTTCACTGGAAAACTTCCTGTTACATGGTTCAAGAACACAGAGCAGCTGCCTATGAGCTATGGAGATGCACATTATGATCCGCTCTTTGCTTACGATTATGGTCTTGAAACTGAGTCTGTTGCGAGCATTGTTGCTAGGTAAAATCTTTCACACAGCTTCCTCTGCTCTGTTCATTATTCTCAGACACAAGATCAAAATGATCCTTAAACCTTTCTTTTGTTTGGAAACAGGTCAACCTCAGCTGCTGCTGCCGGCACAAAGCCTTGCTTAATCACAGTCCTTATTTCTGCTACATTTTGTCTGTTTCTCTTTCCAAGGTATCATCACCATTCACCTGTTCAACTTCCGTTTTGATCTGTCGACTGAATTTGTCAAAGAATCTGAAATTTCTGGTAACTTTTGTTCTTGTAGCTTAAACCAAGTTTTGAGAAGATGAAAAAGACTTGGAGTAGCTCAGAGGTGATCATTCTTTTGGTTATCTGATTCTGGGAGTCTGTTTGTTCTTCTCTGTTTTGCAGCGTAGTTTTGTTCTTTTAGCCTAGCAAAAGAGATTCTGAATCTGTCATGTTTTATGTTCAGAGTTATTGCAACCTGGAACATTCTTGGATAATTAAACCGGAACAATCTTCTCATTAGTTTCTTGAAATTTAATCTTCAGACATTTCTCTGCTTTAATACCATTCTCGAACTTAAACTGAATTTACGTTGTGTGTAATGGTACATCTCAAGATTCCCATCTGACAAAACTGACGTCAAAGCATAAAACTTGTGAAGAAAGAGAAGTTTATGCTTTCTTTGTAAGAGAAGAAACATATGATGACCTGAGCCTAAAGATGAGATTTTGATTGAACAGAAGAAGACATAGCCGCAAAACTAGGAATATCCATTGCATAACAGAAGAGAAAATGGCTAAGTATTGCAGAAATCTAAGTCATATATATACGCAGAGCAACAAAAACAAAACAACCAATCCAGAGAAGAGATCATCAGAAAGAACTTAAATTAAACATAAAATGGCAGCTAGACAGCAGCAGAAAGGAACAGGCTCGGGGATCCAATACGAGGATCTTGTCCCCAAATCCGAATGGAAAGATCAACCTGAAGCCACTCTTCTCACCATTGATCTTCCAGGTTTGTAAACGAGAGCAAAATTATAGATATTGGACTAATTAATGTTGGTTTCTGACATGTGAGTTGGTTTTTGAAGGTTTTACAAAGGAGCAAATAAAGGTAACGTATGTGCACACCTCGAAGATGATAAGAGTCACCGGACAACGTCCCCTGACTGATCGGAGATGGAGCCGTTTCAACGAGGTCTTCACTGTCCCACAGAATTGTCTAGTGGATAAGATCCATGGGAGCTTCAAGAACAACGTCCTCATCATCACCATGCCTAAGGAGACGATCACGAAGATGCCTTATCTTCCAGAACCTTCTAAAACTGTGGCTGAGAAGGTGGAGAAGTTAGAGGAGAAGAGGTTGTTGGAAGAATATAGAACGAAAGAGAAGGCTCTGGAAGAGGCTGAGAGGAAGAAGAAGCTCCTAGAAGAGGCTGAGAAGAAGCAGAAGCTTCTTGAAGAGAAAGAGGGACTAATTAGGAAGCTGCAAGAAGAAGCTAAAGCAAAAGAGATGGCTGAGGCGAGGAAGCTGCAAGAAGAAGCTAAAGCCAAAGAGATGGCTGAGGCGAGGAAGCTGCAAGAAGAAGCTAAAGCAAAAGAGATGGCTGTGGCAAGGAAGCTTCAAGAAGAAGCTAGAGCAAAAGAGAAGCTTGTGGAAGAAGCTAGACTAGAGAAGAAGATCCAGGAGAGGAAGTTGGTGAATGAATCTGGTGGAAAAGAGAAGATACTTAAGCCAGAAGAGAGGAAACTTCCGGAAGCGGTGTATACAAAATCCGGGGCCGGGGCTGGGACTAAATCCGTGTCTGAAAAAGTAGGTGAGGTAGTGAAATCAGCAGAAGAAAAAATAGGTTACATGGTGGAGAAAGAAAAGAAAAGAGGGAAAGGTATAATGGAGAAAATCAGGGGAAAAGAGATAACAAGTGAAGAGAAGAAGTTGATGGTGAATGTTGGAGTGGCTGCTCTCGTTATCTTTGCTCTTGGAGCTTATGTTTCTTATACCTTTTGCTCTTCTTCTTCCTCTTCTTCCTCTTCATCTTCTTCGTCCCCTTCTTCTTCATCATCTTCTGCAAAACCAGAATGATAACGTCTTAAAGAATTGTGAAGGAGAGCATTTATACTTTGTAACTGTGATATATATATATATATATATACTGAAGTGAAATCTAATAAAGTTTGGCGATGTCATACTTCTCCAATGATGCCAAAGGAAACATGTTGACATCAAACTCCTGTAGACATCTGTAACACTAAATAAATTATCCTAAAACCCCCAAGTATTTGACTGTCAATTAAAAAGACAAATCCTTGAATCTGAAGTTACTGGTAAAACATTTTCAAGTTAATTTGGGAACTTTTTTAAGTGATTTTGAAGGGGAGACGATGGATTATCTAGGGTTTTAAGTTGGGGATAAGATGAAGAGACGAGAGTGTATTATTATTATACGTTCTTCCTAGATGCGGTATAATATGAAACAGTTTCTATCGAAGAAGGAGAAGAAGGCTGAGACAGTTATCGTAAATATACAAGTATTATTAAGTTAGATGTCTAACAACAAAGTGGCTGTAGTATAGTGGTTAGTATCCCGCGTTGTGGCCGTGGAGACCCGAGCTCGAATCTCGGCAGCCACATCCTTTTTACTCTGTTTTCAAAATTAAACGCTGTCATATTAGGGCCATGAATGTTTGGCTAGATTTTGGTTTTAAGAGAAATATATGTAAAGTTCTGGTGATAATGCGGTTTGGTTTTTTGATTTTTGTATTGTCCAAAAAAAAACATATAATCATGATTAATTTAGGCTATGATTCTTGAACAAGATATTAAGAAAACTGATACTGGTATATGACAAGAGAAATCAATTGGTATGTGTTTTGAAATGGTTTCAAAGAAAATCCATTAACCCAAAACCCCCAAGTTAGATCCTGAAATGATTTAGAGTATTATAATCCTCCTGAAGCTCTGAACAAAAATAGCCCGGTCCAGAAAATAAAACAAATCACAAAATCCATAAACCCTAAAACCCTTGAGTTGAGAAGATCCGAAGTGTGAGCAATAATCTCTGTCTGGGAGAGAACCCAGTTGAGTTGAAAACTGAGTGAAGCAGAAAGTGACCTCCTTTTATTGATAACGAGAAGTACACGGTGAAGACGGCGAGGTTGAGAACCATGCCTCATCGTCCATCTCGCTTTCTAGAATGCGTTTCACTAAACGAATAAGCCTCTTCCTGGGGCAGACGACCAAGATTCCTAGTCGCTCTCTACCGGGAAATTCATCTTTTTTCAGGGCTTATATCGCCAGGCCGGTCTCTAGCTCGCCGGCGTTTCTCATTCCCAGCTGTGATGGAAATGGTGTCACGAAATTGTCCTACCGGATATGTCGTCGTTTCATTGGTTACACTGCGGAGCAGTTCTCGGATGATGAGTACGAGTGTGAATTCGAGGAACACAAGGTTCGTATTATAATCAAGTTGGCAAATTTCTGGATAAATCAAAATCAATCAGCCTTGCGTTTTTTTTCGAAAAGTTCGAATTTCTAAGACATTTGATTCAGACAATTAGATTACTTTCGATTGGGTTTATGGTGATCTTCAGATGATAAGAGTTTCTCAAAATGAAAACTTTAGGTGTTTTTGAATTTGATATTCAATTTTTCTTTCGAAATTTTCCTTCTTTTTTGTTATAACGAGAAATGATTTGATGCATGGAATTAACTTATTTATTAGGCTTCATCTTCCGTGGCCAATGTTGATGAGTGGAAGTGGAAGTTAGGCATTCTAATAGCGAATGATAGCGAGCGAGAAATTGTTTCTAGAGACAAAAGAGATCGAAGGGACTATGAGCAGATCTCAAATCTTGCCAAGAGAATGGGACTGTACAGGTATAGAAAGCAGACGTAAAATTGGGTCAATAGCCTGTTTCTTTTCATGGACTATGTACTAACCTGATTCTTGTTTCTGTTGGGTTTTTGTTTCAGTGAAATTTATGGAAAAGTGGTTGTTGCGAGCAAGGTTCCTCTTCCCAACTACAGGCCAGATTTGGATGATAAGCGACCACAACGGGAGGTAACAATGCCTCCTCCTTTGGTTTACCAAAACCGTAAGGCACAATTTTGTTTGTAGTTTAATGCTGAAACTGTAATGCATTTCCATCGTGCAGGTGGTGCTTCCTTTGAGCTTGCAGAGAAGAGTAGAGGGACTCCTCCAGGAACATCTTGATAGACAGCAGCTAAACTTTGGAAAGGCTAATGAAGGTGTAGCTGATTCTCAACCTCCTAAACAGACTGAAGAACTTCCTGATGAAAGTTCTGATTCGTTTCTCGATGGTTCTGTCATGGAGAAGGTACTTCAGAGGAGGAGTATGCGGATGCGAAATATGCAGAGAGCCTGGCAGGTATTACTGAATCATCTTTACCTCTGTCCCTCTTATCTCTTTTCTTATCAAAGGCTCTTGACTAAAGCAGTAGTTGTTTGGTTGAGCAATAGGAATCCCCTGAGGGACGGACGATGTTAGATTTCCGGAAATCTTTGCCTTCATTCAAGGACAAAGAAAGACTTCTTCAAGCTATTGCTCGGAACCAGGTGAACTTTTAGAGATGATAATATTTTGCATGGCTACTGCGATGCATGACAATTAATTTAATGCATGCCTTATTCTCAGGTAATAGTTGTGTCTGGGGAGACTGGATGTGGTAAGACAACTCAACTCCCGCAATACATTTTAGAATCAGAGATAGAGTCTGGCCGAGGAGCATTCTGCAGCATCATTTGTACACAACCTCGGAGAATCTCTGCCATGGCAGTTTCAGAAAGAGTATCAGCTGAGAGAGGAGAACCTCTTGGTGAAACGGTAAGCCAAGATGATCAGGCTTCCTCTGGAGCTCTTATTTGAAAGTTGTTTGAATACTCCAATCAACACTAAATAATTGTTTTAAGATGCTTGTTTATTCTTGATTTCATACCCAACAGAGAATTTTTGGTAGGTTGGGTTTAAAGTTCGGCTAGAAGGAATGAGAGGGAAGAATACGCATCTTCTGTTTTGTACAAGTGGTATTCTACTCAGGCGGCTGCTGACCGATCGTAATTTGAATGGCATTACGCATGTTTTTGTTGATGAGATTCATGAACGGGGAATGAATGAAGGTACGGATTTTATATATCTAAAGTGTGTCTAGGTTTCTGTAAATCGAGTCTCATAATTGATTATGACCCCTTTTCTTCTATGGATGCAGATTTCTTAATAATTGTGTTAAAGGAGCTTCTTCCACGCCGTCCAGATTTGAGATTGATTCTCATGAGTGCCACTTTGAATGCTGAACTCTTTTCCAACTATTATGGAGGGGCACCTACAATTCACATTCCTGTAAATATCTCTCTTCTTCTTCCTCAATTCAGTCTTGATGCTCTGTATATTCAGTATGCTTTCCGTATTTTCGTTATTTCTCTTTGAAGCCTTGAATGAATGTATATTTTCAGGGCTTCACACATCCAGTGAAGGCACATTTTTTGGAGGATGTGTTAGAAATGACGGGATATAAGTTGACCTCTTATAACCAAGTTGATGATTATGGCCAAGAAAAGACGTGGAAAACACAAAAACAGTTAATGCCGCGCAAAAGAAAAAATCAGATCACTACTCATGTTGAGGTAATTTTTTGACATAAAGTGGAAATTTCCTTAGAGTTAAAAGATTTGAGACGCCATTAGCTCACAAGTTCTCTCAAGATACTTATGTTCAACAAATTTTCTTCAAAATTGCAGGAAGCACTCAGCAAGTCAAATTTTGAGACCTATAACTCCAGGACACGTGATTCACTCTCATCTTGGATGCCTGACTGTATAGGATTTAATCTGATTGAGGCTGTTCTCTGTCACATATGCCGAAAAGAACGTCCAGGTGCTGTATTGGTATTTTTAACAGGATGGGAGGATATCAGCTCCCTAAGGGACCAAATTAAAGCCCATCCTCTCTTGGGGGATCCCAATAGGGTCTTGCTATTGACGTGTCACGGTTCAATGGCAACCGCTGAACAGGTAGATTTATCTCCTCATGGGTTACTTTGCTTCCTTTCAACAGTGACTTATGGAACATGTGTCCCTCTGTTTCATGATTCCCGTCTTTACGTATTTCTTTGATGTTTCTGCAGAGACTCATTTTCGAGAGAGCACCTCCCAATATTCGCAAAATTGTTCTTGCGACAAACATGGCAGAAGCTAGTATTACAATAAACGATGTAGTTTTTGTGGTTGACTGTGGAAAGGCAAAAGAGACCACCTATGATGCTTTGAACAATACACCTTGTTTGCTACCCTCCTGGATATCTCAAGCTTCTGCTCGGCAGGTGAATTTGTTATGCTAAAACCTATGTTACATAAATCTGTTTGTGCCACATATAATTCTTGTGTTTTTCATCGTTTTTACCCTTGCTTTCACAACATTGACTCCTTTAAAAGATTAACTGCATGACCACCAATGATGCAATTTCAGAAACATCTATTTTCCTTTGACTCCTTTCTGGTGCATCTTTTGATAGCTATCATTTGACATGCTTAGCATTTTCTCCCTATTTGGCCTTCAGAGAAGGGGAAGAGCTGGGCGTCTGTTTCCTGGAGAATGCTATCACCTATATCCCAAATGCGTGTATGATGCTTTTGCAGAGTATCAACTTCCCGAACTTCTGAGAACTCCTTTAAACTCCCTCTGCCTGCAAATCAAAAGTCTTCAGGTTGAAAGCATTGGAGAATTCTTGTCATCTGCACTTCAGGCTCCAGAAGCTTTGGCCGTAAGTGAAAGATAAATGCCTTTTAATGCCTTTCTGGGGATTTAGCCAGTCGTCTTGTTGCTAGTAACAAATTTATTGGTTATTGGAATATTCTCAGATGGAAAATGTGATTTAATTGCACAGGTTGAAAATGCTATTGGATTTCTAAAGATGATCGGAGCACTGGATGAGAAGGAAAATCTGACGAATCTTGGTTTGTCTAACTCCTGCACAAAAACATGTTTCAGTCTATTCTCTGCACACTTAGATAATGACTGACTTTGCCCGCTCGCTTTCTTTTTGACCTGTTCCAACTAGGAAAACTCTTATCAATTCTCCCAGTTGATCCCAAGCTGGGGAAAATGCTGGTAATGGGTGCCATCTTCCGCTGCTTTGACCCGATCCTGACAATTGTATCAGGGCTCAGCGTCAGAGATCCTTTCCTTTTACCTCAAGAGAAAAAGGACGTAAGTAGAAGGAAAAATCCAGTTTTATTTATCTTGAGTATACAATGATTGGTTGATTCATTGGCAAATCATTGTTCTTGAAACACAACACTTTCATGATTTTGAATCTTATTTTCATCTGCTGTGAGTTTTAAGGCAACAGATAGATTGATATCGCTTTATATGGTGAATTCTGTGGTTTAATCTTGCAAATTGAGAGAACATCTGATGAGTCCTTGTTTCATTGTAGTTAGCTTTATCAGCCAAGTTGAGATTCTCAGCAAAAGACTACAGTGACCACATGGCACTCGTTCGTGCCTTTGAAGGGTGGAAAAATGCTGAGAGGGAAGGATCGGCTTATGAGTACTGTTGGAAAAATTTCCTGTCAGCTCAGACGCTTCAGGCGATACATTCTCTGAGAAAACAGTTCAACTATATTCTGACAGAAGCTGGCTTAGTACATGATGATTCAGCTCTCAACAACAAGCTAAGCCACAACCAGTCCCTTGTTCGCGCTATCATTTGCGCTGGCCTCTTCCCTGGAATAGCATCTGTTGTGGTAAGTCTAAGCCCTCATGTCTCTAGCTAAGTCTCATTTCTTCTATCACAGGGTTTTTGCTGAAACTACCGTATTTTCTCCTTTTTCTTCCACAGCAAAGAGAGAATTCAATGTCATTCAAGACAATGGATGATGGCCAAGTTTCACTTTACGCGGTGAGCCTCTTCAATCATATATTTCTCTAGTCTCTTGATATTGCCAACGTTTGTTTAAATGGTTTTTACGGTTTCTATCTTTCAGAATTCTGTTAATTCGCGGTTTCCGACGATTCCATACCCTTGGCTAGTCTTTGGAGAGAAAGTAAGGGTCAATGCAGTGCTCATACGAGACTCCACCGGTGTCCCTGATTCCAGTTTGATTCTTTTCGGTGGTGCACTGAGCACCGGAGTACAGGTGATTTTTCTCATTCATCTCCTTAAAACCCTTACACGAGTCAAATTATGGGGCTATTGTGGGATTGAATTGGTTGAATCTTGTGTTTTTTTTCTTCCAGGTGGGACATCTTAAAATGCTTGACGGGTACATTGATTTCTTCATGGATCCAAACTTGGCTGATTCCTACATAAAGCTGAAGGAAGAACTCAATAAGCTTCTTCAAAAAAAGGCGAGTTTCTTTTTTCAGACTTCAAAACGAAACAAGTGAAAATTGCAGCTCTTAACACCTTTAGTATCTCTACAATGTGCAGCTTGAAGATCCAAGCATGGATATTCACAAAGAAGGCAAGTACCTGATACTTGCAGTTCAAGAACTCGTAGCTGGAGACCAGTGCGAAGGGAGATTCGTCTTTGGCCGTGACACAAAGAGGCCAAGCCAACCGCAACTAGGAGAGAACCAACTCTCCAAAGACGGGACAAACCCAAAGAGTCTCCTTCAGACACTTCTGATGAGAGCTGGACACTCGCCTCCAAAGTACAAGACCAAACACCTCAAGACAAACGAGTTTAGAGCACTTGTGGAGTTTAAAGGGATGCAGTTCGTTGGGAAGCCTCAGAGGAACAAAACGCTGGCTGAGAAAGATGCAGCTGTTGAGGCATTGGCTTGGTTGACTCATACCTCTGATAGTAAAACCGACCAGTACAATGCTGAAGCAGATTCTCCTCCTGATGTTACTGATAACATGCTTAAACTCCTTGGATCACGGCGCAGGCGGTCCAAGGGCAAGTAGTGGAGTCTCTTCTCCGGCGGAAGTGGTTTGTTGTATCTTGCTTATGTATGAAACTGTAATGATTTTAGATGGCAAAATAGTAATATAGAGAAGATAAAGGGTTAGAAACATAAAATCCAAGAAATTTGGGGGCTTTAGTGTAGTTTGAAAAATAAACGGGGTTATTTTTTAATTTTTATACGAGTTGTTTTTGTTATCACCTTGAATAAGCGCCACGTGGTGTTTTCTCTCGAGGGGGTTGTTTGCTCACGCAATCTCTCTCTCTCTCTCACTCTCTGAGTCTCTGTCTTTCTCTGCAATGGCTACTTCGAATTGTGGTTTCCATGTCTCTTCTTCATCGTTGCTTAGGCATAGCTCTCCCTCCGTCGCTAATGTTACTCAACTTCCGTTTCTGTATCCTCCTCACGGGTGTCGCTTACTGGCAGAACGCTTCGGTCTGGCAACAATGGCTGTTTCGCGCCAAAACCTCTCGATTTCTCCGCCTTCTGCAGCGGTGGAAGCTCGCATCTCAGGGAAAAGAGAACCGATGACGCCTCCGTATAACGTCTTGATCACTGGCTCAAGCAAAGGTTCATTCACTTTGTCCTCGTCAAACTTCATTCAACTCAGAAAGGGGAAAAGACATATTTATGAATAGTGGTGTTTGATTTTCTTGATTGTTCAGGTATAGGATTTGCATTAGCTAGAGAGTTTCTGAAAGCAGGCGACAATGTTGTGATATGCTCTAGATCAGGTAAGAATCTCTCCACATTGTTGAAGACCTTTTTCTGGAGCTTTTTGTGTCACTAAGTAACAGTAAAACAAGTGTGCATAGTTTTAGAACCAATCTTCACTAATTATGGCTGTTTCTGTCCTGCAGCTGAACGAGTGGAGTCTGTTGTTGAGAGTCTTAAGGAAGAATTTGGGGAGCATGTGTGGGTACTTCCTTCTCTTACTGCTCCTTTTGGATTCTGAGGTTTTCGCTAAGATTGCATTGATGTCATGAAATGTAATGCTTAAAACCCATTTTCATTGACCAGGGAACCAAGTGTGATGTTAAGGAAGGGAAGGATGTGAGGGAACTCGTAGCCTATTGTCAGAAGAATCTGAAATACATTGACATTTGGGTATACATCTTTCTTCTTTCTCAGTTTTATACTTCCAATAATGATGAACATATATGTCTTGTGCCATTTTCGTAATACAGTCTTGAAACGATACAGATAAATAATGCGGGATCTAATGCATACAGCTTTAAACCTTTGGCAGAAGCCTCGGATGAGGATCTTATGTGAGTCTTTGTGCTAAGCTCTTTGTTAGTTTCTCTGCTTTTGGTATCAGTCATTTACTTTTTGAAATTTTTATGCAGTGAAGTTGTGAAAACCAACACTCTTGGTCTGATGTTATGTTGCCGAGAGGTAGTGATTAGACATATAAGGAGATTGAATTCAGTGTGTCTTTAAGCTATTATCAGTTGGATTGACTGACATGTGTTCATGATTCTTAGGCAATGAATATGATGTTGAACCAATCTCGAGGTGGTCATATCTTCAATATTGATGGAGCTGGTTCAGATGGGAGACCAACACCCAGGTTTTCCTAGAATTATTCAAGTTTCTTGAGAATATGCTTTAGTGGATCTGTTTCAGGCTCTCTTGTCTGTAATGTCTTATAGCATTTTCTTGACTAATCATTTGACAGGTTTGCTGCATATGGTGCAACTAAACGGAGTGTTGTTCACTTGACAAAGTCGTTACAGGTATGCCAAAGTCATTTCTGTTGAATTCATCTTCATTTTCCCTATATAACTTCTGTTTTTGAATGGTTACTGTGTTTCATAGGCAGAGTTGCAGATGCAAGATGTCAAAAATGTTGTGGTGCACAATCTCTCGGTATGTATTCAAGATCACAAGGAACAAAGTTTATGGCATATGCGCACAGAGATCAATAAAAATGGATCTATTATGTTTATTGAACAAGAATTCAAGATCGAAACATGATCATGATTCTAATGAGTTTCTCTGGGTTATATTGTTGCAGCCTGGAATGGTCACAACTGATCTACTCATGTCCGGAGCCACAACAAAACAAGTTCGATGACTTCACACGAAACAAAATCTAGATTCCTTTTCCAAGAGATTCCTCTAATATCTTCTCTATTGCAGGCCAAGTTCTTCATTAATGTTTTGGCAGAGCCAGCTGAAGTGGTAAGATAACATAACATAAGCTGAAACATGAGCTCTAGTCTCTAGTCCCACGATTCATGATTTGCGATTAAACATGCTTCAGGTTGCTGAGTATCTTGTCCCGAACATCAGAGCAATACCAGCTAGCGGATCTATGAAGCCGACTTACATCCGTTTCCTAACCGGAATCAAAGCCTACACCAAAATATTCTCAGTTAAGTCGATAATAGTTGGTTACATTATTGCATAGAATCTCTGCAAATACTTACCATTTTGTTTGATCTCTTGTCAATTTTGGGATTTGTTTCAGAGAGTTGCATTGGGAGCAAGGAAGAATAGGTATGTAACTGAAGAGTAGATATCTTTGCACTGATCATGTATGTATCAAACTAATTAAGGATTAGAATTGTATTGGTTTCTCTGTTTGTTCAGTGGTAAATAAACACCTCTACATTTTGTTATTCACTTCGAAACATGCCAACGTATGCAGAATATGGATTTAAGTTCATTTGCAAATATTGTTTAAGATTTCTGGATTTTACTTTTCACCCAAAAAGGAAAAAGAAAATGTTAACCAGTTTGATGAATTTGTTAAGCAATCAAGAACAAGGTAAACTCACTAGGAAGACATAGAATCGAAGAGACGCAGAATCTCAAAAGATAGAAAAACTCAGGGAAACAAAAATAAAGAAAACTCAAGAGGAAGTCTCTTCTTCTTCACAATCGCCAATGTTGGCAGAGTGGTTTTCTAGATTGTTGCATGAGTGGGGACATCAACTGGGAACTCATGGATCTCATCCATCCATGGATTCTTCTCCTTTTTAGGGTTAACCGACCTCACCGCTCTCCAAACCGAGCTGTTGCACTTAAACCCTGAACCAAAAGCAATCTGCCAAATCCTATCACCTCTCTTGATCCTTCCTTTGGCCTCACTGTACGCTAACTCATACCACAAAGAACTACTCGATGTGTTACCAAACCGGTAAAGCGTCATCCTCGAGGGCTCCATGTGCCAATCCGAGAGCTTCAAGTTCTTCTCTAACTCGTCAAGAACAGCTCTCCCTCCCGCGTGGATACAGAAATGCTCAAACGCTAGTTTGAAGTCTGGGATGTACGGCTTGATCTTCATCTTGAAGACTTTCCGTCCAACCAACGTTGCAAAGAACAGAAGCTGTTCAGATGTCGGCAGCACCAGTGGTCCTAACGTAGTGATGTTCGTCTTTAAAGCATCACCAGCAACAGCCATTAGATCTTTCGACAATGTCACACCAATCTTGCTTGCGGAGTCCTCTTCTTGAGTGATGCAGCCAAAGCATTTATCATCAGCTCCCTTGTGAGTCCTCACCGTATCAACAAGCTCGTACTTCGACCTTCTTCTGTCCCATCGTTTGTTCGAGAGAAGAATCGCCGCACCTCCCATTCTAAAGAGACAGTTAGAGACGAGCTTTGACCTGTCGTTCCCGAAATACCAGTTCAACGTGATGTTCTCCATGCTGATCACCATAGCGTAAGTGTTGGGAATGGTGTGGAGAAGATGCTTGGCAAGATCGATGGAGATCAAACCTGCGCTGCAACCCATTCCTCCCAAGTTGTAACTGAGTATGTTGCCACGGAGCTTGTAGTGATTGACAACCATGGCGGATAGCGAAGGCGTCGGGTTAAACAAGCTGCAGTTAACAATCAAGATCCCAATATCCTTAGGGTTCACGTTGGTCTTGGCAAGAAGCTCGTCGATGGCTCCGAACATGACAGTCTCTGCTTCTTTTCGAGCTTCTTCCATGCAAGGGTTCGGAGGAACATTGAGGACAGCTTCAGGTAAGTAAGTCGATTCACCGAGCCCTGAACGTTGGAGGATCTTGCGCTGGAACTCAAGATTCTCCTCTGTGAAGGAGCCGGTGAGTTTAGAACGGTCCATGAAGGTCTTCTTGGTGCATTTACGGGCATCGTCGGGTTTGAAGCAGGAGAAGTCGACCAAGTAGACGGGACGCGGCCGAGTCATGAAGTGAATGGTCATGAGGAAGACAAAGAGTGTGGAGCAGAGGATCACGGAGATGAGATTGTACTGAAGATGCTCCCAGAGGCTGGCGAGGTCCTTGAGAGAGAAAGTAGAGACCTGAGCAGCAATGACAAGTACGAGAGGGGAGAGGAAGAGGTACATGCCATGTGTGATGAGGTAATGGTAACCAAGCTTCACATATTTGAGCTTGATGGACTTCTTGAAATCAGGAAGATTCTTATCAGATGCTTCTTCCATCAATGGCCTCTTCTTCTCCTCCTCAACCTCAACCATCGCTTCTCTGTTTCCACAAATTCAAAACCCATTAAAAATGAATACAGATCCATTTAATATTCCTACGAATCATTTTTGGAACCTAAAGCTTCATACTATTAGATGTAATCAAGATCAGAATGCATTTACAGACCTAAATTCGATTCATTTCCAAGCTCGGTGAAAGGAAAATGGGAAAACGACCGATCACATTGTATAAAGCCTGTAGGATTATTAAGGAAAAGAATCGGAGAAAACAGAGTCTAACCTGAGAATTCAGAACACACGCTGCTTACGGAGAAACCGAGAAGAAGAGAGAGAGAGAGATAAATTAATTCAAAAGGATGTTAATCATCACCACAATAATTCAAAAGGCGTTATTTTGAATAACCAGACCCCAGATTGGTCGGAAATGCGACCGAAGTATGAATATACCTATCTGGTCTGGTTTTAACAAAATTTAAAACCGGATGCTCATTGACCCAGTAGATTTTTACATGATTGATGTCACACACATAATTAGAGTGTGCGTGCGAGATTTTTCCAAAAGTTTGTTCTAACTTTTGGCCAAAACTGTAATAAAAATAAACAAGACGAAAACCGTGTGTACAAAAACATAATTATGGAACAAATGAGGTTACTGAGAGAATAATATGAGGTTAAAGTCATAAATATGAAACAGTCAAAGGGTCACAACCAGCAAAGGTACCATTAGAAATCGGCAAACCGGGGAAACCATTTCAACCCGATTTAGTTATTTTCAATGCATTCAAAATTACGGTTGAACCGAGTCGTTCGCCGCTTTCTCTTTGCTTCTTCTTCTCTCTGTCAATTGTATGTTTGAGAAGAGGAGAAAAGAATCGGAGAGAAAGATAGGATGAATCCCGAAGATTTCCAGAAAAAAGTTTCCATCAGAGATCCCCTCGCCGAAGAAATCGAATCCGAATGCGGCGTTTCCGGCGGCGAGTCTACTAGTTCTACGGTCGGGTCCGGCGTCGCCTCCCAAACCCTGGTTCTGCTTCGGAGTCTGCTGGAGATTCAGCAGCGTCGAGCCCAGGCATACGCCAAGCTCAAAAGGTTTGATTTTTTATTGGAAATCTCTCGTTGGGTTATGTTCAACCGAAACTTGCGCGATCAAACTTTTTTCTTGCGATTTTTTTTTACGTTCGATCTCCTTTGATCCACTGTCCTAGGCTTCACTTATTTGGTGACTGTTATTGCCAAATGTTGAAATTGAGTGGCAAAGTAGTGTTAAGAATAAGAAAAACCTGTCTTACAGATTCTGGATTTTTATATGTGACGCTGATTAAGATCTTCCTCCACTAAACTGTCTATGTCTTCAAATTCAATTATCAGAGGATTCTCAGAGTATGTGGAGTCTGGTGCTGAAGCACTTTATCAGAAGCTATGCAGCGAGATCACTGCAGAGTTCAACGAATGTTCTAAACAGGTGTGGATCTTATCTGAGTTTCCTTTTTAAATTGATTGCCTTCACAATGTCGATAAACATTCGATGTTAAAGATTGAGCCTTTGATGAAAACGCAATGCAGGTGCGCGAAATGGAATCTCTGTTTCTGACTCCAGAAGTCGGAAGAGCTGATCTCGCTCAACTGCTCGGCAACATTCAAACTCAAGAGAAGCAGAAACTGCATCTGGTTTACTACCATTTACTCAATTATTAAGTATATATCTCATGATTTGGATAGGATAGTTTTAACTGAGCCAAGCTTTCTTTTGTTTTCGCAGACCGTCACAATACAGGTGCTGAAGAAAGCAGGGAGACCATCAGAACGAATGCTGACACATGAGAACTGCAAGTTCAAGAAGCCGATGCAGCACGAGTGCGTGCATCTTCACGAGATTACGGAAGCTGCAGGAACAGAGGAAGCAGAAGCGGATGCAGAGTTTGATAACGCTATGAAGGAGGCCATTAGAGGAGTGCAAGACTCTGTGACTAGCATCAATGAGTATTTGGAAGACATTAGGTACGAGATTGAAGCCCTTGAAGCCGAATAATTCCAAGTCTCGTTATTTCTTCACTCTTTTACAGAAAACTTGCAGTGTTTAAAAAGTTGTGGCTAATTTAGCTTAAGATATAAGATATTTAGACATTGTGAAGGATGTGAAAATGGAATTTTTTCTCAAATTATTAATGTTGGTACAAGTATAATGTTCTCGCAATCTATTGGGGATCGAGTTGATTGTTTTTCAGTCAATCAAAGTGACTTTATTACAAGCTTACAATAGCAAATCCTGGGACTACTTTTTGTCAGAAACAAAAATTGGACTAAAGAGACACTTCGTAACAATACCAAACTGAATTATTTCAGTTCTTGTGTGTAAGCGTTCATACACCTGAACAAACACAAAAACCAAATTATACCCAACTTGCCCACCAAAAAATAGAGTAATTGACATTTTTGGGTCAAAATCCATAAGATTTGTAGTATTCTTTTGTAACAAATAGATTACAGAGCAAAAAACTTTGTCATACGGACAACAAACTAGTTGCTTTGACCCACTCACCATATGTCCCAAAGTCCTTGACTCTGCCAAATGATAAAAATGCAAACACAAAGGTTCATTAGTTCTCACGAGGGATACAGAGAGTCAGTAACAAAATGGGAGTAATTTGTTGACTTACATATGGAGATTGGTGGGATCAATCTCTGGGAATAGGTTGAAATAGAACCTAAGCCCGTCTGGGCTCATGTCTCTACACAGCAAACCTGATTGAAACAAAATGGGTGCGTGTAAGATAACCATATATCTAACAGATTCATCTTTCCACGAGCTGGTTGTGATGGGAACTAGAATTTGTCACCTTTGGTCTCTGCAGTAAGTAGATGTTCCTTAGCCATGGCTGGAGCGATCTTCAGTGTCAAAGCTGCATCACTAGCAGTGACTCCGGTTCTTAGAGTTTCCATTTTTGTCACAAGCATTCTGATTCTACTCATAACCTGAATGGGCATAAGTATATTTCATCAGGTAGATGGAAACAAAAGTAAAAAAGCACAATCAAGAGAGATATATGACACATTCGCAGCAAGAAAATTGAGAACAGGAATCAAAGCAGTTACAATAAGATAGAGAAACTTAAGAGTACCTCCTCGTCGCTATGGGACTTGTTTTGGATGACCATCACACCACTATCAAACTTCCGCAGCATTACTGGACTACCAATCACAACACATGACAGAGTCAATATTTCTACGTACTGTCTTCTTTAAATGGTCATGTGTAGAGAGAAAAGCTTGAAATATACATACACATCAAATTTCTCCCAGAGGGTACAAGCTTGCCACAAATCGTCTGGAGAAATCAGCTCTGAGGCAAACAAAATTTAGGATTTTCAGGCTGAAGCAAGCAAAAACAGAATAAAGAACATGAAATCAAAACATTATATTTGGTAAAGGTCCAACCTGTCCCACGAGCACGATTGAAATGGTAGTACATATCAGTAAGGCTGATCATCCCCCCAGCTTGTTCTAATGGGATTCTAACAAAATCTGCCAACTGCAGGTACACGAAAAAGGATTTCAAATTCAAACTCATGTAGGTTGAAGGACTTCAAAAACAAAAATCATGTTACAAGCTAGTGATAATGACACAGTTATCATCTATGATGAAAAAAATAAAAGGAAGAGAACCTGGCGGGACAATTCTTGATGGTACAAGGCGCCAGCAGATTCCTTTGTCACAGGGGAGATAATACCAACGCTCAACATCCACTGCTGCATTTCTTCTTTAGACCCCATTTCTTCATCATCAGTTGATCCGTTCTGGCTACTTGGAGCAGACAAGAGCTTTTGCCGCATTTTTTCCGCCAGACTCACCATCTCTTTAGCCTTACTCTGTAAACCCAATAAGAGTACTAAAATTTCAAGCACACGAAGCTAGTAATCGAGCAACAAACCATAAATTTCTTAACTTGGTATCAGAACTATCTATTTTGAAATCCACGAATAAATATAAGATGATTTTACATCGGCTAAAGAAGAGCAATACCATAAGAGCATTCAAATCCTGGAAAGCATCCTGCAAGCTCTTGTCTGTGCTCTCCCATTGTTCTTGCTCTTTCCTCAATATCCCAGCCAATCCAACCATCCTCACCGTCCCGTCGTTTCCATATAAACCTTGCGCAACCGTTCCTGATCCTGACCGGGAACTCTCGCTCTCCCTCTTTTCCTCCTCTGCTTCCCATGCTCTGCCTCTCCAACATTCCCAGAATTTCGTCAAGAGTCCATCGAAATCCCCTTTCCCTCTGAAGACAACAGTCACCACAACCGAACCCGGGTCCGCTTGGAATCGGATTCGGGGCGAATGGAACATAGACTTGATGGATTTCTTATGGGAAAAGATGTGAGTAATGGCGGCGAGAGGAACGGAGGAAGGAACGGCTGCGTTTGGCTGAGAAGGGATCCATATGAGACGATGAGTGGTGAGGATAAGATTCCCGGACCTCAAAGCGGTGAATCGCGGCGGATCGTCTTCGGAATCTAAATCGACGGAGGAGAGGAGGAAACACTCGACCTCATTGCGTCGAAGCACTGGTCTGCCACTCGTAGTCACCTCCGCGTTCTCGAACAAACCACCGATTCTGTTGCTGCTTCCACTGGCCATGGAGACGCAATTCGGAAGCAGATCATACAGCTATTTAGCTGCGTTCCTCTCTAGTCCAGTCAATAGATCGGTTGACCAATCAGAGCTCGATGCAATTTCAATAGCTCCGACGAATTTACCGGCGACGATGGATGGACGGCGTTTAGAAAAATCCAGATGCCTGCGGTCAGAGAGAGATTCAACGAAGAAGATCGTTTAAGTGACACGTCTAGAATTGGTTGATAGTAAAATTAACATTTCAGTCCTTATTACGAAAACATATTACTGGATTGCAATCAACACTTTTAATTTCACTTTTAAGTCCAAATTTGTTCACAGGCCAAACATAATGTAGAAGTGGATAAGTTTTCAGACCAGTAAACAAAACACAATAGATATGGTCTTGGTCAGTGTAACTGTCGACGAATACGCGCGTGTTTGGTTATTCGTATCTTAAGATGAGGAGTTTGGTTGCTGACACATTCCATAGATTATGTCAAGGAAACATCAGAAATATCTTCAAGATTCGTTGATGGTTTTTATTCCTCTGAATGATTCCTGGTAGGATCATTAGCTGATTTAAAATAATCAGTTATCACCCAGATAAGTTGTTGTTTAACTCTTCTTAGTTTCATTAACTGTTAGCATTATAGCTACAAGTTTAATTATATTGGCTTTCATTGGTACCGTTTGTGGTATATACGTGTACTGCTTCTTATGTAACCTAACCATTCGACAGCGACTGTAAGAAAATGGTGGTACGGAGTGGTGGTACTATCATCTCCTATCATTTAGTGCCTCTGTTTCCTACGGCTTATAACGATATTGATGTACCGTAACAAAATATATCTCGTCTGGTGGTTATTTATCAAACTATATAATTTTCATCTATATAATAGTATTAATTTGTATAAACCTAAGGTAATCTTCCATAAATATTACAATCTTTGATGTTTACATATTTTATGTCTAACAAAATAAACATTACTACTATGACATGCTTAAAGTGGATAATTTGACCTGGTTATAAATTTCTAGTTGCGTTGACAACTACAAACAATTTCACGGTTAATCAAATATATTAAGAGTCCACACGCTCACTGTCATCTTAGTGGAGAATCTATAGACAACATTTGATTACGGCAGGTTATACAACCATATCACGATTTGATTTTCTTCTTCGAGTCTTGTATATCTTCTTGAAATACTATTTAAAGAGTATACGTGCTTAATAATAGTGTTTAAACAAGAACGAAAGCGATGCCGTTAGGTGAATTATTATTGTACATAAAATACTGTTTAACCATCATGCATACAACTTGGTTCCAATCACAATAGTTAGTATGTTATGACGATATGTACAGTATTAATGAAATACTAAAACTGATATTCGGTCGTTGTGGATGATCAATTTGCAATTCCTATTTTTGTTTTAGCAAGAGAATAGATACTACAATTACTAATTAGTGTCAGATTTGAAGAAAATATATAGCAAGTTCGTAGATAATTGAAAAATCTACATATTTATATTGATGATTTTCCTAACAACTCCAATATTGAACTATTCAAAGCATCACATTCAGACTTGAACAGTATTGCGGACTGAAATTATATTAAAATTCAAAACTTGACCGGATCCAGAGATACAATCTTTATGATAAAAAGAAGAAGAAGATATGAGTAACTCCTCCTATACTGTGTTTCTAATTATAAAACGGATATTAGTATTAGGTGATTAAAAGTTTTACTGATAACCACTATATCGCAACTTATAAAATTGACATGAAACAAATAATCACATCTCCTGTGATATACGGTACCTGCGTTATTAGTGATCAGTGAGATCCAAAAATAAATTTATTTATAAAAAAAACATTTTCGGAAAGAAAAGAAAAGAAAAGAAATGCATACGGCGGCTCTTAAAAATATAAAATAGTTCTAGAAGGCTATGAAAATGATCAAGTGCTTCTCTGGACCAACACGACATGACTACTTTTCCTATCTCTGTTTTTATTTCTCTTGCCTAATATGAAAATTTAAATAATTTCTAGTAAAAAAGAAAAAAAATTGAATAAAAGATTCGTCGACGTCGCCAGCCATTGGCGACTTCTGCTTCTTCCGACCTTCTCCTGTTCTTTGTCTTCCAGATCTCTCCTTTCCCTCTCTTTCTCCCTCTCTCTCAAGTCGTCGTTCTCCTTCGTCTCCTTCTCGTTCTTCGTCTTCGCTTGACCTCGCAGACGAGATACGAAACTCCATTTATTAGCCTCTCTCTCTTTCTTTCTCTCTTCCCCTTATTCCCTTTTTTTAATTATTATTCTTCATCTTCGTATTGACGTATACGCTTGCGTCACCTCCATTTCCCTTCATCTCTTTCTCTTCATTCTAATTCTGGGTAGATTCCTTTTAGCGCGCAA